TAAGCTCTAAAATTATATATATAGATAAGAGTTATATCTATATTAATAGACTAAAGCTATTTAAATTTAATAGAATAAGCTAAGTAGCTATTTAAGTTAAAGAAATTAAATAATTATATAAATGAATTTAAACTGTTTAAATCTTATAAGATAAGCTAAGGTATTATATAGATCTAGGAAGTAAATATTTATAATCCCTGAGATTAAAATAATTATTTAAATAAACCTTACTTTAATAATAGGAGATATAAAACTCCTATTATTAAATACTATATTATAATAGGATTTAAATATTGTAATAATATCTATACTCTTAAGAAATACTATTAAAATATAGAGAATATAAAGCTAGATAAGAATTAAGATTCTGAGGATAATAATATTCTAATTAAGGAGAGAACTTAATTCTTCCTAATAGGGGAATTTTTAAATAAAATAAGTAGAATTATAAGATAAATAGTAAACGCCTTATTAAATAATACCCTAATTCTGAAAATTTTATTAAAGAGATTTATATTATTATTTATAGTATATATATTTATAAATAGTAATAAGGAGCTAAAAGAAATAACTAGAGATATTATATAATATAGCTTAAATCTTATTTTAAATAGAGAATAGATATTTTAAATATAACTAGTAAAGCCTATATTATTAAAGAAATAGGAGGCTTATTATTATATTTAAATTAAACAGATTAAAAAAGATTACCTAGTTAATATTAAATAAATAAAAATATAGAGAAAATAATAAGATAAAGCGATTTAAAAAGAAAACTTTATATTACTAAAGCTAAGTATATTAACCTATTATAAAATAGATAGTAATATTTTCCTTTAAGTAATAAAAGGGGCACTAAAACTATATATATACTAGTTTATTAATAGATAGGGTTAGATTATCCTACTAATAAATATTAAAGAAAAAATAAATATAATTAATATTATAATTAAACTAGCTTTTATAAATAATAATATAGAATTCTATAGAGTATCTATATATAATCTAAAGCTTTAAGTTTATACAGTAAGAAGTAAACTATTTATTAAGGTTAAGAGATAATTATAATTAGAAAATTTAAGCTTTATAGTCTTAGATATTAAAATACTAAATATAAGAAGTTTTATATAAGTAATATTAAGAAGACTAAGTATATCTTTAAATCGCAGTACTTAGCAAATCTATATAATTAGAAATACTACAATATTATTAGACTATAATAATTAAATAGTTAAGGATACTTAATAAATATAAACCGCAGAGGTTTAGTTTAAATATTTAATAGTTAAGGCTTTAATAAATAAATAAATTAATATAGATATTTAATAAGTCGATATAGATATTTAATAGAATAAATATACTAAAATTTAATATAGCTAAATACTTAAATAAGTCTATAGGCAATATAAATACAAAGACTCTAATATTACGCTAAAAAGTAAAGATAGCGCAACTACTATTAAAGTAGAGGATAAAGATATATATATAATTATTAATCTAATTGCGGAAAATACTAAACTATAGAATAATTTAATAAAGGCAGAGTATTAAATATATATATTTAATATAATAATTTCTAAACTAGAACTTAGTAAGGTATTTAAAATAAAATAGATAACTAAAGATAATACTCTTATAATATTAAATAGATTTTAAATAAGCAGCTTATTTAAAAAGAGGGGTATTTCTTAAATTTTATTCTTTTCTTTAAGTATTTTTTAAATGTTTCTAGTTCTATATTAGGTAAGTTCTCTTTACTTACTAGCTATTTTAAGTTATTATTAGTTATTTTTTAAGTTTTAAATTATTATCTATTATATTAAGTTTATTAGTATTCTATTTAATATAATAGTAATCTGTGCTATTCTATAGCAATATACTATTTTATTAATTACTTTAGCCTTTATAGCAGACTATAGTTTTTTATAGGAGATTATACTTTTTTATTATAATATATAGTTTTAGATTTAATTTATAAGACTTAGCGAGAATATAAGTTCTTTAAAAGAGGAGGTAAATATTATAAATATAAGACCCTTTTCCTTCTAAGTTATATAACTAGACTTAGTTATATAATATTAGGTAACCTACTTGCTGTACTTAGCATTCTGGATTCTTATAATCTCTTCTAGACCTCTAATGCGATTAGTCTCCGACTAAACCTATATTATTTACCTTACTAACTATATAATAAGAGAATTATCTTTTTATTAAATAAACTTAGTATATCTTTTTTTTATATTAAAGGAGATATCTAACTAATAAATATTCTCTTATTATTAGCTTTAGTCTAAACTTTAAGCTAATCTCTTAATTATATATAGATTAGTAACTTCTTAAGCTATATATTATAATTATTAGACTAAATTATTATTATATAGCTTTTTATACTGCTATTTTTAAATTAATAGAGCTTATATAGCTAGCTTATTAAACTCTATATTAAAGATTATCTTTTTTAAATTATATAAAACAGAGATTTACTATTAGTAATCTTAGCTTATAAATATAGTAAATATTATAGGGAAATATTAATTTTAGTATAGATATATTAACTCTACCTATAAAATAGCCTATTAATTAAATAACTCTAGGATAATATTAGTATAATTCTTATTATATAGTTTCTTTATAGATTTCTTTTTTAGCAGAGGTATAATAAAGATTAAAATCTAAGATAGATTATATTTACTATAATAATCTTATGCTAATAAAGGAGATATTTTAATATATAATAATATTCTATTTTTATTTAAATAAGATAAAAATATCTTTTAATAATAAGGTCTATTAATAATTTGCTTCTAATAAATAGAGAGTTTAAATTAATATTTTATCTCTCTTTAATTCTAATATCTCTTTTAAGATATAAATTCTTAGCTTTATATAGAGACTAATAATAAGATATTTTTAGTCTTACTAATATCCCCTAATATAATTAATTTAGATAGTTAATTATTTTAAAACTATAGTTTTAGGCTTTAAGCAGTTATAAAAGCTAATATTTATTTTATAGGTCTATTAATACCCTCTAAGTTAAATACTTAATATAGAAGTATAATATAGCTCTTATTTATTTAACCCTCTTTATAGCTACTATATCTTATCTATTATTAAATATTATAGATATTTAAACTAATTAGGAACTTCTAATTAATAATATACTTAATATTAAGTATATTAATTCTTATCTTAAAAGCAGTTATTACTACTATAATATATATTTTAAATAAAATAGATTTAAATTTATTAAAGTAGATCTTCTAGTTATATAATAAAATATATAATATAAAGGTTTAAATTATTATATTAACTAAATAAGGGCTATCTTTTATCTTAGAATACTAATAATCTAATAATAATAATGCAGACTTTATTAAAAATATTTAATAAAAATATTCTACTATTATCTTAATCTTCTAAATATTATTTATAAAGATAATTATTTTTAATATATACTTAAGTATTACTTTATTATTTTTAATAATAGTATCTAAGAGGAAGTATAATATCTTAAAGGAAGATAACTTCTTATATAGAATAAATAAGATATAGATAAATATATCTATCTAGTTAATAGAGGTCTAAATAATTTTAATTTAATAGGGTTAATCTCTAATAGCTCTAAAGCTAGCTCTTTAAATAATTTCTTTCTTATTATCTTTAGTAAGTATTATAAAATAGCTAAACTAAATAATATCTTATTTTAAGATTAACTATAATTTGCCTAATATAGTAAATTTAGGCCAGAATATCTCCTATTATATAATTAGATAGCATTTATTAATTATTATAAAACTAATCTTAGCTTATATTTCTAGCCTTAATAATATATTTAGAAAGAGCTTTAATATAGCCTATTTAAGGCTTAAAAGCATATATATATATATATTAGCTTAAATATTTTAAATAAGATTATACTGCTATTATTTAGTCTTATTATTAATAATATATAGCTTTATCTTTTAAAACCTTTTAATATCTTGTATTTATTCTTTAATAAGCTTATTTAAGGATATTATTTAAAGAATTATTCTCCTTATTATAATTAAAAATAAATAAAAAATAAGACTCTTTCTAAACCCTATCTATATAATAAAAAGAGTATTATTATAGCTATATATTATTCGCTAAAGATATTAAATTTACTCTAGATATAGAGAATACTTAGATCCTAGATTTATTATTTAAAATATATATTTTAGATAAGCTTTAATTATATAATATTAATAAGGAATATCCTTTTTATTAATAAATATATTAATTACTAATAATAAGTCTTTTAGCTTTATTTTTAATATCTTAGCTAATATTAAAGAGGTAATATCCCCTATTAATATATTATAAAGCATAGTATCCTTATAAAGTTTATATTATTAATATTATTTATTTAGATTCTTTAGCCTTACTATCTTTACTCTATAATTCAGGAGTTTATAAATATTTAAATATATTTTTATTAGTTAGTTTAAGAGTTTATAAAAGATTAAATATAAAATAAAAATATTATATTTAAATAATATTAAGGCTATAAAATAATACTAAGATTTAAATATACTATTTAATAAAATTAAATATAGTAACTTTAATATTATAGTTATATATTAATAAAATATCTTATTATATTAAAATATATATAAATTAAAATAGAAATAGTAACTAAATCTATAGTATTAAACTTTAAGTAATTTAATTTAAAATTAATAGAATTATTTATTATTAAAGTTAAATAAAGCCTTAAAAAAACAGCTAAATTAGTGCTATTTATTAATAAACTGCAACTATTTATTCTTAGACCCTTATTAAAGAAATTTTTATTACTGCTATATTAGGTTTAGTATATCTGCCCTAATATTATTAGCTCAGATTTTTGAGCTAGTTTGCACTAGTTTCTAAATAGTATAGTTAAAGCACTAATTCTTTGGCGAGGGTCTGAGCTTACTGAGATAAGGTGGTGGTGGTGGTGGTTTTTTTTTTAAAGTAAACCTTGCCGTGGCGCCAGCTCCACTGTCCAGAGCGTCACGCGTTCCTGCATGAAAGCCCTATCCGAATCTCCGGCTTGTCCGCTGTCTCGTACTAACTAACTAACTACAACGACAACTCCTCGTTACTTAGTAGTTGGTTCAGATCTTGTCAATTGGTCTTGATAACGAAACGATCCGAGAATCCTGGATACATAATGCAGATTTACTAGCTTGAGCGCCCTTCGAGGGAACGGAATCGTGTACCTACGCATGCGCATCGAATCGCACCGGCAGAACCATATCTAAGAAAGATAATCTGAACGATCGGACCAGAACATACTACTGTCAACTACTGCTACTACTACTATCAGCATAATGGCGCCCTCCCTCCCAAAAGCCACAACCCTCCTCTCATGGTTCTTCTACCTGATCCCCGTCTACCTCTTCGTTCTGGCGCCGTTATTCCAATTCATCTTTCCCGAATGGGACAATTCGCGCGCTGCTGGTGGGAATAATAACGAGCTAGGAGGGTACAATTACGAAGATGGCATTGATGATTATGAGGGGGAGTACAGCACGCCGTTACATCTGGCAGATGATCGATTCATAAGTCTCGAGGATGATGTGCCGTTTGAGTGTCCGGAGCAGGAAGGGAGGTATAAAGTGCATATTTTCTCGAGGGTGCCGTTGGTTATTTACATAGAAGGGTTTTTGAGTGAGGATGAAGCGGAGCATTTGGTTAGGGTCAGGTATGGGTTTTCCTTTTCTTTCGTTTTTTTTTTTTTTTTTTTTTTTTGGTTGGTTGAGGGTTTGGTAGCTGATTGATTGCTCTTTTTGTTTGATCCAGTGAAGGAAAGTATGCGCCTTCGATCATCTACGATGGAGTTTCGGAGCGCGTTGATCCCTCTGTTCGTCGGTCGGATCGTGCCTTGCTCGATCGAGATGATGTTGTTCGGTGCCTTGAGGAGCGTGCTCGTTCCTTTCAGGGTTGGAGGCCTGGGATGTATATCGAGCGCATGTGGGCTCAACGGTACAATGTCTCGGGACACTATCAGAACCATTATGACTGGACGGGGAATCTGCGTGCTGGCGGTGATCGCGTCAGTACCTTCATGGTGTATCTTCAGGCGGACTGCACTGGTGGTGGGACCAACTTCCCCCGCATGAAGATGCCACGGGAGAAGAAGTGGTGTCGGTTCCTGGAGTGCGATGAGGAGGGGAAGGGAGAAGAAGGCCACGCCGCCAAGGAAGTTGGTGGAGTGACATTCAAGCCGATCAAGGGCAATGCTATTTTCTGGGAGAATCTCAGGGCGGACGGTACAGGATACCCGGAGACTTGGCACGCGGCCTTACCGGTTACGTCCGGGTCGAAGGTTGGGTTGAATATTTGGAGTTGGTATCAGCCTCCACGGAGAACTAAGGGAAAGAATTAGGGATAAGGAGATTCTTTCTTTTTTTCTTTTTTGTTCAGGTTTGGAGACACGGACTTGGTGGAACGGAGGCTATTTGATGCCCGTTGTCCAACAGAATACCATATATTATTGCCTTCAGTCCAGCCCCGCTTGAACGGGTCGTACCAGAAAGAAGAGGGTGGTAAGATCAATGGTTCACCGCATGAGTGAATGGATTGATCGTGGGTTCGATTCTTGAAGAGTATCTAAGAGGATTATGACCGCAACGAACACCCGTTGGACCGGGTTGTCCAGACCGGTTTACACGTGAAACCTCTCTGAGGCTGTGCCCTGACTATCGAGGATTCACGATGGTAACTATGGGGGAGGCGTTTTTAGGGGGGTGTTGATCTGACCATTGATCGCGGTCCGGAATGTCCATGCCCTGTTTCTTCCTGTACGATAGCAATCTGGTCGCATCTTCATCCCCTCCAGGTTGGTTTGTGTCGGCCGTGACACCTGAGAAGCATGTCCTCGAGGCTACCTAGTTTCTCAGTGGTAACTAGTAAATTATTGACGAGCATACTCTAGTCGTCGGGGATGCATCCGCCCCCCTCATGAGAGCTTATCATCCAGTTGCCAAGTGAGGATCTTCCAACCAGTCTGAAGGCTGGAACTTAAGTCAGACACAGGCTCCAGGGGGAATGAACCATCGAGACGGTGACTGCACCGAATCCAAGGGGCATCGCCTTGTCCCCCTCCAGCATCCGCTGTGGTCGCCAAGATCGCGCTCGTCTTGGGTGCTGGGCGTGCTTGGCCGCCGGGGCCAAGGAACTCCCGACCAGAGGAAGGAAACTTTGTAGGCACACACACAGTCACACACAGTCTTTTGCTGATCCTGTATCGCTTATCTTACTCCCCGCAGAGCATTTGCCAAGAGGACAAGATCTGGTTGTGGATAATAATTGCTTCTCCTCGCTGTCTCTGTCTCGGTCTCTCTCTCTCTGTCTCTCTCCAGTTCCCCATAAGCGATAGTTAACTACTTAGTCCGTGCAGCGACTTTTTCCTGGTTCGACTTCTCAGACAAACTCTGCAGCCCGCGCCACCCGGCTGGCCTCACAGCAGCTCCCGATAGGCGCAAATCTGGCTGCCGAGGCCCGCTCATACGGCTCGAACGCCTCGTCGCTGGGATTCTTGGCCCGGTCTTGTCCCTGTCTTGTCCCTCTGGCCCCCTCCGCCCGGTCGCTGTCTGGGCATTATTTCCCTCGTGTCTCTTCCCCCCCTTCTTGCGACCATTATTATCATTATCCCCCCAGTAATTCAACTGCAGCTGGTCTGGGGGTTTTGTTTGTGTTACGCAAGAAAAGAGTCTGACTGAGGTCCATCCTCTGTCTCTTTTCTGCTCTGCTCTGCACCCATCTACTACCACTACCACTACTATATCCCCGTGCTCCCTTTCTGCCAGCTGGGTGTGATCTTGTATCCCCCAGGTGCACTCCTCGAGCGCGCAAGTCCAAGGCGTCGACACTATCCTCACCGTGAACACTTATCTCCCCAGGAGATCCTCACAGTCAGACGCTCATACTCTTCTTTCCTTTGCTCACTGCGCAGGACGCTGCCTGGTCTGGCGCCATCCGCACATCCGCAACGGACGCCATTTTCCAGCCATTTCCGACGGGAAGTTTAGACTTGTCATCATCGGACCCCGTCCGCATCGACAACGCTTCCCTCTTTTTCTTCTTGTGCTTTGGGTGTCGCTGCGCTCCGTCCCTGAAACGGAGTTGCTCGTGTCTATATCTCTCCTCCTCTCCGCTCGCAAGCCCAAGAAAGGGACAAGAGATTTGTCTTGGCGATGTCGGAACACCAAGACACGTCCAACCCCAACACGGCCGTCCCCGCGCCCGTCGCTCAGCAGCCCTCTGCGACGCCGCAACAGCAGTCGCAGCAACAACAGCAGACTCCCATCGATCAGTCGACGGCAAACGTTGCAGCGCAGGCTCAGGCTGCCGCCGCCGCAGCCATCGGAGTGAGTAACGCGCAGAACGGCAACAACGTTGCGCGATCATCGAGTAGTGGTGAGGATCTCGCTTGTCACTGGCAAGGATGCTCGGAACGCTGTCCCACGCCAGAGGCCCTATACGTAAGTTGATACATTTCTCATCGCCTGTCTTCTGGCTCGAGACATTTTCCCGTCGTTTGTGCGATCGCATCTGGAGTTTGATTGGTGTTACGAAGCGACTCGATCCGAAGTCGGACGACGTCTTATCAGAGCCTCAGCGACAAGAAAAGAAGAAAAATAGAAATTTACGTGCTGTCCGGAATCTGCGATGCTGACGGCACCTAGGAACACGTTTGTGAAAGACATGTTGGCCGTAAGAGCACCAACAACCTCAACCTGACCTGCCAATGGGGCAGCTGCCGTACCACGACGGTCAAGCGCGACCACATCACGTCGCATATCCGAGTCCATGTTCCCTTGAAGCCTCACAAGTGTGACTTCTGTGGAAAGGCCTTCAAGCGTCCCCAGGATCTGAAGAAGCATGTCAAGACCCATGCGGATGACTCGGTTCTCGTGCGATCTCCCGAGCCTGGCTCGAGGAACCCCGATGTCGTGTTTGGCGTGCCGGGTAACCCCAAGGGTAAGTTGTTGCTCGTTCTTCTGGTAACTTGAAGCTGACTTTTGTCTACAAAGGCTTCCCCACCGGAGGTCACTACTTCGAGCCTGCGATCAACGCCATGCCACCCCAGGGTTATAGCCACGGAGCTCCGCAGTACTATCATTCCCAGCAGCCACAGCAGCCATCCAACCCTTCGTATGGCAATGTCTACTATACCCTCAGCCAAGGCCCCGATGTGAATCAAGCCTCGTATGAATCTAAGAAGCGTGGCTACGAGGCGCTTAACGAGTTCTTTGGCGATCTGAAGAGACGCCAGTTCGATCCCTCCTCCTATGCTGCGGTCGGCCAGCGTCTACTGAGCCTGCATGGTCTCCAACTGCCGCTAATCAACCATGCCGTTCCTGAATATCAGCATGTACCTGCTGCTGTTGCAGTTGGTAGTCCCGGTGGTGGCTACAGTCCTGGTGGTTCTATGCCGAGTCACGGTTACCACCTTCCCCCAATGGCCAATGCGCGCACCAAGAATGATCTGATCAACCTCGATCAATTCCTGGAGCAGATGCAGGCCACCGTCTATGAAAACGATGACCATGTGGCCGCGGCCGGTGTCGCTCAGCCGGGGGCACACTACGTCCAGGGCAACATGAGCTACCGGACGACAAATTCCCCTCCTACTCAGTTGCCGTCTAGCCATGCTACCGCGACGACTACCGGTGCCCCCGGAATGAGCAGCACTACGGCTCATTCTCCCTCGACCGGCACTCCCGCGCTCACGCCGCCCTCCAGCGCACAGTCGTACACTCCTGGCCGCTCCCCGATCCATCGTGTTTCTCCGCCCAATGAGGCCGGTTCAAGCATGTATCCCCGATTGCCGTCGACCACGATGCCGGATAGCATGTCAGCCGGCTACCCTAGCACGACCAGTGCTGCGCCTGCTTCGACGTTGGGCGGCATTTTCGACAACGATGACCGGAGACGCTATGGCGGCAACAATCTCCAGCGAGCCCGTCCCGACAGTGCATCTCAGGCGATGGATCTGTCGCTTGATGATGAAGCGCGCACTCCGCCCGCCAAGGGACTGGAAGCCCGCCAGCCGTCGCCCGAGGGCATCTCCTCGAGCCTCATCGACCCGGCTCTGCACCGCAGCAGCTCCCCTGACGCTGAGGCGGCCTTGCGGGCTGCCCAGGCGGCCACGGAAGCGGCTGACCGCGCGGAGGAGCAATGGGTTGAGCACGTGCGCCTGATCGAGAATCTGCGCAAGTACATCAGCTTCCGGTTGGAGAATGGCGACTTTGAGGACTCCGAGAAGAGCACGCCCCGGTCGGCGGGGGAGACTGCGCACGAGGGCCGTATGGAGGGCGTGGAGGACGAGTCCGCTGCGGAGATCAAGGTCCAGCCAGCGGAGTCGCCCGCCAAGGCAGAGCCCAGTGCTCCCCTGTATCCGACCCTACGAGGGCTGGAGGATGGCGATTCCACGATGACGGGCGAGGACAACTAAGTGTTGGACACATGCACGTGAAGTGCTTCTAGCGTTTTACTTTTCTTCTTTTTTTCTCTTTTCTTTTTTTTCCTACTCATGGCCAGTTCACCCTCTCAAATACCATTCTGATCCTCCGCCAATACGCCTGTGATATCGATCTTCTCTTCCCCTTGGCCTTCTCACGAATTTTTGATGACTAGCAGCGGTCGAGTGTCTGTTTGTCCTTCCAATACGGCGGTGGAGCCGTGTTTGTTTCTTCATGCTCTCCTTTGTGTATGACCGGGTGCTCTTTTGTCTTCGTACGGAGATGGTCGCGTGCGGAAAACGACCACCGAAACCGAGTCTATTTTGCGAGCGTTGGGCTCCTCTCTCAAGTGTTGTATCATATTTCAATCGTATCCGATCGATCTGGAGCTCTGAGCAACGCCACGGCTCGCCTTGCCAATATAGTTAGATAACGTCAGGGCTCTCGACGACGTTTGCGTAGAATCCGGGGACGTAAGTAGAAGCCCGTCGAGCGGAATGGAGGGACCTTGCCTAGGAGGCTGGGCAGCTGGGCGATCATTCCAGCGAGGCCGGAAGCGGGCGGCTGACGTCGGGCTGAAGACGGCGATGCGAGGCGATGTTCGATCGGGGTTCTAGAGCAGCTGGCAAGATGCCATAGATCGGAGAGGAGGACTGGATCAACCGCTTTTTTTACGAATATTACGAAGTCCTGGTTTCTCCCTCCCCAGTTTACCGCCATCCCGGGATCTCCTAGCATACAAGGATCGACTCTAGACCGTCGGACTGCTTGTTTTCCTTCCGAAGGAATCGAATAATAGACTCTTGTGGCCCCCAGTGGCTTGCATCTGTCAGTTGATTGTGGCCGTGACTTGATCCGTCGTGCGGAATGCGACCATGCCCCTCGCGGATTATATTGTACCACAATCATTAATTATTAACTAGGTAATTACATGAATAGGTAGTTAATCACAATTATGATCTGACAAACCTGCGTCTGGTGGGTCGAGCAGTTCGTCATTTGCACGTCGAATCCACGATCGACCACCAGTGGGCGTTTGTGCGTCAAGAAAATCAACACATGGCGAAGACGCGCGCGGAAGTCGACGCGGCTGATCTGGTTGTTCATTAGTTAGTTAGTTAGTGAGTAATTAGTAGATTCGAGGACGGATGGGATAAGTTTCGTTAGTTAACTAGGTACTCTAGACCTTCCCTTGAAACATTCCTCTTGCTTCTTTTTTCCCCTTTCGTCCGCTCTGTTTACGGCCAGTGGATGGGTTTTCCCTGTTTTTCTGTTTGTCTGTTTTCATGTTGTGGCTGATTCTGGTTCAGGTTGCATCTACCAGAGCAGTAATAATAATAAGACTATCTAGTTATACATAGTAGAGTAACTACTAATACTATGTATTAACTACCCGGTCAGTGCGTCCCCGGGAGCCCCTCTCTCCCTCTTTCTCTCTGTCTGTCTCTCTCCCTTGCCCGGAACTTGATCCATAATGGATACATAGTTACATCTGTCCCAGTTCCCAGTGGAGATGACGGAGTCAGTAGAGTATGGTAGATTATTGGAAGGGGAAGAAAAAGTAATAATAATCGATGCTAGGACGAAAGCACCAGGAACAAACAAATCCGTTCCCATCGATCTGATCTAGCAGAAAACAATAGAAGGGATCATCATCAACACAGACATACACACACACACACAAATACTTGAACTGTAACCAAACAGATCTAACTATTATTGTTGTTCCCTCTGGATCCGGTCAATCTCCTAGTTAATTGCCCGTCTTCTCTCTTTTTCTTCTTTCCTTTCCTTTCTTTCCCTGTTCCCGAGCGGTTGAGGACGGCGAAAGTGCTCAGGCGACCAACAGGCTGAATGCATGGAGGATTATTATTCCTTATGACAGCTGCCCATCCAGACGACGTGATCTGCTTTTTTACTATCTGGTTTGTTCATGAGCCGGTTTAACTCATAACCTAGTTAACAATAACTAATAACTAACTTATCTGGTATTTAGTTAGTCAGCCCAGCTGAGATCCCCGGTTTCTGCATCGTGTGGCGAACGTCAGTCAGCTCGTCGATAAGTTTTTTATCGAAGGCGAATTTGATCCAGGCAGACGGCGGTCCATCTGCTTCCTTTTGTCCTACTTCCTCATTATTATTTTCTGACCTCATCTCTCATCCAACTAACTACCTAGTAGTAGTTAACTAACTAAACTATTATTTTTTTTTCTGCCCTGCCCTTTCCCCAACCTCGTTTGTTTTGCTTTCCCGTGTCTTAGTGTCCACCCCGCGCCCACCCCATTAAAAAGGAAACGAACTTCGCGCCATTCAAGAGATCCGGTCAATCTGGCTCGGTTCCGATCGCGTGCGTCCCCGTTTTCTTCTCTTCGCCCTTTCGCGGATAGCGGCGCGATCGCCCAGCAGCTGAAGAGTCCGCTCGAGTTCATACGGTCGCTTTGAAGGAGTGGAGGAAGCGCGCGGAGTGCAGCTGAGATAAAGAAAGAGAGAGAGAGAGAGACAGAAAGAGAGAGAGCGCGCAAACATGCCGCCCTCGAGTAGGCGTCGCACGCGCCGCAAGGAGATTCAACTGCAGGAAACCTCGGACGCGGAGGCTCCGGATTCCTCGCCCAGTCGGCCATCAGTCAAGAAGCGCAAGGTTGGTTCTGATCGCGGATGTTATGGAGGCTGTTCATCACGACGTGCTGACATCGCTGCAAATCAAACAGGTCGAGCATCACTCTACGCCGCCCCCGCGACAGCAGCCGCGAGTCAAGACACCTGAGCCGGCGTCCGCGGATGAGGCGGACGACTCGTCGCCCGATAATGAATTGGCTGCCAACCAGGACCTGGTCGATACGGTCATCTCGTCGCTCAATGTCGCCCGGGAGGACGTCAACGTGCTGCGGGATCATTCGAACGCGAAGGCTGAGAATAAACAGAGTATCCGCGCGTACGCGAAGATTGCCGGCCGCAACTGGACGTACTATGTCAAGACGCTGCATGTCAACATCGGACGACCCCCGGATCGCGAGCAGAAGCTGGACGAACAGTCGAGTCCCGTCACCATCGCCGCCCGCGCCCTGCCAGAGGTGCACGTCGACCTGGGCCCCAGCAAGTTCGTCTCACGGCTACATGCGGAGATTTTCTACGATGGCGAGCAGACGGCTTCCTGGCACATTCGAGTCAACGGTCGAAATGGCGTCCGATTGAACAACGTGATGCTGAAACGCGGTTCGGACGCGGTCATCAGCTGCGGCGATATCATCGAGATCGCCAACACGCAGATGATGTTCGTCACGCCCGGGGATAAAGCCAACATCCACCCCAGCTTCGTCGAACGCGCCCAACGCATCGCCGCCGGCGAGGAGCCTCCCTCGTGGGACGACGCGCAGCACGCACACCCGCCGCCGACCCAGACGCACCAGCGGCGCATGTCTTTGATATCCAACAGCGGATATCCAGCGTCAGCCGCCGGCCCCAGTGGCCAGCCCAGCTTGGCTCCTGCTCCGCAGTTTCTCAAGCGGCAGGTCACGCCGCCTCCGCGCTCCCCCGATACCGCGGGGGCGCGTACGGCCAAGCCGTCCCCGCTGTATAACCGTGGCATGATGATGGAGAGTACGGAGGAGATCGATTACAGCAAAGACTCGGCCAAGGATCTCAAGCCGCCATACAGTTACGCTACGATGATTGCGCAGGCCATCTTCTCCAGCGAGGAGGAGAAGCTGACACTGAACAGCATCTACAACTGGATCATGGATAAATATGCCTTCTACCGTCATTCGCAGAGCGGTTGGCAGGTGAGCTACACTTTGCTTTCATGCCAGAAGAATTCACAAGCTGACTGCTGTAGAACTCGATCCGGCATAATCTGTCTCTGAACAAGGCTTTCCAGAAAGTTCCCCGTCGTACCGACGAGCCCGGTAAGGGCATGAAATGGCAGATTGCGCCTGAGCACCGGCAGGAGTACTGGAAGAAGCATCTCCGGAAAGGAACTCAGTCGTCCGCACCGTCGTCGCCTGCCACGAAGGACGGTCCTGCGTTCCGAAATGCCAACGGGAATTCCAATTTCGAGAGCGTCTTCTCTGCCGGCAAGACTTCACCGCAGCAGCCTTCGCCAGGCTTCAGCTCCTTCCCCGTCGCTCCCGTGGAGGCCTATACCCCAGAGAGAGGCTCGCGTGCTGGTAACCGCGCTGGCGGCCGCGATCTTCGGAATAACAACACCACAACTGACTACGAAGAGCCGTCTCCTTTACCCGGTCGCTCGCGGAGCAACACGACTGGACGTACCTATGGCCTGTCGGACAACGCAGCCAACTCGCCGCCGGTCCTGTCATCGTCATACTACGACGACGGCCCCTCGTCCATGATCACGCCGGCGCCGCAGCGCCAGCAGCCCCGGCTTCCGCCTCCGAGCACCGCACAGATCCCGTCCAAGTTCATGCCGATGAGCTCGCCGGCGCAGTTCTGGAAGTTTGCCGACATTGGCAGCACCCCGGCCAGGCCAGTGCCAGACATGAGCCCGCTGAAGGGTGAGCTGGGTGACGGGCTGGGCGGCATGCCGAGCAGCAGTCCCCCGCCGCCAAATTTCACCAGCCCCAGCAAGCCCGGTACAGGAGTTGGTATGCCTCGATTGCCGTCGATCAAGAGGGATCCTGAAGAGGGACGGGCGGACACGAACGGTGCCGACAAAGATCATAGTCGGTCCAATGGTGGTCCGGGACTGGGGGACGACGATGATGACGAAGATGAGGGTGGTTTTGATCTCGCAAGGTTTGTTGTCTGGGCGATTTTTTGGGGGGACCATCAGGCTAACTGTTCCGCAGGGGTTTCCAGCCTATTGGCTCGTACCACCGCCAGCTGAGCAGCACCGCGAGAGCGAGCGCAACCACGTCCTAAATATCTAGTGGGTATTGCATGCCCAGCTCATGACGGGCTGGGACAAAAAGATTCTCGAGCAGAAGAGACGATAGATGACGTTGACGCACGACGCGGAACTCGCTCAGCTTCACTTACATGGGACATGGTGAACGGAGTACGGGGCTGTGCTTATATCTTTGCTTGTGTTTTCGGGTGTCGGTATTCAAGGTCGTGGAGTTTGATTATTTTATTGCTTTTCCTAGACCGGCTGGGTTGGTCGGTTGGGTGGTGTTTATTTGGCGTTTATCCCATTCGTTCGGGGCTGTATTTTACGCGGCTGGTTGGAATCCAAGTCAGTGGAGGCTGAGCGCAGGCAACAAAATGTATATTTTCAGACCAGTTTGCGGTTATGCATCTGTTGTATGTATGTATCTATGTAATGTATCGATGTATGTATGTGCATTATCTGGGTTTAGTTATCAAGATGTAGTTTATGACCATTTACAGATGAGTAGAATTTCCTCCGCGGGACATTCGAGTCGAATTATAGTACATAGTTATAACCAAGAAGAAGCTCTGACCTTTAGTTCTTTCTCCCCACAAGCAGAATCTGATACTTGTATCTTGTATCACTTTTATATGCAGTAGTAGTCACAGTAATACTAATATGCTTATTTATTACCCCACTCCCCTATCTAACCGGTTAGTGATAACGAAGCTAGCTACCTAGCTAAGCTAAGCCAACAATGGGGCCAAATCCGTGTCTAATAATAATAATAATAATAATAATAATAGCGACTACTACGAATCTAAGAAAAGAAAAGAACAAAACAAAATGCTCCGTCGGCCCGCGTGGATATTGTTATTCAGTGGGCCCCGATACGAGATGAACGAGAAATACGAGCTGTGCGAATTTAGTGAAGTGGCAGACAAGATTGAATTATTGTTGTTATTATTATGAGAACTGAGCTCCTGCGTCTACGTCCTGGGTCTGGAAGGTCAGTAATAATAATGAACTAAGTTTTTCTTCTTTTTTTTTTTTTGCTTCTGCTTCTGCTTTTTCCACTTTGGGAAAGTCGAGGTCTTATCTTTGCTGCCTACTTATGATACATGCATGTTTTGCGCGATGGTATATTCTCTGCTGGTTTTGCTTGTGCGGAGGGAGTAGTAGTAGTAGTAGTGATAATAATAATCCTCGCTTTTCTCTCTTTTTGGTTTTTTTATTTTCATTTTTTGCTCTTTTTAATTAATTAATCGGGCCATTTTGTTTCAGATCTACCTTACCTACCCAGCGCAAGCGCAAGCGCCACTTTACTTATCGCGTCGCTTCGGTTCATCTTACTTACGAGTTTGATCCCCTTCTTTTTTCTTTATTTTGTTCCCTCTTTAGAAGGGACACGAATCAAACGAAAACCAGACCAAACCGGACCTGCACACTGGATTGATATCCGGAATTTCTCTTACTTGCGACTAACTATGCCCTCCGGCCACTTCGGTCTCTGCACCGAAGTCACTCCCCAATGTCCCGTGCAGGCGACGACGCTGGGCTATTATCCGAATCGAGGCGCAAATGTCTTCTTCGCGGTGGTGTTTGGTATCTGTACGCTGGTGACGTTTTTGGTGGGCGTGAATAGGAAGACGTGGACGTTTGCGTTTGCTGTTACGGCGGGGTTTGCGTTGGAGACTGTTGGTGCGTCTAAATACTTGGTTTCGGTTTGTTTTGTTGAAATTTATTTCTATATTTTATTATAAAATATAGATTGGAAATCAAATCAAATCAAATCAAATCAAGGACTGGCAAGAAGAAGAAGAAGAAGAAGAAGAAGCGCAATGCTGATTTATTAATTTTCATTTCTTCCAGGCTACATCGGCCGCATAATCCTCCACAACAACCCATGGTCTTCGACCGGCTTCAAGATCCAAATCGTCTGCCTCATCCTCGCGCCCACCCTCATCTGCGCCGGCATCTACCTCACCCTCAAACACATCGCGCTGGCCATCAGTCCGCACCTCTCCCGTCTCAACCCCCGTCTCTACACCTGGCTCTTCATCCCCTTTGACATCTTCTGTCTCGTCCTTCAGGGCGTCGGCGGCGGCGTGGACGCCTCGGCTGAAACGCACCCGAAACTGCTCCCGACGGGGAATAATATCATCATTTCAGGTATTGTGTTGCAGGTGGTGATTCTGTCGATTTTTGGACTGTTGTCGGTGGATTTCTTCTATAGGGCGAAGAGGTATCATGGTAGGGATGGGGATGGGGATGGGGATGGGGATGGGGAGGTGGTGATGGGAAAGAAGAGGGAACAGGCTCGTGTGTGGAGGGATAGGAAGTTTAGGATCTTTGTTGGGGCTGTTTCGTTGGCGTATTTGGGGATTTTGATTCGGTGTGTTTATCGGTGGGTTTTCCTCCTCTTGTTTCTTCTTCTGGGGATATGCGTTGTTCCCCATGATTGATTCATGCAAGAACTGACTGACTGACTGACTGATATTATATATAGTATCGCTGAAATGTCCGGTGGATGGGGCAATCCCGTCATGCAGAATGAGGGTCTGTTTATTGCTCTCGAGGGAGTGTATGTTTTCCTTTTTCTTCTTCTTCTTCTTCTTTCTTTTTCCCTGGCAATTCAATCTCAAATTCAAGAGATCAAAGCTAAACTAGAGTTAACACTTCCTCCAGAATGGTCCTCTACCCCGCTGTGCTCCTATCCATATTCCCACCGGGAATCTTCTTCCCGCAAATGAGCAAATTGCGCTCTGATTATGGGAAAGAAACTGCGCTGAATGAGCAGTCGAGTTCGGCGTCTCTACGAGAAGGAGTTAGCTCGGGGGTTGAAGCTGGAAAGGCGCAGTAGGGTTCTTCTTCTTCTTCTTCTTCTTCTTCTTGTTTTGTTGTTGAACGTGTCATATAACCCTACGAGCAGCTTGTCCTGGATATATAGATAGTCCATATATAATGTGCATACAAGTCATGATGATTTTTGATATCCAGTTTTTTTTTTTTTTTTTTTTTTTCATCTTCATAATTATGCAACTACTAACTACTCCTTAACATTCGGCCAGAACCTCTCTTCCAACCACAACACCTGCCTCCACCAGCCCAAACACTTCCCCCTCTCCCTCTCAATCTCCTCAACCCCCTTCAACTTCCCCGCCAACTCATCCATCGCATCGCGAATCAGCACCACAAACTCCTCAAACTCATCACTCGACCAATTCGGAATAAACTCCTTCCTCAACGCCCCCCCATCCCTATCCTCCCTCGCATCCTTCCCTTCCTTCATATGTCCCCTCGCAAACCTCCACGCACTCAAATAACACCACTCCGTCGCCCACAACACCGTCAACCCCTCCAACAAACTCGCCCCACTACTCCCCGCCGCCATGAACAGATCAATATACGCCTTCGTAATGAACCCCGGTCCAAACACCTTCCACCCTTCTTTCCCTTCCTCTTCCCCGCCCTCCAGATCCGGCACCGCAGTTAGATCCAATCCATATTTCACCGCTGTGTCTTCGAAAAACCGCAACTCGCGCCGAATATTCACCAATGCTTCCGTGAGGGCGTGGAAGATGCGTTCCTCCGTGCTCGGGATGCGGGGTTTCGAGACGCGGGGGTTTCGAGGAGGGAAGACGATTTTCGAAAGAAGGAGGCCGATGAACCGGACGTAGGATTGGGCGTACAGACGGTCTTGGGAGAGCCATTGAGATAGGGTCTTTTTGGAGAGCGTGCCGGATCCAGCGGCGATGAGGAATGGGTGGGTGGTTGCGCGGTGGAAGGAGGATGGGAAGTGAGAGCGGAGGTAGGAGGAGAGGGGTTCGGACATTTTGTTTATGTCTTTTTTTGTAGTTGAGGATTTGGAGCTGAGGATTGAATGATGTTGTTGTTGGTTTAATTTCACTTTTTCTTTCTCGTTGCTCGGATATTTTCACCCCGCTCTACCTAAGTAAGTAGGTAGTAAGTAAGCAGAATCTTTGAATCTGAACACTTTTCAAGGATAGAAACTGATTCGTAGTCGATATTAGCAAATTTCTTTTCTTTCCTGAGCCCAACTCCTGCTCAATTGATCATTGGAACTCACAATCGATTCATATGAAAACGCGGGGTGTGTGTGTAAGTTTACTGTAAGCACGGCTAGCTCCATCTGTACTTACTTATCTAGAGGGGCAGCGGAGACGATTTCTTGGCGCTGCGATTAGATAAAATGCAACTACTGTAACTATTACTCTATGTAGGTATGCATGTATGTATATGGATTTTGCTTACAGGAGGTTGATACCTTGAATATATTCAATTGATGATTGTGTAATATGAATAATTTATCTAGACCTGACCCGGTAATTAACTATTGGGAAGGATTCCATGCGACTGAACTGACATGAATGGTATTAGTTGCGGTGACGTCAATGTTTTCCGATTGTTGTATATTCTACAATTCGTTTAATATTATCGATAAACGAAGCGGGATTTTCGAATGCGGGTGGGAAGGGGACAGTTTAGGTAATAAGGTATTCTTCACAGTTATAGAACGATGATTCTTAATTGGCGAGTTCTATTGGATGATTCTGTATTCATACTATGCTAGATAGTTACGTGTGCAAGGCTGATGTAAAAGGTATCAATCGCATTTTCATGATGAAGATCCGGATGGATGCTGGAATAGGTGCAAATGCTCAAATAAATCTGTACGCCCCGTCATAGAACCTGCATGATGAAACAAAGTAGTGAGCTGCAACCTAAATCAGAGTAGCTTCTAGCTGCTTTGCCACTATCTCCGTCTCTGTCTGTTTACCATTCTTTTGCAGGCCCTGTTGGCCACGACGGCCAGGAATGCCATGGCCACAGCCTTCTCCGCCATCTATATCCTCGGCGCTCCAGTTATCAAGCTCCCATCCCTCGCAGTCTTCACGGACACGCTGCTCAGTCTCCGCAACCGATTTGGCAACCCGTCTCTCGACTTCATCTTTCCAGGCCTGCTCGCGAGAGGCGCTGATCTCTTTTTCAGCAGCTCCATCTGCCTGGGCGTAATCTTCCGGTGCGGGTGTTTCGGAGGTCGCCTGGGCGGCCTGGTCGAGTAACAGACGCGATTTCAGCACGATACCGATCATCGCTTCCACTGTGTAGCGCGCATCATTTCCTGCATTGTGGAGATTCCATCCCGTGATTCCTAGGTCGAGAAGGACCTGTCCGAGAGAACGAGGATTCGTGTCACGTTTGAGAACACGGAAAAGAGTTGCTGTATCCAGCGCCTCCAGGAAGCTAGGCTGCACTACCTTCTGATCACCCTCCTTCGCAGGACTTTCTGGAGACTCAGGGTCATCCGCGAAGAGGGTACTACCCAAAGTACGGAGGTACTTGATGTCTGTTTGCGTGTCATGGCCGAGAAAGACGATATTGCGTGGATGCAGTTTGTACTCCGGCAGTACGCCCTCTACCACAATGCCAGAGCGCGCATCCTTTCCCTCAACCTCGTTGACGGCAAGTTCTATATGTCCCGAATAAGGGGGTTGGAAACATTCGTCGACGACTTTGACGATCTCACTGACCGAGACCCACTCACTCTCTCCGAATTCGAACTTGTCCGGACACCCTGCGATAAAGTCTTTGTTCACGATGTACGATCTCTCCTGGACCCTGAAATGACGAGAGCGGATTCGCGCCATCCAGTTTCTTCCACCCTCGCCTGGCGGGACACCAACGAGATCTAGAGTGTCCAATACAGAGACACCCACCTCAGTGATCTGGTCGTGGCAGCGCTCATTGGACTCGACATCCACACAGATGAAGATGGGCTCGTCTGAAAACGGAAACGGAGCTGGCTCATTCACATTCAGAGGCTCAAGGATCGTGCCGCAGGCTAGTCCGTACTCACGCTCCGCTTTCTGCTTCTCCTCCCAGCTGGCGCTCTCATCAAGATCAGGCGGAAGCAGACCACGAGGCCGCTGCGGACGGAGGCCAAGGTATCTCTGCGTCCTCCTCAGAGTACGAGACCATTCCCGGCGTTTCTCAATCTGGTTCTGCCGCTTCTTGGCCTTGGAAGCCTTTGTTCTATTCTTTGTGGCCTCCAAAGCAGCTTCAATCTTCTTCCGGAAGGCAGCAAATGAACGGTCTACCTCCGGGCTGCACCCGGCTGGAGGATTATGAGCATTTTGATCGTGAGATGCGGTGGAAGCGTTGTACTCTAACTGTTCCTTCATCTCTCGACTTGTGCATTGGCCCAGAAACTGGGGCTGCGGAGTCCCGTCCTCTTCAAATGGCAGCATCAGGCCCAGATGGACGTCCGTGGGAAGAGACAAGGTGCAATTAAACTCGTCGTTGATCTCGTCAATCAGTTCCTGGACTTGAATGGCAGGCACTAAGAGCAGGGGCCGAGTAGCCATATAAGGCGGGGGATGGATATGGTACCTGCGTGATTCATTAGCGGGTGAATGCTTTGACCACAGCCATTGATGCTGATCGAGGTGAATAACAATGAATTCCCGTGTGAGGAGGCATCTTCCTAAGGATTGGTGATAATGCACGGAAGTTACTCACAAGTTCCAATATCTCTTCCAGAACTTGCCCTCCGTAAAGAACTGCTGTGCAATGGCCTCTGAGGCCTCGCCTCGGAGGTATTTGTAGGGCAATCGCGAAACCGCCATTATCGGACAAAAGCAGCGAGAAAGAGGGAGATTCGAGAGATTATCCGTGACAGCCAAGTTTTGAGCGGCTATTTTGCGTCCATGACTCTTCCGTGCATCTTTTTTGCTGGGTTGGAGAGATGCATCCTGTACGGCTTCCTTGGCCTTGCGCTGTGCGGTGCGTTTGCAGGCTGAGAGATAGTCATCTGATTCTTCAGAGTCTGACATCACAGGAGGTGGTTCTGGTCCGAAGACTTCATCTGTAACTGGTTGACTCGATGCCTTTTGCTTTGGCTCAGCTGTCTCTGAGTGTGGTGCTGGGGCAGTCTCTGGGGCAGGAGTAGGGACTCGCTCAGGGACAGGATCTGGTGGGTTGGGCAGAGGCTCTTTGTAGAGCTGCACATCAGTAGTGAGAAGAGAGCTATCATGCTCAAAGAGAAGCTTCAGGCGCTCTGCTCGATCCATGGTGGACGCCGTGGGGGGATATTTGATGGAGATGGGACGAGATGAGAGGAGATGCTCGTAGATGTCGGGAGGACATGCAGGAGCCCGCTTGCTGAGAACAAACAGCTGCAAAAGTTCTACGTGTGCTACACAGAAATGAGTACACAATGTGATAATGCTGACATGCTCTGAAAGAGATCCATGCAAATAGGTAATCATTTGTGCAGATAATTCTCAGTTAATCAGTGTCAGCTACGAGCATTGGGAGGTAGGTAATTGTTGCATAATGGCATCGACTCTATGGATGATATTGCACCCAGAAACTCACAGTGATGAATATGAAGTGATTATTAACTTCTCTGGTATGCTATTGCCAGCAGTATTATTGTCAGCGGACGATAACATAACTCGAAGGAGAGGTCCGCCATCTGGTGGTGTGTCACTGATGGTCCAGATAGATCCACCAGGTTTTCTTTCTAATCGAATGCCTCCCAGGGATATACGGGGTATAATCAGAAAATAATCAGAATTCTATCATCTTAGATATATGATTTCTTTGATTACTATCAATTATCACTATGTTATTCCTGTATGATCACTACCTCCTACTTGTCGCTCGGAACAACGTCGACCCGACTCGCGCCGCCACCCAGCGCGTTCCTCGAATCCCGGAAGATGCGCATTGCTAGAGTCGTCGATCTCGTCCCTGTCGTGACTGCTTGACTGCCTGCTGATCTGCTCGCCTCTGCTGATGCGCTCGTCGCCGCTCCCTTGTCCTCCTCCCTTCATGAGCCGGCAGCTTTGACTACAGGACCTCAAGGACCGCACAGATGGTCCCGCTCATATAGGAGGTCTCAACAGCGAACGTCCCCCAGCTGATCTCTTGTCGTTTGGGGTGCCGCTGCAGCGCATGATCCGATCCATGATGTCGGACGATACAGACGACAGCGGCGAGCTGCTGCTCGATGGCCCCTTCGATCCAGACGCGCAGGCTACCGTCACCGACTTCATTGACTACACCGAATACCTCCCCGCGGATCTGATCCGTTCTCTCACCCTTATCCGTCAGCTGGATGAGAGGTATCTCGCCGCTGCGCAGACAGTTCACGAGTTGACAAAGACCTACGGACAGCTACCAGACATCCCTCCCGAGTCCCGGCCCAACATTCGTGCTCTGCGCAAGGAGATTTCGCGCCAGCTGGATCGCGCCATCAATGCGCGCGAGTCGGCTTATGCCGAATCCTGTCGCCTCTACGATGTCGTCGACCGTCATTTCGAACGCTTGGACTGCATCAAGAAGAAGCTTTATGCCCTTCCAAAGCCTCCCTCCCGCGAACCCACGCCTGCCCCTGCCCCCGTCTCTCCAGAGAACAAGCGCTCCAGAACCGGTAGAAAGGGCGAAGATGGCGCGTCGACCACGCGCATCACATTACGTGTGGATGGCCAAGATCAGAAGTCGAGGAGCCGCCGGTCGTTGCTTACTGGAGGACATGGCTTCAATCCGGATTCGCCCATTGCTAGTACAGAACAATCCGACGTGGAAGCGGAAACGCAAGGCTCTCTAGACACGAAAGTTGCCAAACCCAAGAAGGAGAAACAACCGAAACGCCCTCGAGCTAATCGCCCATCTGGAATGGGCACCAATGTTCACAGTTCGGTTGCCGGGATCTCAACCAGCAACGCTTTGGCATTGCTCAAGCCACCTCCAGAGGATGCCAAGATGGGAAGTGAAGATCTCCCATGGCTGCGCCTGACAGAGTGGGAAATGACCAAGCTCCGCAAGAAGATGAAGAAGAACGCGGTCTGGCAGCCAAGTGAAATCATGATCCATCGAGAACTTGCTCTCCGCGGACGTGGATGGGAAGGCTACAGGGCAGCCAAAGCGGCTGCGGAGGCGGACGGGACGGAATTCATCGACTGCGACGACATAATGAACAACTACGTGCCTGGAAAGCTCATCCGCAAGACAGAAGCTGGCGGAGAAGCGGCCGCCGTGGAGGAGACAAAGCTGAGCAATCGCGGTATGAAGCTGAACGAGGCCAAGAAGTTGAAGCGCGAGACCTTAGCCAGAGAACAAGCAGCATTGGCTGCAGCGGAAGCAGAGCTCGCTGCGAAGCGTCTCGGCGACATCGGCTCCACCTTCAAGAGCTTGTTCCCTACCCCTGGGGATAGTGCCCATGGTACCCCTGGACAACCAGGAACCTCCCAGAAGGCGAACGGTGCTGCAGGAAAGGAAAAAGAGAAGGCCAAGACCCCGAAGAAAAGAAAGCTCGAGGAGACTGCTGTTTCTGAGCCGTCGGCTCCCACTCAAGAGACTGAAGCAAAGTCCGCCAAGAAGCGCAAACCGAGCAAGTCTACGCCCGTTGCGACAAATGTTGAAGAAAATGCGGCTCAAGAGAAAACGGTTGCAGTCCCTGAGCCTGAGATTTCCACAACAGCTCCCGCGGCTCCCACTGCGCCTTCTAGTCCTCCGAAGAAACCATCTCCGGTGCCATCAGCAAAAGCACCAACTCCTCCAGCAGCTCCGTCTGTTCCATCTGCTCCGCCTGCAGCAGAGTCTGTTGCTGCTCCAGTCGCGCCGGCCGCGGCACCCGTCTCGAAGCCCACTACGACCCCAACTCCTCCAACCACCCGTCCTCCTTCCCGGCGACGCTCTGCTGCCCATTCTGCCGAGCCTGTGAGTAGCGTTATCCATACTGGCCTCCGAGAAGGGCTACGCCGCAAGAGTGCTACCCCAGCCAAGACGCCTGTCCCAGAGCCTATTCGGCCACCAAGTGCGCCTGCCACCACGGCAGCAAGTCGACGGAGCAAGCGTCCTGCCCCTGGTCCTGTGTCTTCAGGCCAGGACGGCGGTGCGGCCGTCAGCTACGGACGGAGAAAAGCCAAGCCAGCGAAGAAGAAGGCCACATCTCGAGAACCGGGCCCTCAAGAGAGCTCAGTCGCTCCCAAGGAAGATGTTCGCATTGACGAAGACGGCGTCTTAGAGGAAATAGATCCGAACGAGCCACGCTATTGTCTGTGTGGAGATGTGAGCTTCGGAACGATGATTTGCTGTGAAAACAACGATGTAAGTAATCATACCATTCCCACTTTTGACCAGCCTAAAAACAATACTAACTGTTTCTCAAAAAAGTGCGACAAAGAATGGTTCCATCTCGACTGCGTCGGTCTCTCGGAAGTGCCCAGCCGTACTGCCAAGTGGTACTGTCCCGACTGCCGTGTGAAACTCGGCAAGGGCCCCAACGGTATCGTCAAGGTTGGGTCCCGTCGATGAAGAGGCCTAGATGGCGGTTAATCGAGTTGGTTTTATAATAAGCGCAATGATACCAAGGGAGTTCGGTTTGAGAGAAAATGGCATGACCGGGATGACAGCGAGTATGGGTTCTCCTTTGCTTTTTTTTATTTGGGAAGTGCGCGGGTGATCGGGAGTGATGGAGTTTACTTCCTGTTTCGTTGGTGTCTAGATAGGTCGAGAATATGATATGACATATATTTCTTCGGGATATGAGTATACGTTGAACATCCTAACTTCGTACATACAAACCCACACTAACCTCCTTCCCCTTACCAAAAGCCATATATATCTGCTTCTACTTCAACTCCCACCTCCCATCCTGACTCACAATCTCCACCGACCGCTTCTCGTCCAGCGAGACCCGACCCGCATGCAAGATAGCCGTAGTGGCAATAGTATTTTTCAGCGTCGGTAGACCGCGCGCATCGAGCTGGTCAAGCGTCACGCGGCCCTCGTTCAGAGCCGTGACGGCATCGATGAATTTCTCGAAGCTGATGTATCCGTAGCCGGTTTGGCCGCCAAAGTTGCCTTCCTCGTCGGGGGCATAACGCATGTAGAAGCTGCAGATCGCGTAATTAGTAATTGGGAGCGTTGCAAGAAGGAGAAGAGGGGGTTGGACTTACGGGTTGAGCCAGATGAGTTGGCCCTGGTCGTCATCGGTGAGGTCGTAGCCTCTCTTGGCTTGGTTGATGCGGATTTCGCCCTTGGAGCCCATCCCTGTGTTGGGTTTTTATTTAGTGATTATTCTTTTCCCTTTTTTCTTTTCTTTCTTGCTTTCTTTCTGTGGGGAAAAGCAAGGTTTCGTAATATGAATGGATGATACGCACAGTGAAAGTACTGATTCGAATGAACACCCGCCTTCTGCGGCGCCGTCCAACTAGCCGTATACACGCCCGTCGCGATCTTGGACGGATCATTCTTCTTCCTCCACTCGACAAGCAGCGTGATAGTGTCTTCCGTCTCAGGAACACATCCCAGATCAACAGCAGTGCCCTTGGCTGCTGACGCGGTGACCTTGACCGGCGTATAATCAGGCACCATGGACTCGCAGATATCGACGTGATGGGAATTCAGATAGTATGAGATATCACTATCCTTGCCGGCCCAGGCTTTGAAAGTCTCCAGTTGGCTTTTCGGTTGGCTCATGTAGCTGTAGAAGTAGTTGAAGTCGCCCAGGGTGCGGGCTTTGGCTCGCGCATCCGAGTAAGCGGGATCGAAGCGTTTGTGGTGCTCGATGAAGACGAAGACGCCATGTTTTCGGGACTCCTCGAGAAGGTTGAGGTGGTGGGAGAGTAGCTTTGTGGCGGGCTTTGTGATCAGGACGTGGATCTTGCGCTGAATGGCGTATAGAGCGATTGGGTAATGGGTTGTGTCGGGGGTGAAGATGGTGATGGCCGAGCCGGGTTCGAGGGCGTCAATGGCCGTCTTGTATGCTTCGGGATCCGACTTGTCGTCGGCGGGGAATGATTCGAACGAGACGTCTAGACCGTTGTAGACTTCTGAGATGTTCTTCTGCAGATGCTGTTCTATAAGTATTGCCAGGGTGTCGAGGTCAGTTCAAAATCCATGCTGACTCTTCAACTATTTTTTGCTTGGATGGATGGGTTTGCAACTGACTGATAGCTGGGAACTTGTGGCCAGACACTCCGACCATGCTCAGCTTGCCCACTTTGCCTCGTCGTCGAAGATCGAAGAGCGTCAATCCAACAACGCCAACTTTCTTGTCTGAGCCGGAAGCTCCTCCACCAACGAAGCCGGTGGTGTACTCTCCTGTGCCCACCTGTTCGCGATCAGCTCCTGTCCGTAAGAAAACGAGCTGGATGAACAAACGGTTCTAAACTCACCATCAAAACATCGGGAGGCGCCATTGTGTTAGTGTCCCTCTTCGACTATCTTTCTATCTGCAGACGATACGGATCTTCAACGGCAAGCTGTTTGTTGCGGGGGAAGCCCAAGAGCAAAATACAATACTGTACTGGCTACGTGACGGGAAGAGAGAGAGTGCGGGGAAGGAAGAAAAGAAAAAAGCTGGAGCTCAAAACTCGTGTCGCGTTCAATGCTTACATTTTATCTCTATCGACTCTGGTGAGATTTATTCCTCCGGCTATTATCGACACCTTCGTGGACTGGACGGCCGTGTCGCTCACCCAGGGACGTGAAGCGAATTGGTTGCGCGGAAAAAGTCGACTTTTGGATTCCGCCGTTCAATAGCCGACAACTAATTGATTACTGACCAATTAACTTGGGTAGCAGGATAAAAGGAGTAATTCTTGTATGCCTGTTGTTTAATGAACCATGTTGTTAGTTGATTGATGAAGTACCTGTCCATCTATGTGCACATACAAGAATGCTATTTAACTACTAGTTATCGATTTCCCCCTTCTAGATAACTCCAACCACCCATGGCAAATTCGAAATCCCTTCTATAATCCATTCAAAGAATCCATCGGCAATTGAAAAGGAAATCAATCACCTTAAGGCTTAAGCTCTCTCCCAGATGCTCCCCCACCATGACCCATATCCATTCCTACTGCCCCGCGACGCTAAGATAATACTAATGGGAAACTCAACGCTTAATTTCCTATTGGTGGAATAATTACTTTCCGTTCCCTGGAGATTATTCGAGGAGATCTGGAAAAGCATGAGTACAATCAGGTCAATCTGATGGCTTTTTCTCTTTGTGCCGATCATGATTTATTATGAGTCGGTTCGTCGCTTGAGTTCTTTTTTGCCTAATGTTAATAACGGGTCTGACTTCTTTGGGCGCAGGATTGGTCAGGAAGGACTCTTCCGGTGGGATGTAAGCGGGGTGGTTGAAGTTATATTGAGTGTAAGGATAGATAGAGTACTCTATACTTATTACTCAATGCGAACGGTGTTGTTCCGGGACCCGATATGCCATAATATATCGTTGTATTTAAATATCAATCGCCCAATTTCCCGTCTTATTTTCTTTCGTTGTCTCCTGGATTATCATCCTCAAATCATACCAACATACAGAGTTACTTACTGTAGGTGAAGGAGCGGCAATATGTCGTATGATCACATATAAGCAGATATCGAATCGCTAACGCTCAGAATAGAACATCTAATTCCTAATCCAACATGACCAACAAACCGCGAACTCCTCTTCGCCCCGGAGTCTACGCTCCCACCGTAACCTTCTTCAACCCGGACACCGAAGACCTCGACATCCCCTCCATCCGCAAACACGCCGTCCGCCTCGCCAAAGCCGGCCTCGCCGGTCTCGTCACCCAGGGCTCCAACGGCGAAGCCGTCCACTTAACCCGCGAAGAGCGCAAGACAGTAACGCGCGAGACGCGCTCTGCGCTCGACGAAGCCGGCTTCCACAACATACCCGTCATCGTCGGGGCCAGCGAGCAAAGCATCCGCGGCACAATCGAGCTGTGCAAGGAATCCGCCGACGCAGGCGGAGAGTACGTCCTCATCGTGCCGCCGAGCTATTACCGCACGGCGGTGGGGAATGATGATTCGCTATATGAATACTTCACCGGCGTAGCGGACGGGTCTCCCCTGCCTGTGATTCTATATAATTACCCCGGCGCAGTAGCGGGGATAGATATGGATTCAGACTTGATTATTCGGATTTCGCAACATCCGAATATAGTCGGGACGAAATTCACCTGTGCCAATACGGGCAAGTTGACGAGGGTAGCGCGGGCATTGAATGCTATCGTTCCTCCCTCTCCGCTCGTGGACAACACGGACACGACGTCAGCGGAGAATAATCATCCCTACGTGGCGTTTGGCGGCATGGCGGATTTCACGCTTCAGACGCTCGTTTCGGGCGGTTCAGCTATTATTGCGGGCGGTGCTAATGTCCTTCCCCGGTTGTGCGTGCAGGTGTTTAATCTCTGGAGTGAGGGGAAGATCGCAGAGGCCGTCGAGCTTCAGAAGTTGCTGAGTGCGGGAGACTGGGTGCTCACGAAATCGGCCATTCCCGGCACGAAGAGTGCTATTCAGAGTTACTACGGTTACGGTGGCTATGCGCGACGGCCGCTGCGGAGACTCAGTGAAGATGAAGCGAAGTCGATTGCGGATGGGATCAAGGATGCGATGGATGTCGAGAACAGTCTGCCGGATTTTGGGGCTAACTAGGTAGGTAGATAGATGCCTTTATTGGACTGTGTATATAACCTCTCTCCATTCGACATCGTTTGGGCAGTCTATACATTTGACTGATAAATAGAGTTAATAATTAGTTAGCTGAGATTGTTCGGGAAGACCAGTATGTAGATAGATCTAGGATATCAGAAGCAGCTGCATCGATCAGTAAATAATATAGTAATAATATTCAATTATATTCCAAGACTCACCCCGCAGATCTACAGCCCTCAGCCCGTGCCCTAAGCCCTAAGACAATAACAGCTCTCGCCCGAGTGACTTTAACCCCGCGTCGATCAGACTCGATTATTATTAATCACAAATATCCACGAGTTAGATTCAAGATAGATGATACCATTTAACTATAAATAAGCGGTCTGTTCGTAATTTTTACTATACCGCTAAAAGCCGCTAGAACCTTAGAGAAGCACTAATTGGTTTCATGAAGTATGAACAGCTTCTGTATTGGGAAGGTTATATAAGTCTTTAGGCGGTTAGGCGCAATTAGTGGTATCATGTAGTGGTAAATTGAGCTTTTTAACTATGTATGTATAAGGAGGGAGAAATCCCTTCTTGAGAATCGACTCCAATGACGCCGTGTAGTTTATGTTTACTAGATCTAAATAACATATGTACAATGGAGGAGTACCATTGAAAGAGTATATCTAGCTCTTTTTCACGACTCTATTATACACTAGGTATAGTCGAGGTAAAAGTTATAGTAGTTTGATGAATGTGAGAACGCCTTGCGATCCTAGAGCTTAGTAGGTAGTAGTATTCAGATTACACCGAATTTGGTATTGTGACATCTTAATTAGGCATTATTCTGCCGGCAGAAATGTTGGGCGGGTTTGGTTGGAGAAATAATCCTATTTAAAAAAACCTACTGTAGTTAGCTATAGCTAGTCCAACAGTCAAAGCACATCTAGACTCTCCACTGGGCCAATCCCAGAGACGGTATCACGGTAAAAAAAAAAAAGGGCAAAAAAAAAGCGCTCGGCGAGTACTCGGGAACCGTCGGACGGCATAGCCGCATAGACCACCATGAGGGGTAAATATCAAAATTCGGAGATGTACGGTCCCGCAGGGCGGCCTGAACCGTAATCGCATCGATGCCCCTCGCTATAACGGCTTGTTCCTGTTCTTCGGATTCGGCATGTCAGCAAGGATCCCAGAGCTTAGGGTGGAAGGACCTGTTCCCGGTGAAGGGCTGACTACGGGATTATTCCCGTATAGCGACAATCTGGTAAATAACTGGAAGGTTGCTGCTTCCAGGCTGCACAGTTCAGTATGATACGAAAGCCGCGTCCCTTGGGCCCATCGGCGGGGCATATCAAGCGGCTCCATCGCAAGAGCCAAGTATTTATAATCTATCGTCTTGTCGGCGGTTGCTGTGCATGAAGATCGGTCTTGTGTCTATCCGACTCCAGTGTAACTTTGGCGAGCGTCCCTATCTTTAGGTGTACTTGATTAGGAATCCGTAAGTTTCCTTTGTTCGTTTTGCATCGCTCATCGTTTTCTGCAGCTTCTGTGCCCCTGCGCTGTCTCGCTGCGGCTTGAGGTACTTAAACAAGCTGTTGATCCCCCTCTTGCATGCACCCAGGCCAGAAGAACAGCACATCCCACTGCCAATACGCCCCTCGTGCAGATCCAAAGCGCTGAAGCTCTAGTTATCTCAGGAGATACAACAAAAATGCCTTATCCCGAGGAAGCAGAAGGATTCCAGGTCGACAGCCCTGACAGCTGGACCACCTTCCACAAGCGTTATGTGCGTGATTCCTCTCGATCCCAACATGCGCGTTCGACGGTATGCTGACAATGTCGGATGGCTGTAGTTCCCTCTCAACCCGTTCGGCGACTATGGTACGTTACAGCGAACCAGCAGGATAGAGCCTTTCGACCCATGGGAGTGGTCGCTAACCTAGACCTCACCAACAGATGTCGACGTCAAGATCGAGGCATGCGGTATCTGCGGTAGTGACGTTCATATCATTAGTGGTAAGTTTTAACAACAAATATGACAGTGTCAGAAGCAAACTGACAACTGCTAGGTGGATGGGGAAAGCAGCACTTCCCTCTCTGCGTCGGCCACGGTAAGCTCTCCTCCAGCTCCAGTCGACAGTCATAGAAAGCTAATATTCCATTGAAGAAATCGTTGGTACGGCGATCCGCGTGGGCCCCAAGGTGACTCTCATCAAGGAGGGTCAGCGCGTTGGTGTCGGTGCCCAGGTCTTCTCTTGCGGAGAATGCAAGCAGTGCAAGAACGACAACGAGACGTACTGCCAGTACAAGCTGATTGACACCTATGGCTCCAAGTGGCCTGAGACTGGACTCGTCAGCCAGGGCGGTTACGCATCCCACATCCGCGTGCACGAATGGTGGGTGTTCCCCATTCCGGAGAAGCTGGAGACCACCATCGTTGCTCCTATGCTGTGCGCTGGTATCACCGTGTTCTCTCCCCTGGTGCGGAACGGCTGCGGCCCGGGCAAGAAGGTCGGTATTGTCGGTATCGGTGGTCTTGGCCACTTCGGTCTGCAGTTCGCAAAGGCGCTGGGCGCTGAGGTTTGGGCTATCTCCCGTACCAGGGCTAAGGAGGAGGATGCCCGAAAGCTGGGAGCTGATGGCTTCATTGCCACTGCTGAAGAAGGATGGGAGAAGCCTCACCGCTGCACATTCGATCTGATCGTCAATGCGGCCAACTCGACCAAGAACTTCGACCTCGCCAAGTACCTTTCCATGATGGATGTTCACGGCCACTGGATCAATGTTGGTCTCCCCGAGGAGGAGGGACAGGTGATCAAGGCCCAGCACCTGATCAGCAATGGTGTTTTGATCGGTGCCACCCACCTGGGAAGTCGCCGTGAGATGCTCCAGATGCTGCAGCTGGCGGCCGACAAGAACCTCAAGGCCTGGGCTGAGGAGGTCCAAATCAACGAGGAGAACCTTGCTGTGGCTGTCCAGCGCATGAAGAAGGGCGATGTCCGCTACCGGATGACCCTGACCGGCTATGACAAGGTCTTCGGAAACTAGAATGCAGTATTTGCAATGAATGCACTGTACATAGCCCCTTGCTGATGACGATATGAACTCAAAGAAGCGGTCTAAGAATGAATAATCAAGTAAAGGATCATATAAAGCATGAAGACGACAGCATGTCGTGTAAATTGAAATATACAGATGTAGAGGAAACTATAGGAACGGGTTCTTTTATACTTGTGCGATGTTATCCCACAAGGTCCCCGGGTCTGGGGCGCTTATCTTGTCTTGTAGATGATTTGGCCGACCAGCGGATGTTTCAATCATAGTGCACAATTATAATAAATGGGGATATCCAGAAATACGAAAATCATTGCCAGCAAGAAGACGTGGTGTGCTCGAGTAACCAAATCATTTCACTTTCCGCTGTCCGTCCATCGTGGAGGAGCGAGCGGAAAAGCCAACGCCCGTCAGAAAGGCAATCCTCGTAGCGGCCCCGAAATAAACGAAGGCGACATTACCCCAGTCCATCTCCGTCCAATGGTGGATCTTCCAGTAGACATCAAGGCCCAGCGGAAGCAAGCTATACAGATGCCCGAAGTCCGCAATCAAGAGGCCTACCAACAGCGCACGCCAGACACGGACATCATCTGTGACTCGCAACACGATGGCTTCGTTCAGCGCAAAGAGCAAGTACAGATTTGCCAACTGTCGCAACACGACCTCCGTGCCCACGGGGATATCCAGCAGCGGGGCTGACCGTAGATCCGTCAGCTGGAGGTACGCTTGGGGTCGCACTCCCGCATAGAAGGCCCCTATAAGGCTGAAGAATGGTTCCACGTAGAGCAGGAAGATGCGATAAAAGATCGGGATCCGCTGGCAGTGAGGGGCCATTATTATTATTATCGCTGCAACGTTGAAAAGACGGGCGAACCAAACGCAATGGATGCCAGCGCAAAGGGTGAGGATTTCGTCTCTCCCAGTCGGAGCGGTCTGTGATCGGGATGCCTAAACGAACGGAACAGGACAGGTCGGAAAGAGAATTCGACAAGAACCATGGGACTGGCTGGCGGTGTAGTCGGGGTTGACGTCTTGTCTCGATGACCACAAATGAAGCCGCGAGAACGATCCCAGGGAGTTGATCCTCTCCGCCACCGCCGCCCGTTCTGCCCCTGGCCAACTTTTCTCGCCGCCCCGGGCGTTCGCCTTCAAAAAACTAGTTGTAGGCAGCTTATCCGGGGTTGACCTGCGCTCGCCCTGCACCGATCTTTTTCTTCTGACCTCACGTCGCCGCTCTTTTGTTGTTCATGGATATGGTATCCGCACCCGGGTTTGGAGTTCTACGGTCCTGGTCGATTATTATTATTCTTTAGCGGTCTGCGTCTTTCGCGGGGAGGCATATATCGCCCGCTACCCTGCAGCGCCCCTTACATTGCTTTACGACCGTCTTCGAAACCTGCGCATACGAGCCGGTCTTGAGGCCAATTTCCCAATTAATATTTAATATTCCACTGCCACGAGCCGTCCTGGGAGACCGCACGCGCTCCTCCACGCCCCCGTTTCCCAGCCGTCTTTCTATCACATCACCAGCCATCTCGACGGCATGTCTCCAACAGATGGGGCTGTCGGCCCAACGACGCAGCGGCGAAGGTCGTCTGTGATGCTTCGAGTCCGTCCTAGAACCGCTGTTTCCTCTGCTTCCCCTGGAGCTTCTCCACAGATGCCCGCATGGCCTCCGTCAGACAGCTGGAATCCGTCCCGCGAGGTCAACCGTCGAGACGCCGCTCAACACTTTATGGACGAGCAGACTACACAAGCGGAGCGATGGGAGGACCATGACGCATACAACCAAGAGGGCCCATATAATATTGCACATGCGTTGGAGGAACCGCCTGCGTTCGCAGAGCCCGGTTCTGGGCATCGTTCCGGGCATCGTTCCGCTAAGAGCTTTTCAAGCTTGCGTCACGGTGTTGATGGCCTACGTGCTCTTGGACGACGGCTTTCCGTGAGTCTTCGCAGTAAATCGTCCAAGCACGGTCTTCGCGTTCCGCTCGAAGAAGGTCCAGAAGATGAATCAGCCGCCAGGCGTCAGTTTTATGGAAGCTGGGAGGGAAGATCGCGGACGTCCTGGTTCAAACACCATGGTCTCCATCGTCGACCATCTCTTCCCACTGTTACCGCGCTACAGAGTTTGTATGCTCCGGCCGGTTATGTTTTGGCACCTATTCCTGGCAATGGCACTGAGCCTCCAGTTCTTCCGGATGGTCCGTTTGGCGGTACTGCCGCGCGGGCTGCCGCAGCAGCTCAGAACGAATTGACGAATGCCGAGCGTGCAGCAACCAAGGCTGACTCGAAGATTTGGGATGGCAAAATCACTAGAGACTCGGAGAGTGGGATCGGGATTGACTTGCGGGACCGCTCCGAAATGTCTGACGCCGAACTGGCAGTCGTCCGCATAGGTAAGACCTTGTCGAATCTGTTTCATGACGAACATGGCTTATTGAGAAATTTATAGACCCAGTAGAGTATCTGCCCACCGAAGTCATGGCTCAGGTCCTTTCATGTCTTGACCCAGAGTCCCTCATGAACGCTGAGGCTGTCTCGCATGCTTGGCGCAATGAGGCGTCCTCTCGCCACGTTTGGAGGACTGTCTTCCGACGCGAGTTCGGACCTCGTCGCCATGAGACATCATTAACAAGGCGGAAGACACAGTCGGCTGGTCTGGGGAAGACTTTACCTGACCAGGACTGGAAGCGAATGTTCATGGTGCGCCAAGCACTGGAACATCGTTGGAAGGAAGGAGAGGCTGCCGCAATTTACCTCCAAGGACACAAGGACAGTGTTTATTGTGTCCAGTTCGATGAGTATGTATCCCATCTCCCAACAGTTCGAACCATATATCTAACTATATCTTAAGACACAAGATCATCACAGGTTCTCGTGATCGGACCATACGTGTATGGAACGCTCATTATCCTTGGCAGTGTCTGAAGATTATCGGTCCTCCACCAGGAGACTCAGCTGGGGTGGGACCAAATGTTCTTATGAACCTCACAGCGCATTCTTCAGAAAAGTCAAAGTCACCAATCGTCACAATCTGCCCTCCTTCCAAGCCAACAGCGGGTCTCGTTGCGCCCCTGGAAGAGTCAGGCGATTACCACAGTGCTTCCATTCTCTGTTTGCAATTCGACGATGAGATCATGGTCACTGGTTCCTCTGATTATACGTGCATTGTATGGGATGTGAAGAACGACTACAAGGCCATCCGTCGTCTCGAAGGCCACAAGGCTGGTGTTCTGGATGTCTGCTTCGATGACAGATATATTGTCTCGTGCTCCAAAGACACCACCATCTGCGTGTGGGACCGCCATACTGGTGAATTGGTTAAGAAGCTACTAGGTCATCGTGGCCCAGTCAACGCAGTGCAACTGCGCGGTGACCTCGTCGTCTCCGCCAGCGGAGATGGTGTAGCAAAGCTGTGGAACATCACCTCTGGGCTTTGCATTAAGGAATTCCCCAGCAAAGACCGAGGTCTTGCTTGTGTGGAATTTAGTGAAGATGCACGCACCATCCTCGCCGGCGGAAACGATCAGGTGATCTACCAGTTTGATGCCAACACGGGCGAGCTGGTCAACGAACTGAAGGGTCACGCTGGCCTCGTACGGTCGCTGCACCTGGATGATATGAACAACCGTATCGTCAGCGGAAGCTACGATATGAGCGTTAAGGTCTTCGACGCCACCACCGGCGATCTCTCAATCAACATGGGAGGTTGGACGACCAGCTGGATGCTGAGTGCTAAATCCGATTACCGACGCATTGTTGCCACGAGTCAGGACTCGCGGGCAGTCATCATGGATTTTGGGCATGGTTTGGATGGGATCGAGTTGCTCGAGGAGTAAAAATAAACGGAGCATTCTTTTGTCATTTTCTTTCTTTTCTTTGGTCTTAATAGCTTGGTTCCTTTTTGGCGATCTACCGGCAGCACACCCGATCTCGGCAATCAGCCGTTTCTATTGCATTGTATCTCATTTGTCCACTGAGTGGATTGTTTAATTTCTCAGTCGATCTTGAATCTCGACCCTGAATAATAGATAAGCGCTTGCTGTTCAAGAGTTGTACATTAATTACATTATGTCGTTCCACGTCGAATCTAGATACTTGCATCGGCGGTACTTGGTTGTTCTCAGAAATATAGATTGCAAATACATCCCTCCCTTGGTATAATTATTTGTCGTAAAACGCCATCAGGATAAGAATGGCAAACAGAAGAGAATAATGATGCCAGTGCTTTCTGCTCCGGGCCTTAGGGGGAAAGCCCACGCTGATTGGCTGCGGTGTTTTAGCGCCTTGCAGAGCCCGTGGTTTTGTTAACGCAACAAACAAATCTCCAGCTACTTCATCTTCACACAGCGTCAACAATAACAAACGCGCTTAGAACCAGCTGGTTGTGCCGTTCTCTTGTTCTATCCAGATATCAGCTTATCTGGAACTGTCACGCGTATTTACTTTCCTGCCGAGCCCGAGATCAGGTGCACTTCTACCCCGCCATGGGTGAATCAAGGTATGACTACCATTTACCCCTGGGGACCCCTGCGTTAGCATATGGTTGTGCTGTTCGTGTTGTGGTTTTGCTCACTGTCTTGTGTAATTTACAGACAAGAGCTGCTGGCATGGTTGAACAACCTGCTGCAGCTCAATATCACGAAGATCGAGCAATGCGGAACTGGGTACGACTTGCCCCTCCTATCCTTCCTAGAACGACATCGTCTGTCGGACAGATAGCATCGGACCAGCCTTTAGACCGTTTTCGTGGGGAATAATCGAGCATAATGTCTGGGAGATTGTTGGAGTGAGCAGTATCTGACAATATTTCTGTTTAACAGAGCCGCGCTGTGTCAGGTGTTCGATTCCATATACTGTGAGTTTTTCTAGACTCGGCGCAAGCGGATTCTAGCCGTATTCCGGAGTGGAATGCTCACAGTTGCCTGTCTGCAGTGGATGTCCCCATGTCGCGCGTCAAGTTCAACGTGAACACCGAGTACGCCTACATTCAAAACTTCAAGGTCCTCCAGAGTAAGTGACTTCCACAACGAAAATCATGATATGTTTTCTTCCCGTCTTCTGACAACTCCTGCCTGCACGATCAGACGTTTTTCTCCGCCACCAAATAGACCGCCCCATCCCCGTTGAGCAGCTCGTCAAGTGCCGGATGCAGGACAACCTCGAGTTCTTGCAGTGGACCAAGAAGCACTGGGATCAGTACTACCCGGGTGGTGACTACGACGCTGTCGCTCGCCGTAAAGCCTCCGGTGCTCCCTCGTCGTCTGGTGGCTCTCGTGCTGGCGCGACTTCGGCGGGTGCAGTTAGGCGGGGAACTACCCCGACAACCGGTGTTCGTCGTCCGGGTGCTGTCGGCGGACCGAATACCGCTGCTCTGCAGCAGGAGATTGCTCAGCAGAAGGAGGCTATTGCGGGACTAGAAAAGGAGCGCGACTTCTACTTTGCCAAGCTGAGGGATATTGAGGTGCTGTTGCAGACCGCTGTGGAGGCTGACCCTGAGCTGGAGAAGGAGGAAGATTCGTTGGTGAAGCATATCCAAGGGATTCTGTACTCGACCGAGGTATGACCTTGCCGCTCTGTTCGCTGTTCATTATGATAAAGTGTCGTTGGAGTTGACTTTCTTTGCTGACTGATTCACAGGAAGGATTCGAGATTCCTCCCGAAGCGGAGGAGGCAGCGGGTGAGGAGCTGGAGACCTTCTGATTTTCCCGGCAACTGTGCATCACTATTAATACCCCGAATCATCCGTATCCCCTTGGCCCTTCACTAACGACATCCATTCCGCATCATCATCATCATCACAGCTCTCGTTTTGCCCGGCTGCTTCTCTGATACATTTCTGCATTGGCAAGCGTCTGGTGGGAGGAAATAAGAACCTAGCCCCAGACCAGGTGATCCTGCACCTGTCTGTAAAGAGATAGGAGCAAAAATACAGACGGTTCTTATCTTGGTAGATATGTCTCGTGTACCTAGGTATCTTTCCGGATCGCTGGAGAGAATCGATAATATAGACTTTAAGCTTCCGTCGGGATCTCAGCGCATTTTTCACATATTGCAGTCCAAATATCGAACAACATCCTGCTCATTAGCAAGTTCCACAATAAACCCCCTCCACCCCTGTGTGAAACCAGCTACACATTTTACCTGGCCTAACAGACAGAATCTACTCCGTACGAGCGTGATTCATTCGTAAAAGTAGAATCAAACACCAAATGAAAGCCACACTCATATATGTAGCTCTAACAACGGCCCGGAAGGCAAAACTGACTAGATATACTAGTCAGTTAACTAGAACAGTATAGCAACTATAGTTTGACTGATTGACTACTACTAAGTTAACAAAAAACGGTTAAAACCTCATGCCCCGAACTTTTGATCGAAAGGAATGATCGACAGGAATCCAGAACTGTCGCGTGATCTTCTAGTGTATTATATAGCAGTAGTGCTATAGCTTAATACAGCCTCATTGTAGAGTTAAGTTAAAAGCAGGGATTATTATTATTATTATTATTATGAAGTACTCTTGCATTGCTGAGGCAAAGCCAAGACAAGCCAAGCTAAGTTAAGCTAAGCCGTTTGATGATGAGAGAAAAGCAAACAAAAGAAACAAAGAAGAACGAGAGAGAGAAAGAAAAGGAAGAGAAAAAGGGGCTTGGACCAGCTAGGGTAGGGGGGATGTTCGGCCACGCCCACGTGCGGAAAGGGGAGGGTGGATTGAATTACTCTCTGGCTTAGATATTCTGATATTATTATTGTTGTTGTTATTGTTATTATTATTATTATTATTAGTGTAGGGAAATGAATATAACAAGAGTAGTAATAAGGAACGACGCATTCCATTGGATAAATATAGTTTAGATCTTATTTTATATTTGAGAGTACTAGTTATTATTAGTTAGTAGTGGTTACGTGATGAGTGTGTCTCTTATTCTTACTTGAATAAGAAGATGATGTTGTTTCGCGCATTCCTGGTGTGGAGAAAAGGTTGGTATACCATACGGAGTACGGAGTAAAAATACTCGACGAAATGTTCGGTGGGCAAATAAATCCTTGGCGATTATTTGTTCAAAACGGGGAACACGTGACCCGGGAGGCTTGCCGTGATCCTATTATTATTCCGGCCGTCGCACATGGCTGGAAGATGGGAAATTAGTTAATTGGGGACCTAATAATAATCAAATCCCCGCGTTGCATTCCCATCAGATAGCCCGATGGGCTTCTGCTCGATGTATGTATCTATTTTTCGCTCTCCGTCCCCATCGTATGATATATGATGCTTGGCTAGAAGAACTATTGGAAGTATAAACCCCCGTTCGAAGGTAGCAAATCGCCACTGGGGAGCAGGGCAGCATTTTCCTTGATTGTGGCCGACGGGCTGGACAGGCATCGACCAGACCGGAGAAAGTGACGGGCCGGCATGTGCAATTAAACATGGCCCCCAATGGGGGATAGTGCTGCTGTGTGCAAGCCCTAAGCCCTCATGGCGCCGACGCTTCCCGCTCGCTAACAGCGCGCTAGAAGAGGCGCTAAACGGCAGCGGGAATAGCCTCCTCCACTGCCTCCACCATGTCCACGACCTGGGCTGCCGCGAATGACCCGCAGCCCGCGATGGCGCATCTCGCCAGCGGGCCATCACCAGCGTCTCGTCGCCCGTCATCAACCACTCAGCGCGCTCCCTCCCCGTTCCTGACAGAACGACGATCTTGTTCCTGGCCTGGCTCGTTCGCTGTCCGATCTCCTGCGTCTTCTCCGCCAACATCGAGCTCGGACGTCTCGTCTCCTCGTTGTGACAGACGCTCCTCGCGCACCTGAACGAGGCAGAGGAAGTGAGTCTCGACGGACAACCGCCCGCTCAGGACGAAGGGCTTTCGTTGACGCTGTGGAGGTCTCGAGGAAGAAAAAGAAGAAGAAGAAGCAGCAGCGTCTGAGCCAGCAACCAGTCTTTTCGACGGGTCCCGTCGTGGGACGTTCCAGAACCGGACGAAACAAAACAAGGCCAACCCAGCCAGCCAGCCAGACGGACAGACAGACACTGCGCTGCCCATCGAGGCCGAGCTTCTCTTTTCCTCCCCATCTCTATCACAGGCGCCTTTGCAGGATGCATTATTAGGCCTTTCTGTCACTCATTACAGGTATGCTGCGTCCATGAGCACCCCATCAGATCCGCGCTGGGCGATCCGTTGGTAGGTTCAGACTGACCCGGGCATTGGCCCTGGTATAGCTTCATTAACGTACGGTCGTTCCTTTTATCGTCTGTTATACGGTGACGACCGACATCCACTCCTTCGAAAACGCCTTCTGTTCTGATATTGCCATCGGGATTATCGCCTGCATCGATTTGCGGCATCCACCACTCGCTTTTCCACCGTGTTGATCTGGATTTCCACTTGCCTTCTACTTCGTGTTGCCTACGGATTTTCGGAGAGCATTTTTCGAACAATTGGAGCCGCAGTGGCCCAGGACATTCCTTGAAAATATCTTGCTTGACTATCTTTTTCTAGCGATTCTGGCGTGTAGTCCAGGCAGACACACCACATTCGCCCGTCGCCAATCTGTTGAACTGCCGCCAGATCAAGTCTCTAAACGTGCAGTTTGGAATATCGGAAAAGGATTTGGCTCGATTCTCCTGTACCGACATTGCTTTTCCACGACGCATTTTTCGAGAGACCTTTGTGAGCTTTTGACTCGGTTGAGACCAAGATTTGATGGTCAGAAGACCCGGGGGGTTACTCGCTCCCAAGATGAGTCGGTATGGGAGGAGGGCGAGGCATCCTCACGTCAGCCCTGAAATGAAAAGGAGACTGGAGTTGGAGAGACGCAGGGACGAGGCTGCATCTGCCATAGAGGGAAAAACAGATGATGTAACGGAGACGAAGCATGGTGGGAACCCCAATTTGGACCCTTTGGAACCTCGCCAGATGCAAGAACAGGACGAAAATTCTGTGACGACCGCTGTGGTTACCGTTGTGGATATTGTTGTTGACAGTGGCTCTCGTACAATAGGACAATTCACAGTTCCCACGCTGCCTGCGACAATTTCGGACTCTTCCCTCGGCTATTTCACCATTCCGTCAGACCTGACCACTCCCATCATCGTGTCGTCTACTCCAGCGTCTCCGGAAACTGCAACTTCTACACCATCTGGAAACTCTGGCTCTCCATCCCCTTCAGTGACGCCGACACCTACCCGGGATAGTCGACTTCCTACGCCGTCTGACCATTTCTTTTCGCACATTCCGTCCTCTTCACGAGCGATTCCTTCGCCAAGTGCATTATTCTCCGGTTCTTCATCTGTTTCATCCGCTTTGGCCACTTCCGCTTCATCTGCTTCAACCTCAATCTCGACATCGGGTTCCAGATCGTCAATTTCCACCATTCAGTCTGTTCTATCTTCCTCGTCTAGCAGTGCATCTTCCTCCGGCGTGACTTCCAGTTCTGCGCAGTCTAGCACATTCGGTTCGACAAACGGGTATTCCACCTCTGCAGCTACCACTGGAGCTGGTGCAGGCGCTGGTGGCTCAATCTCTGGAAGCGGAAACAGTGGACAGCCTTCATCAGGAGACGATTCAAATTCACAAGGCTCCGGTTCAGGTTCCTCTAGCGGAGTCAACACTCCCCGTGTAGTCGGAGGCGTCGTGGGGGGTGTGGCAGGTGCCTTCTTTCTGTTCCTTTTAGCACTACTTGTACTTCGGTGGAGAAAGAAATATGCTCATAAGACTCGTGGGGCTCTTGCGTCTGACGATGCGACAAGTGGTGCGGCCCGTTCAGAATCTGGTGCGCCGAATGCTGAGATGATGTCCCAACGGTCCAGCGTCACCCCTCTCGCAGCAGCCGCAGCTTCTGCAGGATTCTTCAATCGTTGGAGAAACTCGACGCAGACCGTGAGCACGCAAGATACAACGCCAAGCGAGCGAGGATTTCAGAAAATCTCAGGGCGGAAGATCCCCTCCGTGTTGCGTACAGGGGGTGATGGCTATGGTAGTGGTGGTGAGGAAGAAATTGTTCCTGGTGCGGCAGCGTCCAGCACGGATTTGTCCCCAAGGCCAGGCCATCTTGCGACTGCACCAACGATTGTGGAAACCACTGCTGAGGGAGATGAGAATTTTATTCCTTTTGATCGATTTGAGCCCCCCTTAAGTGCGTCTACGACTCGAGCAAGTGATGTGGACAGAATGGACGGGGTCTTCATGCGACCTTCGCCTGCTAGATCTCCGGTAGCAAGTACCGTCAACCTACCTGAGTCTGGTCAATCGCTTCCAACCCGTCAGGTAACTAGGGCTTCCTCTATACCGCGGCGACCTGACCTGGTAGGCAGGAGTCACCCAAGTTGGGATGGCAGCAGAGGCAGTCGATTCACTGAAAGTATCGACTGAGATTCCTTGGTGCCCCCAGCTTGAGCAGTGGCTTGCACTCTTCAGAGGGATGCTATCTGATCTTTCTTTCTCACTACATAATTTTTGCTCTGTGCATACGTGCTTTCAGCAACAGCTTTGATCGAACGGTGTCTACCTTTCTCCGCGCGCACGCACGTGACCTGCTGTCTGCTTTCGTCCCATTCTTGACCTCTTATATTCCTGGACGGATCTTGTATGCTGGGCCTTCGGTTGACACTTGTTCTTGAACCTAATATTCAGGAATCGCTGGCTGGGAGATTTTGCCTTTGGCCAGGATTGACCTTTTGGTTCGGCGTCATTTCCGTTCCTGATGGAAGAGACAGCAGGGCGATAAAGCGGAAGCATACCTGGTGATGGTTAACGGCCATCACCTGGTCAATCATCTTGAGACACGTTCAAAGCTTCTTTCTATTCTCTTCGCATTTTTGTTTTGAATGTCCGGATACCCAATTTTCCTCGAACCTTGTTCATCACTCTCATGACTTGTTTGTTTCATATTGGTTTTGGTTTCTGATCTCGTGTTCGAGTGTTTGGTGTACATGTGAGCACGTGGAATTTTTACACACACACACACACACACACACACACAAGGACGGCGCAGAAAGGCGGAGGTCTTTTGGTGTGTGCTTACTGTACAGTGTACTGTTTCCAGCTTCTTTTCGCTGGTCTACTACCGCTTTTTTTTTTCATTTTGTTGGTTGCCTTGAAACCCTCCCAAATAATCCAGGCCAGCCTGAATGGGCCGCGGCCTCATCGGATTGGGATGGATGATCTTCATGTCCTATGTGCTTGTGAGTATCGGCGAAAAAGTTTCATCGTCATCGCAATGGTACTATTATTTCCCTCGGATCAGTTCACTTTTACCTGAATCTGCCTTGCGTACGCAGTCCGTCGAATTCTTAGGTCCCAAGGCTCAATCGTGCAGCCTTCCCCGTATATCCCTCATTAACATTCATGTCTTTTGCCGCATATACCAGACTCCAGCCTCCAATATAATACACAGCCCCCCACAAAAAACGCTCTTTATCCCCCCGCCAAGACAGAAACACATCACGAAATCCCGCCGAGCAACCGTAAGACCCGGCCACGCTAGCAACATATACACCATCCGTCTTGGAACTACAGCAACTATGACGCCTACGCCTCATCAGCCTTTTCGCACGCATATTACGAACTAGAGTAGTTGGAATAAAAGCTCCACGTGAAAGAAACAGTACCGGGTCGAAGTTCATAGTGTGCGTCTCAGTCATTGAGTTTGACTTGGTAACTTGCCGCAGCTATAGAGACTCGGCTCAGCATGTCTAGTAGGTTTGAGCCAAGGTAGTAGTAGTGGTATATTCCCGCGACACAGCCTTGATAATGGAGACGATGAGGGAACGGTTGACGACGGATGTGGATACTTTATTTCTTGTCAGGGAGAAAGCGAGATGGAGATGTATCCGCTTAATGGATTCGGGAAGGAGTAAGCGGTCAGTCAGTCAGGCTAGTTAGTTAGTTTCTTGGAATCGGGGGTGGCTCTCGTAATGGGGGGGGGAAAAAGAGTTACAGAGATGGGCAAAATTCAGCATGTGAGACTTGGGAGGGCTGATGAAGATAGACTATAGGAATAGATCCATGCCAGCTAAGCCTACCTAGCACCTACAGATTAACGGGATGCGTTATCGTGGCAGCCTTGAAGTGGAAAAGGAAAAGGAAAGGAGAGGAAGGCTGAACAAACAGACGGGACCCAGCATATAGTTAGTCAATTTATCAATTATCAATCACTCAGTATTGATGTCAGGTGTACAAGGCATATTATAGCATACTAATGGTATTTGTTTACTTTTGACCTTTCTTTCTTTTTTCCGGAACTCTTTCGGGGTTCGTTTTTTGTTATTATCCAGGGATCTTTAATGATCCCAGATTTAGGCTTCTCAGGGAAGGTCTAAGCAAAAAGGCTCGACGGCTACTGAATTCAGTATTATTGACATACCCACTAGTTCTCAACTGGAAGGTTAAACAAAAAAAAAAGGCTCATGCACGATGCCTAATTATGCATAAGACCTTAAAGTTCATGCAGCTACCTACCTTAATCTACTAAGATAAAGTACCATAAGTCCGGTCAATGACCGTTAGATGACCGGGTCATATCTCCCACGAGGTTGAAAGCAGGATGTGGAGGCAAAAAGCCAAGCGAGGCAGTGCAATGCAACCAAGAGTCGAGTTCCGCGAATCATCGGGTAAGATACCATGAATGAAAGTTTTGCAGTCTCTATTTGCTCAAGCGATCTTTATGTGAGTGTGCGCGCCGAGGCAGATCTATATCAAAAGGATGGGGGCTTGGGATCAAGAGAGTTGTAGTCGATGTTCTTTATAATTGAGGCTATGCTGAATATAGTAGGTGAAAATAATCCTCCTGGGATTGTTAGGGCCTTGGAAAAGATACTAGGCCATGTGTTTCCAAGATGGGGGGATAAGGTTCTTTAAAACCTAGTCTGTTAACTGCGGCCTGCTATATCTCGGAATAGAGGACCAGAAGGCTGTATCCTTTGGTTTGATCTGATATGTTATGACTTTATGGAGATATATATTTGTCCAATCATATTGGTGGAAAGAGTGTTTTAACCGGTGCCACGGAGGGCTATGTTCTTTTAGCTTGCGGAATTGAGACGCCTAGGATACTGAACTTACAGTTCGATACGACTTATGTCTCGTCGTTAGATGGATGAGGCACTGTAAGATGTGTGCTCAACTCATAGGTAGGTAGTTACAGCCAACGCCGGCGGGTTTCTCCGAATCACGACGTATAGTGGCACCGCCACATAGATACAATATGAGGCGGTGCATGTGGCTTGTAAATGGAATATCGGCCAATGGTTAATCGAACAGAAGCAGAGAGAGAATGATCGTCATCTACTACTGCGGCACGGAGGACATGCTGGTCAAAGCTGCGACTATCTCCCGATAAATGGTGGGAATATTGAAACGGAGCGAACTTGGCACTCATTGTTGTGCTCGGGATTCGAGAGGATCAACGCTTCTACTGTCGATCTCAGCCAGAGGCATAGGCAACACTGACATTCATTCCAATTCTACCGATGAGCTTGTTTTACAGCTGAACGAGAGTCTGCCATGACTGTATCACTGCGGTCAAAGGATGATGACATTATGTACTGTACTGGTACATACATTGGCGCTTAAGAATATCCGTCAGGCTTACTATACTTCGTATAGCTAAGCAACATCATGGGAGGCAACATCATGTCGATGTCAGCTTACAGCGCCGAAGGATTCGTCGCCTCCAGACACTGTCGTTGCTTGTATCAGGGACACATGGCCGTACCAGCCTCAACGGTGCGCGGAGCATATCGCGGATGTCAAGAGAGCTGGTAACGAGGGTGGCTTCACTAGGTGGTGTTCCCCTGTGTATGGTATAGCAACGAGCGCACCATGAAGCGGACAGTGACCCAGAGAAACACTCGACTACAACATATCGTCTACTGGACATCATTACAGGATCGGTATGGCTTCTAGACCGGCCAATACGGGGCTAAAGCGCCATCTGCCCTGGGTGGTTGAGGGCCATTGGCTGTGCCGTTCCAGACTCGTTTCATGGACGCTTCAGGATGAGGCCCGTAATCATACTTGATATCTGGATGGAGCCTGGAGTCCTGGGCATGATAGCGTGGGAGCATCCGTCTCCAATATGAGCGGCAAAAGCCGTGCATTAATTCGTCATTACTTGTTGCCATCGCCTACACAGCCCCCCCGCACGGGGCATCTCAATCCAAGTTTCCACACTCTGGACCCCTATTATTTGTCCAGCACGGAGCATTACAGTGCATCAACGGGGCTCTATCGTGACCATATTCCGCACCGCATGTCTAACCTTCTCAGAATGCTCGGCGCTTTCTTCATCTGCTCTGCGGTTGATTTCTTCACAATAAACGCTTCTAGATAATGAATCGCCTTTCAACACCTTGAAAGGTAAACGCCCTTGGCGCCAAGTTGGTAGTAAACAAAAACTGTACTTGCTGCTACAGTACATATTGTTTTTGCACTGCCCCCGAACCAAGACTTACGGTAGAAGAGGCTCCCCCTCCCCAGGGCAAGGCTCTTTTCTGTTATAATTCTGCCTACATCGCAAATGTTATAAACTTCCATGGGTGATCATTTCCAATATCCTCGTCATCTCTGCAGATACGCCCGTTCCGACTATATCCACCAGCAAGTATGGCGGACGGAAACGATCAAAGCGGACCGCTGCGTCCTCCCGTCATATTTATCAACACAGAGGTAATTTCTCTTACAGTTGATGGAGAACCTACTATCTATGATACTGATTTCTGACCAGCAGCTATCGCCGCCCTCGGAATTACCCACTAGTCCTGATGTGGGATCTCCAACTCGGCCAGATACCAATGATGGCAGCCGGCTGACGGTCCATCATGCATACTCTCCTACTGTGTCTTCGCTAGATGGAGAGACCCTACGCTCGAGATCGGGCTCTTTTAATTCAACGGCGGATACAGTTGGGAGGTCGAGAGCCGGATCGAACGCAAACCATTCTATAAATGTTGCTTATGACGATGTATCTCTCTCTGAGGCGCTGGCACCAGATCATCGCAACGAGAAGGACTTCTATGTGGAAGATAACAAGTTTGCCTTCTCTCCCGGTCAACTTAACAAGATGCTGAATCCGAAGTCTTTGGCGGCTTTTCAAGCGTTGGGAGGGCTGAATGGCCTGGCACGTGGGCTCAGAACCGATCTCGATGCAGGCTTGTCGGTTGATGAAGGCCGGCTGGAAGGCTCCATCAGTTTCGAAGAGGCCACCGATCTGAAAACATTCAAGAGCACAGCTGACCACGAACTAAAATCCACCAACAACCAAGTGACTGGTGCTGTCTCGGATTCCCAGTTCGTGGATCGGATCCGTATCTTTGGCCGCAACAGATTACCTGAACGGAAGGGCGCGGGATTTTTTAAATTATTTTGGGACGCCTATAACGATAGAATCATCATTCTCCTCACCATTGCCGCTGTCGTGTCGCTTTCGCTGGGCGTATATGAGACAGTCGACGAAGGGTTCGGTGCTGATTGGATTGAGGGTGTTGCAATTTGTGTTGCGATCTTAATTGTCACGACGGTTACTGCGGTAAACGACTGGCAGAAAGAGCGACAATTTGCAAAACTGAACAAGCGAGTAAGTCAGATATGACGAAGAGTACCAATGGATGCTGACTAGTCCAGAAAAATGACCGCGAAGTCAAAGTTATTCGCTCAGGCAAGTCAGTCTCGATATCGATATATGATCTCACCGTTGGAGATATTCTCCACCTCGAGCCTGGAGATGCTGTTCCCGCGGATGGTGTCTTTGTCTCCGGCCATGGTGTGAGATGCGATGAATCCTCGGCGACTGGAGAGTCAGATCAGATGAAAAAGACCAGTGGACACGAAGTCTGGAAGCGGATTCAGGAAGGGACTGCCAATAAGAAACTCGACCCTTTTATCCTCTCCGGTAGCAGAGTTCTTGAGGGTGTCGGCACTTGCTTGGTGACCAGCGTTGGCCCGAATTCTTCATACGGCCGCATCCTGCTCTCATTGCAGACCGAAAATGATCCCACGCCGCTTCAGGCTAAGTTGGCAGGTTTGGCAGATTGGATTGGTGGCCTTGGTACAGCGTTAGTATTGTTGACACGTCGATATTGCAACAGCAGGCTGACACAGAATGTAGGGCCGCCGGTCTCCTGTTCATTGTGCTTCTCATCAGGTTCTTAGCGGAGCTTCCCGGAAACCACTCTAGCCCAGCCGTCAAGGGCAAAGAGTTTGTTGATATCCTAATTACTGCAGTCACAGTCATTGTGGTCGCTATTCCAGGTTAGTTTCTTGGATTGTGTGCAAGTATACAGCTAGCTGATAATCAACGCCAGAGGGCCTCCCGTTGGCTGTCACTCTTGCCCTAGCATTTGCTACGACACGCATGGTAAAAGAGAATAACCTTGTGCGGGTGTTGCGAGCATGTGAGACGATGGGAAATGCTACTGTGGTTTGTTCTGATAAGACAGGAACCCTCACCCAAAACAAAATGACGGTTGTAGCTGGAACTTTGGCTCGAGGCGAGAGCTTCAGCGAAGTTGGATCCGACAAGGATGGTCAGACATCTACGATGACCGCGCCTGAGTGTTTCAAGTCCTGCTCAGGGTCTGTCAAAGCACTGATAACCAAGAGCATTGCTCTCAACTCTACTGCGTTTGAAGAGGAAAGGGAAGGCCGCATGGAGTTCGTCGGTAGTAAGACCGAAGTGGCTCTATTGCAGATGGCCAAAGACTACCTCGCTATGGACGCCGCCGAGGAGCGAGCAAACGCTGAGATAGTCCAGCTGATACCATTCGACTCTGCACGGAAATGCATGGGTGTCGTCTATCGCGAGCCATCGGCCGGTTACCGATTGCTCGTTAAGGGCGCTGCTGAACTGATGCTGGCTCCCTCCACCGCCGTTCTGGCGGGATTGAGCGAGGGCAATGTCGCGACGGAACCGCTTTCGCAGGAGACTAGACAATACACCCTTGACACGATCAACTCTTATGCAAACGAATCGCTTCGAACCATTGGAATGGTGTACCGAGATTTCCCAAGCTGGCCGCCTAAAGGCGCTCGAACTCTTGAAGACGACCCTTCAGCAGCGAACTTCGAGGATGTCTTCAGAGAAATGACTTGGTTGGGTGTTGTTGGAATCAAGGATCCGCTGAGACCGGAGGTACCAGCAGCTATCAGGAAGTGTAATAGTGCCGGAGTCCAGGTGAAGATGGTTACAGGTCCGTATGCCTAAAATTTCATATTGTGTGATCGTCTTTGGGAACTAATCAGCTGCCACTTTAGGTGATAACCTGGCCACTGCTGCTGCGATTGCTAAGTCTTGTGGTATCAAGACAGATGATGGCATCATCATGGAAGGTCCCAAGTTCCGACAACTTTCAGATGAAGAGATGGATAACGTCATCCCACGTCTCCAAGTTCTAGCTCGCTCCTCGCCCGAGGACAAGCGCATTCTAGTTGCACGACTTAAGCATCTTGGTGAAACTGTTGCGGTCACTGGTGACGGTACCAATGATGGCCCTGCTCTTAAGACAGCCGATGTCGGGTTTTCCATGGGAATTGCTGGCACGGAGGTTGCGAAGGAAGCGAGTTCGATTATCCTCCTTGATGACAACTTCAGTTCTATAGTTACGGCGATCGCATGGGGTAGAGCCGTCAATGATGCCGTCGCCAAGTTCCTTCAGGTAAGCTTACTCACCAGACCTTCTTGGGACCTCTCTAACATATACTAGTTTCAAATCACGGTCAATATTACTGCGGTAGCCCTTACCTTTGTGTCCGCCTGCTACAGTAACTCAAACCAGAGTGTCTTGAACGCAGTGCAGTTGCTTTGGGTCAATCTGATCATGGATACATTTGCTGCGCTGGCCTTGTAAGTCTCCTGCTCGGACGTTACACTGGGGATTCATCTGACTTTCTCTAGGGCGACTGATGGTCCGACCGACACGATCCTGGACAGAAAGCCAACACCAAAGAATGCTTCGCTCTTCACGATGACGATGTGGAAAATGATCTTAGGTCAAGCAATCTATCAACTGGCTGTTACTTTCGTCCTATTCTTCGCTGGTGGCCAAATCCTTGGATACGATCTCAGTGATTCCCACAAACAACTTGAACTCAACACTATAGTCTTCAACACCTTTGTGTGGATGCAGATATTCAACGAATTCAACAACCGGAGACTTGACAACAAGTTCAACATCTTTGAAGGAATGTTCAAGAATTACTGGTTCCTTGGTATCAATTGCATCATGATCGGTGGTCAGGTCATGATCATCTTTGTTGGTGGTTCTGCCCTGAAAGTGACGCCGCTGAGCGGGCCTCAATGGGCTATCTGCATCATCTGTGCCTTGTGCTGTCTTCCTTGGGCTGTCGTCCTCAGGATGATCCCGGACAAACATTTCGCAGTCGTCTTCAATTTTGTGCTAAAATGCACAAAGTTCGTTCTGAGACCGGTTCTGAAGGTGCTCAAGGTTGTCTTTACTCCAATCGGCCGTGGCATTCATGCCATAGGATCTTCGCTGAAACGAATCACACTGCGACTCTTCCGCAAGGACACTGTTAAGAATCCTAGCGTTGTGGATGAAGAGGCTACAGCTCTCACTGATATGAGTCGACTCCCGACCCCTTCTTCTCGACTTCAGACTCCTGCTTCCGGTCCACCCATGACTCCTCCGACGACAGCTGTTCCTCCGATTACCGTCACTGCCGTTTGAAGTATGTCATATTCGCATTCTACCGCAGTGTTCCATGATATGGACCCATATCTCTTCTTTTCGTTTTTTGCAATCTTGAACTGTACAATAACCCCTGTCTTGTTTTTTTGTTGACCTGGGTCTCTTCTATCTCTGACGATCTGATGCTAAAAGTGGAACGTGTGAAATAGTCTCACACTTCCTTTCATGGTTTTATGCTCATTTACATATGCATAGCGAGGCGTCTTACTGGATAGTGGGACTGGGATGGCTATTTGAGATTTGCTATATATACAGCTCTTGTAAGATTAGGGTTGGCATTTTGATCTCGAGATATACATCCATGTGCATGAACAGATCAATGAATTCTTTTACTTAGAAATACATTGAACACAATAGTTTATTTCCCGCACTATGTTACTAGATGAGAGCTCCAAGTACAGTGCCCGCTTGGTTGGTTGGCACAGAAGATAATAATGTGCAATGTAGACACGAGTAGAGCGCCTATGGTACTCGGAAATAATCTGCCTGAGGCCACCAGGCGGCGTCCACCGCCCCGGCGGCACTCCAGCATCGACCAGCATCAACTCCGCTGTGCTTTCTGCCTCGCGCTCTCAGATTACATCTCCTCCACCTTCTCAATTCCTCTTTTCGTCCTCTTCTTGCAGCGGGGAAGGATTGCTTTCGATAGACTTGACCCCTTTGAAGCTCACAAGGCAGAAATCAATCCATCTTCTGCCTACGTCCTCCCGTCCCCGTACTCCCCACCACGTCACCGTACTTCCCCGCCGAAGTCGACACAGTACCATATACGACTCCGTTGCGATCCCGCTTTGTTGCTTCTTTACGTGGCGGGAAACACCTTCTACATAACCCGGTCTCCCTCTGCCCACGCCTACGGGTTTCTCGATTGGAACACCCCCTGAGTCCGGACTATCTCACCACCCTGACCTCCCAAGCTCAATAACAACAAAGAACTCACGCCCACCATGGCCCAAATAAACTATCGTACCATTAATGTCGACGTCCTAGACCCGGAGTCCTCCATCAACTTTCCCATGGAGACTCTGCTTCCGGGCAATCTCCCCCAGCCGACGACATCCAGCGCCGCGGCGAGCGTTGCGACGCAGGTCCGTCAGATGCTCCGCGGCGGAGACCCGGAGGGTGCGCTGTCATACGTTCTGGATACCGCGCCGCTGGGCGGCGATGACCGTGCGAAGGAGGTGCACCTGGCGACGGTTATTGAGGTCTTGCAGGGAATTCGACAGGGTGAGATGACGAGGATCCTCGAGGCAGTGTGTTCAGGGCAGGGTGGTTCGGAGAGGGCAGATTGCTTGATGAAGTATTTGTATGTCCTCGTTTCCAGTCTTTTTTTTTGTTATCACTTCTGGCGTCTCTATGCGGAAGCTGTGACGTTCAGATAACAAACGACGTTAGCTGACTGAGAGGTAGGTACAAGGGCATGGCTGGCCAGCCGGCCAGCAGTGGCGCGCAATCCCCTGCTCGTAAGACAGTTTCGCCCCAGAGCACTGGATTTTCGCAGATCCAAGCTCGAAACCTGGGAGAAGGTGGCGGTGGTCAGCAGATGAGCGTGCTGCTCAGCTGGCATGAGAAGCTGGTCGAGATCGCTGGAACGGGGTCAATTGTCCGAGTCATGACGGATCGAAGGACGGTTTAGATGCATTAGGGACCTTTCATTGTTTCAACGATGTTGGAAGGACCGCTATCAACTTGTCGTTTTGAAAACTATGGCACATTGTTCTTGCACCCACGGTATCAGTGACACCCCGGATGGTGCATCTGGTTTAGACGGTCAGCGCGAGGATCTTATTCTACCAATCACACAAACAACAAACAGGAGATGTAATTCTCCATTATCTGATGGATTTCAGCTCCTAGAAAGTGCAGTGCAGATATATTCCCCGTTTTGTTTTCTCCCTCTCTCTATTTTACATATACATAGCGACACACAAAAAAAAAAGGCCAGCTTTTCTATTAGATTCCCTTTGCCTCGGTTTCATGATCCGTCGAAACTACCCCCTCCCAATATATCCTTGAGATTCACATCACCACTACCCCTCTTCAACGGCTGTGCCTGTCCAGGAGCCTCCTTCCACCCAATCATGAAAATCAACCGGAACGTCGCCGGGATTCCCTGCGCATCCTCCTCCTTATGTAGCTCTCTATAGATCGCCTCGTTCGCAAGCAACACATCTCGCGAGATGGGTCCATGCTCACGGTGCAGAATAGCATTATTCTCCCCCATCGCCTGCAGGTCCTCCATGAGCGCAAACGTATCAGGAAACTCAACAATGATATCCTCCACATCGACCGTCAACATCTTGAATCCCGCCCGAGTCAACAGACCGCCAACATCGCGGACATCAGCCAGCGGCGAGATGTGGGGACTGACGCCTCCGCGACGCTCGAGGTCCGCGAGCTGCAGGGACGCGCGCAGCTCGAAGAGCGTATCACCGCCAAACATGGCCGCGATAAACGGACAGTCTGGTTTCAGGATCGAGTTCACTTGGGCGAGAAGGGAAGGGAGGTCGTTGATCCAGTGGATTGAGAGGGAGGAGAGTACAGCATCGAAGGTGTTGGGGGCATAGGGCAGAGACTCTAGATCGGGGACCACATCTCGTTGGATATCTAGTTCTTTGTTGAACGGGAGGTCTGCGTCACGGTATAGGAGGGCCGGAGACGTGTCCACGCAAGTGAGCTTTGAAATCTTGCTGGAGAGAGGTGGTGATGAGGGAGATTCGGGGTCTGGGTTCGGCGCTGTCAGGGCGCGGGCGATGTTACAGCTATTCGCGCCGAGGTCGAGCACGTTAGGGAACGTTCGTTTGATATCCTGGCAGTATTGAAGCGTTAGGAACCGACCATAGCAATAAAATGTATCCCGAAAGCCTAAAAAGAAAAAGAAGAAGAAATACCAGTAACCGTTCGCATAACCGTGTTGCGACTTCATCCTTCAAATAGTCCACTTTCCGACTCTGCTCGACATTCTGCCCGGCTCTCTCTTTCTGCAAGTATTTCACTTTCCGATTGAACACTTCTAGAGTCGGATTCCCCGGAGTCTGGATAGCGTAGCTTCGAGATGCTGTGAAAGCCCGCTGGCGGAGCGCGGAGGAGGCCCTTGGGATGAAAGAGCGGAGGGCCATGGTTTTTTTTTATTATTCTGTTCAAGTCAGACTGTGAAATTTCAATGCATTTTTCTTTTCTTCTTCTTTCATAAAACGAATTCCCCTATCGAAGTCAGGAAGAATTGAGCCTTGGGCCAAACGGTGGGAATAATCAATCTGCTTTCCGTGACGTCGTTTGATTTTGTTCTGAACTTTCAACACGGCAGAAAACAAATCGCAGCTCTTTCTCCGCGCTCCGCGACCCCACGAGCTTTCTGTTCTACAATAATATATCTCAACTGACGACTCTTTTTCGGTTCTTGTTTGAGTTCACTGCTATTTTTATTTTCTCTTGACGGTCTTCTTGGGGCGAGCCTTCGCAATTTCCTTTCTGTTGTCCCAAGACCGATTATCGAACACGCCGCTTGGTCTTCGCGAATTGAACTTCCCCTGAGATCGCTGCATACAGCAATTGGTTCAACGCTCGGTTTCCTCAGTTGCAAGACGCGTTATAAGAGTGATTAGTTAGAATAGACGGTGTCGAATCTATAGTGACATCTTCGTTGGAGCGCTATTTTTGCCCCAGGCGTACGGCAGCCTCGTTCTCCGAAAGATACCGCGCACCATATCATGCTGCTATCGAGCCAGTGATCTTATACAACTACAAACCAAAATGTCGCGCCCGTTCCCCTATACCTACATCTCATGTCCCTGTGCAGATGACCCGATTCCCGATCCATCCTCGAAACGGATATCGAAAGAGCTCTCTCCGCGCAAGAAAGGCTCGTCGGAAACCCCTCAGTTTGAAGAAGACTCGGACGAAGAAGAGGTTACTTTCGATCCTAGATCGCCTCGCGCCAACTTCTCTTTATATCCGCCTGAGCAACTACTCTACTGCGAGGACTGTCACCAAATTAAATGCCCGAGATGTATAACGGAGGAGATTGTGTGTTGGTATTGTCCGAACTGTCTGTTTGAGACCCCCAGCAGTATGGTGAGGAGTGAAGGAAATAGGTGCGTCTGCTGAATACCTCATTGTGTGATTATGATAGACCATACATAGACTGACAGGAGTCCAGGTGTGCGCGGAATTGCTTCAATTGTCCGATATGTACGGCCCCCTTGGCGGTCACCACGTTGGAAAATACTGCTGCGGGGGGTTCTCACCAAGGTCCCTGGGTTCTGGCCTGCCAGTACTGTATGTGGACGACTCTCGATATTGGGATCAAATTCGACAAGCCCACCAATATTCGTACTCAGCTGGCGAAGCTGACAGAAGCTGCTGGCGGGAGGAAGTCGACTCGAGGTATATCTGATATGAGGTCGCCTCTAGCCAGCTTCTCGTCAACCACTGATTTACCTGTAATGGGTGAGAGTGAAGAGGTGGGAAAAGAGTCCAAACCAGTGGATGAGCAACCTCCTCTGGATCCGGACGCTAGGTTCGACGCTTTGAAATCCTTCTACCGAAACCAGATCGCGGAGACATCGTCTTCTCCTAGCGATCCTCTGGGAACCGACCTTGGAGCTGGATTTTCCTCCCCGAGCGCATTGAACCGTATCATGTCTCTGTATGCCTCATCTACCTTCGGAGGTCTCTACGGAGCAGGCGGCAAGAAGCCTAAGTCTAAGCCACCAGTCATGAGAGAGGCTCTCCACGCATCAGAAGGACTGAAGATTCCCAGCCCTGACTTCGAGGAGTCGATCATCAATAGGATGTCGTCGGACGAATGCGGTTGGGACGGCCTGGCTTCAATGGAGCAACGAGCCTTCCAAGCTCTTGATGCTCGTTTCGTGGAGGACCTTCGACCACTCCCAGTTCAGCTCAGGACGAAACGCTCGAAACGGTGCAAGGCATGCAAGCATATCCTTGTCAAGCCCGAGTTCAAGCCGCAGTCAACGCGCTTCCGTATCCGTCTGATTGCTCTCAGCTACATCCCACTACCTACATTGCGACCTCTCACGCCAACTTCCCTCGCAGGAATACCCCTATCACCAACCGTCGCGCCTCCTGACCTGGACGCTCTACCACCTCTGCGGCCCATCCAATACCTCCTAACTTTAAAAAACCACATGTTCGACCCTGTCCGAGTCACACTGGCTACGCCTTCTCTAACCCCCGGCCGCGTCGCCACGAAAGTCACCATTCTCTGCCCTCAGTTCGACATCGGCGCCAATAGCGACGTCTGGGATGAAGCCCTCCAGGCCTCTACCGCCGGTGACCGCTCCTCACGAGCCGCTCTAGCCGGCTTCGGGACTGAAAAAGTCGCTGAGGCCGGTAAAGTCTGGGACAAAGGACGGAACTGGACGACCGTCGTTATCGAAATCGTCCCGGGAACCTTACCTGGTTCGGGACACAAGAGCCGTGGTGACCACGAGGACAACGACGACCGCCATACCGCCAGTGATGACGGCAATGACAATGATGATGACAATGAGAATGACAATGACAATGACAGCAACAGCGGCAATAAGGATAATGATAACAATGACGAGGAACTCCGCGAGGACGAAGACGTGCTTGAGATCCCGGTCTTTGTGCGCTTAGAATGGGATACGGAAAATCAGATAGAGCAGCCTGTGGGAAAGAACCAGAAGCCTGAGATGGTGAAGAGGGAATTGGCCTATTGGATGGTATTGGGTGTTGGGAGGATTAAAGATGGAGAGTCGTGATGTGTGTTGTGTGTGGATTTGGGATGTGTTCTTTTCTTTTCTTGCGATCTGTAGCCATGATACCAATAGATATAGTTAGCGACAATCAATGTTTCTTCCTTCCAAGTTTTCTTATTTTCTCCATGGAGATTGGTGTGTGCGTGTTTTTGTCCATGGTCTATAAGGTATATATATAGGACGACTTTCTAGGATGATTGATTACCTTGCTCCAATCGATAGATCAAAAGCTTAAATGAAGACAAGAAAAGAAAGTTGAAAAGAAAAAAAAGGCTACACGCCTCGTTGGTTTTTGATTTCAAGGAAGAAGTACCAGTACACCTTGATCTGATCGCAGGGTCAATGTGCAAGGACACGACGACAATGGACATGACATGCTAAACTTTGGGCAGGAGAGGGATATATGTGAATTTTGTGCGTGCAGATTGCGTAGTTTTCCTTTTTTGTGCTTTTTGCTCAAAGTTTCATGTTTCATTTCAAACCGCGCCAAAACCAAACCCGGGTTTTTTCACATATATCCCACGTCCCCGACCAGACCAGACCATCGAACCGCCCCGAACGCTTCATTTAGAGAGAAGAAAAGAAAGGAAAAGAATAGAATTAAAAAAAAGAAGGAAAAAGAGGCCCCCCTTTCCTGAGAGTTTTCCCATTTTCTTTGTGTTCTTCATTTCCTTTCTTCTCCTCCCTTTTATTGAATTGTTTCCGTCATTTCACCCCAACAAGCCCTATCATCCGAATCTAGTAGTCGGCAACGCTGCTCTGGGGGAACTCGAAAACGACGTTGCGGCCGGTCAGTCTTCGGTAGACCTCACCGTAGGCGTCGAGGCGGTGGTCAACACCACCACGCTCCTTCTCGTCGAGGATGACCTTGAGGACCTTGCTGCCGTCCTCCTTGGTGCGGACGCGCTTGCCGACGATCTCGACGGGGTAGACAACGTCGGTCAGGATGGCGTCGTGCACGGCAGTGAGAGTGCGAGAGCGAGGACGCTTCTGGGTGAGCTTGGAGCGCGAGGTGGTGGAGCGCTTGGGACGGGGCAGGATGCGGCGCGAAGCAATGAAGAGGACCTGGCGGTCGGAGAACTTCTTCTCGAGCTCACGGGTCAGGCTGAAGTATACGTTAGTTACTTTGTCTCCCCCGGAGTAAGCCACTCTTTGTGTGCGTGGCTTTCTTCTCTTTTCATGGAGTGTGCATACCGCTGCTGGATCTTGTGGAAGCCCTGGAGGAGAGGGACGGGGACGAAGATGGCGATGGCCTTCTTGCCGTGGCCGACCTCGATCTGTAACAAAAAATTGCCAGTCAGATAACAGTCCTTCGAAAATGCAATATTTCTCCCCCCGAGATTGAGAAGACAGTGATCCCTAGGACCGATAGAATCCCATGACCATGCCTCAATACGGTGCCGTAGGCCCTCCGCACAAAAAAATAACGTTCTCAATGTCCGCGGGCGTGATTCTCTCCAATTGCGCTCCCCACAATCACATTGATATCGTTCGTTCCTCCTCGCAAATTCCAGGGGGGAAAGAAGTAATGGACTCTCTTCTTACCTCGCGAGCAGAGACGAACTGCAGGGGCCTGAGGGAAGCCTTCAGGTCCGTGGTGTTGCTCTCCAGGTCATAGAGAGCGTTGGCCAACGCGGTCTCCAGCTCGGAGGGGTTCTGCCTCGACGAGGAGTTGTGCGCGATCTTGTTGAGGGCAGCCATGATTGCAGACGAGCGACGGTGGCGGGCTGTGCTGCTGCTGGTGCTGCTTCCTGTGGTGGTTGTCGTCGAGGAAATCGAAGGTGAACTCGAAGCAAGTCAAACACACAGACTACACTACAATTTGCGCTGAGTGCGGGTGTGGGATCGGGATCTCGGCGCCTCGCTTAGCGGTCTGCGCTAGCATGATTATGGTTAGGCCTGTCACGGGTAGGGGAAGGCGTGTCCCGTGACCGCCCTGCCCTCAAGAACACCGTTTACAGCTAGTCTTATTTACTCCAGTCATGATGGATGGATTATTATTATTCTTCTTATTATTATTACCAGCTAACTAGGTACACAATAGCTGCACCGTCTACCCAGCAGAAGGAACAATCTTGTATCTCAAAAAATCATTATCCCCTCCGGGTCCTATATACCTATGCGCGGAAGGGGGGGACTAATAATGGAACAAAGTAGAACACTTGACCGACTCTGATTGACATAGTGCCAACGCAGAGCCAAAAGGTACATAGATACAGCGCAACAGAATCGCAGGGACAGACGCCTCCACCCGGGGGATAGACAACAACAACAAGAAGGTATCAAATCAAGCGGGTAACATATAGTGATTGACCGCACGAGCCGTAGCAAAACATAGAGCTTTACTTGAAGATAAAGGCCACAGACCAGAGACAAATCATGGCGGGAGACCTGCGCACAAAGAGAGTCGAGCAAGGGCGAAATTGATGAGGATCAGCAAGCACAACCTTCCTTGGCAGTAGCAGGACTCCTGTCCGTGAGGTTCACACTGTTGGCTTCTGCCCGGCCGCCCAGGCCCTGCCCAGCACCTGCACCAGCGCCCCGGCCACTCTTCAAGCTGGCCTCCGGGATCGCATTCGCAATGGCAGTGAAAACCTCTGTGACATTGGTACCCGTCTTCGCACTGGTTTCGAAGAACAGTAGCCCCTCCTCTTCAGCGTAACTGCTCGCTTCCTGCGTAGAGACCTTTCTAGCATCTCCTGAGGCAGCGTCTTGCTCCTCATTATTTTCGCCAGCTTCCTCATCTCCCGCAACAGCGGGCTCTGCAGCAGCCTCATCACTGGCACCCGCAGAACCGCCGTCGGTACCACTGCCGTCACTGGTTAGATCCAGCTTGTTGCCAACCAGGGCGATGACGATGCCAGGGCTCGCTTGTCGCTGCAGTTCGGCAACCCAGTGCTTCGCTTTGATGAGGGATGAAGGCTTGGTCAAGTCGTAGACGACAAGAGCTGCCTGGGCGTTACGGTAATACATGGGTGCAAGGGAGGCAAAGCGCTCCTGACCGGCGGTATCCCAGATCTCAAACTTGATCGTACGAGTCGGCAAAGAACATTTCTGTGTGAGGAATGCCGCTGTATGACATAAGAAGTTAGTTAAAGTACGTATTTGTAGAGATGAATCAACCCATGAAGAAATTATGCGCCATAGCTGCCTAGCAGACTGGGACGACAATGACGAAAGCGGAGAGAAAGTACATCGAATTCGAAAAGAGCTTACCTCCTATCGTGGGCTCCTTGTTCTCTTGGAAATCATTGTTCACAAAACGAAGGACGAGAGAGGACTGCAATAGTCGTCAGCACTGTCCATCACCCGCGCCCGTTGTCCCGAAGTTCGCAGACCGCATACCTTTCCAACAGCCGCCTCTCCCAGCAGCACGAGCTTGACGCTGCTGCTTGGCTTAGGGGCATTAGATTCCGACATGGTCGTCTGTGATAATCGATTATGCGCCGGTGTCCAGATGGGCGGCTAGAGACGGTGGGTATCAATACTGATGGCTATCGAGAGCTCCGTTGCGTGATGTGATGTAGGTGACAAACGTCCGAGGGTCGCCGGGCCAGGGAAGGGGTAAGAAGCTGGAAGAGTGCCGTCCCGGAAATGTTGACTATCTCTTCGTATAGAACCAGACAGACAGAGGGGATGAGTTGGTATCGTGAGTTCCAAGCTGCGAAGATGTCGATGAGAGCCGGGGATGTTGGGTCGTTCAATGCCGGGCGATGATGGAGGCGGCTGAAAGCGGTTTAGCGCACTCTGTCCAGGCTGGAGCGGATCCACGACGCGCAAGTCACGGGATGTTCCCGCACCCGCGGTTCGGATGCCGGGGTGGCTTGGACAAGTTGACCGTCTGATGCAGCAACAGCAAAGCGCCCATGTGTGCAAAGAGAGTGAGAGAGTGCTGGCGGTCCAGCAGCCAGGACAGTATCTACACAAGACAGCTGAACTGATCGCTGCAGCAGGTCGATGCGGATGGCAGTAGGATTACGTCAGGCCACCAGGACTCAACTAAGACCAACTTTTGTATTTCCAGCGATTCCGAGTCTGACATAATTGTGCTGGGGGTGCAGGAACATGGTGAAATGGGGCTAAAAAGAGACGTGCTGCAGCTGAAATCCGAGGTAGTGTTCGACCCTTGTAACATGGGCAGCTGAAGTAGTAGAATCACGTTGCACAAAGAGTCATGATGCGCTACGGCAATAGCAAATTTTATAGTCTAATGACAAATGGATGTTGAAAAGTGAATTCAGTCAATTATAGACCCGCCTTAGAGCGTATATCAGAGGGAAAGATAAACATATTCGTGATGCATAGCTCCGATCCCACGTGCTCCGATAATGGAAACCAACGCATGTCCAGACCATATGGCCCGACAAACCCTGGCTCCGAGCATGCTCTCCCGCCTGTTTCCTCATTCTGTATATTGTACACGAGTATCCCCAAAAAAAGAGACGAGTAAAAAGACAAATAGAAAATAAAACAGCGGACCGCGAGGTCCCTAATAGTCTAGCTCTTGTGGTATCACCCATGCTGCCCAGGATAAGGAAAAAAAGAGAAAAGAAAAAAAGCACCCGAATCCTGTCTATGTCATAACGCCGGAACATCGAAAGCAAACACTTTTGTGGTATCGAATAGATGGTACAGGGCGAAACGTTCCGCGAATTAAGAAAAATCGTAGTGTTGAGCCGCAAAAGTGGTTATGGCCGAAAGGATGAGAACAAATCGCTGGCGAATGAGATGTAACGGTGTTGGTACAAGTGACGTGTCGACACTAATGATTAAGACGTGTTGTAGCATGCAAGGCGAAGCGCTAGCCAACAGCTTGAAACCGAGCGAAGATCCAATAGATGCGAGGTTCTGCAACATTGTCAGTAAATGCTCCCAAAAAAAGATAGAATAAGTTGGAAACAGCACATACAAGATGCAGTGTGTCCCAAAACACAAGTGAGACACGTTAAGCCTTGTTGCCCAGTCCAACTTAATGGCCACGCGAGGTCTGGGTTTGGTCCTTCCACCCTGGTAGGATGGGAATTCGCCGACATCATCATGGATGGGAAGGTTTGGACATCTGGGCATGAAAGTTCCAATCGCCCTCAGCGTCGCTTCGGCGGTGGTGGTGGTGCGCCGGGCTTCTTGACGCCCGTTGTATCGTAGGCTCCTCGTCCCATGTTGGTCGCTGACAGATCCCTGAGAATCATGTTGAACTCTGCGCAAATAGCCATTGTTAGAATACTGGTAAATAGTACTGGCGATGGTATAGGTGATATAAAATATAGCTTCGGAGTTTGGGGTGACCAGGGGAAGGGCGATGCAGGATGTATATATATATGTCTCGGGCAGACAAACACTCGACAATCCAGCTGACTTACCTTAAATAGAATGAACGAAAAAGAGACACACAATAGACCCAAAAAAGATAGCTGAAGCTGTGTGCAGCCAAGCTTACAGGGTACACGGGAAAAGTTCCTGGGATACCAAACAGGGACCGCGACGATGCAGCTGCAGGTAAGATCGGAAGAGGCGATCCTTTTGAATGGTGCGCTCCGCGTAGCCGGGGGGACAACGCCTCCGTGGGTGCCAGATGTAGGGCAGGAATGTGACTGTGACAAGGACAGGAGAGTTGGGCCTCCGGATTGCAAATGCAAATGGACGGTGGAGACGGTGCTATTCGACAGGTCGCTTTGAGTGCTGCGGGTGCGTCGCGGATGCGCCGCGGCAATGGAAACTGTGTATGCAGGATATAAATGTATCGGCAGCGATCCGACCACAGGCGAATATCAGGGTCCAGCTAACGCGGCGGACGGCAAGGAGGATGTGACACGGAGTCTGGATGGCCGGGAATGGATGTATCGCAAGGGAGGGCTGTGGCAGGCCAGCGAGAGAAAGGAAGGGATGGAGAGGATGACGGGAGTGAGATATCTATGGTCCAGACTTGGAACAACTGAGAGGGGGGAACAGGTCGCGTAGATATATGCTTTTTCCTGCTTTCTCTCCTTTCAACTCAAACAGGAGACGAGCTTTCTTTAGCACAAGGCGTTTCCCAGGCGGCTCAATTCCCTGTCGTCCCGGCAGAAAGGTAGACTACCGTATCGTCCAGTCCCAACAAGCCCCTTTCCCGACAGCCTTAACCTTTCTTTGTCTGGATTTGGCCTCGTCTCGTCTTGTCAATCAATCTGTGTCGCCCTGTGGGCCACCGCAGGTGTAAGGATGGGAAAACTAAACTAATCCATTACCATAATTATTATTATTATTTACCTCCCCGGTTGTCCCCAAACGAGATGCCGCTGACGGCAGTGGGGACTTTTCCTGTTGGCGCTCAGGATCCAGGAACGGAGCGGATGGGATTTGACGCCGCTGGGGCTGCCCTGCGTATAGTCTCCGGCCTGCTCTGCCCATATTTCTCGCGTGGTTCTGGCTGCTCCCCTTAGTTGGAACTTTCTAACCCGTCCTAGGGGACTAGGTTAGTGACAAGGCCCAAGAACCACAATGATCCCCGGAGCGAAGACCCGTTTAATCAGCCACCGTCTGCTCCGACTTCTGAATTTCGGGTCCGCTCTAGCGCACGCTATTCGCACTCAGGCCCAGCATCTCAAGCGCCGACTTCCCTCAGCCGCTGCCCTGTGGACAGTGTGATGGCCAATATGTGAACAGGCATGGATGTCGGGAAGACGGGACAACACCAGGAAAGGCCTCATCCTGCTCACCCTGGTCGACCCTCCAGAGCGGAATCCTCTAGATAGAGACGGAAAACGGCCGCAGTCTCCGTGTTCTTTTCGGTGGATCTCCTAATAGCGATCAGTGATCAAGTAACCCACTGCTATCCGTCCGCTCAACGTTCCTTTCCCCTTCTCGCGGCCTTCTAGCGTCTCCTAGCCTCTGGGGCCTGACCCCCCGGGGACATGGTGGTAGCCCAGACGGGTGACGCAGAGATGGTTGCAAACAACCAGTTCTGCGACAGGGCGGGTAGTCTGACCCATCCGGACTCTTTCCCCGTCAGTATCGAACGTTGTCGTTATCGCCATGTTCCCTGCCAGAAAGGTGAAGAAGAGCTCTCTGCTCCACGACGTTCTGCAGTCGCGCTCGGAAACTCGCCGGGCTTCTGTCGGACAACTTGTTTGTTAGGCTGCCCCGGGGAGATTTGCGTTGCATATCGGGGAATTCGGGCCATGGGCCACCACGGCAGACACTCTGTCGTCTCACTTGATCGTACTGGCTCTAAAATTAAGGCCTTCCCGAACCGTAACTTAAGTCTGATGTCCACTACACGTTTGAACGTAAGCTTCAATAATAATATCGGGTTCTGGCCAGCGCTAACTATCGGTCGTGGACTCGTGGTATTGTAGAAGTCCGTGTGACAACAACAACACGGATCTTACCACACAGAATGACACGATGCGCAGTTCTCGGGGATGTCCAGCAGACAGCCGATTTGTCTCCGTAAGCTCTAAGACAGTAGTTAGTTAGGGTATGAGCTTCCGTCATGCTGGTGGTTTGGTTGGTGTATAGAATCAGCTGATAATGAAGGCTTCAGCCACTCAATGGCCAGGTGTAGTTTGAAGGAGTCTGTGTGGCTGGTGTCTAGATACAGAATAATCACGAAGCAGATGGTCTCAGAGCCATCGAACTTAGTCACCTCAGTCTATGTGATGTTATCGATGACTGGCGAAACCGTAGTGGTGATAGTCGGCTCAGGGACGCCGCCAAAGAGCTCGCCGGGAGTCTTCACGCGCGTCCGGTATCTATCTAGGCTCTTTTCCTTCTACCACTCAACAACCCTCGTGCGCCCCCCGAATGCACGAAAAGCACAAACGTCACACCTATACATTCCTGTGGTCGTCTAATTGCCCTGGCTTACTATGCAATCTCTTTCTTACAAGGTATTTCTATACGGCGTGCGAGATACCTGAGGCTTGCTCGTTGCCAGCCATGGTCCCCAGTGCGTCGAACAATCCCCGAGGGATAGACACCAGTGAGCCGAGAACACAGTTGCCTAGAGCTACAATACGTTGCCAGCCGTGGGGAGATGGCGTTCTACGGTAAATCCATCCACGCTATCCTTGTTCCATGCGTATGGCTAGAATCACGCTAGAAACACCATCCCAGGCAAGCGGCCGTTAGATTTTCAACTCGCAGCCGTCGGGTGTCGGAGTATTCCACTTTTATCCCAGTTGGGGATAAACTCTGGGTAGCTCATCCCCGATCGATGCTCGATCAATTAGCCACAAGTCAGACGGGAAAGGTACGGCCTCACATCCTCATCCATGTGGTAAGTCTGATGCTAGATCGCCTACCGGCTTCCTCCAGCCGGACGTGTCTTTCTCTCCAGATCGTCACTTGGATGATCCTCATTCGCTACTTTCTGAGCTTTTACTTGAAACACGCTCATACATCAGCATGGCTCCAGACATCAGCAACTGGCTAAGCAAATCGATCCTCGGGACTAATGCGACTTGTATTATCAATATCCAAGGTGATCTAGCCCTGGAGACCCGCATGATCAGAAGCGACCATCGACGACACTACAAACGTCGAGCTACTGAGCTACTCAGACCAAGTTGATGGATTCATCTGTCAGAGGGCACTTTTGAACACCGGTCTGTATGACCGGTCATTATGAAATGCTACTCAAATACCTTCGCGTGCTCATTGCCATACAGAGCGGAAAGGGGGGAGCTTGTTTGCCACCTTGCGAACACGTACGTGGATGGCGACGGGATAGGGGTCTGGAGCTCGTTTGACGCGGCGATCACTCCGCTTACGCCAGTATCCCCGGCCTCTTCAAGATTCGCTGATGACGAACACCAACAAGTCTTCGTCCAAGAATGCAACTCATTATTGCGGTCTTTCTTTACATGTTCATAGGTCCTTTCATCACACCCTCGGAAACCAACGTCGATTCCTTCTGGTATAGATAGCCTCCAAACACCGCAATATTGCGTCTCCTGTGCTCTCGACCGTGACGCTCGGCCACATGTGCCGCTCCATGTCCACAGAGCCTCCGCCTAAGTGACTGATTCGTACTGTGGCTGCATGGATCCGGGCGGTCGCGAATATTGCCGTGTTTCGAAGCCGTTGCTAGATCTCCTTTTCGAACACAGTGGAACTGTTCCCCTGAGGGAAAAGTGACACTAGGAGCCGCGGATGAACAGCCGAAACCCCTAGTGCGTTGATATGACCGAAAAGTTCGAGCCGCGGGCTCGGCTCCGATGACTATGGTACTGTAGCTAAGATAGTACCTGCAGTAGCACCACCCGCAATTCCGGAACCGCCTGGCTTTACCCGTCCCGTAACTTACCCGGAGATCCGTCTTGGCTGTTCCCAGCGATCCATCTGGGGCGTCGGCCCACATTCTGGTTCACGGCGATCCGCTAGACAGCTTCGGTACTGATTCTCTGGCTGGACAGTAGTATAGAGTACTCTAGATGCAAGTTGACACTGTCGTCTTGCTTCTAATGGATAAGCTGCAAAAGAAGAACAGCTTACAATGGGCTTTATTGCTCTTGAAGTCAGAGACCGTCGCCTCAACGGAGACAGGAGATTTTGTGCGGAGTAGTCAATAGGACTCGGAAATTTGCCAGGACTAAGTCCAACACAGTATACAGGGATGCGCCTTGATCATGCTCGATGAGTCCATGAGATACGCGATGCTTCACACTGTATACTCTACACCTGTGTTCAGGACTCGACACATACACGCTCTTAGTGCGCCATAATCCTGCCTGTGGGCCAATGAAGCATCTCATCACCATGTCAAGTGCAATGCAATGATACCATACACACTACGATTCAGAAGCATATCTCATTGGCCGCATATGATTGGAATACTTCGCCATTTCAGTCATCCAAGGACCAAATCCCGACCGTGTGGTATCATCCATGCTGCTGGCCGGAGTCTAGACTTCATCCTTGGTCCGACTCCAGGCACTCCAGGCAGCACACCAAATATTGCCAAGATGGTAGATAGAATAGAACAATATTCGACCTGTCAGGGACTCAGGATGCACTCTGCAGGGACGTTCCTCGATCATGGAACCGCCCGCGTCATTCGTCGATCGAGATCATACCATAGAACCCAAGAACGCGGTTACCTATCCACGGCTTTTCTCCACCTATCCCTTTAGTTCCAGGCAGCCAAGGATTGAGCGAGTAACCTCCAACCTTCATTGGCCCGAAGGCATCCCGAAATATTGCTCGGCCCCGTCAGTCGAAGTTTCTCGGAGGTTTGGCTTTTGTGCCGATGACGACGGTGTTCTATCCATCACAGACTCTTGGTATCTATAGAGTAGATCAACTTTGCCGGGTTCCTGAATAGGTTACGGGGATTCTGGGTCTACTTGCTTGTTTGGATGTTGGACAGTATGATCCTACTGAGCCTGCATAGCAATTCTACGACCGTTGCAATCCCCCTAATGTAGCTCCATTACTACTTGACAACGACCCTCCGTACTAACTCTATTCTCAAATGGACCTTGTGGCTAAGATTCTTACCTATTCGCTACATTCCTCCCGCGCAGATTATCATCATCACCGCCTTTACTTGCCCCTATCTTGGATGTCATCATTTCTGAAGTGCAGGTCCAGGAGCTCTGAAATTCCTTCCATATCTATCGTCCGCTCTAAATGCACCATTCATCCCTACCGCATCTTGTGGCCCGATACGCTCTTCATCATGAGTATTTTCCCGTCCATATGAGGGCAGGCCGATTGGAATCCTCTTTCAGGAGCTCGAAAGCTCTATGTTGGTATAATAGTTCAGCACTACATGGACTAACTATGTGTTAAATTGTGGAGAGCATCATATTGCAGACGATGATATCGGGGAATGATGGAATCGAGTTGTTTCAACCGCCTCGCTGGTCTGCAGCTCAGAGCATGCCCACTGGAGCAGTCGGAATTTCTTCTTCCAGGGCCAGAGGCACCGTCAGTTTCAAATGCAGGGCGCATGGTGATAGATCGATAAGATGGATACATATGCACCTAGATGAATTTTAGTATGCATTTAGCAGAGACATCCCTGACCGCTCTCGGAACTGGCTCCGGATCTCCGTCGCCTGCAGACCGCCTTGTGGATGTTTCTACTTTTGATCTCTGGTGGTTATCGCCGATATACTCTACTCTGTACATCGAAGGACATCGAAATTCGGCCCTATCACATGCCTTGTGGTGCCTCATCAACCTGGCTGGCTAAGCCATTTGTGGTCAATGGGCGTTCTCCTGAAGATTTCGACCTGACTCGAGACAACTCTCTTCGACTATCGTGCCCATCGTTGCCTGGATTGTGGAATAATCACCATAGCGAGACCCATGTAACGTCCTCTAGGCTCTTCGTCCGTTCCAGACGAGTTCTGGATCCTGCGTTGTCGATCCCAACGACAACACTAGAGTACTGCGCCCCACAGGCGTAATCCACGGCGCTGGGTCGGACTAGCTGGTGCTTTAAGTCGTCCGTCACATCAAGAAGTTAGAAGCCGCAGTCTCTTCTAGCGCCTTGCTAAGCGGCCCCAAGGTTTCTAGTAACTACTACTAACTAGTAACAAGCAAGGCGCTGCCAGGGGGCCAACCACTCGTCTTGGACACTCCAGTCTCATTATCCAACCAACCCCCCTTTGTAGCACACCGTCCTTGTGGCTGCGACACATCGAGACGGTATTCCAGTCGCTTTCTTTCCCTCTCTCTCTCTCTCTCTTTCGTTCTTTTTTTTTCTGCTCCTTTCTCAGGACAATTGTTCGACGTGTGCAATGCCGCGTAGCTCATTCGACTTTCTCAGTGCGATTCTGCTCGCTTCCAAGCGAACAAGACTGATGACAAACCAGGCATCTTGCTGCGTGACAGCAATTCGAGACTCAACATAAGAATAGAAAGAACATTGAAGTTAGCATGGGAGAATGGATCTACAGTATGAATATCTCATCTCCTCCATACATTATTGTCAATGAACCATATCCCTGGGAATTGTTATTCTCCCTGCGTTCGCCCAAGCATTTTGCGGAATAGCTCGGCCATGGTGATCATGGAATGAAAAGACCAATTTAATTCCAGTGTCATCACCTAATCATGGAGTTCTGTCAATCGTGATTATATCATTCGACCATCCTTTTCCCCTTCTTCCCTGTTTGTCTCCAATCATTCCAAATGACAAGATGAATGCGATCTCTGTGGCGCAGAATGAGAGTCCCTGACTGGAAGAGACAGTCAATATTCCAGACCCGATTGGGTCACTCATCCCCAAAATAAGGTTCCCCGCGCTGATCACCCTTGAGAGTGGCGATGGATTGATTTCACTACCAATAATCACAACAGACGCATCTCCTAGATCTATCGAAAACGACATTGGCACGAACAAACTCTCCAACCCTGGGTCTGGATTTGTTTCTCTTAACCACTCCTTATCTCTGCTTCAAGCCACACTCAATCTAGCATATGCGGTGGAGATCCCGCGGCTTCGGAAATGTCCCCGCTTTGAGGTCCCCGAACCTTGGATACTCAATTCGACGCAGACTATGGAGTAGAAGGGGATCCTTTCGCCGGCTTCCCCGAGGATAGATTCCCTTTTGGCGCACTATGGCTGTATGGCTGCACGATCTGATCTGGTCATACCCGTCCCGTCAAGAGTCAGTGGCGGTTCGGGCCCTGATCTATTAGGCTATGGACATGCAAGGCGATAGTTAAATGGCTTGTCCATTTGTCCAATTGTAGTTGTACGACCATGAGATATATGGAATATCTATATTTAGTACTACTGCGGCTTATTGGTTTTCAAGTTAATGGATAAGGCGTTGTAGGGGTTATCCAACTCTTTTCTTCTTTGTGCTCTTTGCCACTAGGAGTTTGGCACTCCTTAGCTGACTGAGATTCTGATTAGATAGATAATATTTTCCGTGCTGGCTTGACTTATGTACAAAGAAATTCTGAATGCTCTCGTGCCAAGATCTTCATTCATGCCCTGATGTCTTTGGTTCCGGAAGAGAACACGATGAGCACAAGATGAAGTGCTCATATCTTTCGGGAGGGTGATATATGTCTTTCGCGTTTTCTTTCTTTCGGTTTCTACTCGCTGAGAATCCTTGATTCTTGATATTTTAGACCTTCCAGTTTATGCAGTGGAAGGCCATTTCATACTATGATATTGGTGAGCCATGAATTCCTCTGGAAGGAGAGAAGGAAACGCCATATGATGATCACTCACCTGTTCATCCGTCTGGCAAATCAACACTCTAGGTGTCTTTGCCTTATCCTTCGAGATGTCTGTCACAGTCTGCTCTTCAGTTTCTGGCCCTTTATCGTTCTGAGCTTCGTCGATAGCGAATCCCAGACACTTGCATTGCTCTACAACTCGCTTCCTCAGAAGAGAGCTCTTCTCGCCAATTCCACCAGCGAAGACCAGCGCATCCACCCGGCCCTCGAGTTTAACGAAATAGTTACCAACGAAGCCGCAGATGCGGTCGACGACGATGTCCAAGGCCAGTTTGTGCTGTTTGGAAGGCGGATTCTCGACGGCGATTTTGGAGAAGTCTGTTGTGCCGGTCAGGACCTTCCAGCCAGACTTTTTGTTAAGGATTTCTTCGGCCTGGGAGAACGATATGTTAGGTATTGTTGTGGTGTGCGTCTCTTGACTGCTCTAGAGACTTACAGTGCTGATATGCATTTCTCTCGTGCTTGCTGGACTGAGATTCCCTGCTTCATTGGTGTAGTGGAAGACCAGACTGTACTGGGTCAGTATCGGTGTCTGTGTCTGGCTGATGAATATAACAGAGACGCTCACCATGGATCAACATCACCACTTCGTGTCGCGCCTGGTAGCCCTGCCAGTGGGGTAAGCCCCATCCTGAAGATTGAACAGTCAGTATAGAAAAACTCCCCTGCACGTAGAGTTCAGATAGTGTTTACGATGTGTCAATCGATCCCCCCTCCTTGATAGCACAGACGGAAGCCCCGCTCCCGATATGCATAGCGATAATGTTGGTCTTCTCGGGTGGTTTACCCAGAAATTCAGCAATCGACCGAGTGATGAAGGAATAACTGATGCCATGGAATCCGTATTTCCGCAGACCGTTCGATCGCGCGACGTCCTGGTCGATCGGGTATGTCTTGACGTGCTCCGGAAGGGTCTTGTGAAAGGCGGAATCGAAATACGTGATACTCTTGACGTTGGGAAGCTCTTTCATGCATAGTCGCACGATCTCGAGGGCCGGGAAATTGTGCCTGTAGAGAGTGATTGGAAGGTATTAGTCACTAATTGAGTCTTTTCTTTCCGTACGTTGGAAATGCAGGGTTATCATCGAGTTTCAATTACGACGTACAAAGGCGCCAGATCCTCGATCCGCTTTAACTGACCGAAAGTCTCGTCGTTGATCTCGATCGCATCTCCGAAATCCCCTCCATGCACGATTCTATGGACTATGTAGGCGAGGTCATCTGAGCTCGCGACTTCTGACAAGTGCTCGTTCTTGAAACAGTAGTCAAGCAGGAACTTGAATGCGTCTTGCGGGGTAGACAGTTTCTCCTTGAGCTCTTCCTTGCTCTCGACGTCTCCGCGTTGATATTTGAGTTTTGGCGGCGGTGCTGTGATTCCCGATACTTGCACATTCGCGATGGTCTTTGGGGGCTTTGTCATTGTATAGAAGGTGATCTTCACGGAGGAAGACCCCGCGTTCACTGAAAGGAGTAACTTGGGCATTTTGGGATAATGTACTCTCAAGTCAAAATTTTCAGGTCCGCTGATATTATAGAATTAACCCTTTGTTTTTTTGTAGAATAATGATGTCGGGATGCCCCTTTTGAAGCAGCAGGCAATATCCCTGTGTAGAAATTCCATGTTGTTTTCCCCGGATCTTGTCACTCCCGGGGGTTTCGCGCTGTGATGTCAGAGGTTTCATGGTGACGTCGCAGGTCGGCTGCGTTTCCGATCCTATCGTCCCTCGACGTAGAATATTTCAAAACAGTGAGTGATTCTCTATCTTCTTTGATCTGTCGGATGAGTTTTTTTGCTGTCGTTCTCCCGACAGATCTTTGGACGTTCTGGGTTTGACATCGCCGCACTTTATATAGTTCCCCACCAGTTTTACAAGCACCATGCCGGGGGAGATCCTCGACAAGCCAAACCCTCCACCGTTGCCGTCTGACATCCCGGACCATGTCAACGACCTATTAGTGAGATTGGAGAAGGCCTCGCTGGAGGGATCTGCTGCAGATGCGATTCACAAATTCAGGAGAGCAGCATGCTACCTCGCTGCTGGTAAGTGCACGTGCCACGAGTGAGGACCAAAACAGTGACTGACTACTCAACAGCGATGATCTTCCTGCAAGATAATGTATTGCTGGAGAGAGACCTTACATTTGATGATATTAAGCCACGGCTACTTGGTAAGCAGGTCGTGAAGCTGTCATTGGCAATTGGATGCCTGCTGACGCCCGTAAGGCCACTGGGGAACCTGCCCAGGTCTGGTCCTGGTCCATGCGCATCTGAATTACTTGATTAAGCAGCATGATCTTGATATGCTATATGTGGTTGGACCTGGACATGGCGCACCCGGACTCTTGGCCTGTCTCTGGCTCGAGGGCTCACTAGAGAAATTCTTTCCTCAGTATTCGCGGGATACTCGAGGCCTCAAGAACTTGGTTTCGACTTTTAGTACCACAGCTGGACTTCCAAGGTGAGAATATCGTTTGAATTGTAGAGCACAATCTCTGATTGAGTATGCAGCCATATCAATGCTGAAACGCCAGGTGCTATCCATGAAGGAGGCGAACTTGGTTACGCGTTGGCCGTTTCCTTCGGTGCGGTAATGGATAATCCTAACCTCATCGTCACTTGCGTAGTCGGTGACGGCGAGGCCGAAACTGGTCCGACAGCTACGTAAGTCTGCTACTGCTACTGGAAGTCATAGACCCATACAGCTAATCAACAAATCATAGGAGCTGGCATGCATACAAGTATATCGACCCTGCTGAATCGGGAGCCGTGCTCCCCATTCTACATCTTAATGGATTCAAGATCAGCGAGCGGACTATATTTGGCTGCATGGACAATAAGGAGCTAGTCAGCTTGTTTACCGGTTATGGATATCAGGTCCGTATTGTGGAAGATCTAGACAACATCGACGCCGATCTACAATCTTCCATGGTCTGGGCTCTCAACGAGATCCGTAAGATCCAGAAAGCAGCCCGATCAGGACAGCCGATTACGAAACCAAGATGGCCCTTGTTGATCCTGCGCACGCCAAAGGTTTGTTCACCTTGATAAACTTCGAGCATACAATTTGCTAAGCTATCTCCAGGGATGGTCTGGACCCAAGTCCATACACGGAAAGATCGTGGAGGGTTCCTTCAATGCGCACCAGGTACCTCTGCCCAAAGCAAAGAAAGATAAGGAAGAATTGCAGGCCCTGCAGAGCTGGCTTTCTTCCTACGGTGCGCGGGAGCTTTTCACTGAAAAGGGAGAGCCGATTGACGAAGTGTTGTCAATCATCCCGACCGACAACGAGAAAAAGCTGGGCCAGCGCAAAGAGGCCTATAGGGACTATAAACCAGCGGATCTACCAGACTGGAAAGACTTTGGTGTCCAGAAAGGCAGCCAAGAGAGTTCTATGAACGTGACCGGGAAATTCCTCGACGAAGTCTTTATGAGAAACCCGCATGGTGTGAGATTGTTCTCTCCGGACGAATTGGAAAGCAACAAACTGGATGCTTGCCTGAATCGTACCTCCAGAAACATGCAATGGGACCAATTCGCGCGAGCTCGAGGTGGTCGTGTGATTGAGGTTCTTAGTGAACATTTGTGCCAAGGTTTCCTGCAAGGGTACACTCTCACTGGGCGTGTTGGACTCTTCCCTTCGTATGAGAGTTTTCTTGGTATTATTACTACGATGATGGTGCAATATAGTAAGTTTAATAAGATGGTAAGTTCCACTCATACATCTCAAAGGTATGGCTCCTTCTGACGGTACCGATTACAGGCGAGAGAGACAACATGGCATCACGACATCGCCAGCATCAACTATATCGAAACCAGCACGTGGACCCGACAGGAGCACAATGGATTCTCTCATCAGAACCCGTCTTTCATCGGCACAGTCTTGAAGCTGAAGCCTAGTGCAGCTCGAGTCTACCTGCCTCCCGATGCCAATACGTTCCTCTCCACCGTTCATCACTGCCTGAAGTCCAAGAACTACATCAACCTCATGGTCGGATCCAAACAACCTACGCCTGTATTTCTAAGTCCGGACGAAGCAGACAACCATTGCCGGGCGGGCGCCTCCGTCTGGAAATTCTGCAGCACAGATGAAGGCCTCAACCCGGATGTCGTCCTCGTGGGCATTGGCACTGAGCTTACTTTCGAAGTCATTCAAGCCGCCGCTCTCCTGAGACGTCGTATACCGGAACTCCGCGTGCGCGTCATCAACGTGACGGACATCATGATTCTCGAGAATGAACGCGCTCATCCTCACGCTCTCTCGGACAGCACGTTCGATGCGCTTTTCACCCCAGACCTTCCCGTTCATTTCAACTTCCACGGCTATGCCACCGAACTGCAAGGTCTGCTATTCGGCCGCCCACATCTCGAGCGCGTCCATATCGCTGCATACATGGAAGAAGGGACGACCACGACGCCGTTCGATATGATGCTTGTGAACGAGGTATCGCGGTTCCATGTTGCTAAGTTCGCAGTCACGGGAGCGTCATTCAAGAACGAGAAGGTCAGACTGCGTCAGCAAGAATTGCTAGCTGAATTGGACCATGATATTCGAGTGACGAAGAAATTCATTATTGAGAACAGGAAGGGTAAGTAAAAGCTAGCCACGCTCTAAGTTCAAGTTACATTATACAGATCACTAATATCCCTCTTTTGACAGACCCGGATGACATGTACAAGATGCCCAAGTTCGACTAGATGAACGCGACACCTTTACTCAGCTGGTCGTTTCCCACTTCAGCCCTGCTAGATGACATCTTGTTTCATTTCCATTTTATTCTAAAAGCAGGTTAATGAGAGACTGTATGACGAAACACGATGATTTTAGGATGACACGAGAACGCTACACATTCAGATATTAATCAATGGACATCCTCTTAGATTATCTGTTCGTTTGCTCTTATTAATATGATAAAAAATAGATTCAATTGGACTAGTACTACCTAACAAAGTGTCTACAAGTAACCCAACAAACACCCATCGCCTATCGATGATAATCCGCATTCAACTCCGCGAGAAAAAAAAAAAAAAAAATGAGGAAGAAAAAAAGAAAAAGAAAAGCAGACATTCAGCTGCACGCCACTCCATTACTTCCATTGGCTTCAGCCTTGTCAGTCTCGGCCTTCCCCGTACCCCATCCTTGCATCAGTTTCTGAATCTTCACCACAAACCCCAGTGGTGCATCTGCGCGGAAGAACAATCTCTTATTATCAGCAGTACCCTCCATGGTCCTGTGGGCGCGAGGGAAAAGTGCGCTCTCATACGCAACGACAGCTGCGTCTAGGTCCGCAGGGGACCGGGTACCGTTCTTTGTGACGATCATACGCGCCAACTCGACCGCATCGAGAAACGCCGCGTTGACACCTTCCCCGGAGAAAGGAGTCATCAGATGCGCGGCATCACCGATGAGAGTGAACCGGGGACGGTGATCCCATTGAAAATCCGTTGGAAGCATGTATAGCGTCCACGGACGACGGTCATCGTCAGCGGCTTTGATCCAGCCCTGAAGGACAGGGGACCAATCGCTGAATTCTTGCAGTAGGATGTCCTTCAGGACTGCAGTCGATGGGGTCTTGACGTGTAGATCGATCGCCCAGGTCTCTGGCTTGGTTGACCAGACATACACCCGTAAGCTCTTGTCGCCTAGTCGCTGCGCCTGGATGGCCTTGCCATCCGACCAGCAGTAATAACTGCCTCGACCGACAAACGCAGCAATGGCAGGGTATCGGGCCTCGACGTCAGCGATCTTGAGTTCGAAACCCGCGACACCGGAATAGAAAGGTTTGACGTCCGTGAGGAGAGGACGGATGCTGCTGCGCCCTCCATCAGCGCCGATGATGAGATCAAAGGGCCCTTCGATTTTCCCCGTTTGGAACTCCAGGGTTCCATCCGGATTTGCAGCATGCAATGCATGATCCCACTTGATACAGTCTGCAGGAACCGAATCCAAGAGAATCCGTCGAAGATCCCGCCGGTCGATTTCAGGTCGTGTCTCGCCCTGACGATTCTCACCACGGAAATCGAGCAGCGGAACGGCAGTCTTGTCCGCCATGACGAGATCATCACCCTCATATCGAGCGTATTTCAGAAATTCATCAAATAGCCCGGCTTCCTGCATTGCATACTGCCCGCTGCCTTCGTGTAGATCGAGAGTCCCTCCTTGACTGCGGCAATTGGCTGATTGCTCGCGCTCGTATATCGTCACAGATATCGAATTTTGAGTGAGGAGACGCGCGAGCATGAGTCCTGCTGGACCAGCGCCGATAATGGCAATTCGAGGGCCTGAGGATGTCATCCTATATAATAAGTATGGAATATGGAAATATATGCATTCAACTTCTCTAGATAGGTATCGAGAAATATTGATGAACAAGGAATTAGCAGAACCCCGCCAAAGATCTCAAGGATTGGATGGAAGAAAGGAAAGGAAATCTTTTCAGCGCAGTAATTGAGTGGGTTTTCGAATGCGAAGGAAAGAAAGAAAGCGATCTTAGGAATCAAGTTCGCATGGTCGGACCGGTATCATGGTAATTAATGGCTTTCATCAACCCCGTCCATGGGTAATTCCATGCTGCCATGGGACGACAGTAACCGCATCTAGTAATTAGCTCGCTGCAAGCGGGAGTCGCAGATGGAGATTGTACGAGACTACCTTATCGACTTGTACCCATCGTGTCTAGATCGTCATGTCTTGGAGGGCTGGCAAATCGCAGGCCGTAACCGCGCACTGGAATGTGAGCGAATTTCCACCCCATCACGGTGGATCTTCACGCAAGCAGAAGGGAAACTGACTAGCGACAGTTCATAGATTCGACGATAACGTCTTCTGCAAGGCCAGGATTCAATGGTGATTAATTACCGATCGGAGCTAACTAAGATAGCTGCTATCTTGCATGGAAGGAATGATGATGTTTCTGCGAGTGGGTATTCATTATCATTATTATTATCTTGGGAGACCATCTTCGATCCTGCCCCACACCAGTCTGGATCGGAATGTTGTAATGCTTGCGATACAGATGATGTGAGGTAAAGCTACTGTAGGTTACATTATATCAGTATACTTATTAACGAATATCCCAGAGTAAACAATAGATACCTAATATATGCCTGTCAATCGGTACACCATGCTTCTCTCGGGGCTGTCGTCCAACAGTTCCCCAATATCTCCAAGTTCTATTCTTCTAAACAACGAAAAATCCATTATACATGTTTCTCGTTCAATTCGAACATCTCAGGAACCAGAGGACGTCTCTTCGTACGGTCTAAGCTTCAATGTGATTAAGTTGGGTAAGTACCTGAGAATAAGCTCTGAAGTCAAGCTTTTTGACCACATGGCTGGCTGATCAGCGCTCACAGAGAGTGATAATAGCCGACGCAATTCACTGAAAGTTATCGTGGCCGACTATCTGAGATGAAACCATACCATCAAAATTATAGGAGAGTCAAACCGTCAGGGAACCCCCCGTTTAGAGGACTATTATCGCAGTATGCAAACGATGACCGATCTTCAAGTCTTGACTGACAAACTCGAGTGACTAGTAATTAGATTCACGTACTACTAATGTAACTCATGTATCCAATCTAGTCGAAGGACAGGCAAGTAGGTAGAGGTAAAACAATCAATGTCGACGAGTGGGAAGAGCCTGATATCCTTTTCAAACATCCTGCATCAGAACCTCTCCCTCCTCAACATCCACCAGGCCCTGATGGACATATTGGGAAATAGCATTCTCCTTCCACCGCTCGACCCTCTCCTTCTCCAAGGCGCGTTCTCTATCCAAGGCAGTATCTTCTTCCACCATGTGGATCAGATACTCGACAACTTTCTTGGAGCAGGCTTCCAGCGCATCAGTCTTGTCTTTCACGACCTGTTTGATGGCGCCAATAGGACCGACGCGAGCTAGGAACGGGTCGTTTGGGAAAAATGCGGCAGCGCGGTACTCGCCTTCGGAGTTCTCGATGAGACGGCCGTCTGTTTGGGTGATTTCTACCTCCGGGTATTCAAGATTGAGAAGGTTGCAGCTTCCTGTATAGCCATCCCCGAAGGAGCGGGAAATCCTTGGTTAGTTATCACTCTCATTCTGATATAAGTAGACGGGGCGCAATCATACTCTCAAGCTTCTCCCTATAAGTTTTCAAACCGCGGATTTGATCACTAATCTCAGAAGGCGTCAAGCTCCATCTGCTATTCTTAGCGCAGTTCGAAGCTGTAGGGATGTCGTGGATTCTGCGATTCAATACAGGAAGTAGGTTGGAGTTGAGTTTCGACTTCTTTTTCTTGCCAACCTTCGGAGCCGCTGCTTTTCCCTTGGGCATGATAATCTTCAAAGTCTTATGACGTTTGCTCTTGGCAGCAGCCCTGTGAGCAGCAACTAGAGAGCTAGCAGTCCCCAGTCCCGAATTTGTCTCTTGCAATGGTTCATGACATAGGAGGGCAGCGTCCTCCTGAAGGCAGCGAACGAGGGTCGAATAGAATCCCATATGGGCAGCAGCTTTCGTAGCCTCCCTTTCTGTACGATGAGACTTTGGGAGACCGAAATATGAAGCACCGTCAACTTCAACTTCATATCGGAACCCCTTGACATGCACATACTTGGTGTACTTTGGGGGAGACATCTTGTTATGTTCGCAGTACTCTGTCAAAGCCGTCCAATTAGTGCTCATGCTGGATCTCCAACAGACGAATCAAATCTTACTATTCAGAAGTCGAGTCCACCCCCAAAGAGACTCAGTTTCAGTCTCATGAGGCTCATCAGGAACAGCCCAGCTTGGATACTGCATCCTCAGCGTCTCCATAGCGTCTCGACATACGGCAAGTTTAGCTGCAGCTTGGGTGCCGCACTCTTCCTTTACCAGGGTGTGGCCATAGAGCGTCAATTTGACACCCCATTTCCCACTGTCCTCCCTGGTAAAGTCAAAGCGCGGCGCCAGCGACGCCTGAGTGGTAAGAACACCAAAGTAGAACATAATCAGATTGGAAGGCAAGGTGTTCATGTCAAGTGACCCCAAACTCGGGCAGGCTCCAGAAGCTCTGGGGCTTGCCACAGGATCCGATTGAGCTCTCCCAGGAGCGCTGACGTTCATTGAGGATTCAGCCCTTGCAACGCCCGGAGAGAGATGAAGACGCTGAACCTGAACCTCCAAAGGTATTTTGACATCTTCATTCTCATCCTTGATCGGAGACTCCTGGTTCTGCGCCACATATCTACCAGAGACGGAAGTCCCAGAAGGATATGCATGGCTAGCAGAAGGGGCAGGCGGAGACGCACCCAAGCTTGAGTGCCTCTGGATAGAACCAACCGCACCCTGTCCACTTGCAGAGAATCCGGCAGAGCCTGCATAGCCCTGGGGCTCTGGCGTAGGAGGTAGCGTGAATGTACGTCCCATGGGACGCGACCACATATTAGCAGTAGGAGCATATGACGCCCCAAAGCTATTATTATAGCAACTATTCATCCCGATGGACCCAGTACCCCAGCCCGGGGGACTGGCAGAGCTAAGGGGGTACATAGCTCCTGAGTTCGTCACACTCGCAAACGGACCAGAAGAATACCCCAAAGCACTTCCAGGTCCTATAGCCATATCCTGAATCCAACTCTGACCATGACCGGCACACGCATACTGATGCTGGTTCTGATTCGCATTCGGGTTCGACGCCATAGCAAAAGCTAATGGAACGTACGTTCTCGAATGATCAGCCAAATCAGCAGCTCCCTGGTTCTGGTTTTGGTTCTGACGATACGGCACAACGAGGGCTCTAGCAAGACTCTATCAAATTTGAAGCATGTCAGCCTGTCGATAATGAACATAGATTGGAATGCAGAGACAAGTTGGAAACTGCTCATCTAATGAAGGAAAGAAAACAGGAGGGTGGGAGAAACTCACTTCAACCTGTGGCGGAAGCGCTTGTTGATCACCAGAACCAGAACCAGAAGCAGGACCAGGATCAAGGATAGTACCGCCAACTTCTTTCTTTATCCATTTCTCCTTCTCAGTGTGAGACTGAGGTTGAGACTCAGGCCAATTAGACTGTTGCATTTTGAACTAGAGACATCCAGGTAGGAGACCTGGTCCTCGTCTGCGTTAAGAGTAATGGATAGAGATGGGGGAAAGGGGCGTCACTGCGTGTCAAAGATTCTGTCAACAGCAGTGGAGGAAAAGAGTCGAGGCGGTGATAAAAAGTAGCCAGGAAGAGCATATTAACTGGACACGCAAGGGTCTAGGGGTGAATCCCTCAGTGCTGGCTTGTGCCTTCACACGCCGCCTACAGGAAGGCTTCTGCCGGACAGTAGCTGCTTCCACATAAGTAACAGGGCGGAAAGTCCCGCTCAGAGTGACATTTATCCTTAGGAAATCGATTCATCAGCTAGGTCCTGAGGGCAGTTGGATATTCCATAAGTCTTATACAATGAAAGCTGCAACTTCAACATAGAAAATACAAGTTGTCCACAGCTCATCCACACGACTGTATCCCACAGGACATACATTGTATTATCAGCCAGAGTAAGCTTGGGCGTTGCATAGCGCCGTAGATCATGCTACGAGACTCGATTCATCCTTGGTGGGGAATATTGCAGTCTTGTTTATGTTTCTATACGACCACAACACTAGAAATACAATATTTGATACTGCCACCAGGATAGCTGATCTTGGCAAGTAACAATATTCATTCTTTCAATCAGAGACAACAAAAGCGCGGTTTGGACATTTCAACGAGTGACTGGAGAATGGCTGGCAAAATGCTATCTCCTGACAGACCTATTCGATCTCTGAGACCACATGTGCTCTCAGATCAAGCAGATCATCAAACACAATCTGATCATCATTGTCGTGCTCTCCCACACGAATCACCTTTTTCGTTGGCGATGGAGTATCCGCATCATCCTTGCTAGCTCGAGTGTCTCTTACCAGTCCACTAGATCTCTTTCTCTTAGAATCACTCGAGACAGATGACGCGCCACCGCTCCGCAAGATGACTTTTGGTTGAACGCTGCTTCCCCTGCTCACATCCCGACTGGAAGGTTCGCTAGATTCATTTTCCTTGTTGTCCTGAAAGCTCTTGCGTTCCTTCTTGCCTTTCACCTTTGGACTTGGACTGACCTGGAGCCTTTTTTCCATTGAAGTCTCACCCGGGCTGTCTGGAGGCGGCCCAGACTTCACGCTGGAACCAGAAGCATCTCTGGTCCCCGGTTGTGAGACTTCCTTCAAAATAGAGGTTCGACTTCCGTTTTTCGTACTATAAGATGCCGACCTGGCTTCTGCTGCAGCGGACGGTTTGGATGCCATAGGAGGTATAGATGCAGGAGTGTTAGTCGGAGCAAACGTGCCACTAGACCGCGGCTTTGGCGCTCCAAAGGCGTCGATCAGTGGGCCATATGTTTCGTCATCCGCTGAAGCCGATATACTGGGGTTCTTGCTGTGTTCGAAACTGATACCGGTCATGTTGGAAATGGCCCGGCTGCTTGTCGAGCTTGAACCGACATAGTCGGGCATTGGGACATCTTCCAAAGTAGATCTGGCTCCTCGTCTACTTGATCTATGGGTCATGTAGGGATCCATAAAAGGATCTGGCATGGGGAGATCATTTGAAGCCCATCTAGGGTCCCTCAAACCGCCTTGCCATTGTGCAGTTGGCGGCGGAAAGATTCTGTATGGCCACGTAGAGTACATAGCCATGCTACTATTGATGCTACTTCCTGTTCCGCTCGTTGTCGTCTCATGTCGAGCTGGAGAATGGGCGTGCGCATCTTCTGTATCTTTGTTATCGCTGAAGATGCTCTCAGAATGATATTTGAACATATTTCGGGAAGTCTGCAACCACATCCCTGGATTCGGCCAAGCTATGTTCGAGTGCTCTAGGGCCTCTGGAATAGATGTCAGCTGATAAATGTTCTCGTAACACTGTGTCTAACAACATACGCAGAGGTGCATGCTGAAAGGCAAATATGATAATATCCTTTACTCGCTCGAATGGCGGCGAACGATGCGGTCGAGAAAGCCCCTCCGATATGACTACCCTGATGCGGCCATGAGATTCACCGGCATCCCAATGGCTCTGGTATAGTATCTCCGAGTGAAACGGCGGGAACCGGAGGTGATCTTGATTTCCGTTCTTGTCGACCTCTAAACACGGCGTCAGTCGTTGCAGCCAGAGACACTGGGCTATTATTAGTATCCTTACGGGAACTCTGATCTAGACAGCAGTCAGCACATTAATGGAGAAGAAATCTTCAGAAACACCTACTAATGACATGAGGCCACACGGTCATTTGCCCGAAGATACTACCCCTGTGAGATAGTATGTCAGTCAGCCTCACCCATCCATCTATGACCACAACCCTGGGTAGGCCAGCCATACGAGACACAGAGACCATCTATAAAGACCCGAACCTCATACAAGACGACGTCCTCAGGTTGCATAAAACCCTCCAGCCGTCTACTTGGACGAGGTCTATCCCAGCTGTGAACAGAGACCCTAAACGGACTATTCTGAGGCAGACTGGGTATGAAGGTAGTGAGAACAGGTATCTGAGCGGCATTTCCAGAATTCCCATGGCCCGAGTAAAACGGCCCAGGGCTCAAAATAGAATGGTCCTGGAAATGGAGATAAGGGGATTCTAGTGATCCACAGCATTAGTTCCTAGTTTCAGAGGCGAATGCGGCACTCGGGAGCAGACCTCGATCTTTCGTGACGAAGCATTGAGTCTTGAATTCCTGGATGGGCACTCTGGAGCCCTCTGGGAAGAGGAGAACATCCCAGTTCTCGTACCTCATGTCGAGCCAAGGAGCACTGTTTCCAATTCGGAGTTGAGTACCGTGCTCATGGGAAACCGGTTACAGAGATGATTTGCTGGACATGGCATGAAAATAAGACAGGATGAGTTTGGAATGGCGACGATAGGAGTTGCCCTGCAGCAACAGACAATGATGCTATTGACTGCCATCCTAGCTGTGGTCAGAGTCGTGCCTTCCGCATGAGTATGCGTATAATAAGAGGCAGGATAGAACCGCTGTGATTGGTACCCGAGAAGGCACCCCCGATAGCGACTGCGACGCCAACGCCAAATAATAATAACGGCGGGTGTGATAGATATCGAACCTTAGGTAGTCAGTAGGTAGATAGGCGATCGCATGGCACTCGATTAACTCGCAATAGTAGTCAAAACCTGAGAATGCTCCTAACCCACAGCATACACCTACAAGAATCTAGTCTACGGGACAACTCTCCAAAGAGCAAAAGTATGATCACAGGTAAATTCAAGTTGAAATCCGTTTGTCGTACATAAATACTATCCCAGAACCCGCCGACGGAGCAGCTTGGAAATTCTCTAGAAAGGAAGAGACCAACCATAATGCCATCCGGAGAGCCGATGGCTTTTTTAAAAAACCTCACGCATCCGACCATAAGATACCCGTGCCAGAAGATGCGCCAACCCCCAAACCCGTGGTCCTATCGTAGAGGATGATTCCGTGACTCCGACATCGCAAGCATGATAATTTGGGGGAGGAAGAAGGGAAAAGAGATAGCGATAGAGAGAGGAGGGGGCGGGAACCAATGCGAAGCGAAGAGGGGGAGGGGGAATCATTCGCAGGAGGGAGAAAAGTGCCTTGCAGCAGTTTATCGAAGACAAGAAGGACCGGAAAGAGAAATTACGAGAAACAGAGATAGAAATACGAGGCATATCAAGTTCCGTCATAAGTTCACAACAACCGGTTCAACTCGAGAGATGGCCGTAGCGTGTGCATGGTGCGCCTCGAACCGAAACTGCGAAAAGGGTATCTAGAAAGCAGGCATTCTATCGTCCCCTAGTAGAGCTACAAGAACGAAGCTTCACGAGCGGACCACCCTAAGTTTCGCCCGTGGCACCCATTCAAGCGCAACAACAAACGAACCATTTGCCGAAAGGGTTCTCAAAACTTGAACGTAGGAGCAATTTAACGTACTTAAAAATCAAATGAGTGGAAGGTGTTTGCCCTCCGTGCTAAGAGAAATAGGTGGAAGAAGAGAAAGGACAATAGCAGGGGAACAAATGGTTGTTGTACAGGCCATCAGTCTAGCAAAAAGCATGATGCAACATCCTCAATGACACTGTTCCATCCGGCCCTTTCGTTGGAGAAGGAGACGATAAACTTTTCGCAGAATGCCAACCCAACGTGTAAGAGAAGAAATCACATCGACGAGGTTCAGTGGCCGTTACACGCAGGAAGGAAACACGAGGGGGAGAAAAACGACGAGGGGATTCGACAAAGGGGGCTAAGAAACAAGAGATCCTCGAGATAGAAAGTTAAGAAAAAATAACAAGGGGGCTCAGGCTGTTTCAGGATGAAAGGTGAAATAAGGGTCCACATCTTGCTGTAATGAAAGCGCTCAGATGGAAAGAAAATGCCTAGCACAGGAGACAATTGCTCATCAAGAGCTATAGAGGAGAGCCTTAAGAGAAGAGAAGAACTGCAAACTCATTTTGACACAAAGACCCATCATTGTAATGACGCAACAAACTCCTGCTGGTGCTTTCGAGAAAATGGAACACTCTCACTATATCGGTGTTAGTCATGTCAACTGAAGGTTTAATAGTAACGAACCTTCATTGGCGCAAAGCCACCATACTGGTGAGCAGCTGGGGGGATGCCCATGGAAGGGTAGATTGGTGGAGGAGGTGCCGGGCGGTAAGGGGTACCAGCTGGGCCGGAGTTGTTCTGGGAGCGACCCCAGCTGAGGCGGACACGGGAGTTGCCGATGGGGTAACCCTGCATCTGGTTGATGGCCATCTCAGCGGCGTGGCGCTGGACGAACTGGACGAAACCACAGCCCTTGCCAGGGGGAATCTTGACATAGGTAATCTCGCCAAAGCCCTGGAAGAAGGAGCGGAGCTCGTCCTCAGTGACATAGCCGGACAGACCACCGACGAAGACGGTGGTGTTGTTGGGGTCAGTGAACTGGTTCATGGGCTGGGGAGCACCGTAGAAGCCCATGGGGGGACCGCCCATAGCCGGGGGGTACAGGCCAGCGGGAGCACCGGGCATGCCCATGGCACCAGGGCCAGCACCGGGACCCTTGTTCTTGGGAGTGGCAGTCGAGATGCGCATGGGACGGTTGCCGCAGTAGACACCCTGCATTTCGGTCAAAGCACGCTGCTGGTCATTCTCGTCGGAGAAACGAACGAAACCGTAGCCGCGAGACATGCCGCTGATGGGGTCGGTCATGATCTTGGCGGACTTGCAGGACGGGAAGCGGCTCTGGAAGAGGGAGACCAGAACGTATTCGTTCACCTCAGGGCCAAGGTCACCAACGAAGATGGAGTACTCGGGACCACGGTCGTCACGGCTAGAGCGGAATCGTTAGCATCCGACACACAAGCAGGTGGATGATCCGTCGCCTACCTTCGGTCAGCCAGACCGCCGCCAGTAGCCCAGTTCAGCTTGAAGGGACGGGTGGTGTTGGGGATCGGGGTGCCGTTGAGAGACAGGGCCTTGGCGGCGGCGGCGGGGGAAGAGAAGTCGACGAAACAGTAGCCGGCATTGCTTCTGCTACCAAAATTAGACTGATGCTCCAGGATGACGATTTTATAGGATACCTACCCAGAGAACTTGTCACGGATCATCTTCACGTTGACCTGCTCGCCCATCTGGAACCACAGGTTACGGATGAAGTTCTCGTCAATCCAGGGCTCGAGTTCACCCATCCTAAATCAGATATCAGCATCATCCCTAGCACCTGACAGTTTGGACAACGGCGACACATGCAAGAACATACCAGAGAGTAGTCTTTCCCTCAACGCCCTGCTGGGATCCAGTAGAGGGCTCACCGGGCGTGGGACCCTGGAAAGGAGCCGGGGACGGGTCGGCCTGACCGGTCATGGTGGCATCCGCAGAGGCCGGGGCGCCAGGAGCGGAAGCAGTGTCCGCGGGCGGGTGCTGGTTCTGGAAAGAATCGAAATTTTGGAACGACATATTGGATATGGAAGTGTTCGAAAGCACAGATTACTCGATAGATGCGTCGCTTCGCTGGAAATAGGACCAGAAGATCAAACGAAACTTTTGTATCCCAGAGGAACGGCCGTAGCGACTTTTGACTTCGTAGGAGTCGTTAAGGAAAGACGGTCGTAGTGAACACTTCGTAAGATGCCTAAAAGGACACGAATGGGTATTTGACTTTCTGAAGACTCCGATGAACGCCGTTAGTGAATGGTCTTCAATGAGATTCCAGTGATCTTTTTTTTTCGCTCGAGACGCGATCAATAAAAAATCAAGCGGAGTGTATGGAATGACGGAACGAAAGATATCATCGCGCGACGATGAATAGGTGACAGGAATACAGGCAGACAGATGGGGGAAAAAGGAAGATGGGTTCCGCGAGGAAGATGCCACTGGAGAAGGTGGTAGGTCACGGGGGAAGAGAAGGTCCAGAGACGGAATGAGGTGAGGTGAGGTGGGAGAGAAAGCAGGAATAGGCGATGTGACTGATGACCAGCCTCCTCCCCACGATGCCAAGACCCGCGAAGTTGCAGAGCGATCGATCGATCGATTGATTGACCAGAGGGGATTGGACGCTTTCACAAGCAGAGTGAAACGAGGATATTCGGATCTGGAGCAAAAGCCCCCAAAGCAGGGTGAAGATGACTTGATGCGACCGCCCCCATTCACCACCAGCCTTCCGCTTCCGTCGATTCCACCACCATTTCCGTCAAGCGACAATTTCGACGTAACCCCCGGCACACCATTGCAGCAACACGCGCTTCCTGCCCATACTCGCTCTCCGATTATCTCCCCTAACAATGGCCATCCGATCCTCAACTGCATGCAGTGGCGTCGACGAGAACTTTTTCTGTTGCCCACAATGCGCCCTGGCGACCACATGACTGGGATTTGCAATTCATCGCTTGGCAGCCCGGCGACGCATCGTCAGGATGAGCAGCCATTGTGAAGAGGCATCGTGTCCGTCGTTCCGGGGAATTGATCGCGGAGAAGCTCGTCATCGCATCGCTGGATTGGACGTGGCGGAGCGGGGGTGGGGGTGCCAGGGCAGTTGGTGCGAGTGCAAGACACTCCGGCGAGGCATAGTAAGGATTTGAGGGTAGGCAGAGAGGGGTGATTATTATTGATGGGGGATGGTCTTTGCTGAGACCGGACGATCGTCCTTGCACCGGCGAGCGCACCGTCCGATAGTGACGAGTGGGATGGAGGGGAAGTCACCCAGGGCAAAAATCCGGCATATGTGGGAAAAAGCCAGGCGGGGGCAAGAGACATGAACCAGTCAAAAGGAAAAGATATATACTCACAGAGCAAGATCGAAACTGCGCGCAAAGAAAATCGAATTTATTTTCGTGCTTGCTGGCTTGCTTTTCCTACTTGCTGCAAAAGAATATGTTGGACAGATTGGGAGCGCCAAGTGCCGAGGAACACACAAGCAGAGACCTGAAAATCAAGATAACTCCGGCGACACAAAGGCACACTGAAGGATAAACCGACTCCGACCTGATCCGGCGCGTACACAAGGGAACGTCAGAAGAAGGGGAGAGAGGAGGGGGAGAGAAAGAAGCGCAATGACAAGAGAAGATCTCGACACGAGAAGGGAGGAGGAGGAGGGAAAGGGAAGAAGAGAGAGTTCAGAGAGGAGAGAAAGAAAAGAAGAACCGGGCAGCGCAGTAGAGAGAGAGCCCACGGAACGAACAAACGAAATACCAGACGGGCTGCAAGTGACGATGAGGGGCCAAGGAAAACAGCAGGTGGGACGAGAGTTTGCCGACTAAAAGCTTTGTGACCGGACTAGGAGCAGCCCAGGCGATCAAGGCACGGCGGGACGCGGCCGTCTCAGATGTTCTTCTCTGCTCTTGGATCGCCTCGTGGATTCGAGACCCTGGCGGACTAATATAAGACATTACATATATATATATATAGACATTATTATTATTATTATATACACTGACAGACAGATAACCAGATCAGATCCGGCCAGCATCCCCAGAGTCAAGACAACCAACCCGAGGCGCAGAGATCCGGATGGCTTGGGATGAAGGATTCCCGTATTGACACCAGCCTTAAGTCAAAGCGCAACAGCAGCAAGCTCGGATCCAGTCGCTCGGATGGGGAGGCGCATCAACGAACCCTGGTGTGGCCGATCGATCTTTTTTGTTAAAAAAAGCCTCCTCCCCTCTTCATCTGGCACAGCCCGGATCTCCGCTTCTCGCGAGGTTCTACGGATTATTACGCTGGAAGCAAGAAGACAAAGCACAGGACATAAGTTAGAGCACAGCAAAAAGCTGACCCGGAAAGCAACGCGCGAACCCTGCCTGGAAGCTCATTCCGTCGCGCGATCGGGATCTGTGCAGCGCTCATTGGCCCTGAAGCCGATCTGACTTGGTCTACAGCATCTAGCAACTTCACAGGAGTCTACTCGCCTCGACGAGCAGGACGGGAGGTCATCTGCTGCCTGGATCAGCAGCCGTGAGGGAGGGTGGGCAGCTGGACCAGCGGCTCTGCGATCCGTAAACGACGCAAGAACAAACCATGGATGGCGATGGGGTTTTCGGGAAAAGACGCTCGTCCATGCCCGCAGCTAGCTGGGCGAGTTAGTTCAGGCTCAGCTGAAGCAAGAAAAGAACCGGCGGCAGACGGAGAGGCAGCTGGGCCGCGATGGATGCGTGGCAAGCCGGTTGTTAGAGTCGATTTGATAATCGTCTTCTGGGGAACCGGACAAGCCACTGCATGTAATCTGCAAGGACCGGTCTGCAGATATTGCCGTTTTGCTTTTTCGTCCTCTCTTGCCGCCAGGATCGGACTGGGATTGTGGTCTGCAGCGGTCGGGTATCTCGTCTACAGTGACTAGTCAGGTAGTCGTAGTACAGATATCTCCGGACTTGGCCAGGTCCCCTGTCTGTCGCGCATCACTGTTCCGTTCTCAGCCACAGAGGAAGACAAACAAAACGGACAGGTTCCGCTCGGGTGTTGAGGAAGATATTTATCTTGGACAGCAATCCCGTTCGGGTTCAGGACAAGACGAGATCTGTTTAGTCGACTAAAGCAACCTAACCAGGCGTCCGGAGTGGGCAGAAAAAGGAAAAGACCGACTGCCCCGCCCGACAGAAATCAGTCAGTCCCGACAGGCAGAACCGAGATGAGAGAGAGAACGCGTTTTTCTTAATAATAATAAAATAATAATAATACAAGTAGAGTACAGTAGAATAGAGTAGATACATCCAGTCTAGCTAGAGCAGATCGCACACAGATGCAACGGTATCCCGTCTTCATCTCCAAGAATGTGAGTTCATTTCCAACCTGATAACCAAGTGATACGTCACGTCACGCAGGGAAACGCGCCAAACTCCACAGGCTGCACGGACACTGGCGCGTGCTTTGGGCTGCCCTAAGACCTAAGTAATAATAATAATGGCCTAAAGCAACAGACAAGAATCCGATCGGGTGGAAAGCAATAATAATAATGATAATAATAAATGAACACTAGTCAACTCATCTTCGTGGTACTAACAGTATTGGATCCATCCAGAGAGACAAGTTATTCCCTGTAAGGCGCTTTGTCTGCTGACTCTGGTGGTCACTTGTTCTTGTCCTGTCCCTGAGATCCAAACTGCCCAATCAGTGGCCGGACTCCCCATCCGGCTCCATCCTGTTTGTCCCCGTTTTTCTTGTTCTTTTTCATCTGCCGTTCAACTACTGCACAGGCAAGGGGTTTAATGCTCTATATGTTGCGATGTTGCTTTTTCCCATGACTTGGCACCGATAACCCGATTCCAACTCTTCATTAATTTGAAGCAGCTCAGGGAGAAGGGACTATCTATCGCTCAGTTGAATTGAACGGCCCGAATCAATTCCATACTTAGTTATCCATCTCTCGTCATTTATAATCGCGCCTCCTCGACCCATGGTTCGCACGCTCACGATGCCGCCCATCCCCTTCCGGCCCAACCCAACAAGAACCGCCCCAACACGCTCCCGCCGTTGAATAGATAAAAAAAAAAAGAAAAAGAGCCAGAGGCAAAAAGCCCTTCATCCAGTCTCCACTGCCCACACACAACCCGCCGCAAAACACATTCGAGAAGCTTGCCAGAGCTTCCACGGCGTCCGCATCAACGAATAATCGATCAAATCAGTTGTCTCGACATTCCCGCCCCGGTGGATAGTGATGGAGATGATCATCAACCGAATCCACTTGCAATTTTTACTTTACTTAACTGGAGTAAAGTACTCCGTAGTAAAAGCCACAACAGCAACTTCTGCCTGGAGTAAACCCCGAGTCCGGACCTCGGAGCCCAATGAGGAGGAGCACTGTCAACCATTATTCTCGAATAGGGAACTAGTATACTACCTAGGTAATCCATGGATGTTAACTGACTAACTAGTTACTCTACTATAGTAGCTAGAGTAAGCCCTGTCCGTACCGTTGGGCTGGAAAATTTTTATAGTTGTTAGTACTTTAGTGTCAACTTGTATGGAGTTGTACTACTACTGTATCTATACAGACCGCAGTTATGCGCTGTTCTAGAATCTAGACTCGGGTCTCGGCAGGCATCTTACCAACCGCTACTAAGCAGACAGGGAAAGCAATAGATTAAAAATTAAATAAAAAAAATCTTAAACCATCTATTTGTAAGGAGTAGAATTGATTATTTTTAAGAAGAAGTCACTAGTCTCTGAGATGCATACTACAAGGACTGCATTATTATGCGGTCTAATGATACTATAAATCTATATAAATCTAGAAATCTATACTATATATATTTAACTAGATGACGGCAAATGGACAGCCAAAAAACGGCCACAGTCGACGCTGGTTTTTGGCTGACAATTTTCCAGCCCTTCCGCCATCCACGCACCACCAACTACTGACATGAAGTGGAAGTTGGAACCTCAATTCGCCCGCAGCGAGCCCAGCGACCTACCCATACTCACAATCTTGCATTGTGTCTGCTACGCTGCGGTTCCCTAAGGGAGTCGAAAATGGCTTCCTCTCATTATTATCAGAATAAATGGCGGCCTTTCACCCAGGTGGCCCGATGTTTCTTCTCCCAATACGGCGATTCTAATTCGAAATGGCACGATCTTCTTTGACATCCAGACCCATCATCCAAAGCTGGGCTCCTCTTTAAAATACCAAATCTTTATCCCAAAAACAAACCCCGGACACGCTTAATGTTTTACTTTGTGAAACCTCCATCTACCTCCATCTCATGGCTCGCCGTTCTCGAAAGGCAGACTACCAGTCGTCCAACTACAGCGAGTCCAACTACAGCGACGACTCCGATAGAGAAAGCACCCAAGACAAGTCAAGACGACACTGAACTAACCGAGCCCGAGGATGAGGAAGACTATAGCAAAGGCACCACCGCCCTCCTTGACTGGGTGGAGGAAAAGTGATCCCAATAAGGTACGCTGCCCAGGCCTCTTTCGCTCTCCTTCCCGGTGAATTAGCTTCCCAACTTCGGAGCCACATAGATTCTGCGCTTTTCTTCGAAAGGATCCCAAAAAGGAATTCGTATATCTGTTAGTTTCGATCATGTACACCTTCCTTCCTAGACTGGGTTCTCAATCTACAACATGGAAAGAATGGGAGACGGCTTCCAGGCGTTAAGTGCAAGAGCTCGTTGGACGCTTTCTGGAAGGTATTTCGTCTGGTATACAGAAGGGATACTTCCAATAAGATCGGAAAACAGATGAATCGTCAGATGCGTCGAGTATGAGTGACTCCTTCCTCACCGCACAGCCGACCCTGACATCCGCTTCATCTTTGCGTAATGCTTGCTATATAGCTAACTTGTGTAGGTGATCCGAAGATTAGCCAAGAAGCACAAGCTGTCTTTCAGAGGACGTGATAAGCCTCCCATGGACGTCGAGAACTTACAAATTGGCATATCCCCTAACCAGCCTCTTCCCTACACGACATTGGAGCCGCGAGTCAAGAAGATTGGCGCCATCACAGGCTTTCAGCAAGTCACTCGTCCAGCATCTGAGATCGCTTTACTCTAAGTTGATGCGCTTAAGCCTCGAATCAGTAGGCTGTCACATCCATGGAAGGACCCGATGTTCGCTTTGAGCCTGGGTCCCGTTCTTAGACCGCTTACGGCCCGCTGTTCATCACTTCTGGGCGATCGTAAATCTTGACAGGATTGAGTCCCTCCGTCGCACTTCTGTCAACATGGGCTTGCGTGTGGAAGCAGAGTGGACAGATGAGGCATCCACTGAACGATAGTTGTCTGATTCAGCTAATTACCTAGGTAACTATTTCTCTTGTTTACGAAGTAGATCACCTGATATCACATGATAAACAGAAAAGGAATAGTGGCATAGCTGAGTACCCACTGTATTTGAACATTGGGCGGCCCAGTCATGTGATACTGACAACGTATCTTCCTGTTCCCTCTTCCTGTTCCACCTCACCTTCAACATGTTGCCATACTGTGTGATACAAAAAGCAGGCTCCCCAGGGTGCGCATGAGCCTGCTCCTATTCTATCACCCCGCAGACCTGCGGCCTTGAAGAAGAGAATCAAGATTTCTGGGAGAGCTATTTTTGGCGTTCACTAGGTCGATGCTTAAATGGATGCCAGAGGAACGCAAGACAGCCAAACAGCTGCTTGAACACCCATTCTTGCTCTAGCCGCCAGTTATTTTCTTTCGTAACTACGTCTAGTATCTAATCGAATTCCGTCCCAAAATAGTTGGGATCTAGGCATGTGCGTTCCAGAGGAGCTCCTCGGTTCTTCCGGCCTTCTATTACAGAAGCAGAAAAAAGCTCAAGTCTATTAGTCTCCGCACTGGTGGGTTACGAGGAGATTTCCTTGTCAGGATTCCGATATTTGGAGAATATCTATCTCGTGGCCCGAGCTGGATAATCGGGATCACATCACTGAATGCTCCGTCATAGAGCATAACTCATTTCATCTTGGATGTTGGTGTCTCAACTGGTATCTTAAGCTAATGTATTTCATGAAAAGGATTGCCGCGAATGAGATCGCAAAGATCAGTGACGGAAACCCAGGAATCGTATTTCCTACTTGCCGATTGAATCTGATCTACATATGGAAGACATGGAGAGCGCTCTCGCGCTTTCTAGCTTCCTCGGTGCGTTCGAAGGACTTGAAGAGTTGTATGTGTCGGTAGTGAGCTCCTCGAACCCATTATTGATCTGGGGCTCTGCACTGGGCCATAGAAGATCCTTACGGAGGCTTGTCTATCAGCAAATATCTGACGATAGTGATTCTCTCGGTGATCCTGTGATGGCATTTATGCCATCTGAGGTGGACAAACTCTCGAGGATGACGCAATGATAAGTCTAAACAATGACATTTTTCTGCAGGACTACTGATAGCCCCTCCCAAATGATGATCTGATCTAGAGTGAACTTTTCAAACGAATGGGTAAAGATGTTGTTGAAGGAAGAAGAAGAAGAATCCGGCTGAGTTTACTCTAATCTGCATGATTTTATAGTATGGCTCTACGTCCTGCAAATTAGATTTCCATCAATATTTGAAAGACTTGGATTTACGGGGAAAAGGAGAAAGAGAGAAAGAAGAAAAAAAAAAGAAGAAGAAGAAGAAGAAGACTATCGCTTTTCACAAACCAAACTCGTCGAAACGCTGCAAACATGACAGGTCATTATAGAGCTGAAAAACAGCCCATGAAAGTAGGCCCAATATAGATGAAATTGAAAGAGCACTCGGACCAGAACTACGAAAACTTCCTCAATTTCCACATGAACCAACAATTCAGTGACGACTTGGGAACCTTCTCATCCTCTTCATTGAGGAGTTGAGACTTCCCGTCGCCGCATCGACCATGCCGTTCACCCATTGTTGTGGTGCAGTATCTTTCTCGTCTGCGGTCTGATTCTTCACTGGGTACTTGGTCGACGCTACAGACGAGAGCGAGAGATGGTCAGTACAGAGCACTACCCCCAACATATTTCTCATGAATTCCACGAGAAAAGAAAAAGAAGAGGAAAGCATACCAAAGCTTGCTGGCCAATAATTCTCGTAGATGTTCTCCCAATGGCCCGGCTCCGCCTCATACACTTCATGCATGATGCTGATATCACGATGCTCCTTGATGGTCTTATTCCACCAGTTCACACCGGCACTATGGGATGGGTTGTGTGCGAATTTGAGTAACCCATCCATAGAGCGGAAATAGTATATGTTCAGAAGCTCACTGCCTGCGGCGCGGTCCGAGCTGGAGATCCATGATGAAGTTGTGAGATCTAGAAGGATTCCCGGGTTGTCAGGGGGTTTGTTTTTAGATGTTGAAGTAGGTAGAAGGGGAAACAGAACTCACATCCATAATCCTCCCGGTTTGACTCGAGGTCTTTCATCATGTCGACAAAGTATGAGTTGATTTTCTGGAAACCAGGATAAAATATTCCAAGCGGACTAAAGCAGCCGCCGTATGTCAGCATTTTGGTTCGTGTATACACGAGAGAGACATCAAACGCTTTAAAAAGAATCGTCATATAAACGTCACTCCATCTCTTCAACAAGTGAACTAAGCGATGAGACCAAACGTACTGATTAGTCCTCAAACCCAACAAAAGCACAACCACCGTCGCATTCGAAGGCTTATCTCCAAAATTCCCATCTTCATCCGGGATCTGCGCCGTTGTTTTCCTCCCCACGGTCCCGTCCATGTATCGATTCTGTCGAAATCCATATATAATCAAAACCATATCCAGAACGCGATACCCCAGGATAAACAGCGCAGGCAGAAAGCTCAGCACTGTTGGGAAGAGCCATGTGATCACTCCCTGGACTGCTGCTGCGGCAAGGAGCCAGCTCGACGGGGAGAAGTTGTTATTGAGAATCTGCAGGCGGGTTGTGCATTAATTAAAAATAGGATTCTTTGCCCGAATGTTTGGCAAAGGAACGAATCGTACGGACCATTTTGAACCCGTCCTTTTTTGCGAAGACGGACTGGGGCCCCGTGTTCATCGGGGGGAAGATCGGTTTTAGGGCTGGCATGGTTGCAACGGAATTATATATCGTTCGTAGATGCCAAACGCGAGAAATGGACAGCTATGTGATGAGTATCCGTTGCGAAGATCGAGACAGATTGGGCCTTCGATGAGGATGATATATTTGTGTGACAGAAGTACTGTCGCTGTATTTGAGAACAAAAGCACTTCACCCTCAACCCAAGGATTAATGATATAAATAAGCTCTAGAGAAAAGAAGACCAAGCAAGGATCTATACGAGATTATATCTCTCTGCTTACTCGGACTTGCTCTGTTCGCCGTCGGCCCCCATTCAGAGCGCAAAGAAATAAGCAATTGGCCCGAGTGCTGCCCCCCGCATTTAGGTAGTACATGTGTATTGCTCAAGTTCAGCCGCAAAAAGGTCTTACGGCCCTAATAAACGCCTCCATCTGCGGGAATTCTCTTTTACTCTTTCAACCTGTCAGTTGTGCTCAGGACTGGATCGTACGGCGCAATCGACGGCCATGTTCTCCCGTCGCAGAGTTGGATACTCCGTCTGCCGACTCGGGGAGTCGGAGGAATGCTCAGGTTACGGCCGTTGGTGTTGGTTGCAGCTCCAACAATCGGACCCCAAAGCACAGGCAGACGTGTTTGTTGATCCGATTGGGGGCTATTTTTAGGCTATGGTCTACGCCTCCATGATGCTGATAATGCAGTCTGTAATTCCCTTGATGAAAAAGAATCGATTCGATGCTATGATTTTGAGAACATCAACAGGAAGAGCACCCATCTATAGATATCACGCTGAGGCTATAACTACGGAAAACATGATGTCATCAGGCTTGCTGACAACCATCGACAACGAAGCGCCAGAAACACCTTTGCTCCCAGATAAACCAAGCAAATCAACAGAACCAGAATGATCCAACACATTAGCCTCTAACCTTGCGGTAGCTTGGAGGGCTCCAGGCCCGCTTCACAAGCTTTCCGATCCAGACTGGGATCACCGACACCGCTGATACTACGACAACTCGCCAGACCCAGTCCAAAGTGATAACGTATGCGAGATCGAAGTAGTCTCCCAGGAACGGAACGCTGCCTGCATATACCAGCGCCGTTCCAAGGATGCAGAAGATCATGACCGGGTGCCAGGTCGTCACAGCAATAGCCACCATCAGGAGTTCATTGAGAACCAATGCGGTGAATGACACGCTGATAAGTCGGGGACCACTGATAGCGCCGACAAGGATCTGCGAGAGACCCTGGATAACTGCACCCTGGTATACGGAGACCATAACCCACGTGAAGAAGGAACGGTAGCTCAGGCTTCGGCCGGTTTTCAGTTCTTTGTAAAGCTCGGGGTAAAGGTTCGCTAGTTCCTCGTCGACGTCACGGTCCAGAACAAGGGAGAAAACAGGGGCGTTTGTATATATCGTGGCGTAACCGACCATAAGCCAGTTAACAAACAGACCTTTAGGATCGAAGTGGCTAGCGATGCTGTACATAGTCTGACATGCGCTGATGACAAGCCCACGATGCATGATGAATTGTGCCAACTTCGCCGAGCGTTTATAGGAGTTCCGCCCGTGCCACACCAGCAGTTTAGTGACATGATGAAACTGCGTTATGCTAAAGTCCGCGGCCAAGGAGGCTTGTCGACCTTCCTTGCCCACAATACCGATACCAACATCCGCAGACTGGATCATGGAGACATCATTACCTCCATCACCAATGCAGCAAATGCGCTTTTTAGTATGCTGTCGGATCAGATCTGCAATTTCTGCTTTCTGAGTCGGGGAGCATCGACAGGCAATCACAGCGGGCAGACGGACGGCGACAGTAATAAATGCAGACCGATACTGGGCCAACATCAGAGATAGTGATTCACCATCGATGAGAAGACATGCATCGGTCTTGTTTCGAAGGAAATCAAGAGTTTCCTGAGCGACGGACTTTTCTTTCAGTTTGGCAACAGTATGAATGTACTGGCCTCGAGCAACCAATTTTGCTGAAACAGCAACACAGCGTGCAGTCTCGACTTTGTCACCAGTCAGCATCCATATTTTAACGCCAGCATTGCGCAGAAGCTCAAGAGATGGCTTCACGTCTTTTTGTAGACGGTCTTCAACACCAGTCACACCTAGAAGTTCAAGATCGCGCTCAAGATGCTGGCCAACAACCTTGGCCATCCCGACATCCCGACCATGAAGGGCTAGGGATGCTTCCTTGTAGCTTGCAGAAAAGGCCTGGTATTGCTGAAAGGAAAGCCGTTTCCTGCCAACGACGAGAGTTCGCAGACCTTCTCTGGCCATATTTGCTGTTTCCTCATCCAGCCAGTCATTGGCCGCAACTATAGAAGACATAACAGTATCTGCACCTTTCTGATAGAACCATATCTCGGGGTCATCCTTGGAGAGATCTTGCTGACCGACAGTATTTTCAAATCGGACTATGATACCCATGCGTTTGCTATCGGAAGTGAAGGGGAAAACATCCAAGATACGGACGCGTACAACCACATTATTCGTGTGAGTAGACTCGAGAACGATCCTTTGGCGGTCGCGATACGCCAGTCGAAGACCAACTTCCTCAGTATACTTCACGATGGCAATCTCATCGGGGGATGAAGCCTGGTAACTAGTAACTTTTCGGCCATCTTCTTCGTCAGTTGTCGGAGTGACGTTATGGCACAGAGCCAAGGCAAGGATAATATCTCGAACACGAGATCCTATCTCTCTGCGCGTTCGTGTAGCACCGCCCGCCCCAGCATGAGCGCCAAATACCGATGATGGTGTGATCAATACTGGCGCTGCCCCGTTACCCGTAGGGGTCCCGGAGAAACCCTGTTGGATATAAGAAGCAACTTCCTCCATTGCCTCATTTGCGTATGAAACAGTTCCAACATGGATCTTTTTCAACTCCATTTCGTTTTGTGTTAGTGTTCCCGTCTTATCTGACAGTAGATATTCTATCCGCCCCAGATCTTCGGGGATGGTACTAGTTCTGACAACTGTTCCAGGGATATCTTTGTCGCGCTCGATAAAACGGCCGTAGACGGACTTCGCCATATCAAGGTTGACCCGCAGACTCATGGGAATAATGGTCGAGAAGAGAATCAGGTAGATCATGATCGCGATATACCATTCTTTGTCGTTAGTGGGTTGGAATCCCTCTAAAGCAACCAAGATGATGGATAATAGAAAGGTTAATACGCATAGTATCTTGGTTAGACTGTTGATTTCATATTCCAGTAAGCCCACCTTAGACCTAGAAGGCGACGTTGATAACGCCGATCGCGTCTGCGATCCCGTGTATATGATAACCGCTAGGGTCGTGGTGTTCGATGCAATGACAGTGTTCGCCCAGGCAGTGTTGTCGATTGTCAAGGGGGCAGAAGTGTTCCGTGATGGCTCACCGCCTTGGTCACCGTCGGTATCCGCCCCAGGAGATGCAGGGTTCCTGGACTTGTCGATATGAGGGTCATAGGCAGCACCACCGGGCTGCATTAGCTCAATCGTACCCACGAATTTGTTAACGTCCTTTTCAGGAGGACCAGCGGTGACCTTCAGTCGCGGGTAATCGCTGAGGAGGAGACCTTGTGAGAGTGTGGAAGGAAGACGTAATTTCCAGTCTGTCTCTCCGTCAAGCTGATCGGTCCGAATGAACGTATCATTGGTTGCATCTGTTGAGGTGGAAGAGACGGCCGCGATGGTGTTATCGAGTGTTGAGCCTTGCGCATCTACCGGGGAATTTGTGATAGCTGCATCAATGAGATCCGACACAGGTTCCTGTGCAGCCTCGGAGGTGGACTCTTGGGACTCAGATGCGGATGCGTCGTTCAGTGTGCTTTTCAAGATGACCACATCGGCAGGCAGACGCTGATCCTTACGGAGCTTGAGAATGTCGCCTACTTTAAGATCGCGGGATTTCTTCTTGATCTCGTATAGTTTGGAGCTGTCAACTTCGGGGCTCTGGGCAGCTGACAGCACTCGCGCATGGCCCCGGGCGACTGGTCGGCCGAAAGACAAAACCGTGAACTCCTCCGCATTCGCTTCTGCGTCCCTTCTTCGACGCCCTATGTCATCAAGAGCTTCCTTACCGAGTGATATGGAGACAACGAAGGCAAGAGGCGCAATGTAGGTCGATAGATATCCAATTCGCAGAATAGGGATGATTTGCGAAAGGGCAATGAGAAGGAAATAAATGTTGAAGAAGAAGGAGAACTCATTGTACAACGTGCGAGGCAGGAAGCTCCACGGGGTATATTTTGCATTCGAGACGACGTTCGCAGGGAATTTGGTCTTCTGGGCTTGTCCTACCAGGACTTCCCGCGAAGGTGCATCTTCAGGAGCGCTCTCAGCAGCATCCTGGTTACTGAATGGGAGATGTGATGCGTTTGTCGCTTTGAAACTAGGGAGGCGGAATCGGCCGATTCGCGTGGTGGACGGTTCGTCGTGTATCGACGGGCGCAGGCCACCACGAGTCGAACTGCGCAGAAGAGGTGCATCGTCCTCTGGGAAGTTGTTCGAGCTTCCAGACACTCGGCCAGTCTCGTCACCTTGTTCCTCCAACAAGGCGTCCAGGTCGTCCTCTGATTCACGGCGCTGATGTCGTCCCCAAAGACGACCCCTACCCCCTACGCGTAAGTTTCTGAGAGCAATACCGTCTCCATAACCTCTCCGCTTCCCAGCATTATTCCCAGGTTGTCTGAAGGAATGGGAATTACCCTCCGCCTCAGGATCCAGCTCCTCTAAGTCAAGATCATCCTCCGAACCGGAGTCGCCGGCGCTGTCAATCGAATGCAGGTGTTCAGCGGACAAAGACATGGTCTGAAAAGTCTGTGACCACATTCATCCAAAACCAAATTGTTTATACAAGACGCATGCTCGCATATCATGTCAGGTCGAGTAGCAGTGTAGAGAGCTCCAGAGGATCATCGCGTTTGATTCCGTAGGGAGGCGCGACAGGCAGCTATGTTTGTGAGCAAATAGGAAGGAAACTCAGCTCAACGTAGATAAAAGCCAGAACGGACAGTTATTTCGCTAGTCGATCTTCTCACCATAGACGAAAATGATGTTTTGGAAGCCGGAATTATCGCGGTACCCATGTAGTGTTTCAGTCAAGCACTGCCTGGCCATCTGGTGCTGCCACCAGATGTGTAACTGCGGGCCAGTCACGTGCGATACCGGCCGGATCGAAGCCACGTCTCGAGACTTCTTTGGGTTGTGGCGCAGCCATTCAAATCGCGTTGCATTTACACTGTGCGCTCTCTATAGAGTGCAATTTTTATATTTGAGTATAATTATTCCAGGAATATGAGCATCGTCAAGCACTATACTATCGCCAAAGAAGCCAGTTCAGATGGTGGATGATACCCATCCCTACTACTATGTTTGGCCTGGAGATCCATAAGTACTGTACTGTACTGTACATACTCGTAGGTAGCCTAGAAACAAAACGTCATTCAACTACACCACAAGAAGCTGCAGCACAACTGCAAATCTGGCACTAGCCGTGACAAACACCATCGCTCAAAGTGTTCTTTATATATTTACAACCAATATGTATATAAGCCCCAAGGGCTCTGAGCAACCTGGCCTGTTTCACAGCTGTCTTACCATAGATCGGTCAAGACATCATCTGTGCACGTGACTGCGGCAAAGGATAGCTGGCCATCTCCGGACGGAACAATATGAAGCCGCCAGCGCGTCCCGTACTTCAAGGCCCCGGAGTCTCAAACGGCGTCAAGCTGGCCAGTGGTCTCGGTCCAGAATCTCACGGGCATGCGATACGCCATTGTCTTTCCGTCATGACCGTGCGCAGATTGTGTCTTCATTAACTGAGAAAGACAGATTCGTGTGTTTCTGTTTGTCCTTTTCCTTCTTGTTCCATGTGTACAGTATAAGTGAGTCGCCATTACGTTGATGTTGCCATCATCGCCTTGCCGCCCCTGAGCGCTTAGGAAGTCTATGAGACTGACAAGATGGCAGTAGCTTTGATCTCTTCTTTGTTCGATACCTCAGGGAAGGCACCATGTCCAGCAGCAATGGAAATGGCGCGTCTGCAGTCGCGCCCGACGCTTCGTGGAATCCCGCCCTCCGAGCGGAGACGGCAGAGGACCATCCTCTGCCGTCTGCGGAATCGACCAGTTTACACTTGAGCGCAAAGAACTCTGCACCGGAGATTTTAGATAATCTGTCAGAGAGACATAACGCACCAGAGGCTTCGGATGAGAATGGTGTTGTGCCCACGATCGACCATGGTGGTTCTGATAGTCCGGTTCAGAATCCCATTGAAGGCGGAAATGGGCACACTCACGCAGAGTCTGAATCGAGCACACCACCCCAGGAAAATAACGAGCCTGGGATATCGTCTGCCAATGCCACCGGAGATTCTGGAGAGAAACGCGCGGATGGATTTGATTGGGGCGATGACGAGACGGCTTCCGCTTTCGATTCTATCGGTGCTTCTACAGGGCATGCTCAAGGCGAGGAGACGAATGGTTTGACGAATTCGGATTCAGCTTTGGCAGAGTCTGCTGTTCCGAAGGAGGATGTTGCTGCCACGGAGTTGGCTACCGACCCAGAAGAGCCCGCTGCGAGCGAGCAGACACACCTGCCAATGTCTCAGACTACGAATGGGGAAACCCGGGAGAAAGAGAACGCCTATTGGAATGAGTCGGGGAACGGTGCCACAGATTCAGAAGACGACTTCTTTGATCAGTTGAGGACGCAGACCAAACCAATCTACGTACCTCCAGAAGCTGAAACTCGATATGAAGAGGGCATCCCTCTCGTGGAGGATCTGCCTGAGACACCGGTCTCGCCAGAAGCCAAAAGGGGCAGCCGATTATCCAAGATTTTTGACGATGATTATGAAGGTGATGACTTCTTTAGCTCTGCGCAGAAGTCCTCTGTTCCAGAAGTGGTTCCTCCTCCTGTCAAGCGCAAGGACACGTCGGAGGTATTAGGTTCTATGGACTTTTCTAGGGATGAAGAAAGTAGTGAGAGTCCAGCACCGTTTTTGCAACCTCCTGATGGAGAAAATACTCAGTCTATCCAAAAGACATCATCTGAGGAGGACCTTGCTGCTCGATGGCAAGCTGAATTGGATGACGACGACTTGTTGATAGATGACGATCTCGCTGGAAATACTCCGGCAGCTACACAACCAGTTCCGGAACCTACACCTCTGAATGATATCCAACCAGCGAGTCAAAACACAGGTTACTGGCCTCAGCAAGGCTTTGTCGACTCTCAAGTCAAGCCGAATCTATACACGCCTCATCAACCATCGATATCAGAGCTGACACAGGGTTTACCTCTGCCGACATACGGGCAGGGAAGCAGTCCCTTTGTTCCACCGGCATATTCCAATCAGCCCCAACCGGCAGCTACTGGGGAGAAAGCTGAAAGCTTCGTACATCGCTCAAAGGAGGGCTATAAATCCCCTTATGACATCCCAGTCGACCTGACACGTCCAAGGAGGGCGGTTAAAACGCCTAAGCCCGTCGTCGTGTCGCCGGTTACTGCTACATCTGCGGCTACTGCCATGCCCCCTCCTCCTCCCAGGAGCAGTAGCATTACTAGTATGCCGCCTCCACCGGCAGCGACGCCGCCGGCACCACCAGTGACGGCGCCCAAAAATTTCTATGAAGAGCTTCCTCCGCCCTCGAAGTCTCGTCCAGCAAGCAGAGGTAGATATACTCCACAGCCTGCTGCTGCTTCAACTGCCGTACCTTCACCGCCAGTGGCTGTACCGCCTTCTGCGCCTTTGTCTTCAGCCCCTCCCCGCCCCGCTACCGATTCATACGCGTCTAAGCTTCAACAGCCCGAACGCATAGATCCGTATGCTACTCTTCCTGTCCCGAGTGCTCCTTCGGCAGGGCCCGGTGCCGCCTCGAGATACTCGCCCCAGCCTCCTGGGCAACTAGCGGCCAAACCTCCACCATCTCCGAGATACTCCCCCGCTCCGCCTCCTCAGTCTACTGCGCCGCCTGCTCGCAATCGCTATGCTTCTCAACCAGCAGGTGTTGGTCCTCAGTCGAACGTCTTGCCCTTCCAGCCGCGCACGTCAAGCCCCCTCGCTCATCATGAGAGAAATGCGTATCGACCTCAAGCCTCCTTTGAAGTACCAGAAGCACAACAGGAAAGTGTATCACCTCCTCTCCTGCAGCGAGGGCAGACTCCCGAGCACCTCAATTCTCCGGTGCCCTCCCAGCAGATGTCTCCCTCTAGCAACCGATATGCACCTCCAACCTACGTCAATGAGTTTGCAGGGCGAGTCGAATCGGAGCCGCAGCCGCAACCGCAACATATACCTCAGCCAAGGATTCCCTCGCAGCTGCCTGCGCCTGCTAATGATGTGCAGTTCGCCCCTCCCCGGAGGTCAATTACACAGTCTCCCGGGAGACAGCTAGCTGGTCCAAGTCTGTCAATGACTACGACTGAACCATTCCAAAGACCTGCTTCTGTGCATGATCCTAGCTCCCCAACAAAAAGTGTTAATCCGTATGCTGCCTCTGCGCGAACATTGCCGCAGCAGCTTCAGTTTATACCTCCAACCGATGACCAGCAATTAGATCCTCTTGAACGCTGGAAGGGAGCCCCTATCATCGGCTTTGGCTTCGGAGGCGGTGTCACTACGTGCTTTCCTAAACATATCCCTCGATACACAGCTGGAAGTCTCGCACCACAGATTAAGCCTACGCCTGGGGAGGTGAAGATACGTCAATTTCGTGATATCTTGCCACCTGCGGAAAATATAGTACAGTACCCGGGCCCTCTGAAATCGAAGTCAAAGAAGAAGGAGGTCATTGCTTGGTTATCAAGCAAGATCGCTGAGTTCGAGAACTCTGGCATCTCGGAGGCTTCTCGTCTGCACCCGGAGCCTGACAAACGCCATGAAGAGAAAGTACTCCTTTGGAAGATAGTCAGACTCCTCGTGGAACATGATGGCACTTTAGAAGGATCGCCTGATATTCAAAAATCCATCCGCAGTGTTCTGTTCCCGGGTCTCGAAACCTCTGAGACCGAGCAGCTATATAGCAGTGATCTCAATGCATCTGGCATATATCAGCCCACTGGGTCGTCTTCTCAGCCTGATGCTGTGGATTTCGTGACTCTCCAGAAAATTCGAAATGACCTTCTTGCTGGCGAGCGGGAGAAGGCAGTCTGGAATGCGGTGGACGGCCGTCTATGGGGCCACGCAATGCTGATTTCGTCGACGCTGGACCGGTCTGTCTGGAGACAGGTGGTCCAAGAATTTGTTAGAAGAGAAGTGCGCTCTGCTGGTCCCCATAGTGAATCTCTCGCGGCACTCTATGAGATATTCGCAGGAAACCTCGAGGAGAGCATAGACGAACTGGTCCCTCCTTCTGCTCGGGCAGGTTTGCAGATGGTGAGCAAACTAGATGGCCAGGGGCCTGCCAAGAATGCGCTTGATGGTCTAGATAGCTGGCGTGATACTTTAGGACTGGTCTTGGGAAACCGCAGTGCCGATGACTATCAAGCCCTGGTTGCGTTGGGTCGACTACTTGCCTCCTACGGTCGCACAGAAGCTTCTCATATATGCTACATATTTTCGCAAGCCATGTCACCTCTCCAATTATTCGGCGGCGTGGATGATCCGCAGGCAAATGTTGTACTTCTTGGAGCTGACCACCGCCAATTTCCTACTACCTTCTTCCTTGATGAAGATGCGGTTCTTCTGACGGAGGTTTACGAGTTCGCTACAGCAGTGCTGAAAAATTCCCCGGTTGCCGTTCTGCCACATCTTCAGGCATTCAAAATCCAATATGCGATGGCTTTGGTCGACAGTGGACGAAAGGCAGAAGCACAACAATACTGTGATGCAATCGCAGCTACCTTGAAGGCGAGCACGAAACCTTCCCATTATTACCACCAGCGCCTATTCTCGGAGCTCGACGAATTGTCCACCCGCCTCAGGCAAGCGCCTGCTGAAGGTGGTTCGTCTTGGATATCGAAGCCCAGTATGGAGAAGGTGTCGGGATCTATGTGGGCCAAGTTCAACAGCTTCGTTGCTGGAGACGACAGTGAAACCGCTCCAAACGGCTCTCCTAAACCAGGTGAGGATATCGGGCCTTTCGCCAAGGTTACTGGTACTCCGACCGTGAGCCGCTCTCCGTCGGTGTCGGATCTGTACGGATCTTATCCTGCGTCAGCGCCGCAGCCTATTCCGAGTACGTCATCACGATATGCTCCGGGTAATCAGTATGCCCCGAATGGGTCTCCTGAACAGTATCGTGCAAGATCATCCCTGGACTCTCAGCGTTCTCCGTCCTTCGGCTTCCCGTTTGGTCAGCGACGTGGCTCGCAGGAGCCATCTACCCCAGGCGATACCAGTTCATATCAGGGCGGGGCTTTCAATCCTTATGGCTCGCCGGCTACTTTCGGCTACCAGGCTACTCCCCCACAGTCATCTTACATGCCTCTAGCGCCAGTAGAGGAGGACTTGGCCTCCCAAACGTATCCACAACAAGGTGTCAGCTCACGACAGTCTTCGATGTCGGGTGGTTATAATCCAGGTCACACTTTCCGCCAGAATTCGTTTGGACAGCCCCTTCATCCCCAAGAGCCTGCCGGTTACCCGGTAGCAAGTTCTACCTATGAACCTCCATCTGGCGGTACATACGAACCTCCGTCATATGAACCGGAAGGCACAACGACTCCGGAAGACCAGGCCGAGTCACCTGTTGAGAAGCCGAAGAAAAAGTCCTTTATCGATGACGACGATGATGATGACCTGGCCGCTCGCGCGGAAGCACTCAAGAAGGCCGAAAAGGAGAGAAAAGATCGTGAGGCGGATGAGGCGTTCAGGAGAGCTGCCGAAGCTGATGGTAAGATCTACGCCAAGTCTTCTGTTTGAAAACCCCTTTACTAATATAATTACTATAGCCAAAAAGCCTGCGCAATCCGGCAAGAAAGGTTGGTTCGGCGGTTGGTTCGCAGGGAGGAGGGACAGCGAGACTTCTAACGGTGGTGGTCCTATCCGCGCAAAGCTCGGCGAGGAAAATTCCTTCTATTACGACCCCAATTTAAAGAAATGGGTCAACAAGAAGGATCCTAACAGCGCCAATACCGCGACGCAAGCTACACCACCGCCGCCCAAGGGGCCTGCTCCGCAGAGCAGAGCCTCCAGCTCTGGCAGTGGTGCTGCCCCTACTGGTCCCCAAGCGCCTTCAAGCGGTCCAGCATTTGCGGCTTCTATGACACCCCCTTCGGTCGCCCCGCTACGCTCCGGCAGTCCAGCTACACCGTCGCTAGCTACGCCTCCAAATTCTTTGCCACGATCCTTGTCATACGGTGCAGCAGCGAACTCGACGCCTCCTGCGGGCTCTAGCCTCGCGCCACCCTCTCGACCGTCCACTTCACTAAGCAATGCTAGCTCGATAGATGATTTGCTTGGGGCCCCGCAACCCCGAAAGGGAGGTACTGCCAGGGGAAAGAAGAAGGGAAGAGGCTACGTCGATGTCATGGCGAAATGATGACATTTATTCTGACGTTTTGATGTGACCAAGTGGACAAATCAACCTGACTTATACCGACATTGGCCCTCCCATGGAAGCATCATTTGTGGGATCAATCTTGTGACACTGGTTAATCTGTTGCATTTGATATCTGGTTATTCGAGCTTCTCGAGCCTCAAGGTTTTTCAGCGCAGTTGCTCATTGGCAACTTTGATTTTGAACGAATTTTACTTTCTGCTTTGCTGCCTCTTTGCATCACCCGGCGCTTTTATGAAGGCCTCTGTTACCTGGATCGGAGCTGGATTGTCCTCCCCAGTATTGCCTGTCATATTTTGTCGACATCTCTTGACCCGTTCAGAGGCTATGTCTTTGTATGTTATTGTAATATTTGGTCGTGTTATGATCGCGCCCTAAAGGAATATATGATGTCTAATACTATTAACTCACAATTGATGACACACGTATAGTAACATGTGTGATTAAGATACTATCGATAGGTTCTGACATCAGAGACTCCTCAAACATTCTATTACCTAAGTGATAATTCCGAGCCTCTTCTACATTGTTATAAGATGTCTTGGAATGAGTACACTGCCGGTTCACAAGATTGATATTACTAGTATTCCGATAGTTCTTTTAACATTTTGCTTGGTTCACGTGGCATACGAATTGATATAATACTATAAAATGCACTTGTCAATTCCTGCACACTTCGATATTTTGGCAGAAGTTCTGAAGACTCACTGTTAAACATGAATCTTCTCCGGCCCAGCTCCCATGGAGGTAGACATATAGAATGAGTGCAGTCTCATGGATGAAACCTATAAAGAAAACGTGAAATCGGGACGCGTCAGTGGAACGAGGGACAAACAGACGATCAGACAAGTAGTCAGATACACACTTACACGCAACGACCTTCGGACTCAACCGTCCCACACTCAACACGCGACCCCAGTCCTTCCCATCAATTCTCACTTTCGCCCAACCGGCCTCATTCTCTCCATTCTCACCGCCCAGTAATCTCATCCGTTCACTCGGAAGCTGGTCCATCTCTGACTGCGATAGCTGCTCCGGATCCAGCGGTGGGTTAATCAGGCCCGACCACACGCTTGAAATCCGCAAGGCATCTGTAGCAATGGCAAGTTTCAAAGAACCATGCATGTTAGCACTCAGCTCAAGCTTGGGCCCTGACGAGCCAGATAACCCGTTACCGGCGGTAGCGGTCCTGCCGCTACTCGTGTCCATCGCTAGCTTATTGAATCGTTCAGAGATACTTTTCAACTGTATCAGACTAGGTAGGATAATGTGCACGTCTGGCGGACGACATCGCGGCTCATGCAATCCTTCCACTGTCGATTGGTGCAGGACCTTGACTGGGATTTCCTGCGTGATGACAGTTTCGCGTTCGCGAGGTCCACGACGACGACTTTCATCGTCTTCGATACTGGTGTTGAATGCTGGAGGGATATCAGTGATGCCTTCACCTGTGCTCTCTGACTCGATTCCAAGCGCATTCGTCCCAGCGGTCCATGATGATGCACGGATCGTGAGTGCGAGAAGAGGTACGGGGCCTTTCTTCGTCAGACGGAGCTGTGCTGAGTTTGCGCCGATGGCAGATCGTAGCGCTCGATGCAGGGCCCCGATGGGGACCTCAAGATTGATTACTCCTGTGGCAGATTGGATCGTGTATGTTTCGTCGAATATGGTTTCCTTGTAAAATGTGTCAGTCAGCTTTATTAACAGAGATGAGGGAAGTAGAATAGAAAACATATTCAAGCAAGCAAGCATACAATCGGTAACTGCGCCCAAACCTGCGTCCCCTGGTCAGGGATAATCGTAAACCGGACTACCTCATCTTCCAGCCTCATCCAACATATCTTCCCCAGCGATGAGAGAGATGCCGTGAATTCTGGTGGGGACGAAATTATTAGCGGACAGCAGATCACAATGTGTAGAGAAATGAAGATAGGCAGTGTGGGCAAAAGAAAGGAAAAGGAAAAAAAAACAAGAAGAAGAAAAAGGGAACTACAGATTAAATCTTTGCTTTTCTTAAGTGAAGATACGTACTGGCAAAAGTGCTGATATTGGTGAGCTGGCTCCTGAACCTCATCTCGCCGAGGCTCCCATGGTTTCCTATCGTCGCGTCAAGGTCGTGTCGTTCGCGTAAAGTACTTTGGAGTTTATGTGGTCCGTGCACTGATATATGCGGAGTACTTGACTACAGCTCAAACAAATCTTGTTGTTGTTAGTCCTATAATAAGTATATTATTCCATAATTAGATAATTATTCTACTGCTATAACAGCTAGAGATGATGTCTAAATTCTAGAGACGTGAGGAATTATTCGTGTATTATTTTTGAATTTATCAAGTCTCGGTACTCGTGTTTCTTGCGATATAAACCTCTATAACTGGAACAATACACGGAACAGAAAATGCTCAAAGTAGAATGTCTGCATATGTGTCATGGGGTGGTGTTGTAGTTTGCGGTCGTCAGAAGGCTAGACGCATAATCTATTAAGTAGAGTTCTCTAATTTGACCACGTTAGGATCGCTCCACAGCCAACGCCGCGATAAGTGCAGCGCCAACTCCAGAGCCATCCTCTGCTGACTGGAGTGTGACAAGATCGTCTGTTCCTTCGGGCCAGTCTAGGATCTCGCGAAGAGCCTGAGCGGCTCGATCTCTGAATCGGTGGTAGTTGTTGAATACGGACCCATCGACGCCGACATGACAGGAAGTGATGTTTTTCTTCTTGCAGATAGCAGCTATTCCACAGGCATACAGCCGTGCAGCGCGCGTCCCGATAAGCTCAACCAGGTATCGACACACCTTGAGCTCGTGAGAAGCCGGTTTAATACCTAACTCCCTATTAAATGCGTCATATATATCTTTCATCGATTCAGAAATGTCTTCCTCGATCGTCGACAGGAAACAGGTGTCAATAACATGAGCCTCACGCAGACGTGAGATATCCTGGCCCTTGAAAAGTCCATCATTATCATGAAGGTGGATCATGACAAGGCGGAGTATCTCCCCCAGGTACAGCCCAGCGACCATCTTTTCATACGTTTGCTGGCCAGGTCGCGGTGAACCTTCATCGATTTCTCGGTCAAATGAGGTAATAGGCAGCACTTTATGCTCGTTGTCAAAGGCACCATATTCCGTATTGATCGCAATTTGAGTATCTGGTGACAGCCCAGCATCTGCAATCTTCGGGATGCAGCCCGCTTCTTCCATGTATGCTGCATTGCAGCCCGTGCTGAAGATACTTCCGATCTTCACCTTCGGGTCAGCGTAGTGGGAAGCAATCAATGTTCCTGTTGTATCATTAACCAGTGCGACAACATGGACAGGTACTTTCTAAAATCTTGTTAGCAATCTTTTGTCAATCGCTGGGCGTATGGACCAAACTAACCTTTGCTTCAAAAGCAGCTTCTAATTGAGGGGTTACATCCTGCCCTTCGACACCCTTGACGTCGAGATCTTTTGTCCACCGCTGCAGGATACCATTTCTGATAGTAGGTTGTGTCACAGGATATGAGAATGTGAACGAGAGTGGCAGCTTCTCAGACGTTTGCCCTCCACGGTGATGCTTCTTCAAAAAGTTGTCCATAGATTCTGCTACGAAGTCCCACAGCTGATCTTTTGTGCCCGACTTCAGGTCTGATGGCATCTTGTATTTGTCTTGTGTGATTTCAAATTCGCCCCTCCCGTCCGTCAAGGCAACTTCACACACTCGCAGGTTTGTACCGCCCATGTCGATGGTCAGGTACCTTCCTTCTTCATCACCAGAGGGAAATCCCATAACCCAGGTAACGTTCATTGGCTTATCTCTGCTGTTAGCCTGGCCATGATCGAGGAGGGACCGGTCCGTATACTGACAATATTACCACCCTCTTTGCTTAAACCTATGCGACGACCGTGTGTCAGCTTTGCATTTCGTTTATATAAATAGTGTTGAAGTTCAATCAGCCCAACCTTTCTCCAACTCCTTGACAAAATGATCGGTGATTTGCTTGAGCTTCTTCTGACTCACAGTGAAGAGATCTTCAATGCGCCGAATTTCATAAAGGACATCCTGGGGTATGTCGACCAACGCCTCTTTCCTATGTCAGAACTGCCCATTGTAGTCGTGGCGGGAACTACTCCTTACTACTTCCAAAAGGCTGCGGAGGATTCTGAGCCCTCTCCATGGTTTCAACACTTATTTAAAAATACACGAACAGGATATAATGAAACAGTCAAGGAAGGATTACTACAGCAATCGTGACGCAGAAAAGTTACCTACATGTCAACCCAGAAGATATGCCAGGCGACGATATATATATTGACACTGGTCCTCTCTGAAATCTCAAGGTTATGGATGCCATGTTTCATCATCATGACCTCTGATGTGGTAGGCCAGAACTCGGGCAGATCCGGAGCCAGGGACACGACTTTATAGAGAAAGCAATACCATATGGTAGAGTGTTTTCTATCCCAGGTTTGACTCATGGACGGACCCACGCCACTATGACAACATTGCCTTAAGGCATTATTGATCGCATACTTCATAACGGCATGAAGTCCTCGGGTCTGTCCAGGCTTTTTAAATCGATCGCTGGGCCTATGAACTTGCGGGAGCCAGCTCCTGCAAATCCAGGCCTAGTTACCGTACTCCGTAGTTTATTTTTCTTTTTTTGGCACTCAAACGAAGGAAGCCCGTGCTCACTCTTCCTGCAGTGGGGATAAAACGATGGCTGGGCTCGCGACTAACGCAGATACTGCAGTAATTAGCTGCCTGCAATCCTCTAGTGCCAATGACTTGCCGCAAACGCGTGTGGTCAGTTTCGTTATGTATGGTAATCGTCTCTGTATACATCTATAGCTGGCCTTGCAGATGTTTTCCTTGGCTGATCGGCGGGCAAGGATCCTGCTGGGCGCGAGGGACACGACAGCCCATCCCGATGTGTAAAGATAGAAAAAACCGCACTGGCAGGGCAAGAGTCGGGCGCAACAACAGAACTCTCGCGTGGTCATCTCCAGGTGGGAGACCAGCCCTACTCTTAAGTGAGTGATGAAGGATCGTCCGGTCCACTTGACGCGGTGATTATTATAATAGTCGACAAGCTCAGAAGCCGAGAAGCCCCCTTTTGGCGGCGGTAGCGTAGAGCCTCCGCGACCCACTGGGAGAGAAGCGCCGCCTCCGAGACGAGACGAGACAAAGACAACGCATCAGCACAGCACAGCTGCTGCGACAAACGGACGTCTGAAGCCAACTATCACCCGACAGAGAGCTGGTCTACTCTGTATACTGCGATCCGACTCAGTCAAGCTCGTCTCCACGCTCGTTTCTACCTCCAAACGCTCTGTTTGGTCCTCCATGTGACCAGTCAACTCCATACTGTCCTTTAACAACGCCTCCCATATTCGACTCTCTTCCGACCACCACCGAAACCAGCCTTCGAGCTTTTTGTTCAGATCTCCCAAGGACCCTTGCCTCTGTGTCCTGCACGATCGAGCATCCGATGTCCCTACGGGATTCCATCTCAGCATGCTCGCATCTCACACATCGATCCTACATACTTACCACACAGCCAGACCTCCCCCCCAGCTAAAGCATAGACTCTTCGACCCTTCCCTCTGGCTGGGTTTTCCCTGTGACGTGCCCTACAGGGCCATGATATTCATCTAAAGACACAATGGCACACCTTAACTCGAGTCCGCTTCTTCCGCAAATGCGCCTGACCCCCGCTAAAATCAGACGGCCTTCGCGGTCTCCGTCACGTTCCCCTGAGCGGAAGTCTCAGTTCTCCTACCATGTCCTAGACCCTCTGCTCAGTAACCTCTCGCCCGAGTCGACCCTTGAGGCGCTGACTTCCGTCGATGCCGTTCCTAAGAACGAAAAGACGGCGCAAGACCTACTGACGCGGAGTATCTCAAAGGTGTCCACGGACGAACGCGCGCTTGGGATTCGGGCAGCGGTGGCAGCAAAGAAGCTAAAAGAATGGTACAGAGAAGTTCTCGGGTGGGGATGGCCGAGGAAGGCAGATGCTCAACTGGGGAAAGGGTTCATTCCGCCAACGCGGACGACGCAAGATGAGTCTGGTACCATCAAATCAGAAGAAGAATACTTTGGCAGCCTCCCAGCGGAAATGGTCAAGCGATACGAGACACGAATCGAAGAGATCCGTGATGGTATGGATAGCCTGGACGTCGAAGAGTTGAAGGAACACGTCCTCAACGCCCATATTCCCTCTCGCTCCCGGCCGTCGTCGTCAGCCAGTACGATATCCGTCGGCCCACCCTCGTTCAGCTATGTTCAATTGAGCGATTTCACCGCTATAGTAACAGCTACCATCCTGCGACTGCTTCCCACTTTATCTCGTTTGAATTTCCTTCTCACTACCTGGGACGTCCGTCTGCTCGTCCTCCGTCAAATACCTGGTCTCTTAAGTCGACTTGAGAAAGCACGTGCCACAATGGACTCCTCAATGGCCGCTCTGAAGCCGGCCCAATCCCTCAAGGAAGATACTTTCTTTTCAAGAGATGCATTTCATGCAAAGCGAGCTGAACTAGAAGCACTAGTCGTCTCTGCGGGAAGAAGGATGGACAACATACTCGACGCTCTGGAAGGCCGCGAGGACTCTCTACCCGAGGCGTGGATCGATGACTTGGAAGCCATAGAAGCTGACTTCGGCACATGGGCTATCGAAGCCGAGAAACGTGTTGTCATGAATGAGTTAATGCGCCTAAATAAACCGAAACTGGAACTGGCCGTTGAAGCTAAAGAACCGGAGGCGCCAATACCTGAATTGGTTCCACGGGAACGTCCCTCAAAACCAGAAACGCCTGCTTTGGAGGTCAACAGCACTCCAGAGAGTCAGTCCATTGCCAATACCAAGAATGAGGACCTTCCAGAGGCCAATATCAACGCACAAGAGGTCTCGAATGATCGGAAGCTCGTCGAAATCAGCGCGAATATCTCGGGATCTACATCCAACACTATCCCTTATGGGGTTGAGAACATTCCTACAAAGACCATAGATACACCTTCAGATCCTATTTCAAGAACCTCATTTGACAATGTCCAGTCAGAAACGCCAAAGCAGAAAGTCGACAGGGTAGCCCCTACCGGTGCAGCAGATATGACACCTCAACCATCCGCTATCCAATTAGATCAACCCGCGGATCTTGATATACACCGTCCTCCACGAGAGACTTTGGATGACCGGCTTTCAGATATCTCTGAAGAGATGTCAACGGATAACCAAGTGTCTCCCACTGGAGAGAAAGATTTGCCTTCACCTAACGATCAAATGCAGGGATCATCACATACAAGTGGTGATATGCAAACTGCCCCAGAGGACTTGCCGCAGAATCTAACGTCTCCTTCTGAGGCTGGAACAGTGTTTGACAAGGAACTGGAGCCACGGCCCGTGTCTAGTTCAAATCCCAACCCTCACACGAGCGACGGAGAATTGTCGGATGACGAGAGCACATCTTCATCAGGTCCCGCTGCCCAAGGCGACAATCAAGCACGAATTTCCCCGACGTCTAATGTTTCCGGCGATAGAGATCAGGCTATACGTGTGGAGAACGCTGCTGCGTATGGAGACGACTCGCCTTCGGAGGATTGCTCACTACCTCGATCATTAGCCCTCGATGGCACCACTGAAAACGAGTCACAAAGTGCGCCACAGCAGCGCTCTGATGCATCGGAAGATGAGATAACTCCCTCTATCGAACATTTGGACCATGATACACCCACTCTTGAGGATATCTCCACACCAGTTGTCAAGCCCTCAGGCGCACTAAACCTACCGGACGTTCCTACTGAGAGGTTATCTGATATCGCAACGACTAAGATGACCGGAAGTGAAGATAATAACGACAGTGAATTCCGGAAGGAGGGTCCTGTTTTGACGGATCTGTCACAAGTGGCACATGATATCTTCATGGGGCCATCCGAGCTACAAGATTCGGCACCACTCGAGGGAACCAACGCGGATACGCCGACAAAGCCTGAGCCTTCTGAATACCCCCCAAATAGCTCACCACATGGCGTTCCATTCTCTTCTCTTTTCTCCAAGCCTCGGGACCGTTCTAGCGATGACGCCAGAAATCAAGACCGTATTGGATCTGTCAGCACTAAGCCAGACGGCAACCTTACTGATGTGGATGAAGAATCATCACCAAAACTTGGTCTCGAAAGCCCGATTAGGATGTCCAAACTGAGGCCGAAGCCTTTGAGCTCCGCAAAGGGTCAGCCTAAGCCATACCGTCGGGATCCCTCCGATGTCTCTGGTGCTGAGTCCCCGATCTCTGATTATCCGTCATTGTTATCAAGCCCGGAAACCAGAGAAGCCTACACTTGTGGATCGCCGACGACTCCGCTGGTTACTGAGACGCCTACCCCTCCTCGAAATGACCATTTATCTACTGAGCATGCTCGAAGCAACAGCCAGGCTACTTTGCGACAGGAGCATCTATTCAACTTCGACCGCCATCGTGGGCCCAGTCGTCCTGAATTCAAACACTGCCGAACAGCAAGTCTTCCATTGCAGCGATTCATCAATGAAGACGTGGATCAAGATTATGATGATGATTTCGTCAATCTGGAGTCACTGGAGCGAAGTCCTAGTCCATCACCTGAACAGATACCTAACGATGAGCTGCCTCCGCTACGGAAACGAGTCATTCCTGCTGATCTTCGCAGGCGCGCACCCGCTACTAAGCATTCGACTTCTGCTGCTCTTAACTTCTCTACTCCCGAAACAGGAACCAGAAACGCCATGGCTAAAAGGCAGGGTGGGCGGGAGACTTCAGAATCTCCGCATCTCCCTGAGAAGATAAAAAAGCCCAGTTCTTGGAAAGCCTCAAGTGTCCCTGCACGGTCAAATAAGCGGTTGAATACACAGGAAACTGATATGTTCGATGGATCTTCCGTGACGGGTCCAGCTTATGCGCTTACCCCATCTGAACTTAGTCGTCCAGCGAGTCCGTCGGCCAAAACGACGGGAGATGAGCTCGAAGACAAAATCAACTCGATTCTAAATACCCTTCCAGCACGAATCCATCTCACGCACGCACCAACTACAGACGGACCTGCCGGGAACTCTTTAGCGCCCTCTCAAAGGAATGAGCGTCTAGGTTCAGTGTCTCCCCGCTGGCCTTCAAGTCGGAGCAGCACGCCTACACCGTCGTTATATCTCACCCCTGCGTATAACCGGGCTCGGCGTCCTCGATCGTATGCAAGTGAGGAGAGTTCCGTCAGGGTCTATCATCTTCATCGCGGAAAAACAGCACCTCCGACTAAGCTGTTTGTCCGCACTGTTGGAGAGGGTGGAGAACGAGTAATGGTGCGAGTTGGTGGAGGCTGGGCCGATTTGGGCGAATACTTGAGAGAATATGCCATTCATCATGGCTCGCGAAGAGTGTCGTCGGACCAACAAAAGGTTGAGGTGCAGGAGATTCCATCTCATTCGTCGCCCTCCCATTCGTCGCCTGGCAGTACCCTGACCCAGCCTTCTAACAATGGCAGAACAACTCCATCTCGCCCTGGCTCTTCTCTCAGTTCGCGATCCCCTTCTTCGCTTGCTGTACGCAAGACCAGGCGGCCAGCAGCGCCGGTTGACGAGCTTGGAGACCTTCCAACCGCCGACAGCCAGACGATTGGCGATCACGCCTCGCCGCTATCTGTCGTCTCTTGTCGCAACCGTCGACTTTCTGTCTCCTCGAATACATCCATTAGCGTTGGCTCAACCGCGGATAGCCCATTTGCTGGCTCGTCTCATTCCACTACAGTGACCCCTCTGGGTCTTGCTGGTCCAAAGCCACGATCAAGGCGTATGTCAATGAGTCCTGAGAGTGAGGCTTGGGTAGAGGATGTCCTCGGACAAGCACGAAAAAACGTGTCTTTGAAGCTACCTAAACCTGGTGCGACCCGCACAGGACGAGAAAGCAGCTTATCCAAACGGCCAAGTGAGCCGAAATTGCGCAGTGTCAGCGATATTGGCACTGCTGGTTTGAATAAGAGAGTATTACTGCGCGGACTTGACAGGCGAAGAGAGTCAAGTCAAGGACTGTAAGAAAACGCAGACCAATTACCGATGCATACGCTTCTTATCTCTTTCGTGATGATATTATCACTCCTTTCTCGGCGTTGAAAATATGTTGCCTTGATGTCTAGCATCTAGAATGAGCGGTGCGCAGTCATCTACATTCATTGCATTGTCTTGGGATTGCTTCATTAGCACCATTTTGGAAGGCAAGGCGTGAAACGAGAAGGCTAGTCTTAGCCTATTTTGTTTCATATACCTCGCTCGCACCTTTCGTCTGAATTCTTGCGGTGGCTCGCACATTCCTTCAGAAAAAACATACCTTTCATTTTGCATACAAGGCGTTCGAACATATTGAAAGATGATACCGGGATATCAGCAATCAGTGCCTTTCTGCGTCCATTCACTTGTCGATCTTTTACTTTTTACTTCTTCAACACCTTGCTTACATGCGTACACGGTCTTGAGAGAACATAATTACTTTCTTCCTTATTTTCTTTCTTATCAATTTTTCTTATCATTATTTTCCTCTTCTATTTTGAAGATTCGTGGTTCCGGAGCTGAATTAGGTTGTGTGCATAAATACCCCCTGGATTAGATAGCTTTGTCTTGTCAGATAAGATTTCGATATTTCGTGAAAAAAAAAGTTAACATAGCAAACAATTTTCCATATATAGCTATCTTGAATGACCTTGTAGAGATGTAATATGCCTCGAACATGAACGTTACATCCGGCGTACTGCCGCAACGTTAGACTTGAAACGAATAGACAAGATAAATATTGAAAGTCTGAACAGAAGAAATAAAAATCAATAGAAATCTCACCCAACAGATGCAGGCATTTGGACAGGGTTTGCTCAAAGCAGTCCTCAATCTTCGTAGTGTATCCTGAATCATACCTTGATCTTCCCTCTCGAGGTTATACAGTAGCTTAGCTAGCTATATTGATTGACTAATCATCTACAAGAATACCACCCAAGATAAGGTATCTACGGTATCTGGAAATATAATAACAGGGAAAGTTATTAAGTTATAACAAGAATACAAAATGAACCAAGGAACGCCGCCTCCGATCTGCTGGATAAAGCCACAAACGCCATCACAAGTTTCAACATGAGGTTCCCATAAACCAGTGTCGTGTAGTCCTGCGTTAGTCATAACATGTAAGGGGATGATCAACTGCGATTATTACTGTGCTTCTGGGAGTCTTTTTTATCAACGGTGATGACATCCCTGCTCAGGAGTTGCCGCAACTCGGGAGAGATAACCTGCTCTTGTTCGGCTCCGTTGGCCCGCGCAATGACACTACTGGTGCTGGCTCCAGTTGTGACTGCACGTTGCGGTGACTTTCCTTTATTATCAGCAGAGGTGCTAGAATCTGGCTTCCGTTGGCGAACCGAAGGAGCAGGGAAGTTATTTTTCTTGTCTATCGCTTGCACCATTCTTTCGAAGCGACGGAAGAGTGATTCCGCTCGTGTGAGGATATTAATGAGATCGATCGTATTTGAGAGCTCATTGACTAACGCCCAAGTCAGCTAAAGATCGCCAATGGAAAATAGTTTATCGAGATAGTGACTTACTGTACTTGAGAACCTCATCGAAGTGCTTTAGGTGGGTCATTATAACATCTCTATGCTTCTCCAGGATCGCTAGAGCGACAAAGAGATGGAACTGGCTTGACAGATAATCTGTCCATAACGTCTCCCATAGACGTAGTACATCCGACCACTCGAACTCCCGCTTATACCAGACCAGCAGCATGCGGAAGAAAAAGAAGAAATTCGTGCTATCAGCTGACTGAAGATGAAGATAGAGCTGAGGATCCATCAGTTGAACAAGATGATCTAGAGTCAGAAGTTGAGCCCGCATTCCCGACTGATCACGTAGAAAGTTGCGCTCCTATGAGAGGTGAGTGGATGCCATACCGGCAGTTAAAACTGTGGTTTTGCTTACCATTCTGTCCATAAAGCCAACAAAACCCCAAAACGCAACAGCATCGTCTTGCATGACCGCGTAGATTGGGGCCAATAGATCACTCATTCCTTGCACGTAGCCGAGGTCAGGGTTATATTCATTATATGTCAAAAGCATGTCCTTCATCTGTTCGAGATGCACATTGGTACCAGTATCCGCGAACGGAGAGTCGGGGTCTGGATGGGGAATATCTTCGCCTGCGAAGAGCGGGATGGTGCGATCCGTCCGATGCACATCTTTCTCTGTTTCAAGCAAAAACAATGCTCAGTCAGCCACGGAATACAATAGTAAGGTATTGAGGGGGGAATCATACCTATACGGCCCTTTTGCTCTTTCCACCATTCATGGTCTTCTGCTGATGTTGATCCTTCGACCATCCTCTCCCACCAAGCACCCTTCAGACGTACGAAATCGTCCCGTTTCGAATTCATTATCGCTCTCCGCTCGTCTTCGCTGCTGTCCCACGAGTATACGCCAAGAAGGAACAGCCATGCCTCCTTCCGGACGCCGTCGTTTGGATCCAGCCCGCCATGGAATATTCGCTCTTTCACTTCATCTACTGTCACCTGAAGTATTCCAGCGGAATCAAACCACCCATTCCACTCTTCCATTGTGACGGTCTTCCGGCGTTCGTGGATACTCATGGTACCGGTCTCCAAATCTAAAATCTCAAACTCTCCAAGGGAACTATCCTCTCTTTCGAGAACATCCTGCGCAGTCCATATGCGCTGGTTCCTTTCCCGCTCGCTCTGCTCTGCAATGCCCATGGCCCAGCGGGCCAGGTATATTCTTGCGCTTTCGAACTCATCTTGCAGAGTTTGGATTTCCGGGTTCTTCATTAACCTCCGAACCTGTAGAGGTATCCGTGGGTTTTCTGCAATCTCATTTGCAGTCCGCCTCGTAAAGGTAGTTATCCGACTCAAGTGCTCGAGAACTTTCCACCTCGTTTCTTTCAATGCCTTAGTCAAAGGATCCATTCCGGCATCATGTTCTGCCGGGGCGGCTGAACGGGACGACGCAGCAGCAGCAGCCTGGCCTTTATCCTGAGCCTTCTGTGGTCCACCGGCAGTTAAGGGTCGGCCAAATGAAAGTTTGTCTTCTTCGGAGGGATTTATGAGATAGACGCTAGGATCAGCTGCTGAACGCTGTACCTCAACATATCGCCTCAACCATCTCAGTACCTCATCACCGCCCCAAAACATGCTTCCATCCTCGCCAAACGGATCAAAGCTTTCTTTGGTTCTTCGTTTCTTCTGGAGGATCGTCGATTCGCACTCACTGTCATGAAAGAACAGAGCCGGGAAGCTATCGCCAACTTTCGTATTGATCACAAGACTTCCATACCACCACCCGATGCTTGGGGGCCGCACGAGTAATGAGTATACGTCAGAAAGGGGCACCGCAAACGCATAGAGGCCGACCGTATCATTATGTGACCTTGTCGTTGGAAGCGGCGGCACGAGGTATGTCTGTCGAGGAGGGGATGAACTCTCGGATAGGTCGACCTTAACATAGGTGCTATAAGCATCGCCTAGGGATGACTCGGGTACCCAGGCAAGTAGATAGGACGCTGGATCGTCATGTTTGGAGGATCCCGATGATGTGGACTGTGTATGACCACGGTCTGCAACCGACTTCTGTTGAATAAGGGCAATGAATCCGGGGATGTTATCCTTTGATGAGGGCGAAGGATGGACATAGACCTGTCACGTCGAGAATTCACACGTTAGTATATAGTCATTTTATAATAAGAATGGGATTGGGACATTGGCAAGGGTCATACCTTGCTCTTGGAAAAGAGAAGTTTAACTCCCCTACCCGATTTGGCATGCGCAATGGTATTGTATTCGTCTTCCTCTTCGTCGCTCACATCGTAAAAGGAAGCGGTCGGAGAGGGCGGCGAAGGCGGCGGGGTAAATTTGGTGCTAGACCCGGCCATGGTGTTCTTCTTAGTAACAGATGTTCATCTCCTGCTTCTGTAGGAAAAAGGCCTCCTGAGAGATGAAGTCGTGTTGATTGAGAAGTATGAGCCGCTGAATACCGAAGGTCGCCTGGCCGCTTCACGGGATCCGATGAATGATTGATCCGCGGAGAGGGACGTCACGACGTATGTAATCGTGGGGCTTGTCTAACCAACTCGGTTTTCTGAGTCTACTCCGCACGCAAACACCCTCAATAAGACGAGGAAGATACGGTTTGGAGCACTCTGTATTCAGAAAACTTGACGACTTTCTTGTTCGTGAATATCGCAACTGGATATATTCTTGCTCCAAGTGAGAAGTCATCTCTTTGTTCCTCTTCATCCCGCCTGAAGCTTCTGTGGCTGTGCGATTCAACAAGGGCCAAGACCAGGCAACAGCAAAAGCAACAGTAGCGCACGAATATTGCTTAGACCAGAAGGTAGTGATTTATCCAGTTCGAGGTATTTCCTGAGTTCTCTGACCACTGCTTCTGAGAAGATAGAGACCATTTTAATGAGGGTATGATAGCATACCTTAGAGTATCACATGAGGCGCTGTTCGTCATAATCATGCTAACAAACAGGTCGCACTCCTGTCTGTTCTCAATATCAGGTCTATGTGCCTTGCGTCACTATCAGCACATTACGGATCTTCGAAAGATTATGCATTTCAGAACAAAATTTAGGTTACCGGAGAACTTTCAAAATGATGAGTGCAGAGTATTAGCAGTTTGAGATAAAGAACTATTGCCGGGGAATATCTCGAACAATCTGATTAGAAACGCTTTACTTGCTATGCGGGCACTTATCGCAGATGAAGAATTTGTAAGAGGACTTACAGATCGACTATTCGATGCACCACTGAGTGTTCCCACGTGGATCTCCAGCATATTGTACTTTCAGGTCGTGGCAGACTTGTTACTGTGGGCCAATAAATACTCAGCACGTCGATATCCGTTCTTATTTGCGTTGGAATAACATAATAAACCAATCCGCGAGACATGTTTAGTCATCTGCGTGATAAATCCCAAGTTAACTATCCCCGTACCTACTACTGTACTATGAAGGATGTCGGGCGTGCCGACTCGCTGATGGCCTGCATCACATCTGCATCGGGATCAGATAACCATTTCAGGAAAGCTTATACCTAGCCAATAAAACGGACAGGCAGGACAGCAAGGGAATTCGTTCAATATAATTATGTAGACACGTAGAATATGAGAATACGGCAGATATTCAAAAGGTGGACCTTTCTTCCAACAGGTACTATCTGATTGTCATAGAAATAGAAGTACTGCTGAAGATGTCGGAACTAACAAGGACCCTACCGGCCTCGTGGTATCGGAGCTTGCCCCTTTATCAACTAGAGAGACGGGGTGTGTTTATGAAGGTATATTCGACAGAATAATCATATCCCAGGTGATAAGTACTGACGTTTTGCGATAGTCCTGGTACCTTCTTGGTCCCGTCACTCGTTTCCTCAATATCGGGGAGAAAGTTGAATATGAAATAGCTCAACAGCATATTTGCGCCTTCAGAACAAGTTCGAATGGCGCTTTTCCTGGACCAGGTGATATCAAGGTCACCGTTGTTAAGGATGTACGAAGTTTCCATTTTGACAGAATTATCATGCAGAACGACGATTGTTAACATGCCATTAAGGGAACTGAACTGCGGAACCATGTGACTCCTACCGGACTCGTCTTCGCTACTCTATCCAACGATGCGCCTAGTTTTCATGAGTTCTATCCCGATTTGGAGCCGCTGCTGGAGAGGGTAGACTTCACAAAACGCCCGTACCGACGCAGCATTAAGTACGAGGGAAACTTCAACTGGAAAACGATGTTTGTGCACTATATTGTGGCAAAGCGAATTCATACCAACTAATAATACAGGGTTGACGGATACCAGGAATGTCTACATTGCCAGTATACTCATCCATCGTTCTCCGTATATTATCCACCAACGTTCTATACGGTATACAATCACAAGAATTTCTCACAACATGTGGCGGATCCTAAGAAGCCTGATGATGGTTTGTTCCTTTATTTCTTCCCCAATTGCACATTGAACGTCTACGGCGGAGGCATGTCTTCGTTCCGCGTCTGCCCAACAGCAGACCCGAACGTGACCCGGATGGAGTTCGACTACTACCATTTGGAATCGGGAGACCGATTTGAAGAATATTACAAATTCGTCCGTCAGGTCGCCATGGAGGATTTCGAGTTGTGCGAGAAAGCACAGGAGAATCTCCAGAAAGGCGTCTATAATGAAGGGATTCTGAATCCGGAAAAAGAGTCCGGTGTTGCCTGTGAGCATCCTGAAGATTATGACCCATTGCGTGCTTGCTCATCTGACTATACAAACCATGCAGTTTATCAAGAACGAGTTTTCGATTTGGTCTGCGAGCAATACGAATCAGAGAAGCTTAAGCTGGTCGAGACCGAGCACGGACCTGAGCCAGAAAGGGAACTTGCTCCTGGGGTTGTTTCGAGCGTTGCATAGTTAACTAGTTAGATGACTATGTGGTCTGTCATCAGTCGAGAAAATCTCAAGTTACAAAAACCACAGTAAAATGGAACGGGAGGTCCGTGTCGTACTTAAGTAGCAGCTAGCCACGTATTCCTGCTGGTAGTGATAATTCATCTATTTTGCGCCAGTTCATATTGAAAGCCATCGCATTGGATCATCAACGCTATCTCTTGGAGTGTCCATTCTATCCATCAGGTTATCCAATGAAACAAGTTCTCACACGGCACTTCCCATACAGATAACATAACAGGTTGGAGATCACGCAGACACCTGCGCTAAGAGCGGGAACAGCAGCCATTTAGATGTTCCTGGATCATCGCACCCAATTTGGAAACCTGTACTGTCGAATAGATCTCTCAACTTTTGGTTTGGATAGCGGTTCTTCTGTGTTAAGCTCTCACGGTGCTACTTCTAGGCGCGTCCGTGTCTCGGTCGGGATGATTCTGCAGAGAGAAATTGGCAGCGGTCGGACCGAAATGAAAAAGGTATAAGGACACACTCAGAGTATTGCCATTGAGAAGTTGCTGCTAATTCGGATTTGTGGATTGGTCCAGAAAGGAAAAAAAGAAAAAATCATTACGCTTTGTCTCACTTCTTCATAGATCGCCTATACGATGTACGAGATTCTGAGCTTGCCTTCATCGCTGGCGTCGACGTATATACTGGTGGGCTTATTGGCCGGTTCCTATTTATTTTATAGAAAAGTTGCCATATCATCGAATGATAAGGCTGGAAAACAGGCAAAGAGACCATCTTCGAGGATATCCACCTCAGCATCGCCACGGTCCTCGGCAGAAGCATGTCAGTCAGTCGTTTCCAAGGAGTCGGAGTTTCCAGATAACTGGTGGAATGGCAAAGACGTCTTCGAATTAGAGAGGCGTGCTATTTTCAGCAAGGTCAGTGCAGGGTTGCTATAGTTCAAGGCGAATAACAGCCCGTGCTCACTTCTCTCGCTCAAGACATGGCTCTATGTCTCCCATCGCAGCCGTTTCACCAAGCCTGGAGATTATCACTCATTAGACATTGCCGGCTTCCCAGTCTTTCTCATTCTAGGTAAAGATGGCATAGTGAGAGCCTTTCACAACGTGTGCCGCCATAGAGCATACACAATCACGAAAAAGGAATGCGGCTCGTCAACTGTTCTTGGCTGTCGATACCATGGCTGGAGCTACAACACGCGGGGTGACCTCATCAAAGCCCCGCATTTCGAGGACGTGCCAGGATTCGATAAGTCCCAGAACGGTCTATTCGAGATTCATGCACACACCAGCAACTATGGACTGATTTTTATCAACCTGGACGCGAGTCCCTCAGTGCCAGAGGTCGATTCGAGTCAGTCGAATGATTTTGCGGCTTCCCATGGTTTGACAGTAGACTCGACTTGGGTGACAGGCTGGACGCTGGAAGGGGCTTTTAACTGGAAGATGGCAGGTAAGATCGGATGGCAGTTCGTTATTGTGAGGCGCGAAAAGGCTCATATGTCGTATAGTGAAACCTGGTAGCTTCGATCTGGGAAATCTTCAAGGATGCAGCCCCCGCTCCAAACTGTCAGGCCTCACTAGTCTATTCATTAGGACATCTCCGGCAGGAAATACGGCAAAACTAGGAATCTTCCCATCAGCGTCATTGTACTCTATACAGGGTTCAGGGTTGTTGTATTCTCTCTGCTTTCTGCCCTACTCGGAGCGCAAGACCCTTATCCGTTGCGACTTGTACGGACGTAACCAGCAACCTAGCTCTGCCGCCACAGTATCAAAAGAATTGTCTAGAGTGCTCCGAGATAGGGTGACGGAAATAGAGAAAGGTTATCTTGCGGAAATAGCGGAAATTCGAAGATCAAAGTAAGTACTTTTCTTTGAGCTCCCGTCGAGTAGCCCCTCATGAGCCCCTCATGAGCCCCTCGTGAGCTTTCTGAAACGTGAATATGGTAAGTGCACCGATACATGTCCGGTCACCATGAGCCGCCTGTAACCCACTAATTCTTATAGGCTAGTGACTGACACTACTTCGATGGTATCGCGCCAATAGTGACGATAATATCGACGTTGCAAACGAGACTGGCCGAGGTAATTATCCCTGTAGCAAGCTCCATCTCCCAATGAGCGATATAGACATACTGTACATACCATACTGTACTAACAGGCCACCATCTATGACAGAATCGCAATATGCTATCCTCCTCCACCTTAAGACACATCTCAAGCTGGAGAAAACGTTGGGTCATGAAGTATTCCCAACACTGAGGCGATCTACAAGGAGCTCAAAATCTCTACAAGCAGACCTCTGTGAGCATATCTGTCCTTTTTTTGTCTCTCCCATTATCTGTTATTTTCCCTTGTTGACCACGTGCAGTATGCAAAGAACTTGATTGCAAAGACAAGCTATCCTTTGATACGAAAGCCTCCACCACACCGAAAAGGAATGAAATCCTTGTCTGGTAGCATGAGCTTGGGCAGACATTTAGCCAGTGTGCTTTTAATCCTGATTGCAATAATTCTATTTGTCCAGGAGCTGGTTAAATGACTCAGGTGATGCCCAAGGAGGTCTCCACGAGAGTATTTTCCTCTAGTAATAGGATACTATATCACCTTTTATCTGTTTCGGAGATTAGAACTATCATGCGCAGTATCATTCTGTAGGGCAACAGCCGACGACGCTGCTAGGCATTGTCGGGTTTTGTGTTTTGTTTGGATCTCCAAGGCCGGCACCATCCGAGTTTTAGAAGGAGCTAGAGAGCATAGCGTGATAGCCTATGGAGAGAGAAAATTGTTCATTCGTGGACAAAGAGCGCGAGAAGTGCTTAAGAGAGGCGACCGGCAACAAACTAGGCCAGCTCAGCGCTAGTAACTGATCATGCGAGCCTCTCCTTTTGGCATTCTCAATCGAACTGGTGGCCGCGAATGCCGCCCGCGCTGACATATGTCTAAAGTAGCGTCGAGTATTAGCTGTAAGATGAGTTTCTTCACATTGTCTGCTGGAGGATTCGATGTTACTGATCCTGTCAAGGTGCGTCGAAAAGATGGTAGCCGATCATCGCTTGCCACAGGAAACACACGGACGGTCGTCGCCTCTGATGACTGGACTAATTTCTCACCTCACGCCAAAACTCTAGAGCAGTTCAGATGTGATTAATCTGAGGGCGCTCCGGGCCGTGCCCGTGGCCGGTGGAATCAGTCATTTCCTTCATGAGTTTACTAGTCATCCAAAGCCTATTTTTATGCACTTCTCCGGCTTCTATCTTGTGCGACCAGGGAGCTCAAAACCCTTGGAAGAACATCCGGAGACAGCTTCCCGACATACCCTGGTAAGTAGAATTAGATATATAGATCTTTGGGGGACCCTTCCTGCACGTCAGGCCAGATCCAGCACATCATACGGAGTAGAGTGTCATTTTCCTTGTCAGGGTCCTGAAGCCCTTGTCGCTCACTGATAGACTAACGTCAACTCCAGGCGATCTTCCCCACTGTTCAAACTTCCCTAGCTGCGACAATGGCTCGTACGTCAAAATCTCCAGTGCGGAGAATTAAGAAACCGCTGGTCTCCATAATTCTTAATTTAAAGGATGTGGGATAGAACGGCAGTCCCACATAATACCCGAGGGAAAATCGAACACCGGGGTCTTCAAAGTTCAGGCAAACTGGTATTCCCGCCTCTAAGTATCCCCACGGCGGGTAGTCCCTAGTTTTCTGTAGGGACTTTTAGAACCCTAGCGTAAACGGTGTCCAAGCTTCCACTTGTCCAGGGTCATCGGATATCGACCATACGAACCGCCGCAGGGACTTCGAGCTCTCGGCCAGGGGTGCCGCACATTTGGTACATTCGGATAGATGCACAATTTGGTATACGAAGCATGGTGCAAGCTCGAGTTAACAAACAGGGCTGCTTTCAGACCAGAGATGTAGGCTCCCGAAAGCAAATGTTTATGCAGCGGAGCTCTTTCGCTACATGTCCAGCCCAGTTCGGCTTCTGTTGCAGCACACTGTCAAGGAAGATGCCGTGAAGGGCCACTGGAATCGGAGAGCATACCCACGCAAGGATCCTCTGTCCCTGGATAGATGGCAGCTATTACTCTGTTAAAGCGAACTAGCAAGTTGCCTAGTCGTGGGAAGTATCGAGAGGTAACTTCTACACTTGTCTCTCTGAGGATCCATGAACCTGGTCAAGTACATGGAGGGGAGTACCCTGCAGCCTTTGCCGCGATATTTTTCATACAGTCGAATCGAAATGTTTCATGGCGTCACGTCAACAAGCAGGTACAAACTGCCGAATCCTGACGTCTGCATGGTTTGCTATTCCTAGTGCTGCATGCTGAGCTTGGACCCCAAGTATCATTGGGCACCTAGGATCTACATCTTGGCTGAAGAATTGCAGATCAACTCGTGCGGAGGACGACCATGCACCACCACTTTGATCACAGCACTAGAGGAACTACTGGCCCTCAATGTAGCCGCCGTTATTTTTTACTACAAGCGCAGCCACTGAAAATTTGATCAGGTGTATTGCCCCTGTCGACAGGGCAGCACAGGTCCAAGTATGATTGGCGAATTCCTCTAGTAACCATCACGTCCACGAGGACAAACAGAAAGCTTATGGATACTGATAGTTTGATATATGCAACACCTCCAGCTTCTTTGTATACTGCTAGGGACCTGTCATAACGGTAGTTCGCGGCAAGAAATGCCGTCCGTTTCTCCAGTACGTTCATTACTGCTCCAAATGTCTTTGCAACTACACAAGCCACGCTGCTGTATGATGGGTTGCTATTATGGATGGTTTGCATATGGTGAAGTATTGTTCACCGCTCGAGTTGACTCGGTTGAGACGCTCCACTCCAATGTAATTCATCATAATAGGATAGATATTTCTTATCCGAGAATGACGGGGTGGGGGTACATAGGTCATAAGACATCTGCTATAGTATAGCAGATCTCTATCTTATCGTCAATTTCTGCCCAGCCCCTCCTCTTATGACGGTGAGATTCATGATCTCCGAATCAAGACCCTGAAAGTCATAGCACTAAGCAGTGTTAGAGGAATTCTTAGGTTTGAATCGGAGACTACGATGTTAAAATCTCCACATGATGACAACGCTAAGGGTAATAACACAAGTATACGGGAGTATTCACTACGGGGCTGGCCCACGGTGATAACGGTATCCGATGGTTCCTCCCGCGGTAGGATACAGAAGCCACTCACCTCCGCGCCTAAACCTCCACGGAGGTCGACGAGTGGATATTGTCCCTCACTTCGAAGGATTTCTAAGTCTCCTCAGTAGGTCCAGAAAGGGAGTATATATTGCTCCCCCTTCAGACCTCATGTCGAGACTTGATCCAGACAATCACACATCTGGCGGTGTCTTCAAGATGAGCACACAGGTCCACCTCCCTGAAAATTCCCACGGGAACGAAAATGTCCAGGGCACACCAACCCTGTCCCTTCTCAGCCAAGAGTTATTCAAACCATATTCTCATCAGTCAGCTCCAGCTGAATCTGTTGCTGTCAGTTACCTTCGAGCCCAGGCCATAGGAAGAGCATACGGTATCTACCCATTCACTTCATGAGAGATGAAGGAAACATTGACTGACGTTCTCACCCAGGTCTTACCGTCCAAGATGTGCTGCATCTCACTCCAAAGTTCTGGCAGATGCATACCGATATGGCCATGGGCATGGATGCTGCAGCTCTTACGCTGGTGACTATCCAGTACAATCTTGCTGCAGGGACAATTGCACCCTACATGAAGAAAAGACCCGATCTTGTGCAGCTTATGGACAATATCTTGCAGTTCAACTATTCGTAAGTATCTCACTAGAAGTGCACTGAACTTCCTACTCTCATCACCCGATACTAACAAGCGTTACAGTGCTCAGTTCCTCTTAACAGAAATTGGACACGGTCTGGATGCTGCCAACCTTGAGACCAGGGCTACACTTCTCCCAAATGGCGAATTTGACTTCCACACCCCGACTGCAAATGCAGCAAAGTAAGGTGTTTCATCAGAAACGAAATACGAACGTTATTGACAACGTCTTTTAGGTACATGCCGCCAACGTCTCCAGTAGGGCTTCCACGCGTAGCTGTTGTTATCGCCCGACTCATCGTCAAAGGCGAAGATCGCGGTGTTAGACCGTTCATTGTCTGGCTGAACGATGGCCATAAGATGTGTGATGGCGTTACATGCAAGTAGGTTGCTATGTTAAATCTCATATTACCTTGTTATTTGTGCGACTAACATTCTCGTCACAGGGTCCTCCCTCGCAGGACTGGCTCAAAACCTGTCGATCATTCTCTAACGTACTTTAACCACGTACGTTTACCGGGTTCAGCACTTCTAGGATCTCTCGATACACCTGTCAACATGCGTTTAAACTTTCTGGCCACTATCTGGCGCGTTGGCGTTGGCACTCTCGCCCTTTCGACTTCCATGATACCGATGCTAAAGAGAGGTCTCTATGTGGCTGGAAAGTACAGCATGCGACGAACAGTCCAAGGATCACATAACAAGCCAATGGCGATTATTGGCTTCCGTACACAACAGCGTCCAATCCTGCATGCCCTGGCGCAGGTATATGTATTCGATGCGTATGCTGAGGACAGTGCCAGGTTGTTTGTGGACACCCGTATCGAAGGGCCAGTCCGTCATGGCATTGGGACTGTTCTTAAGGCAGTGGTCAATCAAGCTACACAAGGCAGTCTCCACTCCCTAGCAGAACGATGCGGTGCACAGGGCCTTTTTGAGTACAACAACATCATTGAGTCACAGCTTGAAGGAAGAGGAATCTCAGTTGCAGAGGGAGACGTCTTGGCACTATGCATCCGTAAGTGACAATCTACCGTGAGTAGCGCATGGAACAGCAGCTGATGATCTGAATACAGGGCTAGCCTCCGAGCTTCTGTTAGGGAGATATCAAATGCCAGCGCCAAGGAACCCTCAGAGCTTGCTGGCACTTCACGAGAGAGGCCTGTTCAAGGAATGCTGGGGTTTGATGAAGACCATAAAAGGCGGACATCGCAGTGATGAGTTTAACAATCTGATCCTTCCTCGTTGCCAGCCCCTTATTGAGGCAATTGGCCAGCGCATGGCATATGAGGCAGCTTCGCAGGCAGGCGTCCACCCAGATCTGCTAGCACTCTATGAGATTGGTGCCATAATGCAAGACCCTAGCTGGTACGTCCAACACGCCGGGTTGGGCCGGGAAGCCCAGTTTATGATGGAGGAGAAGGCCTTGAACGCTGTCTTGCCGCGCCTTGAGGAGCTTCTTGAGGGAACTGGTGCTGGGCCGTATTGCGATGCACCCATCCTTTCCCAAGGCGCATGGGATGCTTTTATTGACCGTCTTGTCAAGTACGAGACGCCCCGTTCCGATAAGACCCAGGGAGTCATTAATCGCACCAGCAGGCTATGAAGATACAGGAATGTCTTTCTTTCTTTCTTTCTTTCTTTCTACTACGATGCATCACGGAGGGATTAATGATATTATGATGCCTATGAAGTTTGATCGCACAGGCGTTTAGTCCACTTTCCGCAGATCTGAATTGCTTGCTTTTCAGACAAATATGCTTTCCACTCCAATTGTTACTGGCTTTGGTCTGGTGAATGTTTATTTATGCTTTGTTCGATGGCGCTCTAGTATCTTACTCTCTTGCAACAAATCAAACACCAAACCGGTACTCGACTATTTATAAATGGTTCCTAAGATTTTGAAATTACCCATAAAAACATGACATCTCCCCACAATATCTACCTATTTATCTACTCCGTACATTGCGCTCTGTTAAATGCATCGAAGCCGCCGCACCGGACCCATCCAGTCTTGGCGCCGATCCGTCGCATCACCAATCGCAAACAAGCGTCACTTGCGCGTATTCTGACCTGTTTGACAATTGAGGAAACAGCAAGAGATCCTTCGAATCCACCATCTTCTACGTAGAGAGAAAAATCTGCCTCTTGTCTCTCCATCGTCTGCTTTTCCCTCTCTGTGCTCCCTGCTTTCTTCTCAAGCTCTCTTGGGACTCAATCTGGGGAGCGTTTCGCCGCGGATCTTTGAGGAAACTCTTGAGTTTCGGAAAGAGAGAGCGACAAAGGAATCTATCGCAAAGGGACAAACCGGCCATTCTTAGGTACAGCCCACGTTTAATAATATATTCGATTCTGTATTCATTTCACGCAAATGCTTTTGCAGTTGGTTGACTTGCGATTAGCAGTAATTGGCTATTTAAACCACCATGTCTGTGCCGCCAATTGCCAAGGCAACCTTTCAGGCTGTTGTGATCAATGCCGGATCGAATGTACTCGCTCAGGTTATCAAATCATACCGGGATCAGGTGCGCTTCGCTTTTAGTTTTCATTTTAGTCTGCCTTTTACATTTCCAGTGATCCGTGATCGTAAACTCGTCGTTCTGGTCTGGCAATTTACTGGCGTTCTTGCTGCGTCATCGTTAAATAGCTTGATCTGAACATCGTACCATTTACCCGGTCTCAACATCAAACTGCGCTATTTCAGGCCTGAGGTTATGAAAGCTGACGAATGATTATATCGGAGTTGCTATGGTGGGCACCATAGCTCTCCACCGTCATTGAGAGTTCCAGAAACCCTTTCAGTTAGACGTCAATACACTATTGCAGTTCACAACCTGCGCTTTGATCACCTCTCCACTAACCTTCCTGTGGTTGGAAAATCTCGAAACTACATTCCCGGGAACCACAGAGGAGAAACCGAAGACCGAGAAAGAAGACGGTCACGCCAAAGATGAAAAGAGTTCCAGGGACGGAAAGAAAAGAAGCGGCCTGAATGTCAAGAACACTGTCATAAAGGTGTTCCTTGACCAGACAGTGGGCGCGGCATGGAACACGGTTCTATTCCTGACGACAATGAGTATCCTGCGTGGTCAAGACTACGATAGTGTGGTGGATTCTATTAAGACCGTAAGTGGATTTTTTTTTTGAATTTACATATCTTCTGTAGATATAAAAGGACTCTCAGAGCCCTACCAAGCCGACTTAATCCGCCGCATTTAAAGTTGGAGATGACAATGACTCTTTCAACGAAACCTTGCCTTCTATCTTTCTCAATCGAGATTCAGATGACCCCCGCCGTGAAGTACCGCCGACTGACATTCTATCAACTAGGACTTCTGGCCGATCATGATTGCGGGCTTCAAGATGTGGCCTTTTGTTTCGATTCTTTGCTTCGTGGCTATCCCTGCTGACAAGCGTCTCCTTGTCTCCAGTCTATTTGGTGTTCTTTGGGCTATATACCTCAGCCTCATGTCCGGTTGAGGACGACCGCGGGATAAAGTCGAGGAATCGTTCTGGCTGGGAAGTAGGCTCACCCAGATCTGTGCTGGACCTAAAGGGCCCTGGCATGAACAGCGGGCCGCACAGAAACCTTCTCAGATTTGCCTACCACGTTGGTAGCAGTATTTTGACAGAGTTACGTTTATGACATTCAGAATATGGAAACCTTCTTACTTGGAAGCAATTATGGCATCCACGACTGCAGCATCTAGAATTCTGTCGTGGAAGAAGACATCGATGCCATTCTAGAGTCCTTCTGTTACATCACAACCCTTGTTCTAGAAGACTAAACTCTCCAAAGTCTACGTCTTCTGTGGCAACGTATTCTGCTTAGAGCCGACTAAGCTATAACCATCCTTGTTCTACAACAGATTTCTACTGCAGGGGAATGTCTCAATATCTGCACCAGCGGCAGCACTCCACTTGAAGGAACTGAACACTATGGACAGATGTTTTCGTATACTTAGCGCTCATATCGGGTGCATACGTCTTCAGCGCTAGAAGAAAGGAAGAGATTCCACGGCAAATTGCCCCAGTCTACAGCGCGGCCCTAGACCCTGTCATGCCGTCTGGCCTGCACAAATGCTGCGTCCAGTGGTGGAACTACAGTAATCACTCGAGGGGAAAATCGGTCCGCACGCCACCGGATGGGACTATTCTACGCCCTGTCCACTTCAGCATCGCGCTAGGGACATTCCCTGGCCTTACGATTGGCGTCGTCGTTCTCATGGAGTGTTCATCCCTACAACATCATTCTAGGGCCGGTCAGATATCCTTCTAGAAGGTTGCACCGAGTTGATCGGACCCTTCCTTGCAGGGACGTCCATGACTTCTAGACCTATGAACAGCACGCCATGGGGGCCGTGTGCTTCGAGAAAAGAGAGAGAAGCTTAACGGACGACTTAAACGGATGATCGTACACGGCCCCATTTTCGGCCCCGCGGCATATTTCCATGGATGAGGTTAGTAGACCTCCCGCGGAGAGTTCGACCATGGCGCGCGCGAAGAATAGAAGGCCGATAGAACTCGATGGTTTTATTGTTATCATCCAGTTCTAAGGCGTCGGACTGCAGCCGGAAATAGCGTTCTCGGGCTTTTTTCTGAGGCCGTGAAGGCATTTTTAGAATGATAGTGGAAACAGGAACAGGAATAGGGAAATCACTGTACGGAGTAGGGCATGTCTATGATAAGACCTCGCCCAGAATCAGTGTTCAGATCATCTAGTGTCTGCCGTGAATACGTCTGCCCCGCAATCCTCCATTTTGGGGGCCATTTCTGCGCTACGGAAACCGTATACGACAGAGGAGTTGGACTGGCTGGCCGTTTGTAGCTGCATTACAAGTGTCTCCTAAGGGCGTCCAATGCTTCAAAACTTCTGCTGCGCCGCCAATTGTTGCGCACAGACAACCCACACAGCGAGTCCGATGAGCGAGGGATATCGGCCCATTTATTATTGCTGGAACAATGCGGACGGACAATAAGAGAGGCCAGGCCTGCGTCGTTTGTCTAACCATCGTAGGCAAATGCTGATCCACGATGTTCTTGGCTGGATTAGCCCTGGTCAAAAGCTCTTTGTCTGGCCCCCGTTGGCTGTCGCGAGGATCAATAGCCCGAGTTCACGGAGGCAGGGCACGTTGCGAATTCAGCCCCCAAACCGCTAAATCAGGCCTTCAATGCGAAGAGATCGTCGCGCTCGCTCTCGTATCGCTTCTGTATCCAATCGCATCGGTTGTCGTTTGGGGCTGCAAATAAGGTGCGAACCAAAGCCACGGTGATCGCCCTGACCGTGCTGGACACTCTATCCTCATCTGGGTAACTCGATGGGCATGTAAGGGAACGACTACAACTTTAGCCACCAGCACATCCGTGAGCATGGGTCCGTCAGCTTACGGCCCTTTCCAGTACTAAGCCGCCAGCTAGAAGACTCGTCAGACCAGACTGTACCTACCAGAGTCACATATGTCCTTTGGACCCCGCGTGCTGACCTAACATATTGAATAACTAACTAGTTAACCCCCAACAAGTGATGCCACCACCTGCGAGATCTTTCTTCTACTGCTGTCATTTGTGAGCGACTTACTAAAGGAAGTAGATTCCATTGTGGCAGGGAACCAGCATCAAAACTATCAAGGGGCGTCCAGCTATTGAAGGGTGAGCTGCGGACTTGCTATGAAGCTTTAGGATATTGGTCTTCAAGGTTTGTTTTTTTATCTTTATGTTAATGTGCCTTTATCTCGCTATTTCAAATTTCTCGACGATGTTTCCCATCCTTTGTTTGAGCGCCTGCTGACGAATGGAACGATAGCAGAGTGACATCAGCTATCTCATGCCGTCGCTTGCGGGACTACGTTTTGTTCATGGCCATGCTTCCTTATCCGACACTGCCCTTTTACGCAGAAAGAAGAAGGAGTTCGACTCACCTAATAATGTGGAGATTGTGAGGTCCTTGTCCCATGTCCGTATGCCCAGGGTGTTCCAAGTCGCGGAATCCAAGAACAGCAACAAGCAAGGCTACGAGTCGCCGGACCGTATAATATCGCTTTACTCCCCTAGTCTAAACTCGAACCAGAACAGATCCTCGATGTCGGACCCTACACTGAACGCGATTGTCATTGACGGTTTCGACTCAGAACCCTTTGAGAACCGCTCGTCAACACGGGCCATATCCCCCATGGCTGAACACCCACGCAATACAAAGAGAACCCCATCGGGGCCTCTCAAACAAAAGCTGCACCGGGAGAAATCGTTGGAGAGTACAATGAGGACGTCCGTACACCTAGACTCGTCGGATGAATCGGATGCTGACGATGCTGCGAGCATTGCGTCTTCATCGACTATATCACCAATCTCTGACCACGTACCACATGGATCAGGGACTCGTTGGCGACGTTTCTTTCCTGAGCTGTCTTCTCATTTCAGCCTCATATCTTCTATCGGCCAGGATGCTCAGCAGGGCAGAGTTTCTCCCCTGAGTGACAGTTATCACCACAGTTTCTCCGAGAACCACGTCCAGAATACGACTCGGATAAGTGAATCGTCTATGTCATCGCAAGACCTTCTTGAGAATGGTTCCTCATGTTATAGTCGCAGAAGCTCAATCACAAGTGTTGGCTCGGACTCGCCCATTCCAGATCGCAAGGCAGACGATACTTACTCCGTCATGTCGCCGACAAGGGCAGGGGTCTTCGACGACTTACGCTCCTCACAAAGGTGGTACATGAAATCCTCAAGGGAACACCTCTTAGTCGATGTTCTGGTGAACAAACCCCTACCTGAAGAACCTCCAATTAAGATGTCACCATTGGCGATACGTCGTCCTAATTCGACCTCCGACGATGGTGATCGATCCCAAACTCGGACTTTGGTATTACGCAGCAGCCGTCGCAACGGGTATAGGGACTCTACAATGATTTCCACAACCAGAAAGTATGACTTGGATGCATTGGATGAGGCTTTTCAGCGTTCCAATCCACGAAATATGCCGCAGGCCGAGGAGAATGGACCTTCTCCGTCATTGACGGAAGCCGCTCAGGAACTGGAGGATGAGCTCGCTAAATATGCTGCAATTGAGGAGACACCAGACATCCTTACATGGCCATTGCAGAGAAGCAGAGGTGCTACGGAAATGGTTGCTACGCGATCACCACCTCCGCCGGTCATTCTACGATCATTCAGTCAAGGTCCGTTGTTACCTGGAGAAGATAAACAGGAGCAACGCAGGAAAATGGAAAACGCCAAGTCTTCCCGAGACTCAAAGAGAAATAGAATGATTCGAAAGTCTAGAGCGCGTTTCTCTTTCTCTGTTTCCGGCCTCACTCGCAGAAAAAGTAACGAGTCAGATGGCCATTTTCGTTCACTGAGCAGCCAAAGCCTGGAATCTGCAATTGACGACTTAGATGAAAGGATAAAAGAAAAGCCCAAGATTGGCGTCCTAGTCGGAAGGACAAATGGGTCAGTTGGGTTTAGAAGTCCTATGGCTTCTTTCCATGATTCCGCTAAAATTGCGACGACCGAACTTGATAACAATGGCGACCAATCCCATAAAAGAAGGACTTCGACATCGAGTGAGAAACTACGGCTACAACTCCCTCGTCTTCAGACTGAGAGGATACAGCGTCTTTCGAACCAGTCTATGGAGTCTCATTCTCACGTCAAATGGCACGCTAGAGACAACAGCAACCAGAAAGACGAGCCTCTTCTCTCTGGTTATTATGTAGAGAGCCCCGAGTCGTCCACTCTCAATCGGCATATGAATGCAGTGGAGCTTCCATCAGTATCAGAAACTCCGCAGTGGTTTAATACTCGACGTATGTCCAGTATATATGAACTTGACGCTGGAATGCCGTCCCCTGCTATCAAAGATTGCGATGTCGTACCGGAAGTCAAGATCCCACTACCCGCAGATATCCCGGAGGAAGTCATCCTGGGTATCCTTCAGAAGGTCGATACGCTAGAGGATCTCTTCGCAGTTGCTTTAACGAACAGAAACTTTTACCAGACGTTCAAGCGTCATGAACTCGACCTCATGAGGAACGCACTGTTCAATATGACACCGGCGGCTTGGGAACTGCGCGAAATGAGCCCACCACGGAGCAGCGAATGGCAACATCTGAGAGATCCCGATGCTCCAGTGCCCACATACACACCGAGTCTCTATCTTCACCATTACGTTAAGGATATCTACACATTAGCGCATGTGAAGTCGCTCCTTCTGCTGCGATGCTCATCCTTATTACGGAGAGAGACGGTCAGTGGCCTCGCCGGCCTTGACACGGTTAGAGCTGCAGAGATTGACGATGCACTGTGGAGGATATGGACATTCTGCCGCATCTTCGGATCTGGTAAAGGCCGTGAAAATGATATTCGTGGCCAGATAGACTGGCTAAACGGCGGACAGCAAGCAAAGCAACGAATGAAAGACCCAGCGACTTTGGTGGTCGAATCTTTCAGTATGAATGACGTGCTGTTCGAGCCTCCCCAAGGATTCGCTCAAGGCAACGGAGAGGGTTTGTCCACAGCGCAACTGTACGATATGACTGAGATCTGGACTTGTCTTGGTGTTCTTCTTCAGCCGTGTTACGGAATGCGTGCGGAAGCTCGTCGCTTCGGCGTTTTTGATGGACAGGATATGAAAACGGGGGACATTGCAAAGGAAGAAGCAGTGCTTGGTTAGTATACCTGTTCAACCTCCATCGATGTCAAATGCTAATATTAGAGTACAGAGGAGTGGACTCATTATGTCCTCACGTTGGGACTATCAGCCGTGCTCAGCATCAGCTCTTTATGTCCTGCTGAATCTGCGGAGACAACTTTCCGCAGGGCCCAGAAACTGGGTTTGACCAAATGGTCTCCTACGGAGACTGGGGCAAGCCGCGCATCGTTTCTGAAAGAAGCGGTCTCGCGCGCTTACAAGGAGCGAACTAGAGATTACCTGCAACCGAAACAGGAAAAACCATCTATCGTGGACTCTGGCAATGCATCACCGGATTCGCCACAGTCTAGCCCCAATGGTTCAACCAGTGATGCTTCAGTATATCAGCAGAAGATCCCCGTGGATGGTTTCCCGTGGGAATCTCCTGATGATCAACCTCCGCAGTATAGCGAACAGCCCGACAGTCCCAATGGCGCGGCTACTGAACTATCCCCTATCTCCAACTATCCCTCAGTCATGAACCGTCTTGAAGACCAATGGAGGAGAGAAGCCTTGAGTGCTTCCGGATCCTCTATTGTTCCCGACATGCAGCGTGTTTCTGGAACCAACGTCTTCGTCCCGATATCTACCAGTCGCCCAATGTCTACCGTTCCTTATCTCGGATCGTTGATCGAACAACCAACTAGCGGCCAAATTCTCGATCCTGCAGATGAAGCCATATACAGGATGGTCTACCAACTCGGCTTCACAGAAGACGATGCCAAATGGGCCCTCAAGATCACCGATACAGGCGACTCCGTCAAACCCGACGCTGCCGTCAACCTTCTACTCAGGGAGCGCAAGAAGCGCGAGCGCGGTAATCGGTTCTCGAAGCTGAAGCGGGGCTCCTCAAACATGGATCATCCACCGGGTACTCCCCTCCTTGATCCAAAGTCTCTATCGAATGCCCCCGGGTGGAGATGGGCTTGACTTGACTTCACTTCACCTCACCACAATTCCGCGCGTTATCTTGTTTTTTTGTAAGATTCTGTACTTAGAATCGCTTGTGAACATACGTATTGTTGACAATCGTTCGATACCCTATTCCCATTCTAGAGATTTGTTGAGCTTCGATCTGTATACATATGTCTCTTTGCCTTTTTATATATTCTCGTCTACTATTCCCATTCATACAAGAAAATGTGTTACGAAAACGTTCTTGGAAATCGTTCGGGTATTAGGTTAGAATATCATTTGGTTTTACTGTTACACTAAGAAAGTCATACATTAGATACATTCCATAGCAGTCTCGATTCCCATACGAGCCCAGCACGTCATTAATATTTGCTTCAAGTTCGTGTATCTCATTCTCACATTTCCAGGTTGCAACTCGATTTTAGAAAGCAACCGTCGAGGCCAAACCGTCCAGCTCACGCTTGAAGTTCCTGTGCTGAGAGATCTGGTAGAAGAACTGGCCAACAAAGTCCTTGGCGTCCTTGAGGATCTTGATGGTCTCGCTGAAGTTCTCCGGCTTTTGCGTACCGTGGGCAGTGACGACACCGTACCATTCTGTGACGCCGCTGCTGCCGGCGTTGGCGACCTTGAGACCGGGCACGATGGAGAGGGTTTCCTTGACGAGGTCGACAGCCTCGCCGGTAGCACCGAGAGCCTTCAGGTGGCCAAAGGTTTCGCTGATCCAGTACCTGATCTGGCCGTTCTTGGCCAGGGTCTTGATGTGCGAACCACCGGGGATGAAGGTCGCATCGAACATGGTCGAGCGCATACCGTCATAGAAGTGGTCTGGGGTAACACCCTTGCTAGTTGACTTGTCCTCGCCGTCGGCGAAGATAGGAGAGCGCTTGGTACCAATGATGAAAGGTAGGGCCTTGGCGGCCTTGACAGCGTTCTTGATGCCAGTGAAAGCGACAGGGTCATAACCGTCTCCGATGAGGATAGCGATGCGACGGCTCGCGATGGTTGGCACCCTGGGTGCGAATTCGAGTTGAGAGAGATGCGGTGCGGTCTTGCCATGGTTCACCATAAGGGCTTTGGTGGGGATAGGAGCACCAACATTCTCAGCAACCTTCTGGGCAAGGCCGAGATCGATCTCAGCCAGACGCAGTGCCATACGCTCGTAAACGATGGGGTCATCGCAGTGGTCCAGCTCAAAGCTGAAGGCCTTGGCCATGTGGAGCTTCTCGTGTTCCGACATGGAGTTATAGAACAACTGGGCCTGCTTGTGGTACTCGCGGAACTTGTCGCTCAGAGCACGCTGCTTGAAGCCCTGGTTCTTCTCCGGGTAAGAGACAAATCCGCCGTTCTCAGGCTTCGTTGGAGGGACAGCCTGGAAACGGTTTGGCCAGTAGTTCACCGTGCCAGCGGTGATCTTGTGACGCATAGCGCCATCGCGGTTGTGGTTCAGGACGGGGCAGACAGGTCGGTTGATTGGGAGCTCTTCCCAGTTGGGGCCCAGACGGGTGATCTGAGTATCAAAATAGGAGAAGTTACGGCCCTGGAGCAGAGGGTCGTTGGAGAATTCGATACCGGGGACGATGTGGCTGGTGCAGAAAGCAACCTGCTCAGTCTGGGGGAAGAATTCGTCCACGTTCCGGTTCAGCTCCATCTCTCCAATAATGCGGACGGGGAACTGATCCTCGGGCCAGAGTTTGGTGGCATCCAGAGGGTCGAATTCGAACTTGTCCTGGTCCTCCTCGGGAATCACCTGGATTCCAAAGTCCCACTTGGGGTATGCCTTGTTGTCGATGGCCTCCATGAGGTCCTTGCGGTGGAAGTCAGGGTCCTGTCCAGCCAGCTTCAGAGCCTCATCCCAGACCAGAGAGTGAACACCAAGGTGAGGGATCCAGTGGAACTTGACAAGATGGCGCTTGCCCTGCTTGTTGACCAGGCTGAATGTGTTGACACCAAATCCCTGCATCATACGGTAAGATCGTGGGATAGCACGGTCAGACATGGTCCAGTGGAACATGTGCGTGGCCTCCGGGTGAAGAAAGACGAAGTCCCAGAAGTTGTTGTGAGCTGACTGTCCTTGGGGAACCTCGTTGTGAGGTTCAGGCTTGACGGAGTGAACTAACACAAGAGTTAGCAGACCCAAACGATTTCAACAGCGGCATCAGTGTACGGACCGAAGTCGGGGAACTTAATGGCATCCTGGATGAAGAAGACAGGAATGTTGTTTCCGACAATATCCCAGTTACCCTCGTCGGTGTAGAACTTGACGGCAAATCCTCGAACATCACGGACGGTATCGGCACTGCCCTTGCTTCCCTGCACTGTCGAGAAGCGGACGAAGACGGGAGTGTTTCGTGAGGTGTCGGTCAAAATGCCGGCAGAAGTAAGCTCCTCAATGCTCTCCTTGAGCTTGAAGTTTCCAAAGGCACCAGTTCCACGGGCATGCACTACTCGTTCCGGAATACGCTCATGGTCGAAACGATGAATCTGCAAGGTGTTTAGCAATTGCCACGGTTTGGGTCCAACAATTACACGAGGACTCCTCTTACCTTTTCTCTGGCAAACTGGTCCTCCAGCAATGATGGGCCCGTGTGGTTTTTGTCCACGACTCTCAGCCAGTGGTCAGTATCGCTGATAGCGACGCCGTGGTCACTTCTCAAAGTCTCCTTGGATTCGTTGACGTTTTCTGTGTTGCGCGCCAGATCCACCACCTTCTTGTCCTTGGAAGCAGCACTCTTGATGACATCCTGGGCCTTCTGGAGGCCACTGGAAATTGTTGCAGCCATTATGTTGTGTGTGATATTCTGCTCAGCAGTTGAGTTGCGCTAGGCTTCCCTATCCTGGATCGAACAATTGGGGACTGAATAACCGATACCTGGTGCGACCGTGTGGGGTTAATAAATAATAGAGCCAGCTCGTCTGTACATGAGAAATCATCGTGCCGTGAATGGATGGCAGCGTGCTTTATGTACTGCTGAGCCCGTCATTGTTGTATCTCTTGTTGAGCGTCGCGCGGAACGTAAAAATGACGTTAGTTAAGTACATCCGGGACGTCACCTTGACAGCTTAGCATCGCGCCCGCATCCATTGGCGCCGTAGTAGTTCCTCATGGAGCGAACAAGCCATACGGATGGGGTTAGGAATGCCCATCACGCAGGATTTCCTTTCAAATTGTTCGATCCGAGCGGGGTCTGTGGTTCCTGTGGTTGTTGCGTGTACAGAAAAGCAGGTCGATGACGATACGCGCAGCAGAATAGCGAGGGAAGCCACGAAGCTTAATGATCCCAACTACGGAGCATCCTGAAGACAATTCATGGGAATTCGCATTCTGTCTCCGGCCTGATTAACGTCAAGAAAGCCGTTTTCAGCTGCGAAACAGAGCGAGAGCTCAGTGGTTGCAATCGGCAGTCAACATCGGGCGTCTCGCAACTGCACTGGACGATCTACATCTCTCTCACGTATCAAAACTGTCAGATGTTATTGCATCCTCTATGCTAGACAGAGGTTACTCAACCGGGTTGGCCCTCGTAGCTATAGTACTCTACGGCTCTTTTTCGTGGGGATACCAGAATTCGATGTCCTATATCCCGTAACATCACCGTTCGTCCAGTGCTCCATGTCTCTACGGTCGACAGAACCTAGTCCATGGCCAAGGTTCCAGGAAGACGCAGAGAACCCTATCAGTGTGGACATTCACAATTTTCTGGACTGGACTATGAAGCTTAGGGCTTCGAGTGGTTTGGCATGCTCGAGAAGAACCTCTTTTGTCTCTAGCTGCCCATATCTGACCACATCTGGCCACTTGTCCCATCCTGAACCCACAGATATCTTACACGTGGGAAGAAACGGTAGTCATTATAGATTGCACATCGTGCGCAACTCCAACCAAGTTCATGCGTAGCAGACTGCATGGAATCGCATGGTAGGAAAGGAACCTCGAAACCTAATCTAATACAACAAGAACTCCTTAGTCGCATACGATAGAGCATCGAAAACTGGGATATTCGTCGGGGAAGAATGAGAGATAGCAGCACGAACAAGCTTAATCCTAGTTCAGTTCGCAATCAATCTGGTTTGGTTGGTGGTGCGGGGTATCTAGACCAGACTATCCTGAGTCCTGAGGGAACCCGGAAGCAACCGAGGTGGTTCTAGGCCAGAGATGTTAGTAAGGCAGAGTTGAGAAAAAGAAAGAAGACCATCATGTAGAAAATCCGATGTCATCATCTATCAGTATCGGCTCTTCAGTTGGGAATCGTTAATCTAGTAGTTGATTACTTGACACCAGCCATCGATGAGTAAAGGTTCCCCAGGGCCTTGCGGGTCTAGAAGCGAGTTGGTTTATTAAAAGTGAACCCACCCTCATCGATCGTTAGTTGCTGGATGTAATAATATCTGTCTACTGAGGTCTGGCAGTTTTGCTGTAGCATGTGTAAGTAGAGGTTGAGCAGGTATCACTACTGATTCGGAAATTCACTGCACCATATCTGTCGTCTTTCGGAAGGCATTTCCGGGATTATCTCTCCACGAGTCACCGTGCAGTAAAGATAAGCAGTCGACCTTCGGTTTCGAAGTTCAGGTCTCGAGTAAGCGAGCTGGCGTCCAGGACCTAAGTACCTAGTTAGCAGTGACGTTACGTTAAACAGAGGGCTGAGCCCACCTAATAATTGTCCCTACTTATGGAATTGTTGGACGGCCCCACCGAGAAATTCCCGAAGATCGCCAACACAGGATGACGGCAGAAAGGGAGATAGTCTACAACTCAAAAGACAATAATCCGAGACTCTCCTGGTTTCGGACAACAGGGTTGGGCATATTATGAACGTATCGAGTCGGAATCTAACGGACGGCCTGCCCTGGGTTGCTCCAACAACAATAGATAGAGTATTTTGACAACTGCGCACAACATATCGCTAGCGATTGCTGCAGACACCGCTGAAGAGAATCTCAATTGACCACAATGGCGAGTTCTGGAACACAGGGGGTTTATCTGCAATTGAAGTTGACAGCTGGACAGGCATGATAGAGGGATTCTGTGGAAGTCGTTTCGACAATGGTCATTGCATTACCGACACGCAGGGCACACCAGTCAGAGCTAATAATCGTCAGAAGGTATGCACAGATGTCGCCGCCGTAGATTCCTGTAGGGCCGGCCACATTGCGTCTCAATATAGACACTGCACATTAGCTAGTTTGTTCTTGAAGCTGGCTAGATGCCGGTGCGATCGCCTGCAATCATTGCTGCCTGCGGCTGTTTCTTGCATACCAGGACTCCTCAGTTCTCTGCGACAAACTTGCCTGGACTATTTCAAGGCCATCATTGACGAATCCTCGTTGCAAGATGTGGTCGATAAGGACGCTAAGAGAGCAACCCTTAAGGGCGCTGACTTTCTTATGTGTTAATGGTCATCTCGTAACGAACTATCGATCGATCCCTAGGGATACATAGATGGATGCATATCGCACAAAGTGTATTACTATTATTATTATGACTCCACAGATGGCAGTTCGACTGCTGTAAATCAGTGCTGATCCTTTGAATTTCCCGACATTTGCAAGGATGATCTGCAGACCACGAGTAGTCCATGTGATAATTCATCGATTAACCAGCCCTGTCCGGCCACTATCGAAAAATAAAGATATGACAGGTGCACGGCTATCCTGGGAAACAGAGACAGAAAAGAATACAAGTCGCACTGGGCAAAGCGACTGGCGGATGATCTGCGACGGTCGAGATTCGCCGTGGTCAAAGTAACTTGCGCCGTCCGTCTTTTGTGGGGAAGAAGACAACGCAAGGGGCCAAAGCTGAGAGCTTTTAGCGTACACAGATGAACTGAACCTCCCCATGATGGCCCACTGGTTGTTTCTAACCCGTGGAACAGTGTGCGGAAGATTCCTTTTTTTATCCCGCCCAGCACCGCCTAGGTTCGGTTGGCGACTTTAGCAACTGTGGTTCCTGACAGCTTGGACCAGTCTGGCAATCGTATGGATTGGCTGAGTTTTGGGGAGACGGACCCTGATACTTATGGCAAGGGGAACAGGTCAACTCGACCCAATCTTGGTGATGCATTTCCGCTATCGCCCAATACTACTGCCTTTTGTGCTGTTCATAGCGACCTTATTCTCGATCGACGCCAATTCTCAAACTCTCCATTGGCTCTGTATCCGGACCGATGGCCTCTCCCTTGGCTCGCGGCCCACTGCTAATGCGAGGGGATCCTATTCAGAGTTTCCATACCAGCTTGAGACACGGAACTATGCGCATCTGTCGTCCATCCCAAGTCGCCATAGGAGCCTTGGAGAATCCACCGGAGGATAAGGCCGGTTGTATGTAGTGGCGGGACCTAAGGCATCGTCACCGCCCTTCCCGTTGATTAAAAGATGGCGTCTCTCCAAGCTCCACGGGTTCTTTGAGCGTATGCGTATGTTGGGCTGGCGTGGTTTCAAATTGCGTGCAAGATGCATTGTTATCATTGTGCAAAGAGCTTCATTGACCGGTGAGAAGACCTCAGTATCCCTTTTCTCGATTGACAACCAGCAGCAACTAATGACCTTTCTAATCAGAGATGAGTTCGAAGGCCATCGTCAATCACATATAGAACGACAACAACGGCTCCATGCAGGTATCGCTGAAAACGGATTAGGGAGCAGCATCCGTGCGAGGAAATCTCGACATGGGGTTTTACGCGCACCGGAAGTGCTGTTATCTTTGGCAGGGAAGACACTAAAGAGTATGGATATATCTCAGGAGAGGGACTGGATGTTTTGTCTATCATGAAACTGATAAGATCGTGTAGGTTCGGATGAGACGCCATCGGCCGTGGACAGTTTCCAAGATGCGCTGCGTTTCTTCCCTCCTTACACAGAGAAGAGCGATGGCGGAAATCAGATGTGCGAGTGCTTCTGTCCGGACTGTGACGCTATATACTCCTCGTCGTATGTTCCAAAGAACTGGCTTCCATACCCGTGTCATTCTGACATTCTCCTAGTGCCGAATTGAAGCAACATCACCTTACGAAGTATTGTCCTGGCAGCGCAATAGTCGTATACGTTATGACGCGGGACCGGTAGGTCGATTACTCCGTCGAACAATAAGCATCCCTCAGGCTAGGGTTTGTATCTAGTCTTGCAAGTCGCGTTAACCTGGTTGGCCATCATATTAGGCTCATCAAGAGGGGCTATCGGGTCGAAAAGAGGTTAATACCCTTGGATGCGCAGCCGTTCCGAGTCGCATGTGAAAAGTGCGGAGAGCAGTTCTCCAATGAGAATGATCGGGACGCACATCAGAATATGCGTAAGTCATACCCTGTCTCCATTGATAGATCATATCTGATGGGTTCCTAGACGAAACCCAAGATCTCGAGTGTCTTCATTGTGGACTGAGATATGATACTTCGTGAGTGGACTCCAAGCTGTTCTTTTCTTGTCCTCTTCATGCTAACAAGTTCGGTCAGCTATGAGCTCGATGCGCATTACGACTGGCATGACGACATGGAATACCGTCAGCTGCGGGAGTGCTCTGAGGACTCGACCAGCTCCGATCACAGTAGGAGCCCTAGTTTGGCATCCTCGGGCAGATCGGGCCCCATGCCACCGCAAGCTCCAATACCGACGATCGAAACCGCCGTCACCAAGAAGCCGTCCTCTACAATCTTACGTGGGCCTCAGAAGCTGCGAGAGTCCTGGCCTCTAAGAAGTAGGTCGGCACGGCTTCGAAACACTTCAGTTGGAGGGGACTGATGTGATTATAGAGAATCCCCAAAGAGACGATGACGAATTGGTTGCTATTAGCTTTTCCAGTGCAGAGGAACTCGAACGCGGTAAGACTACTGCCACATATCGATTGTCCACAAGATCTCGTCAACTGACCGTTGTCAGTTCATGCTCCAAATGGCATTCTGCAAGAAGGCTACGGCGGGACTCTGCCGCTGTCTCCGATCAGTCAGTTAATGACAATTACTGAGATGAGCACTAATTGTGAGTGTTTTCAACAGGTCGCTGTTCTAACTGAATCTTCTAACATGGAAGCAGCCCATGCTCCCACTACTGGGTCAGATGCAGACAAGACAACGGTCACCACCCTTTGCGAGGAAACCTTTCTTCAGCCCAGCGAGGTGGGCGAATACCAGGACGATGCCTCCTGTGACTCGGGGGCTACTGCAGACGGAGACAACACCAAGAAGGATTCCCTTTTTCGATCAGTGTTCGGCAAGAAAATATCGCGAAGTAAGTAGTCTCGCTACCCAAACTCGGAATATGATCGCTCACCCGCTGTAAGGCCTATCTCACAGTAGTAGTACTTCTGCTGGCAAGAAGTTGATCAAGAAGGGAGCCATTCGCTTTTCCATCGTATCAAATCGGCTAAAGAGTGATAATGATTCGATTAAATCCGGCACTAATGCCAGTGAACGGAGCGAGAGTCGCAGTGGCAGAGATTCTCCCGCACTGAAAATAAGAGTGGGTGATATCTCGGACTCAGACAGCGGCTATGGAGGTTCGCCCAAGGGCGCTCCTGGGCCCTTCGTTCACATTCGTACAGCTTCAGATGGTTCCTTCGCCAACGATGTTTGTGGACGGCAACGGGTACTCTCCATGGAGCAGATTGCTTTCCTATACTTGCAGATCAGCGAATGTATCTCGTCCACTCCATTAAGGACGAAAGCTAGTACTATACAATCTCGAGCAGAGTCGGAATCTAAACGAGGCAATCTGGAAGATGCTGCCGCCGAATATCTCGACATGCTCAACATTTACAATGAGAATCCGGCCCTAGATATTGACCGCATGTCCAGGGCAGGGATATTGCATGAACTGGGTCGCATATATGAAAGGTTGAACCAACCTTCAGAATCAGAATGGTGCTTTCTCGAAGCGCTTGGGTTATACAAGAGGACTTTTGGCCGTGATTATCCAAGGAACTTCTGCATTCTCAACGATATGGCTACATTGTGCGAGAAAGACGGATACGCAACTGAGGCGGCAGAATTATACGACCGTTCGCTCGCAGGTCGCTTGAAAACACTGGGTCAGAATGCGCCGGAAACGTTGGGCAGCATGCAGGATCTTGCTACCATCAAGACCTCTCTCGGTGATATTGAAACGGCCGTTCTCCTCTTCCAAATGGTCGTCCCAGCATTGGAAACAGTTTTCGGTCTCCAACATGAGAATACCTTGACTGCGATGGATAATCTGTCTATGCTCTATCAAAAATTGGGGCTAAACGAAGAGTCGCGAGATATTTCACGGAAGATGATTCCATACTGCAGGAGTGTTTTTGGTATCGACAGCTCAATGACGAGGGATGCCATTGCAAAATACCTCAAGACCTCGGACAATTTCGACTTCTCGCCGGACGTCAAGGAAATCCTGGACCACTACCGACGGTCGAGACAGCCGCAGTCCCTGAGGGTCTTGCAGGGCCTTGGTCGAGCATATATGGACGCAAATCTAAACAGAGACGCCGTTGATCTCTTCCAAAGCCTATTCGAGGCCTTGACCTCTGTCAAGGGAACTGACGCCCCTGAAACCCTCGATGCCCTTAGTGCGCTATGCGTTTCCTGCGAACATCTCGACGCATTGGAGCAGGCCATTCAAGCATACGGTCAACTCATACAAATCGCCCGGAAGACTCCGCCGGATCATCATTCCCGAAGACGCATGGACTATGCTCAGAAGCGAGTAGCTGACTTGCGCCATCGCCAAGACGTGCTTTCAGCGGAGAAGAAGGCATGGGGTCTAAACGAGGAAGGGCCATGTGGAAATTGTCAATCTCCCACAAAGAGTCTATGCAATGGTAAGACACTAGCTGCCTCCTTTCTCCATCCTTCCTCACAGTAAATTATCCCGGAATCCAACAAACATACTAACCAAAACAACCCAGGCTGCCACATGGTCCGATACTGCTCTGAAAACTGCCAGAAGAAGCACATGCCCACGCATAAACCTCGATGCATCCCATCCATCACACTTCGCCAATCCAAATCCGTCGCCATAAAACCAAAATGCCCCAGTTTAATCAACGATACAGCCCTAGCGAAAATCGCATCAAAAACCAAAAACAACTCTTCCACTGCAAATATTACCTCCTCATATACTTTCTTCCTCGACCAACGCAACTTCACCACCTTCCGCATGAAACTCAGCTCCGTCGTGAACACCATCATCCTGTTCTCAGCCGACGTCAGTATTCAATACATGGTACTAGACAGCTCCGTTTCGGAGCCATCACCACCGTCAGAATCCTCAGAGGAAGAAAACACTCAAACAACCGAGTGGATCACCCCCCAAATGCAAGAATACGTATCCGTCTCGCCGCCCTCTCGTCCCTTCGCGACATACCTCGTCATTGCCCCAGGGAAGGAAATGCTCCGCGAGCAGATCGATAGACGCATCCACGCGCGCAGCGGAGGTGGGGAACGTGAAAAGTTCGAATCCCTCAGTATCCCGGATAACGACTTGATTGAATATTGTCAAGGGACGCTTTTGAACGGATACATGGGCGAGGCATTCATGTATGTTCTCGAATGGATCTGAGGGATAAAAGGGGAGGTTTGTATAGTCAATCGTACTGGTCATTTTTCTTCCTTTTTCAACTTCTTCTTTTGGCATGGTTTATTTTGTCTTGGGTACACTGTAAATTTGACGAGGAGTTTCATATCTATCTTTTCATGTTTGAGTTATATTCTACCCGAGAGAAAAAGAATGTCTAATTCCTTTCACTTAAGAATTGATATTTCACCGATAATGCGATAATTTTATTGGATTGATCGACCGGTTAATACTCCTGTACGTATCTCAAGCAATGAGTATAGTTGCTGTAGTGAATTGCGACCAGAACAGAAGAACAAATGTCAAAATGGGGAATATATATTGGGTATTCTAGTCATACACGGTCTCTTGGATCCGGGACCCACACACAAGAGAAAACCTTCAACACTCCCTACAAAGATACAGACATCTAAAAGATACAAACGTATCTGTTCTAGAGAAACATCAGCCGCCAACACAACTCATCTACAGACCGAAGTCACTTTTTGCACAATCTTGCAGTCGAGAACAAAAACTAACGCTCAAAACGGAAAGGACAGACATATCATGCTCATAAACTCGTCCGCGAAACGAGGTTAGCGGTCATCAAGTGGAGGGGCCTTCTTCCTCGTCAGATTTGTAATGGTCATCGTCGTCATTGCCGCCCCAGCCTTGTGCCTCCAGGCTCAGGGAACGGATTCCGAAACTCAGAATGAAGCCAACAAATGCTACTGCACCAAAGACGCCGAATGCCAAAACCTCGCCTTTGTGCCCAAGCTTGAGAGCAAGTGAAAAGAGGCCACCAGAAAGGAACGGACCGGCTGCACGACCCGCCGCTGAAAGGGTCTGGGCAAGGCCATTGAGGGCTCCAAGGACGGAGTGATTTGGAGCAGTATTTGTGATCTAACATGCGATGTCAGCGATGTTCATCATAGTCATCATGGGATACTTACCAGCAGGAGAGCGCTGGTTAATCCACCAACAGCAGCCACGGTCTTCACTAGCAATACGAAGCACAACTCAGCGGCGAGAAGCGCAGACTGGGTCGTCAGACCACCTTCTTTACTCTTGTAACCGACAAACGGCATGAGGACAAATGATATAGCGAAGCCAAGCAGGCCTGCACGGTACGATGAGCGGTTGCCCATCTTGTCCCTAAGCTTTCCAAAGATGCAGATCTGAAAGATGATGGTCACAACTCCGGCGAACCCTTGGGAGAGTCCAATCTCCTGGGGGGATAGATCGCGTCCAGAAGGCGGGTCAGCTTGTGCAAAGATCGGATATAGAGAGTTGAACGACACATTGCATAGAGCGAAGATCAAGTACGTAAGAAGAAGGAGAACAGTATCCCGGTTGAAGATCTCATCCTTCGTAAGCTCTTCGTGATGAGTGTGGAAACCTTGAGAAGATTCCGATACCGAATCAAGGTCACTGTCATGGTCATGGTCGGGGTGGGAGACAGGTCTGTAGTTATAGGGACCACTGTACTGAGCCCGAAGATACGTCGGACGCGACGAGCTAGTGAATTGCCACAGCCAGCTGAAGAGGTTACGAACTCTCTGTCCAAAATCTGGCAGATTTTCCGCATCTTCGAGACTTTCTTCGAGAAATATGACTGTGAGGATGAAATCGACGAGCAAGATAGCGGCGGAGAGAAGGTTCGGGCCAATATATGGATACGGATTCGGTTGATCCTTGTTGAAAGGGTTATTCTTGAAGACCAGCAATCCACCCAGGACGGGTCCAGTTATTCCTCCAATCCCATAAAGCACAGGCAGATATGTGAATGCTTTAGACTGGTTACTGCGATCGGTGATCTCACCCAGACACGTCGACACCAGGCCTTGGTTTCCGTTCACTACACCCATCAAGGCCTGCACCACAATCGCTTGCCACAGGGTACGGCAGAATCCAAATGCAACGAAGCATGCTGCCGTCAACAAGGTTCCAAGGAGTATGACTGGTTTCCGACCAATTCTGTCCGACAGCCAGCCCCAGAAGTAATTGGTGACAAACTGCGCGAGAGCGAAAGCGGAAGCAATCGTACCGACGTAGACCCCGACTTGCTCCTTTTCCACCTCTGGGAATGATGAGGCCATGTCTGGTAAGTAAGGGCTGATCGAATTCAACGCTGTTTGCTCCGACAAGGCAATCATTGCCAGCACGAGCATTTGCTTAACCGGCAATGGGGAACGGGTAGAGGTGTCGGCACCCTCATTGTGCTGGTCGTGCGAGGCATCTTGGGATGATTCAGATTGCCCAGAATTGGGACGGCCTCTGGATTTTGGGGGCGATGTCGCGAATGTCTGGTAATGCTGGGTTGAAGAACCCCGCCTGTTGATGGGCTGCCGAGCGTCTGCGGTCATCTCGGAGATGTCTATGAGACGTAAGGCACTTTGAAAAGCCCAATTCGATCAAGTACCGGCCTTCACGGCCCAATGTATAGCTTCCGGGGCGTTCGCAGTGTGTCTCTCCCAGGCGTGCGGCGGTCAATGGCTCTTGTGAAAGGGTGGCGGGGGCCGAGTCCACGGTCCTAGTCGCGTGCGCGGAACTCAAGCGATATGAGAACGGTGGAGTCAGTCGTTACTCGTTAGTCAACGCCGGAGGGCGTAGCGTAGTGTTTGGCACTTCACGACACTCTGCATCCTCGAAAGAGACATCGAGATGAAGAGAAGAGATCGCAAAGAAACGCGAGGCTGACGGAATGAGGCGTTTCTGGCCAAGCAAGGAAGAACAAGGCAAGCTCGCCCGCACTTATGTAAGCAAGTCTGAGCCCGAAGAGGAAGTCCGAATTACTCATCGATCTAATCTGATAAGATTCTTCACTCCATGATGCTATTGTCATTCATATAGAGACCCATTAACAGGAGCACTATGAGTTCCTTCTAGCTGTCTCAAATTACCTCCTGCCGTCATAGATGGCTCGATAAGAGAGCTATCAGAGATGACAGGTTCGTCACAAGAACTTCAGCATACTTGAGTGTGCCGCAGAAAAGATACCAGACAGAGTGGGTAAGATGATGTTCTGCATTTTGAGTGTGGTGTTGGCGTAAAATTTGGATTGATATCAGAACCAATCTAAACGTCATCCGAGTCATGTAAGGTACGTGACTATTTCTCCTTTGCAGCACCAGCAGCAGTAAGACAAAAGAAAGTGCACTCGCGATCCGAGACACCAGTAGCTAGTATCTGCAGAGTCGCAGCCAAGTTTTGGAATGGCCTGGGGAGAATCAAGAGCGGCCTTTCTAGATTTACAAAGTACTTCATCCGAAGGCCGCAATTATGTGACTAACCTGTGTCGGTGTCACGAGAATCACGATCATCTTGACGGTATATCAACCCAGCTTGACTGGCATACTCGTATGTTTCTCTATCGAACCCCTCAGCTTCCTTTTGGGCTTTCACTCGCTCCCAATGAGCATCAGAGATCCTTTTGCGCGACGCATTCGCGCGGTGACGTATGAGAATGCTTTTCGCTTCGGGATATGACAAGTGGGAAATATCCTGGAATCGTCTGATCTCTTGTTCAGATATCTCATCATCTGAGTTGTCAGGAGCGTTGTTGCTGGTAGCAGCAGCCATTTCTCCTGATTTGTCGTCCATAGTTATGACGTTAGATTCACTGCGGCAATAACCTTGGAGACCCCAAGACTGGATGATTCAAAAGATGGGACAATCAATTTGATGTAAACAACTCACTTAGTTCGAGCGTGTTGATAGTCGTGGAAAGGGTCATATAGTAACGACCGTTTGCAACGGACAAGAAAAGTTGTTCGTGTCCTCTATGAAGTCGAGCATCAGTAATGGCGGCGAATATTATTGAGTTCCATGGACGATATAAAGGTTATTTCTAATCTGGGACGCGCAGGCTCTACACCGTTGAAGCGCTATTCCTATACACGTTTACAAGGAAACCGGCATCTGTTGAATTTTAAAAATTACGCTTAGGGCAGATATATAAAGACAGACGCAGCAGAATTCTTGAAGAAAATCTGTAACATAAATGTCAAGTAATCATGCCACTTTACACTCTGACAACGGTCGGTCCTAAGCCTGCATGGCGACACAGGCGTTGTAATTGATAGAGGGGACTGATTCGATGAGTTGTTCTCTACACCACTTAACGTTATATAGATAGATGTACAGCAATCCAGGAGATACCTCGGAGATAAACGCTAATATCCGGCATCGATATAGAAGTTGACAGAAACTCTGTAGAAATTGGAACTTCTTGCGTTTGGTGATTTGTCAGCTTGGGATAATTCGAATCCGAATGACGTGTGCAAAATAACCATAGATTCTCATGTTTGATTTTTTTTTATTGTTGGCAACCTTTCCTTTATTGAGAATTCCATGTGATATTTCCCTTTCTCAGCCTGCTTCCAATATCTCTGCATGTTATAACTGTACAGAGTATAACTAGTAGACTCCAATAATAATAAGCTATATCAACGTCCATATACCCGCGTGGAGCATACTAAAATTTAGTCACGCAATCTCTGCCGTAGTTGTGACGATATGTGTTATCACCATGGCGATCCATTGGTTGTGGATATACTCCAGCCCCAGCGCGCCCCAAGAACTCCTCAATTTATCTCCGAGAAGTGGAATTGTTGGGTTTTGTAATACTCAGCATTGTTTAAATCCACGGACACAGCTGTTGTCTTTTCCTATCCAGCAAAATATAAATCCAGCCCCCGTCACGATAACTCGAGCAGCATTCAATTGATTCCGAATAAACATAACATCTGAAAAAGAATGGCGTCAATCCCGAAAGCCCCTCTCGGTCGAAACGGCCCTGAGGTCAACCGCATCGGTTTCGGTTGTATGGGTCTATCCGCCTTCTATGGCCCTCCCAAGCCTGACAACGAGCGATTTGCAGTCCTGGATGCCGCATACGAGGCTGGTGAACATTTCTGGGACTCGGCCGACATCTACATGGACAATGAGGATTTGCTGGGCAAATGGTTTGCGGCCAACCCCGAAAAACGCAAGGACATCTTCTTGGCAACCAAGTTCGCGTTGCATCCGAAGCCTGACGGCTCCCTGGAGATCAGAGGCGACCCGGAGTATGTGAAGGAAGCGTGTGCGAAAAGCTTGAAGAGATTGGGCCTTCCATATGTCGACCTCTACTACTGCCACCGTTTGGATAAGAACGTTCCTGTCGAGAAGACGGTGCAGGCGATGGCTGAGCTGAAGAAGGAAGGCAAGATCAAATATCTCGGGTTGAGTGAATGCAGTGCAGAGTCTCTGCGTCGTGCATGCAAGGTCCACCCGATCACTGCCGTTCAGATTGAATATTCGCCTTTCACCCTCGATATCGAGGACCCCAGAGTTAAGCTCCTCGAGACATGTCGCGAACTTGGTGTTGCCGTCGTCGCCTACAGTCCTCTGGGCCGTGGCATGTTGACCGGCAAATACCGCTCACCAAACGACTTTCCGGAGGGCGACTGGCGCCGCATGGCTCCACGTTTCTCAGAGGAGAATTTCCCAAAGAACCTGCAGCTCGTCGACGAAATTCAATCGCTCGCACGGAAGAAGGGCTGCACTGCTGGCCAACTGACGCTGGCGTGGCTCTTGGCTCAAGGAGAGGACATCTTCCCGATCCCCGGTACCACCCAGATCGACAGACTGAAGGAGAATATTGGTGCTGTGAATGTCCACCTGAGCAAGGAAGATGTAGACATCATCAGAAAAGCTTGTAAGAATGCAGAGGTGCATGGCGAACGATATCCCGCGCAAATGGCAGATCATTTGTTCGCGGATACTCCTGCTTTGTGAATAACGGAAATGATAGTACCCAGAAATGTGTAATGGTTATTATTTTTAAGAGTCCTTAAGAAAAACACAGAGCACTTACAGCGCAGCAGATTCTTCTTCTGAAGTCCAAATATTGTATATGTGCTGCGCAGCCCTACCGTTGCGTTGCGTTTAGTGCTTACTAGACCCCTGCCTCAGAGGATCTGTCTCATTCGAGCGATATAACAGCAGGTCAGATCTCCACCAATTGCTATTTTTGATTTACAGGGGCGTTTTGCTTTCTCACCGGTGATCTCCATATGTCAGCCATAGATGCCATGTGGTCTCCTTGTCGAGCAATGTGTAACAACAGATCGACGCTCCCCCGCAGAAGATCATGGCCAACAGTCATGGGCTAACCGTAAACCCCCCCTGCTTGGTTCGTAATTAAACTACTTTTGATCAAGAAATCAGGGTCCTTAGACCAAGAGGTGCAAGATAAGGCCCTACATCAGCGCCATCAGAGGCTGTGCTCTGCATTAGCTACTGTCAGCGATTCTTCCACGCGTAATCCAGAAGCTTCTTTGATTGTGAAATCCCTCATTCTTATTGATTAAGGTCTGTACAGATCTGGATTAATCATCCTCTTGCTGGGCTTCTTGAGGGAAGTACTCAGCTGATGCGGGTCACAGTTCTGTTAAGATCAGGGCTGACATCGATCATACTTGGAAGAGAGAAAAGCCCCCAAGCGTTTCTCATCATTGCTAATATCGTCCTTTATTTGACGTGAGATGATCTAACACCTAACTATTCCAGGCTTCTTTTACCGATTATTGAGTCAGTCAATAATTATAGTCAGCCGATGATGTCACGCTATCTGATAATCCTCTATCTTTTCTTTTCTTTTTCTTTTTCTTTTTCTTTTTTTTTTGTCCAGGAAAAGTGACTAGCTGATAGGTAAGTCCATTCACTGTCAGCGTGGGTAACTGGTACGGTTCTTCTTCCATCGACTTCCAGAAGGTGTTTATAGAGCTTACGCTGCTTCACCACCATTTGATGTAACCTTTTATGGTGTTCAAGGGCTATGTAGAATGGCCCACGTACATGTGTTATTGATTCCAGTACTAGAGAACCTGGTACCCATAGACGTAAATACATAAGGACTCTTGTAAGGAGATTTGCGAATTAGGTGCGCTCCTATCTTGCTAGAACCTAAATTGCCTACTCTATCGAGGCACCTGCTATATCTGTTGCTCGCTAACATTTACCTGTTCTGTCTACCGGCCTTCGAAAGCAGGAGCAATTACAGAGACGTACCTCAAGATTACTTCGAATTCTTCTCTTCGCCACTCCTGCTGATATATCTTTAAACTGCATGATTCTATTTCAGGTGTTTCAGGCCTTCTACGGTTACATGAACAGCTTATAGTCATAGATACTGCATACAACGCCATCTCCACACAGTATGTGCCTGAGAGCCGCATAAACCTGAAGGTCCAGGGCACCCGATTGGCCAAATTGATACAATAAGCATGCCTGAAGATGAAGTATGACTATGAGAATTGCCATCCGGAGACGCTAAACATTATATCTGGTTCACAAGCAACGTCAGCGCAGGCTTTAAAAGACATACGAGACCCCCGCGGCTTGAACAGATGTCCCAGACTTTCCATAAATTCAATAGCAAGATATTCGATATCCCTGTCTGTGCATCTGTTATCAATATTTCTTTCACTCGGTTCTCTTTCTGTTCGACATATTCGTTTTCTTCATCCCATTCAACGCAGTGTATACTGATACCCAAAATGCAGCAAGACAAATCTCAATTGATTCACTCACTTCGCACCCACCGCATAAATACAATTACTGAACTTCGTCGAGTTGAGAAAGTATTTGCACAGCTCGGATCTGCGGACGTTACAGAGCCTATGACCAGCGCATGGCTACACTATGTCAATTCGAACAACCTACTCAACGAGCTAAGAGGATTGACGAAGAACTATCATTTCAGCTCTGAGTGTCTGGACGAAGCGAAGTGGCTAGTATCCAGTGATCCTCAGAGCTGTCGCAGCTGGAACTATTGCTGGTTGATCCTTACCAAGATTCAAGAGAAGTCTGTGTTTTCGTCCTGTGTTTTAATATATGGCCCCTGTATTAACCCCATTAAACAGGCAACTCATTCCAAAACATGCCAGAATCCTCGCCGCAAAACCTGCCATGTGGGGTGACAAGCAACCTACCCCGGAGCTTATCGAATGGCTTTCGAATGAATGCATCAAGGAATGGACAGCTGCTGTTCAACTGATGCTTCGCCACTGGGAAACACCCCCGACAACTACCGGTCGCTAGTTTAGCGATATGTATGAGGATTATCACATCTGCATTTTTCAAGATATAGACATTGCCACTGCTTGTTTTGTTTTCTGTTCGCATATCATCCGTCTCTTTCTTTCTTTTCGACTCGCCTTAAGCATTGAATTAGCATTAGACTGGTGTTTCGCTAGAATATTTTGCTCACTTATCGAGATCATTTATCTCAGTTATTGCGCGTGATCTGGAACTTCCATCGTTGTTGTTGTTATTGTGTATTACTAATTCATGATGTACGTCTAGATTTCTAACTGAGTGATATTATTATTATATGAGAATCCTCCCCGCTCTGAATTACCTCTATGGATGTTCTACAATCAGCAGTAGTCAGTCAGAAAAGGGGTGTAATGTCTGACAAATCTTTCCCATTTTGAATCTTATAAAAACTTTCACCGCGGAAATAAGGCTAAGCAATGATTATTACCGGTGACAATATCCTACTCGGACGAAAAGGGTATATAGTAAGCGCGAAATCTAGTTCCTCTCAAGTACCAGGTCATCCTGGTTGATAATTGCGGGATTCCAAACTGCATAATTCAGGCGAGAAGTATTGTCAGCAAAGCAGCAATATCCGAACAAGACAGCCAGCAAAGATTTTACACCGCTTACGATTAATACTTGTCAACTTAGTAGTCTTCTGTTATTGATCATAGATCTGTATACAAGTTGACTACCATTCTTTTTTCACTACAGAAGATATTAGTAGGAATATTGTTTGCATACTTACCAGCATTACAAAAGATATACTAGATTATAGTCTGAAGACTACTTTGACACGGTCAATGAACGCAGGCTTCAACATTTCAACCATTCATCTCACCATTCACATCATATTAGCTCCCGGTCCCGGGAGAAAGCTGCGTGCGTCGAGCTACAATGGAGGCATCGCTTCCGCTTCTGTAGTTATTATAGGTATAATCCCTCTCAAATATTTTGGTCTCGGATTGAACACTATCGTTATTCGCAGGCTCACTATTGTCTCTGTGGTTCTGGCTATATCTGAGTTTCGATGCCATCAAGTACCTCATTATAGTCGAATCTCTGTATAGACAGAGGAGAACCGTGTCCTCCGCTCCAGACACTAGGGTTATATGACCTTAGGCCTCGATACGATGGCTGACGCGCGTACTATGCAATAGTACCTACTTACGTACTTACCAATTTTAATTAGAACGTGGTTTCAAATTGATTTAAATTCACAAAGATTGAGTCCAAGATTTACTCTGTCGTAACTATACAGAAGGAGATGACGCACTGATTTGAGGCACAAAAGACAGTTACAATGGCGCGAGAATCTTTACCCGGCGAAGATATGTGCCTGGTTAATTCTTGTTTTCCCTTTATCTTCTCCAACATCATTTGTTAATCAAATATACACATATCCAATCAGAGATCAAAGACATATACACCGGCCCTGAAAGTTCTCCATAGTTTGGGATTAGATCATTTCTTCAACTTTCCCAGAATTTGCTGAAGATAAGAAATGTTAAGTGGATACTGGCTGTGCCTAGTTACAGAAGGTCAATATTTCATAGACGCATGGGTCCGTACAAACTGCTGATCATCTTGAACAATCTCAGGGAGAATACGCCCCTTCCGGAAGAGTTTGTGAAATCGACACCAGTATCTTATGGAAGTTATGAGTAGGATTGCTGAACTTATCCCATGTTGAGGGGATCTCTTAAGGTACGCCCGGTTTATGTATTTAACCCGCTACGTCTGGATACTGCACTTTATGCTGTCTTCGGTCAGAATAGCATCCCTAAGTAGTAGCAGAGGCCGCTTCCGACCTAAATACCGACAAAGTTGCCGAGTCTATATAACGTATTACTGACGAAAGCTCCACTCACCCCAGCTATTTCCTATCTTTCTTTTCTGGCCTGTAGGATGGCCAGACTTAAACATGGTCTTGCAATTTGTCTTTGGGCATCGTGGCTATTGGGAGTCTCGGATCGCTCAGAGTAGATGGTTCCTACACCGCTCGCCTCTATCATACAGCTGCCCTCATCCGGGCTTCATTGCCGACATATGGTGCTGACACCAAAATGTACAGGTCGTATCCAGCGCATTCCAGGGTTGGATGGCTGAAATATATAAAGAATCGCATACCCCACGACTGAAAATAGATCGGAGTTACTGCCCTTTGTTCATTTATACTGCAAATTCAAAAAAAGAAAAGTCGAAAGTCTACATGGATACTTATCAGGACGATTTCAAATGGTCCTTCGAAGCCAAGCGCCCATTGAAAGTGATAGTTGTGGGCGCTGGTATTGCTGGCTTGTCGGTAGCTCTAGGGCTCAAGAAGACCGGACATGAAGTTCTTATCCTAGAACGCGCGCACGAGATCGCAGAGGTAGGGGCTGGCATTCAGGTGGCTCCTAATGCCGCTCGCATTCTCGGTCGCCTAGGTTTGCTGGACAAGGTTATGGCAAAAGCGAATGTCCTGGAGAAGAATTCCCTGCGACGCTATGCAAACAATCAGGAACTCGGAACAGCGCCTCTGATGCCCGAGGTACGTTCTATCTTTCAGGATACTCTGTTATCAGCAAGTTCTCACCACTCCATAGGTCGGTAAGAAGTACCACGCACCTCTAGCAGTCATCCATCGAGGAGATCTGCAAAGTATCCTAGTGGACGGGAACAAGGCCGCTGGGGTTGAAATTCGGACAAGTTCGCGTGTTGTGCGAGTAGCCGATGACTTCGAAGCCAAGGTGCAGCTGGAGTCAGGGGAATGGATCTCCGGCGATGTGGTGATTGCGGCGGACGGGATCAAGTCAGATATCCGGCGACAGATCGCGTCCCATCACGGCGTCCATGACACAGTCCTGCCAACTGGCGATGCAGCCTATCGAATCCTGATCCCAAAAGAGAAGATGCAGGGGGATCAGCGTGCATTGGACTTACTGAACAGTAACGTAGGCATGCGGTGGATGGGACCAGGCGGGCATATCATGGCATATCCCATTAAAAAGAACACAGTATACAACATGGTCCTGCTACATCCTCAGAAGGCTGATTCACCCAATGAGGAGAGTTGGACGAAGAAAGGTGATAAGCAGGAGATGCTGTCATTCTACCAGAATTGGGATGACTTGGTGCGCAGCCTGCTCAGTTATGTTCCGGATGGCGAGGTGATGGAGTGGACGCTGAATTCCCACATGCCCTTGCCCTCATGGGTCGAGAATAAATGCGTCTTGATGGGTGATGCCTGCCACCCGATGCTTCCATATGTGGCACAAGGTGCTGCGCAAGCCATTGAAGATGCAGCGGTCCTCACCTGCGCGCTTTCTTTAACCGATTCGGTTCCCACAGCGCTTTCTGTATACGAAATAGTGCGCAAAGAGCGGGCAGAACGCATTCAACAGAGCGCGGCTGTGACTAGGAAGGCTTTGCATTTACCAGACGGTGAAGAACAACGCAAGCGTGACGAGGCTATTCGAGGTCCAGGCAGAAACCCAGATCTCTGGGCAGATCATGCCTGGCAGGATTTCATGTGGGGTGAGTCTCTAGTTTAGCAATACTCAGAAAAAGTAAATGCTAACTACAGGCACAGGAACGGACATTATGAAGGAGACATTAGACAACTGGGATGATCTGGTAGCCCGCCAGCATGGGTATCATTTACATTCGGTGCGCGGTATGGGGTATTAAGGTACCAACTATCGCGACAATGAACTGGCAGAAAGGTAAAGTCTCTCAATACAGCTCTTTTCTCCGACCCTGCCTAGATATAAAGCTAATTTTTTGCGTAGGAGAAAGCAGCAGCTCACTTTTAATATTGGTAGACATATTTCTCCTGTTAAAGTGCATATACAGCAGTCCTATATAGAACATAAGAAGATTTCTCTACGCTTTATAAGTGTGAGCATTGCTACTTCGTCGTTTATATTTCAAAAAGCTATTTAGAAATCATCTGCCAGAACTCTGCATATCTTCTAACCTTCTCAGATATTCTACATAGTAAAGTGTAAGATCGACCTGAGATATCTAGGGAGTAGCAAATTAAGTCACAACTTTCATGTCTATATTCAAGCTATGCATAACGATTAATGGTAACAGTGGAGCGGATATCATGGTTGCCCCGACATATTACTTCATCAACAAGTTGACAGCCCAGGGGACACTGAGGCCTCTGAGATCACCATAGTGTTGGCCAACGCCCAGAAACACAATTGGGATACCAGTCGCATGGACCATACTGACCAAGGTGCCAACCATATCACCAACGGTATCACACTTGCTGATAATGAATCCATCCAGATTCCTACCAGGACCGAACGCCTGGTTGAAATTGCGGGCCTGCATCACACTATCTGTTCCGACAAGAGCTTCTCCCACCATGAATATCTTATCAGGATTGGCGAACTTGGCAAACTTCTCCAGCGAAGACATCAAACGTTGATCATTGTGGCGCCGTCCAGCAGTGTCGATCAGGACAACGTCAAATTTGTTGGAAGCAGCGTAGTTCACGGCATCTTTCGCGACATTCGCAGCATCCTTGCCATATCCCTTTTCGTAGAGCTCCACCTCACCAACATTCTCACGCGCACTAAGTTCCTTCAGATTCCGAGCATGTACGCGGAGCTGCTCGACGGCCCCGGAACGGAAGGTATCACAGGCTGCGATCAAGACACGGTAATTGTTTTGAAGCAAGAAGAAACAGATCTTGCTCAAGTTCGTTGACTTTCCAACTCCGTTGACACCAACAATGGAAATGACATACGGACGAGGCGTCTGCGATTTGCTAGTTGGTGCCGTCACGGATTGGATCTCACGTAGGAGGTCCAGGGACGAAGTAGGAGTAAGCATCTTCCGCAGAGAAGACTCCATGGCAGTTCGGAGCGCGGCATCAATGCTCTGAAAGCTACCGGTTTTCTTTCCAACAAGTTCGCGCTCGACTCCCTGGCATAGACGGATCGCCGCTTCTCGCGCTACGTTCTTCTTCAAGAGGTGATCTTCCATGGCTTTCAGGGGCTTCTCGAGGTCGGCTTCGGTCAAGACCTTGCCTCCCACAATATTGCGGAAAAGACCACCAATAGCATTGAAACCGGAACCCATGATGCCCGTCGAAGACCCGGCTTTTGCCTTTTGTGCATCTGCACTTTCGAGAATAGAGTTGATCTCCTCGCCCAGATCCTTCAGTACGAACTGGCCCTTTCCGGTCTTCTTTCCCCAAGATTCCTGTGCCACAGCTTGAACAGCCGGGACTTGTCCCTCCTCGTCTGGCGCGGCAGAATAGTCAAGGACCTCTCCGTCATCCTCGTCAGCAAGGCCATCCGCATCCCACTTTCGCATCTTCTTCCCGGTAGTCTTTGGTTTTCCTTTCTTCAAACTTTCTTCGCCCGAGGAAGCGTTCGCGTTCGCATTGGCGGCTTTGCGTGCGCGGCGGGATACACGTCCACCTGGGCCAGTTTTTCCTGTGATAATGTGAGAAGAACCTGGGGTAGACGGCCTGGATGTATTAGGAGACTGTGATGGCGTACTCTCAAGAGAGAGCGCCTCAGTCCGCGCAGCTTGAGGCTGCGCTGTTCAATGGTCAGCAGCTTTCTCCTCAGGTAAAAATCAATCAAGCATACCTTTGAGAAGGGCAGGAACCGGCGGCGGAGGCGGACCTCCATTATCAGACGAGACAAACGGGTCGTCCTTCTCCTTCGTCGCCACAAGAGGCTCCTTGGCTTCAACCGCAGTGCCTTCAAGCTCCCGAACCTGCTGGTCGAAGTATTTGTCGAATGGGTACACGACTACTCTTGCCCGGAGACTCTTCAGCTCCGATTTGTAAAGGTCGACAAAGATCGTGGCTATATTGTCCAGAAGCTTGTCGATCCAGCTGAGATGAAGTAGAGATTGATAGACGGCCTAGATAGTTTTCCATGATGTCAATGCCACCGTCCATTGCGACTAAAAAGAGATGCACAACGAACCACAAAGACAAGGCCCATTTCCTCGACTTTCTTCCATTTCAGACTGTACTTCTCCCTCTTGTAAACCGGCGAGACACCCTCGACAGTATGACTTTGCGGCCGCACTTTCTCTTCGATAAACACATCGTTGATAAGACCGTTGACGACATGAGCGCCAACCGGGGCGTAGGATCTCGACCAGAGAACGACCCCGGAGGTAGTGAAAATCTCAAAAGCATCCAACATATCGACTGGCTTTTCTGGTTGTCGCGCTGCAAAAACTGGACGAGCAATGAACGGTGTGGGGAGAAGCTGCGGCGAAAGCTGTCGGCGCGCGACACTCGGGCCACGTACTAACTAATGGAGTCCAAACTCGCAACCCCGGAAGTGCAACTTAACTATCTTCACATTCAGGATCACAACCATCTTCGCCGCGGCACGAGCGCTCCGCAACCAAGGTCTGCGCCTCTACGACTCCTCTCGACCTCCTCCTCACTCCTCACTCCTCCCGTTTCTCCTTGCTCGTCTCCATCCACCATGCAGCGCTCGTCGTTTGCTCCGCCGCCCGCGCACTCCCCTCCGCTACACCATCCGGTGCCGCAACACGTCTCGACGGTCCCTATGATGCGATCTCCTCCTCCGCCGGTTCCTCCGCAGTCCCAGAGTGCTGGCTATGGGAATCCATATCAGCCTGCGCCCGCGCAGGGCGGAAGCGGGACATTTGCGCCTGGGTTCGGTGGTTTCATCAACGAACCCACGGCCCAGATGGGTTTCCAGGTGGGAAAGACTGCGATGATGGCTGGGCAAGAATATATGGAACAAAATGTATGGAAACCATCTCACTTCGTTCAAGGCTGTCTTTAATGTCTGTACGATCTTAACCGTCTGCAGTTCAACCGTTACATTTCTATCCCCGCCCTCAAGCACTACTTCAATGTGTCCAATTCCTATGTCCTCAGCAAGCTAGCACTCGTATTCTTCCCTTGGCGGCATAAGCCTTGGTCTCGCCAGCAAGCACGTTTGACGGCGACTTCCGCAGGCCCCAATGGTCAGATCACGCAGCAACAATACTCGTCGATCTTCCTCCCTCCTCGTGATGATATCAATTCGCCGGATATGTACATTCCAACGATGGCCGTGGTGACATATATTCTCCTCTGCACCGTTCTGGCCGGTCTCAGGGGCAGCTTCCACCCGGAGCTGCTGGGGTCCATTACGACAACAGCTCTGGCTGTTATATTCTTTGAGATTCTCTGCTTGAAGGTAGCTATGTATCTTCTGAGCATCACAAACGACTCTCAGCTACTGGACCTAGTCGCGTATTCAGGATACAAATTCGTTGGAATCATCGTGACCATGCTTGTGTCTGAGATTCTGACCCCGGGACGTGGAACTGGTGGCTGGGTTGGTTGGACAGTGTTTACCTACACTTTCCTTGCTAATGCTTTCTTCCTGGTGAGCTCCAATAAATCTCTCTTTTCCTTCGAACAAGCCTGACATATACGCAGCTCCGCTCCCTTAAATACGTCCTCCTTCCGGACTCTACCAGTGATACCTCTATGCGCACAGGCTCCATGCACACTGTTGCCCGATCTCAACGGAACCGCCGCACCCAATTCCTCTTCATCTATTCGTACATCGTCCAGTTCGTTTTTATGTGGATTCTCAGCAGGGAGGGTCCAGCAACTGCTGACGTGACGAAGACGGGTGCCGCGGGAACCCTATGATGAAATTCTTAGCGAGCATGCAGTATTGTTTCTCTTCTTCCAACTTTACGATTCCATAGACAGGAAGGGCTACGGGAGGAATTTGATGGACAGTGGAAGAGAGATGACACCAGAGATTTGGCTCCGATGAGTTATGGTTCTTCTTTACTTTGGCCGTCGTTATGTGTTGCATTTACTGAATTCTCCCAATATCCCCTGCCCAGTATTATTAAATCATTTAGAATCTTTTCCCTTTGCATCTTCGGGCATCAAAATTAGCTCTTCAATGAGAAATAAAAATATTAATCTTAGGCGATGGACAGGACTCAGCGGCGCATCACAGCATCATGATTGATCTAGCTGGAAATAACATAATTCCTAGTTGTGTATAGCAGACGAAATCAGGGTTTACTGATTACCACTTTCCTCATATCTAATTCCATGTCCATGCTTTTTTTTCCTCTTTGAAACCAGCATGCAGGTCCTATGAACCACCTTGCGATGCAATTTCAAGATCATCTACTCAATGACTGATACAGGGTTCGACACTTCCTCTGACAACTGTGACCACCGGCTTGTCTCTACCCTCCCATCCTTGATCACAGCTAGTAGGTTCTTGTCAGGTTCATCAAAAATCGTCACGTCCTCAAGGGGATTCTGCGTCAATATCAAAAGATCCGCCGCGAAACCCGGCTGGATCTGACCCAAGAAATCAGGTTTGCGTAACATCTTTGCTGCATTTACCGTTGCGCTCTGAAGAATGGCTAACGGCGACAGCACCTGGGATCGTATAGCGAATTCCTTCGTCTGCGCAATACCTAAAGGTCCAAGAAGATCGGTGCCATAGCACAAAGTCACACCAGCCTCGGAGGCGATTTGAAGAGAGCGCAATCCCGCGCGAAGAACTGCTTCATTCTTTACGACTGATTCTGGTGGCAGAAAACCAGGCCATCGTGGAGATGACATTTCGGAGTATGCGATTAGGGTTGGTGTCAGAAAGACGCCTTTTTCGGCCATGATCTTAGCTGTTTCAGTATCGATCATATTTCCGTGCTCTATGCCCTTGACCCCGTTGTTGATCGCGTGCATTATTGAACGAGGTGTGTACGCGTGCGCAGTGACCCATGTGTCATAGGTATCTGCCACTGTTGTGATTGCCTGGATCTCCTCAGCAGTGAACTGAAGGTTGGTGAGCGCGTCTGTAGGACTAGCTACACCTCCGCCGGTCATGATCTTGATGAAATCAGCACCGCTCCTTAGTTCCTCCCTGGCATACTTGATACATTCAGGAACGCCGTCGCAGAGTCTTCCCAGACCGGTCACCGTGCCACCACAGCACTCAGTATGATCATGACTAGCCCGAAGATCAGCATGGCCGCCCGTCTGCGTCAAAGCATGGCCGGCAATGAACAGACGAGGACCCTGAAATACACCCTCTGCAATTGCTTCTTTTAGAGCCAGAGAAGCACCGCCGCAGTCCCGGACGGTAGTGAACCCTCGACGGAGCATTTGTTGACAAACGAACGGCTGCCTGAATTTCGATACATCCTCTGCAATTCCGAAGGCACCACCGAGGTCTTTCCCTCCAGGAACAGCTGTGAGATGCACATGGCAATCTATCAGCCCGGGACAGAGGTACTTCGATCCAAGATCAAGAACAGTCACGCCTGAGTCGGCTATCTCTGCTTCCTCGGCGATAGTGTCGGTGATGCTCTCTACGAAGCCGCCAGATATCTTCACGGTGCTGTTTGAACGGACTGAACCATCGACCGGATTAATAATATTTGCATTTCTGAAAATATACGTTTTCTGCGGTTGGGGCAGCCAAGGCTTGAGCAACTTTTCAGGTGTAGTCCTCGTCTGCATGCTGAAGTTTTCGTCGTCAAATTCTCGATATGATATGTCCATCCAGTTCGCTACTGTAGGCATTGATCTTTGGAAATAAGAAAAGGAAGCAAGATGCTTTCTCAAAAAACTCCATAACCATAAACATGAGATCAGTACAGCCTTTTGTCTCTCACGCCGCAGATATGCGCTCTCGGGCAGGATTGCAACCCCGCAGAAGAGATCTCCGCATTGATTCCAGCTGATAAGTAGCGTAGTATAGAAGAATTGCCCACCAACTAAAGGTGCGGAATTCCTAGCGTGTAGACATTGGACCAGCCACTAGGAGATAAGTTCAAGCTTCCAGACTCGTGTTTAAATGCCACTATCCTGTTACGGCCAATTAATTGTCGACTTGGCCGATCGGGAATAATCTACTTATCCTGGCCTTTGGTAAAATGATAAGTTGTCAGTGCCGGAAGCCGAGATCTTTGATAGTTGGGATCAGCGGACATCGTCCGAAGATAGGCAAGATGATCGGTATGACAGGACATATATTAGATCCTGCACGACTTGCATGGGCGCATACGCTGGAGAGTTATACAGCTATAGATTGCTGGATTTAACAACTGTGTCATCTTCTTTGACCCATCTCTGGCATCCTGCTACGAAGAGTTAGTATCAGGCATAAACACAGGAGCCATGCTTGTCGAGAAGGGGAAGTCATCATCGGGTAGACCCGATACCATCGATAAAGGAGCTCAACAGTCTTCAGTGCCAATAGAATTGGCAGAAGGCGATAATATTGACGTTGGAAGAGTCACGTATACAAAAGATGAAGAAAAGGCAGTTCTTAAGAAGATTGATTGTGTTATTCTGCCCATGGTATGTGCAAGTCTGGTTATTATAACATGACATGTCCTATTTACCGGGACGAGAGGCATCGCTAATTGCTGGCAACATATCAGATGTGCCTGGTATTTTTCTTTCAGTGTAAGATAGAACTGGTCTATCAATGATCGTTTCACTATTGACAATATCGAATCAAGATATGGACAAACAAAGTCTCAGTTATGCATCTGTCTTCGGCCTTATCGATGATCTGAATCTGAAAGGGACACAGTATTCTTGGTGTTCATCAATATTCTATATCGGTACATCCACAGCTTCCTTTTCCTGGAAAGTGGGATTATTTTCCTGATGGTAAATAGGACAACTTGTCTCTGAATATCCTTTTATTTACTTAATGAGCAAGCTACCTTTGGCTAAATTCGTCGGTGTAACGATGTAAGTCGAGAACAGCCAGTTACAGACATGCAGAATCCTTGATCTAACTTAGACGTCCGGTCTAGCATTATTTGGGGTGGTATATGCATGTGTCTTTCAGCTGCTCACAACTATGCAGGGTTTGCAGCTGTTAGGTTTCTTTTAGGGCTGTCCGAAGGTGCAGTATCTCCCGCTTTCGTTTCTATCACGAGTATATGGTATAGAAAGAGTGAACACCCGATGCGAATAGGGTATGTCATTCGTTCTCCTCTAACATAATTGCTATGCACTAAGGTCCTTGCAGCATGTGGGTGACGATGAATGGCCTGGCACAAGTTATTGGGTCGTTATTGATGTACGGCATCGGGAAGAATTCTACACTTAGCCTTGCGCCATGGAGAGTGTTATTTCTCATATGTGGATCATTAACTTCCTTCTGTGGAATACTATTCTACATCCTCATCCCAAGTGTTCCTGAGAAAGCTTGGTTCCTCAATCAGCGGGAGAAGGAGGTTCTAATGCTTCGCATGGCTAAGGACCGCGAAGGAGGGGACAAGACGCACTTCTCGGTCGATCAGCTGAAAGAAGCATTGACTGATGCTAAAGCTTGGCTCGTGTTCTGGTTCGGTGTGCTCGTCACCATGCAATCTCCAGTTTTAACGGTAACATTCCCTTCTTTTCAATCACCAAACTATCATACTGACGGGCTCCACATAGTTTGCCTCGCTCGTCATTAATAATATCGGGTATAACAAGTTTGAAACAATGTTATACACGTCCCCGTCAGGAGCTGTTCAGATCGTCTTCATTTGGATCGGTGTACTTGGATGCTTCCTCATGCCAAATAAGCGCTGTCTTGTCGTTATCTTCCTCATAATACCACCTTTTGTTGGAAACATCCTTCTTTTGAGACTTCCAATCTCGGCAGGTTGGGGTCTGATTGTTGCCTCTTGGCTCGTGAGTCCTAAATACCCTCGACTCGTTCTGTTTAAGGTGCTGACAATGTGCTTTTCGTCATAGTCGTCGATTATATCAGATATCATGTCTGTTCTCCTAAGCCTCAGTGCTTCTAACGTTAAAGGGAACACTAAACGTGCCATTGTGAACACATTCTTCTTCATAGGATATTGTGCTGGGTGCATCGGAGGGCCGCAGCTGTGGACGGTGAAACCACGATACTTCGAAGGTGTTGTCACTGCAATTGTGACCTGGCTTTTGCTGCTCATCGCTACAGCGGCATACTGGTATCTCTGTGCCAGGGACAATAGACTCCGAGATATAGCGGAGCAAGAAACGACAAGCGTGCCCACTGTGGAAAAGGGACAAGATATCACCGACAAAGAGGATCCCTCGTTCAGGTACAGTTGCTAGGACAGCGAGCTCGTTTATGAGAATAATGTTCTCTGAAATCTGCGGTCATCAAAGCAGGCACTGTTGCTTTAAACCAACAATCTCCTTCTAGCATCCGTGTAGATGCGCACAGGTAGCAAACAGCATCATCCCAAACTCATCAACAGATCGTAGCCACTGATGGATTCTTTTGCGTCTGTTTGGAGACCCCGTCTCTGGGGAGCGCCAGAGTTCGAACGTTCTCAGATCTCCGTCTTCCCATAGTGAGAGATGTCTGTCATACTCTTTCTCCCAAGTTACACGATCTTTCGCTTCCCATAGTAATTTGTTTCCAGGAACTGGAAGGTCACCTAGTTCTTCAGCAAGGTATACTGGGACCTGGTTTGTTGAATTGAATACGTTGTTGAAAAGATAAGAGGCGAAAATAACGCGCCTTTTTGCTGAAGCCACAATCCACGATTCCCATGAAGGACGGGTGTGCATCAGTTCTGCCGCAGATATCAGCCCACCGAGGGCGAGTCTGGAAGAGAATTCTTGGAGATGTACAATGGTTGAGCTGTCGACGAGTGGAATACCCTGCGCAGGTGAAAAGTATGCCATTATTACATAAATCAAATATGCCTGCGACGCAGCGAGCAGTTCCATTTGTCCATATGACTCGCGCTGAAAGTCCACATCAGTGAAAAGTGAGAGCGTCTACATTTCGGGAGAAATACCTCTTCTATCAATCTCTCCATTTCCCGCTGCACAGTTGATGTTACGATCGCCTCGCTTCCAATGGCTCTCGTTTCCCACATACGAACTAGGCTGTAGCAGTTCGCCAACGCAAGTGGGAGTTCCCTTGTATTTACTTGCACTGTATGTATAATCGGTGGGACACATACGTCTCTCAACATGTACTTTGGATACGATGCCAAGACGCAGGATAGAAACTGCACCGTATACGGTAAGAATGTTTTCGGGATCTGATTATCTGACGGAAAGAAGCTCTCCAACCAGCGATTTCGAATCTGAGTGCTATCTGCAATAGACACGAGATCAAGATGAGAGAAGTCCAGATTCAGACGATCAGATAATTGTGATCTAGTATCAGTTTGAACTAGATTCGAAGACCCTAGCTGATGCGTAGGACTGGTGACGGACCCATCACCCCTATCTGAGACACTGCTTCTCGACGGTTGCGGGGTTTGACCTCCAAACTGCGATGTGCTTATGCCGTGGAAGATGTCATGATTTGTCTGGTTAGCAGGTGACATGCTAGAATAACATCCACTTGTTGAGGTCGTGTACTGACAGTCCAAGTTCCGGGACTGGCATCTAGAGCAACGTGGTCTCTCGTGACCGCAACGGGCTTTCGCCTTGGTGCATTGTCTGCAGGCCTTCTTCCGCGCAGGTGTATTTTTGTTGCCTTTGGAGCCGGCAGGAGACATATTGATCTTGTTCACAAACAATAGTTGACGAAGACGTCTGGCGTTCAAAGGGAACTATGATTAGTCATCACATCACCAGTGTGAGGGCTTCAAATGTTTACTTTCCGCATAACTTTGACAACTATCGTGAAGACACAAGCAAATGTGCTGCTTGATCAATATGATTCCAAGTCCTCAATCCCAATGATATTCTCGCTCCATATTCCATTGGGTTTATCCTACATGTATCACGTAGGAAACCAGTTAATCTTTGAAACACCGAGGTCCAGTACTTATCAAACTAGCCGTCCGTGGCGGGACCTCCCGATCCGGTTATTGATAGGGTATCCAGCCGCACGGGGTGAACGTTCCTGGTGATCAGTTAGAGTATGGGTTTTTCTTTCAAATGCAAAGCCATGGTAATATTGACTGTTTTGCTTAGTATAACTGGTACGATAATTTTGGTCAAGCAATCTCTGGAATATTCGTCACGAGGATGGGCATCACCGACAGGCGAAATGTGCCCTCCGTTATCGACACCACGGTGGTCGATGCTGATGTCGAAGCGGACTCTGAAGCAGATAATGCATTTTCTAGTCATGTCCTACGCAAAATTGACCTTCGCCTAATGCCATTGCTGTTCATCACCTACAATCTGAATTTCATGGACAAAACGATCCTTTCCAGCGCGGCTGTATTTGGCCTCGAAGAAGACACGGTAGGTTCTAACGGTCTCCCTCATTATCCTATATTCTAGTAATTATCTTATTTAACGCTATTTTAGCATCTGAAAGGTTCCCAATACAGCTGGGTATCAAGCATCTTCTATTTTGGCTATCTCTTCTGGCAATATCCGACATCAGTACTGATCCAAAAACTACCTGTCGGGAAGTATGTTTCGGTTAATACTCTTTTCTGGGGGACAGTTGTTGCTTTAACGGCGGCCTGTACCAACTTTGGTGGTTTGCTTGCGGTTCGCTTTCTACTTGGCGTTGCGGAAGCGACGATATCACCAGCCTTCCTCTTTATCACCTCCATGTGGTATACCCGAGAAGAGGTCCCTACGCGGGTCGGGATATGGTTCTCAGGGAATGCAATTGGAGGAATTTTTGCGAGCTTTATTGCGTATGGGATCGGACATATTGAACGACCCTTTTCTCCGTGGCGGTGGCTGTATATTGTACGCTGGCATCTCTTTTTCGTTCATCCCATGCCAGGCATTTGCTGATTCCGACTCACAGATCCTGGGTGTAGCTACCTTCATATGGGGATGGGTGCTGCTAGCTTTTTTACCTGATTCCATTATGTCGGCCAAGTTCCTTACGGAAGAGCAACGAAAGGTTGCAGAAGGACGAGTCCAGGCCGCAGGAACTGGGAAGGGGAAAAGTTCCTGGAAAACTAGCCAAATCACTGAATGCCTTCTGGACCCTAAGACGTTTTTCTTTGTTGGTATATCGTTGCTCGCACAGGTACGGATGTCTTGTCGCCTCTACCTTTCAATATCAACGCTTCAAGGCTGACATTATACAATCAAGATCCCCAATGGCGGTACCCAGAATTTCGGCAACCTTGTCCTGAAAGGATTCGGTTTTACATCTCTCCAGACAACGCTAGTTACGCTTCCAGCATCGGTAATCTCATTCACAGTAATTCTAATCACGTATGTCACACTCCTTGCTCCCCGGCTATCTAAACCCATTCTGCATCGAACAGACTAATAAAGCGGCTACATAGTGGTCGACTTTCCAGCGAATTCCAGAACGTCACAACCTACCTTCTAATTATAGTCGTCATATTTCCTGTCATCGGAAGCGCCATCATATACACTAATGTCAGCAAAGGTCTTAATCTCTTTGCGTACTACCTCCTATCCACCGGACCAGGGGCTCTTCCACTCTCGATGTCCCTTGTCGGGGTTAATTACAAGGGCTCGACGAAGAAGTTGACCATGAGTGCGTTATTATTCATTGCGTATTGTACAGGGAACATGTGAGTTCTAACAATTATCGGGTTTTTCTCTCTATATATATAGAATTTTAAGAACTAACAAGTTGAATGGTAGATGTGGTCCCTTATTCTTTAAATCGTCCGAAGCTCCACACTACCATACAGCGTTCCGAGCCATTATTATCTGCTATTCCTTCGTAATTATCCTCGCGCTAGGGTTAAGAGTCTATCTAGTTCTGGTCAATAGATGGCGCGATGAAATTGAGAGTAACGAAGGCAGAAACACCGAGACAGAGTTGCTTATAGGAGATGAACAGGCGGACAACAAAGATGATGTAACAGATCTTAGGGCCAGAGGATTCAGATATCGAATGTGATTATAGAGATAATGATGATAGATGGTGTAGCTAGCGAATTTTACTTGGAAGTTCTGAACGAAAGACTTTGAGAGACGCGAAAATATATAGATAACAAACTTTCCACCCAATTGACGAAAACAAATCAGATTCTCCTAGAAACGCATAGCAGATATTTATCCAGATGGACATTGATTATGATTCATCGCACTGCAATTCTCAGCTTACTGGAATCTGCATTTGCTTTCCACCTATAGTATTGACTAGCACGTCAGTTGCAGTGCAGTAATAGGCTGCGGGATATTACCAACAAGTCAAGTTCCCGAAAGACGCTTGACATACGTTTCGAGTGGACATACTCTCTTGCGTGGTTCGTGTCTGACATGGGGATCTCAATAGTGTGTCCTTTGGGAGCACGTCAAAGAGATAGTAGTACGTGTAAGAGAAGGGAATTGGCATGTTTACATTCTACCACATCATCAAGAAACGCGTGATAAGTTGAATATAGTCCGCGAGGTTAAGCCATCAAGCTGATACGCTTGAGAATTACAAGAAACTAGAAGGTTTCGAATGATATGCCTGATAATAATTTTTTGGATTCATAATTCTAACTATCGCCTTCCTACACAGTGAGATACGACTGGATCTCTTGCCAAAACAAAGCAATGGACGCAAGTTGCCGGAGTTCAAATTTTGCTGCCAAGACCATTTCCTACTGAATATAAATGTCAGTCCCTGGACAATCAGAGGGCGGGTGACAACATAGTGATGGTTGGAGGTCCTCAGAGATCTTGGTGATAAAAGGATAGATCATCGCCCGAAGGCGTCATTTACTATCTAGGCATGATAGGGTGTAATCATCGGAGAGACGGGGAAGCGCAAAAGGCATCAACGTACCATATAGATGAATAATAAAAACGGTTGGCAAAGCAGGGTGAAGATTGGGTTGACCTGAATACCTGTTTGTCTTTTTTTTTCGAGTCAGCCAAGAACATTGGGCAAAACTTGGGATGAAATGAAACACGATATAGAAGTGCATATCAGAATATGTAAGAAATGAATATCATACGCCAGCACTGCTTTTGAAACCCCGGCGAGGGTTTCACAGAGCTGGGTCAATCGCAAATTACCGCATCATGTAAGAAGAACGACAGGAAGAAACAATGCTGTATACATACCAGTGACAATAGAGCTGCGAGAGCACAGTCGTGTTAGTGGGAGAGTCGAGCTGGAATCATGATATGTCTGGCACCGGTAGAACGCATTTCTCTACCATTGTAGATGCAGCACTGGGGGAAAAAAACAAGAGGGGGAAGCTTCGGGGCTTAAAAAGAGCTTTCCGGATCGGAAAAACAACTCGGCTAAGACGCGCTAGAACAAGGTGGGACGACAGCCCTAGACCACACAGAAGCCTTTGGCGGGCTGCTACTGGCTGCTAAGCGAGACTCATTGTGGGCGACGCTTCCACCTCCGAAATTCGCGATCCAGCACAGCAACTTCGCTCCGGACGACTCGACACTCGACTCTTCGACCAACAACCACCGTTACGCCAATCCGGAGTCGACGACCGTGAGTTTCCCCGAGCATTATCATCGCCGCTGCGTTCTGCTGGTTGCAATTACGCTAACTCCAGTGTGCGCCTTTTCAGAAGCCTTCGCCATGGCCGAAATCGATATCAAAGTCTCGTCATGGAAGCTTGTTGAGGTTGGGCGCGTTGTGCTCATCCGCAGCGGCCCCTACACCGGCAAGCTGGCTACTATTGTCGAGATCGTTGACCACAGACGTGTACGTGACATCCAGAATCAAAGGGGGAAATGAGTTGGTTTGGCGGTCAATCGAATATCATATTGATTCAAATCGCGAATTGCAGGTTCTGGTCGACGGTCCCTCCAGCCAGGAGAACAAGGTCGTCCCCCGTCACGTCCTTGCTCTCTCTCACGCTACCCTCACTCCTTTCGTCATCCCCCGTCTGCCCCGTGCTGCCGGTACTGGCCCCGTGAAGAAGCTGTGGGAGAAGAACGAGATCGACGCCAAGTTCGCTCAGAGCAGCTTCGCCAAGCGCAGCGAGCAGCAGGAGCGGAGAAAGAACCTGACCGACTTCGAGCGCTTCAAGGTCCTCAGACTCAGGAAGCAGGTACGTTGATACTGTTTTCTACCACCGGGAGGAGTTATCTGCGAAGTTGGACACACATTCCAGGATGAATGGGTGTATACTACAATCGGAGGGAAAAGAAGAAACATTGGGCTAACTGGATACCTTCCTTGCAGGCTCGTTACGAGATCGCGAAGGCGCACGCCAAGGTCCGGGCTGCCGCCAAGTCGTCTTAGATGTTTTAGGTTTCGGTGCATGGTGCGAAGGAATTCCTTGGGTGGTCTGACATCGCTGGAGTCCATCCAGCAAATATCCGCTGTACGAATTATCATTGACAGCATAAAATGGTTCAAAAACTTTGATATCCGAGCAGTGGTTATCCTCATTGTGTCACGAAGAGCACGCTTGTTCCATTTACCGTGGATCTGGAGACACGGCCGGGATCAGCCGTGTTTCGATGCCAAAAATTATGAAATAACAATTTAGAAGTAATTTCGACGAGTTCTTAACTGTAGATATAAATGTCTCCATCATCGTTAACTAATGCGGGGACCGTAGCCTTGTATCTCAGGTTGTGTGTCTTGCCATTGGGGTCGTCGGGAGGGTAGCAGCCTCGCTAACGGTATTCGGCAAGATGCGCATCGGCCCTGGGACCTTCACACAGCTGTGCGGCTTCCAACCTCCAGCACGACAAAATTCACATCATCCACCACAGTCCATTATCAACGGCAAGGTATGTTCGAACTTGCTTTCTGGAGCCATACATTCTCACCACCGAGCCTGGAAAGTCCATTCCCCACCATGCGCGTACAGATGGTGGCGGGGTAGTATACTTCCCACGGCTCGTGCTGGATCAATTGTATAATTGCACAGTGCGCAATGCTAACGACCGCTTAACACAGCACTTCAAGCTCGTCCGAATCACAAAATGGCCAACCCTAGAGTCGAAGAGCTCCCCGACGAGGAAGTCCCCAAGGCGAACGTCGAAGATGCGGGCAGCAGCTCCGAGTCTGAGGCTGGAGAGGAGCCCACCATCCCCGGCGGCGCCGCTGTCACCATTCACTCCCGTAACGAGAAGAAGGCCAGAAAGGCCATTGGAAAGCTCGGCCTGAAGCACGTCCCTGGAATTACTCGTGTCACCCTCCGCAGACCCAAGAACGTATGAAGTCCATGACCCTTGTCGGAAAGATACCACCCCAGTCGGACGCCAGTCCCTCTCCGCGGCTGGAAGATACAATTTGAGAGCATCCGACATACGACTTTCTGCAGAAAGGCTAACGCGCCGTTCCACAGATCCTCTTCGTCATCAACCAGCCCGATGTCTACCGATCCCCCTCCAGCAACACCTGGATGTTGGTACCCCATTTGTCTGGACCCATATGGAACACTTGAGCTTACAATGCTACAGCATCTTCGGTGAGGCCAAGATTGAGGACCTGAACTCCCAGGCTCAGGCCTCCGCTGCCCAGCAGCTGGCTGCCGCCGAGGCCGCCGGCAACGGTGACGCCCACGCCGGTCACGACCACGACCACGACCACGACCACGGCAAGGGCAAGGCCCCTGAGACCGAGGCCAAGAAGGAGGAGGAAGAGGATGATGGCGAGGAGGTTGACGACTCCGGCCTCGAGGCCAAGGACATTGAGCTCGTCATGGCTCAGGCCAACGTCTCGAGAAAGAAGGCCGTTAAGGCTCTTAAGGAGAACGACAACGATATTGTCAACTCCATCATGGCTCTCAGCATATAATGATGGCCTGTGTGACGTTCTCATAGGTCAGGGAGTCGGTCCTGGCTGTGACTTTCGAATCAGCTGCAGTCAGGACCGAGTCCGAACGATAGTTAGGCAGATATCCCTCGGGAGGCTGATTCCTCTGGCGGTTGCCGTGTAAATCAGTTCAGTAAAAGAAATGCGAACCACTTTTCCTGCCATTGTATTTTCCAAGAGTCAATTTAATATGGTGCATTGTGTACGTAGAGCTGTCAGTTGTCCAGATGACCCTATTAGCATAGGGGAGCGATGTCGCTCGGGACACGGGAACATGGCGTCACGTGATGTGTTGGCATCCAAACCTTGCCGAACAGCCTCAACTCTCCGGAACGTCCATCTTTGCACGTCGACCCCATCCCCCTCCCTACCATCTCTCCTCTGCCACCATCACAATGGCTGCAGTACGTCAATTGAGTCCAATTACCCTGTGTCTCTCGATTGTCGCATGGACTGACGCCGCTAACTCTGTGTTTACAGCGCAGCGCTGCCCTCAAGCTTGACTGGACCAAGGTGACCGGCTCGCTGGGCCTCCGCGGTCAGACTGCCGCCTCCCTCCAGGCCTTCAAGAAGCGTAACGACGATGCGCGCCGCAAGGTTCAGGTGCTGTCTGAGCAGCCCCAGACTGTCGACTTCGCCCACTACCGCAAGATCCTGAAGAACCAGGCGGTCGTTGATGAGATCGAGAACTACTTCAAGAGCTTCAAGCCGGCCACTTACGACGTCAACCGCCAACTGAAGGCCATTGACGCTTTCGAGGCCCAGGCCGTCAAGAACGCTGAGGAGACCAAGGGCAAGGTCGAGGCCGAGCTGTCCAACCTGCAGAAGACCCTCGAGAACATCGAGACTGCCCGCCCATTCGAGGACCTCACTGTGGTATGTTTCGCTCCGGCGGCCCGAACGTGTGATCTTGGATGGTGTACTAAGATATGTTTGCTACTTTGCAGGACGAGGTTGCTGCCGCTCAGCCCGAGATCGACGAGAAGACCGCCTCCCTGGTTATCCGGGGCAAATGGATGCCGCCTGGCTACAAGGTGCGTTTTGCCTTCTACCCCGCCCATTTTCGTGGCATCTGGTCGATCTTTGAACTCTTTACTAATGCTTCGCGACCCGCAGGAGCGCTTTGGCGACCTTTCCGTTCTGTAAACGTCGTGACCTACTATCCTACGTTTCCCTTGTTACCCCCAACCAGTATGATCATGTCACCCTAGCCTCCATGTCAAATAGATGGATCAGCCTCTTGCGGTTTTCGCTTGTTGGCTGCATGACCTGGTCGTCCATGTATAGAACCCATGTTTGAATTAAATGGTTAATCCACATTGGTGTCCTCTTCCGTCCGACGTATCACCGTGTTCCCGGTCGCGTAGACAACTCGTCATCCAATGTTGTACCCTCCATAACGCCCGATGGCAGGACAACAATGCAGTGCTCTGGACGGGATAATGCCATATACCCATGTATCTACTGCGTATTGGGAAGGTGAACCGAAGTGCAGTCTTAGGGCAATAATAATATGCCGCTTGCAAGTTGCAACTCGCAGATCGCCGGGCAATCTATCCCATCTTAAGTGGAATCTGATGGAGCCAGTAGGCTTATAGTGGTATCAAGTATAGTTTCGGAGACGGATATAAGAGACCCTGTTCGTCCACCCGGACACTGATAACCAAAGACAAGCCCTGCAAGCGACAGCTTCGTCGAATTGAAGTGCGCTGCCCGGGGGTTTGGTCGACACGCATGATGTAGCTTTGCACTGACGCATTCAACCCTGCTGGCCGAATAGATATGCATTGCTCGCGAAGGTGTCATACCACAAGCGATATCAGACTGACAGGGTCTTTTCCTCCATAGGGTCCCAAGCAGGCAGTGATCTCTTTCATCCGGCGTCCGTCGAGTCAGTAGGCTCTTGGCGTTTCGCATACAACAAGTCATGCTGCCGATGCCAGACACGATCGAGATGCTCACAGCCCAAGCCACCATGTCTGTCGTGCGACTGCACAAGTCGTTGTTGAACCATCCAGCCGGAAGAGCCGTCCCAGCCGGGCGGGTCGAGGCGTTTATTCATAGTCAATGCGAAGATTACTCTGTACGACGTTGTGATCGTATCGTCAATCGTCCGAAAGCCCCTCCAGACTAAGTAGAGTATGGTATACAGGCCAATATCGGCTTTCGCACTACCTTGCTGGCTAACTGCCATCTGCTTCCCTGGACGGTTCATATCGTGGCATATTATTAGGTTTCGGCATCCGATCGAGCTTCCCCGCCTATTAGTACCATATGGTCGTCTCATCGAGTATTATTATTAGACCCTGGACCGCGCAAAAGAGAAAAATAATAAGAAAGGACCGCTTTTCTGCTTGGGTCGTCCCTCCTCTCTCTCTCCCCCTGGTTCCTTTCGCCTCTTTGTGTCACTTCCTGGACCAATTGATCGATCCGGATCTCCAACTTCTTTTTTCCCACTGCCACGGACCCAGGACGCACCCTGGTTGACGATATCAACCCCCGCGCTCGTTCGTGATCGACCAGTCGCTGCGCCCCAGGGATTTTCGCGCACCACCAGCGCATCGTGCAGAGGAAGTTTCCATCGGGCTGGGAAGATTTGCTGGCCCCAACTCGGAGGTACCGCGCATTTGGAAAGCCGGCGCCCCGAACGAGTGGTTTTGTGAACTCCCCACCGCTACCTAAGGCATTTATTTGTGTGAAGCCCCGCGGGGACTGCTACTATATGGACCGGGTTACGTGCACCCAGGTAGAAGGAAAGGAATAGGAAATCAAATCAGGCAACGAGAGTCCGGGTGATCGAGGAACAGCAGCGGCCATCAGCAGCATGAGCGTATGCTCTTGGCCCTGTTGTGACCTCGAGGGATCTATGTCGTGAATGGAACCCGTCCAGACGCCCTCCGATTGCGACCACACCGCTGGGACGTCGCGCTCTCTGCTGATGCAGCGACCCATCACTTCACGCTCTAGCCTGGAGAGCCTGCCTGTGGAAATTATTCAGAAAATCTTCTTGGAGTGTCTGGAGATCAGCCTGCCACGAGCTTCACTTTTCATCGCGCGCTCCCTCTCCGACCCGCTGATATATGCCTGGCTAGTCCGTCTAGCCTTCAGCAGCGCCAATGACAGTTCCCGCCATGGGTTCTTCACGCCGGACTTCCTGCCTCCGCCGTTGGACTTCTTTGCCCTGTCCCCGGAGGAGCGCAGTGTCCTCCAGACGCGACTTCTGCAATGCCGCTGGTGCACCGTGGAGCTGATGCGCAGATGCCAAAGGGACTATGTTGAACATGTAATCCGCCGCAAATGTCAGCAGCTGATCTTCAGCTCCCAGGATCGCGAATTTCTCTCCAATCTGGATAGCTACTTCTTGCGGCGGGCGCAGTATGACCGCGGCCGTAACGGCCGTCGGGGTAAGGGAGACATTATTCTCAATGCCAAAGATCCCGAGTCCCAGAGAGATCTCAAAGTTGCCATTTGGTTCAACTTTGGGGCAGTACAGATCCGAGAACCCAGTCCGGTCTTCTACGAGACCGACATGTTTCGTCTCCCTGCCTGCTCTGTTGACGCGCCCGCCCGAATGCCGGACAAGCTCCTTCATCCCCCATGGACAGGGGCTAAGCTGGAGTTCCTGTCCTTATTATCCCTGGAAGCCTACATTGACGAAGATAGCAGCTGCCATCGCTCCAAGCGCGTGATCCGCCAGGCAATCCACGCCAGGGACTTCAACACCTTTGAGAATCTCCTTGGCATGTACATACGGGTCAAGAACTACAACTACCCGCTCCGTTGGCCGGCGCGTCCTAGCCATTTCCGTGCTGCATTGAAATATGCTCGTGGCCCGAACGATCCATTTGTCAGGTACCTCGTGCAGAATCGCTGGCACGAGTTGCCGCCTCACGATATACGAACTAAAAACGACCTGATGGTAAATTTGGGGATGGGAGAGGGTTCTTAACGCCGCAACATAGAACTTGATGAGCCCTCCTCTGGATGGATGCGCGGACTGACTGCTTGATACGCTGTGACGAGCCGGTCATGGGATTCTATCCTATCATCGCTTTTTCATCTATCGAAAGCTTGGTCTGTCTCTGCTTTACCTCAGAATAAGGAAGTTCGAAACGAGCATTGACAGAAAAAATAAGTCAACTAAGAAAGGGGAGGAGAGAATGAAGACTACATTTTATAGATAGATACCATTACATGCATATTACTAGCAGTGGGAAAACACTCAGCGCGACCACGTAGCGTACTTGCGCGACAAAAATGAAAAAGAATTCGAACTCATTTCTTAGGATCTAGGAAATTAAACTAAAGTAAACATATGAATACATAGTAACAATTTACATAATAATCCTAATATATTTTGGCTTTATAAAACTGTCTGAGACTTTATCATTCCAACGCCCCGACAGGAAGGGAAGTCCAAGTGGTCCCTTGTTCCTATAAAGCCATCATACGCATTTTCTTAACTATAATGGGGATTTGATTCTTGAGCTGCCTAAAACAATTAAGCAGCTTGATGCCAACACTCACGTTGCTATTAAGGACCAAGTCACGAGATTGATATTATTACTGTATATCTATATGGAAGATATACAGCTGAAAGCAACTCAGTTTGAAACGAAGTATCTCTGTATCCTAATGCCATGATGACGACAGACACAGTCCGATTTAGGGAGGAATACATCGGATCCAGGAGGATATATCTATCTTCCCATTACGAGTCTTTTTAGCCAGAACATAAGAGTAAATAAGTGGCGAGAATAATACGTTTTATCGGATTGATTATGCTTATTGAGATATACTTGAAGAAAAAAAAAACGGGGTTTTATTAGACTGCACATCGCATGATTCCAAACATACGAGCAAGATATGTCTATTAAGTATGTTCCAGATCGAGACCAGAGGCTTGGTTATCTTATTCAAGTCATGAAGCACATAACTAGAGGGGTTCCGTGGGTGGATTTCATACAAATGGTTGGAAACGACTGGATTATATGTTTGTGGTTTGAAGACCTGATAGTGGGGAAAATATTCAGAAATCCATATTAACCATCTACTTAGAAGGTATATATCACAACAGAACTCGTTGGAGTTCAAGTCTGTTATTTCAGTTATGATCGATCTACTTAAAGGCTATCGAACTTAATATTTACTTACCCTAAAGCTTACGGGTGATTCTCTGCTGTCTTCAGAGAGCGAATAAAGTCACGTTAGATACATACCCCACAATTGGTGTACTCTCGAAAGCTTCTATCTCCCAAGTAAATAGGTAGACACTCGACAGATTCACCCCCATTTGCACGACGAAAGCAGCATTCTCCAGCGCCAAGAACTTACCGGAGCAGACCAAGCAGGTTAATTGTTACAAACAGAGCTGTTTTTAAACGTGGAGATCTGAAACCAACCACCCCACAGTGTTTTGTATCGGTACGACGCGATTTGGGAAGCAATCATTCCCTAGCTTTGTCGTCTCCCAGGACTCTTGTTGGCCCTCGTCGCTGAGTTATCTACTCACTCGTTCCTGGATGATATCTAGTCGCTGCAGACCGATCGTTTCGGCGATCCACAAATCTTTCTCATTCCTTAGACAGGTAACTAGTCGTCAGCTTGTCGGGTTGTTTGCCGCTTCCGACGACGGTCGTTTAGATAGGGGGACTTCAATCTCTCTGCGAGGGGACCGCTGAATTGGTGCTGATAAATGGAAATTGGGACGTTGAAATATGAAATGAAGAGCGTTTGTATTGTATTTCATCAGTCGTCATTCGCTAAGTATATTGACCATTAGATAGTTACTGAGGACGGGGGTTATTTAGAGTAGTTAGGAGTCTAGCTAAGCCTTTCCCTCCGTATATCCGGGAAATATTATTATTACCTAGTACGTTGGCTTAGTGCTTGGAGTGGGCGACCGACTCCGTTGATCTATGGAAAAACAAACGTGGATGGCGCGATCTATCTAACTACCATGAACATTACATATTATTAATATGACTCTTGTTCGATCCAAACAGTCCCAGCTTCCTGCATGTCCTGGTAATAATAATAATAATCTACCATAGACGCTGAAAGACCATAATACAAATAACCTCATGATGTCACAAGACTCTCCTATTCCCTCTGGGGAAGGTTAATTTCCGATCCGCAATGAATCAAGCTACCTATCTACGCTCCCCTGACGATCGATTATCCATGTGTATATGCCAAGACTGTTGGTTGTCTTGAATTGCTGGATGTCATGACTGGCCATTATTATTACGGCACCACATGGCTGGTTTTTTTAGATCGACCCTAGAATTGCTTATGTCTTTCCCCTGGGCTTGAAATCGACACCAAGCTATACACTACTATAAGTATACCCCCACTTGATAGTCTAGTCGGGCTTCTTCCCGGTGATCGTCGGCCTGGGACCCATGCCATGGAAGTGTTGGCTGGCACATGATGATGATTACGGAGTAGACTGCAAGCATCAAAAGGACTAACTGGATACTTCTGTACTACGTGTAATAATAATAATACGACATTGTTAGTTACCTGAGTGTATGAACTACTCTGCCCGAGTAGGTAGAATATCCCGTGTGTCCGCTGGCCATCATTCAATACCATGATCTCTCCCAAGGCGCCTTAAACAATCGCTGATGAAGAATGGGCTAGATAAATTAATACTGGCCATAATTCCCATCATCCAAAAAAGGGGAGCGATATACGGAACCATGTCAATTCTAGAAAGCAGCCCGAAATGAGCACTGCAGAGGCTGGATGTGCAATCACATGAAAACCGCTAGATAGACTTAGAGAGGTAGATCCTTCTTTCCTACAAAAATGGGCATATTATCATTATGCAGCTCCGTATTGGGTACCATTACTCCGTATTCAACTTTCTTTTCCGGCGATCATATCGACTATAATCTAACCTTCTGCTAACTAATATAACTTAAAAGCCGGTCTTCGATGAGATAGATCTCCTTTGAAGAAGCGCTGTCGATGTTCCGTTCTGCATGGGCCAGATGCCAATCTCAAGCATCACTGTAAGAAACTTACCAGCTATCTAGATAGAGACCCAATAATCTCACCCGTGAATCGTTCCGGGATTTGGTATTGCCAGAGATTCAGACAGATTGTCCTGAAGTCCCTTTTGTGGGTCCTCAGATCATCCGCCGTTGTCCGCCGTCAGGAGATGAAGTGATCAAGCTAACCCAATAATATGGCGCTGTAAATGAATAACTAAAATATGGCTTGGGTTCTATTTGATCACGCTACTGAGTAGTTTCTTGATAGCTGCATCGTTGTTCCCAGTACTCCGGGAGGGTATCCGAGCTGCCAAGGACCTAACTACTTACTAAACTGCCAATCGTGATGGTAGGATGTTTTGGAGTAATAATACAGATACAGACCCTCATGACTATTGTTCAAAGATTAATCGCCGTGGAGCCTGTTCCTTGCAAATTAACTGTTCCTCCACACGGGAGCGCATATCCGAAGCCAAATCTGATTCTAACTAGGTGGATAGATACTGTGGATTCAAGGCTGAAAGGTGCGTTTTCTGCTCCCTCTATACTCCATACGGCGAGTACACTGATGATCACCGTTTTATGGGTATCAGTATTAAAGAATAAGATGCCTCCGCCTGGTGATTCCTCCTTTTTCTCTTTTCTTTCCTCAACGCACTCCAGTGTCCCCAGTCATTCTTTTTGCCTACCCCGGCGACACGTGTGGTATAGAATAATATCATTCTTTTCACTCTCTTTTGTGCATATCCCACCGTCCACTCGTTCGAGAAATCAGTCACAATGAAGGCCTTCGCCTGCACCATTGCCGCCATGATGGCGGGCGCTGCCATGGCCGCTCCGGCCATGCAGATTCCTAACGCCGCCAACCTGCCCTCGATCTCGGCTGTTCCCACTCCCAGTGTGCCAGCTTACTCCAGCTTGGCCACTCCTGCTGCGGCTCTCCCCGCTGATGGCCGAAACACCGCCGGCGAGCTTGTCACTGGCGCTGGCAAGCCCGCTCAGAAGCTCTTGACCATCGCCGGTCAGGACTCTCAGCACCTGCTCGTCCAGCTCAGCCCTGCAGTGTCCAACCTGGTCAGCGGTCTCGGACTTCCTGAGGTCGGTGTCCCTGTCGGTACCATCATTTCTACCGCCAGCTCCGCCGGTGATCTCGCCAAGCACGTCGCTCCCGAGGTCAAGGGCCTCCTCACTGTCGCCGGCACTGATGGAGGGTTCTACCTGGTTCAGCTTGCTCCTTCCGTCGCTAGTCTCCTCGAGGGTCTCGCTCTCCCTGGCGTTGGCGTTCCCGTCGGCTCTATCGTCTCTACTGTTGGTGACCACGTCAAGCGCGCGGAAGGAAAGGTCGTCAGCGACGCGGGAAATGCTGCTCAGGGTCTCCTGACAGTTACTGGCCAGGATGCTAAGCAGCTTCTCATCCAGCTCAGCCCTGAAGTTACTGCTCTCGTCTCTGGTCTCGGTCTTCCCGCTGTCGGTGTCCCCGTTGGTCAGATCGTCGCCAGCGCTAGCTCCGTCGGTGACCTGCTGAAGGACCTCGCTCCCCATGTTAACGGTGTCCTCCACGTCGTCAGCTACGACGGAGGCTTCCTTCTGATGCAGCTCGCTCCCAGCGTTGCTGGTCTCCTCTCCGGTCTTGGTCTCCCTGCCCTCGGAGTCCCCATCGGTTCCGTCGTCCAGACCGTCGGTGAGCACCTGTGAATGTAAGTGGTCTTATGCTCGAGTCTTTCTGCAATAAGGTCCACCAGCTGACGATTTATGAATCCAGACACACCAGGTAAAGACCGCCAGATAGCATTCCACGACCTCGACCTTCTCTTCACTGGAGATATTATGTGATGTTCCGAATCCTTTGACGGCCCTGCCTCAAGGATGGCTGCACTGTCGATCAGCATCAATTCGACGGAGATATGTATCATATTCTATTACCTGTATGTAATTTCGCGCCTTAGCCACAGGTGATATAATGCTTTGATTCTATTCAAAGACGTCATCCCATAGACTTTTCAAGAAATAGAAAGCGTTGCTCCTTTTCAGCACATATTGCATATGATATAAAATGGTCCTGTGCTGTAGAGCAGTAGTTGGGCAGTGTATGGTTTTCTTTCGGTGGGGTGTTCCAGTGCCAAGAAAGACTCTTGTCGGATGTTCCATCGCATGGTTAGAGTAATGCTGAAGCATACTTTATTCGATTCATTGATTGACAGGCCTCAAGATGCAGAATCAGATGACCTCTCCACCTCCCATAAACTCGACACGTCGAATTCAGTCTCCTCCATCCAACTTGACAACTCCGTAATACCCAGCACCTCATTAAGGTACCGCCTTCCAAGCTCAATGTCCTGATTAGCCCTGCCCATATAGAACAGACTAGCCGTACGAGGGTCAGCTCTCGCAGCTTCAATATGCTCCGGAAGCTGTACCATGAAATCAAGCAACCAGTTCCCCAAACCGTTATTGAGATCCATTGCCCACTGCGTGATGGTTGCATCATCCGCGGGAAGAGACTCTGCGTTTGTGCGGAGAAGAAGTTGGAAGAATGTTGGATCATTGCCGGCATTTGTCACGGCTGTGTGGAAATGTTCCGGTGGGATGGAATAGGGGGGGGTAGAGCTTGTCCCTTCGCTTTCTAGGCGATGACGGATGAAGTACTCGTCTATTTTCAGAAGGGCGGTGAGAGCGCGAGAGTTGTGCTCTATAAGAGCATTGTGAATTCCTTGTTGGAGTGCGTCTCGGGAGAATGAGACGTCTGTGCCTGGAGCGTCGAAGCCGTGTCCGGTACGGAGGGTTTCGAGATAGGCTATGTCGTCGTCGGAAAACCCGTCGTCGCCGCGTAACAGGCTGTCGGGAAATCTCTTGACACTGAGGATGCGATGTGTCTCGACCTCCTGTGTCTCTGCACAGGTGATAGTGATTGAGAGCAATGGTACGACGGTCAAGGTGTAGTGATCCCCCCTGGAGTCCGTACCCTCGAATGTTCGAATATCATCTTTTCTGGCCAGGAAACGATCGAAGTTTTCCTGGTTAGTCTTGTCCATTGAGATACCAGCCCCTAGCCAGTACTTCTGGAGTGTGAGGTTCATCAGCTGAGGGAGCTCTCCCAAGATGCGCTGGACAGTGCACCATCGACAGCGTAAAACATCAGATTGCAGGGCCTTCCGTGCTTCTTCGTCCAGGCGCTCATATTCAGCCGGTGCCAGGATGCGTGCTATCATCGGTTGAGAAGCATCTTCTTCGACAGGCAGGTCATTCCAGAACGACAACAAAATGAAGACCTTATACATCCGCTCCCTGGACAATGCAGCTGCCAGAGTGGGCGATGACCGGGGCAGATCGACGTCCAGTGAATAGAGAAATATCTTTTCGATGAGTTCTACCGGAAGGCATTCTAACCTTGACAACTTCCTGCGTCGTCTGCCAGGGGGAGTTGTCTGCGGAAGACGCTTTCGCGCGGCAGCTCTGGACTGCGAGGCTGCCTTATCTTCAAGAGACATCATCGGCCGACCACCCTTGGGCCGGCGCAACGCAACAGCTTTAGACTCTGCATTTTCCTTCTCTTCATGACTCTTCTTCTTTGCGACAGCTCGCTTTTTCCTGCGTCCGCGCACCCTGATAGGAGTGAGTTCCATCACCGTGGACACGACACGAGAGAGCTCATTCGTTGCCCCCTAATCGTTCATCATAAGACTACCAAGAAACCAATGCCAACAAAATAAGCTCTGGTAGGGCTGAATCAAGCTCAGAGAGCACTAGCAAGTGGAGAATTTCACGGACGAGGTTAACATATCCCAACGCTCCAAGACAAATAATCTCCCATTCAGTCAACAAGAGAATTGTTCCCCAGAGCCCTTCGAAGCAACTGATTGGCAGAACTCGTTCCGCCTTAGGGCAATGCTAGAGCACGTGGTTCTTCATCACGGGATGATGCCCTGACGCTAGTCTCTTTCTGGACTTCCAGTGACTCCGCTCCGATTCAAATGACGTCAAAAGAGCCCCAAAGAGAACCATGACGCCACTCACGCAAAACGTCCAACAATCGACAATTATCCTTGAATCAAGCGGTGCAAGTAAACCAGGGAAAAAGAGACATCGACGTTATGATCCAATCCTCGTGCGGTTGGTTCTCCTCCTGAATGGTCGAAGGTGATGTCCATGCCTTGGAACAGCCGCGACTCTTCCAATGATATCTAGAAACCCCAGCCCTCTATGAAGTATGGATCCATGTCCGTTGACCCTGCGCACTGACATTCCATTTAGTTCAGATATGGAGAAGCGGGATAGACTAGCTGGACGGTTGTGAGTTGGTCCTGCGTTTGATAGGAGAAATCGAAGGGAGATAGGCAATTAGGAAGAACAGAAACTTGAACGCTCATGACGTCCAGGATAACCCCTATGACGGAATTCTAGACCAGGGCAACTTGTAACTTGGATAAACATAATTGTGTAGGAAAATTTTCATCGGTCGTGTAGCAGCAGCCATATCATACCAACATATATAGCTGCCAACTTGCCTCTTCCTCTGATGAATTCATTGCTTGCTCGATTTTCAAGACCAACGAAAAACAGCAAAGAAAATCTGATTCATGCAACCATTCAGCAACACTTCTCTCCACGCTCCAGCTTCAAGTTCATATTCGAACAGCAGCGAAACCTCTACCACTCCCAAGTCCAACTAAATTCTCCAAAACAAAAAGAAAACAACTTCCTCATAATTCAAAATGGGTGCTGTCTGCTCTTGCGTACGTCTCTCCCCCTACCACGCAGCCTTTCACATACATATTACTGGAGCAAAGAACTAACCAACAACCCTGATAACAGATCACATCAATCTTCCAAGCCATCGGCAGCTGCCTCATGGCCATCGTGAACGGCATCGGTGCCGTCTGCCAGGCCATCATCTCCGGTATCGTCACCGTCTGCGATGTCATCATCTCATGCCTCACCTGTGGCTACGTGGGAGGAAGACGACGACGGAGAGGAGCAGGAACAACAACAACAAGATCAACGATATGATCTTGATCAAGCAACAAAACACGAGGAAACGTGGGATCTCAAGTTCAATGGTGATGAGGGACGATAGGGACGATGGATGACGATACGCGTTATTATGGGTTATGTTACGGATGCAAACTTTTTTTATTATGATAATACCACATGGTTTTTCGGTTCTTCGATTTTTTTTTTCTTTTCCCTTTCGCAAAGTATCTGCGCTTCACGAGTGAGGATGAAGATGGGAGATGATATGATTATCCGTTGGCAACGAAATGGGAGCGTTCTCAGCTTTGTTGAACTTTTTGCTCGCTGTCGTGCGTTTTTCATACCCCATCTTCGATTTTGTGGTTTCATGTTTAATTTATGATAGATGATTATTGACGCAAGTTAATAATTGAGACGTTGATGACACTTGTAGATCAGTCCATTTCTCGATTTAGCTCCTCGGTACAATGTAACTACCGTGCATGATTAAAATATGAGGATTGAGATAATTTCTCGTTATTATACACTGATTCTTTTATACAGTCATTATTATACAGGGCTTTTACCCTTGCTGACATGCAGTCGTGAATTGACCGCCACAGTTTATATCAAATATCTTCTCACAGATTCTTCATAATTTTCATGATTCCACTGGCTCGTCCAGCCAAAGTCAACTGGTATCCAGTCTCCACCACACCCTTGCACATTTCCCATGCTCCATTGCCGTTCTTACGATCACCGTCGCCCTTATAAATCGGATAGTCGACCGTGGGTGGGATCTTGGTGGCCATCAATCTGGGAAAACGGTCCACACAGACCGCCTTGATGTTGCTCACACCGCGCAGACCTTCCTCACCGGCAAATCGGCCGTATCCTGAGCCCTTGACGCCGCCGAAGGGCAGCTGGACGGCGTAGTAGCTTCCGAAATCGTTGACGGCGACCATACCAGACTTGATGCCAGAGACGCAGGCTTCAACGTCCCGACTGTTGAATCCAAACACACTGGCACCCAGGGCGTACTCGGTGGAGTTGGCAATGGCAATGGCATCCGGCACAGAAGAGGCCCTCATGAGAACAAACACAGGAGCGAACAGTTCAGTCTGGGCGATTCTCATCGAGGGAGTGACGTCTGCGAGTAGGGTGGGTGTGAAATAATGGCCATATGGGTGTCTCGGGTGATTGTAGCGTTTTCCACCGCAGATAAGACGAGCACCGTTCTTAACGGCATCCTCAATGAGAGATTCCAAGCGGTCGAAGCCAGTAGGAGAGATCACCGCGCCCACATCTGGAGTGATAGGCTTGTAGTTAGGATCCTTAGGGTCAGGCTTGGAGTCCAAAAAGATGGAACCTAGACGAAGTGCCTTGATACGTAGTGTGACAATGTCCAGCAGCCTGTCATAGACACCGGGCAGAGCAATAACCCGCTCTACACCAATACAGTTCTGACCAGCGGACTGGAAAACACCGCGCATAAGGATCGAGGCGATATCAGGAAGCTGCTTGATAGTCGTCGAATCATCCAGGATAACCGAAGGGTCCTTTCCACCAAGCTCCACCGTCACAGGGAGTAGCGCCTTCGCTGCAGATTCGCAGACCTTGTGCGCAACGGGCCTCGAGCCGATGAACGTAAGTTGAGAGACATCGGGGTGCGATGTTAGGACGTCCGCAACGTTCGGCAGACACACGACACTCTGGACCAGATCCGGGGGGTGTCCACAGCTGATCAACGCTCCACGGATGATGTCCAGGAAATAGCCCGTACACCAGGCCGTCTGCTCCGAAGGCTTGACCACGATTCCATTACCAGCAAAGATAGCACTGATGACCGGACCAATGAAGTTGTGGAAAGGATAGTTCCAAGAGACACAAGCGGCGACCACGCCCAGAGGCTCATACCGAACCGTATTCTTCTTATACATCATCAGGAAGTTGGTCGGTCGAGATTCAGTCCGCAGCGCTTTCTCTCCATGATCGATTGTCCATTTCAGTTTCTCAGTCGTCACGAGGATTTCGCCAAACGATGCGTCGACTTTAGTCTTTCCGGAATCCAAGCAGCAGGCAGTCACGATCTCATCTTGATGCTCAAGTACGTATCTGCAAGAAGCGCGCAACCGTCAGTATCCCGATACACCCATTAACACGTTCCAAGACTAAAACAACATACTTCAGTAAAGTCTTCAGAACCCTCCTCCGCTCCGCAAACGATGTCTTCGCCCATTCAACCTGCGCCTTTTTCGCCGCTTGCACCGCGCGATCGATTCCCTCCGGCGTCTCCGGCTTAATACCCGGACCAGAAGCGCCCAAAATTCGTCCATCCGCCGGACAATAGCTCATTATCTTCTTTTCGCTCCATTGCTATAACTCAGAAAAACGAATAAACAAGTCAGCCAACCACCCTTCATCCCACCCGCAAACCATTCACCAGGATTGAAATCCCACTCACCCCTCGAGTCTGCGCCTCCAACAACACCTTATCTTCTGCTTGCACATCATCCCAGTTCTTCGCGACCCAATTAGGACGCACTTCAGGCGGAAGCGGAACGTTGAACTTGACCGGCGCCTCTCTCCGACAGAGCACGTATGCGTAGCCCAAGTATGCCGCGACGAACGTGAAGCTCGCCACGATCCCGATGCTGAGCCATTGCGGTTCGAGACCCAGATCCTCTGCGGCTGCGAGTATAGGAGGAGGGATGCGGGAGGTTATACAATCCATCCTGAGGGATCCGGGGATGGAAAGGCCGTGTAGACAACTCTTTCTGTTGTAGTTATGGCTTTTGCGGCCTTTAATTTAAGGGGCTTGAACTTTTAGAGTTGGCGGGGAACGCGGAGCTTGTTCGGGCGAGGTGGGCCGACTGGCGAACAGCAAGATAATCAAACATGCGATATGAAGACAAAAAGATGTAGAAATTCTTGTAAGTCATGTGTATTGCCTCATTTAGTTATGGCTTGCTATACTTGGATTATTGGATTAAATCTTAAAGTTTTAAAGGTCCATATTGTCTTTTCCAGACTACAGTCTCATGTAAATATTTATTTATGCGTCTAGCTATGCATTTTCAGAAGACATCGCAAATCGAAATAAAAATGCAGAACTAAATATTATCTGCAATAGCTAAATAGGCCTCAAACAGGGCCCCATAGATCAGCATATTTTTAGAGAAAGCTATTCGCTCTCGTCATCATCTTCTTTTCCTCCACGAGACTTCCTATTCTTCGCCTTGGGAGCCGACGTTGGAGCTCCCTTGCGTTTGCCCGTCCGCTTAACAAGATGGTCAATAACGCATCCCTCTTCCCATCCTTCGCTGTTCTCTCCCGTAATAGCCCGGCAGCGAGGACAGGATTTTCCATGACGGATAAAGAGCTGATGGAGAGAATACTTCAGATGATCCGGAATACGGACTTCCAGATGACTGAAGGCTTTGACCTCATCAACCTTCTCTGACGGTATCCAGCCGAGCCACTTGGTAATCCGGAAGATGTGAGTGTCCACGGCAAAACAAGGACGCTGTAAGCAGAAGAGGATAACGCAAGCTGCCGTCTTTGGCCCGATTCCCGGGTACTTGACTAGTTCCAGCATGGCATCTTCGCTGCTGAGAGAATGGATATGGTTCAGCGAGAGCACATGTTCATTTGCGCGGTCGATCTCGTTCTGCTTCTCGACCTCCGTCTCATTTTTGGCCCCCGGAGGTTCAGCTGTACCCTCCTTTTTGGCCTTCAAGAGAGCGTCTCGACGTTGCACGTTCTCCTCGTAGACCATATTCAGGATCTCTTTGATCCGTTTGCTTTTCAACTCTGCCAATCCACCGCGCTTAATAGCCTGGAAGATATCTTTAACTGGAGCTTGACGGACGGCGTCCCAGTTGACACTGCCTTTCCCGATGCCATCAGGGAGAATGCCAAACTTCTGGACTAACCCCTGGAAAGCCATAGCAGAATTATTTCCAGTGGTTGCACCACTCAGGAGGGTTCGAATAAGAGCATCGAGAACAGACGGGACTTCTCCACATCCAGTGACGGTAAGAGATGGTTCAGGTATAGATGTCGGCGCAATGACTTCCCCATGGACACTTGAGAGGAGTTTATTGACTTCCTCACACTCTTCTGGTGTCGGTCGGGACCATTCAGGGAATGGACTAACGCCAGGTGTGAGACCATATGGATTATTGCTCTTCCCTTTCCCTCCCTCAGCCTTTGCATCCAGTGTTGTTGTTGCTTTATCAACAGTATCTTGCAGTTCATCCTTTATGCGATCTAACTTCCCATTCTTCACTGCTGTGTTTCCCCCCTGAAGCTTATCTGCCGTTGTCGACGATGTCGTGGGAATAGGGGCTTTGCCCAGATTGTGAGGCAGTTCATTGATGTCAGGTTCTGCGACCGTATTATTCCTCTTCCTCTTCTTTTTAGGTGGTACGCTTTCACCCTTTATTTCAGATGGCGGTGCTTGTCCAGTTTGCTCAGTTGTTGCAGCAAGCAGAATAGCTGCTTTTGCAGCAGAGCGCGTAACACGTCTTTCCATGGTTTATCGGTTATAGAAATAAAATACAAAGGGGTATCTTGAACTGTATAATAGGAATAGAGATGAAGTAGCACAATTATCAAAGGCGCTTTGTAGATACCAAAGAGCACGATAAGCTCAGGAGAAAGGATAATAGACTCCAGGTACTTCCTATAACTGGAATAGTATCCCTGCAGTCACGCTCATGGATGCAGAAAGCGATAGATCCATGGAACGAATGGGAGATCTGAGAGAATGCGGGCTTTGTCAAATGAGAGAGCATCTTGAGCAGTCTCAGTGACTTCATGGCCGTCAATGTTACATCACGTGCACGTGATAGCATGGAGCATATGTATCATACTAGAGACGTCAATATTCAAAGGCAGTAAAACATCTTGCTGTGTCAAAAAATCAAAATCAGGCGGACCTCCACAGTTCCTGAGAGATCAGAATTTCAGTCCCTTATCTGCGATAGTAGGTACTCGGAGACATTCAGAATGGGAGTCATGGCAGGATTATTCGTGGAGGTCGAGAAAGTGGATATTTAGTGCGAACCCCGTCGCCGGGATGACATTCTATTTCTTCATTGTATTTCTAATCATCGTTCAAGGGTATATAGATGAGCACGATGTACACTGTACTTTTCTCTCGAAAGAGCACGAGCACGAGCACGAGCACTTTCAGATTGCTCGCAGGTCACTATTCTTTTTGTATCTGAAGAAAATTTCTCGACATGGCCATGGACACATTTTGGTTCCGCCCCAATGTTTCATATAGCAGCATCAAGATTTGAAACATCATATAAAGCCCATGACCTTCTAAACTCCATGCTAGGTCAGTCCATCTAAACCTTAGCTGTCTATGCATAATCACCAAAGTTGTGGATGCTGATGTCCATACGATCCCTGACTTTTGGTGACTCCAAAGCCTCTACCGCTTGGGGAGCCTCGCGAGCTGCACTGAAGCTCACTTGAGGGACTTCAGACTCGCTAGGGGTGGAGGCGGGTACGACCTTTCCCCGGTCGTCGAGTTTCACGCCATTGGCAGCAATTTCATAGTCTGTCTTACTAGCGAGACCGCTGGCGACTGCCTCTCTTGCACGGTCCATAACCTTGAGCTTACGGCCTTCGCCGCGCACTTTCTCCAGATGCTCAAAGTAACCCTCAGAGACAGGGGTAATGTAGCTACCACAGAAGACACCAACTTCGAATTGGTTGGGCTCTGCCAATCCATTCTCCTGCGCGATCTCAGCGCAGGACGCATTGAGGTCCTCCAGGGTCTGGTAGACGACGCTGTCGGCTCCAATGTGTTTTGCGATTTCAGCGGGATCACGGTTGTGCGCAACCAGCTCACTCGGTGAAGCCAAATCGATACCATAGATATGAGCGTGCCTGCAGCGGTTAGTATGTGTCTGGTCTGGGAATACTGAGAAAGAAACTCACGTAATTGGTGGGGCGCAACTGGCGAAATGGACCTGCTTCGCACCCGCTTCCCTGGCCATCGTTACAATCTCTCGACTTGTGGTTCCACGCACAATACTGTCATCCACCAGGAGAACATTACGACCCTTGAACTCGGACTTCATGGCGTTAAGCTTGCGGCGCACACCCTTCTGTCGGGTCTTCTGTTCCGGCATAATGAACGTGCGGAAGACGTAACGGTTCTTCACGAAGCCTTGGCAATACGGCTTGTCCAAGTAGCGCGCAACGTTGGCGGCTGACGTGTTGGAAGTCTCGGGAATAGGGATGACTACATCGATGTTCTTCACGACCTCCGGGCCCAGGACGTCAAGGATGCGTGCGGCCAGACGATCACCCATTCTCTGTCGGCTACGGTACACGCTAATGCCGTCGATGACGGAGTCCGGACGAGCGAAGTAGACGTATTCGAAGATATCCGGCGCGTACTTCATCTTCGGCGCAACCTGACGGAACACCGGCTCACCACCCTTCTCGATGATGACTGCCTCTCCGGGCTGAATGTCGCGGATGTTGGTGAAGCCGAGTTGGTCCAAGGCGACCGATTCGGAGGCCATCATGTAGTCCATACCTTTCCCATCGAGGGAAGGTCTAGAACCCAGAACCAAAGGACGGATACCATAGGAGTCTCGGAAGCCCAGCAGCCCGAAACCTGCAAGCATGGCGGTACAGGCCCAGCCGCCCTGGCACTGCTTGTACATCCGACCAAGACTGGCGAACACATCTTCCTTGTTCACGCGTGCCTTCTTGGTCTCGTTGAGCTCGTTGGCGAAGATGTTCAACATCAGTTCACTGTCACTGTCGGTGTTGATGTGACGGTGTGCCTCGAGGTCGAGATACCGCTTCAGTTCCGGGGCGTTGATCAAGTTTCCGTTATGCGCAAGACAGATACCGTACGGGCTGTTCACATAGAACGGTTGGGCTTCCGCGTTGGCACTGCTGCCCGCAGTGGGATACCTGAGGTGGCCGATTCCCATGAAACCGGGTAGGTCTGCGACTCTGGCGCCATCCTGGAAGACCTTGGCGGCCATACCGTTGGATTTGAGCTGGTAGATCCTACCGCCAGAGGCACAAGTAGCGATACCCGCAGCATCCTGGCCACGATCTGTTTCGAGAGTCCCCAGTCAGTATATACACGAGAGAAATCGAAAACGGATGATATGAAATGCGGTAGCCGCGCCACAATGACTCCCATATTTCGCCGGAGTCTCACGGAGTATGATGGTCCGATAGAAGGGTTTACTCACGTTGGAGCAGGTAGAGCGCTTCGTGCAGATCGACTGCGGCAGAACCATTAGGGTTCGCCAGGATCTCTGCGAGAATTCCACACATTCTGAAGGAGTGGAAATGGTCCTAGACAGAGGAAGCAGTCAGTTCGACCTGCCAGACCTGTAAATGGGAGGAAGAAGAGGCAAAGGTGGGGTAAAGAGGCAAAAATCAGGCTTGAAAATTTTCCGCAAAGATGCTTCAGTAGTCTAACATCTATAAAAACAAATGCTCATCATGCGACTAGTCGACTTGGGAGTACTGAAATGAATTGCTTGCTCAGGCCATACTCACTTCTAAGAGATCGAATTTCTCTTCACACAGACGAGGCCGGAAAAGGCGGAATTCACGGCCGTCTTCGCAGGTTGTAGATAGAGACTCCTAAGCAGACGCAGCAGTGAAAGATCACCCGCTGCGACTGGGGACCGGACTGCTAGGAATCAACCTGCAAGGCAAGGAGGAATGTCTGGGGGAGACCCGAGAGGAGAGGAGACATTATGAGGAGTATTAGAAAGGAAAATGAGTTCGTCCCAGGGAGCGGATGATATCCCAAGGCGCTTTTCTCCACTGCAGGTCAAGAGTGCGACCCAGAGTTTTTTGCGCTGCCCACACTGACCAAAGAGATTTCTTGCTGCGAAATTTTTTCTGGTTCGGCGTGGCGGTTTTTCCGGGAGATACGCTGACTCAGCAGTGATGGCGGCCGTTCTCGGACCGAGCACTTACAACAGCTTTCTAATGGGTTGTTTATCACTTGATAACTTAGAGTGGCATCTTTGCTCTCATGGCATTTGTCTGGCCTTACAGTTGTCTCTGCGACAATGGAATCCATACAGGAATCAAGCAGATACCTATTCTCCAGCCTAGTGTGGAAGAACATGGTTAAAAATGATGCTTTATTGTGCACTTTACCCAGAATGCTTTGTGTTTCTTGCCTGCCATTCACTGTGCAGCTAAAGCTATGTGAATATGCGCAGGATTGAATATTCCTGCCGCTGTCTGTCCTGGAACTAATCTGGCTACTACAGCACAAATCACTGGAATCTTTCCTGGTGATCTCATCTCTTCTTTACATACAGATCCTATGTGGTCACAGCTCTCTGGACTTTCAGTTACTTCAGTCCTTCCCCCAAAGAAGTTATATTGTAGGCCTGTCAAAGCATGTTCTTATTCAACTTCACTTTTTGACAACTCACAATCTTTTCTCCTCGCCTTTTATCTGGACTGATCCTCATATCTGGGAGACAGATCCATATATGCCTGACCTTCTGTCTTTCTGGTCCAGAGTATCTGTAGCAGACTACTAGTCAGGTCTTTTACAACTCACTTCATTTACTATATCTCTCATCTTTCTATCATTTCCGTCTGAAGTCAGATCCAGAACAGGTGATGCATTTGCTGCTTGCCTTTTGCTGACATCTCTTTCGTTCACTGCTGAATTACGCCCTTGGTCGGAGTCTATCTGCTGCGGTTTTCGTCCCTCCAGGATGCCACCTTCATCACCCCCCGGTTCTCTTTCAAACCCCATACAAATTGATGATGAGTCCGACTGTGACGTCGGCAGACCCTATGGACACCACAGAAAGAGCCCAGCTGCGTACACATCGCGAGGGCAGAGCATTGTCAGCGACAACAGTTCTACGATCACTGATGGGAGCGAGACTGTTGTCAACGACCCCGATGCTCAGTGCTTTTTGAGATCGCTAAGCCCGAGATCCGCCATAAGTATACAGAGAGCATCAAGCAATCGGGTTGGCAGTCCGGCAAGTCGAGAAGCTGTTCCAGAAGTGATCGACCTCACCGATGATCTAGATGATCTGGACAGACCCTTTCAACCGGGAGAATACCTTACCGATGCGCGGGTTTCAAGGGCAGCAAGGACCACTGTCATAACTGACTCCCCTGAGGCCAGCCCTTTTCGGGGACCAGAAGGTGAGCCGCAAGTGACCCCCTTCTTTTGGGACCAGGGCTCGTGCTATAGTGCGGGTCAGTCAGTTGAGCTCCATGACGGCACGTTCCTACGGATTATCCACATCTTCCAAGAACGTTCTGGACGCGTGTTCCTCAATGGACAGCGGTTCAGGAGACTGGAGACTATGGATTCGCGACACCCGAAGTGGGTGAACGAGCTCTGCTGGATTATCAGCGAGCACCCGGAGAGCCATGTTCACGAGGATGTGCCACTTGGGAGGGTGAAGCGCTTCAGGGTGCTCCATCTTACCAATGCACGATACCCATGTAACAGCTCTGTTGACTCACGGCATCTCTTCACATCTGAAAACGAGATGAGGAGACGTGGCGAGCTCTACTGCCGCCTCAAAGAGACGACAGTCGCGGGGAAAAGCAACACAGAAACAGGTGAAGGGGCTATCGAATATCTATCAGCAACAGAGGCAGACGACGGGTACAGTGTGCCTCACCATGTTCTGAGACGAAACTGGAGAGGCGACCCGGAACCATTTGGAAGTGCCAAGAAAGCTCGCTATAGCGCAAATACGGTGATCGATCTTGAAGGACCGGTTGCTGTTGACTTGACTCAGCCATCCAATGGCGTCGGACGGACCAAGGACTCCAGGCAATATACCTTCGGCGATGGGTTTTGTGGAGCAGGAGGTGTATCGCGAGGCGCGGTGGAAGCCGGGCTATCGATCAAATGGGCATTCGACAAGAGCCACCATGCGATTGAGTCGTACGGACCCAACTTCCCGGATGTTGTCTGTGAGGTCGCTGATGTGACCAACTTCTTGACCAACCATCCCAGCGAGCTCAAAGTGGACGTCAGCCATGGATCCCCGCCCTGCCAGACATTCTCCCCGGCGCATACCATCAACGGTCGCAACGATGACGCCAATTCTGCCTGCATATTTTCTTGTCGGGATATAATCGAGAGGTCGAAGCCTCGCATACACACCATGGAGGAGACCTCGGGACTATCCGAGCGGCATCGGGAAACCTTCTTCGCGGTCATCCAGGACTTTGTTGAGATCGGGTATTCTGTGCGTTGTGGAGTGTTAGACTGTTCGCAGTATGGTGTGCCGCAAAGTCGCAAGAGGCTGTTCATCATTGCATCTGGGTATGTTTAATTTCTCCTGTGATTCCATCTTTACTAAGATCCATTCAGGCCCGGGGAGGACTTGCCCCAATTTCCTCGCCCTACCCACGGGGACAGAAACTCTAGACTGCTGCCATACACAACCATCGAGACGATGATCTCTCGAATTCCTCGAGATGCTCCTGATCATGATGTGATGGGAGCTCTGGAGCGTGGTCGTCGCAACGGTTTCAAGCGTCCCTTCGACCCTCGCACCCAGGCCAGGACGATCACATGCGGCGGCGGCGAGAACAACCACCATCCCAGTGGAAAACGGGGGTTCACGAACCGAGAGTTTGCCTGCCTGCAGACGTTTCCGTTGAACCACCATTTCGGACCGAGAGAGGTGCGCAAGCAGATTGGCAACGCGGTGCCGCCTGCCGTCGCCAGAGCGCTTTATCGGGAGATCATCAAGTCACTCCGGCGGACCGATGAGGCTGAATTACAAGTAGCGGCATCGGAGCAATCGATGCACTGCTAGGGTTTCTGCTCGCAGATAGGCTGCGAATCATGCTGTGTACGCAGCGAATGGGATGGTCGGTTCTGATGCCGGAACGAACTCAGGAAGCAGAACACTCTTACCGACTTGGATCTGTACCGATGCGCTTCGGTGTCTTGTGCAGCCAATAACCCTCCTCTCTGTAGATACTCATTGTTCTGGTGTTGGGATGTGCGATGTTGTTTTGTTTATCGGATACTGAGTGCAAGGCCGCTTTTCTCTATTATACCCTGCTTTGACTGTACCATTACCACCATAGCCTGCTCAGATGTTGTTCTGTGTTGGGACAAGAAGAGCCTTTTACTGTACAACACTTCCAAATCAAGGTCAGCATTTGTCCTGTTACTGTTTTGATTATTTCTCGTCCACTCGTGCTGTAGGCAAATGTAAGTAAGTACTCCTAGAGCCGCTAGAGTTCACCCTAAACAGCAGTAAACACAACGGGCGCGCTCTAGAGTTCTTGAGGCCCACCGAGTCCGTGCGGGGTCCGGGGAAAGGAGAGGGAAAGCCGAGAAGAGTTTACCGATGGAAGCCGACGAGCCTGAATTGCCGTGGGATACGGAGTAGATAGACCAGAAGACTTGAAACCGGACGAATACTGTAAATCCCGGCACCGGAGTAATCGTTGAGACATACCAGGATGGCTGCTCGACCACTGTTTGTCCTGTATTATGCGTGGACCTTCTCGAATGCTGTAAACCAAGGAGAATGTCGAATGTCGATCATCTCCATCGTCAGGAATTGCAATCCATCCAGCTGCGCTCCTGCAGCAAATGCTTGAGGGATCAACTGCTGGGAACACACGAAGACGACAACATGGACAAAGCAACGAACCAGACAACCGCCGATAACCGCAAGAAAGACAGCGGGAAACGGAGAGAAGAGATGGTGAAGCAAATACAGTAATAATGTACTGACCTCGGCTTCGGCAGGGGTGCCGGCGATATCCCTGCGAAGCTCTCAACGCGCCATGAGATCAGAGCTTCGTCGACCGCTCATCACAGCATTTTCTTCTTTCTTCTTTAGCTCTTGTCTTTTCTTCTGCTGACGGCCTCTCTCTCTCTCTCTCTCTCTCTCTCCTCCTGTCTGCTGCTGGTATACAATCCCATCTGTTGTCTCTTTTTTTTGTCTTCCTTAATTATGTCTGCCTCCGGTTCAGCATTGAGACGGCTGACCCACAGGTCCCCCCGCACTTTGGGCACATCCCGCATCGCCTCGTTGTCGAGCTCGCGCGCTGGAGCTGCTTCAATTCTTTGCAACAACCGCACAACCACTCTTACGTCTTCGAGAGTCCAGCGATTCTCCAGCATGGCTTCCAAGCAGTATGCCGCAGCGGCTCCTCCCGCGACGGAGAGGGTCTACGATCCCGAGATCAAGGACATGGCCAGCTACATCCACAACTACAACATTGACTCCGATCTGGCCGTAGGTGTCCCTCGGGTTGCTGAGACGCAGTGGCCTGTTGATATCCTTGCACTAGAGAAAGTGAAGTTGACTGACTGAATGGAATTGATTCACAGTACGACACTGCCCGTCTGGTTTTCCTGGACACCCTGGGATGTGGTCTTGAGGCCCTCAGATTCAAGGAGTGCACCAAGCTGCTGGGCCCCATCGTTCCCGGCACCACCGTCCCCAATGGAACTCGTGTGCCCGGAACGCCCTACCAGCTCGACCCGGTCAATGGCGCTTTCAACATTGGCGCCATGATCCGCTGGCTGGACTACAATGACTGCTGGCTGGCCGCTGAGTGGGGTCATCCGTCCGACAACCTGGGAGGTATTCTGGCCGTGGCCGACTGGATCTCCCGAACGAACCGTGCTGGCGGCAACCTGGGCAATGGCAAGATCCTCAAGATCAAGGATGTCCTAGAGGGCATGATCAAGGCTCACGAGATCCAGGGTGTCCTGGCTCTGGAGAACTCTTTCAACAAGGTCGGCCTGGACCACGTCGTGCTGGTCAAGGTTGCCACGGCGGCCGTCGTGTCCAAGATGCTGGGCCTGACCGAGTCTCAGACTGCTGATGCCATCACCCAGGCATGGGCTGATGGCCAGAGTCTGCGTACTTACCGTCACTCCCCCAACACGATGTCCCGAAAGTCGTGGGCGGCCGGAGACGCCTGCCAGCGCGCCGTCAACCTGGTCCTGAGAATCCAGAAGGGCGAGTCGGGTATTCCCACAGTTCTGTCTGCGCCCGTCTGGGGATTCTACGATGTCCTGTTCAAGGGCAACAAGTTCAAGTTCCAGCGCCCGTACGGTAGCTACGTCATGGAGAACGTGCTCTTCAAGGTCTCCTACCCTGGTAAGTTCTCAGCATGTGTCAACGGGATCAAAATAGGAGATACTGACTTGCTTCAGCTGAGTTCCACTCCCAGACTGCCATCGAGGCCGCCAAGATCGTCAACGAGAAGCTCAAGGCCATGGGCAAGACTGTCGCTGACATCAAGGAGATCGTCAACCGCACGCACGAAGCTTGCGTTCGCATCATTGACAAGCAGTTCAAGCCCATGGACAACTTTGCTGACCGTGACCACTGCGTTCAGGTAGGTTTCCCTCCTGATTCATCATTCAAAGATGTTATACTAACAGCTTCTGCAGTACATGATGTCCGTCATGCTGGTCTACAACCGCCTGACTGCCAACGACTACACCGACGGCTCTGAGGCTGCCACCTCCCCCGTTGTCGAGGACCTCCGCAAGCGCATCCGCTGCGTGGAAGACCCCCAATTCACCAAGGACTACCATGACCCTGCCAAGCGTACCATCCCCAACGCCCTGACCGTCATCCTCAACGACGGCACGGTCCTCGACGAGGTCGTCGTCGAGGCTCCTCTCGGCCACCGTCTCCGTCGCGAGGAGGCCAAGCCCGAGATCCTGTCCAAGTACAAGCGTCACATCTCTGCGCACTACGACACCAGCCGTGTCAACGAGTTCCTGGAGCTAGGCTGGGACCGTGCCAAGCTTGAAAACTACGACGTCGACAAGTACGTCGACCTGTACGTCAAGGACAAGATCTAGCCTCTGCCTGAAACGAGCTAGGATGTGAAAAAAGAAAAGAAAATTAAACTACACCTGAAACTTTAACTATGATATCTTTGGAACTCCAACGAGTTCTGATAGCACATATTGTTACGATCGATCCCACAAGCTTTACCCGAAGGAGAAGTCTCGATGTATAAGATCAGAGACTAGTTATAGTTATGTTTTGACCATTTCCTTATGAGCGAACAGGAGTGCTTAGATTAGGTAGACTGACTTGTTATTGACGGACCCCGTATTTTAAACGTCCGACAAAATACAATTGAAATCTTCAATGCTTCCCTCCCGTATCCGCTAGACATGTATGCTATGAAAAGGATCATATCGCAATTTGCAAAACAGGAGCACCTGGACACGCGTCAATCATTCAGCTCGTCATCCAACCTATCACATCTCCATATAGTGATATCCACATTTAAACCACCAAGCCCTATATTACATCCCATAGATGCATAGATGGAAACCTATATATACGACACAAAAACAACACCTATATACATATTCAAACCAATCACAATCAATCACAACCTCTTCCTCCTCATTCGAGCTCGAATCTTCCCCGCCGGCGGCATGACTCCAAACATAAAGAACCTCTGATCGGGCTTCATAGCATTCTGCAGCTCCTCCTCCGTCATTAGAACCTCAACCTCAAACATGGTAAGGAAGAGCGCCATCACGACTATGATTTCCTGCTTCGCGAAGTGTCGACCGGGACAGATCTTTACCCCGCCTCCGTACGGGATCCATGATCCGGCGGTGTTGGAGAGTGAGAATTTGGGGTTTGGGGGATGTTCGGTTTTCTCGTGTTTTTGTCCCTGGGATGTTGTCGTTGATGTTGATGTTGTTCCGGATCTTCTGATGGGCCCACTATCCGGATCATTGGGATAGACGAGGAATCTCTCTGGCCAGAACTCACTAACGGGATGAGGATCATCAGGAGAACCAGTATTCCAGACAGAAGCATCGCGACCGCTGAACCAGCTAGATGCCATTATGGGTTCGTCCTTTTTGAACCGCCAGCCGTCGATGGTGAGGTCTGAAGTGGGTACACGAGATAGGACGATTCCGGTACGTAGACGTAGTGTTTCCGCGTAGATGGATTGCAGATAAGGTTGGCTGCAAAGACGGGGAATGTCAATGGAAATTTTGGGATCCGTTCCGTCGTGGGTGATGGTGATGGAGTCTGATATTTCATCCAGGACGCGTCGGTGTAGATCAGGGCGTTTGATGACTTCTAGGATGCACCAGCCTGCTGCTGGGATGGCGTTGCCGTTTGCTCTGATAATAGGGATTCGTTAATTCGAGGTCAGGGGGAAAGTGGATATAAAGGGTTTATAAAAGAGCTGTACCACTTACCCCCAGATCATACCCAGATCATCAGCTGCGTATCCCTCAGGAGTCAGTGGCGTCCGATGGAATATCTTCTGTCTGATCCTCATGACTCTAGATCCGAAGAACTCCTCCCACTCCCGCTCGTCTTCTTCAGCTCGAGTAACGTCGTAATGTCTGTTCGCGAAATCATGCCATTTCATAATATTCTGCTTCATCCGATCGCGAGAACGATAAGCATCCGGGACCAGGAATCGTGGCATCTCTTGGAATAAATCCGGCATCGCATGATCGAAAGCCCAGAAATCCTCATCGAGCGTCGGGATGATTTCTAAAATATGCGTGCCGCATAGAGCGGTGATGGCTGCGTGGAAGACTTCCTTCCGGATGAAATTGGTATATATGTCTGGGAGTTCAGTCCAGGTGTCGTGGCCAATATCACAATTCGAGAACTGGTCTGATAGAGTCTGGACGAGCTGTTTGGCTAGAGCGTCCAAGCTGGAACCGGTCAGACAGGTGGCAAATGTGTGGTGATGGAGATAAAAGATCCGGTGCTCGGCCACAGTCATGGTGCTATTGGGATGCGGCTGAGCATTGATCCCCGTGTCGTCTTTGAGAAGGACGTCGCCATCCTCCCGAGGAAGACCAAATGCATTGACGAGAATCTGAACCTGCCAGTGGTCATTGTTCAGGTCTCGCGAGTTCCGGAATAGAGTGGAAATGTGCTTCGCTCCGGACAGCAGAGTCATAGATCTATTCAAGATGTGAATCCTGACTGGGACATATGCGCCATATCGAACGCTGTATGGGGAGTAAATAAATGAGTATATATGTATGTATATTTGTATGAGAATATAATGATCCATTGTATGGGTCATTTGACAACTTACATGGCCTTGCCCAGGAATCTTTCTCTATCTCGAATAAAAGCTGGCAGATGTCGAAGAAAGGGAATAGCATACGGAACGGTCGGGGGTAAGCTGCCATCCTTTTTGTTGCGGACCGTGAGGAAGCCCTGAGCTAGCACGATGAAATACGTGGAGAGGCAGATTAGGGGAAGTAGTATGTAAGTAGCATGTCGCCAATCGAGCATTACGCTCACCATACTGCGAGCCTCGAAGAATATCTGGTCCATGGTTGCGTGTACATCTACCGAAGAAAAACGCAGGACCGGGGGGCCTGGTTATCGCCAGTTGGAGTTTAACTTGGGTTTTCTATCAGCAGTAGTTTTCGCGAGACTTATCTGTCCTTCGAAAAACAACTTCTGCCCATGAGCGCCACGCCAACAGATGGCCTTCGCGGGAGGACTCGATAGTAAGTTACTTTCGGTGACGGTAAAAGGTCGGACCTGGTGTTTTGGCCTCCCGAGTTTAGGGGATAGCGGATCTTAGTCTAGATAGACTGGAGATGATTCGATGGATCATGTAACTTAGCGCTACCGTGTTTAGTCATCTGCCGACTGTTTCCACCTGCCAACCGTTTTTTACTATGGGATGCTGAATTATTAAATCTACTAGATTTTAACAACAACATATTTAAATTAATTAATATTTAGAGGGTTTAATCTAGGCGATTAGTAGATTATATTAGACTAGTTTTTAGGATCCCTAAATTGCTTAGGTAGTTATATCTGCTGTCCTTAACTAGTTATTATTAAGGGGCTTATTTTAGCTTTAACTACCTGTTTAATAGTATTTTCTTTTAATATCTATTATTTTATAGGTTTAGATCTTTTCTTTAGGCTTTAATTAATTTATTTTAATTCTTTTTAAAGCTAAATAGCTGCCTATTTTATTACTTTTTTTTTTTAAGGCATTATTTTTCTTCCTATATTTATAGGCGAGTTAGATAATCTATTTCTCAGATTTTATACTTTTTTTAGATAATATATTATTTCTCTTCTTACTGCTACTGCTACTAAAATTAAAGTTTTTATTTTTAGTATTATAATTATTATTTAGCTTTCTTTTTATCTATTAGAATTTACTATATCTCCTAAACCTTAGTTAGATTAAAGAAGATAATATTATTATCTTTTAGTTAGCGGGAAGAAAGCTATAAAGTTCTAATAAACTATTATTTTACCTATTTATTAAGAATAATATATTATAGACTAATATTTTATTACTAGAGAAGTATATTTTTAATATATAGGTCTATTATAGTATTTATAAGCTTTAGTGCTTTTTTATTATATATATTATTTAAAACTTCTTATAGAAGCTTTTTAATCCCCTGCTAATTATTTATAGATAATACTAATTAACTTAATTTGCTTAAAAAAAGCCTCTCTTTAAATTTCTTTTTAAAATGCTTAAAAATAACCTATAGATTAAATAGATACAGACTAATTACTGCCTATTTATTATTAATATTTTTTACTATAAAAGCAGTATCCTAGCTAGGGAGAAAAAGATTAAGAAAATCCCTTTTTTTAAAGCGGCTAAATCCTAGACATTTATTTAATTAGATATTTAAATAAATATTATAGGCTCTAGCTAATAGGCTAAATAGAGAAATATTAAATAATTATAATATATATATAGAATAAGATAGAAATAATAATAATAAGATTCTATTATAATTATAATAATTAATAAAGTATTTTATAATATAGAAATTATAGTTATTAAGGATTAATAGCTAGTAGCCTCTATCTATCTTTATCTTAATCTCCTTATTAAAGATCTTAATTAGCTATTAATATCTTACCTTATTATTAGTTTAGCTATTAGAAGAGGAGGTAAAAAAATATTTATAAATTTTAGGGTTAAATACTTAAAGCTATATATTTTATAATTTTTTTAATATAGCTTTATAGATTAGAGCTAGTAATAATAATATCCTATCTATATAAATAATAGTAAGTATTATAATCTATTCCCTATTCTTATCTTAAATTAATTATTTAATATATCTTTATTTATAGTAATAGTAAGAAAAAATTCTCTTAATTTTTTTTAAGACTTTAATTATAAAACCCTTCTTATTTATATTATAAATATTATATAGCTTAATATTAAATTTCTATAGCTTTTAATTTATAAACTTAAAATATAAAGAATATTTAAATATAAAATTAGCTTACTTATATAAAGTATCTATAATAATACCCTAAGCTAATAGAAGGTCTTTATTATAGTACTAGTATAGGAGATAGAGATCTACTAGCTAATGCTTATATAAGGTATTATATAACCTTGTAAAGATATCTTTAGCATATAGCTTAATCTAAATTTAAGCTCTTTAAGCTATATTTTATTTACTAAGCTTGCCTATAATAGCTTATTTTAGTCTAAATTAGCTAAATAAAGATTCTATAGCTAGTTTTAGTATTAATTATCTTATTCTATTTATTCTAATCTATTTTCTAAGCCCGCACTTTAATACTATATAGCTCTTACCTAGGAGTTAATATTATTAATAATATCTGCCCTAATTTTTCTATTTCTGCTAATAACTCTAGGAGAGTTTATTAAGTATATTACTATTAGCTATAGGCTAAAATAGTATAATTATTATTACCTAATATATAAATATATTAGTAAAGCTAAGACTATTATAAATAAAATAAATTATTAAATTAAGGTATACTTTTAAAAGCTTTAATAAGAATTTACTGCTATTTAATAAAGACTTAAATAAAAAATTACTAAATTTAAAGCTATTTAATAATATTAAAAAACCTAGCTTTAAGAAAAAAAAATAATAATATATTTAAGCTATCTTTAAGAGAGATTAGGCCTATTATATAATTATACTTATTATAAATATATCTTTATTTATATTTAAACTTAAGCCTAGTATTAAAAGGCCTATAGCTGCTCTAATAAGAGTATTTAAGATATTTATTATTATACCTTTTTCTACCCCTAGATTTTTAGAGAGACTCCTTAATCTTAATAAATTTAAAGGTAACTAAAAGGATTTTTAGCACTTTATAGCCTAGATCTAGGGGAAGATAATAATTAATTAAGACTAATTCTTAATCCCTTAGAGCTATATAGTTTATATAATTAATTACTTAAAGAATATACCTTATACCTAAGTATTATTATATATTAAAGATAGAACCTATACTCTTAATAATTATTAAAAGATTTTAAATATTCTAGAGTATATATTTAATAATCCTAATTATATAAATAATATATATAATAAATTATTTAACCTCTATTAAATTAATAAGGAATTTAAAATCTTTTTTATTAAATTCTAGCGCCTAGTATTAGAAGGAGAAATATTTAAGGGAATATTATTTATTCTATTAGAGTAAGCTATTAGCTAAGAATTTTAAAAAATATTATTATATAGCTAGCCCCTAAGTTATAAATATTATTAGTTTATTAAATTCTTATAAGACCTTAAGAACTGCTGCTATTAATATATTATAAACTAGCCCTTTATTATAAAGACTTATATTGCTATTTTAAAACTTACTTAGTATATTTAATTCCCTTTATTTATTTTAAATCTTATCTTAATTATAAGATATAATAGCTAGCCCTAGAGAAGCCCTATATAAAAAAATAAACTAGCCCTAATATAGCTATATAATTTAATAGATTTAAATATTTCTAAATACCTAAATAGGAGAAAATATAGCTTATTATATTATAAAATTAGCGCCTATTTTTAATATAGCTCGCTAGAATATTATATTAGAGATTATCTATACTTAAATAACTATTAGAAGATTTAAATTATAGCTATATATAAACTCTATCCTTAGATTTTTTAGATAATCTAGTTCTTAAACTTATATAGTCTATCCCTTAGTTAATCTTTAATAAAAGAAGTAAGCCTAAAGTAAGTTATAGCTAGGCTTAAGAATTATATATTATCTAAATCTCTGCTACTACTATTTATAAAATTAACTTTAAAAAATATCTATAATAATTAAAATTAATAATATTATTTATAATATTAAAAAAGAAGAAAAAAAAGATCTATTTATTAATTTATACTTTACTTAATATTAGAGTTAAAAGATAAAGATTTATAAATTAAAAATAGGCTAAAGACTAAAAATTAAAGCCTATCCTTTTAAAAAGCTTAATTATCCTATATATATTTAATAAAAAAGAACTAGAAAATAAGAAGATTATATATTATATTTAAATAGATATAAGAATTAAAAATTATTTTAAGAAAGATACTAAGTTCTATATTATCTAACTGGCGCATTATCTTATTATCTTAAGACTCCCTTAATTAAAATACTATAACCTACATTTATAATTTATTACCTATAATATTATTTTTAATAATAATTATTATTAAAAAAATTATAATATATCTCTAAAACTAATTAAAATATTTGCCTTATATAATATTTTTCTAAAGGCTTTATTCTAATACCTGCCTCTAAGATCTAGAAAATTAGAAAAGAGAAATATAGCCTTTATTTTTTTAGCCGCCTATTTTACTTATATTTAAAGAAATATTTAAATATTTATAATTATTCTAGAAAATCTAAATATTACTTTAAGAATTAAATAAGTCTAAGAAAAAGATCTTACTTACCTATTATTTAAGAAGTTTAAGAATTATATTAATATCTTTTTTCTTAAAGAGGCTAAGTACTTATTATTATATTATTTTTATAATTATAATATTAAGCTGCTAAAAAAAAAGTTACTCCTTTTTAAACCCTTATATATTATATTTTAAGATAAATTAAAGGTCTTAAAGGAATAAATTAAAAAAAATCTAAAAAAGGGATTTATCTGCCTAAGTTTATTACCTACTATATTCTTAATCCTATTTATTAAGAAGCTTAATAGAAGAATATAAATCTATATAAATTATTAAGCCTTAAACATAATAATTATTAAAGACTAATATTCTTTACCTCTAATTAAAGAGACTTTAAATAATCTAAAAAGAATAAAGTATTTTATAAAGATTAATATTATTTCTATATTTAATAATCTTTATATTAAGAAGAGATAAGAATATCTAACTGCCTTTTATACCTAACTTAGTTTATTTAAATTATTAATAATATTATTTAGCTTAATAGAAGTACTAGTAATATTTTAAAGGTTTATTAATAATATTCTATAAGATTATTTTAATATCTTTTATATTATATATTTTAATAATATCTTAGTATATAGTATAACTTATTCTAAATATATTTAATATATCTGCGCTATTCTATAGAAGCTATATAAAGTAGGCCTATATATAAAGATTTAAAAATGCGAGTTTATTATTTCTAAGACTAAATTCTTAAATATTATTATTAGCTGAGACTATATTAAGATAGACTTAAATAAGGTAAAAATAATTATTAAATAAAAGACCTTAACTTATATAACTAATATATAAGCCTTTATTAGGTTTAGTAACTTTTACTATTAGTTTATTTATAACTTTTCTAAAATAATTATACTGCTTATAAGCTTAATTTAAAAGGGAGTTCTCTTTAATTAGATAATTATCTATTAGTCTAGTTTTAAAGCCCTAAAAGAAGTATTTATTTAAGCCTTAATCTTAAAGCTATTTAACTAAACCTATAAGATTATAGTTAAAACTAATTTATCTAATTATATATTAGCTAAAGTTATATCCTAGTATAATAAAAGAATCCTATATTTTATTATATTTTTTTTAAAGAAGTTTTCTATTATAAAATATAATTATAAGATTTATAATAAAGAATTGCTAATAATTATCTACTATTTTAAAGAGTAATGCCTTAAGCTTAAAAATATACTATTATTAATTAAAGTTATTATAGACTATTATAATCTAAAATACTTTATATTAATTAAATTATTAAACTAGTAATAGGCCTATTAGTCTAAATTTTTATCCTAGTTTAACTTTTAAATTATATACTAACCTAGAAAGTAAGAAATAAAACTTAATATCTTAACTAGGAGATTAGAAGATCTCTTTAAGGAGGAGAATAAATAGTTATAATATTAGAGCTAAATAGTCTTAAAGAAGAAGAACCTTAATCTATAGATTTAGAGATCTCTAAAACTAAAAGCTATTATTAAAAGTTAAATAGTAAGGTATATTTATTTTATTAATCTAATAGTTTAAAAGATTAAAAATCTTATTAAATTTATAAGAATATCTACTTAATTTACTCTAAGATATTAATTTATTTAGCTTAGAGAATCTATCTAGTTTACCCTGTTACTTAATTAGTTTATTAAGATTATTTAACCTGTTAAAGAGATAATCTAATTTACTAAAAAGACTATTTAGCTTATTAAAAAAATAGTTTAGCCTATTAAATAAAATTAGTTAAATTCTCTTACTATGCCTAATAAATTAAAATACTTATTTAGTATTAAAGATCTACTAGATATAGCTTATCTATTTAATAATTTAATATAATCTATCTTATAAGCCCTAGATTATAAAGCTAATTATTATCCTAAGATTATACTAGCTAACTATTAATAAAGAGGAAGATATCTATATTATAGAGACTATCTATATATTCTTAATTATAATAAGTTAAAAACCTACTTATTATAAGAATACTATAATAAGTATATATTTAAATACTCTAGAAAATATAAGCTTTATAACTTAATTTTATAAGAGTATTATTAGCTAAATATATATTAATATATAAATTACTAGACCTAGAATTACTATATCTATTACTATATTATATTTTTAAATAAAGGCTATTAAAGAGTTTTATATTAGCTTCTTATCTCTAAATACTTTTAGTAAGATATTTTAATAGATTTTATTACTAGACTTATATTTTACTAAGATTATAATACTATATTAGTTATTATAGACTAATTTATAAAGATAAAGTACTTTATTTTTTATTAGGCTATTTATAATATTAAAAGAGTAGTATAATTATATATCTATTATATATAGAAGTTTTACAGGCTATTAAAGATTATAGTATCTAACTAAAGTCTTTAATTTATTATTATTTTCTAGAAATATCTAATTTAATACTTAGATATTATAAACCTGCTATTTACTATTTATTATCTTAAGACTAATAGTTAGATTAAGAGAATAAATACTATTTTAAAATAATACTTATGCGCTTATATTAGCTATTTATAAGATAATTAGGTTAATTAGCTATCTTTAACTAAATTTATATTAAACTTCTACTATTCTAAGACTATTAGAGTATTACCTTTTTTTACTAATTATAGGTTCTATCTATATATAGGATTTAAACTTATTTAATTTATAAACTAGCCTGCTATTAAAGATATTAAAGCCTTTATTAAAAAGATATAAGATATTATAGATTATATCTATATTTAAATTTATATTGCTTAAGCCTATTATAAAAAGTAGATTAATTATTACTAAACTTTAACCTACTACTATTATATAAGATAGTCTATTTAATTAAATACTTAAAATATCTATATTTAATATTTCTAGAAGAAATTTAATTAGAAGAATCTTAGCCTATTTTATATTATTAAGGTTATTAGCTTATATATCTATTAGCTTAACCTATTTACCTTAATATATGTTTATCCTATATTTAATATTAGCTTACTTTGCCTTATTATTAAAGACTCTATATTTAAATAAAGATAACCTTTATTACTACCTGTTAAAGTTAATAGTTTTAAAGAATAAATTATTAAAGATATTTTAGACTCCTAATAAGAATATTATAAGTATAGAGGCTTTTAATTATAATATATTATTAAATAGTTAGGTTATAATAATCTAATTAAAAAGTCTATATATTATTTATAGTATATTTAGGAAATTATTACTAACTTCTACTATTACTATTTAAATAAGCTAAAGCTAAGAGATAGTTTTAATAGAGCTTAATCTTAAGGAGAAGAGTATTATTATAGTGCTAGTATAGGAGATAGAGATCTATTAGCTAATACTTATATAAGGTATTATATAACCTTATAAAGATATCTTTAATATATAGCTTAATCTAAATTTAAGCTCTTTAAACTATATCTTATTTATTAAGCCTGCCTATAATAGCCTATTCTAGTCTGAATTAGCTAGATAGAGATTTTATAGCTAGTCCTAGTATTAACTACCTTATTCTATTTATTCTGACCCGCTTCCTAAGCCCGCACCTTAACAGTCTTTCTTATATCTCTTTATAAAGTATAATAGCTATTATTGCCTAGACTCTTTTTTAAAGATTTCTTTTATAAAGTTTTATAATATTTTATATAAAAGAGGTAAGCTATATTCTATAAGGCCATTAATCTATTTAATAAATATTTTCTCTTATTAGATATTTAAGAATTGTTAGTTTTTATATTAGACTATTAATAAGCCCTAGATACCCTTATATTATTGCAATAGGGTTATTTAATTTATATTATATTTTTTTATAGTTTTTATATAATTAGGCTTTTTGCCAGGCTTTAAAGACTTTAAATCTTTAAGAGCTAATAAAATAGGATCTATATTAGTAGTTTAGTAGATGGTTGAATTAATTAGGGAATTTTTAAAAAAATGGTCGGCAGGTGGAAACGGTCGTCAGATGACTAAACACAGTATGTGGGTCGAAGAACATCTCAAATGATAGAGACAGAATAAGAGGGAAAGAGAAGATATAAGGAAGAATAATAATAATAATAATAATAATAATAATAATAATAATAATAATAATAATAATAATAATAATAATAATAATAATAATAGAAATAAAATGAAATGGAGACGAAGACAAAGACGAAGACATACCTTTTGTAACTTGGTGGACATGCGCAGCAAGGACATTTACTACAACACTTCCAGATCCTGGCGGAGGGATAAGGTACCTCCTTCACGACTGGAAGTCTATGCGTGAGCATCTTGGACAAGGGAAGGCCATAGTTGCAAGCTCTCACTGCGAGGAATACCTCGAGTTGGTACACTGGAGATACGTAGCGCGGGATTCTGGCTTCGATCAACAAGCTTGTAGAACACGGAAACAAAAATGGGAAGCTAAGCAAGTGTCCGTTCAGCATGGAATCCTACAGATTGTGTGAGCAACTACACGAATGAAGCTACGGAAATCTATGACCTACATTTCGTTCAGAGATGGTTGGTGGAGGTAATTTTGCGTATTCTTTACTTAGGGTAGGAGAGGCGTGTTGCATTTTGGATCGTGGCACAGTGCGTAGATAGGGTGCTGACAGTAGATTTTTTTCGTTGGAAAAATATGAAGTATAAACCAAATTTTCCTATATGATGTTCAAATAGTTACACAAGAACAAACCCGACCAGCTGCTGGGAATAGAAAAGAGAAACTGCATGCTGAGATCACTTGTTATGCCATCAAGCTAGTAGGATACAGAATTCCACTCCGCGTCATAAACGAGGGACAGCCCCTTTCTTCTCAGACGCCCATTTCCGGACGATCTTTAGAAAATCATCGATTTCCTTCGTAGTGTTGCCGGCATGCAGACAAACCCTTACCCGTTCCTTACCTGCAGGAACGGTGGGAGGCATGATAGCACGAACGATAAACCCTTCACGCTGACAGGCAGTTGCCAGATCACGGGGGAATGGACTCCGAAAGGAGAAGATCGGGGAGTCTGGGAAGTGATCTACTTCCAGAATGGAGGAGTCTGCTAGTTGAATCTCTCTCAGACGGGCGCGGAAATGTCGGATTAGATATTGGAGGTTTTCTCGAAGCTGGATGATATTAGTAAGTGTGGAATATCTTTTTTGGGCTGTTCGGGGACGTACGGATTCTGTTTCACCTCGCTGAAGGAGCTCGTATGCTGTGCGGATGGAAGCTAGTGATGGGAAGGCCAATGCCGTGGTGTAGATGAGACTTCGAGCATAATTAATGAGATAGTCTCTTGTGAGAGGATCACATAGAACAATGGCTGAATCGTAATATTAGCGGGCTATCGAAATGCAAGTGACGTGGGCCGCGAAGATACCTCCATGACTTGCAAGAGCTTTTCCAAAAGTGTGCACTCGAATGAATATATGCTTCTGCTCGTCTAGGCCCTGGATAACGCCAGCGCCGCGGGGGCCAAAGACACCTGTTGCGTGTGCTTCATCCACGATGAAGTAGCCATTGCCTCGTGGGAGAAGGTCGTGCACGACCTGGATGAATTCTTTTACCGGGGCGATATCCCCGTCCATACTATACACAGATTCCAGGGCGATGAAGACATTGCGGGTACCATTTACAATGGCCTGGTCATCCTGAATCTGCTTCTCCAGCGCCTCTTTTAGACCTGATGGCGAATTGTGTGCGAACTTGATGCGTTTAGTCGCCCTTGAGAGCCGCATGCCCTCGTGGATGCTGGCATGAATCAGCTCATCATACAGGATCACATCCCCAGGCTGCGGGATGCATGAAAAGACCCCGACATTAGCGTCATAGCCTGAATTGAATAGCAATCCGCTCGGGGCATCATGGAACCCCGCAATGAACTTCTCCAACTCCTCCGCATAGTGGGAATTGCCGTCCAGAAGTCGGGATCCACCGCTTGCCAGCGGCTGAGACGCAGGCGTACTGTTCACATGGTGTAGGAAACGAGACCGGAAACTAGAAGATGTAGAAAGTGACAGGAAATCATTAGACGAAAAATCAACGGAGCCCGGGGGAAGCACAGTCAATTTTCGCCTGGATGACTTGGCCTCCCTCCGCTTCAGCGCGGCCTGGAACGAATTGAGGAGAGATTGTGAAGAAGCCATCCTAACGCATCTTCAGGAACAAGAAAACTAGCAATCTTATTCTTTGAGCTTCGCCATTGCCATTGTGCTCCTTTCCGAGGTACGAGGGAGTTTCTATAAAGATCCCAACTGTGACTAACTGCGGGAGTGACCTAGTTAGTTAACATCGACCGGTCTGACGGCCACCAGTGGAGAACGAGATAGACCAAATTTCCCGTTCAGATAGAACTAGACTAACTTAACTTCCAGAGAAAAATCCCACCATGGACCGCACGCTCCCGGTGACGAATCGTGTTGGGGCCAACGCCTTTTCCATGAGAAATCTGGTGGAGCGGAGCACGACGGGAAAAATTTTGTCAGGCCGCGAGGAACCGTTGAAGCGCCAGCGATCGTCGGACGCGCTCTGGTGGCCGCGGCGTTCGGTTATCAGTTCCGAGATAGCATGGATTGATTATTGATTATTGATTCATGGAATCAGAGCAGTCTTTTGAGTCCAATTGATGTCGCATAGATTTCCGCTCAATTGCACGGTGGTTGAGTAGGAAGAGGTGATCGCAGCTCTTCACCACCATGGCTCCTGTTGGCGGCGCCCTTTGGCGACAGCTGTGTGCGCATCAGGTTTACGGCGCGAACACCAACGTCGGCAAAACAGTCGTCTCGACAGTTCTATGTAATGGAGCCTTGCGACACCCCTCTGCGCGCAAGGTTGGCTTCCTCAAACCTGTGTCTACAGGCCCGTTAGATGAAGCAGACTACAGGTGCGCTACGTGTGAAAGCCAATGGCAGTGCAATTGATCTAATTGGGTCTTTCAGGCATATCGAACGCTTCTCACCGGGGACGCTGCAGAAGGGTCTATATCAATTTGATGAGCCTGTCAGCCCTCATATCGCAGCTCAGTCAAAGACTGTAAGGCTTCCATTTCCCAATTAGATCGACCGTCACTCACATAGTCCTAGATCCCCAAGGATGACGAGATTTTGACTGGGGTGCATACCACTCTCACCAAATGGGCTGACGACGGGATCAAATTCGCCCTGGTGGAAACGGCAGGCGGCGTCCACTCGCCTGGTCCTAATGGAAACTCTCAGGCAGACCTCTACAGGCCTCTAAGACTGCCAGTTGTTCTGGTTGGCGATTCGCGTCTGGGAGGAATCTCATCATCAATCTCGGCTTTCGAATCACTGCTGATTCGGGGTTACGATGTGCACACGGTCTTGCTCTTCGAAGATGACTACTACAAGAACCATGAGTATCTGCGTACGTACTTCGAAAAGAGAGGCATACCATTGCTCTCGCTTCCTCAGCCGCCTGAGAAACCACCAGTCGAAGACGCAGACGCACTTGCCAGAGATGAAGAAGCTCTAGCTGCCTATTATGAGAGCGTGTCTAAGAAATCTGATATCCAGGGTCTACTGGACGATCTGTCTACCAAGAATACGCAGAGAGTGGATCGCCTAAGTTCAATGGCGGAGCGCGCACACAATGTCATCTGGTATCCATTCACGCAGCATCAAGGCATGACCGCCAAGGATATCTCCGTGATCGACTCGGCATATGACGACTACTTCCAGACCTACAAGCCGGACAGCGCTCAGGCGAGCAATGCTGGTGCTGGTGTCTTGAAACCTACCTTCGATGGCTCAGCCTCCTGGTGGACTCAGGGTCTAGGCCATGGTAACCCAGAGCTCTCCCTGACTGCCGCATATGCTGCCGGACGCTACGGCCATGTTATGTTTGCGGGCACGGTCCACGAACCAGCTCTTTCTCTGGCAGAGTCATTGATCAAGGCCCACGAAAACCCCAGACTTGGCAAAGTGTTCTACAGCGATAACGGAAGCACAGGTATGGAGGTTGCTGTCAAAATGGGTCTGAGAGCATCTTGTGCACGTTACGGTTGGGACGGGAGCGAGGAACAGATCAGCATCCTGGGTCTGAAGGGAAGCTATCACGGAGATACCATCGGTGTCATGGACTGCTCCGAACCATCCACCTATAACAAGAAGGTGGAATGGTACCGCGGACGTGGATATTGGTTCGACTTCCCTCAGATCAAGATGTCCCAAGGCATGTGGCATGTAGAGGTCCCTGAGGAGTTGAAAGAAGCGCTGGGACCCAATCTCGAATTCCCTACTCTAGACTCCATCTTCAATCTGGAAGAGCGCGTCAACTCAGACGCCGCCAAGCGCTATCGCTCATACATCCAAAGTACCATCGAGGATCTCGTTGCCAAGGAAGGAAAGAAATTCGGCGCTCTCATCATGGAGCCGATCATCCTTGGAGCCGGCGGAATGCTCTTTGCGTAAGTTCAACACACTATCTGACCTGCTCCCTATAATCTTCACTAATGTTATCACTTATCGACAGCGATCCCCTATTCCAATACACCCTCACCCAAGTCACCCGCTCCAACCCACAACTCTTCAGCCCCAAGGCTCCATCGCCCTCAACGACATCCTGGTCCGGCCTCCCCGTCATCTTCGACGAAGTCTTCACCGGTCTATACCGTCTCGGTCGTCGCACCGCTGCCTCCTTCCTAGGCTTACACCCGGACATCACAGTCAACGCCAAGCTCCTCACAGGCGGTCTACTCCCCCTCTGCACCACCATGGCCAGTAACGAGATCTTCGACGCCTTCTCCAGTCCCGAGAAGAGCGACGCTCTCCTCCACGGCCACAGCTACACCGCCCACGCGATCGGATGTACCGTGGCTCAGAAATCATTACAGACAATGATGGACATGGAGCAGACAGGCCAATGGAACCCGTACCAGGCCGATTGGACTTCTGCATCATCTCCCGCCGCCCACACAAAGCCCGAAGACGCTATTTGGAGTAGTTGGTCCCATGGTCTCGTGCGGGATCTCTCCTTCGCGCACTCTGTCGAGGGTCTGTTTGCAATTGGTACCGTGTTGAGCATTACTCTGCGTGATGAATCTGGAAAAGGAGGTTCGTTACGATCATTCCCCCTTCCCACTCGACGGAACTATCTTCGGTTTATATAATTTGAATAAGTCATTTTAACTCCAGTCTAGGTTACACCTCAACCGCCGCTCAGGGCCTTCAGAAACGACTTGCCGTGACGGGTAAGCCGTACGGTGTGCACTCTCGGGTACTAGGTAATGTGATCTACCTCATGGCTAGCGTGACATCTAAGCCTGAATCTCTGAGAGAGATTGAGGGGTTGTTGCGTGAGGCTCTTTTGTGATAGAAAAAAAGACGTGATAAGCTAGCTAGTTATCTATTCTTTTCAGATGAATCATGAATAAATAAATGAGATGTTTTGTATCAACAGATATCTTCCAAGAAAGCAAATTTGAATTTACTATAGACCGCCTTTAGAAAGACGCAAGCTTTACTTGTTCTACAATATATGTATTTTCATGAGAAATGCGAAATTCTCTAAATTTTTGTCGCTAGGCTGAAAGATATAAACATATTCGCCTCCATCGTCGCTCTTTTCGACATGAGAACATAAATAAACACAAAGACATAAGGTGTTTCCAGAATGGCAGAATGAGGGGGAAATAAGATCAGGCACTGGCCGCAACCTGCGCAGCAGCAGCGGTTTCCACATTCTCCACCTTGGGCTGGGCGGGGGGAGCGTCCGGCGTCTGCTCTCGCTCAAAGCTCTTCATGGGATAGAAGCCCCATTTCTCGAACATCTCACGGTCCTCGTCCCATCCGTTGCAGTCAGTGGTAAGCATCTTCTCGCCCGTGAAGACGGCATTGGCGCCCGCCATGAAACATTGGATCTGCTGCTCCTCGGACATGGAGATGCGGCCGGCGGCTAGACGGACGATGGTAGCGGGCATCACGATACGGGCCGTAGCGACGGTGCGCAGGATCTTGTCGAACGGGATCATCTTGCGGTTACCCAGGGGCGTGCCGGGGATGGGAACCAGAGCGTTAACGGGGAAGGATTCCGGGTGCGAAGGCAGGTTCGAGACGGTGTACAGAAGACCAACGCGGTCCGAGTCGGATTCACCCAGACCCAGGATACCGCCGGAGCAGACGTTGATGCCCGCGTCGCGGACGTGCGAGAGAGTCTGCAGACGCTCGTCGTAGGAACGGGTGGTGATGATGGACGGGTAGAACTCGCGCGAGGTGTCGAGGTTGTGGTTGTAGGCCGTGAGACCAGCCTCCTTCAGCTCCTTGGCCTGGTTCTGATCGATCATGCCCAGCGTCACACACACTTCCATGCCCATGTCCCGGATGCCGGACACCATCTGCTTGACGTTCTTGAGACTGGTCTTGCGCCCGCGCATGTCTCGCCAGGCGGCACCCATGCAGAACCTCGTGCTGCCGTTCTTCTTGGCCATCCGGGCCTTCTCCAGCACCTCGTCGACGGGGCTCATCTTCGTGGCCTTGAGACCCGTGTTGTGGCGGGAGGACTGCGCACAGTAGGAGCAGTCTTCGCTGCAGCCGCCGGTCTTGATGTTCATCAGGGTGCACATCTGGATCGCAGAGGGATCGTGGAAGCGGCGGTGGACGGCGGCCTATGGGTTGGGAGGATCAGTCTCGATAATCATAGCATATCCAATTTGAGCAAATGCAAATCCTCATCATTCGTTCCTCGAGGTTACAGTCGACAAAACAAAAAAATAGCAGAACACAACAAAGTCAGCAAGCAACTGGTTCGTACCGCAGCATACGTGAGCTGGTTCAACGGAGACTCATAGATCTGCTTGATTTCATCGCGAGTCCAATTGGTGCGCGGGGCTGTCGCCGCAGTGGCTTCCTGCAGGGCCGGGGGTATCCTCGAGGCCAAGGAGGCAGCTGCTGGCGGAGTGCCCTGGACAGTCCCGTAGGATCTGCTCAGGACAGCACGAAAGAGCGGCCGAGGTAGAGGGAGCGACATTGTGAGTGTGTGTGTGTAGTGACAGAGAGTGAAGGTGCAAGCCAGACCGATACGGAGACGGAGGAGAAAAGGCCCCCAGCTTAGTTACTTAGAAGCCCGCAATCAGCCGACGGTGACGGGCTGGGAGATCTTCGTAGAGGACTTAGTTATGGTTAATAATTATCACCAGTGAGGGGCTTTTTTCAGTGCCAAAGAGAATTCGCCCGTTCTGACTGGATTCCGCGGCGATCGAACTATTATCGCCAGTGGAGACTTTCCGGCATTTTTATCCAGAGTCTGACTGACTTGGAGTTTGGCGGAAGATCGCCAGCTCAAGCCAGTGTTGCCCCTCTTCGCTTTGTTGGGCCCCAATCATTCAACCTTGTGGGATAATGAGTCAGTAGTTAACTCAGTACAGTAGTAACTACTAGGTATGTTCAGATTTCAGTGTCATCTCCATCTCCAATAATAATTACTAATGCACTGTCAATGTCTTCTGAAAGTGTTGGGTAAATAATCAGTTCCACTGTATCCCGTCCTGTCTTGGGCCAATAATATCATTCACCATCTTCCACGACCCAGACCGCATCAGTTATTATGGTAGCTATCTAGTTACTATGCGACCAGCTACGATGCAAGATAACTCGGAACATCCAGAATTGGCTTGATCTACTCTGTGTGAGATTGAATATTATTGTATGGTTGAGCAGTGTGATAATGATGATAATAATATTGGCCAGTCCAGGTAACGTTATCGCGACAGGGATTAAGTATTAGATAAGTCAACCCCGCATGGCCTGTTCACTATCGCAAATATTCATACTTGAGTTGTTGTAGAAACATCTCGCATATATTAACAAGAACAAAACATACAATAAATAATAATCCCCTATGGATGCAGAAATATTAATTGTCGGCGCTGGCATATTTGGCGTAAGCACAGCGTACCACCTCGCCCAAAGACACCATGACCCATCCAAGATCACAGTGCTCGATCGAGCACCAGTACCAGCAGCATGTGCGGCCTCAACGGACATAAATAAAATCGTCCGTGCGGATTACTCGAAACCATTCTATGTCGAGCTCGCGTATGAAGCCATGGATGCCTGGAGGAGCTTTCCATTCTTCAGGGACGCCAACGTTTATCACCAGACGGGGTGGATCATGATGGATGAGAAAAACAGCGATCTGGCGGTTAGAATCCGCAAGAACTTCCGTGATGGCAATCGGGAGGATGTCTCTGCCGATTTGACTGAAGAGGAAGTACGGACTAGATGGGGGGCCCTCCTGGCGCAGATGGATGCACGGGAATATGGCTCGTACTATTGGAATCCGTCAGCAGGCTGGGCGGATGCCGCAAAAGCAGTCGAGGTGATGATGCACGAAGCAACAAGATTGGGCGTCAAGTATGAGGTTGGAGAAGCTGCGCGGATTGTTTTTGAACAGGGTGCGGTAAAAGGTGTAGAAACAAAGGATGGAAGACGGCACACAGCAGAGAAAGTGCTATTAGCTACAGGAGCGTGGACGAGCCAGCTGATGTCGACAGTCGAAGACGAGCTTAATATGCCAGACGCTGAAAGAGTCGAAAATCAAGTTACAGCTGCTGGCGTTTGCGTCGCACATTTTCAGCTTAAGCCGGAGGAAGCGGCATTATACAGACAGTTGCCCGTGCTCATCTTTGGAGCCAAAGGTGAGAAATCCAATCCAATATACCCCTTGAGAGGGGGATGGTTGCAGATACTTACAGCAACCAGGAGAAGTGCTCCCTCCCACTGATCGGGACGTGTTCAAATTCACGAATGCAACTTCATTCAGAAACACAATCACAACCAAGACAGGCCACAAGATATCCGTACCACCGGACCAGGAGCAGCACATCGTGCCATTGAAACTCCAGGAAGAGTCTATTAAACTAGTACGAGACCGTATTCCCCAGATCTTGGAAAATGGGAGGAAAGTCGACTACTACCGAATGTGCTGGGATGGAATCACCCCTAATCAGAGCCAGCTCCTCACACAACACCCGGACCCACGGCTATCTAACCTGTACTTCGCGGTAGGAGGATCTTTTCACAGCTGGAAGTTCCTTCCCACGATCGGGAAATATGTTGCGAATGTGCTTGAAGGCATAAGTAATGGTCCCGAGAAGGACGAAGTCTGGTCGTGGAAGCATCCATCATCCCTTGCTGAACGAGGTGCTCACGAAAAGGTAGTACCTCGGAGGGAATTGAGAGATCTCGAGTAACTCTCGGGGATGACAAAAGTACAGACGGAATGGGCCAATTCGTTGCTTAATTGGATGACACGAACATTATCGTGTTTTTGTAGTCCGAGGCACTGCCCATCTTGACAATAGGACTTCACAGTATTAGAGCTCGTAGAGACTTTAAGTTTGAAGTTATGCATCTTGATAAAGTCGGTCGTGGCATCCCTAATCTTGATCTCGCTTATGAGATCCACGAACCACGTATTGGTACTCTATCATGGATGAAAATTATGCATTCCGGAATAACCGACGTTTGCCCGTCTGCATCGTCACTGGCCGATAGATGATCGACAATCAAGCTTTCTCCGCACTGGATCTGCTTCGGTGCGTTAACGGACGAATAACATCCTATCTTGCTATTTTTGAGCCGAGGATGCTTCGGCCACAGCGCAATACACAACTCCGTTCGAACAGGGAATAGAAGACACGGAGACGCGCCCGAGAACTACGGGGGAGGGGAATCAAAGCTCAACACCTCTTAAGAGGATCGAATCTCTATTCTTCCATCTTGCCCTACATCATCTTCGACGCAAGCCTTGTATTCGTCGGAAAATCCGGGGATTTGATAGCCCTTGATTCCAAGCTGACCAGACATCATGGCCATAGGTACGACACGTTATCTCTCAATCAATGTTTCTATTCAAGGGGAAATTTGTATATGTTTGTAAAGCTCTACGGTTCAGTTGCTCATCTGTTTAATCATATTAGGAACTGCGGCTGCAGCTGTTGCTGGCGGTACCGCTCTAGCTGCGTACTTAAACGCAAAGTTTCATATTGCAAAAGATGTCTCAACTATACGAAGACTCAGGCAGGCGCAAAAGGCTCATGATAATGCAGGTACGTCAACGCTTCATTGAGCTCACCAATGTCACATTCCATGCGTCCTGGGCCCAGAACTTATAGACCATCCATCTGCCGAAAGCATAGCTCGCTGTATTCCTATACTAACACCTCAACAGCTGCACAGGGTCTTCTGGATGTCTGGTTCATATTCGACGAGGTAGTTAAGAAATACCCGACCACTACATGCATATGGTCTCGCGAAGGTGTCTATACCTTCCGAGAGGCCCATGCGCTCGCTAGCAGATATGGACACTACTTTCTGTCTATAGGCGTCAAGCGGGGAGATCTCGTTACATTCTACTTACAGAACAGCCCGGAGTTCCTCATCGTGTGGCTTGGTCTTTTGAGTATCGGGGCTTCTCCGGCTGCGATAAATTACAATCTGTCTGGGGATGCCCTCGTTCACTGCTTGAAGATTAGTGGAGCGAATATCTTGCTCGTCGACGAAGATGAACAGTGCCGCAGAAACATTGAAGCGAGTAGAGAAATACTCGAACGGGAGTTGAACCTGAAGCTTATCACGCTGGATTCGTCCCTCAAGGCGCACGTTCAAACTTTTTCTGATAAACCAGCCGATGAACAATATCGAAAGAATTTCCCCCGCCAGGCTCCTGCCATCCTGCTCTACACTTCTGGAACTACCGGAATGCCTAAAGGCTGTGCGTTTACGATGTCCCGTCTATATTTGACAGTGTTCGCACGCGGTGCCCAATTCCACGAGGCGCCTGGCGTCGGTGGGGATCGGTGGTATAACTCGATGCCAATGTATCATGGAACAGCGGCAATTTCGATGATAGTCGTTTTACTATCCGGCGTTGGAGTAGCCATTGGGCGGAAGTTCAGCGTACGCAACTTCTGGAACGACATTCGGGATAGTGAAAGCACCGCCTTTGTCTACGTCGGCGAAACCGCTCGGTATCTACTTGCAGCTCCTCCATCACCACAAGATCGTCAACACAAGGTCCGATTGATGTATGGCAATGGCCTTCGCCCCGAAGTATGGGAGAAATTCCGTGAACGTTTTGGTATTGCCGAAGTAGCGGAGTTCTTCAGCAGCACCGAAGGCATCTTCCAACTACTGAATTATTCTCGTGGTCCTTTCCTGACTGGTTGTGTCGGCCATCATGGTTTGATTTACCGTACACTGCTCCGCAATTCCTACATTCCCGTGGCCATAGACCCTGTCACCGGTGATGTACTGCGAGATCCGAAGACAGGTCTCGCAACCAGGAACCCTTACGAGAAGGGAGGTGAAATAATCGTCGCCATACCAGACACGACCGCTTTCCAGGGTTACTGGAAAAACCCAGAAGCAACAGAAAAGAAGTTCCTGCGTGATGTGTTCCGTAAAGGAGACCTGTACTATCGTTCCGGTGACGCATTGAAAAGAAATTCCGACGGACGATGGTACTTCCTAGACCGACTTGGCGATACATTCCGCTGGAAGAGCGAAAATGTCTCTACGGCTGAAGTCTCACAGGTGATAGGGGAATTCCCTGGTGTCGTCGAAGCTAATGTATATGGGGTCGTCGTTCCCCACCACGAAGGTCGTGCGGGCTGTGCTGCGATTCAACTATCGCCAGAAGCTAAGGGCAATTTCAACTTCCAGGCTTTGGCTACTCACGCGCGCTCCAAGCTGCCTAGATATGCTGTGCCGGTTTTCCTACGGGTCGTGCAAAGTCCAAGCCATATTCATAACAACAAGCAGAACAAGGGTCCACTACGAGAGGAGGGAGTCGATCCAGCTAAGACTGGGTCCCGTGTCAGTGATGGCAAAATGGATCGACTTTTATGGCTGACTCCCGGGAATGACGGATATGTTGACTTCGGAAAAGAACAGTGGGATAGTCTTGTTGCCGGTAAGGCGAAGTTGTAAATTTCTCTGATAGAAACCTGATATACGCTTTAAGTATATGTTTATATATAGTTATTATTATTATTTAGCTCATTGGATTTGTATCTAGCTCCTAGCTCCTAGCATCTCGTGCAGACCTTATCTGATATTGGCATGTCTTCATCGTGTATAGCTTCCAAAAACAGTGCACATCGAGAACGGTGAAGACCATTGCTGATTGGGTTGCATTAAGTAGTAGGTTGAATTGTCATCTGCTTGGTTTACTCCAAAGCGTGGAGCATGCACAATATGCATACTCACTCATAGGAAGAACTATGTTAAAGCGTGACAAGTGATCAAGTGGTGGTCCATGCTCTTAAATTCCAAATTGTATTAGTTAGTTGCGTATCTGTGTCACCGAGAGAAAATAGAATCATGATATTTATGACCATTGGTAGCAAATTGCATACATTTGTGAAAATAGAACCGCAAGAACCAAAAAACAGCACATATAAGAAACCGATTAACTACAGAACCAGGTTCCCAGAAGTCAACGTCCCTCCAATAATCGCTGTAATGCAACTTTCTCGCAGATGCAGGGATAGAGGATAGAGATTCATGGCCTCGAACTTAACAAAAGCTCCCATTCCCAGTGTTGGCGGTCATTCTTCCAGCGCGCATATTCCTTTCTAAACGTTCTCAGTGCAACCTTTAGATGATCTTCATATTCTGCTATCGCTGCAGCGACTAGATTGGCTCGCATTTCCTCGGTTTCGGCACAAGGGGAGAGCAAGACGTGATCAGTGGAGACTAGCGCGCTGTTCTCGTTCACATAAGTGTATTGCTTCGTAGACGTGTTGGCGCGGAGCAGGACCATATGTCCCTTGCTATGACACATGTCCGCAAGAATACCCGCAGGTATAAGCAGGAGATGCCGTGGATCGTCCAGAACGGGGCGCTTGGGTGGAGGAGTATGGGTTAACGACGTGGACCTATTTTTCTTATGAGTATCACGGGTTCTCGATGAAACCATTAGAGATGCGCCTTACCAGTGGGTCACCTATTTTGTTCGGGTAATAAGCGTTTCCAGGGCCGCCGTTCGAGGCAAGCCATGCGATGTATAACATTGCTTCCTTAACGCTGACAACCGGAGGATTTCTGTTAAGAGACCTTGTGGAGGCCAAAAAGACCTGAGTCCTCTCGAAAATCATATCACCGGTCCTACGCACGAAGACCGTCTTGTCATACTTACGTGCTCACCACGCCATACCTGCAATGGCAGTCGTCCATATACCTGGCAATCTGCCGTATTTTCATGTTAATCTTCATACCAACGATATATGGTGAGTTACGTACCCCAAACGCTCTCAAAGTCGCGACCGTGAAGTTCGTCCAGATTGGTGTTCTAAGGTGTCTTTATCTCCCCGACCAAGCAAGTCATTCCATTCTGCCATGTACCCGATCGTAGTGACAAATCGGAAATCTGCCATCTTGAGATTTCTTATACCCCAGGAGAATGAAGTCGGGGATCTCCCCTTGGATACACCCCTCGGGGAAATTTCTTCCCGCCTGAGCTTCCGCAAAGGTCGGAAAACTGATGGCATATATCGGAGATTTTAACTCCTAAATTATTGAAGAATCTGCCACAGATACTAATCTTGTTCGAAACTATTAGGCGCTCTTCTCGTTGGAGGGTAGACGAATATGCTCCAGGGGGAAGGCCCACGCGATATATAAATGATTATAGAGAATTTGCGGGCATCTGTTGCAAAGTTTGGCCAAAATAAGAGTTGCCAACCGTGCAATGACCATCCGAGTTGGCGTGACTTGAGTGTCAACTCTCCAGTAGTAGCCTGACGCAGGGCCGCCATAGGGGCCCATTTCGTCCTTCAAGTTAAGATTGTAATGTTCTATATATAAGCCAACATCCGTATATCCAAGGATGACTTGTAGGGGTGTTCGAAAGAAGATGGAATATAATGGAATATATAGCAGTAGACAATCACTCCGCAGAGTGGCAAGTTGAGTCATTTCCCCTCCGTATGAATGTGAATGGATCTTTCACCATTCGCTGTATAACCTTGGAGCGAAGCTCGCTGAGCATGAATCCTCGAGCAAGTAGCTCAGCATATTTATCTCTGTGAATGGAGCTAGAAAGGCGTGGGAAGAATCCGACAGAAGGTCTGCCTGTAGGCGGGCTCCGACATATAATCGTTCTCATTCATTGATGGGATCATATTAACTAGTCTAGCCTTTTCATTGTTTCAACTGAGACTAAGAATGTTTTACATCGTATTATTATGGACAGCTTTCTTTTTCATACATTTTCAACTTCTGAAGTCATACTCTCCAGCTAAGCTAATCTATGTGCCGTGCGTCGCTATGGATTGGGCTAGTACAGTTCATTCTATTCGATCCAACTGGAAGTATAATTTATGCGTTCGTATACATCCGACCCCGGTATCAAGTTTCTCGCTTTCTCGTATAGTCCCGCGGGCGTATAGACGAGGTACGAAATCTAGAGCAGACTTAGATCATAAAGCTTTCCCCCATATGCTATGATGTTCCGGACATCACAACTGGGGGTATTCTTATTACAAACGAGACTATCTTGATTTCTGATAGTAGATCTATAACAAAACTTATAGATCCGCGGGAAATAAAGATAATACATAAGTTAATCTGGGTGTTCCTAAGAGTCCATAGCGGGCTGAGGACATTCATCAACTAAATGAGCTTGATTTGCTGCGGGAGATCTTACATTATATAAATCCATAGGGAACATAGTAATCTCCAGGACTTATAGCCAATAAAACTACCAAAAGTTTGAATCATTCCCGCCCACAATAAGGCAATGAGGCTGTTTAGTACATATCACATAGACCATGATATGACTGGAATTGTTGCCTTTGTGACTCGTACCGTTGTCTTTCTAGCGCTTGTTGTTGACTTATCCTCTCATATTCCTGTTGTTGTCTCTCCACCCTGTCAAGTTGGTCTATCACCGATAGAAACTCCTTCGATGACTCTGTCAGAGGGCCCTCCGTGGTCCAAGGCCAATCACGCATCATGCGATGATGTCCAAGAAAGTAACTAGGTAGAATAATATCAGCGTCAGAATTTCGCAGTCTTTTCCCTCTTGGACTAAAATATCAAGACCTAGGTTTTTTCATACAGCATTTTCGTCCTAATATTATAGTGCGCGTCAAAGAGGTCAAGGCAAGGGCCGAAGCCTCGCTGACGAATAATCCTTTATCAAATAGTCATGTAAGCTAGTAGGCGGTAGCGTTGGTCGGTTAAAACATCAATACATACTCCAGTACTTCTAAACATTGTCTCCGTATGATCTGTTTGTCCTCAGGGGTTAGTGGTTCCGGAAGGACATCGCCCGGGACTGATGAGTGACCAAAGAGTGGAAGAGCGTCAATCTTGCTCATGACCAGAATAAATATCGGAGCGCCAGGATTAGGATCCTCCTTGGACTGTTGTTTTTCCTCATGAATGATATATTTCGGAAATTGTCTGCATCCATGACATGATTGCAAGGCATCTATTGCCGCTAAGAAAAATTCCTTTGGGCGACATCTGCATCCGCGTCGATCAGGCTCGATGGCATGCTGGTCTAGTCTGGTCATGTCTTTAGTTAGTATCATAATATCATGCTCTCATTCCTCTGCTTGATGAAAAAAACCAAGGAACTTACAAGTACCTGAACTTTATAACAACCGGCTCAGATGTTTGAAGATCCACTCCTTCGAAGACCACTTTCCATTGCTCCACTCCCTGCCAGTGAGACTCGTGCATATCCCTTGTCATTAGAAACTGCCTGTCCCCGACTGTTATAACTTCCCCTTCCCGCTTCTTGAACAAGGTCCCATTGACGAATTGCCATGTTGGCGAAGGTCCAAGGGCCCAGCTTTCATGCATGTTTGGAGTTAGTAGAAGTACGGGAGAAGAAAATGAAGGAAAGATATGAGCAGTTTACTCTTGTATATATGTATATGCTTTTTTTTTCATTCAAATGGTGTAGTTACTCGTACAGGGTTAGGTTCCATGGTTTGGCTTAGACATAAATTGGCGAATCGGAGCACAGTTGGGAGGCAATGTACGTATAATACTTACGTTATAAGCAAAGTATATAACAGTGCCGTGTGAAATATGCGTTGAAATACTCCCTTCCTGAGAGAACCAACGATGTGTAGAGTTCCCTTTGTAGTTGACTCCATACTAGAAGAATCGGCCGGTACCCCTGGCTTAGGAATGATCTTCTTGTCCAGAAGGATACGCTGAAGCAGGGCCCGATAGAAGTGGCCTGTGAAGAAGCTCTCGCTGTACCTCTTGCTCAGTTGTATGGCGCCTGTACAGCCATCATCCTAAGTGTTATGTTGAGTTTCATGCCAGTACCGCCCTCATATACCACCTCCTCCAAGCGTTTTGACATATAAAAGCCGTGTGGATCATATGCTGCTCTGGTGCTATTAGTTAATCCTGGACAGCACAGAAGGAGACATTGATTGAATGGTTTCGTGAACCGCTAGTTGTTTGCTTGGTTACGGACTTAGGAGATGCAATTATTATATTTTGATTGTTCCTTGTCTAATAAGGAGTTAAATAAGGGGCAGTCCCCGTTAGATATTAAATTTAAGAAACCCCAGCTAGATGTCTAGATGGTTTCAACATAGATAATGTATTAGTGACCGGTAATGATTTTGCGATATCTGGCCCTCTGTGCTTCTGCGAGGACTAAATAAAACCATATATTATTCCGATACAGAGATCTCGAATAATAATTTATAAGGGCGGCATAAATAGTTATAGGCATTCAAGTTTTAAATGATTCTAGTGTCTATTCTGATAAGTGAAATTCAAACTGGCCAGTGTACAACACGTTCCACAATCACTCGTCAATGATACGTTTCGAGAAGCAGCACGTTCAGAAGGAATGAAACTAACACTCCTTGGACAGATCTACATATGGGGAATAAAGAAAATCACACAATTTTGAAGCTCTCGTCACGTCAAGATGGAGGTGGCTGTATTATTTCTGCAGCAGACCCTGCAGGTTGATAGACTTGGGTCTCTCGATGGGTAGACCCAGAGCCCGATCCCAGATGAGCTGTGCAAGAGGTCCAAGAGCACGGCTGACTCCGAACGTGACAGTGTAGTAGAGGGGCTTCTGGAAACCGTAGTGGTAGAACAGCACGCCGGATGCAGCGTCGACATTCGGGTGAGGGTTCTTAGTCTAAATCTTTCGTTAGCAGTGTATCTTGGAACATATCAAGAATGAGCAAACATACCTTTCCGTGCTCAGTCAGAACACCAGGAGCGATCTCAGAGTTCTTCTTGACCAGCTGGAAGACTGGGTTGGCCAGGACGTCCTGTCGAGTGGCAGCAAAGTCCATCAGGGCCTGGAAACGAGGGTCAGGCTTGCGCAGGACTCCGTGTCCATAGCCAGGGACAACACGCCCCGACTTCAGGGTCTTCCACAGGTAGTCTCGGACGTCCTCGTCGCTGAACTTGGTGCCGATCTCCTCCTGCATGGCCAGGATCCAGCGAAGGACTTCCTGGGCCGCAAGACCGTGTAGCGGGCCGGCGAGACCCAGCAATCCAGCACTGTAGCTCAGGAACGGGTCGCTGAGGGCGCTACCGACAAGGTGAGTAGTGTGAGCCGAAACGTTTCCACCCTCGTGGTCTCCATGCAGAGCAAGGTAGAGTCTCAGCAAGTCATGGAAGTCCTCGTTCTCTTTGCCACCCTTGCCAAGGAGTTCTGCGAAGTTGTAGGACCAGTCCTGAGCGGCATCCAACTTCTGGTTTCCAACCTGGTCAATCTCATTCGAACGGAAAACCAGAGCCGCCACACGAGGGATCTTGGCAAGTAGAGAGATGCTGTCTTCGAAAGTAGGCTCCCAGTAATCGGCCTTGTTCAGGCCCTGCTCGTATGCCTTTGCGAACTGGGATTCTGTGTTAAGCGCCCCAACAGCGATGGAGAGCTGGGTCATTGGGTGCATGTGCTTGGGAAACGACTTGATCAGATCTAGGATGTGCTGGGGAAGATGAGACTTCTCGGCCAGCTCACGCGAGAAGGCGCGCACCTGGCTGGTTGAAGGAACCTGACCAGTCAGCAGAAGCCAGAACATAGCCTCTGGCAGCATCTCCGTGCCGGATGTTCCCTTGGGGAGTTCCTTCTGGCAGTCCTTGATCGTCTTGCCATGGAAGCGGATGCCCTCGTTCGGGTCCAGCACTGATCCCTCCCAGACCAACGCCTTCAGACCACGCATTCCTCCAATGACATTGGAGACTTTGACATCACCGATCACATCGTCCTGGGCCTTGACCTTTTTCAGAAGCTCGCGTTTTTCGGGGATGACCTCCTTGAGGGTGGTCTTCAGATCCTTCTCCGCAGTCGAATACTGGCGCGCATATCTAGTCGCGAATCGCGACGTCTACTGAAAAGTAAGTCTATGCTCTCCTCTCACTGCCCAATGGCTCGAGTCGTATATTGTATCAAGGTATTTGGACAGCAGACATACTTGATTCAGCTTCAGAGCCTGGCGGGTTGTTCTCGACGCCAGCGCCATTGTCTGGGGAATCTGTGGGGTAAAATGGGGCTGACAGCTAAAGCTGGGGAACGGGACGGAGAAGCTTAGCGGGGAGAGCCAAAAGACGAGTATAGTTATACAGACCAGACCTGGAGGTTTAGAAAAAAAAAATATCAAGAAGGGTGAATCGCTTCGACCGGCGAGAAATAAGCAGCAGCGACCAGGATCATGCCGTCAGGCCACATCTTCGGTTTCCCGCGGTGAGAATGCATGAGCCGAGGGATGTTGTCGGGACAGGAGAGGAGGAGACGCCACGACTGAGCTTAGCTTAGCCGCTGAGGGGTGAGAGAGACTCCCGAGCTTCTTCTCATTCTCCTGCCTCTCGCGAGACCGGCCATTTCTAATCAGCGAAAACCGCATCTTGGCCTCCAAAGGGTTTCTGCACTGCTAAGCTCCTTTCGGACACTTTTGTGTGCGCTCTAGAACTAACTAGTTGGTGATCTGAGCTTTGCGCATACCGTCGCCCTGGTTCGGCTGGAATCTGCGAACGCCTCTCGGTCAACCGAAACGTGTAAGTCCTGCGTCTTAGTTAGATGGTCGAACTGTGGAAGATCGGTGATCAGCAACCTGCACATTACTTTCCCTCCGATTTCCGGTGATCCAGCTGGTCGGATTGCCAGAGACCTCGGGTACTTGGCCGAGGCGGCGTTTGCCATTCATCAGCTACCTAAGCTGCAACTGACTGACTAACTGGCTATAACGTGAAACCTAAGTTATCCTTTGCTTGGGGCTCTGCAATTCTTATTGTCGGCCCTGAACATCACGTTTGTGAAGATCATTGTCGGCCATGATGCTCCGCTCTGTTGCTCGTCGAGTTCCTCGTCGCGTTCCTGGACCATCTACAACTTCTGGCTGCTTGTCTCGCACAGCAGTCCGGACCTTCACAGTCGGCTATCCTCGGATGGCTTCGTCCCTCCGCCCTGTTGAGCCGCCAGTGTCGACCACACTGCCATCGGACTCGTTTCAATTGCTGTCGACAGCGGACAAGGCAGGAGAAGCTGAGGATGCTCTTTTCGAGCAGCAGGTGAAGGATGTGGAAGCCTGGTGGAAGACCCCTCGGTTCGAGGGAATCAAGCGGCCGTATAGTGCGGCGGATGTTGTGAGCAAGCGGGGGTCTCTACAGCAGACATATCCAAGTTCAATAATGGCACGGAAGCTCTTTAACCTGCTCAATGAGAGGGCGGCGCAGGGGCTGCCTGTCCATACCAGTAAGCGCTACGGTTTTCTGCTGGTACTGTAAGGAAGCATACGTCTGACAACTTCTAGTGGGCGCCATCGACCCGGTACAGATGACCCAGCAAGCTCCAAACCAGGAAATTCTATACGTTTCCGGGTGGGCATGCTCGTCTCTATTGACAACTACCAATGAAGTCTCCGCAGACTTTGGTGATTACCCATACAACACCGTGCCAAACCAGGTTCAGAGACTCTTCAAAGCCCAGCAATTGCACGACCGCAAGCACTTCGACGCGCGCCGGAAGCTGACTCCAGAGGAACGTAAATCGACGCCTTACATTGACTACCTGAGGCCGATTGTGGCTGACGGCGATACTGGGTATGAGATTCTCGATCATGGTGTTGCAATACTGTTTACTGACAAATCCTAGTCACGGAGGACTTTCAGCCGTCCTGAAACTCGCCAAGCTCTTTGCTGAAAATGGAGCTGCAGCGGTCCATTTCGAAGATCAGCTGCATGGGGGGAAGAAATGCGGACATCTCGCAGGAAAGGTCCTGGTTCCTGTGGGCGAACATATCAACCGCCTGGTAGCTGCTCGTTTCCAATGGGACATGATGGGAACCGAGAACCTGCTGATCGCGCGAACGGACTCTGAGAGCGGCAAGCTCATCAGTAGCGCTATCGACGTTCGTGACCATGAGTTCATTCTTGGTGTTACGGAGGAGACTGAGCCTCTGGCCGAGACCCTTCAGGCAATGGAGCGTGAAGGTGCTTCCTCGGCCGAAATCGATGCTTACGAGCTGGATTGGGTGAAGAGACACAAGCTGGTAACGTTCGATGAAGGTACGTTCTCCCCATACGATAAATACCGTTTGAGGTTTACTAAAGGTTCTCGATAGCTGTCGACCTGCATCTGGAGAAGGAGGGAGCGTCGCAGTCTGTCCGAGACGCCTACAAGGCCAAGGTCCGCGAGACCCCTGATCTCGCCCTTTCGCGTCGTCGGGAGCTGGCAAACGACTTTACCAAAAGCCCCGTTGTGTGGTCGTGGGACGTTCCCCGAACCAGAGAAGGGTTCTACCATTACCGCGCAGGATTCCCCGCTGCGACGAAGCGAGCCAAGGAGTTCGCTCCGTATGCGGATCTCCTATGGGTTGAGACCGGTGACCCCAATGTCGAGAAAGCCGCGGGACTTGCTGGAGAGGTTCGAAGCGCGTTCCCCGGCAAGAAATTGGTGTACAACCTCAGTCCGTCTTTCAACTGGATGGGCCAAGGATTTGATGAGCAGAGTCTTAAGTCCTTCGTCTGGGATCTTGCCAAGCATGGGTGAGTAACCTCCTTCTGCGGATGTGCTGGCCACCTGCTAATTGATGACTTCCCTTAGCTTTGTGCTTCAACTTATCTCGCTCGCCGGTCTCCACTCCAATGCCACAATCACCACGGAACTGTCGCGTGCCTTCAAGGATGAAGGCATGCTGGCATATGTGCGATTGATCCAGTCCCGTGAGAAGGAGCTGAAGGTCGATGTCCTCACGCACCAGAAGTGGAGTGGTGCTCCCTACATGGACGGCATCCTCGGGGCGATTCAGAGCGGCAGCAGCAGCAACAGGAGTATGGGAGAAGGAAACACGGAGAAAGGTCAGTTGGCTCTCGAACAGTCGTATTTCCTCCCTGGAGTAATTAAAGCATGCTGACACATCTGCTTGCCACAGGTTTCTAATAGATTTTCAAATGCTGTAAGATGGACGCTCGTGTAGCTGCGGGTTATCTCTGCATTATCATCAGTTCTTGCCGATGTATATACATATAACTGTTCCTCCCCTGCCATTGCCAGGACCCGAAAAGTCCGGTCTCAGACGAGTCATGAACAACAATAGACCCAATAGATCAAGAATCCAGATCCTCCCGTCCCCCGGTTAATAATAATACTAATTATTACCAACGCCACCGTAAAACTCCGCGACCGACTTTTTTCCCCTTTCCGCCACGCTTCGACAGACTGCAGTCGGATTGGTCAGCGCCCGCATTTCTGCCTCAGGCTGGAGTTTATCTCAGCTGCCGCCGCTAAGATAAAAAAAATAAAATAATCACTAACTCGACGGGCTGCAATCTCTCTCTCTCTCTCGTCTCTTTTCATCCTCTCCCCTCTCCCCTCTTCTCAAATTACATCGGACCGCAGGCGGGCGTGTCACGATTGTAAATCTGTTGGTTTTCTATCTTTTTGTTTATAGATCTCGTGCGTTTGTGATAGACTCTTCTTTTTTTTCATCCCGTCTGTTTCCGTACTCGCGTCCGGAGGCGAGCCTTTTGATCGATTACCCCTCAGTTGAAGTTTTTCGTCTTTGTGTGAACGCCGTTGGAGACGATGCCACACCACATCTCCCCTGCAGAATCGCCAGCCATGCCTACTGTCGTGTCCAAGACGCCGTCTGCGGTGCCTCCGACCAACGAGGAGGTCTCATCGCTTCTCAATACCATCTTCACGGCGGAGACCTCGCAGCAGTCCCTCGATGCCTCCTACGCTCTGACGAACCTACTCATCCAGTCGGTCGGCGTACGCGGTCTGCACAACTACAACCTTTTGCCGGAAATCAAGAAGGCGGCCACGGATAAGAAGAATGGTGCTAAACGCGAGGGTGCTATGCTCATCCTGGGTGCTCTGTTCGAGCGGTTCCCTCGGGAGCACCCGGCCAGCGAGGTTGTCTTCCTGATTCAGGACGGCGGTGTCCTCAACCTCGCCTTGGATGCTCTGGCCGATAAAGGTGCTGTCGTGCGTGAGTCAGCTCAGTATGCAATTGACGCTCTCTTCGTCTGCCTCAAGCCCGAGTCGCTGGTCAATGCTCTTCTTCCTGCTGTTTCGCAGTACCTCGGCAAGGGCAGCGGAAAATGGCAGGGCGCTGTCGGTGCGTATGCCATCATCGAGAAGATGGCGCAGAAGGCTCAGATGGGAACGGGTACCAAGGAGGAGGAGCGTCAGAAGGATCTGCTCCGTGAAGCCATGGGAAAGACTCTGAAGGATCTCATTCCTATTGTCGAGTCCGGTATGCATGACTTGAAGGGCGAGGTCGCGAAGCAGGCGACCAAGGCAATGAACGCCCTTACGACTCTTCTCTCCAACGACGATGTCGCTCCCAGAATTCCCCTCCTGATCAAGGCTATGGCCGAGCCATCCGCCACTACTCTTCAGAAGGCCATCCTGGCACTTTCCCAGACCACATTCGTTGCAATCGTTACCTCTCCTGTCTTGGCCCTTCTCACTCCTCTCTTGGAGCGATCCCTCAACACTCCCACGACCCCGCAGGAAGTTCTCCGCCAGACAGTCGTCGTTGTTGAGAACTTGACCAAGCTTGTTCACGATCCCGCCGAAGCCAGGACTTTCCTTCCCAAGTTGAAGCCCGGTGTCCAGGGCGTGAAAGATCGCGCGTCCCTTCCCGAGGTTCGAGAGCTGGCTTCTAGAGCCTTGAGCGTTATCGAGAAGGCTATGGGCGACAGCGATGGAAACCTGGCGACTGGTGCCATTGCCAAGACTACCCCTGAAGATGTTCTCAAGGTCCTTCTTGAGAAGGTCGAACAGCACGGTGGTCTGGCCCAGCAGCAGGATGCCCCATTCTTCGACTTGGTCAAGACCTATGTGGCCGAGATGGTCCGGGAGGACGTCAACTGCAGAATGCACGACCGCATCGTCGCCTGCATTGGTCCATACCTCCGTGGCCTCCTCAAGGATGAGCAACACGAGGCTGTGGCCTCTGAAGTCCAGACCTTCTTCGTCGAGGAAGACCACCGGAAATTCGGCAAGCCTGTCCAGGAAGACAGTGACGAGGTCGAGATTGTCAACGCCGATTTCTCCCTGGCTTATGGAGGAATGTTGCTTCTGTCTCACACCAACCTACGTCTGCTCAAGGGCCACAGATACGGTCTGTGTGGCCGAAACGGTGCCGGAAAGTCTACCCTGATGCGAAGTATCGCAAATGGTAAGCTGGAAGGCTTCCCTCCGAGGGATGTCGTCAAGACGTGCTTTGTAGAACACAACCAGGGTGAGGACGCTGATCTGAGTATCCTCGAATTCGTGGCCAAGGATCCCGAGATCGCTGCTGTGGGCACAGAGCACATTTCGGAGGTTCTCAGTGAGTTCGGCTTCACCTCGGGTCCGGAGGGCAGACAGTCACAGAAAGTTGGCTCTCTTTCCGGAGGTTGGAAGATGAAGTTGGCGCTTGCCCGCGCCATGCTGATGAAGGCAGACGTTTTGCTGCTGGATGAGCCTACCAACCACTTGGATGTTGCCAACATCAAATGGCTGCAGGAATATCTGAAGAAGCACACTGAGATCACCAGTTTGATTGTCAGTCACGACTCAGGCTTCTTGGATGAGGTTTGCACGGACATCTACCACTACGAGCAGAAGAAGTTGGTCTGCTACAAGGGTAATCTCGCTGCGTGAGTAGATCTTTTTCCCCTCTAGTTATGTTGCTATATACTAATCAGATGAACAGTTTCGTCAAAGTCAAGCCCGAGGCTAAGAGCTACTACACACTCTCGGCTTCCAACGTGCAGTTCAAGTTCCCGCCCCCTGGTATCTTGTCCGGTATCAAGTCTCAGACGCGAGCGATCCTGCGTATGACCAACTGCTCTTATACCTACCCGGGAGCCAGTAAGCCTTCGCTCAGTGATGCTTCAATTACTCTCACTCTCTCCTCTCGTACCGCTATCATCGGTGGTAACGGAGCTGGAAAGTCCACCTTCATCAAGCTCCTCACGGGTGAGACCATCCCTCAGACTGGAAAGGTGGAGAAACACCCCAACCTGCGTATCGGTTACATCAAGCAGCACGCTCTCGAGCACGTGGAGATGCATCTGGAGAAGACACCCAACCAATATCTCCAGTGGCGATACGCCAATGGTGATGACCGTGAGGTCCTCATGAAGCAGACTAGAATCTTGACCGATGATGAGAAGGCCCAGATGGAGAAACCTGTTGACCTGGGAGACGGTCGTGGTCCTCGCCGCATCGAGGCGCTCATTGGTCGACAGAAATACAAGAAGTCGTTCCAGTACGAAGTGTAAGTTCTGCCCCTATGGAGCCGTTGGCAATCTATAGAACCTGACTGACAGCTTCTCAGGAAATGGGTTGGTCTCCTACCTAAGTTCAATACCATGATCTCTCGTGAAACCCTACTGGAGCTGGGCTTCGCCAAGCTCATCCAGGAGTTCGATGACCACGAAGCGTCGCGTGAGGGTCTTGGATATCGTGTCTTGGAGCCCAAGGTCATCTCGAAGCACTTCGAAGACGTCGGTCTTGACCCGGAGATCGCCAACCACAACCAAATCGGTGGCCTGTCCGGTGGACAAAAAGTCAAGGTTGTCCTTGCCGGTGCCATGTGGAACAACCCTCACTTGCTCGTTCTGGACGAGCCGACCAACTTCTTGGACCGTGATTCCCTGGGTGGTCTGGCTGTCGCCATTCGCGACTACAAGGGCGGTGTCGTGATGATTTCCCATAACGAGGAATTCGTTGGCGCTCTATGCCCCGAGCAGATCCATATTGCGGACGGTCGCATCGTGTCCCGTACCAACACGGCCGTCTCTCTGGATCGCTTCGAGGACAGCGCAGCGAGCTCGCCCAAGGGTGGCAGTACCGCTGCCAACTCTACTGCTACCAGCGCTGCCCCGTCCGCTGTCAACTCCGGCGCTGAAGATACCGGCGACCTGAAGTTCAAGGCCAAGAAGAAGAAGAAGTTGACGCGTGCGCAGATGAAGGAGAGAGAGACGCGTCGGAGACTGAGACACATCGAGTGGCTGAACAGCCCGAAGGGAACACCCCACCCTCCTAACACCGACGACGAAGCCGAGTAATCGCATGTCGGATGTGCAACATTTAAGACGGATCTCATTCTATATGCTTGTTTGACTGGACAGTGACTTTTGCAAAAGAGAACTTTGTGTGACGAGCTTTAATGACTTTTTCTCTCATCGTTTCTGGATCAGGGTCTTGATAGACGGGGAATGGCGTTTAGACACCTTTTGTTTCTATTCATGTTTCGTTCACGGTATTAAAACTTCAGATTGAATATAATGTCATCGGTCTATATATATATACCACTGGTTTTAGAGTCCTTTTCCTGCTGAGACAACCCGTAGGTCCCGTACAGAGGAACTTGTTCCAGTAGCCAGCGCCCTCTCCTATTTCCGCCTACATCTATCGTCTGCGATCAAAAGATCAGGCGTCACTATCGTCAAACCCATGAACAGCAAATATTTCATCGAGATATATATCTTTTCTCCGATGGTTCCCCGGCGGAATAATGGAGAATCAATATGGATTGAAACCTGCTGTCCCCACGGGAAAGCGGGAAAGTTGACGGTTAAGATAAGATTGGGTTGAACGGGAGGGCATTACTACTCTATCAGGACGACTAATCCCAGCCTCGAATCAGAAGTCGGCGATAAATATGCCTGACAGTAGATATGTACTATACTTAATACTTAGCGCCATGATAGTTTAGCTCGAGCAGGGGGTGAGTGGATGGATGGATGGGTAAGAATCTGCGGAAAGCATTGCTTTTTTGGGGGATAGTGCCGGCAAGGAAGAGAGATATGGAGATAAGGCTTGTATAATAATAGTGAAGTAAGTTATAGTATCCATAATAGTAGTAGTAAGAGGGATCCATCAGATGTGCGGGGAAGCTGATTGATTGATTGATTGATTTATATTCTAGGACGTAGGTAATGACAACGATGGAAAATACTAAAAAACAAGTGTATACTGATTGGATGGGAGAGAATGTACCTGCATGTATTAGACGGTTTATTACGGTGGACTCTGCATGGAACTATTCTAGGTAGTGAAGTCTTCCTATTGTGATTATTCTTGTTATTCTTCTTCTGGTTCTTCTTTTTTTTTTTTCGGTTGCGCTATTTTGATTACATCTTGGACAGCCTTTTGAGTCTGTTGACTGACGATTTGTATGTACGCTGATATTGTAGCTTTCGCGAGTTGGACGATGAAGCAGGCCACTGGAAGCGTTACTCTACAGCACACCACATACCACAAGTTAAGTATAACCATTTGTTCGAGTTGTCGACTGGTAAGTTAAGTCAACGTGCGCGTGGAAAGTTTTAGGCTCTGCGTTGCCGAAAGGGGTCAGTCTAAACGAAAGGTAATCGGACATTATTATGATTCCTGGCACATGGCGACCCCATTCTTGCCTCCCTGTGATCATTATTATTCGCCGATCCAAGCTGTGTTAGTTGTCAAAAACGTTCGGTTCTACCGTCGCTTTGGCCCGCTGGTGGCACCTTTTTTTTTTTCTTCGCCGCATCGTGTGGTCAACCCCGCGCGGCCATGGAGTCGAAACCAGGTATTTGCGCCGCTAGGGCAAAGGTTAAAAGGAAAGAAAGAAGGAAAGAGAAAAGTTTTGAGGTCTTTGGAAGTATCCTACAGTATTCCCTGTATGTGAGAAAGGACTCGGAAGGGAGTCGTTGTTCGGAAGATGCCCGTCGAGAGAGTTCTAGCTAATAATTAGATCAGGAATCCACTGCGGTATCATTGAGCAATAATAAGTATACGGAGTACCATCATCTAGCACTACTACTGTCAAGAAGAAACAAGACCTGGGCTCAGACATCGCGGGGCCGACGGCGTTGCCGGATCGTTGTGGCTAAGAGGAATTAATTAGTTAGTTAGCAGCCGGTGGATATCCAAAGGCCTCAAGTCGATCGCCTTCTGCTATCTTCGACCAGTGACAAAGTTGCCCGAAAGAGGTTCATCCATCCCGCGTTAATTGGGCCAGGACTGTTCGACGGGTCCTGCTTCTCTCCCAGATGGCCGATTGAGCCACGGTCATCTCTGTCTTATCGCCTGCCGCTTGCGGGCGTAAAATTTTGATATTTTTTTTATAGCGCCAAAAAGCCTCGCAGGAAGAAGAAGCTTCGTCTCGAGATAAATACTCGCGATCAGGCCCTCCGGCTCCCCTTCCCCTCTGGAAAAATTACCCCCTCGGTCTCTCTGGATCTCATCACTCCGCCTGGATCTTCATCCTCGTGGATTGAGCATACCTGTGATAACTTGTCTGTCTGTTTTTTTGTGCTTTTTGTTTTAAAACAACAAAGCGGTTGATTCCGCATTTTGAATTTCTCACCTCCTACTGTACCGAAACGGCGAAATAGTGATTGCTAGACTCTCAGTCCACGGTAACGCAGCTGTCGAAGCCCTTGTGCGACCTCCATTCGAACCAACAATCCCCTGGAGTAACTACCGCAAGTGTTCTTCGCCCACAGCGCCAGTCCGCAACGTTTTGGAGAGTGCCCGTCATCAGTAAACGGTGGATTGATCGATCGAGGAGCCCATATGCGACACTGATCCCCCCCGAAAAGACCCCTATTCTGCGGCAGATAGCAAGCTTTTGTATCGCGTGTTTCCAATATTGGGATCGGATCTCAACTGCCCTTGCGCCAACCGACCTATCGACAGATCGTTCGCCTGGTAGATCTGTATAACCACAATGGGTATCCCAGACGAAGAGAAGATCTCGGCCGCGCCGCCCCTCGACGATGCCAAGGGCAAGGTCGTCGACGAGGATGCCATCAAGTTGGCGGAGATGGGCTACACACAGGACATGCAGCGCAACTTTTCCGTGTTGTCCCTGCTGGGTGTGGGCTTTTCGCTGACCAACTCGTGGTTCGGTATCTCCGCCTCCATGATCACAGGTATTAACTCGGGCGGTACGGTCGTGACGATTTACGGAATTCCGTGGATCACCTTCATCTCGACATGTGTCGCAGTGACCCTGTCGGAATTGGCCAGTGCTATGCCCAATGCTGGTGGACAGTATTTCTGGGCCAGCGAGCTCGCTCCCCGAAAGCATGCCAACTTCGCATCCTATGTGACCGGTTGGTTCGCCTGGGCAGGTTCGATCTTCTGTTCGGCCAGTGTGGCTCTCAGTCTGGGTTCATTTGCTGTGGGATTGTGGCAGCTCGGTCATCCTGACTTGTAGGTTCCTCCTCAATCTGCGTTTTCGTCTCACATTCGTTCTGGATATCATAGCCCTTGCGCCTGCTTTTCCCTCCGGAAGATAGTCTTATTGATGGGAATCACAGTGTTATCGAGACCTGGCACAGTGTGGTCGCGTACGAAATCATCAGTTTTTGGTGCTTCCTGTTTAACTGCGTGGGCAAGGTGCTGCCCAAGGTCGCCACGGCGACTCTGTACATTTCTCTGATTTCGTTCGTGGTGATCCTGATCACTGTTCCGGCTACAGCACACCACCATGCGTCCGCCAAGGATGTCTTCGCCAAATTCGTGAACAACACGGGCTGGTCCTCCGACGGGATCGCGTACATTGTCGGCCTCATGAACCCGAACTGGGTGTTTGCCTGTCTGGACTCGGCCACCCATATGGCGGAGGAAGTTGGCAGCCCTGAGAAGAGCATTCCGATCGCCATCATGTCCACCGTTGCCATTGGATTCGTCACATCGTGGTTCTACGTTATCTCGATGTTTTTCAGCGTCACGGATCTGACCGCGGTCATGGATAGTAGTACTGGTGTCCCCATCATTGAGCTGTACTACCAGGCTTTGCAGAATCGCGCCGGTGCCATCGTCCTGGGCTCCATGGTGCTTGTGACCGGTTTTGGATGTTTGATCGCCTCGCACACATGGCAGTCGCGCCTCTGCTGGTCTTTTGCGCGAGACCGTGGCATTCCCGGTCACCAATGGCTGTCGAAGATTCATCCTACCCTCGATGTGCCGCTGGTTGCGCACTCGGTTAGCTGCTTCATAGTCGGTGCTCTGGGTCTCCTCTATCTCGGTTCCTCTACCGCGTTCAACAGTATGGTTACTGCGTGTATCTGTCTGCTCTACTTCTCCTACGCTATTCCCATTGTATGCCTTCTCTGGCGTGGACGAAACAACATCCAGCGTGGACCCTTCTGGCTTGGCCCGCTTGGCCTTGCGTCCAATATTGTTGTCCTCCTCTGGACACTATTCACCACGGTTTTCTACTCTTTCCCGACTGTGATGCCGGCCACTACTGGAGGTAAGCCTCCTGCTCTCCCCCGTCTGCACCTGCCAATGAATGCGCTAACATGCTTAGATATGAATTACATCTCGGTCGTCTACGCCATCGTCGTAGCGATCATTCTGATCGATTGGTTCATCCGCGGCCGCAAGTCTTTCCGTGGCCAGTCGACGCGCCATGACGAAGTTGAGGACACCTTCGGGAGATCAGGCAGCGTTGTGCAATAAGTGCATGTACATACATACAGTTATTTCCTTGCGGTGTACATATCGGCGGTAACCGCGTATAAACAAAAAAAACTAACGCAAATCTATATTGGTGTATCTATTGATGAAAGTTGTCCGATTCGGACACGAGTTGCGCTTCTCAGTCTAAGATGCCATGATGGGCAATCTATACGAGATCGCCATGAATTGCTGTGTATATATATATAGAGAGAGAGACATTTGTATATTTTTTCTTTTCTGATCAAGTGGTTCCTAACTCTATCTAGCGGTTCGGTTGGAACTGGTAGAAATTGATTGAAAGAATATTATCCAAGACTGATATCGATTCCATGGATTTCAGAAAAGTAAAAGATTCCCTCGTCTCAAGCAGGGGTTACACATACTAGAAAAGAAAACGTCTAGTTACTGTTGACATCACCCACGCGCATAACCTGAAACCGACTCCGTGGATCATCCATATATTACAGTACACCCATTCTCTGAATACTTAGTTACCCATCTCTCAAACGAACGTCTTTTTCTCTCCATCTCATCTCACTTCATCTAATCTAATCAAATAAAATCAACCCCTCCACACTCTACCCCATTCCCACATGCCAGCACTATCCCAACCATGCCGGACACAAAACCAAGAACGCGAACCATCCTCATCACCGGCGCCACAGGCCAACAGGGCCAAGCGCTGATCGCCACTTTGCGCCCACCTAACCATAACCATAACAATAACAGCAATCCAAACCCAGCCACTGAACCCACCGCATCAGAAGAAGCAGCACCAATAATAGAAACCTCAGAACCGGTGATAGAGTATCGCGTTCTTGCATTAACACGCAACAAGAACAGTGATGCGGCGAAGCGTCTAGCGGGCGAGAAGCATGTGCGTGTTGTAGAAGGAGATTTGAATCGGAGAGAGTCAATTAAGAATGTTTTCGAGGATGCGAAGAAGAATGATGGGATTTGGGGTGTTTTTGCAGTTATGGCGTATCCGGGGTTGAATAGGGATGCGGAGGGGGAGGAGAGGCAGGGGAAGGTTAGTAGTTGGTTTCTTTTTCAGTGGTATATTTTTGATTCGTTATATACATATATTAGGTGGTTTATATCTGGAACTAAACTTTGCTGACGATCTATCCCAATGTGCAAAAGATACTTGCGGATTTAGCGCTGGAATATAATGTTTCGGCGTATATATATTCTTCTGCCCTGCGTGCGGGTCCGAAATATGATGATCAGGAGCGACTTTCTGGTCGCGCAAAAGCTAATATTGAACGGCATGTTCAGGCCCTGGGGGGGAAGGGATTACCTTGGGCGTGAGTTGTCGTGATTCCTACTACTGTTTGAATGCGTAAGACTGTGCTGATGAGGGGGATAGAATCATCCGACCAAGTTTCTTCATGGAGAATTTCTCGGGGCTCATTGGGAGAATCACTGCCGGAGTGCTGAGACAGGGGCTACGGCCTGAGACGAAGATTCGGTTGATTGTATGTATACATTCCTATGTTTTTTCTTAATGCAGAGTACTGATTATTATAACTATGCGTAGGCAAAGGATGACATAGGGAAGGTTGCAGATAGTGTTTTCAAGGTCTGTGTCTCCTTCTTCCTTCTCGATCCGGGGTCATGATTGCTATAATGCATACAAAAAAGAAAGCTGACGTTCAAAGCAGAACTTCCCAGAGTTCAAAAACTCCATCTTATCTCTCGTCTCGGAATCCTTGTCGATCAGCGAGATCGAAAAGATACACGAGCGTGCAACCTGCCGTCCGCTGCCATCGATCCCGTGGCCATTCGCATGGTTTATTCTGGCCATAAACTCGGGTGCGAGAGGTTTGTAAGTTATCCTCTGTTTTGGTCTTCGTAACTAGGTAGTGAATGGTTACTGATTAGATTTAGAATTGAAAAACTGGACAACGACCACGCTGTCCAGGCGCGTGGGGAGTATGCAGAATTGGATGCGGAGATTGAGCGAGCGAAGAAAGCATATCCGGATATGAAACCATTTGGAGAATGGGCCAAGCAGCAAGATGGCGGTGAAGCTGGCCAGGGCGGTTGGAATCAAGTTAGCTTGTGGAAGCTGCTGATGGGGCAGTTGTGATGGTGCAACATCTGCTGTTTGGTCGCAGTTCCTGGGCTTGTCTGACATCGGATGCGATATACATCATTTGTGCTTTAGAACTTGGTGTACACAAGCTAGGTACACTGCAATTTTTTCTTAATAGTGCCATTGATTGCTGATATGCAGGTTCCTTTGTTCGAGCAAACGAGATAGCTGTGCGCTAGCTGGGGATAACGCTTGCTTGGGATAAATGGTAATTGTTTGCACTGCAACTACCGAGATAAATTGCTCTGTGGTTTTTCTGAGATGTGTTGTGTATAAACAGACTGAAATATCCAGTTGCGTATAGTTTGACGCCGGATCTCTGCTCGTATCCGGCAGAGATCCGCTTGTTGATATGCCACGTCATTAGCCTCCCCCGCGAGAATATTACAGCGAGATAATCCCACTCATCTATTTACTCTAGAATGATCGCAAGATAAGCTCCTATCTAGTATCTACTATCTATCCCAACCAAGCAGGGACGACACGCTGATCGCCAAGAACGCCAAGCGCGACGATCTCCTTCCCGCTCAGGGGCTGATCGCGAAGTCCACAACTCTAAGAATACTCCGACCAGCGATGGTTATCCCTCTGGCGACGATAATAATAATACGGGGGATAAGCACGCTATGGCTGGACCTTCTGGAAATTCGATGCATAGATCGACCAGTCGTGGCTCGATAGACGAGGAAGAACAACAAGGCTTCCTCGCCCACCATGACAACAATAACATCGAGACGTACGTTCGGGATAATTTCCATGGAACGCGCGACTTGGATGCTTTGTCAGTGTCAACCCTGAGCTCCGACTCAGACAATGAGGGTCCAGCTGCAAGGTTTCTACTTCTGGGGAAGAGCAAAAAAGGGAATAAAGGAAAACGTCCTCAGCGTACTGCTAGTGAGAAGCCCAGAAAGTGGTTGACTGCTTCCTGTTTAACCAGGAAACAATGTTTTTGGGTGGTATTGGTGATCTTTCTGTTGGCTTGTTCGATTGCGCCGCTCGCGTCGGCGTGGAAAAATACGGTTGAGTGGTGGAGACGAAGGCCAGAGACAGTAAGTGTTCTCTTCATGGACTGACTTTTGCGATGCATGGCTTCGCACTTTTTAAAGCGGCTGGTATATCATCATGAGGATGTCTATTGTACCATGTCACGGTGGAGTGAGATTGGTTATGGATGGCTAATGGGTCCTCAGGATTCTCCTCCGTGGTATCCCTCGCCACGGGGTGGTACTGTCAAGCGATGGGCTGATAGCTACAGCAAAGCTAAGGGCCTTGTGGAACGGATGTCGCTCGTGGAGAAAGTCAATGTAACGACAGGAACCGGCTGGGAAATGGGCCTCTGCGTGGGCAATACAGGTAAGATGACGCTCTTGTAATGATGTGCCTTGTCCATGACCGATCGTTTTCAGGTCCGGCGGAGGGTGTCCGCTTTCCATCACTTTGTCTGCAAGACGGACCATTGGGACTGCGTTTCTCAGACCATATCAGTGCTTTCCCGGCTGGCATCACTACCGGTGCCACGTGGAATCGAGATCTGATGCGCAAGCGAGGCTTCGCTCTGGGCCAAGAAGCGCGTGCCAAAGGTGTCAACGTGCTGCTAGGCCCATCCATGGGCCCTTTGGGGTTGATGCCAGCTGGTGGAAGGAACTGGGAAGGCTTTGGCTCTGATCCGGTTCTGCAGGCCGCTGGGGCCGCAGAGACCATTCGAGGCATCCAGCGTAACGGAGTCATTGCCACAGCCAAGCACTTCCTCCTGAACGAGCAAGAGCATTTCCGTCAGCCCTATGAGTGGGGTATCTCAACGGCATTATCTTCGAATATCGATGATCGATCGATTCGAGAGGTCTTTGTCTGGCCCTTTGCGGAAAGCGTGAGAGCGGGTGTCGCCAGTGTTATGTGCTCGTACCAGAGAGTGAACAACACACATGCGTGCGAGAACAGCAAGATCCTCAATGGCCTTCTCAAGGACGAGCTTGGATTCCAGGGCTTCGTTCAATCCGACTGGCTTGCTCAGCGATCCGGTGTCGACAGTGCTCTTGCTGGTCTAGATATGTCGATGCCAGGCGATGGTCTTCGCTGGGTCGACGGGGACTCGCTTTGGGGTAGCCAGCTGACGAAGGCGGTCCTCAACGGCACCGTTCCGATGGAGCGACTCAATGATATGGTCACTCGAATTGTAGCAGCCTGGTACCACCTCAGACAGGATTCCTGGGACGCACCTCCTCCGTTCGGAAAAGGAGGCCCGAATTTCTCTTCATGGACTAACGACGAGGTTGGCCTTCTGCACCCAGGCAGCGATGATGAGACTACGGGCGTCGTTAATAAATTCGTCGATGCTCAAGGGAAAGGTGCCGAAGCTCACAGCATTATCGCGCGCCAAGTAGCTACTGAAGGCATCGTGTTGTTGAAGAACGAGGACAACATTTTGCCTCTTTCGCGGGGATCCCCCGAACCTGGACGAACATATCGTGTTGGCGTGTATGGAGAGGATGCTGGTCCAGGCAATGGCCCGAATGCTTGTCCAGACAGGGGCTGTAATCAGGGCACTCTGGGGTCCGGCTGGGGTAGCGGAGCCGTCGAGTTTCCTTATTTGGTGGCCCCTTCGACAGCTTTACAGGCCGCTTGGAACTCTTCGGACGTGGAAACCACTGCCTACCTCAATAACGATGTAGAAGAATCTCAACTCACAGACAAGGATCTCTGCATGGTTTTTGTGAATGCAGACGGCGGTGAGGGTTTCATTAACAGCGACGGGATCCATGGAGACAGGAATGATCTCTTCCTGCAAAAGGGCGGCGATGAGCTCGTGCAAAAAGTAGCCAATGGATGTGGTGCCGGCAAAGGGAAGACTATTGTTGTCGTACATGCAGTCGGCCCCGTCATTATGGAGTCCTGGATTGAAAACCCAGGCGTCAAAGCTGTTCTTCTAGCGCATCTTCCTGGCCAGGAAAGTGGAAATGCTTTGGTCGACGTGCTCTTCGGCGTCCAAGACGCAAGTGGCAGGCTCCCATATACCATTGGCAAAAGTCTTGAAGACTATGGCCCAGGCGCGCAGGTCCTCTACGAGCCGAATGGAGAGGTCCCACAGGTAAACTTGTCGAATGCACTGTATATCGACTATCGATACTTTGATAGACACGATATTTCTCCTCGGTACGAATTTGGCTTCGGACTTTCGTACACGACAATTGAGCTCTCCGACTTGCGAATCACCCCCTTGCAGAAGAAGTACTATCTTCCATCCCCGCGTCCTAGAGACACTGCGGACCCTCCGGACTACGACAATACGATCCCTGCCCCAGAGACGGCTCTATTCCCGGAGGGATTCAGGAAACTGAAGAAATACATCTACCCTTACATCTCTAGTATCGAAGAAGCAGAACCTAACGGGCATTACGAATATCCTGCCGGTTATGAGAAAGCACAAGAACCCTCCCCTGCTGGCGGTGACGAAGGGGGCAATCCTTCGCTGTACGATCTTTACGCCCAAGTCAACGTTCAAATCCAAAATACCGGCAGCCGCATTGGACGAGAAGTCGTCCAAGTCTATGTGTCCTTCCCTCCAGTGAGTGAATGGGACGAGGATGGCGAGCATCCGATTGATTTCCCCGTGCGGGTGCTGAGGAACTTTGTCAAAGTCCAACTGAAGCCCGGCCAGTCACGGAATATCGAGCTCACACTAACGAGGAAGGATTTGAGCTATTGGAGCACCAGGTATCAGAATTGGATCATGCCGACGAATGGGACGTTTAAGATTGGGGTTGGGCGCAGTTCGAGAAATTTGCCTTTAGTAGGAGAGTATTGATAGATTCCTGAATTATTTGCTTCAGCTTTCGACACTGGCGTCTAGGAGTGGACCGATTTGATACTTATCAGGCATACGGAGAAATGAAATAATAGACTAAGCATGATGATAGCGCAGCTAACTCCAGAGTTAATGAAAACTCGGGACTTCTATTTCAATATCCATTTCTATTTGCGACTTCTAGGAAGGGAATCAAGACAATCTAGACGCTTTGAGTTGGATCCCAACAATATATGTTCCTGGTTAAATTTGTAGATTTTTTTTTCTCTTTTTTGAAACCAGTTTCTGCAGAGCACGGAATCTCTCACCTATCAGGACACGCCCTCTTGTACTGTATATACCATCATAACTTCTTCCGGTGTCACCTTATCCAGAACACCTCGCAACGCATCCACCGAACCCACTTGTCCTTGGCTGAAATTGCCAGAGTCTCCTAATTTATTTCTATTCTCATGGTTCTTCTCCAGAAAATGGTGTGTTCAACGGGTTATTCTGCTATCTAAGTAAGAAATTCGACAAAACGGCCCTTCATTGCTTGCATCGTTCTCCATTGGTCAATGTCTCGGTTCTTTTTGGTGAATCTTCTGGTTCACCTATCTAAAACCGGTAACTGTCGATGCTACTCTCATTGGATGTGGATGAAGTATAGGTTGTATTGTACACCACAATTGATGCATGGCCTAGCTTTCCGGACTGAGTTTTTGTTATAGAAGGACTAAAAATAGACCAGTTAGTATCAAAATATCACACCTCGTGCAACCTATTTCAATTTCACACATCAGTCGTCAAACCCAGGTACCTACCAAAGTTGACTTGCGAACAAGAGCTCGAGAAAGGCGTCCAACATTCAAGGGCGAGATACGAACAAGAAGGGCCACTGCGCAGTTTTCCACCGAGGCTAGTCTCAGCCTGTGTGTGGCCTTTGAGCACAGTCCGAGAGTATAGCTAGCTAAGTAAATTATCCGAGTTTTAGATTAGTTCTTCTTCTTCCTGGAAGGAATGTGCATAATGTATATGATTCCCTGTTATTTCGGCAGGTTACATCGGTCGCGACTTGACGTATCGATCAGCTATAGACACGTTCAGCCTCTAGAGTACTGCCCACTGCGAGATCATGTGAAAACTTCGATGACATCTCATCTCATCTCACTTACGATGCTAACGTGAGAATTTTCTCCGCGCGGAATATTTCAGCTGTTCTTGGCTTGACGTCACGACCGAGACATGTTTGTCCGCTGGGGCTTTTAAGAGTTTTCTTCTTCTAAAAAGGTTCTGGCGGTCTGATCCGTAGAAGAAGGAATAGAAAGGCGCGCTAGATGGTTTGCCGAGGTGATACTGTATGGGAGTCTGGATTGCAACTGCTGGTACTTTTGTATGCTTATATGCGCTGTAAAACACAATAACGTCGGCTTGCAGCATTGTATTACTATGCGGTGTACCGTACATATTCCGAAAGTGGTAGAGTCGTAGAAGAATCGGACTCGTTTATTTACTCGCAAATTAGTTAGTAGTAAGAAAGACATGGTTATCAAGATCCGAATGTACTCCGTATTCCGTACTCTGCATCCGTGTTTCTCTTTAGCGGTGCCGATCTGCCTTCGGACCTTTTCCGTGCATAAAGAGAGATGCAGCAGAAGAAGAAAAGGAAGAAGAGGAAATTTCGAAATAAATTATTAATAGGACCCATGATAATCCCCACGCGATGCGATAGTGAGCTCGGTTACGGCCCTACCGTACCGACATGGTCATGATCGACATGATGCGCCAGTTGAAAGAGCTTGCTTGCCTTAATCTTGTCTTAGATGAAGGAGTTGAATCGGGCTTGGCAGTCCACCGGTTGATCGTGTTAGCCGGGACCGTTCCTGAAATAGAATTATAGCACGCTCTGCAGTGGTTCGCTAGCCATGTCCGATGCCTTCGGCTTGGGTTGCATTTCGATTTGAAATTGTACTGTTCGAGTGATCGATGGTTTGCCTTATGCAGAGACATCAAGATGAATAGAGCTGTGCTTAGAAAGGTCCTGAGACTCCCCGAAGCCTGTAAAAATTGCAGGATCTCGAATGTAAGGCAGGGAAGTCCGGAGAGCACTCGTGTCAGAGCCACCACCCGGCTCGTGATCCAGAAACACAAGATCCAATAATGATGAGGTCTCAAATCTGCTTTAGCCACAGCAGCCGAATATATCTCCTTTCCCGAGTCGGGTTCGGAGATGGCACCCGCCGTGGACCCTTCGTTTTAGAGCATTAATTTTAGCAGTCTGCTATTATTTTTATTATTATGCTCTGGGAGACCAATTTCCTAAAGGGATCGAAACAGGCCCGCATCGACGGTCTCATGTTTCCTCGAATCTTCCGAGTTAGACAACCTAACCTGTCCTGCATCTAGTTCCATGAGCTAAAAGCCCAAACAGAGGTGGCTCAGCCACTGTCATGCCCAGACAGGCTATACCATAATCTCATCGGTGACGATCAGCAGGCGCCGTGCGCCTCCCGTGGCAACGGCTAACTTAGTCGACGATGTATTGGTGGAGTAGAGACTGTGAATAATGACCCCATGTTACTGTTACTTTGGTTAGCTAGTTAGCTGAACGTCCATTACATCACATCACTCGCGTCGGTTAGGCTGCGCTGTGTCTCACTTGCTGTGGAGTGTGTTGTTCCTGCGGAAAGGCAGCACAATCTTAGAAATTCCTGTGTGTTTCGCCAGGCCGTTAGAACGGTATATAAACCCTCGTGGCTCGTAGTATCATATCAGGCCTCAAGCAAGTAACGTTTCGACTGCCATCCTTCAAGAAACAAACACGCTCTTCCGAGGAAACGAAAATAAAACATCTCAACCGCAACCATGAAGTTCCTCGCTGTCACCGCTCTCCTCCCTCTTCTGGCATCTGCTCTTCCAGCCAAGAGACAGATTGACATTCCTCCGTTCACCGTGACGGCTGCTCGCTCTGGTTCTCCGATTCATCTGCTGCCTCTCCAGGCCGCCGGCCAGTCCTTCTGGCTCGGTGGTAGCCCTGCTACTTACTGCCCGGCTGGCGAGGGTATTGTTTGCCCACCTGGCACGGACACGGTCATTGTTGGTGCTTCTGCTTTGGTAAGTTCGATCGACACAGCAGAATCATTTATCAGAAACGAAGCTAATAACTTTCAATAGGATGTCGAAGTTCCCGGCGGCCAGCTCATCTACGTCGACCCCTCCGGCGCTCTCTCCTTCACCCAGGCTCACTCCATCAACATCCCCACCGGTTCCGCCGTCGGTCCATTCCAATATGAGGCCGGTCAACCCTTCGGCCACTGGACCTTCACCGGGTGGAACAGCACCGGCTTCATGGCCTGCCCACAGCCTCAGGGTAACACCACGAACTGGCGCGTCTATGCTGCGATCTCCAATGCCACTGTCCCTACTGGCAACATTGGCGACTGCCTCGGCTTCGATGCCCTTACCTACCCGTGGCAGTCCAACAGCACTGCTGCTGCTTGGCAGTACATCTAAACTCCTCGCTACGAACCTTGTATAAAACCGCGAGTTCCGGCAGGGATTCGCTCTTTATGAACAAAGATGTCCATCATACATAATTCGATCTACCGGCGAAAAAAAGTGACCGGAGAGATATATTCTCGTGGGGGAAATGATGACCACGAACATATAGATTTCATAGACTTCTGTTCATTTGTGTTATTTCCATTAATGTGTAGATAGCTATCTACGACAGTTTACATACAAATTTGAACATAAAAAGTTCCAATGTTCTTCTCTTTTTTTTTTTTATCTTTTCGGTATAACGCCTATGCATGTTGCTCTCAGGTAGTATTTTCGAGAATCTTCAATATCAATCCTCTTAAGATGAAGATCGGCCCTAGGTATGCCATTTGGTACAATGTGAATCTCTCATGCTTCTCGTCACCTCTGCCTTCTACCCCAAACACCGTTCATCAAAACACCACCCCTTGCTATGACGCCTCCACTGATGCTTGCTCATATTAGACTGATGTTACACTGTTACACTTGAAGATCACCATCTTAGATGTCAATCACAACCTTCAATGCCTGATGATGAGACGCGGCGTGGAAAGTGCCGTACGCTTTGACCGCGTCGTGGAATGAGAACGCTAGATAAGTATACCGTCAATGTTCTACCTATTGGCGCGTGGGATAGCTGGAAACCCCCCCCCCCCCCCCACTGGAATGCGGGGGCACGTCTGCAGAAAATCAAAACAAATCATTACTTACTGTGAGTTACTAGCGACGAGGCATTAAGAGTTCCGGATTCATTAAGCTTAAGAAGCATCGGGATAGTAACGGCGTCCAGGAGTCGGGTCGTTATACCTACACGGAAACGGCAACGTTAGTATAAGTATCAGTCATTGCGCTTAACACGCACCGCTTCTCCAAATACATGAGTAAAACCGAGAGTTCACTTACTGATATTGCGATCCCATAATTTCTCAAGGTGCAAATCGACCTTCTTCCCATGCACGCCCACATTGGCGATCGTACCTCCAGGTGCGACCAGTTCCTGACACATCTCGAACGTCGCAGGGACACCAACGACTTCCATAACCGAGTCGAAGCCCTCTCCATCCGTGAGCTCCTTCAGTTTGGACATCGCGTCTGGCGCCTTGGGGTTCACTCCATAATGAGCTCCCAACTTCTTTGCGACCTCGAGCCGAGCGTCGTCCAGATCGATCATCACAATCAAGGATGGAGAGTACAGCCTAGCAGTCAGCAGCACTCCAATGCCGACGGGTCCAGCTCCGACAATAGCAACTTTATTTCCAGGCTGTACTTTTCCATTGAGTACACCACATTCGAGTCCCGTCGGGAGCGCATCCGATAGCATCACCGCTTGACGGGGATCCACGCTTTCAGGAAGTTTATACAGAGACGAGGTCGCATGCGGAATTCGCGCGTACTCCGCCTGAGTGCCGTCGATTTGGTTCCCAAGCACCCAGCCTCCCGTCAGGCAATGCGAACTCATGCCTCTTCGACAGAATTTACACACGCCGCAAGCCGTGATAGCTGAGATCAGCACTTTGTCTCCCATCTTCAGGCCATCGACGGCTGTTCCGAGCGACTCGATCACTCCGACTCCCTCATGGCCGAGAATCCTACCTGTCTTGATCGAAGGCACGTCGCCTTTCAGGATATGAAGATCTGTTCCGCAGATAGTGGTGTGTAGCATCTTGACGACTGCATCCGTGGGAGCTGTCACGGTAGGTTTTGGCCGGTCCATAAACTCGACCGTATCGACGTCCGTGTAGACAAGAGCTCTCATGGTCGCCATTGTTCTTAGTAAATATCCGCTGCTGCGTTTGTAACTCGCTGTTCTAACAGCAGAAGGAAGTCTCGAAGTGATTCGAATCATTGATAATAGTACCCAGTTTCAGTAAATAGTTATAGCTTATGATCAATCGCCTAAGGACTATGAGCAAGAGGGGGGCCCTCGATGGCAGCTTGATGAGCCGAAGCCCGCCCTTTACAGCATACCCGACGGAACCGCATGGTGAGTGGGATGATGCGGATGTTCGAATAGATCCTGGCGCTTGATATCTCGCTACTGGATCGCCCGTGCGGGGATATATTACTAGGTAGTTATCGGTGGTGTGAGGGATCGAGAAGTATCGCATGACCCTATCGAGCTATCTCCGATATTGTGGCTGTTCAGGCTATCTATATTAAATATCCACCAATTGTCATGCGATGGTCAACAAGCCATGACTTTCATGCGGGGTTTGGATGAGCCAAGCCACCAGGCGGGGAAATAATGAGTGGTCAATGGCAGGCTCATAGATCATCGACTCAAGGTATGGACAGTGGATTAGACAAAATGTCACTAGGTGGATACAGTGTGGAAATCATGCAGAAACTAACATATTTTACAGTCTGTAAAATAGGATATAATCGCTAATGACGGATTGGGTTTGATTGTGCAAGAAATCTTACTGAACATGGGCTAGATACCAGACATTAAGTGTCTCCAATGGAACTAAAAATCAAGGAAAATAGCACATGGGAGCGTTGAGCTTAGTAGTGACGTTTTAAAAGGACTATTCGGTCGTTGAGAACCAAGAAGTCACCTCAATAAGTACTACTCACTTCCAGAAATGCAGCTCACCAAAATTTATTTCCTGGGATAGGAATGGGACAGGAGCACGCCGCTTGACTTCCTCGCGCGTTCAGCGACATTTTAGAGGATGAATGAATAGACCAGTTACTAATGTGTTGCAGGATACGGAAAGCTAGATGAATATGGGATAATGTTATATTCGGATTATTAGATAGAGGAGAACATACCAAATACGAAATAGTATGAACAACAGCCTGTTTTGAGTGTAGTAGTATAATGTATGATATCAGACTTAGGGGTCAGGCCTTTAAGGAGTTCTCCTTTTCAGTCTAGATAGTCGTGCAGTCGACTTCCGTCGTATGATAACGATCTTCGCCTAAAAAGACTGGACGCTGTAATAAGTAGCTGGCAACCTTATATTAAACCCCCGGGACTGGGTAAATCCTTACACCATTCTTCAGTCTATCCTGACCTCCTTCTTTACAGCATCCCAGAACACCCAATACTTATGAACAGGCCCCGTTACACTCTCAATGTAGTTACTCGGGTGTCCTTGCTCATCCAACGCAGTGATAAAGTTCATAAACCATCATGCAAGACTGGGATGCCACATATTTCCGGTCTGAAACGATGGTAGCCTATCTGTCGAGAACTTCGATTGTCGGCGAATAGTCTAGGCAATGGGAGAGATTAGATATTTCGTTCAACAAATGGACGCGGATCTTACCAATAATAGCAGCAAATGGCTGGATGCACACCGTAGAGTTTCCGGATGTACAGCTCTGCATCGCGCTTATGTAAAGTTTCCACCCCGTACGACTTGGTTACCCAACTGGATAAGTCGCCGCCTGTCTCCCTCATGTAGTACATTGAGGATGTCACCGAGCAGGCGGGAGTTATAAGAACAGAAGCACTCCACCTGAGGTGCGGTATCTCATTTTTGGTAGTCTGAAGCTCGGCGACCGTGCCTGGGACTACTCCATAAAGTGCTGGGTTTGTAACAACATGATTAAGAAACTCGAAGATCTAATCTCATTCACCATATGTTTTGCTTTTAGTCTCATTGATGACGTCTGGAGCTTTCCGAACTCGACAGTCGCCTTTCCGCTGTAATAGGAATTCAGAAAGTTCCACGAATCGCGAATTTGCCGAAAAGGCCATGCAAGGATTCGCCCATCGTGATAGCGTTCTGTAGGCCATTAATAGACTCCTGAGTGAACCCGATCCATCTGCATGATAATGGGAAATATGTAACTATTCAGTGTCATCCATATCTCAGCCGTGACCCAAATACCTGGAGAGATTGCTCGACAGCTGAAGCCTCTTTTCCTTTTCCAGCATCCAGGGGAAGCGGAGTGGTATTCTCGGAATTGGTCAACTGGTTCGGATTGTCAGGTCCCCATTGCTCGACAGCTAAAGCCCCTTTTTTTTCTCCAGCATATATGGTATGGTCGACCCAGATTCCGTCCGATTCTTTCACCAGAGGCACACTTGGGGAAGTGGCTGATATAGGGTATCCTCGATGTGACGATTTCGCCGATAGAATTGAGTCGCTTACGTTCAATCGCAATGTTACCAGAAGTTATATCGAACGGCAGAATATTGATTAAGCACTTCCCTCATACGAGAACGTGCAACATTTCCCCAGTGGTCGTCTGCTGTAAATCCAATGTCGTCGAACTTTTCAACATGTTAGATGACCCAGTCCAGAATGACTACCTAACCTTGGCTTCTTTCCCCTGCTGGGGATCGATGGTGGCGACAGAATGTACAGCGTCAGGAGGAAGCCTGCCTGCCATCAGCAACGAGAGCGAAGAGACGCTGTCGAAAGTCTGCTGCCTCCGCAGGATGTTTGCACTCGTTAGAAGACGACATGCTACCATTTTGTGACGGCGTAGCCAGGTTGGGGGGATGTAAGAAGGTTGAATTTCTCTAAGTCCTGTAGCTAGCTGAGATATACGGCTTTCTGCCGGCAGAACCAGGGCGTGGAAACAAATTTCTTTCCTCTTGAGCAATGAAGGAGGGCGTACAGATGGAGAGACGGAGGTATTACTTGAGGCATAAATCTACAGACTCCTACCATAAACACGATATTTCAAGATAATTCGCCCCCCAAACGGCTCTATATAACCGGAAGCCTGCTCACAATCCCATTCTTTTTCACAGCAGTGTATAGGGTAGCGTTCCCAGGAGCGGTTGCAATTGTTGTAACTATTGCTTGCAGCATACTCGTTACTTCGTCGATGCTCCGGGACTATGGTTGATTCAGTCCCTAGTGTAATCATGTGTTGAAATATCATTTGCATCCTTGCTGGAGCTATCAGGCAACTGTAAGGATATAAAGCATAGGACAGAGTGACGAGGGAGCGACGAGGCAGTTCCCAATCAAATCGCGTCGTCAAGCGAGTAACCACGTAACTACGTCGTGGTCATGGATGAGCGTACAGCGGCCTCAAAAATGTCGAAGTGTATTTTCCCTCGAATCTCTTTAGCCAGCTGTTCCGTTGTCGATGTATCATGTTGAGCGAACATCCATTGAGTAGCTTTCCTACCAGACGGTAACCGCATGACATCATCTTCAGTGATACACGTCTGGACATCCTGCCAGGGAATACGCATGATCTGCCCGCTTAGCCTAGAGCAGATATGACTGATGACAAGATCAGCACGCAAAATCCTATTAAATTTCCGATGCGGCGGGACAGATTTCCTGCATGTCCAGATATATTCCTTCCACTCAGGAGAATACCATATGACTTCCCTACGAAGCCTATGAATGAATAATGACCACGGGATCTGAATTCGTATAATGCAGGTCTCAGATGTGGGACATCTTCTTGCTGCATATTTCCGATACTCTTCGGCTGTCTCTTTCTCGGGATTCCAATAATACGCGATCTTATCCCAGTTGGTGTCTCCGCCCGGGTATGTTAGAAGGGGTGTTAGGTTAATAGTTCCATCATCGTTGACGATGCCTTCTTCCCGGTTCAATTCCTCATATGCTTTGCCTTTGTATAGAGAAATGTGGTCGTTTAGAGTATTGACTTCAGTCTGCATCGCCACGTATGCCTCCGGAAAGCGGAAATCACGAGGTGTCATGTTGATGGTTGCTGTCACAGCTGGATTCTGCGACGCGCCTTGCTCTTGAGGGAGACTGGCCTGGTGTCTTGACTTTTTCCGCTTGTTCTTATACTCTATGCGTTGGTTGGCATGCCTCCTGAGCAGTCTCTGCCGACTGAATAGAGCAGCATAATTCGTTTGAACGGTGTCCTTTGCCCAATAGTGGAGAGTTTCAGTACCGAAGATGCGAGAGAATCTGGGATCAGTGATTGCTTCTTGTATTTGGAGATTAAGGCCGATCTGTCTCAGCGCTTCTCTGTGGCTCATATTGTCGTATCGTCTTGACTTCAATGAGCCGATATGGCCAAAGACATACTGCATGAGATCATCGGGATTGCGATCAGGATCGGGCCGGTTGATGTATCTTTCATAGATGAGCTTTGCAGCGCTTGGCACGAATCCAACGTACTCGAGGACTTCGATGCTCTCTTCTTCCATCGGGATGTCGAAGGTTTGGATTACATCAGGTTGGAAACCCCATATTTTGACGGACGCTGACGAGCCTGAAGAAGACTTCGGCGGGCTGAATGCAGACGAGACCTTCCTCTTCCCACTGATATGTGGTTGGGCTTGGGGAAGAAGTATCCCGTCCTCCTCGAGGCACCTAATTTGCTCCTGTGTGAATACACCTGGGCCCGGTGGCAGATTCCGGGCGGACTCAGGACGAGGCTCTGGGAGCGACATGGTCTATAGATATATGAAAGAAAACCGTGGGACTAAATTCGAAGAGGTGGAAAGGCATTTGTATATAACAAGATAGGACTTGGTGATCGCAGAACAGAACTTAGAGGGTAAGATATAGCTTGGAGATAATGGGAGAGAAGTAGAAGAGGGGTTGTAGATAGCAAGGAAATAAGTGAGGAAATGAGAAATATATAATAATAAGGGACGTGAAAGAAAGAAAGGTATGTATAACTAGGTTGTTCACTTTTGTTTGGTAATAACCAGCAGCTAACTATACCTAGGTATAGAAAGGTTATTTCCAATATTGGCCTAGTTCGTCACCATACAGAGTAGTTACTTCTGTTGCAAAGTTTGGCCAGAATGAGAGTTACAATGTGACCATCCGGGCTGGCGTGACTTGGGTGTCAACTCTCCAGTGGTACAGGAGCCCGGCGCAGGAGCTAGTATTTAGTAATTAAGATGGCAAGAAATTTAATTCAAAGCTTTCCGTAACCCATTTAGTACTTTATTCATATACCAACAGACGGTAGCCTGTTTGATAATATATTTTTGTTTATGATGAAGCCCATAATACCGGGCACCTCAGGAAACAGAAGGAGGAAGGATACTGATTCTGATTTAGTCATATTTATACCTGGGTGATATAAGTAACTAGCTGAAGTCACCCACAAAGTAGGTACTTAATTACGCGGAACCCAGACCGAAGTTCCATGCAGCGAGGCCTTCACAGGAGACAAGTGATTCGCAGGGGGAATCAACCGTCATGTTAATTACATAGAGTGGGTGTCAAGGATATGAATGTCATACTGATGATGGCAATACTAGGTGAAACGCTGCTATTCAAGCTAGAGCAATGAATGCTTGTTATTCAACATAGAGAATGTAAGACGAGTAAGTATGCGCCATTGGAGACAGCCGGTAAGCGATTCTGCGTGCCTCCCCTTGAAACAGAAAGGGGTAAGGCCGACTACATTTACGAGCTGTAACATTCACCACAGAAGGGGAATGTGGACATCTACCATGGATCTTTACAACTTCACAGGAAGGGCTCTGAAGCAGTCGATATCGGAGATAGAGAACATCCAATACGAACCGAAAACTAACACCGTCGTTTTCCCCAAAATAGTATCCGCCACTGTATTTGAGCCTACTTATTCTTACTTGGACCGGAACGTGAAATAAATGGAAAGGTTAAGGAAACCTGCATTTCTCATAAAACTATGGAAAATATACATGACCGTAGAAAAGTTTTCATCAAACCGCTAAAAGAAACTCAAAAATCCACTGTCCGATCCAGACAATTTCACTGAAAAACAGTCCAAAGTAGGACTCCACGCAACAATTTTCCTTTCGGTTTCCCATCACCAGATTTTGTTTTCTGATGATGTAGGGCGTGGCGAAGGTTTTCTGCCGGCGTCAAACTTCAACATGGGTATCACTAAAGACCGGGCACTGCATCGAAACGAGTTTACAGCTTGGCAGCAGCGCCAGGCGTGGAGATCTCGTTGTACAGCAGGGTGGTCAAGAACTCAGCGTAGTCCTCACCAGTGACCTGGTCGGCGAAGTAGCGAGCAGCCAGCTGGAACTTGTTGCCCTTGGGGCCCTTGGTGGCAAGCTCGTTGGCCTGCTCCTGCAGCAGACGGAGAGCGTAGGCCTTGTCGATCTTCTTGCCCTCGCTGCTGGTCACACCGTGCTTGACCCACTGCCACAGCTGGCTGCGGGAGACCTCAGCGGTAGCGGCATCCTCCATCAGGAAGTTGATAGGGATACAGCCAACACCACGGAGCCAGCCCTCCATGTAGGAGAGACCGATGTTGAGGTTCTTGCGGATACCGTCCTCGGTGATCTTACCGGGAACGTTGGTGTTCAGCAGGTCATTGGCGGTGATGTTGACATCCTCGCGGCGGACAAACAGCTGGTTGGGAGTAGGCATGTACTTGTTGAAGATCTCCGAGGCAATAGAGGCCAGGGCAGGGTGAGCAACCCAGGTACCGTCGTGACCAGCACGGACCTCACGGAGCTTGTCGGCACGGACACCCTCCATGGCCTTTTCATTGGCAGCCGGGTCGTTCTTGATGGGGATCTGAGCGGCCATACCACCCATGGCGTGGACACCACGGCGGTGGCAGGTCTTGATGAGCAGCTTGACATAGGCGTCCATGAAGGGGACGGTCATGGTGACGTCGGCACGGTCGGGGAGAACGAAGTTGGGGTTGTTGCGGAACTTCTTGATGAAGGAGAAGATGTAGTCCCAGCGACCGCAGTTGAGACCGGAGCTGTGGTCGCGGAGCTCGTAGATGATCTCGTCCATCTCGAAAGCAGCGGTGATGGTCTCGATCAGGACGGTACCACGGATGGTACCACGGGGCATGCCAATGTAGTCCTGAGCCAGGTTGAAGACGTCGTTCCAGAGACGGGCCTCGAGGTGAGACTCCATCTTGGGCAGGTAGAAGTAAGGACCGGTGCCACGGGCGACCAGCTCCTTGGCGTTGTGGAAGAAGTAAAGACCGAAGTCGAACAGACTGCCGGAGATAGGCTCACCGTCAACGGTGAAGTGCTTCTCCTCGAGGTGCCAGCCTCGAGCACGAGCAATCAGGGTAGGGAGGGTGCGGTCGGTACGGAGCTTGTACTCCTTGCCACCCTGGGTGAAGTCGATCTGGCGACGGATGGCATCGTACAGGTTGACCTGGCCGTTGATCATGTTGTCCCAGGTGGGAGCGGAAGAGTCTGTTATCGTACGTGTGTTAGCTTAGTCCATCCAGACCGCTGATAGTTTCCAAACCAATCCCAATATAAGGATCAGATCAAGGCTTGTTGTTTCACTTTCAATCACATACCTTCAAAGTCGGCCATGTAGGTCCAGACATCGGAGTTCAGGGCGTTGACGACCATCTTGCGGTCCGTTGGGCCGGTAATCTCAACACGGCGGTCGACGAGACCAGGAGCTGGAGGGGCACCCTTCCAGGCATCGTTCTCACGGATGTGCTTGGTCTCGGGCAGGAAGTCGAGCAGGTTTCCTCGGTCAATCTCAGCCTGGCGCTGAATCCGGCGCTGGAGCAGAGCCTTGCGGGTGGGGTTGAAGGTGCGGTGCAGCAGAGCCAGGAAGGCCACGGCCTCCTTGCTGAGGATCTTGCGGGCTTCGTTGCTCACGTTGCCCAGGATGGCAACATCCTTCAGCTGAGCCTCGACGGAAGTCATGGTGAGTGAAAGACTGCTCGGTTTGTCTTGGTGTTCCTGTGTGGAATTTATGTTCCCGTAGTTTGAGGAGATAAGAATCCTCGTGATCGACAACGGCGTATATAGAGTCTCTCTCTGCGTATCCCAATTCAAGAGAGACTTCCAGTAAATATAAAGCTATATAAGATCACTGATGGTATCGATCGACGAGAGGAGAGATGGAAAAGCCGGGGAAAGGGAAGGACCGTGGGAACGGTGGCAGAGGGGAGACCGGGTGCTATATAGCTGGAGACGGCAGGACTACGTCAGACGATACATCTTTTTACCGCGGTCCATGGGCAGCCCCAAAAAGAGCGAGAAAGGGCCGAGAAAAGAGCCTGTGGCCAATAATAATAATAATAATGGAGACGCCATGATCGTTCTCAAGGGTGAGCGGAAGTTTTGATTCACTGCAATGGAAGACAAAAAGACGCTGTGAATTGCCCGCGGGAAACTGTCTGCTCTCGGCCGAATCCTGCACGCTGACTGGCCAGTTTGTTCTCCGTTCCCCGCGTTATCATGTCATCGTTATCGCCATCCGCGCCGTTCCCAGCATTGCTCCTCACTTCTCTAAGAATGTCTTCTTTTTTTTTCGTCTGGCGGTGTGGTAGTGTGGTGGTGTGTCAATGCGAGTATCTGTTCTGTTCTCTTCTCTTCTCTTGTCCGGGAGTAAATCATATCCTCTGTTAAGCAATAATCCCTTGGATTTCCCCGAACTCCCAGCAGCTCCGGGGAAGCTCAGATTCAGAAGCTCAAACGCCCCGCATGTCCGAGAAGCCGCGGCAACCAAACGGACGTCATCAGGCTCGGCGCGGTGGAAGATCACGTGAGAGCTCGCTGCCCCGCGTCCGGATTCTTCCGCAGTCGGACCAGTCCGGATTGCTCTTTAGATAGCAGTAATCATAATAATAATAATACTAATAATAATCAGACTATTAGTTAATTAATTACTCGTCAACTTATTGTTTTATTCCCTGACTCATCTGCAGGTAAAGTATAGACCATACCTTTTATCCTAGGAGTCATACTGTCATAGTAAACTCTCTATAATCCGATTACCTCTTCACGGAGAAACGTTTGTATGAAATCATATCGACCACAAGGTATATTGTACTCCAGTATGCTCTAGGATTATTTCTCCCGATACCTTCGGGCCAGCCTGCACAATCCTCTTTCCACCAGATTCCAGCCTTGTCCTCTCAGGCATGGAATGGATCTGCCATCCATCCGACGGTTAGCTCAGAATCAGATCAACGCATTGGGGAACTGGTCCACTTCCGGGGCAGCATGTTCTCGGCCGGGACATGGGCGACAAATCGAGTGAGTCATTATTATTTTCGACTCTCGACGGCACCTGCAACGCTAACAATGATAAAGTAATTCTAGTGATCCAATCATCGAATTCCAGCTGGGGAGACTGAATACCTAATGTATAAGATTCGAAAGTTTTATCGTTAACATTGCTTTCTGACTACCCTACACCCAGCATCAGGATGCTATCAAAGAGCATCGCTCCAAACCGATGGCACAAACAAGCCACCCATAGTCATACAGAAATCATAATCGATCTATCTGGTATCATGTACGGCGAGACAATAACATGTCGAGCCATGACCGGATCGACCAAAGGAAAGTGGGGATAGTACCATATCTATAGAGCCGTCCGAAGATCGAGCCCACACACTTAGACCGTCTCGATATATCGTCTCACCTCCCTAGCAGATAATGGTCAGCATCAAGTGGACATCATTGGGAACATAAAAAGGCAACCCCACCAGTCAGTAACAGCCTCCTCCCACAGGCGGACTTCATGCTCTCTCGTGCCACCAAAGTGTTCCACGAAAGCATCACCAAACACCTTCCGGGCCATGCTGTCCTTGGCCATAAATCGCACGGTTGCCTCCTTCAGATTCTTCGCCAGTCGGGTGCCCTGGTCGCTCGCGCTGCCTACATCTTCACCCTTACCCAGCGGAGGCACGGGAATCTCGAGCTTGTTCTCGACGCCATACCATCCCAAAGCAACGATGGCGGCAAGGACGAGGTGCGCATTGGTATCCGCTCCCGGAACGCGAACCTCAAAGCGCGTCGCCTTCGCGCTGGCTGTCGGCGGTGAGATGAGCCGGATGGAAGCTGCACGATGTTCCAGACCCCAGGATACGGTAACCGGAGCCCAGAAGTTCTCGACCAGTCGCTTGTAAGAGTTGATGGTCGGGGCCAGCAGAGGCATGATATCCGGCAGACCAGTAAGTAGACCGGCGAGGAAGTGTCTACCCAGGTCCGAGAGGTAGGCAACGTCCGGATAGGGAGCGTTAGCATCGGGCGTCTCACGCGCGAATAGATTCTTGCCCTCTTTCGAGACGATGGAGACGTGCATGTGGCCGCTGTTACCGGGGAGGCCCTCGCGGGGTTTCGCCATGAAAGCGGGTGTAATGCCGAATTTACTGCCTAAGGACTTCACCACATATCTGGCAGCTGTCAGCATGTGTATATTCTTCTGACTCTGAAGGGTCAACGGTGTATACTAACTTGAACAGACCTGCTCTATCCGCCATATCTTTGATCTCCCCGAATTGCAAGGCCTATCATTATAAAATCAGCGGTCGCCTTCGACAATGTTCTCAAGGTAACTGCGGCGTACAGCTTCGAACACACCAGGCCCACTCTCAGTATGCCATCCCTCGAGATCGCATCTGAATTGTTCGCATGCGTCGAAGATACCGTAGTAATACTCTTGGTTATGAATTGGCCGCGTCAAGCTGTACCCGAACATGCCTTCTGTCAGAGGCGGAAGAGCCTCGACAGGGTTGTTCTTCAGAAACGTAGCTGTGTTGGAGGAATTGCGTTCAGGGTTGTCGTTGCTGCCCGGTGCGCGGAACTGGTAGAACTCGTATTCCGCTGGACCAAGTCAGTTCAGACCCCAGTCGAGACAGCCTTGAGGATTGGGAACAGGATACATACCACCAGCCATCGCCTTATAACCCGCATTCTCCCACTTATCCATTGCGGTCTTGAGCAAGCCACGAGGACACGCGCAAATGGGCTCCCTGGTCTCTGGATCAAAAAAGCTGACCAGGAAGAACGGGACATTGTCCTCCCATGGTATCCGTCTGAAACTTTTCAAATCCGGAATCGCAACAAGATCCCTGTAGCCATTCTCCTTGTTGCTGATCTGCAATTCCTTGAAGTAAGTGCGGTCGTGCATATCCCAGCCGAAGATAACAGAGCAGAACCCGAAGCCTTCTTGTGCAATCGACAGGAACTTCTTCTTGGATATGAGCTTTCCTCGTAGGACGCCATCGACATCGATTCCAGCGACTTTCACCCTCGTATCGTTTTCCAGGACCTGGGCGACGTTGTCCAACGTGACCTCGATATCTGCGGAGGACATGGTGGCCTATTGAGAGCTTGCTTGTCAGGACCACAACGATTGGGCGGAAGAACGGCGTCAATACTTACAACGACTATCAAAGAAGAACCTTTTTACTACGGTCAACGATGAAGGTATGCGACTGGAGCGGACAGCACGACCAGTGTTCAAGTGAGGGGTGGAGGAGCTGAGGACGTTTATCGGAGCTTATCAAGATCCTTGACCGCCCGGGCACCAAGGAAGGTTAGACTCTGGTTACCTCTTCTTGTTCGATAGCGAAACACGTCGGACTAGATCTCGTATGTTCAGTGACAATAATGAAGTCAGGACTTTTATTCCTATCGCGATGTCTCTCTAGAAACGGTGTGTCCTAGAGTGAGTCAATAGAATAGTTACGTACTTGGACTGATTAGTTCCTGAGCAATGTGGCGTCTCTCCTGTCGGGTCGAGCTTAGATAAGAGAATCCACACATGCCACTAGACCCCGCCGCATTCACGACGGTGATTCTGCTGTCCTGTTCCTGAGAAGACATCGAACTTCCAGGCAATTAACGAGATCAGATCCAGAGCTGGGCATTTAACATCCTCAGCTCTCCACAAACTGTAAGTTTACCAGCGATTGATACCAGTCTGCGCCTGGCATTTGGAATGTTTGACTCAGTGTTAACTTGTCCGCAGGCGTTTATATCTCCCTTGAATCAACACTGCTGCTGCCACCATGGGTCGACTCGAAGGCAAGAATGCCATCATCACTGGCGCCGCAGGGTGAGTTATTTATTTCTATATAATTACTGAAACCCGTGGATTGCAAAAGGCCCTTTGGTCCTGCTTGTCAAGCGCAAGTGGTTTGATCTGGCCAGTGTATTTATTCGCATGGCATGCGGGGCTCTTCTACATCATGTTTAGCATGCTTTTTTTCTACCTTCACCTAGTATCTTGAAGCTCCTTTTCAAGCTACTTGGGGCAACATCGACTCAGAAGTCACTTGACGAAACGAGACATGCTAACCGCTACCAGTGGAATCGGTCTGGAGACCAGCATCCTCTTTGCCCGCGAAGGTGCCTCTGTCCTGATGGCCGATATCTCCGAGCCTGCACTCGAGAAAGCCCTGGCCAAGGTGAAGGAGCTGGTTCCTAACGCCAAGCGCGTCGAGACGATCAAGTGTGATGTCTCCAAGGAGTCCGACGTGAAGGCCATGGTGGAGTCTCAGGACAGCTGGGGCGGCACGGATGTCATCTTCAACAACGCGGGTATCATGCACGCCGATGACGCCGACGCTCTCGACACTCCCGAGAAGATCTGGGATCTGACCCACAACATCAACGTCAAGGGAGTGTGGTTCGGTTGCAAGCACGCCGTCCTGAGTCTGCGCAGACACAAGAAGACCAAGGGTAGCATCATCAACACGGCCAGTGTGGTTGCCCTGGTCGGTAGTGCTACTCCTCAGCTGGCGTACACTGCCAGCAAGGGTGCTGTCCTAGCTATGACCCGCGAGCTGGCCATTGTGCACGCCCGCGAGGGATTCCGTTTCAACTCTCTCTGCCCTGCTCCTCTCAAGTATGTCTCACCATGCACTTCATGATTATCCACTGAGCAATATACTAACAATCAACAGCACTCCTCTCCTCCAGGACTGGCTTGGTGACGACCAGGCCAAGCGCCACAGACGTGAAGTGCACTTCCCCACTGGCCGTTTCGGAGAGGCCATCGAGCAAGCCCAGGCCGTCGTCTTCCTCGCCAGCGACGAGAGCAGCTTCGTCAATGCGGCCGACTTTGTTGTCGATGGAGGCATGACCAAGGCCTACGTTACCCCTGAGGGACCAGCTGTTCCTCCTCCCCAGAACCTGGCTCGGTAAACCGGTCATGATAGATACCTTTAGAATAATACCTTTTTCTTCCCTATTAGCATAGACGGGATGCTAGTTCTCATATCTATATATCTGAACATTATTAAAAATAACAACTATCTACAAATGAATCGAGCAAGAAGAAGAAAAAAAACTCCGTATATCCGTCTTCCCTGCGCAGAGCTTTTTTTCCTGAACACAAACCCCCATAACGAAAGCAGCTCGCAAACAAACAGATCACAAAAACAACTATATCTAGAAGTAGAGAAAACCTACGCATCAATAGGAACACCCAAATAAGCCAAATAATCCGTATACCCCAACTCGGCCCATCTCCTCCTCTCCTCTTCATCCTTAATCGCCACAAGCCCCAACATCCCCGCCGCATTCGACCCATTCGGTCCACCAGGACCAAACGTCCTGCGCGGAATAAGCACCATCCACTCCTCCGTCATAGCGACATTATAATCACCATCCACATCCCCAATCCTCACCAACACATCCTTCGTCAGCGCCAGAAGCCGGTCATGGATCCTCACAACATCCCTCGCCGTGGCATGTTCCGGAATCCTTAACACGAAATGCTTAAACGACACGCCGGAAATCCTACTCTCCACTTCATCCCTAGCAGACGCCGACGCTCTCGCAGGCCAGATTTCAAACTCCGGCTCTGCAAACAGCTGCATGTGCTTATGGCCCTGAGACGAGCCGGAATTCACACCGCAGTTATAGATCATCAGGAGACGGGTCGTAGAGAATGATTTCATCACGGCCCATACGGCAGTGAGGTCTGTGGCGGTCAGGTCGTCTTCTTGTAAGGCGAACTCGCGCGTGGGTAGGACCAGCATGGGTCTGTAGATGCAGTATTTATTTACTAGGAGACGATGGGATGCGCCGATGTTGGTGATTACTTCGTCTGGGTTGGGGTTGATGAAGGGTCCGCTGGATTTGATACGGCCGGGGTCGTTGGGTGGTAGGACTGGTTTGTCGGATAGGATGGGGGTGATTCGGAATTCGAACTGGGGGTTTTTTTTTCGTTAGTGGATGTGTGGGAATGAGTTTTTATATATTATTTTATCAATTAATCCAACAGGTAGAAAGCCCAATAGGGAAATCCGACATGAATAGGTAATCCTCTCCCGACTACTAATAGTGGGTAGTAACCGAAACGGAAACGAACGAATGAATGAATGAATAAAGTAAATAAAGAAAACCTACCAGAAACCCATTATGCGAATAGATCTCAGTCTTCGTAACTTCATAGAATATGCGCCGTTCATTAACCATACTATCGAACTTGGCATATGTCTTGGCCTCCAGATCCGCCGGTAAGCCCAAACTCTTGAAGTCATCCTCCTCATCGGCACCATTCTCTGATATCCGAGTTGACGACATAGTGCGATGATTGCTACTACTGCAATTACCAGTTGCGATTGGAATGAAGCCTCAAATAACCGCTAGACGAGAGGTAATTTGAAGTGACGCTGCGTGCGTTCTGTGAAAGTCTCCCCCACCGCTGCCGTCAGAAACAACCCCCCTTTTGATATTCCAGCGGGGATTTCCCAGGACGAGTACTGAATTAAAAAGAAACTGAGACTGAAGAGGGAAAATAAGCAAGAATGAATGAAAATTTGCTCCTCTGATTTTCCTGGATTACTTCTTCAATTCCTGAAGGTGTGACTCTTTCTCTGGTTGGCCACACCGATGATGATGGTCCGGACGCGGGCTAGGTAAGCGTGGCCGATGCCAAGAAGAGCGCTCTCGGCATCCAAGACAAGGCCATCATCAATCGGCCTTGGGAATATTCTCCCATGATCCACATGTGCGTATATTCAATGTTCTTCGAGGATAATGATACTCCGAAAGGAAATATTCAAGAGCAGTTATTTTTCAGGGCTTGGTAGCGCTGCGTGGTAATACCATCTGGGGGGATAGGTTGTCTACTTAGAGAGAGTAGAAAAATACATATATTCCTGCGATTCTACATTTACGGAAACCTTCATAACTGCTACGTCATCCTATAGAGTCTATATAATTCACAGTTGATATATCTTAGAATGGACTTTCAGAAATTGTGATAAATACCTACAGAGTCACATACATTGTAGTCGAGTATGGTTGCCATTGTCCTTCTACACACGGTCGGCAGCCAAAGCACCGGCTCAAGCCTAAGTCTAACCTTAAGTGTACTTTGTGCGGAGTATGGCATAATATTAAATAGCATCTCAGCCTGCATTGCGTTGATGGTTTTGGAATAAAAGGACCCTACATAGCTGTATTGGTGTTAGCAGGTATGCTTGAAGTGCATGGCCATATACTTACTTCTCTAATCGCCTGACACTATCGAATGGCGTCCGACATTCTTCACCTAACCCGAGTCCAGCATTCTGATGGCAATCCCTCGTGTTTCCTGTCAATTCCCAAAGATGAATATAATGAAAGACAAAACGTTTCATCGAGACCCTTGAAGATCGAAACCAACTTGCTCTGTGGAGAACTACGCGCGTCCGTGTTTCGTTTCAGCGATTAGATCTGCAACGCCATTGGTTCCCCTGACGGATGCTCCAAAACACCCGTTGGATTTCATCGCCATCCATCATATCCATGGATGGTTTGGACATTGCTCATCAATGTTGGTTGATCCCCAGATGCAATTTTGCTCTTTTCTCTGGATCGCCAATGTTCTACAAGTGCCACATTGGTTTTGGACAGAGACCCATATTGCAGGAACCGGCGACTCGTGGTCATCTAATGAGGTGATCGATCGTTCATGTTTCTCCAACCTGTCATGGTCTCTCGTTTCATGAAACACGTACTCCGTACCGCAGTGACATGTCCCTCCACAGCATGATCGCCATCTGCTGAAGTCCAGACCGAATGATATCGTTTAGATCCCGCAGACCAGGTCCCGATGGAACGATGTGCCGTCTTGTTCACGCAATCCGTCCAACCCACCTCGATGGCTTGCGCATGTAGATCTAGACCTGGACTGATCAGCAATGGGCCCCAGTACCTGGTTACATTGCTTTCCCGTCTGGTGGTGAAGGAAGGACAATCATAGTCCCTGCAGTCCCAGGAACTGAAATTTAAATACCCTCCCTCTATCTGGTGAGTGAACCTCTCTCTTGAACCACATCTAACTAACTATCCACTGTCTCTGTTTTTTCTTTGCAACCGTCAACACATACTTTTTCAATTCTTTACCTCGAATCGCTGGTAGATTCAAAGGAACGACTCTTTGGGAAGTCCATTCATTACCTATCTGCTCCTTTTGAAAAAAGCAAGAAGTACACCAGCACATCAAAATGAAGTTCATCGCGTCTATCTCTGCTGTTCTGCTCCTGTCCGGCTCTGTTGTCATGGCCGCTCCTCAGGTAAGTCCCATAGTCAACTCTAGACATATGTGACCGGCAGCTCATTCGATATCCGGAAACAGAACAACAGCCCTTACACTTTGACCATCACGGGCTTGTCTGTACCAACCCCCAGTGGCTCCCCCAGTGGCTCGCCCACTCCATTCCCTTTCAGCAGCGGTGCCCTCCCTACTCCAAGTGGCGCTGCTCCTTTCCATGGCCGACGCCCACACCCACACCATGGCGAAGGCGGCTCTCCTGGTCCCTTCCCTGGCAAGACTCCTCAGGACGGCAGCTTTCCTTTCAAGCGTAACGCCCGCCAGCTCAAGGCATAAAACGATAACGCAGACACGACACCACGGTTCACTCTGAACGTGGGGAATTGACACTGGGCTTGTCTGATACGACGAAGGCTGGAACTGGTTGGAATAGAAACAAATCTTCATTTCGATGAACATATGTGCTATGTTGTATATTATTCAGCTAGGCTGAGTTATGGAATTCAAGAAACAAGAGATTCATCTTTACTGGACGCTGTAGAATCATACTCCCTATCATTAAGACTACTGTGATGAGCGTAAGAGAGCCGATGCCTCCGCGAGCTGCTGCTGTGTTGGACGGTTGACAATCAAAAGGTATAGTATGTCCTTCACAGTCACTAAAGTCAGTATGTCCGCGAAGAAGCACTTACGCGTGGGGGACCACTTACCTTCTTGAGAAGTGTCAATCCCCCTGATAGTAACGTAGGTAAGGCCCCAGTCTTAGCCTTGCGAATGACGCCATCTGTAGACGAGCTTCTACCTTCACCACCGGACGTCTGCTTGTTATTTCGACCTCCAAGACGACCAGGTACAGGCAGCGACGGAAGTTGCACACGTCCTCCCGTCAACAAGGCCAATGGATCACCACTGCTCGCAGGATGGTTAGGATCCGAGTAAATCGACTTGAACGTCTCCTTAGGCCCCGCATTGGCTATCATGCTCTGCGGATGATGCCCTGCCCATTTCGCCCGTGCTCTCCTATCCATATACTCTTCGACAAAATTCGACGATCGTTTAAGTCCATTTTTCTTCTTAACTTGTTCCTTATCTGCGACCAGATCATCAAGCCCGGGGAAAATCACCGGTGAGAACTCAGGCCACTCGAAAGTCGGCACTCCTCCCGACGGAGCGAACTTTCGCTTGAACTTCTCGTATCCACTGCTCTCGCCGTTCGATACTACCGGCGCGAGCGACGAGTCCACATCGAAAGTAGCTGTCGTGATCATTTCCTGTAGCTGGCTGGGCTTCCAAGTCATGATAATAGCGACAAGTCCTCTGGGCGCGAAGAATGAATCGTTGATCCTATCAAGGAAACTATTCGTTTTCACCCGACTATGGATCTCATCGCCTATATTCGTAGCCACCTGGATCGCAATGGAGATAAGTAAAGCGAAGTGATCCGGAGCGAATAGCCCAGCGATAGACGCCAGGTTGAGGGCTTGGATCAAGCCGCTTGGCTGGACGGCCTTGTTCAGATTGTCGATGAAATCGAGGAAAGTCACTTGGTCGATTCCGACATCGTTGAGAAGGGGCGGCGCGTATGCGCGGATGAAACCTCTTGATCGCTTGCCAGGGCGGCGTTGGGTGATGAGGACAGGTAAAGGGAGGTTTGGGGGTTGTGTTCTTTGAAGGGGTGGTGAAGAGTGATTCTGTAAGAACGACTCTGCAAGTTGAGGAAGCTGTTCTTCGCTCACGGAGTACGGTGGAGGTTCCTGGCTGCTGAGACGATCTTGTGCTTCGTCCAGCTGCCAGGTCGCTTCGTACATTTGCTGCGGGATGCTGGATGAATAATACTCGTTGAGCGTGTCCTGCTCGTCATGTGTAGCGGAGTAATTATCCTCATCGTGTGGGTGATGCTGACTATTCCCTTCATGGATAGTAGGTGGTGGATTGTCTTCTCCCTCATTTGCCGTTGTAGTTTTCTTCTTCTCCTTGTGATGATGGTAGGCTTCTGCTGCGAGCCCGATGCCAGCGGCCAAACCTCGCAGGATCTTTCCAGTTATTGGATCAACCAAAAAAGGTAATGGGCGGCTACCTCTGGGGTTTGCAGCGTTGGAGTCGCCTTCTCTCAGTTCAGCTGCAGATATTGCGTTGTTGATTGTTGTAGGGCTGCTGACTGAATGATTGAGACGAGTCTACAACGACGAGAGACACGAAGAAAAATCCCTTATGTACCTACTACAAACACTACGTGGACAGTTCAGCTAGGAAAATAATGGGTTATACAGGTCTAGTCCTTATACCACACTCCAGATGCTAATTATAATCTGATTCAAATCCATTCTCTAGCTATGGTAGAGTAGAGCCGATTATCGACCAATGCAAAGCAACGGACTGATTATTTAGTTGCGGTGCACTTGACCCGAATAGGAGAAACAATGGCCAAGAAAACAGTCTACACCAATCATCTGTCGTTAGAAATATACTAGTGTCGCATCACCAGTATTTAATATTATGGAGTTGAACCGAGCAACTTTTATATTATTACTGCGAATGAGATAGGGTCTTGGATGCACTAGGCTTCTCTGAACTTGGAATGTCCCATGGAATGGTTAGGAGAGGGGACATCACGTACGGTGGAAAGATGGTCGTGAATCTATCTGGAAGCTTGCCCCTTGGTGCAACTGGACTTGCTCAATGTGCTGAGTTGACAGCTGCGTGGATGGGCCAACAATCGACTCGTGGACAAGACGTGGGTTGTAGTGCAGCATAACATGGGCCTGATGAACGTCTACAACCGCGCCAATGGAATGACCAATGCGAAGGGCAGCAATAACGGTGCTGAAGCTAATCTATAAGCGAGTCAACCAAAGAAATCCTATGCGACACGTATGTTTAATTATAATCTACTGTCTCTGATCTGTCCTGGTAATTTTGCCGCGCCTACCTCAAGGGAGGAAAAAGAATCTCAACCGTGCTTTTGTTGGTATTACCTAGTACATTCGTACAAATTCGCAGAATACTTCTGAAAGCCATCACCAGACAACAGACTGAGTTGATAAACCAGCTCACTCCTACTTTGTTCACTGGTTCTTCTTGTAGATCAGCCAAGAACCCACAGCCCCGTCTTCGTAATCATCGAGAACATGCTCCTCCCGCGTGCTCATGAACGTCTTCACAATCTGCGCACACAATGCCTCCTCAGCGCCATACGATTCATCCGACGGAACCATTCTCTGATTTTCGTCATATTCGATTCCCTCAAACCTCGATCTGAGGCGTCCACGGGCGTCAAGCCAAGTCTCAGCTTCCCCGCCCAGGTAAAGAGCGGGATCATGCTCGAAACAGCGCAGATCGACAATCTGTTCTGCGCCTGGGCAATAGGCGAAGGAGTTGCTGGTGATCTTTTGGAAACCCTCCGGGTGGTCCACAATCTGGATTCCAAGGTAATGGCAGAGTTCGCGGTCAACATCATTGAACCTAGGTTCTTGTGCGAATAGTTTCGGAGGCTTGTCACCCTGGCAGGACGCTATCACAAAATGTCAGATCGGGCATGCATATAAAGCTTTATTCGACGACAATTCATACCAATCAAGCTCGCAACAGAGCAGAACACGGCAAACTGCAGCAAAGAGCGCTGTCTGCACTCTTCTGTGGATATGCTGCCATGTTTGGCCGAGCTAGGGCTTCCGGGCCCGAGCAGAACACAGTGGTCGACACAGATTTGTCCCTCAGAAACGAGACAACGCAACATGATCTCAAGATCTTTCCAACATTCGGAGTTCTTCCATTCGTCGCACTTCTTGGTATAGTCGTTCTTGACTTCCTCAGGGGTGGAAGTCGGTTCGGTTTCGACTATGCCGTAGGAGCACAGGTGACCACCGTCTCTGGGATTTTTGAACGTACACATTATGGTGCGACGGCCATTCTTGATTCCGATGACTTCACTGCTCTCGTGTCCCTCTTTTGGCTCGATATAGCACATGAGAGTGTTCTCGTCGACACATGTGGGGTCGGGGTGGCCATCAGCGTTTGCTCTGTGATCCTCCTGGGAAATGGAGTTGGTCGACATCTTTGGGTAATAGATCGTAGATGATGAAGACTGATGATTTCTTAAGGAAGCACAGATGAAGCGAGCACAGAACCAAAGAGAGTGTCTAGCAGCTTCACAAGAAACGCTAGGGTGGGAGGGGTGAGGGGTGGCTTGATGAAAGAAGATCGTTCCCTGATAGCTGTAATGGAAGTTGACGGGAATGGTGAATGATGAGGGTGAGAATTGACAGATATTAATATGCTGCTGGGGAGGGCACGCGTCCTGTGTGTCAAGGTAGGAGCAAGTACCTTCCAACGCGTAGCCTTCTTTGACCTCCTGGACAGCTCCCCTTCCACTTTGTCTGCTAAGGGTTCAATTTCTGAGAATATTGTGAGAAACTAGAACCTATGTGAATAGTTTGATTGACTACAATCCTAATAATAGATGCATCAGCACCAGGTCGCTATGGCACAAGCTGAGCTGCGTCACGCATCTACTACCCGGAACAACGGGTATGCAGTTTCACCTGCGGCGATCCATCTAAACCAGACATTAATCAAAGAAGACATTCTGAATGGGAAACACTGTCTTGGATAGTAGGCAGAGCAGTCTATGCTATTTGTAGGACTTAGGATATCAAACAGCGGCAAGTTTCTGTAGTCTATCAACTTCAAGAGGTACTATCCCGAATATAAGTACATTTAGCTTTCGTTTTTGCTTCCATTCCAGGCCGCACTCATAGATATACTCTTTACCAAGGGATCTCCGTGCCATCAATAGCATTGAAGAACTTTCCAGACGTGCTCTCGCGGCTGGCTTTGTCAATCTGAATAAGCAAGTTAGCTCCATCAAGTCCACTTATTATCCAAAGAGACACTTACTACAGCGATAGTTTTGCTGGTGCTTTCTTCCAGAGAGTTAGGGGCAAGTTCCAGTCCTATTAACTTTGCACCCCTGTTGCCCGTCTCCGTCTGGACCAAACTATAATAATATGGGAATAAGCTCCCCTGAAGGGGCGGAGGGGGGTGCTTACCCAGGATGGACAGCGAAGGCAGTGAGCCATTTTTCAGAGCTGTGTATGGCCCTATGATCATCAATGTTAGTGTTACTGCTTTCACCATTTCCAGAACAACCTGCGATTATGTGAAGAAACAGGACTAGGTATTAGAAACCTGAGTTCCTACGTAGTCAACCAATTCATTCCAGCCTTCGACATTCCATAGGCTGCTACGCCTAGCGCACCTTGTGCCTCCAGGAGTCCAATGGAACCAGCGGCACTCGACATAGACACCCACTTGGGCGACTTCTTTGAATTTTCGAGCAAGTGCCTGACTGCCTGGAAGAGAATAAGAGGGCCGGCCGCGTTGACATTGAAGGCAGTGATCACATCGTTCACATCAACTGTGGCAATTGGGGTAAGGACAGGACAGACGCCTGCATTTGCAATGACAAGATGAATGTAGGAGATATCAATAGCCTCAATTTCCTTGATGGCCTTTGCAATGTCAGTGCTTGAGGTGCTCTCGAAGGCAACGAGAAGTAGTTTAGAACCAATGGCAACGGGGTTATCTTTGAGCTCCTGGACACTCGCGTCTGAGGTGTCGACAATATGGTTGGACCGGGCGAGATATGCTTGAGCCAAGGCCTTACCAATTCCTAGAATGGACATTAGCTCGGATACCTAGGTAGCACAGTAGATGACCCCCTCGACGGGAGAGGGTTTGACTTGGTGAGTTGTAAATAGAACATACCTGTCCTCACGCCAGTGATAAAGACAACGGTTGAGTTAGCCATGACTTGGAGCTGCTTCGGACGAGATAAATTAGTATTATCTTGCATGGCTTTTACCGGAGACGAAATGGGCGGAGCGATCAATCGAAATTGATTTCTGCTACAGAGAGGAGCAATTTGCTTCGTGAAGTCAGTCCTTATATTTCACTAGAGTAGATAGTAACTACACTCCTTCTACATCTGTCATCCTCGAAAAAGACAAAAGAACTGGGGTCGCTTGAAGAGAGATTCCTGCATAGATTCGAGAAATCTACCTACTTAGCCACTTAGCGGAGGGCGGACGAAGATCTCGGAGATGCGGTCCGATTATCAATCGGTTGCCACTTTAGGGTTCGTCCGCAGCGGCGGAAATACAGATCGTTTGGAGCATTAATCTATGTATGTACTTTGTCGGTCAACATACTCGGACGAAATAATAAGCTTTAGGGGCTTTACTAATATAAAAGCTCGGGCAGTTGTTTCATCAGTAGCTGTGAACTATCCAGCCTGATTCAAGGCTGTTTGATTATATCAGATGGAAAGACACCCGAGTTGTTCACGTTCCCTGTAAAGAAATAAATGGTCTCCATCAAATTGTTACATCACTCGAGAAACAAATGCTCCACATAAGCTTAGGCTAAAAGTTACAGTTTTGCGTATCATAAATGGTGGATAAGAGAATACCATCCGATTGAAAAGAAAAACGACGCCCAACGTCGAAAGTGACAAAAGCAAGTCGTGCCAGCATCATAATTGGAAGAGTGGAAATACGAGTATCGATAAGAAGAAACAGACCCCAATTCTGACCGAGACACCATCAGGAACCACAATTTCAGACTAGAGTACGGGATTTGACTCGAACATATATGTCACTCGCTGAATAACGGTCAAAGCATAACTAAATCGTGTTGTAGCATATCAGTTCACGCGGAAAGCGTCGAAGATGACTAGGATGGAGTTAGCAATTTATTTCGTTTAAGTTATCTGTAAGGGGTTGCACATACTTTCATGGCCTCTGCGACAGCAGCTGCCGATCCACATCAGGGTATTCACAAAGGCATATCGCTCATCACCGGTTTCCATAGAGAGATTGATGCGATACTTATATGTGTTCGGGTTAATGGTATCGGCGACATTAGGATCAGCCAGCTTTTCCAGCACGTCCTTAGCGCCAGTCAACCAACCATTGGTCTTGACGACAATGAAAGCGGGAGGCTCGTCGGCAGTCTGTAGCATGTAGTTGGCTTTAATGCTTGTGGCCAACTCCTTCACCACGACCTGAGAATCCTGTCCACCAGGCTGTACATAGAAATTAGCATTGGACAGAGCTTGAAAGATGAATAAGAGCACATACCAGAACCACACCCTTGCCCCATCGACCAGCCCACTGTCCACCAATGAAGGTGATCCAGTCCCTCTGTCCCCAGATGCCTGCGCCAACGGAGACTTTAGGGTTGAGCTTTATACTCATGCGGAAATCCAGTTCCAGAGAAGGCGTAGGTATCTGCAAAGAGCGAGCAATATCACCCTCCGGGAATGTGTGGAGCAGGTTGTTGGCGGGAATAGAATCCTTCATGACATTGAGGTAGGTCGGGCATTCGAGCAGATGTTGGCGCTGTCTGCTTGTGTTCTTTGCGCGAACTTGCTGACAGTAGATGCATTGGACAGACAGACACTGGATTCATTCATTAATATATACCATTCATTAATATATACCATGAGACTCCGATGCAACAAAGCCATCCTTACCTTGTCTTCCTCCTTAGCGCGGAACTCGACGAAAGCAGCGTGAACATCATCCAAAGGCGGCGCGGGCAGATTAGAGGTGCTTGTCCTAGGCTTACTGGAAGACTTAGGAGTATGAACAGGACGCTGCTGGGGTTGAGGTACGGCCGACGAACCGGCTGGTGCTGCGGTAGCACCCGGCGTCGGCAATGGAGGACGGTTCGACAGATTCTGCAGCGGCGTCTGCATCGCGGCAGTATGAGGGTTGACGCCGTTGGACATCATCGGTCCGTTTGTGTTGGGCAACGTGCCCGCCGCTGGCCCAGGGCCAGGTCCTGGGGCTGTGGCAGCTGGTCCATTTGGAGTTGCGGGATAGCCGTTGGCAGGGCCGATGCCATTGGGGCCAGGAGCTGCTGACTGCGGCTGAGGGGCATTGGGATGACCGCGGAGACCGGGACACTCGAGGAGATGTTGCTTCTGACGAGAGGTGTTCTTTGCCCGGATCTGCTGGCAGTAGATACACTGCACGGAAAGACACTGGAGACCAGAAAGAGGGTTTGTATGTCAGTATTGAAGACGTCGGGTGGTGGGTTGAAATATTACCCAGATACGGGAAATACAGATTCACACACCTTATCGTCTTCCTTGGCGCGGAACTCGACGAACGCCGCGTGGACTTCCTGGTCGACCGTGCGACCCATGATTTCCCCCAGATACACGACTGATCTTTGAATTCAGATGCCGGGAGGTACTTTACAGTTCTCGAAACTGGCTGAGACTCGATGACGGTTGACTTGCGAGGGTGTCGGTCGCGTCGAAGGTGTTGGAACGGGCGAGGGAGGCAGAAGGGAAAAGGAAACGGGAGAGGGTGGGAAAGACAAGACGAGACGAGACGGAGACAGAGACAGGACAAGACGGTGGCGCGGTTAAGTTACGCGAGCTCCGTCAGAAACCGCCTCGGCGTAATTTTCCTCCCGCGGCTGGCCGCTCATCGCTGCCTCGTTCGACTAAGTATTAATATTAAGTGATCTAGATATGTCCCGACTGTGCTGAACTTCAAGCATCCTGTCCGTGTTGATATCTTTTATCTTGTTTTACCCGTGGCGCTCTCCTTTCCACCGTGCAATTTGGCACCATCAGCTACAGTCTTATTATGCTGGAGCGATTCGCGCGTGGAACCGCTGAGTGCAACCAAAGTTGAGCACGATCTACTGCCCGCGTGTGCGTGATATTCTGGAACTGGCAGAGTGGGCGCTCCAATGGACGTATTGGGCTGCTAGTCAACATGGCGATTGGGAGTTCCTATTTTCTGTGGCTGGCCTGAGATAACTCGACGCGTGTCGATCGGTCCTACCGGTCGCATTGGCATTGTCACTATGGGAATCCGAATCGAACACGTCAATGTGAAATGGTTTCCGATCATATACAACGGAGCCCCGTGCTATTCTGATCCGCAGACAAGTCTGGTGTTTCAAGCCCAAAGCTGCTAGAGCTCGACTCAGCGCGTCGCCCACCCAAGTAGGGCCGCCGACTCGTAGGACTTTTGGTAGATGGCAGAAATTTCACAAGGTCGATCACGCGCGCTGGACCATAGCCCCAGAAGTGATACAATCGACATCAAAAGAAATCTCCTTAGCCCCATGTAAATATAAAATTAGTAGGTCTCATTATAGTTGTCATCAACCTTGCTATGCATGCTCGTCAAGCTAACGTACTAAATGTACCGTACGCTGTATGGCTGTAAACGTAACCGTCCCCGGTATGCGTACGGCGTATCTGTACACCCGTCATAACCACATAACTATGTTGTAGACTGAGCCTAGAAAGAAACACCATGGAAAGGGGAATAAAAGGCTAAAATAAAATTAAGCATAAGAATTCCCGGCAATCGATAGGAAGAGAGAGATCGCTTGCATCGTTTCCACTAGGTGGAGCCGTGGGAAAGACAGTACGCATCGTGTAATGAAAAGCAACAACTCGCAGAGTTCGGAAGTAAATAAAACAAACCCAGAGAAAGAAACATGGAAAACCTCATTGATATAGCTTCATCTCCTGTGCAGGGGAGGGGAATATGCCCATTCTTGCAAGCTGATCCTTGATGTCATAATAAATGCTGTGATAAATAAATGTAACGAACTAAGTCGATATTCAGCGCCGTAGATCAAAAGGAGATGCGCGCACAAGGCAGACTCCTGAAATAGTTACGTGTTTGTAACGATGGTACCTCCTTGTAAAAGACGGCTTTCTTGTGGAAATCCTGCACTGTGATACAGCAGTGGCCGTCTAGAAGTGTTGCGTTTCTTTCACGCTGAGGAATATATCCCCAATGACGCTTTGCGGTTCGTCTTGACCATGGGAGTCATAGCTTGGGGCACTTTCAGCTTGGCGCACACTCATGATACCCTTTGTGGCAAGTGTTAGGACGTGCATCAAGCCCTGAGTGGCCACCACACGACTGTTCATCTCGGGTGGCAGGAGGACTGAGAAGGCGATCTCCTTCGAGCCGGTGACTTCGTGGGTAGATCCCTCGCCGAGTCCGTTCTTTTGCTCTCCGACCATAGACTGCTCAACAACTAGGGTGTCGATCTTATTCTTCACGAATTCGAAGAAGTTCTTGCTCTCATGGTCGAGTGCTGAGGCAATCCATTGAGATTGTGCCGCAGTCTGAGTGTCCACGGCCGCGGCTGGACCGAACAGTTGGAAGGAGTCATGCCCTTCGGTGGTGGTTACTGGACGCCTATCATCCATCTCCCCTTCCAGGTAAGTATCGAGATCGAAATCTCCAAGTACATCAATGTCACCTCCTTCATTCCCAGGGATCGGAAGGCTACTCAGAAGATCCTGTCCTGCGAGATCAAGGCCGAGCCCACGACCAGCAAGAGGGCTGGCGCTTGTGAGACGACTACCAGCCCTGCCAAAACCGATATGCCCTCGTGCTATCTCACTAGCACTTCCAAATCCACGAGGAAGGCTAGGAGCTGAAGAGCCGTGGCGGGAACCTTGGATGGATGACGTGAGGTTCCATGGCATCTGGGAGGAATGGTCGTCTTGAAGAGAAGGCGGCCCCTGACGACCTATCTCTATGTCCTATACAGCCGGTCAGCTCATCTCCAGACCAGTGAAACACTCAACCAGAATAGATGTACCTTGTATTCAGCTCCATCACCTAACTCAAACCCATCTCCACGACCGATTTCGCCTTCATCCCTGCGGCGGCGGACCCTTCTGCTGTCACTATCAGATTCGCTGTCCTCAGTCGAGCCACGACTACGTTTTCCTCTTCCCGAAGAGTTCTCTCCTTGTATAACGTCGAAAAGTTGCTCTCCAGAGAAACAGCTCAAGGGATGCTCAACGCGAGATATGCCCAGGCCCACGCCTACAGAGGCAATTCCTTGGCCGAAGACCCAGAATGCGGCGTTCTTCTTTGCTTGCACTAAAATCTTATATTGCTCTTTCTGCTTAGAAGCAGCCGCCATATTTTCAAGATATTGATAGTTCGACTGCGCTAGGTCTGCATTGCGGAGTTGGTTTCGTTCATCGACAACAAGAATCCTGGCGACCTTCTTGGGTGGCATTTGGGCTGTCTCTTCTATATAGTCAGGGTCTGGAAGGCGACCCCGTTTCGGTACGTGGTCGCTGGGAAGAGATTCGTCCCCGAGAAGAGTTTCATTATACTCATCTTGGTGTATAAGTGCATCGGCCTTGCATCATGGTGTAAGCTACCATAACCTTAGAACACTAATCACTGGATACATACCTGGTGGTCCTGACCTTCTCTCACTTGATGGGCGGAAGCGGCCTCACTCTGGCCCTGAGTTCCGCCTTCGTTGTTACCTCCGTGCCCCCCAAGCTCTACTATATTTCCCTCCTCGTCGAATTCGAAATCTGGCTGTAGGAGCACACCCTCTTCATCACTCAGCATAGTTTGACTGATCTGATTTCCTGCCATGATAGAATCACTCATCTTCCCGACACTCCCAGGAACAGTCAAACCCATTATATCTATGTCAGATGAAGATATCTGAAGTTGAGGCTCGTCAAACACCAGATTGCTATGTCCGTCAGAAGACGAGTCTTGCGTTGACAAAAGAGTTGTGCGCGGACTAGGGAGGAACTCTGTTCCAGCACCCAGAGCGAGTAACTCGTGATAGAACCCGGGAAGGTCTGTGTCTGGCATGAAGGATTTGTCGTATGGCACGATTAGATGGTCGGGTCTGCACGATACACCTCGGGTCATCAACGCATACTTTCAAGGCTAGGATAGCTCGCACATAGGACATCCTTGCTTGGCAGTTACTAACCTGGCCTTTCCAGCTTCTGGATCCAACCCCGTCCCTTGCACAGACTTCAGCATGATTCTCATTCTATCATGCATGGCTTGGGTGTCTGTCAGTGTGTATACACACTGCTGATTGTATACCCTTGAGACCCCGTATCTACCACATCTAATGTTAACCAATACGGCAAAAGCAGCTAGAACAATTGTACTATGAATCTGCTCACAAGAGGTTTCCCTGAAGCCTAAGCGCCATTGGAGCTTCAGGACGCATGATCGTATCGCATGCCTTGGGAACATCCACATCGAGAATGGCTTTGCGATTCACCCTTCTAGTGGTCGACTTGGCGCCTAGCGTTGCAACGAGCCTGTTGCATCCATTCAGGTTAGCTACGTATAACCACATATAGAACTTGCCAGAGTTCAATGCTGTTGAAGAACCATTTCATCACTTTCATCCAAAGACATGCGACTCGAACTAGATGCAACGAAAAACATCTGACGAAGGATAGATAAACTGACCATATAGTAGCGACTCCATGCTCGCGAGACGTAAGGACTGCACCAAAGACACGCGTCAGTCATTTCTGTTAACTCATGGATAGTTACAGATCCATAAGGGGGTCCTTTCCCCTGGACGAGCCATTGAAGAGCAAAGAACAATAAAGAAGGGCTTACTCTCATGACTATAGAACATCTTTGCTCTAGATAGTCAATGTAGAAGTCCTGCAGTGATATCCTTTGTCTGGCCCCTGAGCCGTCCAGCTAGAGTTTCACTCGATATCTATCTCACCGCGTCAAGAAATCGGGATACACGTCCCTCAATAACGAAATAACTCCCAGGATTACTATTAATTGACACCAGTAAGGCTTTTGTCGAGTAATGACGCGATGAGCATCATTAAAGATGGCGATGTTGGAAAAGGAGGATGGTGGAAGCTTGTCGAAGTGAGTTGACGGAGGTACGCTCGTCGACAAGTTCACATGTCCGGGCAGAGGAAGAGCCAGCCCACCCCTCCTGACTGCACGGAAGTACTAGTTAGCTCTACTGAAGATGGAATTTGTAGAATGCTTTACGGTTCTTTGGAAAGGGATAATAAATGGGATTTCGTAGACTCATAACCATGGAGGATATGTCTTTCGGCGTAGTTCGAAGGAAACTCCATGCACCTGTCATGGTCTTGAAACTTCTTGGACTTCGAAATGAGTAGTAGTTAAAGATCTTGATGTATATAAGGATTTTCTTCCCCTGAAATAAGCAGATAGAGGATTCTGCATCCACGAAGACTGGCCCAGTGTGGCTCCAATTGGCACCTGCCGTATGAGATGTGTTTCAAGAAGCCATTGGCCTCGAGGATGTACCATAAACGCAACATCTCCAACTAGTTATGATTACTGCACACGAACATAGCAGAGTTGACCGTATGTATATGTACTTTTTTTTAGTTGTACTCCTTCCTTTTCACAAAGGCTTCACGGAATGTGGGGATAAAGCACCATGTCCACCTTGACATCGTCATCACTGACGTCTATAATGTAGATATGAAGGAAATAGAAAGCAAATAGATGGACCCATCGTATATGACACATGAATCCTGAATACAGTGCAGGCACGCAAGATAGCAGAGTAGATCAAAACGCAGGCTGAATGCAGCCACTACAGAAAAAGTAACCGATAACCGATTAGTAAACTCAACATGTACAGACAGATTTTAACATAACATGAGGCGCCTGGTAAGATATAGGATAGGCCTAAGAGAAAAGTCTAAGACCATGCTGGAACAAATGCGGAACACCCTCGATGGAATAGACTGGTAACCGCGCATCAAAGGATACTCATGAAGCCGTTGATGGACGGTCTGTAACCTCGGTAATGCATTTGTCCTCCCTATTCGTATTTTGTATCTCAGCTGGGGATGTAGTTGTTGGGCAGTTTACTCCAGAGGGATACCCTCATATTCGGAGTAGCCGAGAGCAAGGTTCATGTTCTCTGCAAAGGTGAGTTAGCCTCTGATTCTGATACATTTATGTCCTGGTCACTTACGAAGACACTGTGTCGCTGCTCCCTTGAGAAGGTTATCAATGGTTGCACAGATGACTACTCTCTTGCCACTAGAGTGGACGGCAAAGCCACCAATCTCGACACCGTGACGACCAGCAATGTTCTTAACCAGAGGAGGTTCACCAATAATCTTCACAAGCTTCTCGCCTGCATAACGCTCTTGGTAAATGTTGCGGATGTCCCGAGAGGTCATCTCCTGCTTCAGAGGAAGACTGATGGTGTGCTAGAAGATGTCAGCTATGATATCCTGATCACCAAGGGGAAGACACAAAAAGACATACATGGATACCCTGGAACCAAACAGCAACGTGAGGGATAAAAGCAACGCTCGTACCGAGCTGCGAGCTAATCTCCTTCTCGTGAATGTGGTCGGTCAAACTGTAGGGGATGATGTTGTTTGTAAGGTTGTTAACATCGTTCTTGGGGCTGGGTTTCGTGCCTGCTCCCGAGTATCCGGACACACCGAAAACAGTGGGCTCAGCGCTGAGGTACGGGACGAGAGGAGCAATTCCAATCTGAGCAGCGGTTGCATAGCATCCAGGGTTAGCGATACGGGTAGCCTTGGCAATACTAGCACGGTTGATCAGCTCGGGAAGTCCGTAAGTCCATGTCGAGTCGAATCGGTAATCAGCGCTCAAGTCAACAATGACACCGCCATTCTCCGTGTTCTCGTTGACGGCATCAACAAAGGGCTTGCAGACACCGTTAGGCAGAGCCATGACCCAGCAGTCGATCTCGCCGTTGGCAGCCATCCGGCGGACATCATCAGGGCTCAGGTTCTCGTACGTGATCTCACGCTTGTCATAACCCTTGAGCTTCTGGCCAACCAGTTCACGAGAGGAGACGTGACGCAGATCCATGTTAGGGTGGGAGTTCAGCAGGCTAATTAAAGCCTGACCAGTGTAGCCACGAGCACCGATGAGGGCGACACGAGCGGGTTTGGGGTTGGATGCGTTCTTCTCACCAAGCGGAGGGTTGGGGTTGGTCGTGGAGTATGCGCGGACGCCATATCCACCCATCGCAGCACCTCTCCGGCGAGCGGCACGAAGAGCGTTTCCGTTGCTGGCAGTGGAGAAGGAACGTTTCTGCTGCACAGCCGCTGCGCTGCCAGCACCTTGAGCAAGGCCAGCGGCGGCCTGGGCAGCCCGGTTAAGTCTGGATTCAAGGTTGCCAGCACCAAGCATGTCACGGCCATGCTTGCTGAACTCCAGAACCAGCTCCTTCACCTCGTCGCCGCTTTCGATGCCATACCAAAAGAGCACCTCACCCTCGCGGCTCAGACTGCCCTCAGCCTTGTCGAAGAACCACGACAGGTTCTCGTCGTCTTCCTTGACCGTCCAGACCAACTTAGGGAAGTCCTTCTTGATGCTAGAGAACACGTTATCAGCGACATTCGTCAGCCAGCCGGACTTGGTGATGGTGAAGGTTGCAAGGTGAGCAAAGGCAGAATCCTTCTGCGGGGGTAGGACCACGGCCAAAGCTTCCATCGGCTCATCAAAGTACGCTTTGAAATCACAGTCCTTCAGGCCCTGAACATATCGGTCAACGACAGCCCGAGCATCGAGTCCCTCGCGGTCGCGGACCAGGACATCCTTCAGCTGCTCCAGGTCTTCGAACTCAGAGAGGGAGGTCTTGGTGTGGACCTTGTTGCCCCGCCGGATCAGGGTACCAGCTCCAGAGTCAGTGAACAGTTCCTTCTGGAGATCAGCAGGGTGGATGATGGCAACGCTCGAGGTACGGGGAAGATCGCTCAACAGCTCCTTCATCTCCTTGATCTTCAGCCTGGTTCCGTATCGCACCCACCACTGGCCCATCAGGTGGTCGTATTCCTCGTCGAGATTGATGACGGAAATCTTCTCACCCGTGTCACCATTGAACAGACCTCCCTTCTCAGCAAGGTAGACGATCTTCAGCGGTTGGAGGGAGCGCGCCAGCTCTCCAGCTGCAACGTCCGCGTTGACGTTGAGCACCTGTCCATCGGTGGTCTCTGCCATGGAGGTAAGGATGGGAAGGCAACCAGCTTGAATGGCGGCTTCAATGGGTGTCTTGTCCACATTGTTGATCTTTCCAACCAGCTGCCATCTTTCCTTGTCCAGGTAGTCCGCGGTGAAGACACCGGAGGTGATGGGGCGCGCTCTGACACCCATGCTCTCTAGAGCCTCCACCAACTTCAGGTTCTCTTCTAGGAACAGCTTCCTAGCTAGGCCCAATGTCTTTCCATCCGTCACTCGGATTCCTTCTTCGAATTGGGGTTCCACGCCAGCTTCTTCGAGCATGCGGTTGAGCTGAGGTCCAGCGCCGTGGACGACGATCGGGTAGAGACCAACATGGTTGAGGAACGCAAGCGCAGACGACAGCGTTTGCAAGTGGTCCGTGATAATCGCGCCACCAACCTTGATCACTGCGAATTGCTGGGACGAGACTGAGGTGAAGTGCGACAGGTACTGCTGAACCTCACGCTTGGAGCCAATGTTGCTCAGCAACTGGACAACGGTCGATCGGGTCGAGAGCTGAGTATCGGCCGGGCGGGAGTAGCTGCGTCTCTGCAGAGCTTTGGGCGAAGAGACTCCCACGCGTCGAGACCGCAATGCATCTGTCGTGTACAGTCTTGCTGTAGATGAGAGGGCATGCGGTGCGGAGAGGGCACGGAGGGGCTTAGTCGTCGCAGCTCTCCGCACGGCAGGGCGAAGGGATAGCATCTTGTCGACCAACATGCGGCAGCTTCAATTCAGAGAGCAAAGGAGCCCAAGGAGACGCCTGGACGAGCGAGGAAACACCTGAACAGAGGTTAATTACACACAAGACAGTCCGCTGCCGGAGAGTTCAGGTGAAAGGGTGGACAGGAAGGGGATTTTCTACTGAGAATGCCCGGCTCTGAAATTTACGCCGCCTAAGTCGGAGCCAGTCTGGCTGGGTCCGGGGAGGGTCTCAGGCGGTGACGACTAGTAACTGGCTTTTTTCTTCCAAGGATTTGTGCCGCGGGAGCTCGGGAGTCCCTCAGTAAGTTAATTAGATCACTTGGAAAAGCAAGCAGAAGAGCACATTTAGTGCGTTTTTTCCCATTTCACGTTATGAGTCATTTTCTCTGATATTATTACTCTTCTTCATTTACAGAATCACCCGTTGGCTACAAGTAATCCCTCTTGCTCCTTATCACTGCCATTCCTTTTTGCCATTGGGCTTCCTTCTTCATTCCGTTGGTTTTCTTTTTTCTTTTTCTTTTTCTTTTTCTTTTTTCGCCATTTGGGCTTGGCAGCGACTTTCGGAGACACGCCGGACTCATACTTGCACCCCACGTTAAAACTACGCTGCTCTCCAATCAGGAAAATCGGTAGACGAATAATTAAGTGGCCTACTCGTCTTTCGTGGCGTAACATCGTCAAGATCGGTTCTCCTGCAGGTGGAGCCAGGATCTAATCTGATAACTGTCGTGTTTTCGCGTGCCATTACCTTATTAGACCAGCCGATTGCGGCCTGTGGAAGAGCTCAATGGGCCTGACAGATAGATACTTATACTAGTGCTATAGTGGTACTAGTTCAGTACCTTGCAGTGGAATACGAATGGTTTTTTTCATACATCTATGGAACAAGTTACACGTCGACAGGGGGTTTCTGTTGCAACGCAATCGAAAGCCCGACACACAATTCATTATAAGTCGCTAAGAGGTACCAGGAGGAGTAACAGAGACAGAACATGCAGCAATCACCAGGAGTATCATGTACAGCTTCACCCTCGAGGAATCGTATGCCAGCGCCCGCCCAGAGTCAGGTCAGCTCGCAGCATCGAAGGTGGAGGCATGGTTCAGTAGTCGTCAGAAGTCAGCTAATTCACGCCCGACCGAGAAGCATGGAGCGGAGACCAGAAGGACAGAGCTCCATTCGAGAGACATCTGGCCTTCAACTCTCCCCCAGGAGTACACCGTAAAGGAATTAGAAAAAGAAAAAACGAAATCCGTGCCCAAAAACAATTTTGCCGTATACATCGACTCAGTGTTTCGTCACAACAACTATCAGGGCGTTAGACACTCGAATCGCAGAAAGGAGCATCAAGAGCCGAGACTTACCTGCAGGGACAACAATGACAACGATCAGGATGATGACGCAAATGACCAGGCACACGCGCATCTTCATGTCCTTCCACCACATCTGCTTCCTCACACGGTTGGCACCTCTGCGGAATCCCTGTGCCGATACAGCCAGGTTGTCCGTCTTGTCCTGAAGGGAGTCAAGGCGCTCTCCACGTTGCGACACCTTGTTGATATTCTCGCGCATCACCCCCACGGTATCATCAATTTGCTGCAACCAAGTCAGCATTGTTATCGCAAATTGAAACAGAGCGTATCTAGGGCAGCTGAGCGATCCATTTTCTCATTCCAGTCCACAGGCAATAGCGCATCACTGGTCCCTAGCACCGTTTTGACCGGGCTTGAGAGTGTCGCGTCCCCTGAAAGGAGCCGGAATGCGATCCTTTTTTTTCTCGCTGCAGCCTAGAAAGCCGAGGTCGAACCTACCGCCTGTAAAGCTGCGGTCCTCTGGTTTCCCCCAGAGGGCGCGCTCCCACCAGAGGGGATATAGGGGTCGTAGGGCTGTTCGCGGTCGGCCATGGTGACGGTAACGATGCGGTTTGGTCAGGTCGAGGTGTCAAGGAGTAGTGGCGTTTCCGGTTATCTCGTAAAATCGTCAAGCTAGCTGGCAACTTTTGACCAGGAGGCGGGGAGATCTCTCTACTTCGATCGACGAAGGACAACGAGAGTCTCAGCAGATGGAAGAGGAAGTGGTGGGTATCACGAGGTGGGTATCAAGGAGAGAGATGATGGGAGACGTCAAAGTTGAAGTCGAGAACAAGAGGGAAAGCAGCAGAGGCACTAGGACGCTGTCGGGGGCGTGAATGGGCCGACCGTCTGGAGATGGAAGCGTTTCGGTTCTGTCGGGGCTGCTGCACGTGACCGCGCCGCTCGTGGCCGGTCTGCTATTTTTACGCCCGGCTGTAGCATCATTAATAACCAAAGAAAAATAGTTAGCGCTTGTCAGAGTCATTCTGATCCAGATCCTCAAGTCATTCTTACAGTCCAATGTCCTTTCTACTGGTTTGTCCATCCAACAGTGTGATGGGATCATCACTGAACCTTTGAGATTGCCTCTGCCTGCGTGTCTTGGTTGCCGTGAGAGACAGTATGGGGCTGTGCAGGCCAAAACAGCCACTTCGCGTGGCGATTATTAGCCCAGGATGAGATGGCCCAAAGCCCAATAACGGAATGGCAACTGTGCTTACTCTAGGCTGGCTGTCCTATGGAATTGCCAACAACGGCTTTGGACATGGTGGAATGTTCCATGGTCCTCCGTGAAATTTTTCAGTATGCAACGCCATCCAAGGACAAAACATGTCCTTCAGAGCATCCAATCTCGCAGCCAACAGGACAGGGCAATAATCTTGTTCCAGACTCCAATCTCGTTAGTCGTCACTGAATCGCAGCACTAGTCAACATGTCCATCATCCAATGGCCTATGATGATCTGCGTCGCGCTACGCCAATAAGAGCAGAAAGCGCCAGACCGGCGACCCTCGAGACATTCTCTGCGCCAGAGGAGGTAGTAGTATTGGCAAACCAACCCTAGTTTGCCCTTTTGCTAGCTACGCTCGACAATGGCGCTTTCTTGCTTCAGCTATCCTGGGTCACGGTCGTCCTTGGGACGCGGACTGTCGCAGCGATTTTTCTGACCTGGCAAACAGCCAGCTAGGTACTTAAATACTCGATACCATGACGTTGGGGAGAGCAATAAGGCACCCCGGGGAGTTCCACACCTGGAGAAAGAGTCTAGACCTGAAGATCGCGGGGTTCGGGCCCTATTATCGTCCTTTACTCGATTGAGCGAGCAACAACATCGTGACCTCTCCAGATGCCCTTAGATAGTCTATATACTCGACCTCGTACCATAAAGTCTGCCCGTTCAGGCCTCTGGAACCAAGAACAATGAGCGCTCTCCCTGGAGATGCCTCTTCCGGCGGGAACATGGAGCCAAGACCAATACAAACTCCGCCGGGCGCCTTTCTGTTCTTCCCAAGCTCCTTGGCAGTGGAGGTACTCAAGCCCGCGCCTCCCGTGCAGTGACTTGGCGATGGCTGTCGGCGGAAGGATTCGCATGCAGCTCTTGAGGCCGGAAATTGATGAGACTCGCTTATTTATATTCTTTCTGGCCCAAGGTGCTCATCCGCGGCTTCTCTAACACTCGTTATAAACCTAGACGGGCTCCCATCCGTCGCTGACACCCGCAGCATCATCGAACTATACTACACCGCGTCAAGTCTATGCTGGTGGTCACTCGTTCCTTTCCGATCACTTTTTTTTTTTTCTAACAATCACTTCCTTCCTTCCTGTGGCTATGTTTTGAGCTTACCCCGCTAGCAAACCCCCTGCCTCCTCGCTGGAGTCTTGGCCGTATTGTGAACGCCTAGGTGCTCTCTCCTTCCAGCACTTTACAGCGGGAAGCAACACATCTCCAGCCTCCGGATGACCACCTTGCAAGAAACTGACTGCCGTTCCTCGTCAAACCTTACCAACGTGCTGTATCTTGGATATGATCCGGTACATAATTTAATCGCGGTGCAGTTGATATGCATATAGCTTTCGCTTGACGATTTGAGATCTTGCTTTATCCCTGTATCGACACTATCCTATTGTTTTTTGACGTCTCAATTTGCGCAAACATGAGGTTACTACCACATGTTTTCGACCAGACTTGGTCATGGAAACCCCTCGTCTGTGCTGTGTTTCTGGGTGCCCATATGGTGCAAGCTGCTATTGATCTGGATCTGAACAGCCCAGGTATGTGTGATTGAAGATTTGTGTTTTCCGCTGTCTGTCAGCAAAGCGAACTATGACTATGACATCCGATGCTCACTGCCTACGCATTAGAATCGATCAAGAATGCGGCAAAGACCGCGGCGGCTGGCATGATGAAATACTACACGGGAGATCACCCTGGTGATGTCCCTGGAAACCTTCCGGATCCATATTACTGGTGGGAAGCTGGAGCGATGTTCGGGGCATTGATCGACTACTACTATTACACAGGGGACAAGCAATACGTGGATGTGACAACCCAGGCAATGCTTTGGCAGGTCGGACCGGAAGAAAATTACATGCCGCCGAATCAGTCAAAGACTTTGGGAAATGATGATCAGGGGTTCTGGGGTATGGCAGCCATGACTGCTGCCGAAACCAGATTTCCTAATCCTCCGGAGGATCAACCTCAGTGGCTCGCGCTGGCGCAGGCCGTCTTCAATACGCAAGCTCCTCGTTGGGACAACGCGACCTGCGGAGGAGGCCTTAAGTGGCAAATATTTTCATTCAACAACGGATACAATTACAAGAATACTATCTCAAACGGCTGCTTCTTCAACCTAGCTTCTCGGTTGGCCGTGTACACTGGCAATCAGACATATGCGGAATGGGCGGAACGAGCATTCGATTGGGTTATGGCCATAGGACTCGGCACGTCTGACTACACTTTCTTCGATGGTACTGATGATACGCAAAACTGTACGAGTTTAAACCACATACAGTGGACCTACAATAGTGGCGTCTTCATGATGGGAGCGGCGGCCATGTATAAATTTGTAAGGCTGCCTTATTCGTCAATTCCTACCTCCTTTATACTGACAGACACCCCAGACAAATGGATCAGAGACCTGGAAGACTCGCCTGGAAGGCATCATACGTGGTACAAACGTCTTCTTCGAGAACAACGTCATGACTGAAGTAGCGTGCGAAAGCAATGGAAAATGCAATGTCGATCAACGATCGTTTAAAGCTTACCTCGCACGATGGATGGCAGCCACCATCAAGCTAGCGCCTTTCACACACGACCTACTGCTACCAAAGCTACAGGCTTCAGCCATGGCAGCTGCTCAACAGTGCAGCGGCCCCAATAATGCTTGTGGTTTGCGATGGACGATGGGAGCACAATTCGATGGCAGTCTCGGTGTTGGGGAGCAGATGAGTGCGATGGAAATTTTCCAATCCAATCTGATCGACCAGGTTCCAGATACCGTCACGAACATGACCGGCGGTACCAGTAAAGGTGACTACTCTGCAGGCACCGGCGCCTCAGATGACGATTCCCTGCATGATTATCAAGACAAGATCACTGTTGCTGATCGTGCTGGTGCTGGTATCCTTACTGGCCTTGTTATTATTTTCACTATCGGTGGGGCTTACTGGATGGTATCATCTTGACCTCGTACCTAGGGGCTACACCCTGGTATCCCCCAATTGCGGTGTATGGCGTGTGATTGTATATGGTCTGAACTATTCGCTGTCCGTCTACAGAAAACTGGGCTGATCCTAGTATTGAAATTGTATATTACCGGTTGCACTCATCTATTGAACATTACAGTAATCCATGACACCCTATGACACGCTATCAGTCAAGGGAGGTTCCTACGATCATATGCCCCGCGGAATATTTCGATCAAATCAAATCTCGGGGGGCCCATTTAGATATTCAAAAATGGATCCGACGCCAGGGAATCTGGATCAGAAGATGGGCATAGCCATTGCCATTAATACTTCTCCTACGTGTCTTTTATACTTGTCTTTACACGGAATTCCTGGTCGACAACGGGTTTGTATCCACGATATGTCTCATGCAGCCTACAATTCATCATGTCCATTGTCATTCCCCTTCTGCTCATCGTTGTTCTCTTCATGTGCCTTTTGATCCTCCACCGGCTGCACCCCCGGTGTGGATTTTCCCTGTAGAATATCTAGTAGCATCTTCCCCACTGCCTTAGGATAAATCTCTGCCTCTTGGTCGTACACAAATACTCGATCCGTCATCATGTCGTGGACCACGAGCGCGGGTAACAGCTCTGGCCGCACCTCCAAACTTGTCGCGATATGACCATACTCATTATCATCAATGGTGACAAACGTCACGTATTCTTGAAGTTTCTTGGCCACGCGACCAAGAGAGCGTCGGAGATGCGTGCGAGTAGAGGGCGTGTCATAGAAGATATAGGCGAGGAGTTTAGAGGGCTTGTTTTCATATACTTCATTAGTCCTGACCGTTTTCTCGCCCAAACCGATCACGAAAAGCCAGATCAGAGCTCACCTGCATGTACTCCTGCATATTCCTCCTATTCATCTCACCAATAACGTCCCGACTCATCGCCTGCACAAACTCCTCCACCTTCCTCCGTGAGAACTCGATTCCCGCAAGAGCCTCATTATTCCCTTCGGACCGCGTCTTGTAGCACGCAATCGACGGAACAGGCAGACCATCTTTCGCTGCGAGGGCCGGATCGAACGAGATCCCAAATACGAAACGATCGTGATTCTGGTTCGCGACGGACGTGTATATTTCTCGGATGAGATCATCGGGAGATACCTCCTCGTCATCATCTGTTGGAGGTGGGAGATAGGCGATGAAGACTTTATCGTCGATGGATTTGAAGACTTGGATGGTTTCGTTGTCGAGGGTTGTGAGTGGGGGGAGTTGTTGTTTTATCATGAATGAGATTATTCTGGTTTTATAATAATCGGATTGTTAGTTATTTCGTATAATAACTTGTTGGTTCTGCTAGATTAGGATATTGGGTACAAGTGGAGAAAGAGCAATGTAATGTCATGTACATACGCATCTGCCGCTCTTGGGCCCCTATATCGAATATTATCTTCCAAGCCATGGAAGAGTCTGATGGTGGGATAGGCGTTGATATCGTATTTCTTGCATAGAGCTGTAGCAGCCGTGCAGTCGACAGTGATGAGCGGCGCTGTTAATGTAGATGCAGCCTGCGTAAGTTCAGGGAATAAAGCGTTACTTGGAGGGCTGAGAAATTCCATTATTAGCTAGTGGTCTTTTCATTTATCCCATGGGATAGAAGAGAGGCGTAATAGTACCTACCTTTGTGGCTATATAGGTAGGTAGGTACATTGACCGGTTTATGAGCCTGAGTCCCTAATATATGTTCAAGACTGAATGAGAACATACAGAGATAACTATCAATTAGCACAGTTAGCTTTCCTTCAATCAGCTTCACTTGGCATAAATAGAAATGTCATGATTTTAGTGAATCCTTACAAGTAGCAAGTACCGTATTATCCTTCCCGACAATCGAATTGAACTCTTTCTCCGATACTATCGGGACAAGTTCCCCGCTTGCGAAAGAGCTCTGATAAAGACCGCAGCCCAACAACAACAAAGGCCATAGACATCGGAAAGACGTCTGTGTCGTCATTTTGGGGAGGTTTTTTCTTTTTCTTTTGACGTCTATCAATTTGCTTTCTGCCAACACTCCCTCGTCCCGCAACTGAGAAGTATGATATGCACAATTGAAAAAGACAAGTTGACAAAACAAGCCAGCTTAACGATCGAGCAAAAGAAGACAAAAAAAAAAAAAAAAAGAGCCCCGGGAGAAGCTACGGAACATCACCCCACGTAATGCAAAGAGGCATCATTTTGAGGAGCGAGCAATACCATTGTTGATTTATGATTCGTTGTAGATTGGCGTAGATCAGGAGCTCGCGGAGCTCCCCAGACAAGATCCATACAAGCGGTGTTTCATCATCTGAACCACTTCTGTGTCAGCCTCCGTTAGTTATACTTGGAGGCGCGACAGATGAGAAAGTGTTGGGGTATATTCTATTTTAGATATTTTTCTGTTTCAGGGTAGAGAGTTGGAGGGCCGTTTTACTACTATTATATTTTCCGCATCAGGAGGGGTAGGAACTGGATGTCTTCTCTCTGTTTGGATTTTAAGATTCTTATTCTACTCAGGTTCACAGAATAGATAGCAAGAGAAAAGCGCCATGCGACGCACATTGTTCTATCCACTTCTTGGCACAATTGCTTCTCTATGCTTTGGCATTGCAGCTGCGAAGCAAATAGTCGTCGGGAATAAAGAAAGCATATCCGAAACAACATGTCCTGATCACCATTATAGTGTCCATATCTTCTCCAAGGATCCTCTAGTCATCTATATACCTGATTTTATCACGGAGGAAGAAACACTGCACCTTCAAGAGATAACGTAAGTATTGCCCCCAGGATATAGGAAAATGCATTTGATATTTGAAGTCGCTTTGCTAATACATCTATAGGAAATCCCAATTCACCAAATCCGAAGTCGTCGATGAAGCCGGAAACAGAATGAACGCGACAACTCGCAACTCTCGCTCGACCAGCCCTCCTCGCGACGACGTTATCCGTTGCATTGAGAACCGCGCCCTGGCGTTCCAAGGATTCGACATTCCGCGCTCGCATCTCGAACCTCTTCAGCTCGTCGCGTATGAACTTGGTGAAAACTACCAGCATCATACGGACTGGTTCGAATCTCCATCCCAGACAACTGCCGAGGTTGGTGGGAACAGGCTCACTTCCTTTTTTGTGTATGTCACCGTTGAGGACGTGACGGGTGGGGGGACCAATTTCCCCATGCTCGATGCGCCAATGGACGAACGATGGTGTGAATTCATCAACTGTGATGAGCCGTGGGATGCAGGCGTGACGTTCCGTCCGATCCCAAGGAACGCGGTGTTTTGGCAGAATCTGAAACAAGATGGCACTGGGGATCGGGCGACGCTTCATGCGGGATTGCCGGTGACGAGTGGGAAGAAGATGGGAATGAATATCTGGACCAGGCAGGGGCCGTTGAGTGAGTTGTACCGTGGGAAGGATTAGGATTCTCCTTTCGGTTGCATGTGAGTTCAGTTATCTTGATGAATCCATGATGGGACTGCGGCACGAGATATGTCAGCTCTGAAGCAAGGTATTGTGTAGAGATGAAGTTGTCATTGCTCTTCCTTTTGGCAAGAGCCGTATATGAAGGTCCTAAAAGTGTTATATAATGTACATATTAGTGTATCAATTTCAGAGAGAAAGGCCATTGGCATCGCTTCGTAGCTGAGACAGTCATATAATACAAGCCCATTAGACAGGGTTCCGAGGGGCGCGCGTCACCCCTTCATCTGCGAATCCGGGTCATTTCTCGCCCTGTAGCTCCTTTCGCATTTCTTCCCTTTGTATCCTGGCTTCTTCCTTCGCACGGACCGTACGCGCTTCCATCTCTGCACGTTTCCTGTCTGCATCTTCTTGAGCGGACACCCAGACTATTTGCGCGGAGCAGTTAGTCATTGTTTTGTGTACAGGATAGTGAAATAGCTGGTTGCTCGGGGGTATTGATTGAAAATAGACAGGCTGTAATATCCGGTCAAAACATACTGGACTTGTCCGATTTTGACCACTCCTTCAACTTGGTGACGTAGTCATCGAATTCCTTCTCACGGCGTTCGCGATTCTCAAGACTCTTCTTTTGAAGCTCAGGGTTATATCTCTATAGTAAAGAACGTCGTCAGTCGAAGTTCATCCCGCGCCATTGGTATAGTTGAACGATATAAACGATGTAGAAGCGCACCTTGAAAAGCTCCTCCTCTGTTGGACGAATATATTGAACAAAAGCTGGGCCGCCGACACAGAGAACTATGCCACTAAAATTGTGAAAATGTGAGTAACTGTATCATTATAGCGAAAATCGTATGCCTTGGTAAAGGGGAAGCTCATACGCTCCGGCCATCTTCATCCAGGTAACTGCGCGCGACATCGTGAAGGTTTGAGGCTATTCGATAGCACGTCCGATGAGACAATTCAAATCTTTCCGGCGTAACTCGAAACTTCGATAATGCCAGTCCCCTGGCCCGCAATGAGACTGGATGCAAATCCGTCGAGTTTGAGTGGAATCGACTATCCAGTCTTTCCATCGCTACCGCGTAACTCGCCGCATCGCCGGAGTTGGGACGTGGCGCATTAAACTCTGTGGCGCAGCTCTCGGGAGCAGCCACACCCCGTGCAGTCCGTGACATCGAGGATACAACCAGTGCTCTGGAAGTCCCTATATTCACATATAAGATGATGCCTTTTGACATCGTGTTTTGACAGGCTGGCCACAGATCTGCATAGCTGGTGAATATGCAACATAGAATCTCATAAGGCCGTGTCCAGCTGCTATCGACCGTAATGTGTACCAATCTCGGAGACTTCCTCTCTACCTAGGTACCTAGCGACAATCAACCATTAACTAAACGGTCTCCTAACCTAACTAAGAGAAAGAACAAAGATATCGTCCCAGAACTCATATCATCAGAAGACTTAGAGGTAGTCCAGAGCCAACCGGCACAATAAATATCCCTCTGCGTCCTGGGACTGGGGAACGATGAGTACGGATATGAGACTACGGAGCAGCGTTGACAATATCGTATTATCGTCTAGTGCGTCGCTCTGATCATTGACTGAATATTGTGGGAATCAAAGGTGCGCTCGGTTTCATAAACTATTACGGAGCAGTAAGCTTGGGTAAGTGATTCAGTAAATACATACCCTGCTCGGCCAATGGTGTCAAATTACGGACTTTGTAATTAAAGATGGGTTAACCAAGTTAGATGGTCAGTCTGAAGTCCAATCAGGTACCTTGTCAGTATGTCGTGCCTAAATGGTAATTCTGTACCGCTTCGTTCTCTGAGTCGACATGGGCGAAAGGAACGCGATTCGAGAAACATATCGGCGACCATTCTGGCTCTGATTGCATGAAACAATGGTCGGAACGTATTGGATGAGACGCCAATTGCGCCAAATGCAACACGACCTGCAGATCTAAAGACCGTTGACGTCAGGAGCAACATATCGTTATATGCTCCGAAATTGAATGCTGGTTTGGGGATGGGGAGATAAGCACATTGTTCAACGCCGTCGGTTTCCTAGATAGGAGATTCACCAATGGCCGGCGTGTCAAGGAACCCGTTTGCGCCACAGAGAAAGGATGGAGATAGCAGGCTTCCGAACAGTTATCGAACCTAACTAGCCACGATCGGATTCGCATCACGCCAAACCCCTGATCTACATAGACCTCATTGGCCTCTGCTTTACCCGCAAGCCGTTCGGCCCGCAAGGCACAATTCTCCCGATGACGGGGGTGTACGGGGCGCCAGGAGAAGCAGAGTGAAGGTATGTATCAGAAAGACTAATAGTTTAACTGTAATGTCAGATGCGTTTGAAGATGAGGTTGGACCATTCCGCTTTGCGGGGCCGCAGACCAAGAGCTTTTAAGTACTTGACAGGGTCTCTAGCTCTCGATAGGTCACAGACGGAGGGCTAAGGATTGATATAACTTGGTGAATCAGTTGTCTCGAGCAGTGGATATACTACTGGATGCGCCTTAGATACTTTGTAGAACCGGCCAAAGGACCAACTTCGTTGGACAGTCCACTGCTGTGTAACGTAAAGGATCAGCGCCCAGGACGACAATAGCAGCGGGGTGAAGAACAAACTTGTAGGGACCCAAAGCCTTACGCCGGCGGCGTGGGCGACAAAAAAACGTTCATCGTGAGTTGGAATCCACGGCCGAACGGCGAGCTGCGCGAACAAGTCAGCGCTGCATCGTTCTCCTTTTTCAGCTTGTAGAGACCTGCGCCAATCGGCGAGATAGGCCAGTTCCAAGAGGACAGAGAGGGGTGGAACCGGCAAACGGATACGATGCTGGTTGTTCGTTCTCCTGAAGCTAATGCGGTAGATTCAACTGCCCCCTCCACTTGTTCGGGCCCGACAGGTGATCGCTGCTCCCCTCGGAGTCGTGAGACCGACACTGCTGAAAATTGTTAACGATTCATTATTGCAGCCCTCTGCCACTCTGCGCTTCATCACAATTATTCTTGCTGCTGTTGCTTCTCGTCCCCCTGCCAGAGGAGCAGTGCCAGCAGGCGACAGACCTGCGGATTCTGTGTTGTGTTGCGATGCTGCTATGATAGGGATCGAAACTCAACTACTTCCTCGCACGTTCATGCCAATGCGCCCTTTTGCGTCACAATCCCTGTTGATATCTGTCCGCATTGGTTCTCTACAGTGCTCCTCCAAGCTTCAGATTCGGAATCGTCCCCGTTTCTTGGCTCTTCCGTCGCGGCTCTCTGCGTAGCGTCGTCCGTTCGTTCCTATCGGCCTCAGCTTAAAATTAAAGAAACGCCCCTGGGTGAGACCCACGCCCCGCGGACATTCACGGTTCTTTTGTTGACGATAATAATGGTGAGGACTAACACATTTTAATACTTGGCAGTGTTGCCAAGTACCCTTATCCCCCGTCCCAGAGCCCTACGGAACGAGTCTCAGTCAAGCTGCATAAGACGGAGACGGCCCCTCAAATCGACGGCGAAGCGAAAGATAAGGCCTCGGTGCTAATATCAGACTGGGGATGGCGTATCCTCAGCGAGCGCCGCCGCAACGGCCTCCTCCTACCAGACAATACGACAATCCGTATCCTCAGGCTGCGGGCTGGCAGGGTCCGCCGCAGAACGGCTATGATCAAGGATACCAGGATTATGGGTACGATAACTACGATGGCTATGGCGACGCTGGATACAGAGGCCAGCAGGCGTATCCCCCGCGATCGCAGTCGCGACCACAGCGCGGTGGTTACGGTGGACCGCCACACCAACCTGGATATGACGGTCGAGGCAATCCGGACAGAAGACGACCTCCGCCAGGCGGGCCAGGAGGCAGGCCGATGAATCGACCTCCTCCGCAGGGGCGAATGAGACCACGTGAGTAAGAGGCTTCGAACAGAAATAAATGAACAAGAACTAATGAGCATTCAGCACAAGGAGGACCGCCGCAGAATGGATCCTGGGACATGCGCAAGGGTCCGCCGGATACTGGTATTGAGAGGCAGATGGCAGGCATGGATTTGAAGGATAGATCGCCGCCTGTGCGCGCCCCGGAGCGACCGCATACCTCTCACTCGATCCGCTCCGACTCCTCGAGACAACAAAGTGCTCACTCGTCTCCAAGAGAATATAGAAATGGGAGGGACCCGTACGGATCGCGTGGACCACCACCTGCTGGATATGGCCCACCTCGAGGCAGACCTGAGCGGCCGTACATTGATCCCAATGTCCCGCCGGTGATGCCGCAAGCAACGAGAAGCGCGACTATGCCCATCAACTCTCCGACGCAGTCAGGGCCACCGCGACAACCACTGTACCCTGGACAGTCTACGTACCAGGAACACACGCCCGCATCTGCGACTTCCTACAATGCAGATCCTTACAGCCAGCCCCCTCCTCCAAGACCGTCTACTACGACTGGATATAGGCCTGACGCGTCGACTATTCCTCGGTCAGATCCAGCAGGCTATCTTGCGCAACCTGCGTCCACAGATGACAAAGACGCCTCGGACGACGACTTCTTGGATCATTACTTTGACTCAGCAGAGGGCGATGAACCCGATATGCCGAACTTTGATGCTATGCCGGACAATCCTCAGAGTCACCAGGAGCATTTTATACCAGGGGTAGAAGACCGGAAGCCCCCGGCGCCAGCCGCTGCTCAGTCGGGAGGCCAATACGCTGCGTACAACCCAGGGTTCTCGGCACAAGCTCACAAAGCTCAGTCGCAGCCCGACCTCCGAACCAACCATCACGACGAGCTTGCAAATGCAGGGTTTCAGTTCGACCTTCCTAATGATCAGAATACCTACGGAGATTCGATGAACAGTCAATATCCCCCAGGAAACCAGGGGCCACCTATGCCGATGTATACTGAGAGTTACGGGGGTTATGCGCCTCCACAACAATATGGTGGGTCTATGCAAGACAATGGCCCTCCACGACCATATAGGTCAAATCAGCCCAGTATGGAATCACAGGAGTTTCAGGGCGTGGATCCGCAAAACCCAGACTCCCTGCCTGCTCATCCGACACCTTTCAGACCTGGGCTTGATCAAGGCCCCAAACCCGCTCCAGTGCGACAGTACGGTGGCCCTCCTGCTGGCGCACCCGGGCCTAGTCAGATCCCGCAACAAACTGTGGCTGGAGAAGAACCGGATTCGGGGCCAGTCACTCAGCAAGAGCTTGACCGTCTGCAGCTAATGGTGCGCAGCCGTCCGGAGGACCGGAAGCTACAGTTGACGTTAGCAAAGAAGATGGTTGAAGCTTCAACGGTCCTTGTTAACGGAGACGGAATGCTTGATGCCAAAACGAAGAGCAAGACACGCGAAAAGTATATCATGGATGCCTATAAAATGGTAAAGAAGCTCGTACATGCCGGATATCCAGAAGCCATGTTTTATCTGGCAGACTGCTATGGTCAAGGCCAGCTGGGTCTGGAAGTTGACACGAAGGAAGCTTTCCATTTGTATCAATCTGCTGCGAAACAGGGACATGCGGAATCCGCTTACCGTGTGGCTGTGTGTTGCGAACTGGGGCAGGAAGAAGGCGGCGGAACCAAACGCGACCCGTTCAAGGCGGTTCAGTGGTACAAGCGTGCTGCAGCCCTGGGAAATACGCCTGCCATGTATAAGATGGGAATGATTCTGCTGAAGGGTCTCCTGGGACAGCAGAAGAGCCCGCGAGAAGCTATCTCATGGTTGAAGCGTGCTGCGGAACGTGCAGACGAGGAGAATCCCCACGCTCTCCATGAGCTCGGTCTGTTATATGAGAGCGCTAGTGGCAACGATATCGTTATCCGGGACGAAGAATACTCCAGACAGCTCTTCCACCAGGCTGCAGAGCTTGGGTACAAATTCTCTCAGTTCCGACTCGGATCTGCATACGAGTATGGTCTCATGGGTTGCCCTGTGGATGCGCGTCAAAGTATCATTTGGTACACTCGCGCGGCTGCACAGGGTGAACACCAGAGTGAACTTGCCCTCAGTGGTTGGTACCTGACCGGAGCTGAAGGCATTCTGCAGCAGAGCGACACTGAAGCCTATCTATGGGCGAGGAAAGCAGCTTCTGCTGGTCTCGCGAAGGCTGAGTATGCCATGGGTTACTTTACGGAGGTTGGTATCGGCGTCGCCTCCAACCTTGACGACGCCAAGAGATGGTATTGGCGGGCAGCTTGTAAGTTGTTTGTTACGTTGGTCTCCGCATAAATCATAATACTGACTGATTCTACAGCTCAGAACTTTGACAAAGCTCGTGAACGCCTCGAGGATCTAAAAAAGGGCGGTGGCAGGATGCAAAAGACACGAGTCTCGCGCTCCAACGTCACCAAACAGAACGAAGGCGATTGCATCGTCATGTAAAAATCAAAAAGAAACACTATTCTTTCTACTTTCCAACTTCACGTTTTGTCTGCATTTTGTTTTCTTTCTTTGTCCATGGGATACCCGTAACTTTTGGACTTTCTCGTTTACCCCTATTCGAAACAGCCAGGATCAACATGGTTGCAGACCTGATTTCTTCCGGCAGGACTCGGCATATTATTTTCGGCAGTTATGGCCTATGTGGCCTAGATACCTTTATCTTTAGTTTGAGAGCAGCTTTAAGATTTCACAGAAATGTGTAATCGAGGGTTGCCGGCATGAGGCGATGACCTACAGTACAATGCAGACCCTTACGATATTATTTTTGGGACTTGGCACCTGAACTTGTGGAAGCATATCTTCTGTAGGGATGTGATTACTTCGTGTTATTATTGTCGTAGTCTTAATCACGTTTCGCCGGAGGTAGACACTAGATTTTGTGGGACTATCAAAGCTTCCAATGTCGCCAGTAGCTTCCTACTCGATTCCAGAGAGTGACCTCACGCAACTCATTAGTAGACGATTCAATGTACTTCTAGTTATTCGTCTTACAATGAAAGGATAAGTAATTATGCCAAGGGGCGTTTGCATATATAGGCTTGGCGACTGACAAACGGGCCGACAACCGCGGACAGATTCCGCGCGGCGATCCCGAGTATCTCCCATTTTCCATAGAAAGCCGGGTTTCGCTTACATATCCTACGTATCCGGTTAGTTAAGCAACTATTAATGCATTTGGATATATAGCCGGCTTCCCTTGAATCACATATATCTGCTTCCTGATTAGAGTCCGTTCTAGTTTGATTGATTGATTGATTGATTGATAGACTAGCCCTGATCCTTGCTCATCCTACTCCGAACTACTCTATCATCAAACGGAGGGATAACTAGGTATGCTTTGTCGGTTCTAACTCAACCTCACAGTTAGAAACCCTCCAGGAATTAAAGAGGAGAGGACCAAATCAATACCTATCTACTCTCCCGTTGCCGGTTGTCCCCTGCGCAGCTATCCTATATATGCCTTCATCTCCCGCCAATATCCCGCCAAAGGACCCGAGTCAGGGACATCCAGAACGCAGCAATAGCAGCAGTCCAAGCACATCGCCCGTCACGATCCTCCTTTCCATCCTTTCAGTTCTTTCCGCGGTCTTTATCGCGTATCTGGTTCATTCGTCAACTACAACTACAACCACAACCGCTTCTGCAGACCAGGATACCGCCACCGTGACGCGATTCTTTCCCTTTTCACGACTGCTTAGCAGGCAGTCTGTTGTTAGACAGGTTTCGAATTCAGCGGCTCTTCAAGCCAAGTCGAATCTTGCGAATCTTCGTGCTGAGGAGACTGGATTCAAGATGAGGACGCCGGTTTATTTTATCAGTCATGGAGGGGTGGGTTTTTTTATTTTGATTTTGATTTATTTTTGATTTTGGGGATACTGGATTTTATTCTCTGGGGGGACACTGGAATTTGCATCGCAGAAGGATATATAAACTTATTGTTTTACCACGTTATGGATATCAAGCTAACCTTAACCACCAGCCAAACGTCATGTATGAGCGTGACCATCCTGCATACAGCAAATTGCAGGAATTGGGCCGTGAGATCACGACCAAGGTGAAGCCGCGCGCGGTGGTCGTCTTTTCTGCCCATTGGCAAGCAGGCCCGGACACAATCCAGGTGAACACGGCTGAGATCACGGATTTGATCTACGAGTAAGTTTCTGAGGATCTCATGTGGAATTCGATTGGATTGTGATGACGGAGAGAAAGAACATGGCTGAAAAATTGGCAGTTTCTATGGCTTTCCGAGCCACTACTACAAGGAAAAATTTCCTAATGTAGGAAGCAAGGAGGTCGCTCAGAAGGTCATTGATGCTCTGCATGAAGCCGGAATCAAAGCCGAGGGAGTCAAGAGGGGTCTTGATCACGGTGTCTGGGCGGGGTTTAAGTGCGGTATGGTTAATATATTCTGCGATTCTCACGAGATATATGATTAACACTTATAATTTTAGCTTTCGATCCCGAGACGAATCCACTGAAGGTTCCGATCGTGCAGGTATCTCTATTCGGAAATGAGGACCCGGCCAAGCACTACAAACTAGGACAGGCCTTGTCGAAGCTGCGCGATGAGAATATCCAGATCATTGGTTCCGGAATGGCGGTGCACAATCTGCGCGATATGCACTTCACGTTTGGAGATCCCAGACCCCTGCCATACACGGTCAGTTTCGACGAAGCGCTCAAGGACGCGGCCACCGCCCCGCCAGAGAAGAGGGAGCAGGCCATGGTTGATCTGCTGAAGAGACCAGACGCAAGACAAGCGCACCCCTTCTTCGATCATATCCTTCCCGTCCACATCGCGGCTGGTGCAGCTGGCGAGGATAAGGGTAGGAGACTATGGACTCTGAAGTCAGGCAGTATGAGTTGGGCGCAGTTCCGTTTCGGCGAGCCTGCCGTCAATGGCACCTTGTAATTTCTCCGGATATAGTAAATCGAAGATAATCAAAACAAGTCAACAACCAATATCTCACGCGGGTCACCGAGATTGTAGGAGGAATTTCATTTTCATGTAGAGGTACAGACGGAGTCGCTCGAGGGCGCAGTGCATAAAACAGAGATAGAACGCAGATCTTTTCGGCTATGCAGTCTTTACCAGCGAGGTCACCTTCTCCTCAATCTCCTTGTCGGACAGACCTGGTAGCATTTATGTCAGCGGGGGCCATCCCGACGGAAATCTGGAGACAGATAGATACTTACCGTTCAGCAGCTCAAGCTTCTCCTTTCCCAGGGCTGTACAAATCACCACACCGTCAGTCCCTCACTCGATTCCACAATACTTCCATGGAAATAGAATCGTACCGTATCTCGCATAGACCCGCGGCTCCGTGCCCGCGGCTTCTCGCATGAGGATGGGAATGTATGGGTTGTTCTTCTTCATCGTGGGGTACGCGCGCTTGAGGAATGACCTATCGGCTCCAGCGTTAGCACAGAGACGCGCCATTGGCATTTTCAGCCGGTAGATGTCGATAGATCACGAACCTCGTAGCCTCGCTGTGTGCGGAGGTCTGGCAGAAAAGGAAGCGGAGCTCCTTCAGGCCCTGAGAGAAGGCGTACTTGGCCGACATTTCTGTGCAGCTTTCGGGGAAAAGGTCGACTTTCCGCTGCGATATAAGCCAGACAATATGATAATCTAACCAGGGTATCAATTGGTGGGCGGAGGAGAACCCAAGAAGCAGAGAGAGAGGGGAACAGAGTCGATATGTTAAGCAGCTTTGCGGACGGTTGGAAGTTGCAGGCTGAGCGAATCGACCAATCGGGGCAAGCGTAATGTCAGGGATGACTCAGCCGGGCATAAGAGATGTTGTGCTCGGACATAAGTGAAATCCCCAAAGAACGGCCGGTGAGACGAACGGATAATCCGCCGAGATCGCCCGGGGAGAGCAGTATTGTGACTATCCCCATCTTCAGTCGACTCTCATTTCATCCTCAACAGACTATCTTGAGAGGCGTTTCCCATTTCGTCCTTCTTCCTCTCCACTCCCTTCAGGGCTCAGGTCACAGCTCGAGTTCGAAAAATCACCGGCTGTCGCGCGACATTATCTCTTGAACCACCCCAGATTCTCCCCGCCCATCATGTCGACCTCTCGCGTTGGTTTGCGCTTTTTCCAGAACACCAGAGCTGCGTTCCGTAACGCCTCTGCTCCTTTCCGCAGACAGGGCCGTCGGTTCCAGAGCTCAGAGGCTGGAGCGGCGCAGGAGCAGCAGAGCACTTTCCAGCGTCTATGGAACAGCCCTATTGGCGTCAAGACGGTGCATTTCTGGTGAGCAAATTGCGCGCTGTATGAATTGTCCGTTTTAAAGGGACCGCTGCTAACGGTTGGATTCGCAATGTTCAGGGCTCCCATGATGAAGGTACAATTGGACCAATTTCCTGATAAGACGTGATTCCATATTCGCTGCGCCAGCATATATAATCATGGACGATTAGTGCGATACGACTACAGATGGCTAATTTTATGTGTTTCAGTGGGCTCTCGTTATCGCAGGTATTTCCGACTTCGGTCGTCCAGCTGAGAAGCTGTCTTTGACTCAGAACGGTGCCCTCATGGCCACGGGTGCCATCTGGACCCGATGGTGCCTGATCATCAAGCCTCGTAATGTTCTGTATGTAGTGTTCTTCCTGAACTACGACTTGAAAACAACATCACTGACCTCAACCTTAGTCTTGCTACCGTGAACTTCTTCCTGGGATGCGTCGGTGTCGTCCAGGTCACCCGTATCTTCCTCTGGAAACGCAGCCAGGCCGGCTCTACAGCTGAGGCTGCCAAGGAGATCGAGCACGAAGTGGTCGACTCCGCCAAGGCAGTCGAGAAGGCCGCCGAGGGAGCTCTGAAGAAGAGCAACTAAAGCATTAAAACATATATATGTCCTATACCATGTATAGATAACGAGAGTTTCTATCAGGGAAGACGCCATGACTCTGGTAGCCAGTCTCCACTAATCAACTCGGGGCGGAATTAAAAATTTAAAGCTACGTTTTAGAATTCGATTGGATCTTCAGAGTATCAGCTTTTCAGTGCTAGACACGTCTCATTGCAACCTAGAATCAGTTCGAACTGAGCACGTCGAGATGTCACCCTGGTTATTGAGTCTTTCGGCGTCGAACCGCTAATCCGTCAATCCAGAAGATTGGACAAGAGCGGTCTCAGAAAGTCTCCATAACAGCAAGCAAATTCATGTTCGGGATCCACGTTGTGAGATTCAAGTGTCTTGAAATTTAGCCTAATTGTCTGGTCTACAAACAGGGTCTGCAAACATCTTGTCTCCAAACTTGAAGAAGCTATCCGTCCCGCGGAATCCCCGTTGTAAAGCTACATTCCAAACTCCGGTAAAAGTCCTGCTATGACTCCGCCTTTCGGGAAAGAATTCCAATAGAATTCATTTCTTCCCACTAGGTGGGGTATAAGTCGCACTTCCCTTGCCATCATTGTAGTACGTGCTCCCGTTGGAGTTGGAATAGTAGTAGGAACCGTTTCTGTGAGACAGTATCAGAAAAGGACAAACCAGATGCTTCAGATTGATCAACTCACGCGTTGGAATAATGATACGCATCACTTCCTTGGCCGTTGCTGTTGCTTCCAGTCCCGTAGTCGCGGACACAGTAGTGGTTGCCCTGTACGATTGATAGGATTAGAACGTAGTTGATTTTCATCACGTAGACATTACATATTTAGACATTAGTTTAGTCAAATGTAGATGTATAATTAGTAAATCGTATACTACTCGTTATACCAGTAGCTTCTGTATCTTAGGCCGATAAAGAGGAGGCCGGGAGCCGCCTTGCTTACCTGACTATTAGTCCCCGAGCTGACGTAGTCGTATCCCTTTCCGGATGAAGACATTGTCGATTGTTTTCTTGATAGATTCAGTGTGTTTGGTAATGTGGATTTGTTGATGACTTTGGTCCTTATGGCTGACTCGATGGAGATGAAGGTAAGGCAGGTAAGAGAAATCCAAGCACGGGAGAAGAAAGGGGGGTTTTAAATGTCACGCAAAGCGGTGACTGAGCAAAACAACCTTGGAACCGGGATGATCCGGTGAATACCAGTAGATAATTATCAAGGCAGGAGGGGGTTACCGCTAATAATTACTCTGTAAACTTTATTTGGCACAACCCCGGTAGTTATTGTCTGTCGTATACAGACTAACAGTCAGTGATCGACAATAGACAAAATATGGAATGGCGACAAAAGGGTTCTGCAACTTAATATAAGATAGTATTCTTTTAGGCCCCTACGGTCCTGGAGGCAATCGTCTACACCCTTTTCCTATTGGGTTAGATTGGCGCACAGCAGATAGTAGGTAGCTACCTAGGTAGATTCTTGAGCTTCTTTATCATCTAGTCTCTGAACCTCCAAGACGAGCAATTTTCTCACCCGTTTTATCTCGGCCGACCTGCACTAACTAACTATACTTACATATAGTTAGTCATTATCAGAATCTCGACGGTCCTAAAAACAAAAACAAAAAACAAAAAAATACATACAACAGCCGGGATTCGCTGGTGGTCACCCACCCAACTACTAACCGGCCGGCGTGTGGCTTAAGTACGGCTGAGCGGACGGGAAGCCCTGTTTTCCACACCCTATGGTCGTATGTGCCGGATAAAGGTGATTACAGGTATATGAGATCTTGCATTTTTTGCTGTGTGGTCTTTTGTTTTACAGGAATTCAAGTTTACTTGCAGCAATATCTTATCTGTTAACAGCTCAGATGCTTCCCTAAAATCAGATAGTCGCTTAGATATTGACTCCCGTTTGATTTGTCGACTCTGAGATCACAAATATGGCCCACGCTCGATGGAATGCTATCTACTACCGTCACGAATCCTCCGCTGCGTCGGTCGAAAATATTACATCCCAATGATGAGGTAGGAGGGTGTTTTTAACTGCCGGTCTTGCATCTTGACTACAAAGTTCAGTTTGCTATAATTCATACAGTATACTGTCGGCCAGATCTATCTTGTATCAGTACAGGGTTAAGGATCTCCGAAATTCGTATGCGATGCTGAAGGCGATTAGCCATACATGAGGCCATAAACCATAGTTTAAATTGCACTGCTATGTTAGACAGCGACACATAGCAGAAGCTTTTTTTTTTTCACTGGTACCAAGCAGTGTACACATAGAATCCAGATACCCATGTACGAGCCAGATGTGGTGTTAACTCGCAAGGTGGTAAAGACTTTACATATATCGAATCCAAATCACGGAAGCAATAGTATAGTTTGGACCTCCTACTTAGTAGCCAAGTTACTTGACTTGCCCAATTCTAGATCTAGGAGGAAGATTGACTCCATATTTAGCTCTGCAGACTGTAGCATATGAAGTATCTAGAACCTGATGATCTAATAGTCTTTATCCTATTATTAGGATATTTTGGGCCTGTAGGCCAGGCGGATACCTAGGTATCGCCTGCCTCCTTCCGCATTGAGCCTAGTGCTTCGCACAGATAGCTTAGATAGCTAGAGCTTCAGAGCTCGATCCTAGAGAATCAAGCATCTTCATCTCCTAGCTTCGCGTGCCCGAGAGGATATTAAAGAATCTGCTGCAAATGGATGTGACAGATCACCTGGATGTACGCTTTGTGCATAGACACTATGTCTCTGCGTCCTCAATTAATAGCACTCGTAGTAAATCAACGTTCTTTCTACCGCCACGCAAGCCCTGTCGACCATCCTTATAGGTAGGCCAATTTTTGACCTAGATAGCAAATATATTAGAATAAGATATGGCCATGTATATGCTTGTTTTGCAGGCTGAATTCAGTTAGTATCACTATTACATGGAAACTAGAGTGCATACTCTTGTCTTATACGGTCGAGCAATTGCTATCATAGAATTGCTCGGGGGTAATGTCAAAGTCCTATATCTTTCTGAGAAATTCTCTATCTCCAGCTTATCATCAGGAGAGCCACAGTTCATGTCTGCACTTCAGCGTATTTGTGCATATGCGCAGTGACCGCCTTCGTATCCCCTCGTGGGGGCCAATTCATTTGGTGATCTTCAAAAACTAACCTCACAGCCTCAAGCCCCACGTAAGTACAGTTCCCGTCGTCCAATTTCATATTCGGAATCCATTGATGATGATCTTTTTCGCTATAATGTTAAAAGCTGTGTGCTCTTCCTCTTTCTCTTCTTTTCACAAAGAAGATGAGATTACTAGACTATGCGCATTAATCTTGCCCTTCGCCGCCAGCCACGAACAGACCGTCAACATTTCAGGAGACCCACGATTTCCCTGGCTCATGCCTCAGAAATAGACACGACTGCAGTTATTTCAGGCCATTTTGGGCCAAGATTTCCACCTTAACATACTATGGGACCATGAACTTAAGGCCACGATTTTCGAGCGATTATATTTGCAAGGCGGAAATTGCACCTGATCCTGATATTAGTGGCCTTGGAGTCGGTTTTTCACCTAATCGAACCCGCAAGTCAGAGACTGGGACTGACTGTATTAGGTGTTCTCGTCTTTCATTGTGGTCACCTGGATTACGATATTTGTGGCTGGAGTTCCAGCGATATATGAAGCAGTCGAGAGTTACTAAAATCCGCAAAAACGATACCTTTTCCGCGCGACACGTGAATGTCAAACTGGCCGACAATATCCAGTATTTCGATCAGATCTCGACCTGCAATCCTTTGGTATCATTGCGGCAAAGTTTCAGAAGCTGATAGGACCTTTGTGTGATCTCCAAGTAATCACGGGTATCGGTATTATTATAGCCAGCTGGTCCCAGATCCATACCATCAACTACTACCATGAGCAACTGGTGGTGACCTACTGGTGGCTTACGCTCAACTCCTTCTGGGCAGGCCGTGTCAACTACTTGGATTTCGATGTGGAGGACGATGACATTCGTATCCTAGTGCGACGAGTATCCATCCTTTGCAGTTATATCATTTCAAGGATATATCATACTTCAGCAACGGACATGGAATGACAGCCAGGGTCCTTGCTACCGCTACGAAGACGGATCAACGCCTGTTCCGTGGATGATTGGGCTCTGTCTTTTCTGCATTGCCTTGTTATCAGCCACATTTCGGAAAACCAAGATATTCGTCAAGTGGTATTTGGACAGCCTGGAGATAGTCAATCAAAGACTCGAGGAGTGGTACGTCACTTCACAGCAAACGCGGGAAAAGACAATCTCTCAGTCTTCTGGCCTGCCAGCCGCCGTCCCCCAGTTCGGACAGCTCAAGGCATACTTCATGGTGGCTTTGTCTTTGACATGTAGGGTCCTTTGGTTCATCGTGGTGCTATGTCTCGATGTCTGGTCTTACGGAAACAGTTTTGCGCCAATGACCTGGTGTTTGAATGCCTTTTTCAGCTCCTGGGATACCTTCATCGCAATCAGCACATGGCGCTTAAACCAAACGAATATGAAAGGCGATGAGAGCCAAATGAGCTTTGGCCAAGTTCTGCCGCTATGCTTGATTGGCTCTATCATATTTAGTGCTGTTGATATTTTTCGCGGTGAGCTGTACTAATTCCACTATCACTACAGAGGAGATGAAGCTAATTGGATTAAACGTAGAAGATCCAGATTGCGAATATATGACGAAACATGACGCTTCTGATGTCGGGGATTGTGTCGTTGAGAATGTGTGATGTGATGCATATAGGGCCCCAAGAGACTTTCTTCGAGACAGACGCAGACACGGCTCTCCGCGAACTTCTCGAGGATAATCATGTTGGTGACTCGCGACTCCAAATTGAGAAACATAAAAGTGCAGATCAACAACGAGACGGGATCTCACTGGGCATGAAGACAACAGAGGCCCGATTCGTGACCACAAAACAAATGGGGAGAGTGACGGGACGCCTAACAGCCACCAGTCACTTTTTATCTCGACTTTCCCAAGCCAGGTGCTTTTGTCCGTGCAAAGCCAGAAGTGAATGTCCGTATCACACGGAATAGTTGGTGATCTGCAACAACGAACTATGGAGCGGCAACAGAAGGGTCTTGTGACTTGACACCGTGAAAGGAAACGGATTTTCTGGAATCGAAAGCATGACGCTATTTAGCCAAGAATCTGAGGATCGTACGAATAAGAATAGCGGAGATATATATCCACGCTTCATATATATCAGCCAAAACATTGTTTAAAATCTTTCTGCCCGAATGAAAAGTCCCGACGTGTGGAACCACATAGTAACAGAGACAGTGGGTATCAGTTGGCAGCATATAGCCGAACATGGACACCCTTGTCATGGGCCTGGGTCAAGGTGTGGTTCATAATGGGCCGAGAGCCACGATCAGGACCCGGGTCGGCGTTCTCCAGAGTCTGGAAACGCTGAAGCAGCTTAATGATGACATAGCTTGCTTCCGTAAGTGCGTATTGTTCTGTTTCATTGACTCCATTAGAAAAATCCGCGGGGATTAATTGAGAAGAGAGAGAGGCTTACGGCCAAGACAGATACGGGGACCTCCGTTGAAAGGCAAATATTCCCATCCTTTAGGGGTGAATTCGGCCCATCTCTCAGGGCGGAATTCCTCGGCGTCCGCACCCCAGATATCACGGCGTGTGTGGAGAGCCCACACGACATACCGGATGACTGTGCCCTTTGGAATGAAAATCGGCGATCGACCATCCGGTCCACCACCGACAGGAAGAGTGGTGTCCCTGATCGCGGTACGTCCGTTCGCTGGGACCGGAGGAAGAAGTCGCAGTGCTATAGCACGTCAGATACGATGTCCCGTTTTCATTCTAGAAGCCCTTCAGGTCTTACCTTCGTTAACAACGTATCGCAAATAAGGCAGGTCTTTCATGGAGTGGAAGTTGATATCCGCGCCCTTCTCAGCATCAGTGCCAAAACGTTCCACAATCTCCTCCCGGAGAGTATCCCAAGCTCTCTTGTTGCGAGCCAAGAAATAAAAGACAGAACTGAGAAGACTAGAAGTGGTGTCTCGTCCCGCGAGCAGGATATTCAACATCTGATCCCGCAGAACCTTGCGGTCCTTTGTTTGTAGGGCGAGGGCTTCGAGGAAGACGTATCGCCCTTGCTCATTGGGAACTTTCGCATTTCCACTCTCAACATAGCGGATGGCTTTGTCCACATAATAGTCGACAAACTGGTGGACAAGCCTGTTTGCCTCCCGGAATTCTTTGGAATTGATCAACCAGTAGAAACCCTGGGCACGACCACGCTGGGCCAGAACATCTTGAGAGTAGTTGAAGGCATCGGCGAAGCCTTGTTTGCCTTCCACGGACTTCTCACTGATGCCGATCTGGTTACTAGTGGCAGACACGAGCGATTCAACAGACTCTCCAAACAAGAAATCCGTGGCAGAGTCCAATGTCAATCGGAAGAAAAGCTCCTGAATATCAAAAGGAGTTCCGTCTTTCGGCATCGCCTGGATCAGTCGCTCGACATGAATGTCCATTTGGTCCAGATCGGAAACCTAGCATATACTAATTAGAGAGGCCCCGCAGGCGAGTTTTATAGCTTCTATAGGAATCATACCTGATCCCGGGTAAATTGCGGACGCAGGAGCGCTCGAGAATGCGACCAGCCAGCTCCGTCGAGAGTGAAAATACCATCCCCGAGAAGGGGTGCAAACACTTCATGACGGCGGCCAAACGAGAAGTCATTGAACTGAGTCGCCAACACGGCCTTGATGTTCTCCGGTTCGATCGTAAAGATGCAGTTGGTACCGAGAATGTTCATGAGGTAGGTAGTTCCATATTCGTCGTGCAGTTCTCTGATCCGTCCGACAAATCGTTTCTCCTGTCCTGCTTTCTTCAAATCACAGAACGAATTGATGCCGAAAATACCAGCGGGGACAGTAGCACGTGGTGGCTTGCAAGACAACGCTTTCGCCTGCCTTCGATGTGTGAATCGACGAGCCAGATAGCGAGTTGCAATTAGCAAGATGCCCACGGCGACAAGGACAATCGTCCCCGGGAGTGACAACATTGCGCCGGGAGTTGTCAATCGCTGGTGTCTGCAGAAAAATAGAAGATCTGGGCCTGTCCTACTTCAGCAGATATAGTAATTCCTATCTCCTATGCCAAAGACCATGGTTCGCGTGAAGTGGGGACTGAAGGGAAAGGAGATGACATTTATGGTTTTTCTTGTCTATAAGTTTGAAACGCTGGACAACTTCTGGCATGATCCCAAGCTCCATCAACGGACGCTCCGCGGGCATGTGTGGGGATTCCACGGATCATTTTCATCATGGAGCATCTTCATCGAGCATCACAGGCCTGTCTGGTCTGTGCCACGGCCGAGGTCCCGATCGAGGTTGCAGCAGGCGTTGTCCCCTTCCCTTGCTAGAACCCAGAAAGACGCATGAGATCGGTGGGAATCATTATTCACAACTGGAACCTGGTACAGACTATGCAGATCGCACAGCTAGCACGCACACAAACCTCGGTATTATCCCCAGCCCGTTCGGATATCCATTATGGCGCCGACATTCTGACCACACGGAGGCCAACCTTAATAATACCAAGCCCGCTTTACTATTTAGTCGCGTCTTCGTATCCACCACGAGGCCGTTATTCGACTTAGTTCAGACCTGCTGCGCGCAGGCTCTTCTCGGCCGTCTAGAATCAGTCGATGTCGGCCAGTTCGGTGAATCTCGACCGGGTCCGGATTTCTCTCCACCAACCATCACAGTTTAATGTCATTTATGTACTGCTGAACCTAGCAAATAATGGTGGCGCCGACAGTCTCTTGAATCAACGCAACAAGCTTTTCCGTAGCTAGGTCTGCTGCTATAGCAGCTAATAATTCGAATCGGTAGAGAGTATCTATTGACGTTATTGACGTGCTGGTCTCAAATTATTTAACAAGTCTGCTCGCCTCGTAAGGGACCAGATTGACGCGAACCGCATCAAATGATTCACTCTGCACATTTAGGTTGTGAGATATAACTAGCTCTTTTCGGTCGGATAGGTAACCATTCTCATAGGCCCATTCGTGTATCGTACCTGTCGTATGCCGGGCCGAATCCACAGCCCAGGCCCGAAAGTCCAGGGGGTTGATCGATTACAATATCATTCTTCGACAGGCCGGACCTGGCCTAAAGTAAAGTACCATATTGCCATATTATTAGGGTTGTCCGCCGGTTTATCTGTTGAGATAACCTGCATTACTATGGAAGCTCCTGCTATTTATGCATTGCAGCTAAGCTAGATTTTGTCATGCAACGACGATTGATTTAAGTGCTTACGGACTAGGGCCACACTCTAGCTTCTTCAGCCTCATGAGATGAAAATATGACAGCTATTCATAAATAACTATATTCCTCAAGTGAACTTGATATGACAGTAATAATAGCGGTCGCTGTTCATTATGGCAGGTGCACGTGATAGACATTCATTAACCATGTACAGATATCCACATTGCATTGTATAGTTATTTAGAGTATGAAACTTGATAGGATCGCTATGAAAGTGTCTGTTACCCCTTCATGGTAGGACAGTTCTGTCGTGTAGTTAACCTGTCCAAAGACGCTAGACCACGTCAGTAGAGTAGTGTAACTAACAATCGGAAAAGACCGAAGCCGATAACAATGATATGTAACAATATTGATTTTCCAAGATTTTGTTGTCGTACTCGAGAATAGAATATTCACTTTTCAAAAATAGTCATAATTATTTCACATTCCTCCAATCAACTAAATTCTGCTCGCAATCTCATGGCGATAGACCCAGCTCCTCGCTCGCTTGCCCCAAATATACCTATAAGAGAGAATATCAGCCATAGAACAAGAAGAAACAAGAGGCTCTGGAAACTTACATCGGAATAGTGAGCAGACTCACTGCTGCAGTAATACCACCGATCACAAAGAACGTATTCCTCACTCCTTGACTTGCGATCCATCCGTTCATGTAGAACGTCATACCGAAAGCGAAGAAATTCTTGATGCAGTTCATAGTGGCAAATGCCTCGCCGGCTTTCTCACGGTGACAGTCAACTACGTAGGCTACGACGCCGGTGGTACCTAGTTGGACGCCCAAGTTGATGAGTCCTAAGCAGACAATGACGGGGATAGGCCATGGATCTTGCGCATGGGCAGACTGGCCCCATGCGAAAAAGCCAGTGGCTGTAAAGACAAGATAGGTGATCATGATAGGAAGACGGAATTCTGGTTCTAGCCACGATATTAGTTGTTCAGTCCCTCGTACAGACATGGTGATTCGGCTTACCAAATATGCCGTTGTTCCATTTCGACATTCTTTTAACGACGCCGTCAATCAGGGGTCCGGCAATAATCGTACCAATGAGCGATGCCACGAAAGAAGCCATGTTTGTAGCGCCCACAGCACCAACCGAAAAGTTGTATGGTGGAGCGGAGAAGATTTGAGACAGTGTGATCGAGATGCCCACCAGCCACGAGATACACGTGGTGAAGAGAAGAGTGGCCCACACAACAGCAGGAGAAGCAAGAAGGTAGAAAGGGCGGACCAGCGTATTCCAAAATGATACATGGTTGACATAGCCGTTGTATGGGAGCAACTCTTTCGCCCAAGAAATAGGTTTCTCTCCCGAACGCGTAGTTGTGGGCGAGCTTGTCTTGCTTTCTGATCGTTCTATTAATTCGACTTTGCTTTTGATTTCTTCTGCGACGACCTACTATTGGTTAGTAAAAGCTAATCTGTGTACGTCCGTGCAGTACTCACTACTTTGTTCCCTGTATCAATATTCAGGACGTCGTGCCTGACGAAGGCTGACTCGGGCATCCAGAAGAAGACCATGATCAGCGCTATCGCAAACGCGCCTCCCATAGAATGGAGAGTTATTCGGTACGATCCATATTCAATAATTGCACCGGCTGAAGAGATAACATGTTAACAGAAATGGACAGTTTATATCCTACTCGTGATGGAGAGCTTACCGATAGGTGTGGCCAGGTTGATACCGCCTAGGACTCCCAGGTTGAATATCGCTGTGCGAAAGCCACGCTCATGAACGAACCTAAAGCATTTTCAGATCCTCAGAAGGCTCGGCTTGAAAGAAGGCATTCTTACCAGATATCCGCAATGGAAGCGGGAACAAGAGCTTCCAGAGGCGCCATACATAGGCCCGTGAGAACTCGAGCAGCCACCAGTGATCTGAAGCTGCGCGCTTCTGCAGCCCAGAAGCATGACACCATCAGGCCGACGGTTGTAGCTAAGTATATAGGCCTCTTGCCATATTTTACTGCCAGACTGTTGAATATCAAACTTCCAACTGCAATTGCGGCAATCACGCCGCCCTGAACCCCGGAAACGAAATCTGTAAGTGGAATACCGAAATCTGCTGCCAGTGGAACAAAGGCTGCTCCCAGAAGCGGTCCGACAGCTTTCGTATTTGTGAGCTTCAGATGGCCCTCAGCATAGAATGAGAGTTCCCACGGTGTACGTACCTCCTACGCAACCACACGACCAGGCAAATGCGACTGTAAATAGTTCTTTCTTCCGCCGCGGCCAGTTATAGGGGTCATTAGGAGAGTCAGACGGTTGAGGGACGAGCACAATTTCCCCTGTAGGATCATGTTTCAAGAGACCAGCATCGACGCCGGATAGATTGAGGTCTTCACGGCCAACCTCGTTCAACGGGGCAGTGCCGGGGACATGCTCCAGCTTAGCATCCTCAAGAATACCAAGGGGCATGGTAGAGCAGATATTGAAGTACTCGAAAACGATTCGAAAAGCGCGGGTCTCACCAAACGAAAGGTAGGATAGAACTCGCAAAAAAGGAGCACGGATAGATGGTTTCTGGGGAGATCACTGTCACCTCGCTGTTCTGAGATGGTAATGATATCGACAGAGTCCCTGCACTATAACCCTGAACGACCTGCAGCTACACACCACAGTATGGGAAGTGGAGAGCGATATGCGACTTTATAAGTATCAGATCGTCGAAAAAACCAGACGTCAGGGCTTAGTGACAAAGCTAAATCCATAATTCTGACTCTATAGTATATACTATCATCCTAAATGCTAATCCGACTCCAACAGGACCTACCGTTTCTTAGCTCCTCGCTACTGCATACTCTGAGTATCTGTCACGCGTAGAACAGTTGTTCCTCCCCAGACTGAGGCCCCATCTGAGCCCCATCCTGTTGTAAAATCTCCCCACGTTATTGACCCTGGGCGGGTCTACCCCGTATTCAAGCCTCGTGGCGGCATAGGGGACCGGTCACGTTGAGATCCTTGCTATTGGGCTAAGCGAATGAGTCGCAGATGATACTCAATCCGGGGAAGAACTAACGACTTCTCCGCACTTTTCGCCGCGATAGACCAACTTAATTGAGCTACTCGTAATGCGCAAAGCCGGGAATATTGCGGGGGTTTCCCCTTGGGCCGGAAACGGGGTATGTCCGTAGGCCTCGTCAGCATTTCCGTTGTGAAGGTTGCTGGAGTATGCAGTGGCTCAAGGGTAAGATAAACTCTGCAGATATCTCTTAATTTTTTGCTTTGGGGCAAAGAAACGGAAAGGATGTCCCTGGTGTTGGAGCTTTGAGGCGACCTCAAGGAGAGTAGGGGAAAGCGAAGTACCTCTTTACTCCTGGGAGTAGAGATTCGTTGTGACCTTGGACCCGTTCATACCTCACAAGTAACTTCGATCGATGTTCGGTTTCACAGTATCCTAACTCCTGCCTGTTTAGGAATATCTCATACGGGTCAATGCCGTAGAAGCCCTCCTCTAGGTAAGCTGCTAATTCTGCGAGTCGGGTATCATTGGCATTTGAGTCAAGATGTAGCTTCTGATTCCAGATCCTATCTCCTGGTCATTGGAGCCATTAGTTGGTCTTGGGTCGTCCGATGTGGCGAGATGTGTCCTTGGGGAATTGTCCGACCCGGTACAGCGGCTCGTATCTATAGAGTTCATCAAGAAAGCCACATAACCTCCTTATAGTTCGGAGGTATCAGCTGACCTTTCTTGAGTAGGTGTATAGCTCTTGTTTCTCATGTATGGCCGCGTAGCACGAGTCAAAGGCGCAAAGGGGTCGAGAACGTACCAGATTCTGGCTATGTGGAGAAACGAGACTCATGTGGACCATCATTGCTCTCTCTTTCTTGTTCACAAATAACAACCTGTCGTGACTAGATTCAGTGCGATAGATAGAATATAAGCTAGATATTCAGACGGGATGAGGTCGACAACAGTAGACATCTCGAGGTTTCTGTTATAACGGATTCTATGAGTGCTAACTAGTATATTTGTCCGCATTTTCGCTCCATTCCCACTGTAATTATCTGCAAAGCATATACTGTGTTCGAGTGTACCTCCCTATCATGGAGTATCCAAAAAACGTAAAGCCATAAGCACCGTGGCGCTATCTGTCTTGGCGACAAGGTGGAAGATGGACAGCAGATAAGAAATAGACACCTTTATTATTCCATTCATGCTGCACAGTCTTGCTAGTTTTGTTTCAATTAACAAATTGAGAGAAATTGAATCAAAATAAAAGGAGAAAATACTTATGGAGTATGACATGTACGGCCCTTCTCTTTGTTATGGTGTACGACCCAGATGTAGGGCCCAGCGCCAACAAACTTGATTACTGGAAAAAGCCAATACCAGGAGCGTAATCTCTGTCGACATACTTCCGATTCCCCAATATATGCATAAAGTACCATACTTCCATGCTGCCCAAGTATATTATTTGACCTGTGAAGCATGGTGGTAACAAATTGCATCCATGTACAACAATGCTTGATGATAGATCCAAAAAAAAAAGTACTCGAAAAAAATAATCATGAAAGCTACGCTCTTTGAGAAACAGAAGAAAATTGGGTATAAGATGCTGTTATCCATCTCGTTACTCCTCTCTCCCTCGCCTACTAAATATCTTCGTTTTCCAAGACTCGAATATATCTATTTCGCTCTTCTACCATCTACTCACAACTACGAGACAAAGCAAAATGCACTTCATTTCCACCATCATCGCTACCGCTTTAGCAGTCGCCACCTTGGGCATGGCGCAGGCCCCGCCTTGCTACATCCAGTACGATTAGTCCTTCACCCAATGATCCCAAAGGAATCCTCGTACTGACATAAATTTCAGACATTCCCAAGTCCACAATACCCCCGCTCACTGTTTCTGCGCGGGAGATAGTACGTTTTCGATTCCATTTAGATCTACTTTTCAAAGCCCAGCAATATTCCCGTCACACTTCATTTGGATATCTACCGGATCTCTAACGATGGGTTTTAATATTTAGATTCCTGCTACGCCACGAACACAAGTGGGAACTGTAACCCCCCGTCAACTATTATTATCGCCTGTCCATGATTTTGGACATAACATCGAGGATCCTGTATCTGTCATATCGGCATGAAATAAAAAGAAGGGAAGGGCGGGGGCCAATGCATGTCAGCACCTTCTTTGAAGTCCAGTCGATGGTGCTCGCAGTATCGAACATTCTTTATTGTTGGACCAGAAATTCAAATAAAAATTACGGTGGCACTGTTGAGCTACATTTTCGGATGAACCTAGAGATCGTAGATTCTTTCTAGAGACTCGGTATAGTTAGCTTGAGGCTATGTTTCAGGTTACCCTGACTGAAGTTGTTCTTTTACGCATCTAGAAAGCCTCGAGTAACCTGACATCTAACTAGTACCCATAAGCATCGATCTATTCATTGATGTCATCTTCTTTGTCAGCGATTCAACCTATAACTACATGACTAGTTATGCCCTTGTGCTACCATCCGAGGGGTTCTTTTTGTCCCCGTAAGCTCTTTGTCTGCGTCTGTTGTTCCAGACCTCTTCGAAAGAACGTGTTCCTATCCTCCTCTCATTTTTGCATCGATACCTCAGGTATGAAATCAAGCACTTGTCGTCCTAATCTCTACACCTTATTGAAGTCCGAGACATGGCATGCATCTAACCCAACATAGCAAAACAATACACGAAGCTAATACATAACACCCTAACTACACTCCGGAATAACCCCTCTATCCCATCCAACCGTTAGTTGCCGGAGATTCCCCCCATCCCCGCAATTGTGTGGAGAAACTCCCGCAGAGGAAGAGGGGTCATGGGGATGTCTGTCTCGGTATTTTTGTTTTCTATACCAATAACTAACTCAGAGCTCTGTGGTGGGGTTCCGCGAACGTGTACCATGCTCTAAGTATTAGTATTAGTATCAGTACTGGTACTGGTAGTAAGTAAATTATGCATGGAACGCTCCGAGCCTCGGAAGAGAGAGCAGTTGTTTTCAACACTTCGTTTCAGTTGTGATAAGATAACTAGTACCTCCTGCATAGTTATTTTCTTTGGATTCATTCATCCTTTCCCAGCATATAACATAGCATTCAACCGCTGAAAAAAACATAGCAATCGTACTTCTGGACCGTATACAGACACACATTAACCATGGGCTCAACCGCAAAGAAAAGCATCATCATCACGGGTTTGTTTTTCCTCATCACCTACCTACGCCCTCCCTCTATTCTGAACTACATAAAACCCCCAACACTCCAGCCCAGAATCTAACAATATCCCTCCAGGAGGTGCATCAGGAATCGGCCTCGGTATAACCCGACACTTTGCCGCAGACCCAAACACCCACATCTCCATCTTCGACGTCAACGTCTCCACAGGCTCCGAGACACTTTCTGCGCTCCGAACCGAATTCCCTTCTGGCGCCAGCATGAGTTTCGTCCAATGTGACGTCTCGTCGTGGGAGAGCCAGGCTGATGCGTTTGAGAAAGTATATGCGGATCAAGGACGGATTGATATTGTTTTTGCGAATGCGGGGATCTCGAAAGAGGGCAAGTTGATTGAGACGGATAGGGCCCAGAGGGAGGAGAAGCCGATGAAGCCGGATTTGGGCACGCTGAATGTCAATTTGGTTGGGGTGATTTATTGTCAGTACTTTCATCTTTCTTTGTTGATTTGGGTTTGAGTGTGTGGTGATTGATGGTAAAGCTGACTTTGATACCCAGCTACGAAACTCGCAATCCACTACATCTCCAAAAACGTCGCAATCGACAATACAGCAAGTAAAGGCAGTATTATCTGCACCGCGTCCAACGCAGGCATATACCCATTCCCCATCGCGCCCATCTATGCCGCTACTAAGAGCGGAGTCATCGGACTCGTGAGAGCTCTCGCCCGCCCATTGGAAAGGGAACAGATCCAAATCAACGCCCTGGCCCCGGCGGTTATCCAGACGAATATCGCGCCGAGTCAGGACTTGTTTAAGCATATGGTCCTGACGCCGATGGAGACCGCTACGAATGCAGTGGCGCAGTTCTTGGCTGATCCGACACTGACGGGGAAAGTGGCCGAGTTGCATGGTAAGGTTGTCTCGTTCGCGGAGCCTCCGCCGTATGTGGATGAGGATACGGAGAGGAATATTGAGACGTTTTGGTCGTTGGGATATGCATGATTATATTCTTGAGGTGGTTAGGAATGATAGCCCGTATCCTGGGATGTGCTGAGGTAGGTAACATGGGGGGTGTGGGACCTAACTGCGTTCAATGTATAGCCATGAGTAAAGGATTATATTTCCATTTCACGCATAACCAGTTATCTAGTGCCTCAATTCATTAACGCCTCGTTATATGCAGCTGCAAGCTACGTTCAAGCAGTTTCGTAAACCCATTCCCAAAACATGACAGCACGGAATGTTGTCCTCTGTGCAAAAATAAGTCATGATGGCCAGATAATATACCAAATACACATTTCTTGAACACTCCATGCCTGTGCTTATCCATGAATATTGCACATAACAGCGCCCCTAGAATATGATAGTCCAAATATAACTCGCTCCTTCGTTAATTAATCGTCCTGCAGTAATACCTTCAACTTGTCCAGCTTATCTTCGCACTTGACTTCCATACGCATGGTAACATCCAGGCTGTCCTTCTTGGTGATCAATAGCTGTGCCACGAGCCAGAAATTGTACCCATTCTTGTAGAAGCCCATGGCGGCCCACTCATGACTGGGTACCTTGCTGTTCAGTGTCAGCCAGACAGAACGCCACCGCGCCAGCGCGGTCCGGATTGCTCCCAAGATGGAGTCGTCGGGCATGGAGATCTGGTGGCTGGGGCTGCTGGAAGAGTCTGTGAGAGACGGTGTTTCTGCCTTGGATGCCGCCGCCCTTCGCATCCGAATAAACGGATCGAGCAGGGTCATGTGGGAGTTTATGAAAGCGTATAGTACTATTCGAATCAGCAACAGCACGTGAGACTGTTCACAAGAGTGATCAACATACAGTGTATAAGAATAAACATATCCAGAACCGTGAGTTGCAGGCCTTCCAAGTTCTGCATGGATGTCTGCGTGAATGCTGACGAGACAGATTGAGACCGGCCAAGGACCGATTTACTGTTGGACGACTCTTCAGAAAAGAGCTGCTGGAAAGCCTCGCGGATTGTGACATTTCGGGTGAAACGAAAGTTTGGTTCTGCGAATGGATGTTGGGAGCAGAAGACCGACTCCTCGCAAGGGAGGTCACACTCCATCTCGTTGTGTGTTAGGCGACACGGATAATTTTGGTAGAAAGAAAAGGCACAGTCCAGGAGAGACACGACGTTGATTGTTCTGCAAGCGTCAGTGATCACGGTCAGGGGGGCAACCGATCGGTGCACTTACCGTATCCGCGATTCCTTCTGAATCCAGAGATATTCGTGAATCCGGTCCTCTGGAAGATGACGACATTTGAGAAGGCCCAGCTTGCGTGCCACCTTCGACAGTCAGTTTACGTTTCGGTTGAGGTGACAGCTGAAATACCTTAATGATCTCACCAAACCGATTCTCCATTGCCCTGTTTCGCGATATCCGACTACCAGCCCAGTATTGGATGACTACCATCAAATACCCTGCTTGGAAGTGTTGGAAATGCAGCCAGTCGCCTCTCTCGAGGTCCGGGTTGACTGTCCCAGTAAAAACACGGGCAATCTCGTTTTCGCATGCAAAGGCTTCCGTCGAAAAGACGAATAGCTCCGCGAAGTCAAGCACACGCTTGGCAGCGTACGACTCCCTCTCGTCGGTCGAGTACATGGCTCCCATGAAGACAACGGATGCCAATAGTGACGTAGGCACATGATCTGGATCGAATGACGGTGGGTGGATGACTGGGCAGTGAGGATGCCAGTGTTTAAAGTAGAGCTGTATAAACTTTCGGATTCGGCCCGGCGTGAGGAGAAAATGCAGATTTGTTGAGATTTCCTCCTGCGCCTTTGTGTCGAGGCTTACGGTCCATACTTTGGTCAAGATCGACTGGATCAAGGCAGTCGCAAATGGGGCCTCTGGTTCATAGATAGTCTCTCCAGGCAGCGTCAGGTTGGGGTCTTGTCCCGGAGGGACAATAGGGCGGTAGGCCAACCCTCCCGTAAGGGGATCGTATAGTGATTTCTGCGTCTCACCAAAAGGGCCATTGAAAAAGTTGATGAACGTGTCATGGAAGAATCCAAGGTCTCCAGGGTCCGCGTCGATGAAAGCAGGCGCATAGTCTGTCCGGACCCCGTCATAGCCATATGACACAGTTGGACTTGGACTCTCCTCCCATTCTTTCTTGGTGTGATAGACGAGTCCTCTGGTGCGTTCACTGCATGGCGGGAGTAGAAACTTCTCCGTGAAACTGTCTGTACCGCCATTCAAGAGGAATTTGATTGAGCCCCGATCCGAAGATTGGTCATACTCTTCGCGCTTTGCCAGCGACGGTCCTAGAATGGATGAACTATTAGTACTAGCTAGAACTGGTTCAACAGAGGACTCTACCTTTCTCAGTCATGGTTTCCTTTGATGGCTTCTTTCTCTGGTTGTTGCATTTGAGCTTCCTCTTGATGCATGAACCGCACGGACTCTCTCCGTCGCAGCGGAGTTTCATCGAAGTACACTATATCCCATCAGCGACCATGTCTCGCCATTGAAAAAAACAGAAAGAAGAAGAAGGCGCTTGGACTTACTGACTCGCATGCATGGCGTCGTCTCCCCCTCTGGCCAGTCTCTGGGATGGGTCGAGATCCCCGTTGGGCACAGTCGGGATAATGGTCTCGTAGATTGTCACTGTTTCCGACGTCAGAACCAGGGTTGCTGCATGCAGCTGAGTAACATTGATAGAATTTCAACTGACCATCGCGCAAAAGACTCGTCACAGAAAACGCACGAGTATGGCTTGAGCCCGGAGTCTGATGTTGATACCCGTCAAGTCAGTCACACCGCCACCGCGGCTCTCTACTGTCTGCCACCCGCGACGAGGAATGCTGGCGGAGACACGATCAGAAGTAATACGTACGCCGCAAGTGATGTCTCTTCAAATGATCGATGCGCGTAAATCCGCGCTGGCAGATAGTGCAACGAAAATGCTTATCAGCGGCAGGCTTCATGGCGAGGTTTGGAAGGCGCCCATCGGGGGGAAGTTCCTTGGGCTGGGGGGATCTGGGGTAAGGGGAAAATCTGGGGGAGAAGAATGATGAATGACAGCGACCGTGGCGGCAAAAGGTCCTGGAGTGGAGAGGGGACGATCGGGGAGGAGCAAGAAAATTGGACTGTTGGGATCAGACCAAGAGGGCAGTCTGTCTCCCCGGATTTGTCTCTGATGCACCAGCTGAACGCAGAGGATTATTATTTGGTTGAGTTGAGTGGTTCTAAATGCGGAGGAAGGGGATGATAGACGGTGATAATAGTGAGTGGAGATGATGATGATACTGGTTTAACAATGTTGATCTGGCTCAACTCATTATTATTGTCTGTGACAGAAATCACAATGATGAGCAGAAGCAAGCATCTGTCTCTCTTTTCTTCCTTTTCTCATCGCTCCGTCAACCTGACCACTTCCCCTCCTTTGCCTTCTTCTGCCTCTGCAGTCCCACTTGGATCCGGTGCCAGAGCCAAGCTGTGCCAACCTGCACATCCCGTTCTCCTGAGGCTGGGCTAGGGCATCGCTGGACAGTGGAGATCTGACTATTACATGGTTCGGGGGCGCCAGAGCGCGAAGAAGCAGACTTAGTGGAGAGGATGTGCAGTCCAACGCACGCCCGGGCGTATCGACGCTGTGGAGGACCGGGGAGAGAATGCGCTTAACCTCATCATCATCGGATGTCACGGCTGCAGTCACATTCCTTTCAACCCAGTTTTACAGTTAAAGCTTCCGTGGATCGAGCTCTCAGGCTCTAGCTGGAACACCATTCACACTGTGCTGGAGAGAGAGAGAGAGAGAGAATTGATTACCCGAGGTTAATGATCGCGTTCTTGCGGGGCATCGAGAGGAGGTTCAAAAGGAAACAATCTCTATGTATTATTCCTCCACGCAGGATCAAATCATTCTTGAGAGGAAGGATATCCCCGTCCACAGAACCGAACCTGGTTGACATTACAACCCTGATATGGAGAGGAAACCCCCCGGCTAACCCTATGGTCCGGGGCGAAGTCTAGTTACACCGCTGTCAGACCGGAATTGGAGGATATTCCACCTGTTGCAACGAGCGTCATCTTCCCGGGGAAAAGCAATACTTGTCTTTTCATCCGTACCAGACTATATGGCATTTTCTTTCGTCCCTCAGCGCAGTGAGGAGAAAAGCTTCGATGGATGCTGAAACTGCAACACAATTCAACGTGAGGTCATATTCGTATCATTTCATGCGCGCGGAAAACCGTAAATTCGCCCATTGCCTCAAGTGAGCTAAGATCTACATCCATCATCACTCTATGCATGGAGCCGTCAATAATAATAATATGTTTATACATTATTATCTTCCATTCCGCGTCCCATATTAGTTATCCAAGTTACCAGGAACAAAATAACACACGACATACTGAAGAATCACTTACAACTCTGCCACTCCTCTCGGAATAATTAGGTAACAAATCCATTTTCTCTCCAAAGCAGTTTGTATAATTTGCTCGTCACATTATTATTCATTATTATCTTTAATAGTCTAGTCCACACTCCATGGCCTACTAGTAATTAGCAGACTATCTCTTTCCAGATCAGGACACCGAGTGGGCATACTTTTCTTCTCCGGTGAAGCAGAACTGGGGATCCAGCGCACTAGCAACGGCCGCTACCCAGCCAATTGATCTGGACATTTCTTGATTTTTTTTTTTTCTTCAACTCAAAGCCTCTAATTATATAATAATTCTCACGTAACTAGTTAACTAACTTAACTGTCGTAATTATCTACCGGTGGTTCGCTCGTTCTCCTAGAAAATTGAGCCTGGGGTATAGTTATAAACTACAGTTAATGAAAAACAAAGGTCCAATAAGTACTCCGCCGGTTCAGCAAAATCATAAAGTATTCGCATGTTTTACGTACTATGCATCATGCAGTAAACTCAGTAAACTCGCAACATCTAATCCTACCGAGGAAGAACTTTCTAACATGGCAAAACAAGACATATCATTAATTATGTCTTCTTCCGCGATTAAAGACAAGAAGATCCTCCGGCCTTCACCAATTACCGCAGATCAGTAATCGCCAAGTCGCGTACAGCTACCACTACTGCAGGCACGACAAGCGGTGATGGCGATAGATATATATATTAATGTTCTACATATATAAAGTGAACTGTTGAGCTGAAGACCAGCAAGGATATATGCAAGCGAAATTTGAATTTCGACGTGTTCATGAGATAGAACGAAAGCCAGCCATGAAATTAGTGGACGCCATTCGTCCCTAACACCCCATTCGTGTGTTCAACAGGGGCATCATCTTGGGCAACTGGTACTGGGAAATCAATCTTATCGTCGTCCAAGTAATCAACGTCAACGGTCTTATCTTTCTCGGCCTGCGTCCAACCATCGCCGATCCAACCGTTAGGGTTATTGTTGACGTATTGGTATTCAAAGTCCTCCCAGCGTGGATGAGCCAGGATCTTCATGGCATGTAGTGAGGATCCTGATGTAGACTGTCAGTAACCACATTATAAGAACAGTGCACTCTGTTATGTTACACGAGCGCCAAAGGGAAAAGAATTACCTGGCCACAAGGCATTGATTCGTCCGTCCTCGGTTCCACCTTTGTACCAGCTTCGACACTTATTGGCGAATACGGTCCGAGAGAAGTAATTATCGCAATACGTGGTGAAGCGCTCGACTGCTTCTCTTCGGGGAGTCATGGCTCGGATGTTGTCACGCTGCATCTTGGCGACACATTCTGTGAAGTAGTCTATCTCCTTTTCTATAACAAGTAGCAGACTGCCATCTCCTAATCCTGCATTTGGGCCCAAAGAGATAAAGTAGTTCGGGAAGTCATCCGTAGCCAAAGCAAGGTACGTCTCGGGGATTTTCTTCCACTTATCAGCAAGCGAGATGCCATTCCGTCCAACCATCGGAAAACGCGGGGTGAAGGTTGTGTCGAACCCTGTCGCGCACACCAGGACGTCTATGGGACGATGTTTTCCGTCCGCAGTGGTGATGCCGGTCTCATCAACCTTGACGATTTCTGAAGTTATGACGTCGACTTTATCGTCTGTAAGAGCCTCCAGGTAGCCAGGCCCAGGCGTGAGCCTGCGGCAGCCAGGAGGGAACGATGGCAGCATCTCGTCTAGAAGCTCTGGCTTCTTCGACAATCGTCGCTTCATATTCTGTAGAAAGGCCTCCCGGGCCCCGAGCTGCTCGGCCGTGCCATTTATTGTCACGCCATGGACGGATTGGAGTTCCAGCTCGATCTCTGAGAGCAAGTTAGCATGACCGTCATCACTAGAGCAATAGCAACTTACCTTTCCGAAATTTTTGATAGACTTCCGGTCTCTTCTTGAATGTCTCGATTTCTTCGGCAGTGAAAGAGACTATGTCGGTTGTTAGCAAACTAGGGGAATAGAGAACTTGCCATCGTGCTTACAATTCTCTAGATTGGAGCCTCTCTTGTCGATTTGGTCGCGCGCAAATGTTGGGGACACCCATGTTCTTCCGCGGATATAGTGATCGATGTGTGTCACATCGGGAAGCATAGCAGGAACAATTTGGATACCACTCGATCCATTGCCTATTACGGCCACTCTCTTCCCCTGTAACGATATTAGCGATTCATTCTGGGGGATATATCCTCATGATGAAATGAGATTACCTTATAATCGTAGCCCTCGTCCCACTTCGCACTGTGCATCAGCTTGCCTTTGAAATCATGCAACCCGGGAATCTTCGGCCATTTCCAGTCATTCAGAGCACCGGTGCCGGAAATAAGAACGTCACAGGAATCCCGCGTTCTGGACCCAGACTCGACGTCCTCGACCTATTGTTCATGAGCACTCAGGATCATCTCTAGGACGTGAGACAACCAACCTGAATTATCCATTTCGACTTTTCGTCGTCCCAACGCGCGTCCACCACTTTCTGTTTCAATTTGATGTACTTCATGCAGCCGTACTTTCGGGCAATGCCCTTCCAGTATCGGTGAATTTCCTTCGAAGATGCATAGAACTGCGACCATTCCACATTGGGTGCAAAAGTGGCTTGGTACGTATGTGCAGGAATATCTTCATACAGCACATAATGTCAATCCCTGAACATATTGAAAGACAAGCTGAGAAACATACCGCATGCACAACCGGGATACCTGTTTTCATACCAGGTGCCGCCAACATCAGCGTTCTTCTCATAGACACACAGGTCCAGATTTGGAATTCGCTGGGTCAGTCTGATGATGGACAAGATTCCTGAAATGCCTGCACCCATGACAATAACCCGCAAAGGTCGGTATTCATCAGCGGAACGATCTTCCAGAACCCATTTCTCTTCCGTCTCGAGAGTCTGAGGAGCTTCGTCGACTTTTGCGGGGGTACCATTCCGGGAGGCCCCAAAGAGGCTGGAGAGACGACGTATTGAAGGCATTACTTCACAGGGTGTCACAGATATCACTGAACTCGGTATGTTATGTTTCTGAACAAAAGTAATGGCTCTTTGAAAACACCATGGAGACAACGATGACAACCACAAGCGTGGCTATAACGGTATATAAATGTAACGCTTCAGCCCACTATTTCAGGTCCACCGTTTATCCTTTGTTAGCAAGATGGCGCCCATGTCGCTACTTGACGATCAGTAGTCTCAGTACTTAAATCAGCCACTCAACGCCCATTCTTGCTAGACAGGCCGAATACAATTGTCATGGCTTTCAACGATCAAAGACAGCAGCGGGAAATGCAGACATCTCGGGGAGGATGGCGGAGCTCAGTACGGTCATAGCCCTCCGCTAATTCCAATATTGAGTCTATAGCTTCCAACGAACACATCGTGGACTCCGGGATAACCCCCTTCACCGTTCTCAAACTTTCCTCAAGACCGATTTACCCCACAATGCGGAGATCTTGCTTTGCGGGGCTATTTTCGGGTCATCGAGAAATAATACCGGAAATAACCTCATTTCACGATTCCAGGCCTTTCTGCTTGTGTTGCTGCTTTATACTCGAGTGCGCATGTCAGGTAAACGGTCTGAAAAGGAAGCAAGAAGTAGCCGTCTGTGCCGGGGCGGCGTATTCTCCTTCACGTAAACCTCGTCCCACATACCCCAGAGAGAGACAGCACTGTTGTGGCCTCACTGACAATGGAGCAAAGTCGTCTCCTGTGGTGTTTCTTTCCATGTTAATACACGTCAGAAACGGGAAAGGAACAGATCCCACTAGTCGCAAGGAGCCGCCCACAGAACTAATGCACGGCGAAGGCAGATTCACAGGCACTCGGGAATTCCCCTAACCAACGATTGGCAACCAACTGCATCAGCCGAGGGAGCGCCAGCGAAACGAGCAAAAGCGGGGGATCTTCATCCTGCGTGAGTCGCTGACACAGCATTATTAAAGTCCAACAAATCGAAGGATTTTGGCGTTTCGGAGCAAAGTCGAGTCCCGTGACCGCCGTCTCTAGAAACACCGCGACGTGTGCGCATTCAAGATAACTAGTTAACTGGACAAGTCTGTTTCTAAGCAATTGATAATCTGGATAATAGCTCAACCCCCTTAGTTGTGGAGTCTGGAGAAATTAGGCTCGTAGACCGGGGTTCACATCAAAAGGGCGCCCCTCTGACATCTTAAAGTGAATCCAGAAAGTCGCAAGGCCGTACACTGTTGCCCAGTTGGCAGTCGAAACCGCGTGTTGAATAATTAAAGCACCATCTGTGAACTTCATCGCCAACAATGCCTCTGTTCACTGAGTATTCCTTTTCATCTCGCGAGTTGAGAGTTCTCCCTTCATTTGCCCCTCCATTGCCCCGCCTTTCGCCCAAGCCAGCATCAAAGGGCCAGCAAGAGAAGTATGAAGTCGTTATTTCCGGGGTAAGCAAACATGTGTACCCGTTTCTCGAACATGGCCAGAAAAAATTATGAAAATAGATTCTGCTCACGCTTTATGTGATGGATAACAGGCTGGTCCCGCCGGTTTGATGCTGAACTTGCTGCTTGCCCGGTATGGCCTTGACGATGACTCTCTCCTCTGTGTCGATTCGAAACCGGGTACCCTCAAGTCTGGACAGGCGGATGGACTTCAACCACGCACGCTCGAAGTTCTGAAGTCCCTGGGTCTCTCGGACGAGATCTTGTGCGAAGGATGTCAAATGTGGGAGGTCGCCTTCTGGAACCCGTCGGAGGACAAAGACAAGATCATTGAGAGGACGTCAATTGTACCGGATGTTGCGGTTCCTTCCAGATTCCCTCATGAGGTTACCATCCATCAAGGAAGGATTGAACGAATCTTGGAGACGGATTTGCTCCGATATTCCAAGCGAGGAGTGCAAAGGAACAGCAAGGTGGTCGACGTCCAGATCGACGAGAACGGTGACCCCGAGTACCCCGTCGTGGCAGAGATTGAGACCGAGGGACACCGCAGGACGGTGCGCTCGAAGTATCTGGTAGGAGCGGATGGAGCACATTCGGCCGTGCGACGAAGCATGGGTCTCAAGCTGGAAGGTGAATCGTCAGACCATATCTGGGGAGTGGTCGATCTGGTCGTGGACACCGATTTCCCAGATATCCGGAGACGCTGCGCCATCCATTCCCCAGCGGGGTCAGTGATGGTGATTCCGCGTGAGCGGATCGCAACCGGTGACTACTTGACTCGTCTCTATGTCCAGGTGGATGGTCTTGCGAAACCAGACAGTGATCAGACTCCTGTTGGAGACCTTGACCGGCAGAAAGAGGAAGCAAAAGCGCGAAGAAGCCAAGTGACCCTTGAAGGTATCTTTGAGCAAGCTGCGGAAGCCTTCAAGCCATATTACATCCGCCCCAAGGGCGAGAGTGCAGTCGACTGGTGGGCTGCATATCAGATCGGCCAGCGAGTTACAAACCAGTTCAGCGTGAAGGATTCGAAGGGCGTGAACAGAGTGTTCATTGCGGGAGATGGTTAGTACCGTCTGAGATATTTCTGTTCATGCGTCACTTGCTAATCAATACTCTATATAGCCTGTCATACACATAGTCCGAAGGTATGTCAATTAGAATGTCTTTAGAATCAAATTGACCTTGTGCTGACTCTCCTTTTCAGGCTGGACAAGGAATGAACGTGTCCATGATGGATTCCTACAACCTCGCATGGAAGCTTGCCTATGCCGTCAATGGCCTTACACCAGACTCCACTTCTGGCGACCCAGACCCTATACTCGACACATATCACACAGAGCGGCACACGGTCGCTCAGCAGCTCATTGAATTCGACAGGGCATTCTCTTCCATGTTCTCTGGTAAGATTGGTACAGCTGAAGGCGGTGTCAAAGCACTGTCCCACGATGAGTTTCTCGAAGTCTTCAGCACTGGCAACGGCTTCACCAGCGGCTGTGGAATTGAATACCCTGACAACGTGACCGTTGAGAAGACTCTGACGAAGGACGTCCGGAACCCCGTCAGTGGAACGGATTACTTAGGCGGATGCCTCCGACCTGGAAGGAGGCTACTGAATATCAAGCTGAAGAGACATGCGGACGGCTATCGTCGTGACCTGCAAGACGGTACGTACACACGCCTTATCTAAACATCTGCAAACATTCAGACTGGTATGAACTAACTCGCTCTTCGTCGATTCCAGACTTCCCTTCCACTGGTCGTTTCCGCCTTCTCGTACTGACATCGGACGACCTCCTCGATCCGCATGGCGAGTCCGCCAAAGCTCTTTCTGCTCTCAGCACCTCCATCATCTCCCGCAGTCCCTCGTCCCTGATCGAGCAGATCGTCATCCACCCCAAGCTTCCCCAGGCCGTTTTTGACTGGAAAGATATTCTTCCTGAGATAAAACTGCACTCGGAGATGCGATTCTACAGCGGCTTCGCCATCGATGATGCGTATGCCACCTATGGAATCGATCCCAAGAAGGGAGCCATTGTGGCAGTCAGGCCCGATGGTTACGTCGGTGCCATTGCAGCATTGGAGGATACTGAGCGAGTGAAGAATTACATTGGTCGCTGCGTGAGATTACTGTCTTAAAGCCCCATCTGAATTCTTTGAGCATATTATGCTTTTTTGGCGTTTGCATTGTAAATGATAACATAGAAGTTACCATATACGTACCATGAATCGATGGCCCACTAGATGATTGTGTCCAATCTGAACCGGCACAAAAGCAAACAGTATCTTGAAATCTTTAGCAGATCATACTAATCACTTGCTTGACTCTAGATCTGGGAAGAAGTCTACCGTATCGATCTCCTCGTTAGACAAGGATATGGTTCCTATGGATCTAGTAAGTTCTCTTCCATATCAAAGGACCTGCTGCAAACGGGTGATACAATGGTCACCGTGCATGCACTAGGTTTACAACATGGGATCTTCCTGATCGAGACAATTGAACTGTTTTTCTAGGACATGTTTCGATATGTTTGTTCAGCTAAGCACCAGTTTTTCATAGCCATCTAAACAGCGGAACTTAAAATTCCAGTACTAGATAGTTAGTAGACTACACGAGTAATTGAGAGGACACCGAGTTTCACACATGCTCCGGCAAGTTCGGCCTGCCTGGATTCAGGGGAATGTTATTGACCAAAACTTTTGAGTGCCTGGTACACTGTATCGCCGACTACTAGAACTGGTGTCCTAGCACTGCTATCTAGGCGTTTTGTCGAGGACGGAAGTGTCTGAAGCCGAGATCCGAATGAACTCTGGAGGCTAGATAGAGGCCTCGTGCCTCTAATGCTATTTAGTTTTTCCTCTTTTATGCAGACAGTTACGGAGTAGACTCAGAATGTCGATCTCATCCGACATCGATATGCTTTATATGAAAGATCAACGGCAATCTGCCGCCTGTGGTTATCGCACTTCTCACTGCTTTCCCTCTGATTGAACCCTGAAATCTCAGAACATCCGGCCGGATACTTGGACTTTTAAATGGTCAATAATAAAGGGTCGACGAGTATGTCGTAGCGAGTGCAATGTGCCTACCAACGGCGGTTCACCGTTTAAGAAGGGCTCTTCCAGAGCCTAGCATCCAGTTGACCTTTTCCATGGGCCTCGTCTCACGGTTTGAGCGCACTCGTACTCCATACCGAATGGGTTTCTGTGAGGGCCTGTCCGCGGAAAGCGAGACGTGTCGCAGCAGATCGAATTATCAGAAAGACATGGCCTCGAGTACGTTCATCCGGAGAAACCACAGACCAGTAGTGTGCTCTTCTAGCTATTTTTGTTATCGTTATTACATATTACCTCTCCATGGATTCCAGGGCCGCATCAGACAACAGTGCGGCGTAGAACGATTGATCATCCTCCTGAGATCGGTCGGCGATTGAAGGAAAACGCGAGGTTCGAGACCTGCACTAGAAGCTCAGTAGTCTCCGCAGGTTCCGGTTAGGAGCCACAATGGTCAGACGGTGTCGATAGCTCGAACGTAGTGCCCACTCAGCAAATTAATTAATGATCATCAGGGGAAGAAGAGAAGAGAAATCGGAACAGAAAATGTAGAGTAGGTTCTCGGTTTTTCTCTGTTGCAGCCAGGTCAGCAAGCTCTAATCTGATTCTCGTTGATACGAGAGGTTTCGTATGGATCGTGCCAGCTGTCAACGAAAGAATAAAGATGGTTAGATACGGTGCATCCTGGCGCCAAGCGAGAAAGTAAACACCATTAAGGTTGGCTGATCTCAAGCTTAGTTCGCTTCGGAAAACAGACCGACCAGACAACAATTTCTGTGCCTCTGGACTCCCTGGAGTATGACTGGCCAGGAGTCACTTTGTCCTTGGGTAACTCTCGGATTAGCCGCTTTCTAGTAAGACTATGGGCTTGTTGTGTTTTCTGGCCCCAGCATCCTGCGTAGAGGCGCAATGGCAATAATAATATGCCTGATGTCGACACCCCGGGGGATCGCCCACTCTCTGTGCAAGTCTTGCTGTCGCTGTGCTCACCTGCAGGATCTTCGTCGTATCTGATAAGCTGATACCGAATATCCCATCCTCCAAGTCTCACTATCGGAGACAAGAGAGCGGTCGGGCACCATCAGTGGGGCATCGACACCTAGTCGCCTTCTTTTGCTCTGCTGGTAAGCGTCAAGTCGTTCACTAAAATTCACTATTAGTACGGAGGTAAATACTGGCAGGTGAAGTGGAGGTGGTATCGGGCCGGAGCGCCGTTTGTCTCTCTTTTGAGTGTCTCTTCCACTGGTGAGCGGACAGCTTACCATGTGCTCCCATTCAAAAGACTACTAGCTGGCCCTGAACTGCCTTGTTGAAGCTTCCATCGCCCTGTTGTATCTGCAAGTCACCAGTGACAAGATCGCTCTGACGTGCTGAAGATCATCTCAAAAACTCCCCGCTGTGTTGTCACTGATAGCGGACAACCCGCTATATGCAGAACCGAACAAGACCCAAAAGGACGGCGGTCCTTATCATCTTCCTAGGGTTTCAAAGACAGTGAAGCGCAGGAGTGAAGCAGACACTGGACAACAATGTCTCTTGGAGTGTTGTGATAGAAAGCAGACATTGGTTTTATCTCGCAAATAGACAATATCCAGACCGCTTTCCGCTACACCCCGCACCAAGTCACACAAACGAAGCGACACACTCAGCGCAGCTGGAGCCTTGACGGCTCGCAGTTCTCTCATCACAGACTGAATCATGACCCGTTTACGAGTTTCCTTTTCGGCTTTATCATGGCGTTGGGTTCTGTTTTTCGTTGCCTTCATTTCTTTCGGTCAACTGTCGATAGCACAGCAACCTCAATATGTCACGGCGGTGGATGCAGAGGGCAACACTATCGAACTTCCTGTGAACAGGCGGCCTGCGTTATATACGCAGGATTTCGGTGATTGTCAAGGGAATTCCTTGATCAATGTGACCCGCTTCGACGGAGCATTCTATAAGGACAATATGACGGTAACCTTCAATTTCGAGGGCCAGACTTCAATCCCGCAAGACAACGTGATGCGTCAGTTTTTCAGGCATTCAATGGCGAAGTTTCAAGGGGACTGACATTGATGTAGTTTACATTGGTGTTTTCGCATATGGTGAAAGCAGACTGACCCTGACGTTTAACCCCTGCTCTGCCAACATCGCAAGGTCTGACATCCGCCTCTGTCTCCTCTTTCTAATCCAAAAAGGGCAATTGAGATTCTAACAAGCTTACAGTCTATGTCCCATGAATGCCAGTGTCCCAATCCAAGCCAATGGCATTATCCCAATTGGTGAAGCTCAGCTCTCCGTCATACCGTCAATAGCTTTCAGCATTCCTGATTTCGAAGGTCAGGCCATCTTACGGGTCTTCTCAAATTTGACTGAGTCGCAAATCGGCTGCTATTCCGCTGTATTAACGAACGGCGCTTCATTTGGACACCCGGCTGCCGTTGGCAGCACCCTGGGTGCTTTCACAGTGATAGCACTGGTCTCCTCGATTCTAGTGGCGATTTATGGCTCCGATGTTGGCTCGACGCGAAATCACTACGCACATTCGATCTCGATTCTGGTGGTCTTCGCTGTCTTCCACCATATCTACTTCACAGGTGCCTTGTCAATGAATTGGCCCAGTGTTCTTGTTGCTTTTTGGTCGAATTATGCGTGGGCAGCCGGATTCATATACGTCGAACAAATGCAGAACTCGATCAATCAGTTCCTTGGAAGCAATAAGGGTAATATCAGTGTCGTCGGTGCTGCAGCTGCCGGGACCACTGTGAGCGATGTGGGAGGTGGATACGACATCTCACAGATATACAAACGAGGACTAGGTCATGCATTGAGCAAGCGTGCGGATTCTAACGCTACGGATGTCTATCCTTGGCATGGCTCTCCAGTGAAACCAGGCCTACCACTGCCTGGAAACTTTTCTGGTTTTGCGGGCACTCTCGCAGAGGAAAATATCCCCGCATCGAATGCTTTCATGACCGGCCTGATCTGGTTCCTGATCTTGTTCGCCGGAGTCGCTGTAACAATTATCATGCTAAAATTGACCATCGAATTGCTGATTCGCTGCAAGCTTACCAAGACCGAGAGACTCTCATACTTTCGTAGTCACTGGCTGAGTTTCCTTGCAGCCGCTTTGCTGAGGACTGTCCTTATTGCTTTCTATATGATGATTTTCCTCGCATTATTCCAGTTCACGCTGGGCGGATCAGCAGGCGTCACCGCAGTCGCAGCCGTTGTATTCGCATTATTTCTGGGCGGTGTGTGGATTGCGGCAGGATACGCTTTCTACTATCGACTAAAGGCCGGGAAACTCATATCAGAGCCAGATAGACTATTGTTTAAGCGGAGGACAGTTCTGTGTTGTGTACCCTGGTGGAGTGTGCATCGCAAAAGCCAACTTGATGAGAAAGAGACACAGGTTTCTTTTTCAGGCTCGCTACCATGGTGGAGGATACACTTTTCTGCTGTGTCCGAAAAGTCTGTCCATGAAGATGAGGATTACCTGAAAAGATTCGGCTGGCTCTTTGCTCGTTTTCGGAGAACCAGATGGTTTTTCTTTGGAATATGGCTTCTGTATGAATTTGTGCGCGCTTGCTTCTTTGGTGCAGCTGCTGGCCACGCCATGACTCAGGTCTTTGGGAACCTTGCGGTCGAGTTCATTGCTCTCATCGCTATGATCTGGATGAGACCCTTCGAGGCAATTCGTCTCAATGCGATGATGGTGTACTTCCTTGGATTCAGCAAGGTCTCTACAGTGGCCCTATCCTCAGCATTTGATCCTCGATTCAATATTAGCCGCATCATCGCCACCGTCATTGGTATTGTCATCATTGTCATTCAGGGGGTGCTGACAATCTTTCTCCTTATCGCCATCGTCATGGGAGCTATCTCAAGCTACATATCCGTTACACGCTACAAGGAAAAGGAACAATTCAGACCACGAAGCTGGCTGCCGTTGCGGACAAAATATCTTAACCATGTCGAGAAAGCAGCTGCAGATCTACCTCCACCACCGCCGCCACCTCCACCAGTCGATGAAGGTCCAAAAGAACCCTCATTTAACGTGGGTATCGTGCACCGTGTTCCTAAGATCGAGGATGAGGACGAGGACAATATTGTACAAAAGCAGAGTCTGGATATGTCTCATGCATCTATGTCTGAGGATGATCAACGCGTTCCATCGAGAAATCATAGGCGGTCCATGTCGCTCCGGTCTCAGGTCAGCTACTCTAGTTTGCCATACGGTGCACGACCGTCGCGCGCAAGCTGGAGCAGTCGCGAATTTGAGCTGTGGACAGAAGATAATCGAACTGGGGAGGGTTGGAGCGACAGCAGGCATAGTCACAGTCAACCTACGGGCCGCAGTGCATCATGTCGTGGAAGGTCGAGCGATAGAGGAACACCACTCCCAGATACGGTGTCGACTTCGTCCAGAGGACCGAGCCGTACTACTAGTCCCAGGATCGTGTCGCCGGAGCCAGGCTTCATGAGGCGGTCGAGAAGTGTCTTGGACGATGTCGAAGAGGATGATTCTTACTACGAGACAGACGAAGTGCGAAGCCGAGAAGCATCCCCGAGTCATTTTGTCAGGAGATCGGAGGCCGATCTACCTGGAATAGCGGAAGAGCGACCTGAGGTTGTCGAGGACGAGCGTCCGTCGCATCAGACTGATGCTCTGCTGTCAACTTCGCCAGTCTAAGACAAGACCCATCGAGAGATCTAGCGAAATGCTATTATTATATTTCGAAGCCGATGTGATGGGGACTAACACGGGACAGCAACAATAGCCATCCCTCGGCCGTCGCGCCATGAAGGCGTAACGTAACAATCATCAGCGTCTGAAACTGGCATCATGCTTTCTAGATGAGCAAGAGACTTCTGCAGGAGAAAGAATATTCAACCCCCCCTATAATTACATTCAGCCATTGGCTGATCTCATCGCTGTTATCTTTTCTTTTTTTCAACGTTAGATCACAGGCAGATAGCTCCAGCACATACAGAGTACAGGATACCCACAAATTGTTTATAGAAAAATGAGATTTTATTCAAGAACCAGAGCCCAAGGAATCCCAAAGTCCAAGGATATCTGAGCATCACTTAATGTCATTGTCTAATAGAAGAAACGATTAACAGGGGCGCTAATCTGGCAAGTGCATGAATTACTGAGATTTGAGAAGAAAATGGTGCGGACATGGATGTGGCAAATATGTGGAAGACTCTTCCCATCAAAATATATACTTACACACTATCCATGTATCCATAAACCACAACGCCGACAAGTAATGGAAACGGCGTTTAAGAGGGCGATATTTTGTGTATGATAAAAACTCCCAGGTAGTAGTTACATTTCAAGTCTTCCCTCGAATAGATATGTCGAACATATCCAGTTTCCCTATATCGAGAACTGCGGTGGTTATTGTTTACTTCCCAACTACATAGTCTGTCCTCTAGAAGTATGCGCGCAGTTATTTACTTCACTTGCATTCTCCACTCCAAGAATAATAATTTAATTATTATGCAGTTGGTTCTTTATATAGTAAGGTTATTCCCAAATAGGGCACTAACACCGAGCATTAGATAAAAAGACGGGATGGTCGTCTCAGAACGAGAAAGAGATGAGATGATGCAAGCAATGAGGTGAATACCATGACCAACTTTTGAGGAAATAGTTGTACCATATACTTTCCGATTAAAGGGGGAAAGGATAACTCCGAGCACATATGCCGAAAGCCATTTTCTTTCAGGACCCCTGTCTCGGTTCGATACGTTAACCCGGTGATAGGTGAAGCTGTAGTACTCTTCCAACGGTCCTCGGCCGCCCTTAGTTTCGCCCCTGGTAACTATCTATGGGGTGGGAATAGCGCTGTACGGCGTGAGGCAGTGATGGTATTGTTGGGATATGCATGAGACAAATTCTTTACTCGATACTTAGTTGAATTCGACCGAGCTGAGACTATGTTTCAATCAATGCGAATACGTCGCTGAGCATATTATTGTTGACCTTTCGTAGTGGTTGAGTAAGCCAGGTTAAGGTGTCTCTGATTCTTCCGTACAAGGTTATTCCCTAGATTGATAAGAATGGTGACAACATGCTGAAACTCTGATATTCTTTAAGAGCGTAATACTGTGCTCACTACCTTTTTTGGGTGTTACAGGGATCTCTTGCTACTAAATTGACCTTGTTTGCGTTGTGCGGAATTTCCGACAATACCATGCGCGTGGAGAAGACCCTGGTAGTTTACCCTTCTTTTTCTTTCTGGATGTCTGCCGCGCGATTTTACTCTGCAGTCCTGATTGTATGTATCTATAGTCCATGTTGGAAACAAAGGCATCGGAGGCAGGATCTGCACCAACGTGTCTGTTAATGCGAGTCCCAAACACATTTGCCCATTCTCATTCTGCGAGGGTTACTCGAACTCACGGACGATTATCCTCTTCGGGGTGAGATCACTGGCCAGGGAACAGAAAGGGTTGTCGGGTTGAAGCGATCATTTTTTACCCCATGGAGACGGCTGGTCGATTCGACCCCGTCCCCCCCCGTCTTACATGCAAATGACTTGCAGCTGGCGAAACACGCTTACTGCTCTTACTGGGTTTTGGTCTCTGTATCTTTCCATGTCTCTCACGTGAGATATCATGGAGATCGTCTGGATGCTTCCCACTCATTCCAGTCGATCGTGCGGTCCGTCGTCAATCATCCACGAATAGGCTGCGCCTTCTACCAACGGTTTAGTCTCGCGGGTCGAAAGAGTAACTGGAAACTCTATTAATTCGCGAGTATATCTTTATTGGTCAAAGGGAAAGACGATCGTCCCTTGAAAGTTGACACGCCGCGGTGCGGGAGGGCGGCGGCCGGAGTCTTGGTCTGACCGAATGTATGTTATTGTTTCACCCGCATTGGAGCGGTCTGAAGGCTCTCGAAAAGGGTTTAGGAAGAAGAGGCATTATTATCAAAGAGCAGGTTTTATGCCGTTGCCGCTAAATTCCCACCGGTTCTGGGGAACTCTGGCTGCAATCTTAAGATCCCTTTTTTGGTGGCTTCTTGCTGATTGATCGTTATAGCACGGCCGGCATGGCATGGGACTGGGGAAGGTTGAGCAGGCAGATGAAACGACTAGCAGGGCTGGGCCAGTTGTCAACACAAGACGTCATGAGCCTCGAGGCTGTCGGCTGCACCTGCAGTGATCCTGGCTGCTAGTCACAGACGGTGGCACCCAAGAGACCGGATGCTGGATGGCGATCTGAGACCCCTATAACTAGCAGTCACTGCATGGGAATCCAAAGCCCTGCTGGAGATTACCTTCCCGCCCACCCAGGGTCTATCTAGTTATCTAGGGAGCGGAAAAGCCAAGCGGGATGATGTGATTCAGCATCGAGCAAGCAAGCATTGTTCTCCGTGAGATCTCTATGACGGAAAAGCAGGAAGATGACCACCGAATGAGGATCGGCAAACAAGCCCCCCATCCCAGAATTGATGCCGCGATATTAACTTAGCACCCGAGATCTAGAGCAGAGCATTCAGTCAAGAGTCAAGCAAGCGACTCGCGGTACTGAACGATTGTGGCTTACTACTACTACTGAGCACAGTCCTGCGCTTCTGTGACAGATGGAGGCCCTGTCGCAGCCATATTCAAAAGAGGCAGAGATGCTCCACCGTTAAGCCGTCTCAGGAGTCAGCAGCAGTAGTCCCGTAACTCGGTCATGAACTTCGCGCGAACACCGGGTACACAACCGACTTCTAAACGTGCGTTCGGGAATGCAATGAATGAAAAAGCGAATGGGAGCTCTTCGTGTCCCAACTCTATCATCTCTTGCTCATTTTTGTCACCTATGACTTGTCGGTCGGTCGTTAGTTACCTCTACCACTAGTCCCATCACTATACTGTAGATAGGCCATATCTCTCGTAAAGATACCTCTTTCCTGCATCTTACTGTATGCTACCGATTAGAGTTTTGAGGGTAAATAAGATCTGGTCTTCGGTATCAAAGAAAGCCATATCGACTTTGTCGCGCAGGTGTCACAGTCGTCGGCAAGTGCCTTTGTTCTGCTTACCGCGAATGTGCGTGAATCTAACCAAGACAGGTCTGATGCCCGGTGTTCCTACGCCACGAAATGGGAGCACAGACTGGGGTAAGTTGAAGGGATGAAGGTGGGCTGCGGCCCTTCTAGCACAGACCACGCGGTTAATAGATAATAATTAGATATGGAGATGGGCAAGAGGAAGGTTGAGATACAGAGAACCGTGCGCATTTGAAGGTGCAGAAGTTAGAACACCCACTAGGTTTACTATATTCGCGCGCTTGATACAGCGGGGAAAAAGCCTCACACCTTCCTATTATTATTATTATCAGACTACCAGAGACTCGCGGATCAAGACGAAGATCGGTAGTTAGAGTAATAAATTATTAATAATACTCCATACTCCGTACAAGAAAGATGAACAAGTATAAGGATCGTCAGCTGACCCGTGCCGTGGTCTTGTTTCTCAGGTCTGTGCACGGTGTACTGCTCTCAAGGACTGAGAAATGCCATCATCGATAAAAAAAAAAGTGATTGGTCTATTGTATTGTACAGTACATACAAAGTGGCTAGCATTTGTCTGTGGAAATCACAATATTGCAGTAAGTTCTTTGAACTGTGGATGCTCGGTGCCGTCCCTTTCCCTAGACCCGGGAGGGTTTCAGATTATTACCTACCACGCTGTAGGGGTACACTCTAACGTTACACCGTTACATGGAATCGAAGAGTTTAACCGTCAAGCGTGGAAGATATTGTTATTATTCCCAGGTGATGGGCATTGATGTACGCTGCAGAAGCGGAATGCACGGTACCTCGACCGTCGATCTCCAGCAAGACGGTCAACAGGTCGGAGGCACGGTCGTCCTCAAACTGCAACACGCGGCTTCCTTACGTATACTGGTAGATCTGAGATTATCAGTAGGATGCCATATCAATTCGAACATCGTCTCGAGCTTCTAGATCCAGGGAATCAGCTGAAGAACGCGCGTCTCGGGAGATCCGAAGCTATTGTCTCGTCGTTGTTGGTGATTCCAAAAGGCATCCTGTGCATTAATTCAAACATGCTAATGGATAGCAACAGCTCAAGTCTTAGCAATGTTTGTGCTTGTTGGGTTGGACCGAATGTCAAGTCGCGCACACTTGGATTGGTGGCTGCTTACCACGATCCTCAGTGTCACAGCTCTAAGCGGTTCTGAATGAATACTACCGAATCTTAGAAGTTCGTATCGTATTCAGCCTTTGCTTGCTTGTGTGCAGAACAGCAGGATCAGAGAGCATGTCCAAATTCACTGCATGATGAGATATTCCCGATAAGGCCCCGGGCACTTTGTTCAGAGTGCGCACTCACCATTCCCAGAACGGAAGGTGTGTTTCTCTAGATTTCTGTTGCGAATATCTATAGCAAAGGTGTTTTGTAGAGGGAATGCTCTAAGGGACCCAGTGAGATCCTTTGGAGGATCGAGGGCATAAAACAACTCCGTTCCCCGAGTCAAAGGACAGCTTGAACACAGTCAAAAATAAAAAAGGAACGAGCTGGCAGCTTCCATGTGACCTCCTGGTCTTGCCGATTACTGAAGGCGAGGCAGATACGGTGCAGGCTCGCGCAAGAAATCATGTCGTCGAGACTCGAGACTCGAGAGACAGAAACCGATCTAGCGAACCACTTGCTGTTGACAATAACTAGTAATACTCAATGATTGTATGATTGATGATCGACAATAGTGGACAACTCCCGCATGACTGGTCATACGTGGACATGCCTGGAGTACTTCTGTCATACTCATACACCGTAGGGATGCCGAAGTGGACTGACTAGTTAAACACAGGTTTCTCACAAAAATGAAGCTGAGAAGGAGGTCAGCAATCAGACAGGTACAGTGCCTGCATCTCAGCTCTCTCATATCTATCTATATCTTGGGTCTGAAATCGGACATCACGCCGTCATCCAAGATGCTCATATCCGTGGTTTATGTCCGATGCTAAACGCCGTACTATTGAGGTTCGAGGAATCAATTATTGGGAAATTATGGATTCCGCTAGGAGACAGGACAGTGAATGGTGATGGATCAGGAAGAGGCGCAGAGATGCATCGGCTTTGGTTCCCAAGAAGGAATGATTTGAATCGAACAACAAACCGCCACGTGAGGCGCAGTGAGCCCAGAACGCGTTTTGTCTTGTCTTGATTGGAATCAAGACACAAGACAGTTAGGACGACTTGAAACCTTATACCGCAAATAATGAGAGACGGACTGGACGAGAGCCCCAGCCCCAACCTCCCTACGCTGCTGCGGGATCGCCTGTAGCTTCAGGGGGTTGGCCCTCCAGGAGTCCAAACTAACGCCGTACGAGGTTTAGAGGCCGCCTCGGTCTGACGTCGCCGACATCGAGATTGTCCAACTCTCCATTTTTTTTCTCGATTCGGGTGTCCGAGCCAGCGGCCATGTTCTATCATCCATAGGAAGAGCCAGGAAAGCCAGGAAGAGCTGGCCTACAACAGAACGATTCCGTCTCACTGGATAACAATGTTGCCAGCAACAATTAGCCGAGACAAAAGAGCAGCAGGAAATCATCATCGGTTGGGTAGACCACTACCTCATCACTACAGATCTTCACAAAATACGAAGACGCTCACGGGGGATGAAACAAGGAAGCCTGCCACAAGAATTCCGGGTACAGGTGAAAGAGGGATGCCGACCATGTTTCCTCAAAGCTTCCGCACAGCTAACAGGTCGAAGTAGTAGATAGATACTAAAAATGTGCAGCACTGTCTACGCGTTCGACTTGAGTACATCTCTCGGTCAAAGTCCGTTCTTGAGTTCATGCCAACAGAAGTATGCAACGGTGATATCAAGCAACTTGGACGTTTGAAATGGTTGACGATCACCGCACATCATTTGCAGCCGTGTCAAGTTTATCTTTCTCTAGGCCGTTCGAGGCTCGAGTAGAAGACGCACTGGCCTCCGTAATTAAGCAATCTCCCCATCTGGGCCCCGCGACCCGCATCATACGCGCTTGAAAAAGGTGAAAAATACGCAGAACACGTATGATGCCGCGACGGGTGCGATGCGAAACTTTGACAGTAGCCATTATTTCTCATTTTCAATCGGCATCTGCTGACCCGGTGCCTGTTTAATGCCTCGTCGGTTGATTGACTGGCAGTAGGAATGTACGGTATCTACGAAGATCTGATAACTGGGACGGGGCATCATACGTATGTACAACACCAGCGCTGGTAGGCGGTTCTGAATACCCCTTTAGGATGAATATAGTTGACAGCTGCTTCGTCACACAGACTAAAACCAACCCGAAGGACCCTCAACAGACCCAAGATAGAGGAGTCTGTATTGTGCGAATGGAGACGAACGCGGCGATTGCAATTCGTGGCTGGTCCGAACCACAGGACCTCCTGAACTATCCGTACTTGTCGTTTATTGTGATTATTTTTACGCGCTCGAGCTAGATATCCTTTTCACAGTGGTGAGGAATAAAGTGACTCCGGTGGATCATAATAATGATGGTCACTGTCAGTTTGCATAAACACCCCTGAAAAAAATAGTGGTTTCTATTCTTGATGAAGTGCCGACGCTCCCTGATTCTTATGGTATGGAACACGGAGTGCCGTACTTCAAGACCATCATCGTCAGCATTCGGCCAAGTCCCGAAAAGGATCAGCCACAATCGTTAGGGATCATCAACCCCGTCGCGGGTCTCCGTGGATCGTGATGCCCAAGCCCCAGTACTCGGGACGGCCAACATGCGGATCACTGCGACTTTTTACCAACCCTGTGCTTTCTGGGGCCGTGGGGCCGCAGCTGGACACGGCTTGCTGGTGGTAATGATATCCCAGAAGCCAATGGGCCTGGCGACTCTTCGCTTCCACGAGGAACTTAACCTTCTTCGAGACGCCTTCCCGCGCCATCGCTCGCTTCCTTGCGGAAGATCATCCCGCCGCTGCTTGTCGAAAATCCCTTTAACGCTCTACGGATGCTCCGCCGAAGCCACACATTCAGATAGCCTGAAGATCCCCGTTGGTTGCTGGAATCGGAAACATTTCTGGCGGTCATAGCCGCCGACGGCGGCCGTGACCGACTTCCTTGCCGGCCATCACGTCCAGGAACGCATCTCGCTTGTCGAAACTCTTTTGTGGCCCGCACGGCAGTCTAAAAGTAAAAAGGAGACCTTGCTCCAGGAAATTGATGGCGATCCCCCGTCGTCTCCATCATTACCTATCTTGGGCGGGACCCGCGCGCTGCGGCGCCTCGTCTGACCCCCTACCACAGTGAGTTCATGCCTTGGGCGGGTTTCTTGGTTCATCGTGACTCTCAGACCGTTCCCTCTTCCAGGAAGAGCCGAACAGATCATGGAGATCTCTCGTGATCAGGGAGTATCTTTCATCCGCCTCTAAAAATTCTCGGCACCCGCAACAAGCCGTCTCCTGGGCGTTGGGTCTTGCCAATACCAGCTAGATAGGCAGGACGCTTAGACAAGGCCCAAGGGAGATGCTATTATTCCAAGCAGATGGAGACTTGACTCTCGGGCTCATACAGATAACTATGTGCATCATATGTATGTACAATAATATGACCGTCAAGGCAAGAAGAAAAGAAAAGAAAAGAGGAGAAAAAGAAACAGAAGCGGCATGTCATATCTAACTGCGCACCTCTTGCATCACTACTCCAGGCCAAAGGAGGGGGATGAGATCTCACAGCCGCCAAGCAAGGGCAAATAAGCTGCTGCACTGGTGATCAGTGAATCCGTAGGGTTTTAGGCCAATGATGGGCCCGAGTTTCAGGGGACATTTGGACAACGTCCGTCTGCAGTGTTATTATTACGGCGCGGAATGGACCGGGCAACCGGCAGACTGGTGAAAACTGCACACCCCGGGTTCGTATTCTGTCACCGGCATCCATGGATTGGTTGATAATATCACGATAAACTCCGGTTCCAGCCTCGGAGCCTCCACACTTTGAATCTCCCAGCACAGACCCCTCTCTTGAACGTGATCGTTCAAAGATTCCCTTCCTGGTAGCTTTGACTATCGGCAAAGACCGCTTCGCGCGCTGTGTCGCTGGTCATGCTCATGTTGTTCTTGTTCACACCTGTTCCCGAAACCTCGGGCGTGGGATCTTACTTGGGAATGATTCAAGGGACAACGCGTGTCACTTGGCCCAGGGTCTCTTGGATGGGGGTAAGGAAATTGCATCAAGCCTGAACCTGGCTTCCAAGCCCGACGTCTCTGGCATCTTCGGAAAGAAAAGCCTGGTCAGGCAGCCAACCAGGATCACCGATGGCGATCTGCGCGCTGCCGGACATCAGATCAGTTCATCGCTATGATCCTGCCGCAGTGATCAGCCGTTTACGGGGCAAGGATCGTTGTGACAGGTAGGCCCGTCTTCTCCACTGGCCGAGATCGACTTCTAGGACGAAAGGTCAAGAATGGGGAACCGCCGACCCATGGACCATAACGCTGAATCCCGTCCCAGAGGCTAGACTAAAGGGTATGCCATCGCCGGCGGTGGATCTGCACTAATGATACAGTCAATACGTGGCTCCGGAACTCTCATTTAAGCGGTAATACGAACGTCAAGGTGGCTGATTGGCAGTGACGATCTTGTCACAGCGAAACCACCACGGTAACTGCAGGACCTTGAGCCTCTTTTACCACGAGACAGCTAGTAAGGGGGGTGGAGGCCCACGTTCTAACCGCCTCAGGTCGACAGGGTGCGCCACGGCCTTTAACACTTCTTGAACTGCCTGGTTAACGATCCGCATCCTTCTGAATCGCCCCGGTTATCACTTTAAGCTTTCGTACCGGGGCCTTGGATGCATTATGACTGTCGAAGCGAATCGAAACGCTTTGGCTCTTCCCGCGCCGAGACTAATAATAATCTTACCTGGTCGACCTCATGTGCCCTGTGCATGTCGGCTTCTCCCGCTCACGGCCCCATATCAACGTGCCTCAAAGTAGTATTCTCGACTGTTGGTCCTGCCTCATAACTAAACGTGATCCCCCTTCTTCCATGCTCTGCCAAATCCGTGATATCATCTTATCTCAATCTCCTCCGATATACCTGTTCGGACACATTCAGTAGAGCCGAGCCCGTCCTCCTTCTCTCTACTCACGCATCAATCCAGCATCCTTTCCAGCGGCTTGCAGTTGAACCATCATGGATCTGGCAAATTTGGTTACGAGGGACGTGAACGACTCTGCTAGAGTCTCATCACACCGTCATTCGACCTCTCAGGTCAGAACATACGATCAATACCGGGAAGGATCAGTCTCCGATTCATACTTCCCCTCGTCGACCGCGAGCTATGTTTCTCGCTCTCCGCAGCCTCCTCTCTCCCCTCCAGTCGAGGACCAGAGAAAATGCTCTCTCCCGTCTATCTCCAGTCTCCTTGAGGGAGCTGACAGGTCCTCAATTCCTGCAGCAAGTATGATTTACACTTTTGGCTCCGGAAGATAGCCTTTTTTTTTATCTTGCTAACCCATATCCTATAGAACGCCAAAGACAAGACAATCCTTTCCAGAGGGAACGGGCATACTCCCACGCAGCTGATCACATTGCGGGGAATGCCTCGAAGGTGGCCATGCCTCCTACTCCACCATTGCGTCCGGACTCTGGATTCCACAGCACCGGTCACTCTCCATCTTCGTCGACGTGTTCGCAGTTCACACCCTCGAATGCCAGAGCCGGTAGCCCTGCCAGTGCTTCTGAGACATATCAGCAACGGCACCAGCCCTATGTCACGCTACCAAGTCCGACGGAGCGGGGATCGATCTCTCAGGAATCTCAGTCGCGGTATTCAGCTCAGCCGTACGCTTCTCCGGCTCCTAGCAACAGTTCGTATAGTTCGCCCGTGGAGGTACCACCAGCTGCGGCCTATTACCAGAGACCGCCTCCACCCAGCAACTACAATGGCCAGAACTATGTCACTCCTATGGTTTCTTCAACGCATCCTCAAATGATCTCGCCAGTGACACCAGCATGGCAGCACCATCACTACTTCCCACCATCAAGCTCCGATCCGTATCCCCAGAACCATGACCGATACATCTGCAGAACGTGCCACAAGGCGTTCTCACGACCATCCAGTCTGCGAATCCACTCTCACAGCCACACTGGAGAGAAGCCGTTCCGCTGCACTCACGTTGGTTGCGGCAAAGCATTCAGCGTGCGCAGCAATATGAAGCGTCACGAAAGAGGATGCCACAGTGGCCGTCCAATGCCTACAGCTATGGTATGAAGTCAACCGTCTGCTGGTTCACGGGCAAAAAAAGTCGACTTCGATATCATTTCACTTCGAACGAACGCTAGCACTGCACTAGCTGTACATAGGCTTTTTTTTATGGGGAATTCTCTCCATATTTCACATTTCCGGGAAGGAGGTCACAGGCGCAAAAGTCATGGTTTTGAGTTTTTTTTTTCTGAGAGAATCGGTTTCATAAAAAGGACAAATACCCCCGGTTTCGGAAATCATTTCCGCGGAAACTTGTCGGTTCAGGAGCAGTTTGTTATTATTATTACATTTTTTTCGGTCTCACGATATACCTTTTTGTTTCGAGGAATTCTTCCTTTCTTCCATGTTTTGTTATTATTCTATGTGTATGTCTTGTTTTCCTTTTTTTTTTTTGTTTGGAACAAGCTGCATCCCCGAAGTTGCCGGATCAGCATTTGAAAGCTACATGTATGAGTACGTACGGAGAGACGGCCACATTATTGAACAAGAACAACCAACAACAATAGAACGAATGCGCAAGCGTTCCTTCCCATACCAATCTTTCTCTTCCTCAATTTTACCCCCCTTTATTGTGCCTCGTAGACTAGGTATGTCGTAGGTTAGCCACCTCCGCCGTCATAGCGCCCATCATTTTCCCCCTCAACGTTATGCTTAGCATCCCACATAACTTGAAACCTCGCTATCGAAGACAAAAAAAGAAACCACGGAGCTCCCCATCTCGACCATTGCCGGTATCAATCAATCAATCACCGTATGAAATACCATTGTACCAAAGATCCATATCAAGCAATATCGCCGGAACAGTGCAAGACGCCACAATAACCAATATCCGTAGTATTATTGAAGCTGTTACAGTAGTAGTTAACTAATAGTTGTGAATAGTTAGAAAGGTATCTATCTACTCTAAACTTTTCGTGCTCGTGGATAGTAGTAATGATACGGGGAGTTAGGAAGTACACAAACCCGGAGTCCCGACGCTATAGTTACATACATGATACTACTAAAGCGGAGCAAACCCACCGATAAAAAACCCCCCACTGAAAACAGAATTCAACGGAGGCAGCTTCAAGTGTAACTGTTGTTAGTTAATAGTTACCCGCAAGGGCTCGTGCTGAGGCTCTTAATCGAAAGTTAACTTGGTGCGTTTTTTCTCTTGCCTTTTCCTTTTCTGTTCGGCTGTCGTATATGTCGTATAGGAGTACTACGAACTGCCAAGCAGATCATAGTGGACGTTTTTTCTAACAATACCTTGTGTAGTTAGTAGTTACGCCTTACGCCTATGTTTCGTTATGGATTATCCACGACATAGCGAGAAAACCACATGAGACGTCTAATGATCTTCGAGTATCAATCGGTAACATCTGACGGGGCCAGGGAAAGGCGCTGCATGGTGTTTTGCCCCTTTCGGCGCAACTGTCGGTTGGCCCGCGAAGTGGTGAGCTCAAGGAAGAGAGCAATGAAACTTAAGGTTTGCTCCTTGTCTCATAAAAGACAAGTCAGATATGCATCGACGGCAACTCCGACTGGCTGATGCCGAGAGGGCTTTAAAAGAAGAAGAGAGAGATTCACGGCGCTAAGACGAACGCAAGGACGTGCTCAGGCGCCACCGGCCACCCTATCTCGCTTAAGTCTGAAACTTTTGTTTCGTTGCTGACTTATACGGGGCTGCCGGACGATGATAATACACCAGTCAAAGTGAGAGCTGCTCCTATTTCTGGGGCTGGTCGGAGATCATGATCTCTCTTCCTTGATTTAGCTATTCTCGGCTATAACTGAAAGCGTCGCTTCTTCCGCCAATGAAAGAGATGGTCTGTTCGAAGCTAGTTGAAAGTTCCGTCATGGCGGTGATCATAGTTAGATAGTCCCGGTTCCATTCTGACCTCTCTGCGTGTCCATGGATAATAATAGTAGGCTATATTATGGTATGTATTATTATTATTTTGTCCCTCCTGGGCTTTGTACCGAGTTCGGTATCTAAGGCAGAATCAGGAGACCTTTTCCGGGGCATTCCTGGCACGCTAACAGGACGCGTGTTGGAACATTCCAGATCCCACATCTGGATCCTAGCTCAGGATCATCGGATTCTACCAGAGTATACTCAACCACGCGCAATTCCCGGTTGTAAAGCATGGTCAACCCGTCATAGACAGAGGGATATCGTGGCTCAGTGCACGGCCCAGGCGGGTGGAGATCCGGAAAAATCATCGCTAGGATATGTCTGCTATTGATAGCGCATTCAATAATGTGCCATAGGATATGCATGACACTCGGAGTATATCTTATTGCAATGTCTCACAGAAAAGACCGAAGGACTGAAACCGGTAGATTGAAAGGATGGTTATCCTTTCTTCGATGCAAGGTATAGTCGGACCCCAAAACCAGGAGCATGCCTTGGATATGCAGCGTAAATGGGACGCTGACAGGTTCATGTGCTGGAGGTTGGTTTTCAGTCGTTGCCCCTCCATCGTCCGTCCTCTCAGCGCCTTTGGACCCCATCTGGGGGCAAATTGGCGACTAGGCTGCTTCTCAGTTGGAAGCGAGCGTGTTGTAGTACCCAGAGCCACATGGCAAGTTCCATCCACACAGAAACCGGGGCTGGCGGATGCTTAGAAATGGGAACAGGAAGAAATGACTGGATCGATCTGCCCCCTCAAATTACCTAGTCGTACTGGGTCACTTGTTGGCCGGGGTAGACCGGGAGATCTCCCATGGTGGAAAAGATTTTTTTTTTGTAGCAAGCCCCGAGTTCCGAAATCAATAACATTCCCTGTTCGTCTCGGGCCCTGGTTTCCTTACTTAACCGAGTAATTATTTCACTGAGTACCATATCAACCATGGATCAAGCGCCTTCTGTAGGGAGTAGAGAGCTGTTAACCCACCGGAAAGCCGAAAGATTGCCCGGGACTATCGACTGTGGCGTGGAGAGTGCCCAAGATCGTTGCGGAGAGATGCACAAGTCAGGCTCATCCTCCGATCTTTCGTGTGGCTTGCGAACTCCGCTTTTCCAAGGACCGAATCGTTGGCTGCTAAGCGCCACGCCTCATAGCGAGAACATACCATATGTGACAACAGTAGTATTGAACTTCCGGAGCAGTCTCGCCCCAATGCTTTTCCTCGTAGTGGAGCCCAATATGATCTCTCTCGCTTGCTGTTACTCCTTCGGATGGATTGAGGGTTGCAACTTACGAGACTCTGGTAGATAATAATAATGTAGCTGCTGGAGCCCCACGTGGAGTATGGTCAGGATCATCTCGGGCCGGTTGAGGATGCATCTATAATTCTGTGTCTTGGGTTGCAGTCACCTAGAAGGAGACGGTTGCTATCGTAATAATACATTACCGAAGATTGGGCAAACATCCACGCCTGGTACATAGTGTGCATTAGATCCTGTTTGGGGTAGACACAGCTACAGACCCCTCGCTCCAAACATATCATATGGGTGTGCGTGGTGGACATCGCTTCGCTCTGGCTGCTTCCTACACAGCACGGGGTCAGGGTATGGATAGATCCCAAATGCATCTCTTAAGATGCTACACAATATTGCGGCCCATGCCCGCACCATGAGCGCTTCGATGCCAACGCCGTAAAAGAATGTTGTGGGTTTCGTGCATGTGGAGGCCATTTCGACTCTTACGCTCGTCTCGAGTGTAGTGCGCAATGTGACATAGATCGCTATTTGAGTCCCAGATAGTGAATACTGCACACGGTAATGAATGTCAACGACGAGAAAATATAGCATAGTGCCCAAGAGAAATATATATATAAACGTGTTTCAAATTTATATACAAATTTATATACCATTCTATCCAAGATGAACAATCCTTATATATAGGGGAGGTCATGGTTATCAAACGTCACCTCATATATCTATGGCGGTTATCGCTAGACGATGCTCTATGGAACGGTCTCACCGTCTAAGCACCGTCAAATTGTAGAATGGCCACCAGAAAAGATTGGGGCCATTCATGGACGGATTTCGAGCGCATAGCTGACATGTCCTATAGACGAAGAGACATAGTCCCTAGTCGCCGCTTGCTGTGAAGTCCAAGGGTCTTAAGCGTCCAGGCCCAGTCTCTCCAACAGCTTGTCCAGTTTATCCAGGAGAATCTGGTAGTTGATTGCATCACTATCGAACTCGTCTCCCGCAATCTGGCCATCTAGAGTTCTTATAACAGGGACATGTTCATGTGGATGCGTGTGTTTCTGCTGTTCTGCTTGAGCTGCTGGCGCAGCCTCAACGCCAAGTTGATCAACTCCGTTGGTGATATCCTTGATACCTTCACTCACAGCATTCGCGTTTTCGATTTCCTTCTCTGTCTCTTCTTCCATCATCTCTTCGAGCCCAGCATCATCGAATCTTAACCTGAACCGCTCGCTCAAGTAGAACCGAATATCGTCGAGCAGCTCGATGGAATCAGTCTCTTGTCTCTTTTGGATACGATTGGCAGATTCCTTTATCAGCTCAGCAAATTCAGGGGAGTCGACATGTGCTTCGAGCCTGTACGCCAGGTAACGGGCTCCAAACTCCTCCAGTCTCTGAACACGGGTGAGCCAAGCAGCGCGGATAATGTCATAAATATCGATCTCTTCTTCCCCAGCTTCACGCGTCTTGGCTGCTTCAGCCTGGGAAAGGTTGCCGCTTCCTAGCGAACTAATGACAACCGCAGCTTTGGCTTTCAACTTTTCGATGAAGAGAAGATCAGCGGCGAATAGAACTTCGACAGCCACATCAAGTCCAAAGTCCGCCTTTTCCGTGTATAGGAAAGTAAGCACAATCTCAAGGACCTCGGGTGAGCAGTCAATATCAATGATGTTCAAATGCTCAGTCACTTGAGCTTCTCGGAAAGGCGAGGAGAACATTGTGAGAAAGAACTCTGAGCGGAGAAGCATTGCTCGATGGGCCGGAAATAATACTGATCTCTGTTTCCGGACAGGCTCATTGGGAGCTGCTGATGAAGCCCCAGGATCGACAGGGATCGAACTCTGGCCGCTATCTTCCTGGCTGGCAGAAAGTCCATCCTCCTCTACATCGGGTGTCGTTTCATCGGCTCGTAGCAAGACATCGGCAAATATGGCATTGTCGCGATCCCACTTCACCTCATTGACCTTTCTTGTCTCAACTACCATCTTATTTGCAATGATATTCTCGCGGAACCATGTCGCAAGTTGATCCCGTCCTTTCGCAACTTCCGCGGATCTCCGTTGTCTGGCAAGTCTTCTGTTCCCACTGTCGACAATACTGTCAACAAGACCTTGGATTTCCAGGTGTTTTGCGACCTTGTCTATACCAGCGAACACTTCTGACTCAGTGAACCCCGTGCCGGGTCCGCTCCTCAGCTCGCGCGGCGGTTCTCCTAGGTAAAGATATTTGATAGCTGCAGCAAAGGCCTGTGGGGGTATCTTATTCGGTAGTTTCCACGTCGAAGTTGAGGGTGCAACAGCCAGCTTTCTCTTAAAGTACGGAGACCGCGCTGCAAGGATGAATTTATGTAAGAAAAGAGATTCGTCATCCGCCATGACAACAATATCGGACGTCTGGGGATGTTCTCGGGTCAGGAGTGAAGAAATATGGGCCGCGAAAGGCTGAAGAGGGTCGGTCGATTTGGAATAGTCATATTCCAACAAGAGATTTCGTATGCGGTCATTCAACGCGTTATATAAACATCTAATCCCAGAAAATACGATTAGTTGTGGGGAAGTAGACAAGCCTATCGAATTATGCGATGCTCACCTTTCACCCTGGAATGTATCGCGCTCGCATAATGCTCCAGAGTCAAGCAGAAGCTGCGCGACTTCATAGTGGCCACAAAGACTCGCCTTTGATCCCGTTAGTTTCCACGTTTTCCAATGGTACATACACGGGGAGGACCCGGGCATGAACGACTTACCAAAATCAGAGGCGTATAGTCGAACTGGTCCCTGGCATTGATGTTCACGCCCTCTGAGATCTTTTCCTGGCATACCTTCAAGTCCCCTGTCCGACAGGCATCGCATAAGACGCGGAAGGACTCGCTCAGATCTAGCGGGTTATCGTCCTTAAGTGTCCCCTCTTTGATGAGCTTCTTCTCATTGTGCAAACTGACCTCGAGTTGGTCTTTACGAAGAAGGCCTCTGTCGGACATCTCGAAGGTACACCTATGTATCCCCGTAACTCCGTCTCTTGGAAAGAAAAAAAGGTCAAGGAATGATTGGGATGCGGGGAGTTCTGAGCTCTCGGCCAGTCGTGCCGCTTATCGATAAGGATCACGTGCGCAGTTCGCCTCCATCCCAAATGGTGGCGAAAGGGTTGCACATACCAGTAGGAACAGCAGAAAGCATAGTTAGTTACAGGGATTCGCTTAACAACACAGACAGCTACAGAGAACAACTGCAAAAGATAACCACACCTTGCAACTGATCCCCGTAGCATCAACTACTCGGGCATTAGGAGAACCGCCCTAACTCCTGTAAGCCATCGCCGGCCGGTGATCAGTGGTCTTTTACCGCCTGCCTTTTACAGTAAGGAATGATCGGTGCCGTTGCTCAGCAACAGAGCTTCAACTAAACATTCGGTTCTCTTCGTACGCTGTCGCATACTCTTTCCCTGGTTACAGTTTCAAATATCCATGAGAACGTGCACTTCCAATTGTTTAACTAACATAGCAGGGTCATTGGCGCAATTCAGTCGTTCATGAGCTAGTACTCACTTCAACACGACACTTCTCTCCCGGCTACATCCTGTTCTGCGCGGTAATAGTCGCTGAGAGGTCGATCTGATTTCATATCATAATGGCGATTGCATTGGCAGAGGCTGATAAGTATGAGGTGTTGGAACGAATCGGTATGGCCCTTCGGTCCAGTCAAGGGTATCTCTTCACCTGGAGCTGACTCCTCTGCAGGAAGTGGCTCCTTTGGAATCATTCGCAAAGTCAAGCGAAAGTCCGATGGATTCGTAAGGATCCCGCCGCTAGTTCTCAGGAGATGCAATACATACTAATCTGGGAGCAGATACTATGTCGCAAGGAGATCAATTACATCAAGATGTCCCAGAAGGAGCGGGAACAGCTCACTGCTGAGTTTAACATCCTGAGCTCGCTTCGCCATCCGAACATCGTTGCATACTACCATCGCGAACACCTCAAAGCCACCCAAGACCTGTACCTGTACATGGAGTACTGCGGTGGAGGAGACCTTGGACAAGTCATCAAAAATCTGAAAGCCACAAACAAGTACGCGGAAGAGGAATTTGTCTGGCGGATTCTCTCTCAGCTGGTTACTGCGTTGTACCGTTGTCACTATGGAGTAGATCCCCCGGAGGTAGGTTCGAACGTGCTGGGGCCGGGTCCCGCAAAACCACCGGGTCTGAAGGGAAAACAAGCTCAATACATGATCCTCCACCGTGATCTCAAGCCTGAGAATATCTTCCTGGGCTCCGACAACTCTGTAAAGCTGGGGGACTTTGGTCTGTCGAAGCTGATGCAGTCTCATGATTTCGCCTCGACCTACGTCGGAACTCCTTTCTACATGTCGCCAGAAATCTGCGCTGCGGAAAAGTATACCCTCCATTCGGACATCTGGGCCGTCGGTTGCATTATGTACGAGCTGTGTCAGAAGCAGCCTCCATTCAACGCAAAGACACACATCCAGCTGGTCCAGAAGATCCGGGAGGGAAAGTTTGCTCCTCTGCCTGACTTCTATTCTCCGGAATTGAAGAATGTCATTGCGAGCTGTCTGCGTGTGAACCCAGACCACCGTCCTGACACCGCTGCACTGCTTAATCTTCCAATAATACGTCTAATGCGAAAAGAGAAGGAAGTTGTCAGTCTTGGAAGCACTCTGAAGAAGCGGGAGGAGGTTGCAGTCCAGAAAATTAAAGAGATAGAGCAAAAGTATGCGAAATTCGAGAAAGAGAAGGCCCAGTTTAAAAGTGAGATAGAGAGCACTGTCCGCCGAGAATGGGAAGTGAAGGCGAGACTGGAGATCGACCGTCAAGTCCAGATTGAGCTCGAGAAACTTCGAAAGAGATTCGAGTTCGAGGTCCAGGAAAAAGTTACTGCTGAGTTGGAAAAGCAGATGAAAGCGGGAAATTCTCGCGAGGAAGCTGCACTTCGCAGAAGTCGACGAGCATCATCGCGCTCCTCTGCCAGCGTATCAGAGGATACCGACTTGCCCTCCAGCACAGAGATCAGCCAGCTGTCGCTAGAGTCACCCACTAACGGGAACAAGGCTGTCAAGAAAGAGACACGGACTCCTTTCTGTCGCTCGAAGACCACTGTTGAGTCTCCTGTAGATGTCCAGATGGCCGAGCCCTCTCCGATCTCCATTGCCTCCTTGTCTCTATCACCGCGCCGCACCGCTGCAGCGGCCGGAACTGCCAGAAACATTTTTGCAGAAGCTGAGCGACAGAAGGCCAAGTGGGAGCCCACACTGGCATACTCTGATGATGAAGACGATATTCCTGACTTGCCTTCTCCTACTCGGCCCAAGGTCAAGACAGACCCATTCAAGGCCCCTTCCCGGCCACTACTCCGACAGAACACTGCTGCCATGATGCAGAAGTTGAACACACAGCCTGCTCTCTTCCCTACGACAAGCACCAGACTTGGCCACAATGCCTCCGCTGCTGGCCCTTCGCAACATGGACATGAGGCTGGGGAAAGAAAGGCGAGGTCTCCTCATCGACGACTGTCGAAGATCCCATCGTCAACCAACTTGGCCGCGGATGCCCACTCCCCTACTCGCAGGGGCACTACGAAGGGACTGACCTCGAAGACGAACGGAGCCGGTGGTGAAGAGATGTTCAAGGCTGTCATGCAGCGGAACATGGGCGGCAGAACATTGGTGGAACTGGCACAGGCAAGAGCTGGTGGTCGCCCCATGGAAGAAGTCAAGCGCTGTTCCAGTGACTCCCACGTTATTCGAGGCTCTTCGGCCCCTGCGACTGTTAAGATCGTTGAACAAGATCCTCCTGCCACTTGGGATCCAGAGAGGGACGAGATGCCGAGCCCATTTTTGGCCCGAGGCAACAAGGTCATTCGCAACCTGCGGTAAATGAGTCCAGAGGTACTTGGTCGACCCTACTATGTGGCTCGTCTGACGCCCCCATAATCATTTTCATGATGTTTACCTTACTTCCCTTCGTCTTGGAAATCTGGTGTTATGGCTTGGAATAATTTGATTCTTCCCAGAGTCCAAATGTGGCATTGCAAGGCGTGACAGGATCGGGCTTTCCACTTTGGGTTCTATTGGATATTCTTGCTTCCCTTACACTTATCTACCCGACCCCAGTCACTCCTTTTTTACAACCATTTCCTTTGTTCATCTTCGATTCTCAGGTCCAGGAAGGACAGTCAGCATGCATGGAAAGGAGCACAGCATACTTGCATTGCCTGTATACACCCGCATTTATTCGACCGGCGCGGCGCGATTAACGTTTTCTTTTTCTTTCCGCCGAGGTCTCCGCCATCTCATCATTGCCAGATTCCAAGCGCTCGTTTTACTTTGCTTCTGTTTTCCCTTGGTTGGATACTTGCTCTTATCGGCGTTATTTTCTGGGGTTTTTCTTTTTTTTTCTTTTTGGTGGGGTGGAGTTTGTGTTCGAAGGTCGATGACATCTCTTTGGAGTACTGTACAAAGCTCCCGATATTTCTGTTGTAGGCTATTTTCTATATCCGATCAAATGGATCACTTACCACAAGTTAATGTTGTGCTGCACCATCGTAAATATTAACTGTACAAGTCCTCTCAAGTATTATTTCATTTGGTCATTCCATCGTTAATGTATTGGTTAGTCTATATATTGTACAGTGCATATTAACCAGTTTATAGAGACCCTTGGTGGTCCCAACGCAAGCAGACCCTCTTCAGCCAAACCGTTTTGAACGCTTTTGTCGGGCCCATCATGATAGAAGAATAGAAATGCGCAGGGTGATAGAGTAGAGAAAGAATCATAGCTCCTCGTCTGTAACCTCTTCCACTTGGACTGCTCCCAGTTCTCGTTTGAGCCGTTCCTCTTCCTCAGCCAGTCTTGCTTCGTCAACGTCAGCGGACATAGAATCACGTCCTTGACTTGTAGCTCGAGAGGCAGTCGCGGCACCAGCCACGTAGCCGGCTTTCTCAAGGCGGTCCATTTCTTCGGGCTCGACGAGCTTTCCTTGCCCTTTGATGGCGTCCTTCTTCATGCGAACGGCCGTCGGGACAAACTTGCTGACAGCCTCTTGCCGCAGGTCCCGGATTGCCGGCGCGGCTTCGTAGACGGTCTTGATCTCTGGGGTAGTTTCTGGCTTCGCGGGAAGCGGGTGCGGCCCTCGTTCTCCAAGAGGCTCCTTGTTTGCATCCGTTCGTCTTCGCTGGAGATATTCTCGAGGAATAGGCGGCGGGGTATCTCTAGGCATCGGGATCCGACGCACGCTATCATCTGTGTCGCTGCTGTCGCTGTCTTGCCTCCATCGGTTGTCGCCTTCTCTGCGTCTCTTGCCCAGGACACCATCTCCGCGTGTTCTGTCGCCCTGTCCATCCCTTCTATACTGTCCGGAACCAAACGTAGGAGCTTTATCTCCCAGAGCTTCCCGGGCCTTCTTCACTGCGCGCAGATCGCGTTCGAGCTCCTCCAGGAGCTGCTTGTCGCGCGGCCGTAGCGGCTGTCCCGACTCCTCGACCGCCTTGAGGTCATCGATCTGTCTCTGGATACGATCTGGATTCCTGCGAGCGAGCTTCTCGTTGCGGCGCGCCAGCGCTTCCGCTTTGCTTTTCTTGAGCGCTTTCTGCTTCTCGAGCTTGCGCTGTGCCTGTGCGGGGTTGATGGAGCGTTCTTTGTCCTTCGCCATTCTAGCGTGCGTCGGGGACGTGCACCTGTCAAGCAGTAGTTATCCTCTGGTCTGTCTAATCCACTGTCCGATGCGGGTTATAGTCCGTTTGGCTGGTGTTGTGCGGGTGGTGGGGAGGTATTCGAAGAGGCGAACGCAAAGGACGAAGCTTGGAGAAGCTTGCTGCTTTGCCCGAGGGTCGATGATTAGCTTCTGCGGTGGACTAGACCCGCGGATGGCGGTATGGACAACGCTCACAGGCTGCGACGGGCGCCAGCTGCAGGAAAGCAGCAGCTTCTTTCGAGCAGACGCTGTTGGTGACAGGAGCAATGAGACCCAATGAGAAAGAAGTCGAGCTCGCAGTACTCCAGCCTCACAGGTTGGGCAGCGCGAAGAGTCCAGGCAGTAAGAAGCCCCAAGGAACGTCGAAATCCGTGGTGATTGACAGGATGAGAGCTCGTCCAGACGGCGCTCCCTCGAAACGGTCAAGGGTCCTGTGGCTTGCGGCACTGGCTGAAGAGACGCTCTCAAGCTCACGAGATGTGATACGGCATATGATAGGGAGGGAATATGTCTCTTTGGTTCTTTTCTGGCCGCAGCGTGGAGAGGTAAAAAGCTGGTGGAGGTGCGACCTTTTCCGGGGGTGGATCGTTAAGAGGGAGAAATCAGAGAGTGGACGATGGAGGGCAGAAGAAAGAACAGAGAGAGACAGTGGCTTAAGACCGTATATAGACGCAAATAAGGATCAATTCGCCGCGCAATGGCCGGTCTGTTCGAAAAGGATGACGGCTAAGTTGCATTATTATTGTTACTTGAGTTGTCTTTGCTTCTTCCCGTCTGGAGTCGAGGCTGCTCATCTTCCTCTCTCTCCTCCCCCACATCTTCTCGCGCCCGCAAAGAGGCAGCAAAGGAGAAGAGGCGCTCATCCCAGAGAAAATATCCAGCCTCCCTCCTCTCCCTTTCTCGCTCTCTATCTCTCTCTCTCTCTCTCTTTTTTCTCCCTATCGTCAATAAGTCCTGATCCGACTCTTCTAATTCTGAGTCCGGCTTCTCCCTTTGCCGCTCGTGCTACCAGTCTAATCGGCAGTTCCTGCGTCGCTGAAGCGTCTGTTCGTCCCATCATTAGCAGTCTCCCCACACCCTCTTATTATTATTACTTCAGACGTCCGGGTAAATCAACTGTCTGTTCGCAAAGCCGCGGCTGAAGACTTCATTGCTTGCAGGGAAGACCCTCTGCGCAGTTCGGTTGACCACACCCTTCTACGGCGCGACTGCTCACCATCCTCACGGTCCCTCACCGCAAAGAGGTGACATTACGAGCTAGCATTGATTGCTATCCTGGTCCGGCGCGGACCCCGATTGTAACCTTGCTCACTCTGGTCTCTCCGCGCGGTTCTTTGCCGTCATCATGAACTGCAGTCTGTCTGGGGACTTTGCATCTGGATTGACCGGCGCTTCCTCCATCTCGTCGCTGTAAGAGCATGTCTCTGTCGGGAACCAAATGTCCGTCGCAACCTCGATTCCCGACACCTCCCTTGGCCTTACCTCCTCCGAGATCCAGATTCTCCGGCAGCAGCAGCAGATTGCGCTACAGGGTGGACATGCCGGGAGTGTGGTCTCCAGAGGCAGAGGGACTGGAAGGAATAGTAATTCAAGCTCGCGCGCTACCAGTGCCGCCAGCAGCCAAGGTCGATTGTTGTTGGATCCTATGAGCCTCAGGGCTCTGTCGCATCAACTGGACAACCTGCAGGAACAGATTAGAAGCAGGATCGACTATGTGAGTACTTTTTTTCTCTCTGATATCTTAATGCCTGGCGAGTTCATGGTTGGGTGCTACGGGGATCGCCTTCCACTATGTCCGAGCTATGCTCATACATGGACTCTCAAGCCTCCAAAAGCGATACAGTCTTTCTATTTGGCATCCAAGCATATCTCTATCTTCAATCAGCCGTTGGCTGACTCCCGAACAGTTAGAACAGCAAATGCAGCTTTCCATCCAAAATAGCTATGATCGTGCAGGGAACGTCATTCGCGATGCGGACGCCGAAATCGCCCGCACTCGTTCGATCCTCGCCTCGATGGATGAACTGGAGAATGAGCTCGCAAAGATCGGGCACATCAGAGAAATCGTCAAGTCCTTCCGCGCTAGGATTGAGAGCCTGGATCACCGACTCGATCAGTCTGCCCGACGAAAACACTAACTTGTCTATATCATATCTTCATACATCAACTCTTCTCTATCCGGAACATCTGCAGAGTCTACTGGTCGCAAGGCGTCACGCCACCGCCAACGATTCCCAAACCATGGAAATCGTTGCAGCCCTTCTACGGCCGCCTCTCCATGACCAACTCCTAAGAATGCCATATTGGAATATGGTATCGAATCTCTCGCAATTCTTAGCTTTTTTACCTTCTTCGACGAATAAATGATTGTCAGCTTGTCATACCCCTCAACTGATAATTTTAACTGTCCGCCCTATACGATAAGATTGACAAAAGAGGGTTTTATATACATACTATATACCTTGTCTCCTCGCGGAGCTTCGACACAGTCTAGCTACAGGGACTGCGCCACGCCACCTGATCTGATGTTTCTGTCATCTTGCATGTGGCAATTGTCTTATGATTCTCGTTTGTCCGTTATTATCGCCGAAGTCAATCGGTGGTAATCTCTCGCCGGATTTTGCAGAGTAAAAGTCACATAAAAAGACTGGATACATGCCTCGCGGCTAATTTGGATCTTATGTTATTTTCAACCTACGTCTAATACGATGGGATCAGCAGAAGGGTGTTGGTGGATGTCGGAGTTGGATTTTTTTTTGGATATTATCATATGTTGCATGTGTTTTCTGTCGGTATACACATCCCGCTCTAGCTATGTTTCAGTCCCGACCGTCACAGTATCTTGCTTGCCTGACGCCAATGGATCTTCGACTGCAATGTCCTGAGACTTGGAGCATATATAGCGTCAGCATACAGACGATCTGGTTGTATGAGACAACAGTTGGTGACGCTCTAATACCCATCACATTCCTACAACGAAACCTTTGAAAGGCAGGTCTGGTGGTACGGTTCTATCTTCAGTGCGCGTCTCGTCTGTGCTTTTTTTCAGGGCTGTTAAGGCCGTTTCATGTTCAGTTCGCCCAATTTCGGTCTGCCTTATACCCATGTGTCGATGATTTGACGTCCACCCTTTTGCGTTTCATGAAATTCGTTTCCATACGAGTGTATGTTTATATGTATTCAAGAGGAATGAGCAAAAAGACCCGTTCCCGTATAAGTAGTCGAATTTCAAGTGGCTTTGATCAATGCCTAGTAGTGTCATGAATGATCCAGTATCGTATCCAGTCTTGCTTGACTCGCGATCCTTCATCGAGAGTAGCAGATATCTCAGCTTACTGTGCGTAGAAACGGTGCGTCCTACTGGACATTTCTAGCCCCCATACAACACTTGTGAGCAAGAGCTGGTTTCAACAGTCCCCTCAAAAATGAGGACGCACATTCTGGTCTGGAATAAGACGAACTATGTCCGCAAGACGAGATCCTGGTATAAGAGCCTCGTTAAAGCCGCAGCTCGACAGTGCTGCAGCCATCATTGCGCAAACCGCACATGCGATGATATGATCAGCCCTTTGCTGTATGCCCGTCTCAGAACTTCCAACAACCGTCTTGCTATTGAACGGATCGGGAAGTCAACATGAAGAAAGCCATTCCTTTGACGACTCTCAAAGCGGGTTGTAACCTGGGACAAATCAACCATCTGGTTGGAGAGCTACAGATCACGATGGCGCTGACGATGTATTCTTCGCAGCAGCCTCTGACTTGCGTTCCGAGAGCTTTTTGCTGCGTCTGTCCGTCTGAGGGAAGCGCTTCTCTGTCCCACAGGCAGTGCAACGGACGACCCGTACATCGGCCCACGGTTTCTTTCTACCGCGACTTGCATTCTCGATTCTCTCCACGCAGTTGAATCCTGGAACTAGGATAATGTCACACCGTTTGCAGAAAGACCGCTTGACCTCGATAGGCAATCGCATCTGTGACTTTAAAGAGACACCTCGCATCTGCGATATGAACTGGCGGGGGATGCATAATGTACGATTCTGGTTATGTGTCGGCTGGTCGGATTCTTGGTGTCCATCCCGTGTCTCTGATGACTCGACTATCTCCGGCTCAGTGTGTACACCATCGGTCATTTGCTCATCCGTATTATCATTCTGATCTGGTCTCAACCTCGATGTCGACGCAGATTGGATGTATACAGCCGCCTTTCGGAGATATTCCAGACGAGCGCGTATATGCGGTGGCCCCCTGGCACTGACATCCTTCTTCGCTTTCTGCTTTGCCATCGTACAGTCGATCTCCCCCCGGTCGGAGACGGAGAAGATTGCGCCAAACTTCAAAGAAGCATTTTGGTGAACTGGCGCCTGAAGCGGACGGTGGCGATGTGGCGCTAAGTCGAAAAGGGCTAAGATCTTGGGGCTCCAGATGGCGATTCTGGTCACGTGATCTACCGCGCCTTGTCTTCTCTTTCATCCCTCGCAGTGCTGTCTTGTCTTGCCATCAACCTACAACCATCTCCTTCATTGTCGGCCTCGTCCCTTCGTCTGTTTTATTGCGCTTGCGAGAACGCCGTTGTGGCTCTTGCGATTGTCTAATTCTCCAGGTCCATAGTCGAGGCCCCAGTTCTCTTCCCAAGTCTCAACTCACGCTTTCCCAGGCTTTGCTGCCTCGGGACGCGCCTCTGCTAGACTCACCAATACTTCACCTACCACCTCGTCACTCACCGACTTTTCCACCATGTCTCACGAAGAGGATCTTATCGATTACTCCGATGAGGAGCTCCAGACGACCGATGCCGCGACGACAGCCGCCGCACCGGCTGCTTCCAACGGTGCCGCTGCAAAGAAGGGCGATCTGACTGTGTCAGGCGGTCGCCCAGACAAGAAGGGCAGTTATGTCGGCATTCACTCCACCGGTTTCCGTGACTTCCTGCTCAAAGGAGAGCTTCTGCGTGCGATCACCGATTGCGGTTTCGAACATCCATCGGAGGGTTAGTTATAATATTTCTCCCACAGCCTTCCATTGTCCATCTTCCACCGTCCGTCCATCTCCGCCGAGGGTTGTACATCGCCTGGTCAAATCTGGTCCCGAGCTGCAGGCGGCACGGGGATGTTTCTCCTCGAGATCGCGCTACGCTGCAACACGGCTGCGGCTAGCTTCCTCACGATCGAGCTCAAGGCACAAAAAAAAGCCCCGGTATCTCACGGGTAATAACTGCCTCTCGAAGCCCAAAGATCATACCTGCCAAGGTGTAATAGCTGGGGAAGTTTGCAGGGCCCATGAACAAGAGGAATTTATGTCCTTTTGAATGCCACCTCTGCGCATGGGGGTGTTCCCGTGTTGACCTGCACGAGGCTCCTGATCAGATCTTCTTTTGCAGAAGATGGTTGAAAAAAGTACCTTGTGGTCTTGCTGGGTGGAATAGATAAACTTGTTTTGCTGGTCACCACTACCGGGGGATGGACGGACGGACGTTTTGCGATGCGAATTGCTTCTTTCAAAATTCATGGATCGGACCAAGTCTAACATATCGTCGCGCCTTACTACAGTCCAGCAAGTTTGCATTCCCACGGCCATCCTCAATGTCGATGTTCTCTGCCAGGCAAAGTCTGGTCTCGGAAAGACGGCAGTCTTCGTTCTCACCACCCTCCACCAGCTGGAGCCAGTTCCGGGCGAGGCCCAGATCCTCGTCATGTGCCACACCCGTGAGTTGGCGTATCAGATCAAGAACGAGTACGCACGATTCAGCAAGTATCTTCCGGATGTGAAGACGGCCGTGTTCTACGGAGGTACTCCCATCCAGAAGGACATTGAGCTTCTGTCCAACAAGGAGACCTACCCCAACATCGTTGTCGGCACGCCCGGTCGATTGAACGCCCTAGTGCGTGAGAAGAAGCTGTCTCTGCGCAGCGTTAAGTGCTTCGTTCTTGATGAGTGTGACAAGATGCTCGACCAGATCGGTAAGTCTGAACTACTGTATTATTGTTGAAGGCACGAGTGCTCACTATTGCAAAGACATGCGCCGCGATGTCCAGGAAATCTTCCGTGCTACCCCTGCCGACAAGCAGGTCATGATGTTCAGTGCGACCCTCTCGCAGGAAATCAGACCTGTCTGCAAGAAGTTCATGAGAAACCCGCTTGAGGTCTATGTGGATGATGACACCAAGCTCACACTCCACGGTCTCCAGCAGTACTACATCAAGCTCAGCGAGGCCGAGAAGAACCGAAAGTTGAACGAGCTGCTCGACAGCCTCGAGTTCAACCAGGTTATTATCTTTGTCAAGAGCACGCTGCGTGCAAACGAGCTGGACAAGCTCTTGAGAGAATGCAACTTCCCCAGTATTGCGGTCCACTCTGGTGTCAGCCAGGAGGAGCGGTAAGTTTTATTGCTTCGTGTTTGTTTTCTCTTCAGCCCGTTCTAACAACGTATCACAGTATCAAACGTTACAAGGAGTTCAAGGAGTTCAACAAGCGTATCTGCGTTGCCACTGACGTGTTCGGCCGTGGTATCGATATTGAGCGCATCAACCTCGCCATCAACTACGATCTCCCCGCTGATGCGGATTCCTATCTCCACCGTGTCGGTCGTGCCGGTCGTTTCGGTACCAAGGGTCTGTCGATCTCTTTTGTCAGCAGCGAGGAGGACGAGAAGGTGCTGAAGGAGATCGAGAAGCGATTCGAGGTTGCTCTCCCTGAGTATCCCGAGGGTGGTGTTGATTCCAGCACCTACATGGCCTAAGCATCCCGTAGATGCTGTCTTTTATCCTCTTCTGGCGCGACGGCCGGGTTGTGATATTATGTTTCGTCTTATTTGCAACCACTGGATCAGGATGTGAAGGATATCAGTTGCGAGAGGGGCTGTGCCTCATAGGAACGTCCTGAAATAGGAAAAAAAAAGGAAAACCTTGATGATGTACTGGGTATGGAGCAGGTAATTAATTTAGCTGATCGCGGACTTATGCGTTGGTGCCATTCCTTTGCGGTATATGTCTCTGTGTGTCTGTATGATTTGGTAAAGCAAATAGTCGTTTTGCAGGTCATCATTGCACCCGCGTAGCAAGGTTGATAAGGATAACGCAAGTAATGCTAAGTCGGTCAGTCTTCCACCGCGGGAGCCCGTCTCAGCGGCGATGTATACACAACACGTAATTTCCAAGTGTCCATCTTCAAAAGAATACATATATTTTATATATCGATAATATTGCCTATCCTCGAATTAAACAATATCGCCTTAAGGTTCCTAAATCCCTCCCCCAACCCATATCCCCTCTATCTTCCCGCGTGCTTCCGAGATATGCACGCATGAGTCTTCTCCTGCAAGGTTCGGATTTGGAATTTTTTTAAGCCCCTTCCTTTCCCTTCTTGGTAAGAAAGGGCATTACGTATATGCACGCGCATATGTTGCATGTCCTATGTATAATAAATCTCTTTCGCGATCCGGGTGCCGAAAGGGTTGGGTGCTAAGTTCTCGATATGGGGGTTGTCTGTTTCTTATCTTGAGGTGAGTATATCCTAGCTAGGGGTGTGGGGTTGCTTGCTACTTGGGTATCGCTTTTTGGCTTTTGGGTATATTCCCTGTTGAGTGTGTCTGTGCTAGGGATTTATCTCGTGATACTTACTTTTTGATGTGATATATTTTTAGATGATTAATGGATAGAAATATAGGTTATCGAGGGGCTATACGATTATTGGCGTTGTTATGTAGGCGCATGGTTACTGGTATATATATACAGCAAGCAGGTATGCAGCATTATGTTATAGAAGCCTCTGGTAAGAATAAGACAAGTAGTACATTACTTGGTTATAGCTCCTAACGAGCTACTATAAGTTAGGTAACTTCCTATAGCGATCCCGTTACAAAACATAACAGTGACGGGGTGTATCTGTTGATAGTCATAAATCCAGGCGTAAGCAACAAAGGATCATTATCATATAAGGTCGTATTCTCCACGTATTTTCGATATGAAAACACTAGGAAATTCTCGTTATGATCCTTCCTATCTATGCCCTCGACTTGTGCACCTGGACGAGGAACCCGGGTAGTTATAATTGGAACCAGTGTTATTGTATGGTGGTATGATCTGATAATAACATATGGATATATATACAAGCTATGACAAGTTCAATGATAATAATTTCAATACAAATTGGGTTGCGAGAGGACTTATATAGTTATAACATGGCGAGTACTATATAGTTGAATATATATCGCATCCGCAATACCAGAAAAAAAAAAAAAAAAAAAAAAAAACTACCAACCTTCTATTCTTTATACAGTAAACAAGAGAAAATTTTCTCCCCTGCTCCCTCAATTATGTGAAATATACACGCATCAAGTATTAAAGAAAACCATAAAACTTACGCGTAGTACGTCCGCTACTACTGACGAATGCAGTGGGGATTATCATTTTTGACTTCCACGTACCCAGTTACCCGATACGGCAACAATACCTATATCAGGTGGTAAACTCTACTCCGCGGTGCGCGTTTAGCCCTATCATTATACCGTTCTTATTATTCTTATTCTTCTTCTTATTATTATCGAGTTCGAGGAAGTAATAATAGCAGAGGCAATGGCTTTTCTATCAAAATTAATAAGGACGGCGACGCGACGCGTGAGACTATGTAAGATTAGGGATTCTGGGAAAGATGTGTAGTTAGTTAGTTATTGGAAAGATGCCTTAATGCAGCGTAAGGAGATAGTTTTTCTTGAGACTTTCCTATGCTATTATTATTATTATATAGAGTACTCTGGAGGTAATAAATAAATAAAAGGATAGAAATGACGATAAAAAAATTCAAAAGCATCAGAAAAGACGCGTCTGGAACCGGGGAACGTGAGAGTGAGACAGGAGCTTCGTTCTAGGCCCCGAACCACTGTTACGTCAATGGGGTCGGTAGAAGCGAGACTGCTCTAATAGCTGATCATTGCGTGGTATCAGAGTCAGGGACAACTGGTAGCAACAATGATGGATTATGATTATTATTATTGTGGTCAGCTCGAACTATGGTGATAGAGACGCGGCTGATTGGCTCTTGGTCGTTCATCCTCGTTCCTCTGGGATTTCCTCCGCGCGCAGAAAGCGTGGGGCTGAGCTTATACCATACTTATGGAACGACAAGGAAAGAAATTTATGGTGAATGCTCTATCTACAGGTTCAATTAATTAGATTAATTAGTTAATTTGAACCATGGCAGGTCACCAACCCAGTTGTTCCTGACGAAAAGGGCAATCCATGGGACAGTCGCAATCCGAATGCTCAGATGGTCAGGGACCGAACGAATGCCAACCCTTGGGAAACAAGGCAGAGCAGGTTCGCCAGAAAGCTAAGTCGCCCGTGGCTTCGTCCGTCCCGTCTTTGTGCCGTCACTGGCGATGGGCGCTCTCTCCACACATCGGCATGCTCCTTGTCTTTTTGTTCTCACTAATGTCCTTTCGAGTCTAGAGCTTCCCTTTAGCCCGTTATCCACCCCGGTTGCCGAGTCCATGACTCTCTGACAGGTTTGGCCCGGCCTGGAAGCGTCGAGAACAGAGTTAATTACCTACCATAAATCATATTCGCAGTCCGCGGAACGTCATGATCTACTGCGGGCGTGTGGCTGGGGCGACCGCGGTGCCAATGAGGTTCTCCAGATGCGATAATCGTGTGTGGTCAAGGGGAAAGCTGAAAGTGACTGGGAAGAAGAAAAAGAAAAAAAAAGAAAAAAAAAAAAGAGAGAGAGAGGAGTGAGCTCTTCTTACCTTTCTTAGCAGCAAGAAGAACCCGTCCACATTCAGAACGCGACAGAGACGAAAATCCATCCATGGTGAAGTCTCTTCGTCCTCTACCGTAGAGCCTCACGGTCCGCATTGCCGCCTATCGGTTCGGATGGCGGTGCAACTTCTGGCCGCCGAATTCTTGTCGCAGAGACAGCCGGTAAGTTTCTTCCTAGCGCATCCGCAGCTGTCGTGGACATGGGTTTTTGGGGTGATCGTATGGTGGATTGGCGGTTTCTCACCGAGTAGCGCCACAGGGACGATCGGTCTAACAGAGCTTTGATGGCCGTCTCGGGGACTTTGTGGTAGCGGTCAGACTAGAATTAGAGAGACAAAGCAGTGGGAGTTGGAAGTTGGAAGAATCGTCTCTCTGACCAGCACGCTTGGTTTCATTTCCCAGTGGGTAGGAGACGGTGCGCAACCAGCGCCTGGACTAGAGAGAGGGAGAGCGAGAGAGAAAACAAGGCCATTATGGGCTGAACATAAACAGGATCGGTCAAGTTGACAGCTGAGCTGACCGTCCTCTTGGCGCGATTATTATTGCAAATGGCCGGTCGCGACTTGCCCTGCCTATGATATGCTCGTTAGGGTCCTTTTCTAGGATCCTTATCTAAGTAATTCTGTGCTATCACTAGATAGGCGGCCTTGCAGCGGAGGGATGTGAAGGGTGGCTTTACTGCAGGGCTAGAGGGCGAGTGTCTGGCGCCGTCTAATGATTTATTAATAGTAGCAGTGTTGACCCTTTACAACGACGGTCGCGCGCACAGTCCGCTTGCTTGTGCTGAGGCCAAGTGCCAGGCGATGAATCCCGGGCAGATACGTGCAGAGAGCTTGCGATGGAGTTGCATTATTGGCGTTGCATGACCAGAATTCCTGAGAGAGCGCAGAGCGGACAGAAGGGAACTCGTGGCATGTTTAAGGAGGCGCAGATAATCACCACCAAACCCTCTCTCCGATAAGAATAATGTTTTCGAGTCGCGTTCCTATGGTTGAGGGCTGCAGACGGATGATCTTCGAACCCCATACTGGTAGGGAGAACCGCAAACAGACGTGTGTGTACGTGTGTGTAGTAGTATGTACACATGTGTGTGTGTGTCTCTGGCAACCGTTTACTTTTACCTCGCCTGTCGACCCAGCGTTCTTGCGAGAGGCGAGACGGCACGCGTGCGCGTTCCTCGTGGGGGCTGGAGGTCGACAGCTTCCCGTGTGTTGATATCATGGGTTTTGTTTTCCGGGCTGACGCAGTCCATGCCAATCCTTGCCGAAGGGGAGGATTCTGGCATGCCGGAACCGAAGACAGGATCAGAACCCGAGCATGGGAAGCTTCTTCTTACCTTGGAGAGTGCAGTTCTGGATCGAGAGAGAGAGATAGATTGATGGATAGATAGATAGCCCCAAACGATCGATCATCTATGGTAGCAACCTTGTCTGGCCGGTCTAAGCACTTTAAAGTAATAATAATAATATTATATCTAGTCCGTCGAACTGGCAGAGCAACGATGAATCATGGCAGGAACCGGTTCGAGGCGAGACCCAAACCCACATTTTCTGCGAAAGGACGTGGAGGAAACGAACCACTAGTTAGTAGTTAAATATGGATATGGGCATTAATTTATAATTGTAGCAACTAGTTAGTTCTGGAGGATAAACAATAATATATTAATAACTATCTACACTGCTCATCATCCCTTTCTTGCAGGCCCTCATACCATGGTTCTCCCGACGCAGAGCATCGATCGCCGAACCATTGACGGACTGTGCTTTGCATCCGCATATCTGGCATAACGCCGTGTAGCTATCGCATTTTGTCATGCACAATCCGACGCCGGTCTGGACAGCAATCTGTTAGTTAGCGGCCGCCTACTTCCACGACCCATCCAGGTGGGTTTGCGAGTGGATGCAGGATGGACTGGCCCTGTCATCATCGGCCCCGGTGGGCTTTTTTTTCTTGCTTCTGTCCGATCCGCTGGCAGCAGAAGGGGGAGTTCCGCTTCGGGAGCGAGATTGAGATTGAGATGGAGGAGGATAGGGTGGTTGGTGGTGGTTGCGGCAGAGGAATAATAGTATTCTTCGACTATCTACCATCTACTAACTGTCAGTCAGTCAGTGTATCTATCTATCTATCTAGATAATCTATCTATCTATCTACTACTGCACTACCACTTAATATACACTAGTTAGCAGACGGCAGAAACCCAGTCCACACCATAGAGGCATTCCTATCCTGACTTACCCCCCTCCCTTCCATCACATCGCATCCCAGACTACTACCATCATCATCCCACCAGACACACACGGGGGGTTAAAATACCAGACCGACTAAACAAGCGTTCTGTTTTTGGATTACTGCCCGCGTGGTGCTTGTTGAGTGGGCTGCTCCACGAAAGCGTCCTGATCGCGCATCTCAGCCCAACCCCCCCCGAATTCCACGGCGTGTCTAGGCCGCAGCAGAAAAGAAGAAGAAGAAGAAGAAGAAGAAAAGGAAAAGAAAAAAGAAAACCGGCAGCGGATAGATAGGCAAAAAAAAAAGCCACGCATTGATTGCTGTCGCGTTCACTTCAATAATAATTAATTAATTAATTAATTAATTATTGCTTGATTCTGCTCCGGGCGCGGCTGGCAGGCGATTCGAGCACCGCCCAAGGGCTCTCTCAGCGCCCGTCGAGACAGCCAATCCATTCGGTCTCTCTCGCTCTCTCTCGCTCTCGCTCTCGCTCTCTTCCTCCACCCTTCTATCATCCTTTTTTCCCTCCCAAATACATCCTTTCCACCTCCCGTGGTTCTGCCCCTTCCTGAACCCCCTCCCATCCATCTACCTCATCCTTTCCTCCCCCCTCGTTCGTTTTTTTTGTTGTTTGCGTTGAAGCCGTCGTCCGGGATCCCTCCTCCTCTCGTTCCGTGTTAGCCTTCGCTTGTTTTCTTGGGGATCTCTTCTTCTGGCATTCGCCTGACGCGGTCGTTCTTCCCTATCGACATCGTCCCTCTACACTCGAGCTCCCGTCGACCTCGTCTCCTGGGAGTTGCCTCCCGACACGGCCGTCTGCGTCGTTCCTCCATCGTCCCCTCCGTCTGACGCCTTCTCTGGACGGCTCTTCTTATCGCAATGGCTCCTTCTCCGCCAAGGCTGCGCATTCTATCAGGTATGGCCTCATCCTATCCTGCAATGGCTTTCTGATCCTTCTGCTCTTCCCATCCGGAAACCGATCTCCTGCGACCCATTCCATCCCGATTGAGAATCACAACAAAGGCGTCGACCCGAAAGAGATGAGCGGATTGCTAAAACGTACCTGTGTAGTGGGCGGCAATGCAGTGTCGGCCTTCCTGTCGTGGAGGCTGCAGGCGACCAATTCATGCGACGTGACACTCGTCTGGAAGTCGGGATTCGAGTCAGTAGCACAATACGGTGTCTCATTCAAGTACGTTTCAACTACGATGCCCCTCTCCTCCTTTGGTTTATCGCCTGTCGCTGACACAATTGTCTGTAGGTCAAAACAATTCGGCAATGAACGGTTTAAACCCCGTCATGGTATGTACTGCCATCGTCAATTCATTCTTCCAAACCACTCCCGTACGATTGGATGCTGACCTGCATGACATGATAGTCGTGCGCAGTCCTGAAGAAGCATCCTCGAGGGAGAACGCATACGATTACGTTATTCTCTGCGTGAAGGCGTTGCCAGACGTCTACGATCTGGCTGCAGTGATTGAGTCTGTCGTTACACCACAACATACATGCATCCTCGTCAACACTACAAACACGCTGGGTGTGGAAGCTCATCTGGAGCAGCGCTTCCCGACAAACGTCGTCCTGTCCCTCGTTTCGGGTCTTGAGATCACGCAGATCGGGGCTAGTGAATTCGAGCATACGGGGTCGACGGAGATCTGGGTGGGACCCGCCAATAAGAACCCGTCGATCCCTGCTTCTATACAGAACGATATGGCCGTCGCCCTCGCCATCACCTTGGGCACCGGCCAGGTGGATTGCAAGGTTTCCAAGAACATCCGACAGGAACAATTTGAACATATGGTCGGGTAAGTTGTCAACCTCATTTCTTCCCCTACATGCGGAACTGGCGCTGATACTGCTTGGCAGACCGATCGCATTCCACCCCGCCAGTGTTCTCTTTGACACGCCTAATCATGCTCAGCTCCTAGAGAAAGTTGGTGTCCGCCAAATGGTGTCGGACGTTATCGACGAACTCATCGAACTGGCCAAAGCGCAGGGCTGTTCGTTCCCAGACAACTTTCGTGAAAAGACGATCGGGAGCATGACTGCCCCATCGGACACTCAAAGCATTATGTATCAGGATTTCGTTGCGAGGCGGCCCATGGAAGTCGAGACCTACCTGGGATCCGCGGTGAAATTGGCGACGGAGTTGTCTGTCCGGGTCCCGCGGATAGAGACTCTGTATGCGATGCTCCACCATGTGAATATTGTCAACCAGACGAGACCTCAGAAGACGGAGCCTTCTCCCCCCGTCTTAGCGCAGCCACCTCCACGTATGTCGTCTGTTCCGCCCCAATCTGGTATGCCGCCTCTGCGACCCCCGATGAACGGAGCTATGAGGTCTAGCCGGACGACCACTGGAATGGCAATGATGCCACCCCCGAGACGTGGTCCACCCCCGATGGCTGGTCCACCCAGGGCACCAAATGGCCAGCCAGGCAGACTCCCGCGGGACCCGTCCTTCGAGGATAGTGGACTCGAGGAGTTCAGTCATCTGGTTCTGTATGACGACCTTCCCGACGGTGCTATACCTCAGAACGGCGGTGGTCCGTACCCCGATGCTGCTGGTGGAAGTGCATCCGCGGCGGATATCGCAATGAGAGAGCGAGAACTCGCCCTGCGACAACGCGAACTGCAGCTGCGCGAGCAGGAGCTGCACATGAGACGTGGACCTCCTGGTCCTCGGAGAGCGCCACCATCACGACCCGCTCCTAACTTCGATGAGGACGATGAAGATGACTACTTTGATCCCTTGGACACTCGGATGGTGCCGCAGATCGATCCCGACAATTTTGATATGATGAGCGTCACATCGCGTCGCACTAGGAAAGCCCCCAGTGCCAGCCAACTACGCAAGAACCCAGAGATGATGGCGAGCAACGGTGGTCGCCCAGGTTCCTCGTTCAGCCGGTACTTTGGCGGATCGAAGAACCGTACTAGCGCACGCATCATGCAGGATATGCCGGGTGTACATGAGAATCTCTTGGATAACCCGATGATGATGTACGCATCTAACAGATACGGAGCTGTTGACCGCAAGCAAATGCATGTCGAATCGAGAGCGAACTCCTTGACGGTCAGCCGTGCGGGTGACTACGGTCCTGGCCCTTACCCTCCAAGCAGGAGAACGAGCCAGTCACCAGGCACTCCGTTTGGCGGAATGGGTGGTCGTGGAATGCCTCGACCTCCTCCGCCTCAGGATCATCCGTCCTTTGGACCTCCAAATGGGATGCCACAGGGTCGCCCGTCCCCTCCTGGGGGCATACCAGCACCCGTCCCTCGATATCCTCCCGGGCAAGGTAATGCAGTCGGACCACAGCAAGTGGAGCAAAATCTTGGGGTGAGCAATTCGTACCCAGCCAAGGGCTCTCCGAACAACAGCAGTCTGACCGGAAGTGCGAGCGCCAGCGCGGAGAGTGGTGATAGCGGAGCTAGCGCGAACATCGACTCTGAAAACTCCGCCCACAGCAGTCAAACGAGTCTCGGTGGCCAGCAGGCACCTATGCCTGTGCGCTGAACCGACTGCACCCTACCCCCTCCTTTTACGGTCTTGAAGCCAACTGCGGTGGGCGGAATGATACCGAACGTGGTCGATATCTACTCCGTTGAGGCGTGAGTAGGACAGTTGCAGGTTTTCTTCCCCCATCCCCTTTTACTTTCTGCATCTCGACTCTTACCACCTTTTGCATAAGCATATTACTTAATGTCCGCCCATACCCCATCACAACCCTATGCGCGGGTAAAAAAAGTGCATCTGGTTTCTACTGATTTTGCTCTCCGGTTTAATTGCTGGAAGAGGGAATAGGAGCAATTTCACTAATTCTGTGCTGTTCGCTTCATTACACATACGTAGGGACATATGGGGCATCTCTCTTGCTGTTTGCTTGGGTGTGGTTGTGCACATGTATTTGATTTTTCTCACTCTTTGTGCGCCCTCCTTGCATCATTATCCAAGCAAGGTCAAGCTGATTGAAAAGCTGGCCCCCTGGGGAAACTGCGCAGACGTCCTCCCATGCTCATGCCATTTTCTTTTTTTGTTTTCTCTTTATTGTTAAATGGCCTGTGTGCTGACCATGAAACTCTATTTCTTCTGTGTATGACGGCCTTTGTGTGTGTTTTCATCGCATTGTTGGCGCATTATTCTTCCGAGATTGTATACGGGACTTTCATCTCCTTTTCGGCAGTGCTCCTCGTGATTGTCATGGCTCTCCTTTTATTTCCTTTTTCCTGTCATTCTTCTCTATTATAACTCAGGCTGGCCAAGTGATTCTGGCCAGCCCGGTCATGTTTGCTCGGGCAGTCTGGGTTCTGGCGCATAAAAAGAGCGGAGGATTTTGATTTATAGTCGATTGATCAGCTGGTCGGGTCGGGCTGGGTTGCGGTTTCGCAGGGAATTAATCAAGGGCCAGGCCAATTCTGCCTCATTTTCACCACCTCTCGCAGTTGATGCGAATTAAACTTGTGAGCAATGCGACCATGTCCTCTTGCTGTAATTGTCTCCTTTTATCCGGCCTTTTATCTTCGTAGGCCCGCTGTATTCAGAGATCTTAGGTTTCGCGGGCTCGGGAATGCCGGTGTTATTGTTGGGATCAGTCATCATCAGTGGATCTAGGAAGACTGTCCGCTGTGTAAGCAAGCAAGCAAGCTCGCTTTAGCAAGTAACTAACTAATAATAGTTTGGAACTTTAGATCGACTCCAAGCATGATGGTTATCACCAGCTGATAGTCACGTGCCATGGATGTAGGCTAGTACTTGTGATTGTGGACTGTCCCCGCTCATGTCAACAAACCGGTCCTGATCATCTTTCATCTTTCACTGCCAACCACCATCACTGCAACTCGAGAGGACTTGCAATTACCGTGCATCATTTAAGGAACAAGGAATCCACCGAGGCTATTGCAGGACCCGCGCTGCTCGAGTAGAAGAGGTGCTACCTCCCCCGTTTCCGACAACCAACCATGCCTCCACACCATCAATACCACCACTCGCACTCGCAATCCAACTCCCTCCCACGCACCTCCCTCCTCCCAGGCGCATCGACATCCTCAGCCAGTGGATCTGCAACCAAGGCGCGGCAATACGCACATCTGCACTCGCAATTGGCACAGCTGAATGCCCATTTGGCAGATACGGAGAACCTGGTGCGCATGACGGCGGTTCAGGCTGGTGATATGCGGTTTCTGGGCGGCTATATTGGTGGGATGTTCATGGGTGCTGCGAAGGTGCTGGGTGAGGAGGGAATTCACAAGGAGGATGGGAGTGGGAGTGGAAGTGGGAGTAATACGGCGGAGGAGAGGAGGGGTAGTGGGGAAGAGGAGAGGGAGTGGTGATGGATTCTTTTTTTTATGATGGAGTCTGTTATGATTGTTGGTCTTACGAGGAGCCTGTCGGGGCTGATGAGGATGAGAACTATGAGGGAGATATTATCTACGGTCGATGTTGGTTGGCTTTTTGGAATGGATTGTTGACGGCATGGCATTGTTTGTCGGATGCTATCAGATGGATGCACTGGAGGAAGAAAACCGTGGAGACAGTCGATGTGGAGGCCCAGAGCTATCCGACTACTATGGAGGGTGATATGCGGCCAACTCACTCACTCCACGACGAATCCTCCACCGAGAATGATAGCGGGCTCGTTGATGTTGTGGTGCTCGTAACTCAGTGTTCCAACACCACCGGCTTCCAGTATGAATGCTGTGTCCGTTAGCGGCTTGCCCACCCAGCGCATCGCGAACGCTCTCAAGATGTGGCCGTGGGCGACGATGAGGACGTCGCATGCTCTCTCCTGCGATGGTTGACCGAAGCAGTCCTTGTGGTACTTTTCCCGGATCTCTGCGACTAGCGCATCGAGTCGGCGCACGACGTCGTCGGGGGACCTGATGCAGGAGGAGTTATCCCGAGTCAGCTGCCCGTTGCACTATAATCCGTCTTTATCTCGAACGCCGCCTGTTTACAATGGCAGCAATTTCTGCCAGCAATCAACCAGGGGAAAAAGCAAACTCACTCTCCGCCAGGACAGCCGTCTCTCCAGATATCCCAGGGTCCATCGCCATTCTTTTCCCTCAGCTCTTTGATCTGCTTGCTCGTCAATCCTTCGTAGTCACCATAATCCCATTCGCGGATTGCGTCGGTGATTTCGACATTGGCGTTTGTGCGGATAGGCTCCTCGTCCTCGGGCTTTCTGCTGTGCAACCAGGGCATCCTCTCCTTGCACCCGATCTCCAGGAGCTCCAGGGTCCGCTGCGCTCGATGACGCGGGGAGACATAGCTGTGTACATGAACTCGGTCAACACTGGCATCCTGCTGGAGACGAGCGACCGACGATGGCTGCTGCGGGGGATTGTCCATGAATTCGGATCGGGAACCTACACATGGGCCAGCTTCTTTGGCACGATCAGGCGGTCATCTCCCACGAGGGCCTTGCCTGTCGCCTTGATTCGTTTCTCGCCGTTCTCTGTCAAGGGAAGTTCGGTGATGCCGGTGTGTCGGCCACTGAGGGACCACTCGGTCTCTCCGTGGCGGATGATGAAGCAGCGCGGATCCGGCATGTTGTTCGTTCGCGGACGTTGAGATCTATAGGAATATTGATTCTTCGGTAGTGACTGTGCTGAACCGTGTGGAGTGGAGAGAGAGTTGTCCTTTCTTGTATGTAGACCAGCTACGGGACGATCATTTTTTCGTGGAATCCCAGAATCGCAGATCAACCTGCTTTAGTTCCTAGAGGGGGTTGTGATAACGTCACCGGCGGCTGTGCCATGGAAGGGGAAGAATTATTGTTAATTACTACGGAGTATTAAAGCAATACTTACTCTACTATGTCCCTATAGGATAGTAGGTAGCACTCGATTCAGTCAAGTCAACTTAGTAGTCAGTTGAGCAGAGTAACTAATCTATATCAATCAATGAAGCAATTAATCAATCAAGGAATTCCCTGTCTAGAGAGGAGGGGTAGTTCGTTATCACGTGGGTTACAGGGAGATTTGTCAGCGACAGACAGTTTGTTGATCACTTAGTTAACTGATTCGGTTAACTTACACTAATCAATCAATCAATCCATCAATCAATCGATTATTATCACCGAAGTCAGCCAACGAGGAATTATGGCAGATGCTCCCGTAATCAAGACTGTGTTTTATTTGTTCAAGGCGAGGAGAAGGAGAGGAAGGAGATTGCATACACCTAGCTAGGTAATCCTGCTTTGGACGTCTTATCCAGCGCAGTTTTCAAAGACCAAGTTGAGTGGGCTCTCTTCTCTCATATCTAAGCCCAATACTCTAGTTAACTTAGATATCGCACAGACATAAGCAACTAACTATAGATACGGTGCATTGCAGAAAGAAGGGTCATGGGATTGGCGCTGTCTCAAAACCCCAGCCCTAGATCATCCCCCCCGGAATCCCTGATGGTTTGCAAAAATACTACTTAGTGGCCTCAACGACTAACTATTCTGACCCCCTTAGAAGAAGGAAAAGATCGAATTGGATTGCAACTGGTCGCCGTAACGCAAAACGCTCACCGGTAGACCCTGGGGAAAGGGAAAACGACCCCGCGGGGAATTAACGGGGGATCTTCCCATGAAGGCCAAATATCTCGGCATCCTCCGATTTGAACAGTGCCGTGGGGGACCCATCGTGCGAGTAGTACTCTCATTTCCAGCCAGAACACGACTACGGCGACAACGGCTTGGATCGCGCCATGTGGCCATGCCCGTCGCTGGAACTTTCCTGGAGCCATGATCAGTCCGTCTCGAAGAGGGCCCTGCGAAGATCCCGCTCGGGACGCTACAGACTCGAGAAAGCCAGGAGCAAGGCACTGCAGGCTAGTCTAGTATACTTACGCTTCACAGGTCAGAATGGGGAATTTCTCGGCGGAACGGATGCGCACACGACTGATTCTTTCACGCAAAACCCAACCCATGGACTACGCCTGCGCCAGATGCTTGTGTGTCTAAAAATTTTCTGACAGTGTTAGTGGCACCGCGTGATCCAGCGGGGCATCGCAGAGATGAGTTTCCATGTTGCATTTCGTGGATGCCCATTTTGATGGCAGTCTGGTGCGCCAGCGTTACATGAGCGAACCTCAACCCTGGGTGGTGCGGGGATAGCGCCGACAGAGACCATGAGTATCCTGCACGCGCAACATCGAATAAGACTACAGAATATACAATAATCCGCAAGACTGGTCAGCTCCAGAGAAGAGGCTCTGTCGGCCCGGAACCAGGATGTAAAACAATCTCTCCGGATCCATCATCATGACCATGAGTCCCCCGATCCGGCTGGAATTTACTATTTTTTCGGACCACGTGGTATATCGGGCCTACGGCTGAGTTGCAAAGGGAAGCGAAAAAAAAAAAGAAAGGAATGCGCCGTTCCCGACCTGGGCACATCGCCGGCGAACCGCTCGTCGAGAATAATAGCTGGCTTCGCTCAGCTTCTGCGCCATGTTCTACGCCCGAAATAAACTCGCTACCGATGGTTAGGCCCGGCGAGAACCGAGCCTCTGTTTGGCCACGACGCGGCGTGACCATCGAGCATAATCTAGATGCGTCTGGCTTGTCGACGCCTCTGCCAATGATGACTCTTGTGGCGGTTCAGTGGAGAGACGGGGTCGACTCGGCTGAACCTTCGCATCGGCCATTCGCTCGTTGATTTGTCCCGCAAACGATCCCCAGGCCCTCGATTGGGACATTCTCCAGTTCCCCATGCGTCTGGTCCGTCTGGGGCATCCCCGAGGTTTCGGACTAGGAACAGGAATAGACGGCGCAGCCACTGGCGTACATAGCACACTCTCGCACCAGCGAGAAAACGGGCTACAATTGCCCTCATGAGAAGAGATAGCGAAAATTCACCGACCAAAAAGTGCCTTGGCTTGTGAGAGGACCCGCAAACCAATTCAAGAACGATCCTGTGCTGCATTACATTCGTCAGTAGAACGGCCGAGCCGAGTTTTGATGACAGACGCGGCATCTCCCCAGAGAAATATCCCCGGACCGGAGTGTAAAAAAAAAAAAGGCTATCATGAGGGTCCAGTCTAGGAAACAGGTTATATACTGCATCCCCTCGCGCGAAATTTCAATGCATTGTCTGTATTCCTGTTGTTGAGAAGACTATCCTTTACCAGTCCCCGGACTCTTGGCCTTCCTCTGGGCATTGTCCCATCCCCCCCTTATACCTCCCCCGCCTAATAATATCCTTTTTACCGTTCATCACCCTTGAACTATCATCATGCCCGGTGGTGGTGTCATGATGCCGACGGCTGACACGGGGCGTGTCGAGGCCCCCGTCACCTTCAGGGCCTATCTCATGTGTGCCTTTGCTGCTTTTGGAGGTATCTTCTTCGGATATGACTCCGGATATATCAACGGTGTTATGGGAATGGACTACTTCATCGAGAAGTTCCAGAAGCCTGTAAGGAATCATTGTTCATTGCCTTTTCGTCTTTCTGTCACGCCGTGTAACTAAAAGCATAAAAACAGGGCCCGGGGCAAAGTTTCGCCCTTTCGTCATCAAACAAGTCTCTGATCACCTCCATCCTCTCCGCTGGTACCTTCTTCGGTGCTCTGATTGCCGGTGACCTCGCCGATTGGTTCGGGCGTCGTACGACTGTCGTCTCTGGCTGTGTCGTCTTTATGGTTGGTGTTGTTCTTCAAACTGCTTCGACCAGCATAGGCCTGCTGGTAGCTGGCCGTCTAATTGCCGGTTTCGGTGTCGGTTTCGTTTCGGCTATCATCATCTTGTATATGTCTGAGATTGCTCCTCGCAAGATCCGTGGTGCTCTTGTTTCGGGCTACCAGTTCTGCGTCACCATTGGTCTCATGCTGGCCTCCTGTGTCGACTATGGCACCGAGAACCGGAACGACTCGGGCTCCTATCGAATCCCCATCGGATTGCAGCTTGCCTGGGCCCTGATTCTCGGAGGTGGTCTTCTTATCCTCCCGGAGTCGCCTCGTTACTTTGTGAAGAAGGGAAACCTGGACCAGGCTGCCAATGTGCTGTCCCGTGTCCGCGGTCAACCCATTGAATCCGACTATATCCAGCAGGAACTGGCCGAGATTGTTGCCAACCACGAGTACGAGATGCAGGTTATCCCCCAGAGCGGCTACTTCTCTAGCTGGCTCAACTGCTTCAAGGGCAGTCTCTGGGTTCCCAACAGCAACCTGCGCCGTACCATCCTGGGTACTTCTCTCCAGATGATGCAGCAGTAAGTTCTATACAGCATGGTCACTTTCTTTCTCCGCCGTAACTAACAAATCAAACCAGATGGACCGGTGTCAACTTTGTGTTTTACTTCGGAACCACCTTCTTCACGGACCTGCACACTATCAACAACCCCTTCCTGATCAGCATGATTACGACCATCGTCAACGTCTGCTCTACCCCTATCTCCTTCTGGACCATTGAGAAGTTCGGTCGTCGCGCCCTGCTCATCTGGGGTGCTTTAGGCATGGTCGTCTGCCAGTTCATCGTCGCCATCGTTGGTACTGTCGATGGAAGCAACCCCCACGCAGTCAGCGCCATGATCTCGTTCATCTGCATCTATATCTTCTTCTTCGCCAGCACCTGGGGACCTGGTGCCTGGGTCGTCATCGGAGAGATCTATCCTCTTCCGATCCGTTCCCGCGGTGTTGCTCTTTCCACCGCTTCCAACTGGCTCTGGAACTGCGTAAGTAACCCAGCTCAGCCTTGTCTGCAAAAAGAAGAAAACATCCCAGCTAACACAACCCCCTTCTTCAGATCATCGCCGTCATCACCCCCTACATGGTTGACCCTGACAAGGGTAACCTCGGCGCCAAGGTGTTCTTCATCTGGGGCTCTCTCTGTGCCTGCGCCTGCGTCTACGCTTACTTCCTGATTCCCGAAACCAAGGGTCTCACCCTGGAGCAGGTCGACAGGATGATGGAGGAGACCACTCCTCGTACCTCGGCCAAGTGGAAGCCTCAAACCACCTACTCTGCAGAGATGGGTTTCACCGAGAAGGCCATGGTTGCTCCCAAGGCCGAGCACGTGGAGGTCTAATCTACGCCATCCAGCCTTACGTTGTCCATGTCAAATTTGCCTTGTTTAATCTCTTTATGCACTTTTTTCAACTACTCACGTATACCCATGGTTGATGGCTACGCCTGTTATATTTCATGTACAGTTCCATGTCTAGTATTCATTCACGTTATAGGAGAGTTATGAGAGAAGGAAAATCTCTGTGATGTCTATATGTCTATACACGCAGCATACATAGCCGGGGACCGGTCATATCTAAATTCAAAATAAAGAAAGAAATTAGAATCAGAGCTTGAACATATTCTCTCCATTACCAGTAAACTATTAAATCATAACGCATCCACCCATTATCCTCTTGTAACTTATGCAAGTTACTAAATAAGCTGGAAGTTCGAATGGACTTTGTCCTCGTCGGCACCACAGAGCGTACATCCAGATAATCCATTTGCAGCAGGGTTCTTCGATATTCTCATTAGAGATATAGATATAGAACCTACCTACCTACTAGATAGATCACTATGATCTAAATTCCTTTTTCGCATGCTATACAAATAAATAAATAAATAAAATAAAATAAGGTTTCAAACCCGCCCCAGAACTAAATTCAAGTAGTTAGTTAAAGCAATCTAGGTAAGTAGTTAATCGACTAGGTTGGTTTAAATCAATCAGACTACTATGTTTTCGTGCCAATTTAGGATTAATTTGATTCGATAGTTTCTCTTTGCTAAGTTTTTGAAGGAATAATGCATGTAGTGCTGGAATTGCTAGAAGAGAATGTTGCTTGTGTGGGATTAGAATGACTAACTAGCGCATTGGATGAGTTGGGATGAAGTATAGGTGGATGGATAGATGGATGGGAAAGTATATACGCGGATACTACATGGGAACTTTTTTTTTTGGCAATCTATACAATAGAGCAGTGTGTGTGTAAAGTGTGAATATGAATTTAGCAGAAGCCGAGTCAAATATATCAAGATCTCTGGAATATACCCAGGATGCTAGATAATAATCATGACTGCTCTAGACGCCTTAAAACCGCCTCAGAAACCTGCAATTAAGCCATTATAGCAACTGCTCGCGGGTGGGTATAGAGTAAAAGAACAAGAAAGAATTCAAGTCCATCCAAAATCTTTTGAAAAGGTGAATGCGAAAACAGACTTCAATGAGCATAAGTAGCTGAAAAAAGAAGAAGTAATGAATTCTTAATTCGAATCGAATAATTCCAACCTGGCTAAAGAAGCAGTCGCCCACCAACGTAACGTACATGCAGAAAAGGCAGTACATACATACATACATCATCCAAAAAAGCGTGAGACATATATATATAATACGTCGAGTTATATTCATAAAATGTCGTCGTATCATCGATGAATGCGTGTCGTTTTGTCGTCCGCGTAGGATGAGAAAAAAGTACAGGCACCAGGGCGAGAGAAGATAGACGAGCAGTTAACATACAGTCATACAGTCGTGCGGAGAAGGAGAGGGTAGAGAGAAGGAGGAGGGGGAAGGAATGAAGAGTGGGTGATTGTGTGAAGGTAGATCGTGAGGAGTAGGACCAGTGAAATGGCCATTGAACTGCATATAGAGAGTTGGTAGGATACGGCGGCCGCAAAGCTATGCCGCGCGGATATATGCAGCCGGAACTCGAAGGGTTGACCTATCATGCGACCATGGTAGCGATATGGCGATAAATTCCAGGGTCGACCGGGAAAATGAACGTTTGTCAACGTGGGTGTTGATCTGGGCGCCATCTCAATGGGATAGTTGCCGGCATAGCGGACCTGGCTGAAACTCCCAGACTCGGAAGAGTCGCTGACGGTAGTGCGTGAGGAAATGAATATCCGCGTACAGTAGTTGTCGACTTATCACGCAGAGGCACACGCGTTTGTGGCCAGGATATTGGAGGATGTTTGACATCCTGAAATATGCGCATAGTGGGACATCTGCATAAGACCCTTGAGACTAGAAGCCTACTGTTGTACCGACGGCAGCCAAGGTAACCTAAAATTGTCAGTCATGGCTAGAATCTAGTGAACTTGGAGAAAGACTTACAACTATGACAATGACCGCGATTCCCAACGGACACATCCAGCGGTTCAGGTTCCTCCACCATCGTGCATTCTGATAGCGTCGCGTTTCATATTCGGCCACGCGACCGAAGACTGCAGTCCCAATCTCCGCACTGGCCCCTTCCTGCATTGACAGCGGGCGAGGTGGAAGAGGAAGAAAGGCCGCAATGAGCCAAGCAAGAGGAAATATGAAACCCAAGCAGAATGCGTAGACTTGGGCGTTTCTTCGACTGAAGACAGGCTCCGCAGTAGAGTCCAACGAGGGCGCCGTCCACGTACTCCCGCGGATTTGGTCCGCTCGTCGGTCTATAAACAGATGGGGAGACCAAGTGCCCCGTCTGGCAGACCATCTGGCAGACCACGTGCTGGACGGCGTGACAGACGTCGTGTCCGCCATGCTGCGGGCTTGAGCCGGATCCCGGTCGAACCAACGATTGCGAGCGTCTACTGCAGGATTCTGGGGACGTCGCTGCGGGCTGCGAGAGCCTTCGCGCGGGCGGGTGCGCGGACGAGAGATTGATACCGGGACTTGGCTAATGACATGAGAGTTTGCGGTGGATGGTCGAGCCGACGATGGACGGCTATCGGTCAGAGCGAAAGGAGCACTTTGCAGCTCGCGGCTTCCATAGTAAACTCGCGCCCAAGCAGGGATGGTGGTCAACACCAGGCTGGAATTGGAACCGGCACGTCGCAAACTGCGAAAACTGTTCTGGCGGGAGGATGCCGGGCTACCTGCGAAAAATGAGCGCCACTGCGGCGACGGGAGATTGCTCAGGCTGTCCAGCTGCTCGTCGCTGTCGGTATCGGTAACGAGCCAGACGGACGAGGTAGTCTTGTCGCTCAACCAGGCCGCAGACGGTCGCGACGGGCCGGCGGGACTGGAGTTGGAATTGGAGCGTCCATGGCCGGCGCTTGGTGATGGCTGCGAAAGTTGGCGCTCCGCCGACCACTGGGACGGAACCGTGGACAGGTGCGGATTCCAACGGCCCGACGATCGGTCCGTCATCGACCGCGACGAGTCTTTCCGGGCTGGCGCTTGGGAAGACTCGGCATATGAACTGGTCGAGGGCTGGCGGATGGTGGGATACTGCACGGCGAGACCACTGTTGATAGCTGCCTGCGCCTCAGGAGGAGAGGGTGTTCGACGCACAGAAGAGGGGAATGAAGGCGAACCGCTCGACTCCGTCGCCGGTAGACCAAAGGTGGACGTAGAGGGATAGGATCGCAGGACCGGCAGCGGCGGGCTGGAGTGGACGGACTGAACCGACTGCGGCTGTCCGCTGGAATTTTCTGACGATGAGCGTGAGCGACTCCAATGCGCGGCGTTGATATATGTTCGGACGACCGTCCCCAGGGACGTCAACGAAGAAATAGACGAGTTGGATCGCTCTGCGACCTGGACATTGGGCGACGAGCTGCCCACGGGGATCACGTTCGGGCTGGAACTCTGAAGGGCGACGAAGTTGGGACTGGATGGCAGCCCGATGCGGACGACGTTGGGACTGGAACTGGGCGATGCAGCCGTTGAACTCTCGCGTTCTGCTGGTACTGATGGAGGTGAAGATGGTTCGGGGACGACGGCTTTGATGGTAGGAGTGACAGACGGCAGGACGATCACGTCCTCAGACGGCCGCGGCGACGAGGGACCGGGGGCGTCATCGTGCCTTTTACGCGGTGAAACAGGGTCCGGGATAGACGATCTGCTGGACCGGGGGTCGTCAGACGTCTCCCAAAGCTCCGGCGGAGAACGGCCAGCGTCAACGGTGGACGACAACTCCCATGCATCGCCAATGGATCGCGGCGTTGCCCTGTCGTCTGCGACGTGTTCGGTGGCTGAGGATGCTGTGGCTGTCAGGGGCCGAAAACCATGTGAGACGAAGGAAGCATCATGGTTGTCGGTTTCTTCGTCGTCCTCGGAACTTTGGCCTTTACCCGGTCTGGGGAGCAGAACGTGCTCTGGTCTGGTGGGATAGGGCGTTGCGGCGTAGACATCATCGTCTTCCTTTTCGTACACGAGACGTAGCGTGGGCAGCTGGGAGCCTTCGTTGGTCTGCGACGGCGTGCGCTCATGAAGCGCCCTCCGCTTAGCGGTGGGCGACGTGGGCTTTAGAACGGGCGATCGCATAGTTGGATATTATCGCATTATCAAACAATCGTAATATATATAGAATCACAAACGACAGCAAAGATTCGATATCAATGCTGTAGCAAGTATGCCGTACTGTCGGGTCAAGAAAGGGTCCGTGAGATCAATAAAGAATGCAAATACGGGTGCAATTGGGCCTCGAGAGCGTTCGAATGGAGTAGAACAATAACAATGTCAATAGCAATGGCAATGGCGCCCACAATGAGGGGGTAATAAGTAAACGAATGACTGTTTTGGGATAGACAAAGAATGCGTCGAGTTGGTCGTGAATGCGGACTCTGGAGGAGCCGGAAAGGAGCGTGAACAATGAAGAGAGCGTCAATTGAAACTATGAGGACATCATGAAGGCCTTTTCTGACTAAACGAGGGTCATCAGATAAGTTAAACGAGGGACGTGAAAGACAGGACTTTCGAAACGAACAAGGGAACGACTGAAGGAAGCACCAGCACCACCATGACCCAGAGCAACGAAGAAGCAGAAGAGAGGGAGAGAGAGAGAGTAGAAGAAGCAGCAACCGGGATAAGGCAAGGAATCTGGTTGCCCGGCGGTGAAGCGTCTGGTATGCGAGAATCGAGGCTAAAGTGAGTCTAAAGCACGACCTGCGCAAGTGGGAGGCTTAGATGGGGAAAACGATGGGGAAATGGATGCACAGGAGGTGATACAGAAGTAACAGGACTGGTCTGGTCTTTTCTTTTCTGTCGAGGGCGAGTCCTGGGGGGTTCTGCGCTGCGATGAAGCTGATCGTTAGACTTATATCGATAACGAGAAGAACGAGAGAAGAACGAGAGAAAACCTGCCGTTGAATTCCACCAGCCTCTCTCTCTCTCTCTCTCTCTCTCTCTCTCTCTCTCCCCGCTGGGTCGAACTGATCTGGATCTGAACACGCGAACCGGCGATGGATGACATTGGACTCATCCACTCTGGGCGACGCTAACAGTCGCTAAGATCGGCCGGTTGGATGAGATGAATCCGTTCCTGAGAGAAAAGAAGAACGCCAGCAAGTCCAACGCGACTCGCAGCACCAATAATCATCATCCTCACCAAACCGCTCCTTTTTTCTTGCTTCGGGGCCACACAGAGGAATCCCCATCTGCAAAAATAGCACAATCATCGGCCAGGATCCCCGATCAGCGCCAGGAACCCGTCCGGTAGATAGTTCCAACTTCTGACAGTTCGTCTCTTCTCTCCCCCGCTCGGAGCTTCGCGGAGAGATCGGCAGTCGACAGCGTGGCAGCGTCCAATTCACCAGAGAAATCAGAGAATAATCCATCTGATTCCCATCTGACAGTTTGAGCGTTATTGCTGCTGTTCCCTGCCATGGCGCCTATAGGGCTTTTCAGCCGTCTCAAGAATCTGTATTCCAGAGAGTCCGGTACGTCCAACCCGGCCAATCGCTGGGGTTGAGGCAAAGAAAAATCACCCCGTACTGATGCAGCTTCATAGAAGAGCCGTTGCCTGTCATTTCGGTGCACACGGCCGCTCTCCTGTCGGTATGGCATTCCACATCTACTCTACTCTGCATGTTATTTTGAATTGTCGTGATGGGGTGCTCCGAAGACGCATAATCTCGAACCGTTCCTAGATGTTGTTCTGCTTCCTGCATCCTGCACCATGCTCTCATGGTTCCATTTCCGTTCATCATGTTCTTGCTCTGATGTTATTTGGTACATGCCGCAGTCATCGTGGCCCCCGCGCTAACCTCCTGCAAGGTCGTCTTCACGCTGGCGTATGTGGTGCCGTTCTACCTCTCCTCGGTCACCAAGCCCTCGCCCACACTGAGCAGAGATGCTCCGTCTGTCATCCGGGCCAGGATTCGAGCCGTCACGGCCGCCTGTCTGGTGAGCTCTCTGGCCGTCCTGTGTCTGGCGGTCCAAAAGGGTGACGCTTCATTGCTGGATGGCCTGAAACTTCTGGGCTTGTGGCCTGCTGGTCCCATGGAGGTCGCCCGCAGCTTCTTGCTAACCGCCATCCTGTTTGCCGGTCCACTTTTCGAGAGAGGTGCTGCAGAGGGTGAGTGGAAGGAATGGTTTCGCGGCAGCAAGATCGCAGAGACCCTGGGCGGCTGGATCGGTTGGCGGAACTATGTGGCCGTAAGGAAATCCGTTAATCTTTTCATTTTCTTACGCTGACCTATTCTTCAGGGCCCTGTGACGGAGGAAATCATGTTCCGCTCTGTCATTGTTGCTGTCCACCTGCTGGCCAAGGTGTCCCCGGGTCGTATCGTGCTTGTGGCACCCCTGTATTTCGGGATCGCACATATCCACCACTTCTATGAGTTCCGTTTGACCCATCCGGATACTGCGGTGCTCGCAGCTCTACTGCGATCTCTCTTCCAGTTTGGCTTTACTACCGTATTTGGCTGGTACGCGACATTCGTCTTTCTGCGGACAGGCTCCCTTCCTGCCGTGATCCTTATTCACAGCTTCTGCAACTGGTGCGGTCTTCCCCGACTCTGGGGTCGCGTCGAAGCCGGAGTCACCATGGGCCCTCCCCTGGTTCGTGGAAAGGAAGACTCAGACATCAGTACCTTCCAGGCAGGTGACGGTACACTGGGGATCGGGTGGACCGTCGCGTATTATACCCTCCTCGTCGCGGGAGCGGTGGCTTTTTACTACCAGCTGTGGCCGTTGACGGCTTCTCCGCTGGAGCTGGTCTCGTTTACGACCAAAACGAAGTAGCAGGCTACTTCATATCGCTGTAGCCGTAGATGCCCAAGCGGGACGCTAACAGGTTGAGATGATATAATGGACAGTGACGCCTTACATCCAGACTTGTACGTTGCCTCGTCTAATATGCATAAGATGCGTAGCGTCCTGATAGCCTACATTGCCATTACCCTTACTGTATGTATTTAGTTATAGATCTAATGAGTCCATCCGACGGATGCTTTCTTGTACAACCAGTTACGAAAACGAACTGCTGCCGGCCCAGATCCCGCGTCTACTACGATGTGCCTGCAAATACTGCAAAGCGGCATGCATTGCGCTATGCTCCAGCACTCTATATTCCCAATATCAGTCACTTATCCTATGCAGTATCCTTCAATTTCTCCATTCCCCCAGGCTTTACCCGCACTACGTATTCCCTTGTCCATACATCCCGACTACTGGCGCGAGGAGATATGGTATCACTCAGCACAATCACGGAGTATAATCACTACCAATTATCGCTTCCCACCCTCCAGTCTTTTCTTCCCCGCTTGCTTCCCGTTGAAGTGACTGTTTTATCCCATTGATTTTGCCTAAAGCAGCATTCTATCAGTGACGGCAGTCCTTATTGTTCGGCAACGGCCTACGTGGTGCGGGGTTTGCTTGCAGGTATCCGTGAATTGATGCATGAGATAAAGGTATAAATACCCCATACCCTTCCTCTGTCCCAGAATATCTGTTCTTTTCTCTTTCTACTCTGCATCATGCTTCTCGGCTTGAAGGTATTGAAGGAGTCCTATATATCCAGTTAGCCATGTTCTGCACGCTGTCTTGACTTCTTCTATATATATCTTCATTTACCTTCTTCTAGCCCAGGTCTGTTGTTCCTCTTCTTGTATATATCCAGTTCCTCGCGTTTCATACCTGTGCTTTACCTTCTCCAGCGGCCATGTGATTAACTTCCTGCGGAATACGGGCAAAGTCTATAACAAGTTGCCCCTTATTCCCTCGCAGCTGGATATTGTCCTGCTTCGCCCTTCTAACACGTCGGCCGACCCCTGCCTGAACTGGCAGTTCGTACGGGATTTTCGCGTCCGGCGCGTCTGCGTACTGCGGTGGCTGCGGTATTTGCGCGAACATCACCCCGGCTATCGCGACATTGAGATTGATCCTGTGGCATCGCAGGCTTTGCCCATGGATGACTATATATATGTCAGCGCTGTTCCCTCCCCCCCCCATGGCAGAACATCCTTGTCATCAGCGAGGGACCACCTCGGAAGAATATCTGCAGTGACCTGCTCGTGTGCCATGAGCGATTGGTACATGAAGCTGAGAACGCTGCCCATCGAGGAGGACATAATTTTCCCATCATCTATAGTAAGTCCGGATGCCTGTCAGATATTATCAGACCTGAATTTGTGGCATGTTACTTACCTTCTTTTCTTGTCAGGTGCAGCTGAGCAAAATATACATTGCGTCTGACACAGAACATGAGCTCCGTTGCTCTTCTGCATGCTTTTGTTGCATGTTTCACTTGACGGAACCTTGCGGAATCCTTAGCACGCAGAAAGAAATTTGTTGGTGCTGCGTTGTCGTTTGTACCGCACATCTCCCCTGTTTATCCCTGTCTGAGCCCCATTGTTGGGCCGGCAGCGGATACGTTGTTCATGCAAAGGCTGGGAAGGGCATTTCCTTGCCCTGCTCCCTTACTGTGTGAATTCTACTGTCGAGAACGCCGAGAAGGTCCGGAGAGAATCGAAACAACGCACACTCCCTCCGTGTCAAGGGATACTCTTTAGTATCTTTCCGGAGTTATTTTCCAAGAAGGAAGATCATGTTTCCGTTGATGCTCCGAGAGATGGTGCTACATGTGAACCTCGAAATGACAAATTCGAAGCTCGAGAGTACTCTGTTCTCACAATGGATACATTTTGGACAATCCTAACTAAAGTTAGGTTAATCTTCACCATTGTGGTGCTCCCCCTGCCGGTTCGCTCCTGAATGTGTGTCAGGCCAGGCTGAGAGCAGTGCTCCATTTCTCTGTCTGTGTGCCAGCTTTTTTCCTTTACCTGGATGTCTTGCTCCTTAGACTTTCAAACGGAATAACTGCACCTCAGAATTCAGCAGTGGTGATCCTCCTTCCTCGCCGCCGGATGCGCAGCGGCCCCTTGCTAGGGCCCTGTGGAGCAGGCTTCTTCTGGCAACAGTTGTGGTCGAGTTTCTCTTTTTTTACATTTCTTTCCCCGATGAGGTGTGAGCAGAACGTCCAAAATCTGCTTCAATTTTAACCAAGGGGGAAATACAACATACCTCTTTAATAAAACCTGTCCGTTCTTTACTGGTTGTCCCAGCGGTTCCAGAAGAATATTGGTTGGTTTCTCGATAACTTTGATGGAGATGAATGCAAAAGCAACTTTGACACATCCGGATTCTGATGGAATGGGAGAGATATTCAACTCACCGAAAAGAACGGACTCATTATAAAAGATAGCATCATTACATATTTCCCGCAATACCAGTCTGGCCAGGCACGACTCCAAATCGCTACAGCACAGTTTACTTCCTACACCAAGGAGTTGAAACTGATGGCTGGCTTCGCTCGTCTTTTCTGTCCAGCACGGGATCAAAAAAATTTCAATCCTTCTCTTTGCCTTCGGTCTGGCATGGGGATCTCATCTTTTGCCGTCCATGAGGTCTTGGTCATTCTTGAAGCTAAGGGTCCTGAATGATGTTAGAACCAAAATGCGAGTTTTTGGGTCACTATATCCGACCGATTGTCCAGAGACAAAATACGGCAACGATCCACCGGGACCGGGTGCGACTTTTATATATTGCAGATACGAGGACATATTGGACCGTCTGGGATGCCACCGTTAGAGAAATCGACTTGTTTAACGCATTTATATATGCATTTCCCTGAGACAGTACCTCCTTTACGTCTCTCGATAGGACAACGATGGAGATCTATCATAGGAAGCTGAAAATAGGGCAATATATACGATTGACTTGAAATGATTCCCGGATATTTCAACACTGGCGATAGGAGACAGAGATCTGGTCTATTGGGGCAATGCAGACGCTGGCAACGACGAACCAGAACCTTCAAGAAAAGGGAAACGAGTGACCTTCAGTTGAAAATTTGTGGAATTTTCTTGAACATGACTAGACGCAAGCTTTGCCCTCGACAGCGACGGCGGAGGGGATACCTTTCGCCTCCTTTGACGAGGAGGACGACTGGCTCCCTTCGTCGCAGCAGGATCTTGAGCAACCATCGTCAGTTATCCGACGAGGACCAGGACAAATTGCTTCGTGGTCTCTTACACTTGCTCATGGTAAGCCAATCCGTGCCGAAATGGATTCTGTTGATGGATTCTCGCCCAACTGGATGAGGTACACGAGAATGAAGGATTTCCCAAAGTTGGAGTTCCTGCGAGTGTGGTTCTGTGCCCTATGGACATGGGAGTCGCTCAAGATCGCGAACAACTTTCGCGCATCGGTTCTCGACCTCGATGTCTCGACAGATATACACTTCCAGGTTGGTGAACGTGTATCCCAGCGGCTTAGAACAAGGCGACTTAACTACAAACTGCCCAGGATCATTATGACAGCAGCCCCAAAGCCGCATACTATAAACAGATTATCTATATAGGAAACCGCGGATGCTATTTCAGATACCTTATTATATATACTTATTTGCTTTATTATTTGTTGCCCGGGACTAACGGCACCTATATTGATAATAGAGAAAAAGTCCTTCCGGCACCCCAAATATGCGAGGAAATCCTTTGGTTCAAATCGATCTCCGGGACGCTCGTATACAAGCTACCCAACGGCAGACTTGTTTGGCATATGGGAAGGCACTGAGGACTTGATCGGCACCTGGCTCTGGTTCCCTTACTTTCACAAGCTCCTTCTCGCTGGAAATGCTCGTAAGCTTGTCTCTCATGCGATTGAAGAAGCTTCCCCAGCGGTGGGTAAGTAAGGCGAGCAAGATCGAATATCTCGTCCACAACTTTTACCGCCTTCCAGGATCCTGACCAGGTTACCTTAGCCTGTACATGAGACCTTGGATACAGCCGTACGATCTTGTCAGCTGGGAGCTTTTTATATCGAAGACGACGTACGGCGACCAGAGTTATAAACATCTTGACTGCCGTTTCAGATACGACGGGACTGTAGTGACGTTCGTAGTCACCTGTCTGTTGGAAGTTACCGCAGACTACCCATCTGGCTCTGTAGCCAGTGATGTAGCCGTCGGCGTCAAGCTTGAGGCAATGTGATATCGTCACAGCGTATCTGAATGCAGTCCTGAAAGGCAGCAAAATTTATATGTAACAACCGACGGGATTCCAGAAGATAAAAGGATATGTCTGTCTGCTAAAGCAAGCTTTGTACGGACTGCGTCAGTCAGCTTTCTTATGGAACGAAACCTTCACAGACGAGCTGAAGGACATGGGATTCGAACCTCTGGACGAAGATCCTTGTATCCTAATTCGCTGCGCGGAGGACTATATCGTCATCTACGTTGACGATATGATAATCGCCGCTACTACTGACGAAGGAATTGACTGTTTTATCAACGAGCTCAGCTCAAGATTCAACACGAAGATCCTCGGGGAACCTAGTCGCTTCCTAGGTTGCAAGCTTGTACGGAACATTGACGACGACACGATTACCATGAGCCAGTCTGCATACGTCCCTGATATACTGAAGAAATCGGGATTTTACGACGGGCATGCTGGAAAGACGTCCGTGCCTATGAAGTCAACCTACAAGGTTCAGATCTCCGAGACAACTGCGGACGAGGATACGGTCCTGCAGTATCAAAATATAGCTAGGATGAAAGGTTCCGCATGACTCGGCATTTTTGCTTTTCCTTTCCAATATTTCCTCGAGACAAGGAAGAAGGGAGCCAGAATGGGCTTCCTTCGAAGAGCAATGCCGATGCCCATGTCAGCTGGTTGTTAATATATAGCGGAAACAAGAAAAATCGTTCTATACCGAGCGTGACTCCTTTATGGTCTTGATCTGCTCATACTATGTCAATTCTGCTGGCTCAAACCTCCAATCACTCTGTCGCAACGTCCACCTCTTTGATATCCCCACGTCAGACCGATTCGTCCAGCAAGCCATTGGCCGAGTCCGGCGCCTCAGACAGCGTCGGATTATGAAAGTATACGACTACTTCCTGGAAAACTCTTTCAAAACGCGCCAGCTCACCTTGAACCTAAACAAGCTGGAACACCGTTGGTATGCAGTGATTTTACCGTCTTTTGGCGTATACAAATTCCTGTCATTGCTACTAGAAAGCGCACCGAGAATATAATGTAATACCGGACATGATCCGCTACTCTCGGGTCCCCATTCAGCGAGTTCCTCTGCGGGTGTTTGAAGATGCCCTGTCTACGAGGGCACACTGGCACCCGTTGAAAACTGGTGCGTTTTTTCGAGAAAGCGAAAGCTATCAGAGCAGGATATGGCCACTCCGGAGTTGATCCTTGTCGACGTGCTCAGCAGTTATGTGTTTTACATCAGGACTAGTCCATCCTCTTATCTTAGAGACCGGTCTAATCTCAATACTGCAATCACAGACGGAACACACCATGGGCTCCCCCGCTTCTGATGCTTGTTGTGCCCCTCTCCCTTTTGATGGACCAATGGAAGATTGGCCATGTGTAGGACCTCACGTTCCTTGGCGGATTGATTCTAATAGGAGGCATGGCCTTCCTCTATCAGTTGACCAGATGGACTGACAGTAAGTATGCAAGCGTCAATCGATTACCCGCATATATGATGATATTGGCCGGGCTGATTACTGCCAATATGGGAGGCAAGCCTCTGGATACATGGTAAATCGCCTTATATTTGACACCAGACGCCGCAATGTCACGCAGGAGGAGGAGCTTGCTGGCCAGAGGTAAGTTTGAGTGTATGTTGTGCATATGCCGGCTAACGCTTGGACTTGATAGCACTGGGGTTGGTTCCCTGATCAACGTGTACGCCGACGGGTGTGAAGAGATCGCCGTTCATCTTCTCAGGGGTAAAACTGTGTCGAGCTATTTTTTTTTTTTTTTTTTTTTTTTTTTTTGAAAATGTTCGGCTTGATCCGGCATGAGGAAGCTGGACAATCCTGGGAATATTACAACCCTAACGAACCCGCCCTTTGATATTACCGATGATGATAGCGACGATGTTGTCTCTATGGTTACGCCAACACCAGGTAGAGATATACTGCACGATAGTGAGAACCTTACAGATATGATTTTGTTGTCCGCTCCAGACTAGCACAACAAACCTCCGTTACAGCATATGAGTTGGGGCACGAGATTTTACTGTTCTCTGATGCCCTCCCTGGTGGTTGCTGTGTGTGAACGCAGAGTTTGCTCTCCTTTTACGTGTCTCATGGGCAATAGACACTACGAACTGCATTACTTATAGGTCCGTTTTCCTGATGCCGACCTCAAGGCAACTTAATTAATTTGTCCTAGGCAGTCATGTTCGGCTAAGCAAAGAAAGACTTCGAAGCGAATACATACCTGAGGGCATCCCATGCTCCTATGTTAGGGTTTTCATCAATGGCTATCTTGCTGGCAACGCCTTCGCTTGCAGATGGGATCATAATGGCAAGACTGTTTGTTGGGTCACCCAGTTAGTAGTGCACCGTGACTACCGTGATCGTGGGCTAGCACTTGGTCTTTTGAATAGTTCAGGCAGGATGGGAATGATATCTATGGTATTATGAGCTCCCACCCAGCTGCTTGTTTAGCTGCAGCGAAAGCGTTCGGAAATAAGCTCACACTTCTTTCTTTTGTAACTGAGACTAAACCTCTTAGGCTCCATCACTACGGTCTCACTTGACTTCATGAAGGAAAATGCAGAATCGATAACGAGAGCGTCCCCTGTACAATACGTTCGAGATGCCACACTACGGGGTAGGCTCTTCAACCCTGAAGATGACAGCAGTCTTGTGTCCAGTGTTGATACTGGCTTTTATGTCGACCACAGAGAGCCACTTGAGGCTTTGGCGTGGGTGCGAGAATCAAGGGATTGGCCTTTAGGTGATCTATTAGAGGGCCACGAGTTCCTCCTTATTCTCGAGGGCAGGCGGCCCCCTCGATTTCAGTCTCGATCAGCGGCTCAAAGCAGGTCTGCCTGAGCAGTTGCTCTAGATATTTTGTTGGAGCCCGCCTACATGCAGGCCTCCTGTCGGGTTTCTCCCATGCCTTCTAGCTCCACCCTCAGAGATAAATAATAGACTGAGCTAGTTGCTAGAGAATTCAAGCTCAGCGAGCTTCCCTCCCAGATATTGCAATGAAGTGTCACAGCGTCGGTAGTTAGTCATGACGTCGTGTACTTATGAGCTATGGCCAATGTTAGGGCCCGAAGCTAGGGCTGGAGGTCATAGTCTTGCTTCTTGCAAAGACGAAAGATTTCTCCGTTGCCCTTCCTTAGCTTTAGATAGCTATTAGTAACTGTCAATAAATATCCATTTCTCCTGTGTCTGGGGGGTATAGTAGACTCTAAAGCGTAGAAAGTCTAGTAATTGTACTTATATCGGGACAGACTTACAGAGTAATGACAAGATGTCAGTCCAATTGGGACTGGAAGATAATTATTGCTCCTACGGAGGATAATACCCTGGATACTATAGCCTTGACGGTTTATTATGACTGCGTATACGTATATATAGCCCCGAGCATTGGAACCTAGGATTGTTTCTTGAAAGTATGGAGATACAATACATTGTTTCGTAGCTCCAGTTTCCAATACACTTAATTAAGACACAGTGTCTATACGATCTTGCACTTGTCCTTGTATTCTCCCATGAACCCGTCGTCGCTGAACTGGCCGTTGGTAGCATTTCATCGCGAAGCATAATAGAACATATTTCGCTCTATGTTCTCGATTTTCTGTACCGGCTTTCGCAAACTTGCCCATCAGCTTTTCAGCGTGCTCATTCCAAACGCCATAATTTTCAGAGAATAGTTTGGACGCTTGCTGGAGCATATCCTCCGTGACATGGGTGCCATTGAACTTTTCGAAGACCTTCTTCTCCATGTTTACTCCGTACGCTCTTGGCCAAGGATAGGTTGAGTAACTTAGTTGACTACGGAGACTACGGAGTAGTTAACTCGTGAGTGAAGTAATAATAATAATGAAGGTGGTTGGTGGTCGCAGATGAGAAACTGATTAGTCATATGAGCAGTCAGATTGAAGGAGCTAGCTGTTTATGGATCATCTAACATCTTGGAATAATAATTGATCATTATTACCTAGCTACCTATATATAACTACAGCCCACCTTCTGATGGAAATCGCTTTCTGACATAGTACGCTTCGAAAATCCCGCGATTAGAAGCTCCGAGAAGGCCAGCGCGCCAATTGTGATCATGTCGGAGCTGCGCCAAAGGCCCGTCCCGCGCGATTCGAAAGCAGAATCGACCAGCGTGCCGAAAGCCAAGAGGGGAGATAAGGACAGCGAAGGAGGTATCAGTCTTTTGGATGTGATCCGTGTCATAGTCACGCTGGTCGTCGGATCGTGCGCTCTGTCGTACTTCGTGACGTCGTCCGAGTCGTTCTTATGGGGCTATCGGCCGTGGTTTACGAGATGGCCGGTGGTTCTTAGCTACTTGGTAAGCTTGCAGTTTGTCTCTTTTTTATGTGTGCTTTTCTTCGATTGCTCTGCATATTTCATATCCCAGAGAGCCCATCATGTCCCTTTGAAGTCATGGTGTCGCGCAATACCGTCTTCGAATTCAGCACTCATATAACGTGCTCCTCGTTCACCTGATGCTAACGTCTACTTTCTAGCGAGGACCCGTCCTCCTGAACCCTGAGCAGCTCTCGCTCTACAATGGCACTGATACTTCCTTGCCTATCTACGTCGCCGTCAATGGCACGATCTTCGACGTCTCTGCCAACCCTGTCGTCTATGGACCCGGCGGCAGCTACAACTTCTTCGCCGGTCGCGATGCCACACGGGCTTTCGTTACGGGCTGTTTCAAGGAGGATCTGACTCCGGATCTCGAGGGCGTGGAGGAGATGTACATCCCGATCGACGACCCCGAGGAGGACGCGAAGCTGTCCAGTCGCGAGCGGAAGCTTCAGCGGGAGCAGGATGTCAGGAAAGCGAAGGCGATGGTCAAGGCACAGGTGCAGCATTGGGAGAACTTTTTCCGGAATCACAAGAAGTACTTCGAAGTAGGGAAAGTCATCGATGTACCGCCTAAAGCACCTGGAGAAGGGAAGAGGGAGCTTTGCGAAGCGGCAAAGCGGGCGAGGACGAAGAGAGGGGAGCAGGCGAAGGGCAGACAAAGGAACCAGTAAGATCGGACAGCTCCGATTCCCCTCTCCCTTTCATTATAAAAGTACATATCCTACATGGGCTGGCGTTTTTTGAATAGTTGTGTGCATGTGTATCAGAAAGAGCCAAGTGTAGTTTGCATCTACGGGCAGTTGAGGATCGAGTTTAAAGAAGATATAGTTCTTCTTTCGTATATATTTCAATTCTTTTGAATTCAGCCCTATTGGGCGAAGCGAATGGTTTTGAAGCCTTGCTAGGCGAAGCGGACTGTGATCAATTCGAGCCTCATCCTATTTGACATGTCCAGTATTCGTGATCCGTAGCACTCTGAACTATGCCTTTCGAGCCTAGTATCCATCAATCGCCCACCCAATAATTTTTTCGGACGTCGGAGGATATTGTTCGTAACAAGGAAAAACCGCTAAACACCGAAGAAAACCGTTTACTCAGCGGTGACCGCACGAGCTAGAGAAACAAGTTAGCATATATATGTACTTAGCAATCTCGCTAATCTCCACGCTACGGAGCACTGAATAGAGACGATGGCCTCCATAATCGTGGATTTCCGAGGATAGGTGATGACGTACTGTAGATGTTCATCTTCGAGTGGCCAACGACCTTCTTGATCTGGCCCTTCTCCTCGAGGTCGGCGAGAGCCTTACGGGCAAGGCTGCCGTTGATCTTCAGACGGTCGACCAGGGTGGCGACGGTGATCAGACGGTAAGACTGGACGTCCTTGTAGAGCTTCTCGGAGGTGGTCTTGTCGAGGACAACGGCGTGGTTGGCCTTGTCCTTGACTGTAGAGAGAATAAAATGTCAGCCATATATTGTCCCTTCATTTGCGATAGCGGTGCAGTTTTGTCCCGGATGAAAACCGGTCGTCTTTTTGGGTGAAGTCGATGCGCGACTGATGATAATGGATGGATATGGATATGGATGACGGGAGTTGCGTACCCTTGCCCTTGGACCACTTCTTCTTCTGCTTCTTGCCACCGGTGGATGCTGCTGGCGCCTATATTGATAACGATATTAACATCTTGAACATCTCGGGATAGTATGGCTAGCACTTACCATTTTGTCGGTTGTGGTGGTTGTTCGAGAAGAGAGAACGACGTTCAAGCGACGGCTAGAAGTTTGGCAGCCAAGTGCGAAATTCGAGTGGGGGATGACTAATCTGGCTTCCCGAGCCCTAAACCCTCGTCTCTCGATGGATCGAGCTCGGTTAGCGGCCACTTTCTGGGCGATAGCCGTGATTGGCTGCTTCCGAGCCTCTTACCAGTAGAGATAGTAGTATCAGTTAAGCTGTGAAGAAGTATGGCTGACGGAGTTTCTCAAGACTATGTCTTTGGGCAATAATAGATACATCGTTCAGTCATGTTCGAGCATTGAAGTCTTGCCTAAGATATCCTTGCGGACCATGAATATGTACACTTCAGTGATTGTTCACGGAGATAGCGCTGACTGGAGCATGAATTGTCGAATCTAGTTGGAAAAGTAGTCACGATCTATTAGGATGGAAGACCTTGTATGACTGCGTAATCAATTGTTCGTGATCGGGAAAGGAAATATGGTTGATGCCTCTTCGCATCCGCTATCGCCAAATAAGCGCCTTCAACGCCACCCAGGTTGAAACCATTCCGTTCCAGAGGACCAGCCCTCGCAGTAGACAGAACAAGAACATTCGTAGAAGATAGATTCTAATGGCTGACAGTCTGGACGTCAACATATGCTGTGCTGGTTGCTTCCTTCACCGAATGCAGTACATTAAACTGCGCTTGGCCGTTCTCCCTCGTCACCGAGCCGAGGACACAATCATCAGGCGTGGTAAACCATAGCTTAGACCCTTCTCCGGCGCTTGAATGGACCCGGGTCACTTCATACTTCCCGGACTCATTCTGTGCAACAGGTACCCGTACAATGACTGGATCAGAGCAAACTGTCCAAAGGTGAACTGCGGGGATGGTACTGTTACTGCTAATGATGGTAAGCTCTGCCTCCGTCGGATGCCATGATAGCTGCCTAACGGGGTCTTCGTGGACAAGTACACACTTCAAGCTCGCAGCTTTTCCTAGGGACCAGATCCAGACGACACTTGGCCGAGACTGGTCCACAGTGGCCAGAAGGTCGCCATCAGTGCTGAAAGAAAGCATTGAGATGCCCCGTGGATGTCCTGACGAGTCAGTTGCTACACTGAACGCAGCCGAGTCCGAACCATCGACATATTCAAGCTCGCCCGAGTTTGTATAGGTTTCCCTCCACACATTAGGAGATGAGTCGTCTATTGGAGAGTTGTGGGAAAGTGAGACTGAGCAAGAGAACTATACTTTGTCAGTCCAGGCATCTTCGTAGCACGTGAAGATTACTCACCGTCTTGCTATTCAAGATATCTACACTACCATCAAACTTCCCAACTGCTAGATAGTCTGAGACGGGCATAGGGTGTCTGGCAGAGCTCCATTCTATAGTTCTGACACCCAAATCATAAGTACTATCGTACCCAGGTGGCCCGCAATAAGTCCTAAACAGCTGTCCCTCAGGCGTGTATATTAAGACCTTAGTTCCGGCACTGGCAGCTTCCCAGACAGCTATCCATCTGCCGTCTGGGCTCCATTTCAGACCTTGGGCATCTGTTGTCGGTAGTGTCACACGCGTAATAAGCTCGTATGTTCTAGGCTCGTGTATTGTCAATAGATCATTGACTTCTGGTTTAAGCAGAATAGCGAGCTGATTTGTGCGTGGTCTGTATCCATAACCGTTTGTGTTGGAGAGTTTCGACGATTTTATTATCTGACTGCGTCCCACTCTGAGATTGAAAATGGTTATTTTCGTGTTCCATGAGTGACCGACAACGACCTCATCCATGTCACCTCCAAAATCAGCATACGTCAAGGCCGGTTCAACATTATCAATGTCAGCGAGCCATTCTAACGGGTACAATTGCCACACTGAGATGTGAGTGTCAGTTGCGCAGAGTAAGCGTTGGTAGGGCATAGTGTCGACTTCGTCGTCAGTTTCATGTGTGATATTAGACACATTGAAGAATCGGAAAAGCTTCAATTGCGATGCTATGTGCTCTTTCAATTTGATGATCCCCAGTATTGGTGTCCCACTGACACCGGAAGCAGCATGGATGACCAGCTCTCTTCCCACTAGCCGGACAGCATACTCTCCATTTAATGACAATGCCGTCGGAAATATCCCTGCAACTACGTTCTTTAGAAATGCTACCCAATGTGGTCAGGAAAAGGAGTCGGGGAGAATTACCACCAATCCCACTCAAAGCCATGTTCAGGATCTCTGTTTCGAGGAACGCATTCGAGTTCAGTAGTGATCTATTGGTCAATTCAGAGAAGCATACACATTGATTATGGGCGCCCTGTAACGATGGCACAGTGTAGCTACTGACTAGCAGGTCTACTGCAAGGCGCCCTAACTTGTAGTTATTTTTATCGCTCATATTGATTACGTAACATATTGTATGCTAACTAACTAGTTAGGTCAGTCACCTATGCTTTTGGATCTTGAGAATTCATTGGACCTTTTGTCAAAAGTAAGTTACTCTTAATCTATTATTGACTGAATTTTCTTTGTCACGTATCAATTTGTTTTGATAATGTATGTAAATGCTATTCTATTATGTCTCTTTCAGAGGACAAGCTTTGAACTGACGATCCGATAAGATAAGACGGGATTACATTAATCCGGTGGCATGGAAAAGACAATCCACGCCGGGGTATCCCCAGATTTGCCGCAATATTTTTTTACAAGAATCCGGCTCTTCGAATCCACGGCAGGTCTGCAGTCCTTCTTCTTGTCCTACCAACATAGGGCTCCTGCGATTCCTCGCCCCTTACTGGGGCCGCTTTTCCCAGAGTTCGGGGCGCAAAATCTCCGCCAAAATGGCTGTGCCCGAAAAGTCTCCGGTGCCGCAAGATGGCGTCGCCTTGACAAACAATGGAGTGAACCCTACTAGTACGCCTCCCAAGAAACTTTTGGGGAGAGAATTCTACCAGAGCCTGGGAAGTCCCAAATATATTGTGGCTCCTATGGTCGATAGATCTGAATTTGTGAGTTGGCAAGTCAAAAAGAATCGCGTGTATACATTTCTGACATGTGTAGGCGTGGCGCATGCTCACTCGATCTTTTATGAAACCGGAAGAGGCCAAGAGTATACTTGCCTATTCACCCATGTTTCATGCGCGCCTTTTTCGAGAGACACCTGGTTTCCGTGCGCAATATTTCCAGCCCACCCGCTCTGTTCTTGGAGGCGACGACGATTCCCCATATCTTGACGGAAATCCGGCCATAGATCGCCCTCTTATTGTTCAGTTCTGCGCAAATGACCCAGATGACCTTCTTGAAGCTGCACGCCATGTTGCTCCATACTGCGATGCGGTTGACCTGAATCTCGGGTGTCCGCAAGGCATTGCAAAGAAGGGCCACTATGGAGCCTTTCTACAAGAAGACTGGGATCTCATTTACAAGTTGATTAACAGGCTGCATACGGAATTGCCAGTTCCAGTCACCGCTAAATTCCGTATTCAGGAGACAAAGGAAAAGACATTGGAGTATGCAAAAATGATCCTTTCCGCTGGTGCGAGCATAATCACGGTTCATGGACGACGCAGAGAGCAAAAGGGCCACAATACTGGTTTGGCAGATTGGAGTTATATCCGGTACCTGAGGGATAACCTCCCACCTGAGACGGTTATTTTTGCCAACGGGAATGTCCTCAATCATGACGATCTAAGCAGTTGTCTGGAGGCCACGGGCGCAGATGGTGTTATGAGCGCTGAAGGCAATCTCTCGGATCCGACTATCTTCAGCACTCCTCCACCAGTTGGTAGCGAAGGTAGAGAATACTGGAGAGGCAGAGATGGTAGAGGGGGCTACCGAGTGGACGCCATTTTACGCAGATATATGGACATTATTCATCAATACGTCCTAGGTGCACCTGTCCCCGAGCGGAAGCCTCTTTATATTCCAGGTGATCCTACAGAGCAGCATGATGAGCCAGCAACGGAAAAGGCGGACGGAAAAGATGAAGAAGGGCCACCAAAGAAGAAACAAAAGAAACAGAAAAATAAGAGAGCCCCCTCACCAAGTCTAGTTGGAATGCAAGGACATCTGTTCCAGCTTTTGCGGCCACTAGTCTCGAAACACACACATGTCAGAGATGCTCTGGCCCGATCTCGCGCCGGTGACATTGCAGCATTTGAGAATGTCCTTTCTCTTGTGGAGGAAGCTGTGAAGAGTGGTCTCCAAGAATATGAACAATTCCCGGAACGATTCGAACAAACCACCGCAGAAGGCTTGACTGGTTCCAAGGCTACTATTGCAAAGTATGGAAGACCCTGGTGGGTCTGCCAACCACACATCCGGCCGCTCCCTGAAGAGGCCATAGAAAACGGAGCTATGCAACTGAAGAAAAAGGACATTGAAAAGGCCAATCAGACCAATGGTCAAACTGCAGAGAAGGCGACAATTCCCGATTCGAAGGAAGCCACTGGCTCTAACACCGTGAATACGGAACCTGCCTAGTGCGGCAAGTGCTTAGTAGTGAACCATAGTTGCAATAGGCTATTTTCGATTCTTCCAGATGCCGGGGTCGTTGTTTAATTGAGTTGATTCGTTCGACGATTCGGCCTCGAGGTTATCCCGATCATCTGGCCATTGGTGGTCATTATCTGACTATTTTGCATATACTCGCTTCATGTCGACTCTTTCGAACTGGAAAAGTTCTGCTTGCACGCTTTCTGATTCAGCGAGGTGCTACAATTATTGGCAATCGATCGATTCCAGCTGCATATCTGTCCTCCATATCGGCGACAACGGCGTTCATATACCCTGCAATGAGATCATGGCGTTCAAAATTAATACTATGCATGGTTCATATAGATTTTATAGATGATAGATAGAATTTCAGTATTCTAGATCATGGGGGTTACATTCTCCATACTATACAAATCACCTATCGTTTAGCCATTACACATACGTCCAAGAAGATTGGTGTCTCAGGTCTCCAACGGAAAAATAAGTCGCTTTCAGGCTGTTTCATCAGGCTGTTTCATCATATCCTTATATTAACATTCTTTGAACAGTCGTTATGGATTGAAGCAACAGTAGTGTGTGGGACCCACTGAGAAACAACCTACTCACATTAAAACTTTGTAGTTAGTTACCGCCAGAGTCACAGTTAGTCATAATTACCAACTCACAAATAGTTAGTTAGTTACTCAGGAAAAAGCCAATCTGCATTGGCCACCAGGTGAAAGTGGCCCGCAGTGGCTGTATACTAACAAGTGAGTCAACAAGGGCCGCTAAGTCTTAACTAGATCGTCGATCGTCTACCTAGGTAGGCTGCAACATGAACTTATCCGAGCTGAGAAGGTAATACAGCAAAGGTTTTTTCGACCATAGAATTCCATGCACGTCGAGTCATCTACACTATATGACTTTCATCTATCTGAAACATATCGAGCTAAGAGTAGTTAGTAGCATTCTCATGCGGGGATCCATCGTAGCCACGGGCTGTGCTAGGTACTTAGCCCACGGTGCCCTCCCCAAATAAAAATGAAGGCGGAGAGCTTGAACTTTCAAGGTGATCATCTAAATAATACAAATACCTGAATAAATCCTTTTTCATATATTCTATCCCTCTTCACTTTCTTCTCGGTCTTTCTCGTTTTAGTTCATCCTTTTTGCCTCGCACCATACACTCATCGACATCAGGAGTCTGCCTATCTTTAGTCATGGCGCTCAATGAAGCTGGAGATACAGCACACGACGTGGATCCAAACAACAGCGCAAACGCTGAACTCGATCAGATAAGCACAGTTAAGGCGCTTTTGCTTAGTCACGAGGAATTGCCATCTCAGGAGCAGTTTGAGAATCAAGAGAAGCTATTTGGCGCCTTTAGCCAGCTTATTCTCGGTCCTTCCTGCAAGGTGCGAACATTTGGAAACAATGGAACGCTATATGGCTATCAGTCTTTCTCAGAGGAGAGACATCTACTACTGGTGAGAGTCGGATCTCATGGGTTTGGGACATGGAAACCCACCGACCCGATGTCTTGCGTGTGCTTTGGCTCCATAAGCAAGTCGTCATTCTTCAGCCTAGCAGAGCATAGACTTGAGTCAGTCGAAGGAGACGAGAAGATCATCATTCTAAAGAAATCTGCCGACCCAGAGAACGAAATAAATGAAATGTTCCATGTCAGCTGGCGAGGCTTTCGCATAGGGCTTCATTTTTGTTTTCTGGCCCCATATGGAATGAGCAGGTGAGTTACCTTGTCTGGTCCAGATCGGTAGAATAATCTAACTCCCCGTGTTTCCAAGATGGAATGAGCTTTTATACAATACTGCTGATGAACCGACGTTATCGAGTGACACAATGAGGGCTTTAAATGCCTGCAAGGACATACGGTACATCCACGACTCGGTCCCAAACCTGGAGAAATTCAAGATTGTATATCATCTACTCCACTTGTGGGCACGTTATCGTGGCATATACTCTGAGCAACTCGGTTACCTCAGCCGCGAACAGATTTTGCTTCTCCTGAACCATCTTTGGAAGACGCGCCATTGCGAAGAAGAGCCGTTATCCTCAATACTCAACACGTTCTTTGCCCACTACAGTCAACTAGATTGGGACAAAGAGATCATCGTCGACCCGGAACATGGCACCAAGGACATCAATCCTCACGGCCGTCATCGTACTCCTGTTTTCATATGCAATCTCTTTCCACCCTGGAGGAATGCTGCGTCACTAATTTCAAAGAACTCTCTCGAACTGATTCTGAGAGAGTTCACTCGCGCTGCAAATCTGACCGGAGATTCAGAGGTAGACTGGCAAGGCCTTCTAGGACTACACGGACTGCATGAACAGAAAGACACGTTTTCTTTCACCGGAGCACAATTCGTCCAGCGGTTCAGTGTCTTTGTTCGCTTCGAAATGCGATACTGGGGTTCTAATGTGGCCAGCAGGGTTCATTTTCTGAACTTGATGGGAACTCATTTTGCCTCTTTGTTCAGAAAACTCACCGAATCAAACTTCAGGTACTCATTGGCACGTTCTGGAAGCCTGGCATTTGCATGGCCTTACCGTCTACGTGATCGCCCGAAAAGTGCAGAGGCGGAGGAGTTCTTCTACCTCATGGGCATCGAATACAACGGCGCTCCTGAAGACCTAAACCCTTCCAAGAACAGCATAAGGAGTGAATGTGATACGCTAGTCGAATCCTTGTGTCGAGATGGCATATTCGATCCTACAACAGGATGGGTCAGCATCTCCGTTGTCGGAAGAGAGGAAATCGCGGAAGTGTTTTCTGATGGAGAGGGGGTCCCTGGAGAATTAGAAAAATACTTCATACCTGACAGTATCGGAAACTCTGGTCCTTTGGAGAATATAAAGACAGAAACGGGCCATGAAGTTGTGAAGGAAGTGAAAAACGACGCTCCCAGGAAGCTTCGTCCCGCAGCAGGTATGAATCTTCCCGTTGAAACATAGCTATATCTCTGACCATCTCGCGCAGATGTCCTTAACCGACTCACTTGGGACCATGAGTTTGACCGTAAGGACTATATCGTTGGATATGAAGATCGATTCTCTGGAGCACTCGAGATACCACTTGACTCCTGGAAAGGCGACCCTACCGACGAAGAGTTTATTCCTCAACACAGGATATTATATTTCAAACGCAAGAGCACAAATGATATCGTTTGGGACAGAAGGAAAAAGATCGACAAAATCTTTGGGACAGCAAATTAGAGCGAAAGCCAGTAAGTGGTCTCAAGATCGGATGCAATTATGCCTTTGCAGATGTTGCATGATTAGCACTTGAACTTTCTATTACAAAGCACCAGGAACATTGTGATACCCAATCATTTCAGTTAGGAGTAGTAGCCGAATGTTATCATTGTGTACATACTAGGATTTGTCACTACTAGACACGGCGGAATAGTGCCTGTTAGATGATGTGAACCGGCTGTTCTAGAAAATAGCGTCCTAACCACAGCTTGTAAGAAAAATATGGAATAATCCAGAAGTCAGATCAAATGTATATTGATTTTTTCCATTTTCTACTCAAAATAGTGTTGTCGGGAAATCCCCTAGATATTGCCTAGATTCTTTGTACTGTACAACTAGATGCCATAGTCACGGGATTTGTCTGGAATGATACACAAAGCATGCGGTGTGTCCGAAAAATTATAGGCTCATATGCGTACTTTATTTTCAGGCTCACTTCTTAATTTGTTGCGCAGCCTCGAGGGCTTTGGTGCCTTTACTCTAAATGCGCAAGAGGATTCATCCTTTCGGCCTATTGTTGTTCTTGCTCACTTATCTTGTCAAGGCTTCCTTTCATGAAGCCTATCTCACTGCTGTTTGTTTTCGAATCCTAGTGCCATACTCCTTTCCAACATTGCACTCGCCCTTTTCACAGGGAAGGAGCATTGCAATACCCCACTTCAGTAGTCGAGAATTTGTCATTTCCGGATTCAGTTGTACATTTCTGGGACTTCCGTCCGTCTAGGGAACATTTTGATGAGCCGATGCACGTTCGCTCAATGGATATCCGTTCTCTTAAGGAGAGATACAGCAACTCGACATCATTGACCCGAAACAAAGCAGAGGCGCCTGTATTGCGGTCTCCATCAACAGACAGTCAGACCTTGTGTGCCGAGGAACATCGAAACGATAAGAAATCCCCCATTATGTCTTCCGCTTCAGTTGAGGAAGACAATCTAATGCGCAAACTCACGCGTGGTGCACCGACGGATTCCAGCGGCGTGCAAGCAGCATCAGAGAGAAATCCCAATGAAGATGAAGCCGCCAGGAAGCGGAACCAATATTTCGAAGACTCGTTCAGCACTCGAGAACCTCACAATGCCCCAAGATACAGGGTAAATCAGGACTCTATTGTCGTCATTGAGATCAAAACCAATACCAGAGTATGCTTCCATTTCTTGCACCGGGACATGAAACTGTCTAGCATTCTAGTACTAACAGTTGAGTCTAGGTGAGAGCAGACGAGTTTCAGCTTCTGTCTGACATATCATCTCTCTTCATGCAAGTGTATCACCGTCCAGAAAACTCAATTCTAGTTACGGTCGAGCAGAATGCTTGTCTTCGCTTCGGCAGTTCTCCTGCCCCAGCCTATCTCTTGACAGTTTCTGCACTTCCTTCTCTTATCGCTCCCATTACAAACCTGCGGAACACAATATTGATTCAGCAAGGACTGAAAGACCTTCTTTGGATACCGCCAAATCGTGGAGTAATAAGGTTCAATTCGATTCAAGAAGAAAATTTCGCAACAAATGATGCAACCGTCATGGGTCAAATAGAGCAACTTGAGCAGAGTGCCAGAGATGGAAATCCTGGGATTCTTAAAAGCATTTCACGCTCTATGAGCAGGAAGCTGAAGTCAAGCAGCACAAACAGTGGCCAGTTGTCTCTGACTACTACGGCTGTCTCCTCAGTTCCACTCATAGAGAAAAGGCATGAGCCCCCTATGTCGGCTGGAGTTACTGCCAAAAGGAATCCAGGAAATACTGGAAGTGAAGGTAGAACCAAACAACCGTCTGTTAAGAAGTCGAAAAGCGTGCAAAGATTTGTTTCCCGCCGGCTTTCTGAGCTTGGTTCCATGGGAGATGCCCCATAGCCTCGTCCTTGTCCTTCCTTTGCCAATGTGATATGAGTCGGAGGAGATAGCTCATACTGCTATGTTCTAATTCAAGAGTCTGTAGACTTCACGAGACACGAGTTCAAAGCACTTCCTGTAAACCGCTTTACAGAGTCATTTCAAATTTACTTGACACGGAGTGAAAGGGTCCTAAATCTTTGCTATGCATTGTTGTATTTGACTAAGAATAGCCCATTTAGTTAATAGTTCCTTGTACGAAAGCTGTGGAAACTTTATAAATTCATAGTGCCTAGATAAGGCCAAATTGAGCATAATTATATTCACTATCAGATTGCTAGAGCTTAATAGACTTTTGTAGCTGCTGCCTGCTTCAGAGTGAATACGACCCGCATTGAGTTGAGGGGCTGCTCAGACATCCTCTTCCTCTTTGTGAGACAGGCCGACTTCAGTCACGTACACACCTTTTTCTCACAACCCCACTACTAATACGTGATCTCACTCACGCAACACCCTTAAAACAATCTTGGAGCCAAGCTTCCAGTATTGTGCCCATCTCTTGACAAAGATTAAACCAACGGCTTTGCGACTATCATGCTTACAGAGATCGAAGGTGACTTATTCGACGCTCCAGATGGGGCAGTTCTGATCCGTAGGTGAACTCCTGTTGCTAACATACATAATACCTGTTATCCACTGAAATGACTTGGGCCTATTGTGGATTTCTAAGCTGACATTATCTATATTGCCGAGTAGACTCCTGCAATTGCATGGGTAATTGGGGAAAGGGAATCGCTCGCGGTTTCAAGGAGAAGGTTCGAACCCAGCTTATTCCACATAGACAAGAGAGCTTACAACAATCAGTTCCCAGGCGCGTTCGAAATATACCGTGCACATTGCAAAAGCCTTCTCTCTAAGCGTGAATATGCAACACAATCCGACAGAACAGTACAGCTTCCGGAAGGCACTGCACTTATCATTCCGCCCCAGGAGAAAGACTATCTCCCGCAACTGTCCAAAGGGAGGAAACGCGGCCGGAATGCAGACTCAATACAGACCGGTAGTAAGAAAAAGCATTGGATCGTCTGCTTGTTTACGTCGCAGAGGCCAGGGCGCCATTTGAGCTCTCCAGACGTTATTCTGGCAAATACCAGGGCGGCAATTGAGGATATGAAAAGGCAGTTGGTAGCATTGCAGGACTCCGGAGAAGCGAGAGGAATTGATAGCACCGATGTAGCAATGATTCCTGGCGAGCTTTGGTCTTGCAGGTTCAATTCTGGGCTATTCGGTGTTGATTGGAGGCTGTCTAAACAGATCCTGATGGATGCTGATTTGGACGTTACGGTCGTTAGACCACGAGATGGTTAGCCACATCAGTGAAATATGTGGGCTCATCTCCACAAAAGGCTGTCTCCAGCTTCCAGGTCACTGTTCAACCAGGTACCAGGTAGTGACAAGATATCTTCAACAGATAGGTCACGTATCACGCGGGAGTCTAGTGTTAAGTCTAGGAAGAACTGTGCATGGGCCTGAAAAGTCCGTTAATATGTAATCAGGAGTATTCATTACAAGAGGTAGTAATTGTTAAATTTCTCTCCACATGTGGAAAGTTGTGATAGCCAGTACTTACAGTAGTCACCTGATGCCGTGTCCTTGCGGATCGCGTCCCCGCAGAACCGTCGCGTCGGACGACCGATTACTCCAACTTCTACTATCTACATCTCTTGCCATCGTGGCTTGACCAATTCTTAAACCGAAGGTCTTGGTCCATACTCTACTCTACATCTGCGAGGTTCAAGCATAATCAATAATGCCTGTGGAACGTCAAGCCCCTCAAAAGCGCAGGCGACTGCCGTTTAACCCACCTCGTCCACGAGCATCCGCCAGCGCAGGTCCGTCTAATGCAGCACCGAAATCGAAAGCAGCAAAAACGAGCTCGAGCGCTCGTACCTCGACAGGGTCAACATCGAAGAGTACGAAAAAATCAGCAACATCCCGGAAACGTGCCACTTCCCCTCTCGCCGTGCGCTCTGCCTCGCCAGAATCGGCATCAGGTTCGCAATCAGCCTCCGAATCAGCATCTGGGAGCGCTACAACTCCCGACCGGGCACGGTCACCCTCGCAAGAACCGGATTTTATCCTCGCTGAGATTATTGGTCCTGGAAACGGTGATGATGTTGACTCGAGTGAACCGGCCATTCCACCGAAGCTGCTAACCAGACTGTTGCACCATCACTTTCAAAACGAGAAGACTAAGATCGCGAAGGATGCCAATGTTGCAGTTTCAAAATACGTGGATATCTTTGTAAGGGAAGCTGTAGCCCGAGCGGCATATGAAAGAGCGGAGGGGCAAGGTGCTGAGGGTGGCAGATCGATTGGCGATGGATTTCTGGAGGTATGTGTCTACCGTGGCTCCGCAGCTTGGGCGACTCCAACAGTGTCGCACGTTCCATTTGTGTCTCTGACCTTGACCTGTTTCGATTATCATATAGGTCGAAGACCTGGAAAAGATGGCACCGCAATTGGTTCTGGATTTTTGATGATCGTCAGCTCGTTTCTCTTTGGTGGGGAAAAAAGATCTCGGCGTTTTGGCGAATTCGGAATATTATGTGTGTTTCAAGATACCACTAGATGGAACGAAGTTACGATCAAACCTTTCATTGGGATCGTTTAGTGAACGGCGATTATTTACTATATTCTCACGATACGATTCTATATCTTCGTCCAGTCATCTGGCGAAAGTCAACAAGGACCTAATATTGGAGATGCATCGCTTACTACGATCTCGCACATCTATTTTTATCTACTCAACCCGATAATGCATCTCATGGACAACCATGGACGATGGGCTCTGTGCGGGCTCTCTATGGCAGCCTATAGATGTGCTAAAGATGTAACAAGAGGGGGTTACGGAGTACTCCGTATATTATTCGTCATAACTTCAGTTGCTCCTGGTTCAATGCGGCTACCGATTTACTTATCTTATTGGGAAGTGTTCCCTTTCGAGTTTCCCATTCGCAGCTCAGCTAGAGGTTAAATGGTGACCAGATCTCACAGGCAGCAGGGAAGTCTTGAATATCCGATCTTTCCGAGTACTCAGCTACATAACCTGTGTGATGTACACTGTCCTTCATACTGGTTCATAGAGGAAACAGAGCTTGATGGTACGGACACCGTCTGTGAAAAGCGTCGCGCTCCGCTGCGGGCGCTATGGGGCAATGTTGTATATTGCTAATGGTGACACTGCGCCGCCATTGCAAAAAAGAGACATGTTGAAACAATTTTGATTTCCAAATTAGGTACTGGTGTCACAAATGTTTAAATCTTACACACATAAGTCGCACTTAGATACCTAGGTACTGTGTGGTTAAAGCTGCAGAAATGGTCAACGCTTTACCCGTTTGGGATCAACTGGCCAGGGGCCGGCGTCTCAAGTCGCCGCTCCATCACAGATGCGACACTTACCAGACGCCAGAGGCGCCTCCTTGGGTCCTGAGTGTCAAAGCGTGAGTCTCTTTTACAAGATAAGCATTGCCTTATGTGTTTTCCGCCATGGCCTCGAAGAGAGAAACTTGTACTAACTTGGGTTTATTCCAGCGGCGCTGGAGTGTATATGCCACAACTACGCTCCCACATTGCTAATTAACAGTCGCAATGAAGCCCAATTGCAATAAAGGCAGACCTTGTTATGGTCTCGACTTCAAGCACCATTGGGAATCGGATACTGGGAGCCCGTAGCCCGATAAGGAAAATGTGCGGAGATCTGCAATGCGCCATGTTTGACGACAACCATTTTCAGACAAGGAGCACACCACATGTGTCCCATGAAGATCCAGAAATGGTAATGGTCGTCATGCTGAGGTTGGTTAATGCTATGTAGTCGGCCTGGAAAGCTCAACTCGACCCCTGGCGCTTCCTGTCCATCCGGGGAACCGACAGATCTGGAATATGTGTGACATATCCTTCTATTTCAGGATCAGCTCCTGTTTCTGGGGGAAGGGGAGGATCTAGCTCCATTACAACTTAAAAGAGCCTTCTTTTCCATGCATCTTCCCTTTTCTATTCCCTTCAAACAATCAAAGGCTCTACTTCACTGTTTCTTTTTACGTTCTTTTTTTTCAATTATCTTACTTTCTTGATTAAGCGCTAGTCGCTCTAATTCACTTCTTCTTTCATTGGAATCAGAATTATATCTAGACACAAGAATAACTGCCAGGATGCAGCTCCAGAATCTGTTTTTGTCGGCTTTCGCCATGGCCGCCGCTGTCCGGGGAGAGATGGGAGGAATGTCTTCAGAACTTGGAAGCTTGATGGGTTCCTCCGGCAAGGCCGCTTCGAGTATGAGCTCCGGCTCTGGTACGGTCAAGGTGCACCCTGTTAAGGTCGGCTGGAACAACACCTTGACCTTTTCCCCGGACCAGTTGAACGTAAACCCAGGTGAAATGGTCCAGTTCCAATTCTATCCCAAGGTATGCTCATTATCTGGTATGAAAGTGATATTCTTGCGATCAAAACTAATGTTGTCAGAACCACTCCGTTGTCCAATCGTCATTTGACGAGCCTTGCGTCCCCATGTCCGAGTCGATGCCCGGCATGATGGGTATCATGTCTGGATTCATGCCCGTTAGTGAGGACGCGACCCAAATTCCTGTCTTCACTATGATGGTCAATGATACCAAGCCTATGTGGATCCACTGTTCTCAAACGGGACACTGCCAGAAGGGTATGGTCATGGCTATCAATGTGTAAGTCGCACTTCTTCATCCAATGCGAGCGGGTTATTGACTCTTTTGTAGTGCCAGCGGAAGCAACAAGACTCTCTCCTCTTTCAAGGCTCTTGCCATGAAGAGCACCAGCGATGGATCTAGCAGCAGCAGTGGCAGCAGTGGCAGCAGTAGCAGCACCGGCTCTACTAGCGGCAGCACTGGCAGTACTGGTAGCAGTACTAGTAGCAGTACTGGCTCTGCAGGCAGCACGTCTGGCAGTGGAACCCCTACCACCGGTGGTTCTTCTTCCTCTTCTGCCGCTGCTGCTGCCGCCGCAGGCTCATCCAGTGCTCCTGTCGAGGTGAACGCTGCCTCCAAGCCTGCGTTCAGCAACGCTGGCCTCTTGGGTCTCTCCATTGCTGCTTTCGCCGTGTTCCAATTATAATTTTAAACTTACATTGGGACACAGTGATGGATGAGTTTATGAAGTCATCCTGCCGTTTCCAGTCATTATTGTCTAGCATATTACCCTGTTTCCATGCTTTTGTATTCTAATACCGGCCGGGCCGTCAGGATTAAGAGCCTTTTTTATATTTCTTCACTTCAAGAAAAATTAATATCCATAAGTTGATTCATTATTCAACAGTAAAATACTTTTCAGTTGTAATTCAGCAGCTGGATTGAAGATGGCTCCGTGATTTGTTTATTACTACTAGGTTAGTGGCTAGTCTATATAGAGTGGTCCGTGATCAAGTCAGAACTGGGAGCCGTTGCCGCCTATGGTACTTAAGCAGTTAGTTAAAACGGCCACCGCTTTCCGGCAGAATCGCGTACCTTATCGAAATCAATAACCATCGCGTCCGCCCGCGCGGCAGGAATTTCTATCAATCAATTTGGCGAGAGAATGCCTGCCTGCGGCGCAATCTGTCAATATGAACGATACGACAACTGCTCTGCTCACGGAACACTTTAGTTACACGCCTTTGGTGGGTCAATGTCAATGTTATTCTGATATTTCCCTAACATATAGTGCCGGGCAGCTCCTAGGCCCGGCGAACATCTGCGTGTTCCGGTTGATCTTGAAGATAATTGACATATCAGAACTAAGTTACTGATACTCAGATTACGTGTCTAGTCTCTAATAGATGATATTATCAACTCCATCAACAATCTCATCTACCAAGCCATTTCCAGTCTCGAGTCCGGACTTCTGTCGACCCCTCCGGAACGCCTGGGCTTCTCGCACACCAACGTTGGATCCACTATCCCTGACACCGATGCGGATGGAAACGTCGAGTATCCTGAGGCAAAATTAGAAATAGAGAATGGGCTCCATCAGCTGGAGACACTGTTAGAGGCGACGGTTGACAAGGCGTTTGATAAATTCGAAATCTACGTTCTACGCAACATCTTGACGGTGCCTGAGAATTTGGCAGGATGGATCAGACTTCGACATTATGAGGTATGCAGTACCAGTTTGGAGTCTAAGAATACTCTGTCGTCTAGCTATCTACGGTTTTGTCGCCTGTAACCATGCTTGGGAAGCAAAGACAAAATGCTTGCGCGCTGCGGTTCTGGGGATCCCCCCTCTTGGGGGTTGAACAATGGCTCTATTGCTAATTTGCTGATTACTACATTAGAACCTCTCATTCGACAACTTATCATCACCGAATGCGCCCACTCCAGAGTCGATAAATGTCCAAAGAAAAAAGCTCCATGAGACCAGAAAACTACAACGAGCCTTGAAGCAAGAGTCTGCCCGCAATGAAGCAATCATCGCACAACTACGATCCATCATTTCAAGCGCGGAAGCAACAACCACGAAACAAGCAGCCAGCAGCGCTGACTCTCAGGATTCCCGACCAACTCGAGACCCCAATCTCCCTGACCTTTCATTCCTAACTTCCGACCCCGCCGCGACGCAGCTGAAGGTTGGAAGTGGAGCAGAGTCGGGAACCAGCAATCATCTCACCACGCACGCCACATTCATACTATCTCAGCTGCCAGCGCTCCGTAACATGCTCAATCAGCTTCGTCCTCGGCTAGCCACATTGCCCAAGTCGGCCGATGATATGGAACTTGATAGCAGGAAGGCTGAACGACGAGCCTACATCGAGAGCAGAATCAGACTCCACCTGGAGAGGGCAGGAGAACTCGCCATGGACGAAGGGAATATTGTCCTGGCAGGTAGAAAGATCAGAGCTAATGAAGCGCAAGCTGTGGAGAATGTTATGGGAATGCTTGTGGATGACGAGAAGAAGAATTCTTCATAGTGGAACGATCCTACAATTTTTACACCATGGTCATGATTCTTTGGGTGTCCATAGGCGCTTTTTGGTTCCGCGATTACGGCAAGGTTTGTTTACGGAGTTCTGCCTGGATGTCCCTATACCTCTGCATGAGCTAAGGACGGTGGGACCGATGACTTTATAATGGTAAAGAGCTAATTAACGAACAATATCCAAGCTTCATAAAGAGAAGCAGTATCAACTTTCGAAGACCTGCCTGGGTCACGTTTTCAGGGCCCGCATCCACGCGGTCCTCAGCCGCTAATGAGATGACTATGTAGTTAAGTTCTATGTAGCAACAACTTAAACCCAAGAAATGCCCCACGTCTTCTGTCCCCGTCGGAACGGCACCACATCAACGGCGTCCGATTTCAGGATATCCTCAATGACATCGCCGGCCTCGTCAAAGGTGATGAATTCTTGCTTCTCCTCCTCAAGCCCGTAGAATTGTCTACCGAACTTGCTCAGAAAGCCTTCGATGATCTCCGGGGTAATATCCTCTTCCTTCAAGACACCATTCTGGCAGCCCTGGTCAAAAGCGTCGACTACCAACTGGGAAGCGTAGGGCTGGGAGAAGACTCCGGCGGCAATCTTGTCTCCGCCACGCTTCGCGATAGCCGGATGAGGAGCACTGTCCGAACCGAAGAAGAACTTAGGGTTGCCAGATGTCGCAGCTCGCAGAAGAGCGTCACGATCAGCGGGAGTTTTGGCGACAGGCTTGCAGAAGCAGAAGGGGTCGCCAGCCCAGTGATCAACGATGATGGAGAGGTGGTGGGCGGTGATCGTACCAGCGACCGTCGGGCCGCACTTCTTCACAGCCTCTACGGCTGCAGCGGTTGTGAGATGTTCCAGAATAATACGAAGCTTGGGGAACTTTGCGTGGAGCTCGAACAGGGTCGGGAGGAAGCGTTCCTCCGCAGACATGACCGTAATGTCTCCCTTTGAAGGCAGCTCTCCGTGCAGGTTCAAGATGAGACCCTGACGTTCCATCTCCGCGAAGACAGGGTAGAAAGAAGTGTAGTCAACAACTCCGGAAGAGGAGTTGGTGGTGACACCAGCAGGATAGCTCTTCACATTCGTGATGCCTCTCTGCTTGGCTTCAACGATGGTCTCCGGGGTGATCGACTCATGTAGATAGAGAGACATGAGATACTTCACCTTCGGCTCAATGGCTTCCAGGCGCTTTCGATAGTCCAGGGCTTGCTGGACGGTAGTCACCGGCGGGACCAGATTGGGCTGATATACGAAATCAGATGTGGAATAAGAGGCAAATGAATAGTTGTACTCGACGATTCAACTACCTACCATAACCATCACGGTATTTACTCCGCCTCTGCGCAGGGTTGGCACGACTAGTTCCATCATCGCGCCATCTCGAAGATGCACTGTTCTATGCATTAGCCATCTATCCAAAGCGGTCCGTTTGCTGGCATGGCCTACCGTGGAAATCCGCAGTTGCGGGGAACCTGACTCCCCTCAGCTTTTGGAAAAGCATGATGATTCCCTGGGGCTGGATGGTCTCAGAGAAACCTAATTAGTTGTGATGTATTGAATTATTCCCCATAGAATAATTCCCCGCGATCTAGAAAATCGATTTTTTTTACAAGTTGGACTGCGTCATTTCGTGCAATATCATTGGTCAGTCTTATTCCAAGTTCGCAGGATCATGTGATTTTGAGAGTTTCTGCCGAAAGCGGTCAGGCGTCATGAACAGCCAATTGCAGTAAAGGAGGTACATTTTGCCCCTCATCCTTCTTTGTCGTTTATCGCAACTGACGTTGACTTTAGAGTATTAATGCATGAAGACAAGGTTAACAAAGTGCAGCTCGAGCTCCCAAAGATCCTGCTATCATGAGAGTATGCTGGATCCATTACATGCACAAATCGGGAAAATATCAGCGAAGAGAGCTTGTCTTAGGGCTGATCCTCGAAGCCAATGAATCATGATTGTCAGACCCCCCTGGGATCTGGAGCCGCCGACCCTCAAGCCCTAGGCTGGAGTCGATATCCCCGGCGCTTTCTTTCAACATATCACTTTCAATAGCGCCCGTCTCTTCAGTTTCCATCACATCGCGTGCAGCAAGAGGGGTTCAGTGTCACAGACCCATAGAGACCGATTCGTCCTTGTCCTGTAGAAAACGATCTGGCTGGGCGCTTCCCTTCGGTTTCCTGACGCCTTTTACAGCCTATCCTTAACTCTCCTCGAGACCTATACGCTTGGCAATCGGAATCAGACTTATGGCTCCAGAAATAGACATAGGTCTGGATGCAGAGAGTTGCAGAGATACCCCACTATGGCTGTTTATGGTATTCTTCAGGTTGAACATCACCAATAACATGAGTTTATTAGCCCAGGAACCGAATCTGCTGAAGAATTCACTTTCTTCGTGGGACTATCGGTACGACAGTGCCATCTAGATCAACTATGCATAACAAATGGAAATTTCACGGCAGAATCGAGCTGACCAGCTGGAAAATATACATTAAGTATCTCTGGTCCTTCCACAGCTGGTACTTTTCTCTGCCTTCTTTTTTTTGCCGAAGTAAATATAATCTTTCTTCTCTCTATAGTCTTCGAAGAGTTGCTCTGGCTAGCCTCTTATTGCTTTACTTCTCCGCTCCTTAAACGTGCTCTACGCCTTTTGTCTTTCTATACTGCAAGCCGATCTTCTGCAGCAAAGTTTACTCGTGTCATTATCTGCAATCACTGGTATATAATCTTCGTTCATCTCCACAATGAGTTCTCAGTCGACCTTTTCCGGCTTCTCTTCAGACCAAGAATCTGCCTATCTCTCCCGGGCCAAAGTCGTCAATCGGATACGTCTCGGCGTGGCGTTTCTGATCTTTGCGGCAGCAGTTGCAATTGTCGGTTGCGAGGCCGTCCCACTACATCACTATAAGGAGACAAGTTCTTTTGAGAAATACTGGCTCGTTCTTTGGCCTCTCAACCTCGACCTGCGTCAGACGAACGCTCTATTGGCTTGTGGTGCAGTGATCGCCTTCCAGGCATTGATCTATATCATCGCAGCCATTCTGCCCTCAGTACGTTCCTTCCTAATCATACATACATATAGCTCGAATCTAATAATTTGTACCAGCCTCATTCAAAAACAAGGCTCCTCACCTTCCTTTCCGCAGCCGTCGCGCTCGCAGGACTTATAACATCCGTGACTGGCGTGGTTTTCGCCATCTACATGCCTCCATCAAGATACCCGAACGGATTCACCAATTACGAGACAATCCACTCTTGGACTTGTAGATGGAAATCCCTAAAGGGAATGAATGTCACTGATAATGGTCAATCTCTGAGTGCCCCTGCCAGCTTCTCTCGCGACTGCATGGAAACCAGAGCTGGATTAATCCTGCTTGGGTTGTTGATCAGTCTCGAGGTGATCATGGGCGCTGCTGCTGCCGCTGGATGGTTCCTTGAACGTGGTGTCGACAGGAAGCGACGTGAAGATTTCGAGCTACAGAAGGCCACGATCACTGTCAAGGGACCTTGAGGAAGTTTCAGGAGCCGTGTGACCTCATATGATCTTGTTTGCTGAGTGGAAGATTTAGGATATATATATACAAGGAATTTTGAGCAGTTCAGATGCTTCTGAAAGGATTTAGGGTGTAGGAATAGGTACCTGTTAGTTATTGGGACAGTCGATTGAACAATGCTTCACGATGAATGTAGATGGTATACAATGCTGTATTAGGCACCATCAGGAGTGGCGTCACTATTAGTATTTCATATTCTAATAACGATATCAAATATTCAGTTGTTGTTTCTTCCTAGGAATGTCATTCTTAGAATGTGAGCAGCTTATCTCGCAGGAATAGCAACGTCTATCACACCGCCTTTGGCAGAATTCGCGCTTTCCACTTTACGCGGAGCTCGCGCCGCAGTCCGACACTTTTTCGAGCTTCATTTAATCCTGTTCTCACATTACTATCTACTGCTTAGCTGCAGCTCTTGGGACTGGGACTTTGCAGCTATATCTCATATATCACAAAAGCACCGTGGAAGCCCTTGACTACAGCCACGATGCCGGTTGCCGCAGCCGCCGCTGATCCGGTGGAGAATCATTTGGATCTCGAAAACGACGAGGAATACAACTCAGAAGAAGACGAGGACTTCGAGCTCGATGGCGCCGGTCAAGATGAATCTGAAGAATCGTCTGAAGAGGAAACGCAGGAATCTGGTGGCAGGCCGGCGAAGAGGCGAAAAGTCACCGCTGGGAAAGAGACCAAGATCGATGAACTGGAACTTGATTCTGGTGATGAGGCGATGATACAGAAAGCGACAGAAAGGAAGGAAAAGAACAAGAAGAAAGGAAAAGGAACTATTGTTGATGGGGACGAGGAAGATATTGATTTCGATGAGGATGATGAGGGCGGCGAAGGAGGCTTCGTGAAGACGAGGTCTATGAGGATGAAAATGTAAGTTAGGTTTTTGCGCCGTTCTACCTTATTTGCTATAAGAGTCACATACTAACGAATGTGTTTCTTTACAGACAGGAGGAGCGCAGACCACTGGCGAAAATTGACGGTGCTACTATCGATGTTGATGCACTGTGGGAGAAGATGAACCAGCCTTACACCGGTGCTGCACCTTTACCCACACAAAAAGCGCAGGAGCAAGACGGCATTGCAGCGGAGGATGAGAAAAAAGAGAGTCCAGATCGCGAAACAGAAGCCGCGCAGCAGAAAGCGCCGACACTGCCCTCGGAGGAGATGATCAAGATAAAGCGCACATACAAGTTCGCTGGGGAAATGATCACAGAAGAGAAACTTGTTCCAAAGGATTCGGCTGAAGCGAAACTCTTTCTCTCAAACGAAGGAAAGGATAACGCGGAGACTACTATAGATGTTGACGACGCTGAGGCTAAGAAGGCCGCCGTCAAGCTACGCAGGCCTCTCCGCAAGTATTCTCGATTTGATCCAAATCCTCCTGGATTTATCAAGAAAAGCTGGGACAAGCAGCCATCTGGCGATATTACGGGCGAAAACACGGATTCCAAAGGGCCCAAGCTCAACACAGTCGAGAAATCACGACTCGACTGGGCCGCCTACGTGGATCAGGCTGGTATCAAAGATGAGCTCAACGTCCATAGCAGGGCTAAGGAAGGCTACCTTGGCCGGATGGACTTCCTGGATCGCATGGAAGCTAAGAGGGAGGAGGAAAGAAGGCAGGCACGATTGAAGGGGCTTTAATACATTCTTGTCCAATGATGGCCCTGATCAACACATGCTCTGTGCAAAATGATTGTCGAGGTCTACGTCGGTCTCATACGGCTATCGAGTTTGCCGTCACTTTGAGAGTAAGTATCTCGTCACTGGGGAGTGTACTCTCTTTCCACTTGCCCTCGAAATACACGCAGGCCTTGATAGGCTCCTGGCGCTGCACCTCGTCGACCTTCAACCCATTCCTTCCACTCGGCTCCCAGTGGCAGCACGTCCACCAAAACATGCTGGATTACCATCACAGAAGTACGGTATGCTGTCCTGCTGTACGCCTGGCGGAGGGGCCTTAACTCTATGCTGTGTAAACGTTTACACCCCGTTTATGAATCGCGATAGGAGATCATCGCAGTTTATCACATCCGCTCCATCGGATGGCGGCACAGATATGAGATTGCCCGTCTCCTTGTCCAGTATTCCCAGCCCTCCAACGTTATCTTGGAACAAGAGTGTGATCAGACCCCGGTCGGTATGGAGTCATACGCCGATCCATCGTCCCGTTCCTTTTTACATCCTGGCCCGTGGTAATGGATTAGCCTGCAATGCGACATCTGCTCTTCGAAATACTCTTCGAAATAAACACTTGGCAGATCCAATCCTTCTGCGATGAGGGCCGCTATGAAGCGACGTAGCTCGTCTGCCTTCCGATAGTATTCTTTTGCCGTCTCGTTGAACCCAATCGGATCATTATCCTCGGTCACTACACGCCACGGGTCACGCATCTCTCGCGGTCGTCAACGAACTCTGGCGCGATGCAGAATCCTTCATTCAGATCTGGTTTTCTGCGCGGTACGTCGAGAGTATCGCTGAAAGGTTTCATAGCAGCCATGAATGTGATCAGTCTTTGATGTGATCTTCTGGAAGGACTCTGGCTGAGAAAATAATTCCTCCATGTACGCCAGGATACGTCCCTGGAGACTGACGGAGGTTCAAGGGTCTCTCCATAACTTGGAAGAAGCCATGCGAAAAACAGGCGGTGCGTATGGCAGCCACAAGGGTATCGCGTGGCTGCGAGAGAGCGATAATGGGGATCTCGGCTACCATTGTATTCTTGTGTCCAGTATAGATTCAGGACTTCAATCTCGCTCAGATGTGCACTAGAGTACAGCCTAGTATGGTCTGCAGGAGAGTTTGATTAATATAGTCTTCAATAGCGCAATCCCAAATGAAGCAAAATCGTTCCACAATGTATACGCTCTTGGCACTTTTATGAATCAGTGCATACATATCATCCCCATACACAAACTTGGTTTTCATCTAGATCATAGATACCACATAAACCAGAACCACACAACATAAACGTTATATTCAGGGGAATTCAGCCCGTTTATTTAGCCTTGGATCTTTATTTCCTTTTGATCGAAAGAGGCCGTCACAATTCCCCAGTGAAGAATCATTTCCTTCTTCACAGAGAACAGATGGTGTCTAAGACCTACCCGATTCAGTTATCACTATCTTTAGGAAGGTACTTGATACCCGATTGAGGACAAGTGGAATCCGAGGCTATTATAAATATCAAGTCAGTTATCTGTTCAAGCATCGCGGGAGGTTTCTTTTTTTCTTTTTTTTTTTTTTTGCTCTCATTCCCGGTAGATAACGAGTTCCGAAAAGACAATAATAAGAACGGAAAACATACCAGCATCAGCAGCGACATATTGACCATTAATAGCATTCCCTCTAACATTAAAGAAATACCAGACTTCATCCAGCGCGTCGTCTTCACAGTTAATCGTGACCTTGGCCCCGTGGGCTTTGGTCAGGGCGTCTTGGAGATCGCTGAGGTCGTAGGTCTTGGAGGAGCTAGGGGTGATGTTGGCGTCGGAGAGGAACTATTTAAAAAAAAACGAAAGGGTTATTATTTTCTGTTTAGTATTGAGGGCAAAATAAAGTAAAGACTCACCTTGTAGGTATTCAGACCCTTGAAGAGATCCACGACTTTGTTGAAGTAAGCGCCTACTTCTTCCTGTGGTTTGTAGTTTGTGTAGCAGCTCGGATCGATGGTGTTGATGCATGTTCCGTGCTTGCCTGTATTTTTGGTTTCATATATATATTAGCACCCATTACAATTATATCATATCATATCATACACATAGAGTATAATAATTTGGAAATTTCTATTTTTAACAATATAAAAGGGAAATGTAAGTTCAACTTACCCCACTCATGCTCCCAGAAACTCTCATCATCACCATCCTCATCCTTCCAATACGTATTCATATAATCCAACAGCTCCGTCCGACCCTCCGCTTTCAGAATCTCCGTAATATTCTTATACGCGCGCGCCTCATCGCAATTAGACTGATACGTGCCATCGCAATTATCCGGCCAGAGCCCATGGATGGTCCAGGAATCGTCGGGTCCCGTGGCGGGGTTGGTGTCCCAGAACTGAGTCTGGAGGAGAAGACCGCCGGGCGAGTTGAAGCAGCATGAGTCTTTGATAGCGGTGGTGTTGTGGCAGCTGAGTTGGGTGGTGTTGAGAGGGCAGGCTTGGAGACTGGCTAGTGCGCCTCCGGCGAGGAAGAGCTGGGATGCAAGTGCAGCCATTGTGGATTTGGAGAGAGTCGATGATGGAGGCATTGTTGGTGGTTTTGTGGGCGTGTGGAAGTGTAACTACCTAACTATTGCTTAAGAGGAAAAAGGGGTCTGGCAAATTTCAATCGATCTGACTGGAGAAGGAGGGAGGGGAGTAGATAGATAAGGTAGATAAAAAAAATCGATTCACTTGACAGATGTACTCCGTACCTGAAGACCATCTAGTTATTTATCTCTATTAGCTATCAAACACTAGCTGCTAACTAATAGTACAGCCGTAGAGGCGCATGTCAAGTTGGATAGCTCCGATCCGAGCGTGGTTTAGAAACAGTTTAGATCTCCAGCCTTCACGGGCTTCAGCTGTACGATTCGCCAAAACATCATGATCGAGAAACATCGTGGTGGATCTGTATTTTAATGACGTTGCAGCCCTGCAAGCCTATCAAGATGGATTTCTCGTCAGGAACGGGCGACTTTGGCCCCTGGAAAGCTCGGCTGAGTGTCGATCGTTCCCCACGTGCGATAAGGAACGAAGATTGATCGTTGCTGCGCTGAGATGACTACGGACACCCCGGTATTTTATTCTCTTGTAGGAATCGTCGCGTTTTCCTAGTCTGCAGTGGGGTGTTTAGAGAGGTTGCATCGGGCCTTTTTTTGCGACTATGGACTCGCTTTAATCAGGTAAGGAAAGGAAGGCCGGCATTATCTTCGTGTCAGGCCGGGTCGGAAAGATAAAAGATAAAGAAAGGAATGGAACCAAGCTAAATTACAATCCACGGATTCCTAACTCGGTCGGCCATGGCTTGCTGATTGAGTTACCATACACGTACAATGTCAAATATGCCGGAGAAATTGACATGGAAGATGGAATCAGATCTTACTGATTAAACGTGAACGAAGAAGATCTGACCCAGCGTCAGGCTAGGAGGTCCAGAGTAGAAAGCAAGGATCGACTACAACGCGGGATCCACGAGCATGATGGTGTTGTCTCATGAATGTGACTTCAGTCTCGCACATCATCTCTGCTGATCAACTAAGGCTCAAAATCTGTAAATACCAAGTATGTACTGTATATATTATGTTGTTATATACGTCTGTAATATGAACACCGAAAAATAAAGCAATTATAAACCCAAAAAATCCTACTCCTGGCGGCTTAGAGCATCCAAATCGACATCTTCAGGCGCTCTCTCAGGGTTGAATCGCCACTCCGGATCCGAGTATGAGATTACTGGCGGAGAGATCGACTCGTTCGCCGGATGATGCTTGCGAGAAATATTAGACATGGGCCGTACCGCGTTTGATGAAGCATGGTTGTTCACCCCGTCAGTGAACAGATCCGGGGCAGAGAGCGACTTCTCTGCGTAGGTAGACTTGCCGCGACTATACATCTCCAGAGACTCGAACACATGGGGGAAGACAGCCGTGTCCACATCACGGGCCCAGAGGAAGTCCAGGTGTTCGTACTTGGGAACCGGCTTTGCCTTGGTTCCCCGCGGCAGTTCTTTGCGCATGATGTCAATGGCAATCAAACTGTCGCTCTCGCCGTACACGAGAACCACGGGGGACTTGATATTGCGAGTCGGATACTTGACGGGCTTGTAGTAGCGGCTGCTTGCTCCAATGCTGAACGGCGCGGCAACCTCGTCATCGTACATCTGGAAGCTCTTGTTCCGTATAATCTGGAACCAGTGCACCACGGACTTGGTGCTGGTGAAAGAGTACAGATGGGGGTAGGCCGCGAGCTTCTGGTTCTGGGTTATGTTGTTGCCCGTCCAGTTGAAAAGAGCGGACAAGGAGAGATCGATGATGCGCACGAATATCGGTGGGTAAAAGATCGCCTGCCACATCGTGGTGGAGCTGAGAATGCTCTTCCGGCCAAAAGCCAGAAACACCACGCTCGGTGACGCTTTCATCAAAGAGTCCACGATACCGTTGTGCAGACCAGCAGGGGCCATTGCAGGAGCAAGGGCAATGAAGACATCGACCTTCGCGTTCAGCAGTGGATGGATGGACAATGTGGCGAACGCTTGAGCTGTGCCTTGAGAAAACCCAATGTACGACAGCGATGGCTGTTCAGTGGCGCACAGGATGTACTCAATGCTGTCCGGGATGTCGAAAAAGGCAAACTGATCAATCGAAAAGTTCCAGAACTCCGTCGATGATGGGGCGAATTGGGTCGATTTCTTCGAGTACTTGTTGCCCCGATTGTTGCCCAGCCAGACGTCATAGCCTCGTTCCACGAGCTGAAAGGGAAGGCAGCGTTGTTCGTCCGTCAGACACACCCAGACCTCACTGTTCATGAGAAGACCATGATGTAGGTAGACGACTTTCTTCCGGATACTGCCTTCTCCATGGTTCACTCGCTTCCCTTCTTCGCCTTTGCGATAGGCCAGGCGGTGCAGGCCCAGCAGGTAGCCATCCTTGGTCTGAACGATATGCTCCTCAGCTTCGTAGCCAAAAAGACCACATAGCTCTGCAAAATCGGACGCTTTAGCAACCCGTTCTGCAAACGATCGCTGTCGAGGTCGAGGCAGCCGCCCCTGCGATGTTGACAGGAGATTGAAGACGCTTTTGGAGATATTGTAACAGTAGTTGATCACCGGCTCCGCTGCTGTCTGTCAGTCGCACAGTCCTGTCCAGCTGCGAATTCGGCTGTCCCCAGATTGAATTGGGAGCGGAATGATTGAGGTCATGCAACTTACGCAGGCAGAAGGTGATGATATGGATGAGACCTTCGAGGAAGATAAGAACCAGAGAGCCAAAGAGCGCGATGTATTCGGTCCTAGAGAAGGCCATCTGTAAGCCGACAGTCACTCCCGACTGAAGTTGCCAGAGGGTAGAATTGAATTGCATTCTTCCGCAGAAGTGGTCAGCCAACCTGGGGAACCATACGACTGGACCTCGTCCCGGGGCATTCCGCTGATCTGAGGTGAGCAGACCTACCAAAAGAGCCTTCCAATGAACGGCACTCGAGCCATTGTGAGTTTGCGACCACCGAGTCTACATCGACTGGATGTCTATCTCTACCTCTACCTCCTGAGACGAAAGGGGCGACAGAGAATCGACAGCACCAACCCACGAGTGCTGGACCTGGATCGTCTCCCGGCTCTCTCTTAAAGAGTTAACTAATAATGAACAAGTGATAAGTTAGAACGAAGTAATAAACCGGCTAGAGAACCAGCAGAAACCCGAAAACGTCATGGGCATTTGCACGTGATAGCAGTCACCCCCCTATGCTTATGTCATCCGAGGACCTGTCAGGCATTTCAGGGCGCCAATCATCGTGCGTCTAGCTTGCCTGACCTTCCGGGCCGCCAAGACCGGATCGGATCGTGATGGGATCGCTTTCGAGATCTCTTTTGTCTGTCGATCTCGATTCGGAGGTACATCGCCTTATTACTCCTCTAGCTCTCGTGAATGGAGAGATAAGCACAGCCTGTCAAATTCGCAAATATGCCTAGCTCGTGCAAAGATATCCGTGAGTAGCCTCGTATCTCACATCTATCCCCAAGACAAGATCCCGGTGGGCAATGGCCGGAGATCGAAATGACCGCCGGAGGGCTATTCGATGTTTGATCTTCCTTCGGGTGTCTTCTCATTGCATCTCGCTGATCCTCACGGTAATCTACAGGACAAGCCCTGGCACAATGTCTCCAGGAATCTGAGTGCATCATGGTACAACGGCACACCCCGCGGGAATGCCTCAGTGACCCGTATTTCAGTGAACTACCCACGAAATGCCAACAACTCCAAAAGGGTCTTAGCGAGTGCAAGTACGTCTATCCTCCATTAGTATTTTCTTCCCGCCAGTACCAAAATAAAATCGGACTTCAGACTAACCGTCGACCTTCTCGTTGCATTAGGCGCGGTATGGTCGATATGCGCAAGCGCTTCCGTGGAAACCAGCCCATTGGCGTCTCGAAGGAAGTCGAAGGCGAGAAGAGCAACCAAGGATACCAGCTGTACGCGGGTAAACCGGCCTTCCAGTCCGTCAAGAAGATCAACGGGGATGAGGTGCAAATGGACCCGGAGAAGACGAGAGGTCTATAGAAGGCATCGTGCCTGCTTCCGGGCCATTGACATGGCACATGTGGCTCTGTCTGGGACGACTTTTTTATGAGGCGGATACGCTCAGAAATCAAGGAGGAAGGACATGAAAACAACCGCTACTTGTACCATTTGTTGGTATTATCATTTGCATGGATAAGGAGTTCAATACCTGGCTTGGGGTTAAATAAGGCGTGGGTGGGAAAGTACTGTACAATGTAACTATGCCTGGACAGATTCGTCTATCGTCTGTATTATATACCATCAAATACACTCCTCTTTTGGGTCCACCGGTCCCTCGTCTATCTGGCTCTTACAGATCTATAGCATAATCTTATCCCTCCCGGTTGCGAAAGATAGCATTGATATGCCCATGAGAAAGAAAAAGAAAACGATAATAACCAAACTAGACGGCTCATCTCTAATTCTGAGCAAGGATCATGTCATAGCTCTTTTAATACGAAACATTAATCTTACAATCACTGATTTACTGTACTTTCTTAATCCTAGCTTCCGCCGAAGCCGATGGTGCCGAATAGAGCCAGACAACGACAAAGGCGAGGAACCCTCCAATGACAGAGTAGAGACCGGAGATCCAGGGCCACGCTGCGCTGATCTTCCAGCTACGGGGATACTCGTTGTGCGCAAAGTGGCGGATGGTGATCTCATGCTTCTCTTCAACGTTGGTGAGGAACGGGCGCTTGTAGTTCACGCGGAAGGAGAAAATGCCGTGCTGGTCGGGCACGGTAAAAGAGACGCCATACAGAGTGCTGTTGTCGGTACGGCGGACGGGTTGGAGATTGAGACGGTGGAATGGGGACAGCATGGTGAACTCGAGTTGCACAGCATCCTCTGATGGGACCTCGAAGGGAACCCACTTGTCATAGACGTATTCAGACAATTCGATGTTGAAGGACTAAAAAGGCAACTGTCAGTATGTACGAGGGGAAAGCCACAGGAGACGTTGACTCACAATGTCGTTCTTAACCCGATAGATGGTAGGGTTCAGAGGTCCTTCCTGGCCCTCCTCAACCAGGCGGTGCTCAATCTTTCCAACCTTGATCACACCAACCTCCTGGAAGGTCCAAGCAGTGAGCTGCTTGGCAAACTCCCGGTTGGCAGTGGTGGTCTCCTTCTTATCCTGCGGGCTCTTCACCGTTGCCGAGAACCACTTGTCTTGCAAGGCCTCGACAGAGCCCAGGACCGTAAATCGAGCCGAGTTCCGTGCCTGTAGCGCAGAGACCAAGGCCAACTGGGTACCGGTCGCGAACGGGTCCTCCACAGGAGCAGACTCCTCCTTGACGTTATAGCTGTACGCAGTCTCGGGCGCCCGCAAGATAGGCGCAATCAATGAACCCTCGACTCCCAGAGTCTGCGGGGCTGCTCTGGGGATCGCCAAAACACCATCACCGGAGAAATAGGGCTTGGTATCCGGCCTCAAGGCACCTGGCCGCTCGAGGAGGAGAACATCGTGCTTCTCCGACGCGGAGAGAGTATCGTAGTTGAAGTGATCGACAACAAGAGATGAACGGTCGGGCGCGAGATGGAGATCGAACTCGAGCAGAAGCGAGCTCAAAGAGCTGGGGGTGGGCGATTTGCCGGAGAGGGCGAGGAGGACATTACCATCCTTGTTCACGAAGTCGATGATGGCCTTTGGTGTCAATGAGGGTCCCAGGCCTACGAGAGAAGTCAATTGGGTCCATTGATGACATATCGCTCATAAGAGATAGAGTGGTGCTGTTACCTTTTGACTTGGGAGGGAGGATGAGCAGGTGGTCGTAAGCTCGGTCTCCCAGATGGAAGAGGGACAGCTTATCATTCTTGGGCGATTCGAACGAAATATCGAAACCTCGAGCTAATAATGTATTAGAATAACATTACATATATACCAGGCAGTCTCCAGCAACAATAACTGACCTTCAAGATCGCTCCAGAATGTCGAGTAGGCGTCCTTCTCCGCAGCCTCCTCCAGCACCACCAAGAGACGGTTCCCCGAAGTACTCAGCGCATGCACTGCGCCGCTGAAGCACAGAAGTAAAAAAGAAAGGAACCATCGCATCTTGAACATCTCCGCGCGGGGCAGCGGACGACAAGATGGAAGAGAATCGAACAAGAAGGGGGAAGTATTGTTTGGCAAACAATGTTCTTCTCTCTTGACAGAGCTGTTGGAACTATGCGGGAACGGGCGACGTGTTTGGACGAGACGCCAAGACTTTGCTTGCTTTGCGGATCGGGATACCCGCTGCGGCGCCCGAACAACTTCAAACCTCGATTCTTCCCCTCTCAGTGCGACCGCGACCGCCTGGAGCCCAGCATACGCCTCACGAGCACCATCAAGGGTCAGTATCGACGTCCTGCAGTGCTGTCTTGACCCATCGTCATCAGTCTCTCTCTCGCCGGACCGGAGACGGCGTCACAATCGCATATCTCGCTCAATCCCCGCTAATATCCGGATTCCCAGGCCTCTCTCTTTCTCCGATACAGTCACCATGTCGGCCCCTCACTTCTGGTCGACGCCTCTGCGCTACCTCCGCTGGGCATCTTACGAGAAGCCTGCTATCTTTTACTCGATCATTGTCGGATCAATGGGCCCTGTCGCGCTCGTGACGCTCCCTCCCATCAGACGCTTCTTCGGCGATGTCGACCCCGAGCCTATTCCTCTGACGTATCCCAGTAAGGAGATCCTCTTCCTATCAGCCCGTTGAAGAGCAGCAGTCATTTATTTCCCTCGCATTTACTCCATTCAATGGCTACGGCACAATATAGTTCGACAAGCTAACGTGCGGCTTCCGCCAACTCCAGTTCCCAAGGGCCCCCGAGTGATCCCTCAAGGTTTTGACGACGAGTAGATGCTCCCTGGAGGCAGGACGAGGGATATAGTCTCGAAGCAACTCTAGCGGAGAAGGATGATTTGGGAAAGCAGGAGTTCATGATGCCGTTCAGTCCTCCAGCGGCCTAACGGCAGCGAGGAAGAGACGCAGTCCTTGCGATGGGAATTTGGTCCTTTTTTTAATCCTCAAGGGATGTACATCAAATGTATCACTTTTTTCTTTCCGTCCGTCTATCCAGCGATTGACCCGGAGCGACCACCTGATCTCCGTTTCGGAGTATGGGCTACGCTATGTGGTGCGGTGTTTCCGTATATTTGTTTATAACATGGTTTTTGCACTGAAGAAAAGCGCTTTTCCCTTATCTTTTTCTTCTAATCCACGTCAGTATTCTCTGGTGTATTGCCAAGCTATAGTCGAGACTATGGTCTTATAGGCAGCATCTGACCACCTCTAGCTCACTAGTCACTGCAGGTTCACCAAAAGCTTCCTTTGTGACTATCTAAAGGCTTCTTCCATTTTTTCTACGCTAGTTCACAAGAAAGGCATATGCACATCAATTTATCACCTATAAAGGTGGTCACGAGACAGCGTCGTTGGGTCTATTGTTATCTCTTTCGTCCCAAAACGTTGCTCTGGATACTTCACATGTTTCTCCACCTACACCGCGTATCAATCTGATTCTAAACACAACATCGTTCAGAACTGTTCAACATCTTTTTTTCACAACATACTATCATGGAGCACGCCGATACCTCTTCATTTCCGATATTTACTGATGGGGATGTCACACTTGTGGTATCCTCTGAGCACATATACCGACTGCATGCCTCTGTTTTAAGACGTTGTTCAGGCTTCTTTGCTTCAGTTCTGACAGAGAACCATGCAGCGAAGTTATCTACACAGGCAAAACGGGCGGGGAATACACTCCGGTTCCATTTGCAGCTTACCTATTCGCCGGCGAAACCAAATGGCGTGTTCCAAATGAAAGTGAGGCACTCCCCAGGTCGTCGACACGATACTGAACCGCAAAACAAACACCCCCGCCGGTGAGCTCAACTGACCGTGACCACACAGGAACTTGATAAGTTTGGACGTGCTCCAAAGGCGCGCATGAGCTTTCCCTACATCTCCGGAGGCTTCCCCTCTGATATGGCAGCTAAGCACTGGAACAACCTCCTCGGTGCATTCTACAACAGAACTGTTGATATCAGCGACATCGACATGGCCAACGTATTGAGAAGCTGCGTCGGCCTGCTCGAGACCGCGGAGAGCGTCGAGGCGAGCGAAATCATCCGCCAATCCATTGACATTGCCTTGCTCCGTCAGGGACAGACCCTCTGGCGTTCTATTGCCTCTCAGCCGATCCCCTGGGCCAATCTGGGAGACAGGATCCATTCTCCTACCATTTTCCGCGACGCAGTTATTCACGTCGTGGGCAAATGGAACTCGTTGACTAAAGAGCAACGCGCTGTTCTCTATCCGAACGTCCGCAAACTCTGTGAGAAGAAGTACAACGCGCTCCAGCTCAAGATGCAGGCGATCGAACTGCGGATTATGGGTCACTACCCGGCGTTCCTTCAGCGTAGGCCAAGCGAAAACATTTACCGCGCTACTTACGCCAATGACGTGTACATGTGGATGGCCGTCTGCTTCTATAGGCAGTGGTACTGCCAACAGGCGATGGAGGGACGCACTCGCGCTGCAAAGGACGGAGGCGCTGCCTTTTTCCGTGCCATTGGCGCTGCTGGCCGCTCGTACCTGACCACTCAAGACCAAGCGCGCTTCCATCTGTACTTCCCCATGAGCAGCAAGGCGATGAGCATCTTACAAAAGAACCTCGACGCTCTGAAGGCGGATGTAAAACCGCTCGTGGCCGACTTGCTCGTCGACAACAGTCAGCTGGACACCACGGAGTATGGCCAGCTACCGCATCTCACTTGCTGCGATGTCAAGCAATCGGAGATGGTCTGGACCATGCCCGAGTCGTTGGAGAACCCGTCGGGCGATGAAGAGCTCACGGATCGTGATGCAGAAAACGAGCCAGACGACGATGGCTCGGAACACATCCTCGTTTCTCCGCAGCCGAAGGTCGAACGGGATTCAGAGCATGGTGAAAACGAGCCTCCTACTGGTACTGGAAGTCTTGCGGACGGAAGTTCTTCTGGAGATGACGACGATGAGGAGATGGATGAGGCCTCCGACGAGGACGACGATGGAGAAGACGACGACGAAGAGAAAGTCTTCCTTTGACCGCCACACTGCATGACGACTCCATTTCGGAGTGACGAAGAAACGGCCTCTTCCATTTTCACGAACCACTCCACAGGGAGTTTCCTTCTCTTTACTTGACTTTTCTTTTCTCTGATGTCTAACTTGACGACCAATTCCCCTAAACTTCCACGAGCGTGATGTCTTTCCCCTTCCCTTGTCGCCTCTTCTTATCACGGACCTTCCCCCCATTACTTTTCCAGAAAGACAACCAATGCATGTAATCTACACTTTGATCCGCAATCCAAGGATCTTCATTACCATTCCCATTCCCCATGAAGAGATCCAAGTCTTTTTTTCCTTCCTCAATTCCTAACTCCCAACTCAAATCGAGATTAGGTGATCTCAACTGCATATCTCATACAAACCACAGATTCCTGTCCCAAAATTACAAATGCTCATTTCTCATTCATGCATTACGTACCTGAGTGTGGGCTGTCCGCTTTTCTTCTCTTATCCTTGCTCGATATGATTCTGTTTGAAATGACCCACGAAATTTGAAAGGGCATTCATGTATTACAGAATAGAGTTAACTACTAAGTATCAATTATTGAGTTTGAACGAAAGTATCTCCTTCGTCCTACTGTATTCACCTTTCTCATAGCGAATGATTGACATTCTGTTATTCGTTCCGTGGGTAGTAGTGGAGAGATACTTTGCATGCTCATGGTCATGGCATTAAGTCCTGTAAGGCATGTGTAGAATGCGTCGCAAATTGGGATGATTATTATATTCTTAGCAGGATAACAGGCAGGAGCAATGAGTTAGAAGACAAATCGGGGAGGGTTCTCAACAAAGGGTGGATGGTCCGGTGGGTTACGAGGCATGATAGACATGCCAACGCAGATGTCTCCTGAGACCTGGCCCTCCTCGATAGAGCAGTGGAGCGCTTTACTTTTACCCCTTATCTATGGAACGAAGCAGTAAAATTAACGGGTTGGAAATCTACCATTGTGGAGGGAGTAAATGGAGTCTCAAAATACGTCATGGTTGCAATTCGTCATCTGGAACAGATTCTATCAAGTGCAGAACTCTCAGCAAGGCAGAAATTGCCAAAGACAATTAAAATCATGACCGACGGACAGGGCTCTAGATTCGATGAAAAAGTATTCTTTTTTTTTTTAAAAAAAAAGATGAAAAACACAAGAAGCGTCATTGATCAAGCAAAAACGCCGAGAATGCATTTATCTACATTTAAGTTATCAGTCGCATCGCTGTGTGAAACAGACCTCAAAGCTCCAGGCAGATGCATCCCAGAATATGTAAACGGGGAAAGTCCATAGATAGGAATCCACATCGCCGCAAGGACGTATCAAAAGCGTATCTCGAACCAACACGAAAGACTCTTCCTGTACTGAACTCCCCCCAGGCGCAGGAAAATAGGTAACAGGTGACAGGAAGCAATTATTTGGAGATGTCATTATAAAGGCAAAACAGAAAGCCACCTTTTCGTAAGCCATTCGCAACACACAAAGCTCCTAGTCAGTCGACCACATCACAACCGGTTAGGGAGACCAGGGTGATTCATTAGAAAGCAGATGCCTAAGTAATGAATAGGCTGCAGCTGGTGTTTTTCAATGTGCAAAATCAACGGAATCCAGGTCAAATCGATTAACAACGGCAATGCTGCTTCGCATTGGTGTCAAAAGATCATCAGTTCCCGGCTTCGGCTCCTCATCGCAACAGATCTGGAAATCAATCTTGAATCCATATGGGTATCCATAAAAAGTGGGTGGAAGATGCGATCCGCAAAGGGCGGTCAAGGTATTTTGATTGCATGGACACTCCGGAATCTCTTCTCCGGGTCCTCAATTCCAGGAGTCGGTACTGTCTCCAAGAAGGGCAAAAGAACCTCCAGGCACACACCGGATTGGAATTTGCATTTCATTTTATTAACTCATGACCCAGAGCGGAGAATAAATGAGCATGTCTAACGACGGGGACGGTCTCTGTCCCCTCTAGCTTGTTGTGGCCGGTTAGACTGGGCTCTGTGATCCGAGTAAGCCGACTCCGGAGTGTATCTTGGATCCATTGTTATCCGTGGGTCCGGGGCAGTAGTAGCTGGATAAGCTATCCCCGAGGTGACAGGAGCATAGTCCGCATCATTCTCATAACCCGGTCCAGGATACCTAGGGGCGTTATTCCTCCCGGGTTCATAGGCATAACCCGCGGTGCTCGTATATGTGTACGAGGGGTGCATATCCGGAGTAGACGAAGGCGGTTGTGCCTGGCCAGCGTACGCATTCTGGGGAGGAGGGTAATAAGGAGGCTGTGAGTAAGAAGATGGTGCCGGATAGGCAGGGTTCGGAGGACCTCCATAGGGGGCCGGCTGCATATAAGGGTCCATGTGAGGCGGCTGAGGAGGAGCTGCACTGAAGGCCTGAGGAGATGAACCCTGCTGCCGCATCTCATGAATGGCAGACGCAGCATATGATGCTGGAGGCATGTTAGGGCTTGGAGACACGTTCATATCTTGCACATAACTACCTCTGGGATAGCCAAGGTCTGCCCTGCGCGAAACATCTGCTTCCCACCGAGCAGAGTCAGCCTTGAGATCCGCAATCATCTCCTACATAGCACATCTGTGTCAGTATTCTCTCCTTTCTTTTGCTAATCCAACTTGTTTGCATCGGAATGGAATGAGATACGTACGGAGGTGAGATTGCGGTAAGCACGGATCAGATAACCCTTTTGGCCCTGTAAGTTATGCTCGGTCAGCGACACGGACGAGACAGGCTACGGAATCCTTGGAAAGTAGAAGAATCGGAGCACAGACATTATGCGTTCCTGGTTTTACAAGCGCATCATTTCCCAGATAGCGACAGATGTCGGCCTGGATGACCTCCCGGCTGATTCCATCACCTGGAATAAAATATTCATTCTGGCGCTCCGGGCGCCCATCATATCCGTGGCGTCCAGTCATCTTGTCCACAGATAAGGGATCAACAATGAGCACGGAAGATTCCAGGGGAAGAGAATATCCAGTAATTGGCGGGTCCGAGTCCTTGGAGAAGAGAGGATGATGGTTTGTAAAAAATTTTTCTGCTTTGTTTTTTTGTGGAAGAGAATAGAAACAGAATCACAGCTCTAGGAGACTGTATGTCCAGGCAAATCCAGGGTTTGATCAAATCCAAGGCCAATCCGAGGGTGACACGAGCATATACGTGCAGAATACGCTCACGCCGGTCAGGTAAAAACTGCAGCTTAAGTCCAGGCTCTGGGTTGTTCTCCGGTGCTGGTCACAGTTGATGATGTCCAGGAGGATTATCTGTCCACGGGGAAGAAGTCCACAGCCGGTCCAGGGATATGTTCAGTCCACTCTTTTCCACCACTATGCCACGACCAGAGAGGACGAGAGAGAGAGAGAGAGAAAGAGAGAGAGACAGGAAATCTCGAAACGTGGAGGAAAATCGAGAGCACAGGCGTAGCAAGAGAAGATGAGGGTTCAAAAGACAAGATCCAGGACAACCACAATCCAAGCCGGGGGGGTATATCCTCCTGATTTCCAAGGGGGCAGACGACTTCTCTCTGGGTTTTTGTCCTTCTTTTGGGGCTGGCAGAAAAGGCCAGAAATGCAGATAGAGACCGAGGAGGTCTGGGGGAGACTGGGAGGTGATAAGAAGACTGGGAACGAGGGGGTTGTGGGTTGTTTGTGGCTACGCGGTTGGTTCTTCTTGGGCTGGTTGGGCCGGGTTCGGGCTGCCTGTGTCTGGTGCCACGACTCCACTGAAGGCGACAAGATGACCCCGGTCTCTGATCACCGTGCCAGCATGGACGAACCGCGCGATGCCAGAAGACCAAAGGAGATGGCGTCGAGCTAGGGCCTGCCTAGTGTCCCCTCCGGCCTTGAAGGACACAGATCCAAACCGTTCCGTCGTCGTGTTGACCAGTGCGTTGGAGAGAGAGATCGGAGCTTTAATGGCGGTGGATTCGATCCAGCATACACTTAGAAGTTAGGGCAGCAGGAGGAGAAGATGGAAAATACCACGGAATCCTCATCACTGGGCGGTGTCGCTTTGGATCTCCAGCCCCTCCTGCGAGTAAGCGAGCAGAAAGTAATAAGAATCGGCGTTAGCAGCAGCAGGAGTACTACTATACCGCCCCATTCGCTCGCCTACTGAACTGGGGCATCCAAATAAGGATCGATCTGATTCTGAGCACAACATGGCAAACATAGGAAAACAGGAAGCATCGAACAATCATGAGCCATTCTTTCTTCTTCCCTCCCCAGCGGATGGTTCGGGTTGATGCAGAAGATCTTGATGTTGTTGCCGTTGGCGGCCGAGGAGACGCGCACCACTCTACTCCGTGCTCTAGAGTAAATAATATTTTACCAGGCTGGTCGACTGGTCTAGAAACAGGGGTTTCCGCAGGCACCGGTTGAGGATCATCGCGGGAATCGGGTAGGACTCTTCAATCTGCAGCATTAACAATATAGAGTATGGTAAGTAGCAGTCGTACGGCAACTCTAGAGACTCCTAGAGCCCTCTAGAGCAGCGCTGAGCCGGAGATGCGTTAAGCGAGGCGGAACTTGGAAGGGCGATCCATCGAACCGGGTCGTTGCAGTGTCACCCATCACCATCATTATTATGGTATTGTAGGGAGTAGAATAATAATAGTTAGTCAGTAACTAGTAGTCGCCTTCTTCTCTCTCTCTTCGAATCACCGCTCCAACTCAGCTGGTGGCGACGAAGGAACCCGGCAGGGCTGTGGTAGCTCTGCGACGAACCGTCCGGACCAGCAGGGCCAACAATGAGACGACCGAAGCGACCATCCAGCCAGTCAAACGGCTTCAGAGACAAGCAGTTGGGCAGGAATGCGTTCTCGGGCATCTACCGGCCAGAGCAGGATCAATGATGCGCCCGCTGACACCTCGACGGCATCACCGCCTGCATGCTCTGCTTCAAATTCGATCAGTATTCAGTAAGGATAACTAGCAGAGCAAAAACATGTAGTAGGTCATCCGATCGTCCTGCCTTGTCGCCTGGTTCAGCTTCAGCTTCAGCTCCAGCCTCAGCGACTGACCTGAAGTTACTGAACAGTGAACAGTCGTCCCCGCTGCGTACAGACCGGAATGGCCCCCCTCCGTCGTGATCATCCAGCAACGGCGTCTTGCACAGGACAATTCCCCAGGCGCCGGGCGGTATCCAAACCCTTCCTAGGATCCATCAGAGGACATTTTCTGGCCATCTGTCTGCCATTGCGTATCTCTATCGGTCCGGTTCGTGCATCTCGTCCGATCTGAGCGTTGGGTTTGGATCATCTCATCTGTTTACTCGGTATTATTACGCCGCAAGGCCATCGCAAGCTCGAATCCCGTCAGCACATGTGTTCCAATTGTTGGATTTCCCTCTTTCCGAACTCGCACCTCTGTTCAATCGAAGACACTTTGCTGCAGAGATCTTCTCCTATAATGACCTGAATGCGCATTGTTGGGCGCAATTCCGTTTTTGATGCTTGGTAGGAGTATACGTTTTCAACGTCGCTTTGGTGGGAGCCAACGCTCGTGATTTCCTCGTGACACAATTCAATCCCACGGCGTAGCCTCAAGAGGCCACACATCATACAGCACCTGTTGCATCACTTGGAAGGATGCGAGTCAATTTGTTGTGATGATAAGTCTGGACCTTCCAATGCTTTGTCGGGAATCGGTAATACGCTACACGGTTGCCAAATATCGCTCTCCGCCTACGACCTTGACCAGACTCCAAAGACGTCTTCCTGGAAATTCCCTGCCAGTTTTTTACACTGCTTGGGCAGCAGCATACCATTGCAAGGAGACACCACTGCTGATATATTAATCTTGCAGCTGAAGAAAAACTCCCCATGGTACCTGTGGCCATCGTCACCTTGCTGTGGGTACTTTTCGCGCACCGATATGGACTTTTTGCCAGATACTATAGAGACTTCGTCGATCACTAGACGATCCATCGCCTTCGGTCTTAGCTGGTGGCTGATGGGACCCATCTCCTAGATGGACTAATTGAAGATTAAGGCCGGTCGATTCCATGCGTGGTCTAGAATACTAACAACGCTTCACAGGGGATGGTCAACCAATGCAGCCTGCTCATGTATAAGCTTCAACCATGCACATTTGCCGCGGGGATAGAGTTTGATATCCGGAAAATCATGATTGAACCATTATTCTCCCTGCTCTCTATCTCTCCTGGATCCAAGGGTTTTGCTCTTTTGCTTTTCGAGTGATCTTTTCCTTCAGCACTAGCACGGTGTCTGTCTCATCTTCAGGAACCCGCTACTTAGCCGGATTCCCATCTCACCGACTTTCTCGACACCGCTCAATCAACCTCGGGGCTATGGTCACCGTGATTAAGACGCTTCCAACCCTTTATCGTACTAGTACCATTAATCAGACTAGACAGAACTGATGTAGCTCTGAAGCCAGGTCAGACTCTAGCTCCTAGTGGGCAGAAGGAAGGGGAAGAAAGAGATTCTCTGCCGTTATACCGAGTGGAGAAGCAAGTGACAGCTGGCGGTACCTGCAGCGACAAATCCCGCGATGCCGGGAATGTCAACATTGAATTCTCATCCATGGTTCATATCCGCGCTGTATCCAAGAGTCCTGACCACTCGAAATCAGCTTGCTCCCCCCACATTTATCATATCCAGAACCACCAGGACCATTTTCCCTCGAAAATGAGTTACCCGTATGACTCTATAGAATTTAAATTTCTCTCTTGTTCGGACAGTAATGCGCGAGCTAACTAACTACCTAACTTGTTAACTAGTTAGTTAACTGGTTACTCCATCTTATTAAGCACGCATCATTTGTCTCACATCCGTATGTGATCTCGGCCATGCCAATATTGTTGTCTTCCTAGAAGAGTGTGGTTACACTGCGTCCGATAGATGTTGGAAGTTTCTGAATACAACATGATATGTATAAATGCAACCCAGTTCTCCGCGGCACGTACGCCACATGCCTCTTTTTTTTATTACTCCTTGTTGTCGGTCGTCTATTTGCTGCTATTATTTTAATCTCATCCCCTTATTCCTTGCTGGTGACGTTGCTAGTACAGATGATCCCAACATCACGTTCACTTGTAACTTACTCCAGATTCGCATTTACCCTGGCAGAGGAACCATACGAGCTGAGGCCTTCGAGAAAACTAGCATATAAGCGTAAGAGCAACCGGGTATACAATGCGCCCCAAGCCAATATGATAAGTCCTTCTACGATTGTAATGTCTCCTACTGGTGATTCAGTTACAAATGCCTCAACCGACGATCTTGGGTGAGACATCCTCTGGGTTACGTATATTATGTACAGTACATCGGGCCAGAATGAAACTTCTGGACGCGTGAGGCTAGATAGCCCGCATACCAGCTATTCGAGGAAAAAGGGACCTGGTAGGTGCGAAGGCTACGCTCATGGCTGTTGTTACCCGTGATATTTTCTTCTCGACCTCATGGTCTTCCAGATTCCAGACATGCCTCCGTTTTGTGACGAGTAAGACTGCGGTGGAATCGGCGGAGCGGAACTGAATTATATTTAACTATCGATAAGTAAGATACTTATCGAGTATTTCACAGTGGAGATCGATAACGACCTAGAACATGATATAGATTAAGCGTAAATGAAATGACATAGAAGATACAAAAACAAATAGCACTGTAAAAATAAGACAAAAAAATTAAGCCCGAGTTAAATTGACGGGATGGATGGTAGCGGGTGCAAAAAAGAAAATTTGAAGTTGCTTTGCATCATCCGTGAATCGAACACGGGCCTCGTCGATGGCAACGACGAATTCTACCACTAGACCAATGATGCTTGCTTGCTATACGTTTACAGGAAGGGTTCTATATTGCAAACAACGCTACATTAGTATGCGAAATCAATGGAAACAACGTAGTAACCATGTAGTAGTATACACCAAGCACAACAAAGCTGTAAAAGCATATCATTCTCCTCATGCAAATACATATAGCATCAATTGAGATCTGAAACTCATGTGGAGCGTCACAAGAAAAGAGATAATCTCCTCAACGAACAAAGTGGAAAGTAGCGTATCCAAAACAATACCCGGCACATGTTAGATCACCGTCAATCTTCCCATTCCTCATCTAGTTGATCAATCAATCTATTTTCGGCATCCACGTCCGCTCGGTGTCCGCGCCCTTCACCCCCACCGCGTCCGCCGATCGCACCGATAATCCCTCCGCGCTGGGCCGATGCGTCGGTTCCATTGACGCGAGAGTATCTGTCGCTCTGAGAGCGCTTGAGACGGAAGAACCTAGTTATAGACGAGAAAACGATAATGATTATATCCTGTTTATTCCGAGCGGAGCAAGGAAGGCGAGCATGGGTTAGCCGATCGGTAAAACAGTATGGGAGATATAGCCATAGCGTGAGGATTGTCTCATGACGCAGTGGAAGAGCGTAAGAAGCACGGCGTTAAAAGTGAATTGGGAGCATGCCTATATTGAGAAAGTTGCAGGATCTCAATTGCTAGTAATAGCGGCGAAAGTGGTTCGAAAAGACCAACATTAAAGCCAGTTCGATGCTTCCTCACAAAAAGAAAAGAAAAAAAAAGGACTGTCGGTATATGGAAAGCAAGAGGTACTAAATCAAGATTCTAGCAATATGCAGTGTGAAGTAAATTATGCAAGGCTGTAGAAGCAGTAAAAAAAAAAGGCCGAGTTTATAATGATGCTGGAATCAATCAAGACGAGAGACAGGCAAGGAAGGGCTATTAAGGTTCTTGAATCGGCCTTTTCTGCTGCGCTTATGTCGGAATAGAGACGTCGCAAACAGTATCAACGATCGGATACTTACACTGACAAAGCCAAACATGCCCGCCCAGAGGCTGTAGTTAGGACACTGTCTCCAGCCGCGCTGGTGCATCACTGTCCGTTGGTAGGCGCAACCGCCAACCAGGTAGGCTGCAATCGCAATCAAGACACTATTGGATGATGTCGTTAGCTACCTACAAGCTTTATAACCGAACGACCAGGAAATCTACTCACATCACACCGAAGACACCGGCCGGACCCAGGCCCCCATTCGGAGCATAGGCTACACCGCCGCATGCAGCAGGACTCCGGACTTCGAAGAAATATGTGCAATGATCCATTGTTCCCACGAATGATACTGCAGCTCGGGGAGCCATAGGTTCACGGTCACAGAGGAAAGACATAATTGTCGACTTTCTCCGGACATCTTGATCATAGCTCTGGATGGTATTATAGTCGGGTCCCTTATCGCCATCAAGGATATTTCGTGAATCGAATTCCGAGCTCGAAGGACAAGGAGAACCATCCGTATAGTTCAAGATGAGCTTTCTTCCTCGGAATATGGGCTCAGAGGCTTGTTGTCTATAGTTTGTCAGTAGATCATCCCAGCAGCCAGCCAGAGCATAGTCAAGTCGGTTGAATTGCAAGAAGTTGTCTTGCTGATGTTAAGCACCACAGTGCCTTATCTTGCGTACCCTATTGAGTATATCTTGCCATTCTGCTCATAATAGGCGCTGACGTTCCGCCATCTCGATTTGTCGACGCCAACAACATCACTTATATTCTCGATAACTGGAGCGCAGATATTGATCGTGAAATTCGCGGGATAATCGTGACCTTTAGCGAGCCAGCTTTCATCGCGATCGTCCTTGTGCAGCTTGCGGCCGTCCTTCTTCTCGGGCGGGGAAAGGGATATCGCATTCAGATCGAAGTACATCCCACTGGTAGGAGATTGGACCGTACATGGTTTCGACAGTTTATCGTTTTTTGACGTATCAGAGCCAGCTCTGACTAAAGGAGAGGATGCTAGGAGGAGGAATTGGAAGATCGCAACGAGTGAGCTAGATGGCAGCATCATGGCTGCGACGGATTGCGTCGGGACAAGCGTAGTGTAGATAGCAGAAAGAACGACTTGTGAGTAACAGAATAGAAAGGAAATCTGAGCAAGCGAAAGGACAATTCCAGGCACAAACCTCTGAGCTCCAAGGGTGCGCGAAAGACAAGAAAGAAGCTGGATGTGATAGTCGTCGCAATGTGGCGCCGTGTCAGCCTCAGGCAAATGCGGAGATAGGCTCCAGCCCCCGAGCCCAGAACCAAAACGGATAATGTCTGAACGGCCGCGATGATCTGTTTTTACCAGTCTCGACCTGTGCTGATGGTCCCACGATAGCTGGGAGAAATCAGACCATCTGGGCGCCCTGTGTCCGAAACCTTATTTCTGTCTAGCTTCATTTTATTCTTTTCTTCCCAGGAGTTGACTGCAACAACGTATAAATTGTGGTTGATTTGCAACTCCCGCTATTCGTTTGCGCTTTAAGGGGAAGACAATTGCCATTGGGCAAAGCTCACATAGTCAACACAGACCTGGGAGGCATCTTGCGACAGACTTATTAGCAAGATGGCGCCAAAGAAAGAAGCCAAATTGGGAGTTCCCATACAGCCTGTTCCAGAGAAGCGCGGATATGAGTTTGGAGGACCGTATGTGATGCGAGCCATTGTTGCCTGGTACTTGATTGCTGACATTGTATTCGCAGACTTGGTGCCGCGGGAATTGTCTTCGGCCTGCCCGTCTTGATATACGGCTTTACTTTCCTCTGCAACGACGTTTCTGGCTGTCCAGTTCCATCGCTCCTACACCCCTCCACATTGACCGTCGAGAAGCTGAAAGCCGAGGTTGGATGGCCAGATGAGGGACTCAAAGCTTTCTATGACACCAATGTCACACTTTGGGTTCTGGCGTACTATGGCCTGAGTCTCTTTCTGCAGATCTTCCTGCCTGGTCAGGAAGTCGAGGGCGTGGTTCTGGCCTGCGGGGGCAAGCATAGATACAAGTTTAACGGTATTCTTCTTTTTCATGTTACTATGCGGGGCATAAAAGCTAATAATATACAGCTTTCCCCTCCGCCGTCATTATTCTTTCCGGCTGCGCGGCGGGAACCTACCTGTACGGCGCCGACTTTGTTGTTTGGACTTTCTTATGGGACAACTACGTCCAAGTGATCACTGCGAACCTGATTATCAGCACTGTTGTCTCAATCTACGTCTACATAAGAAGCTTCTCGGTTCCCGCTCCAGGTCAGCCAAATCCCGAATTCCGGGAGCTAGCACCTGGAGGCCATACAGGCAATGTTCTCTACGACTTCTTTATCGGCAGAGAGCTCAATCCTCGTGTGAAGCTGCCGATTCCTTTCGTTAGCGACACTTCGCGAACCATCGATTTGGGCGTCTTCTTTGAGATGAGGCCGGGCCTGTTGGGTTGGCTCATACTCAACCTCTCTAACGTGGCCCATCAATATAAGACATACGGCTATATCTCTGATTCTATCATCCTCGTTACTATTTTCCAGGGTTTCTACGTCCTGGACGCTCTTTACATGGAACCAGCGATTTTGACCACCATGGACGTCATTATGGATGGCTTCGGGTATATGCTTGCTTTTGGTGACGTTGTCTGGGTCCCATTCATCTACTCTTTCCAGACAAGATATCTTTCTGTGTTCCCCTACGAGCTTGGTATCTATGGAATCGCAATTGTTCTGGGTTGCACTGGTGTCGGATACTTCATTTTCCGCGGAGCCAACAGCCAGAAGAACCGCTTCCGTCAAAACCCCGACGATCCTAGGGTCAAGCATCTGACATATATGGAGACTGCGACCGGTTCTAAGCTGATCACATCGGGTTGGTGGGGCTGCGCGCGTCACATCAACTACTTCGGAGACTGGATCATGTCTTGGGGTCAGTGCCTCCCCACGGGAATTGCAGGCTATATCATCATCCAGTCGATCGACCCCAGTACCGGCGAATTACAGAAGCAGGCGGTGCAGACCCCTGAGGTTCGTGGCTGGGGTATGATTTTCACCTATTTCTACCTTGTTTACTTTGGCACCCTCCTCATACACCGTGAGGGGCGCGACGAGGAAAAGTGCAAGAAGAAGTACGGCGCCGACTGGGACAAATATACGTCCTTGGTGCGCAGCCGGATCATCCCCGGGATCTACTAAAATGCCTTATTTCAACTGCCTTCAGAGCACCGCTTGATGGTTTCTACATGGACAAAAAAGTATGGGGTCATCGTGTTTGTGATGTACACTTGGTATTGCTGGCGGGTTTTAGGCACCTGCCGTCAGGGGTATAACTATGTAATGTAGCCCATCGCGGATATCATGTAAAATACAGCTAATAATATATACTTCAAATCAGTGTAAATCATACCTTGAGCCTATCAATGGAATCCACCGAAGTATCCACCCGACCAGGGCGTTTAGATAGCTTTGGTTTTCCCGTATCAGCCAAGCTCTCTAACGACCATTGTTCATCCCCTCTGTTGGGAATCCAATCTTTCAGCACACGCTTCGCCTCCTGTAGTGCTGTTTCCCGTAGCTTTATCCAGTCCGGACATATATCAGGATCTCTTTTGAAACATTCATAAGTTCTGGCTTCCACGATCCTCTGCTGAGCTGAGTCGTGGATGAGAGCGTCAATGGTTTGCCCTGTACCCTTGTCCAAGCCACTCGACTCAGGCATCGCATCGCCGTTCAATGATGCCGGCCGTACAATATCCCGAAGAAGCAACCACATCTTGGCTCGTGAAAGGGCAGAAGCTCCACGCATCGTAGGCGTCGACGCCTTGTTTCCCTGCTTCACCCCATTGATGATCGTTTCGTGTAGACCGGCGGCATTGGACGCTGTTGACGATGATGATGTCTTACTGCGCTTAGGAGCAGGCTCTGTTCGAATCTCCGCCACAGAGGACGGAGCAGCCGTCCAGATAGCTGAAGTATTGCTGATTTTATTTTTCTTGCGGCTCTTAGTAGAGACTTTGGTGCTCTCCATAGCTACTTCTGGAATTGGGGCTTCTTTGGGCTTAGCAAAAGGCCAGAGGGCTTCAACTTCAGCCGTTGGAACGGAAAGGATATCGAATGGTCGAAACCTGTATCCGTTATCGGTTCCCTCCGTGCCCCATTGTCGTCCTTTTAGCATTCGCATCCGCCCGGTCTCTCCATCGCCGAAGGCTCGAGCGCATGCGACATTGCTGATTTCCTCTTCGGGTAATATTAGGGCAGTGATATATGCAGCTTCTGTTGGAGCAACCAACAGACTGGTGGGGTATGATAGTAATGATGATACCTGCCGCAGGGCAAGTTTATCAGAGCACGATTTGCTCAGTGTAGACTCGGCATCGGCGCGAGAAGGTTTTCGACGAACTACGCCTAGGTTAGAGAAATAACCACGCCCATCGAGTAGGGTTGGCGTAGTCGACGGTTCGTCCGCTTTGGGCTCCGTCTTGGGCGGCAATTGCCACGGAGTAGGATCGTCTTGGGCCGCCATGCAGAGCTCCATGCTCGCGTCACCGCAGGGAGCGCAGGTGCAGTACACGTACAGCTTGACGTCGGGTTGTATTTCGAATGGTGGCCATAGTTGAGAATCTCGCGCATGATTGGAATCATGGCCGATCCTTCTTCGAAGGTATGGAGAGCCAATAGAGGAATCATTGCCAGCGGAGGATACTTGAAGTTCTCGCTCGGAATTCAGGACTGATTGACACTCGCTGAGAAGCCAGTGATTGAACGCTCGAATGGCTAGGATCTCTGCGTGGCAGTCATGGAGCACAAGGCCTCGACATCGAGGGATCTGAGAAGCCGATAGACATTTTGCCCCAGTTCTATGTTAGTGTTAGCACATATATCAGCATATCTTGAAATGACTTCGGTGGACTTACGCAAGGCTCACACATTTTAGTGTCTCTGAAGCTGTATTTTGCCCTTTCATAGTAACAAAATGTGCATGTTAGCACCTAGCAGATATAGAAATAGACATGAAAAAAAAAGCACAGGAAGCGTTCATGCAAAATAATACACATATATCACACTCCTAGAAAACTCCAAGATGGGTTATCTTGGTCTCGAGAGTTCCTATGAGACTCAAAACCTACCACGGCGTTGTAGAAAAGACCAAACAATATAAAAACCCGACTTAGGAAAGAAAACATACAACGACATAGACATAACATAACATACCTTTACTGACAACAATGGCGCTCATAGGAACCCATTCTCTCGACCCATCCGGGTGAATCGTGGGCTTGCTCCTCGCGGGCAAGGCATCGAAGTGTGCATGGACCAGAGAAGCTATGCGGGAGGGCAAAGACGAACTAGACGTTTCCATGTGATAACGATAATAGCAGTTTCTTGAGCCTTTCGGTATTTTATTTATTTATTTATTCTTCCAAAAAAAGAGCAAACAGACCAAGATCCCCGGATAATTGTCAATATAGATCAGAACTAGAAAATCAAATAGGTTGGAGTCGATCTGATACTTCCAAAGACACGCACGGACCAACATAAGAAGACATCGACTTACACTCACGTGATACAGACTATCTCCCCCGGGTTTAACCGCCTCTCTTTCAGAACACCACCATACATCCATCCATCCATCCATCCATCCATCAATCTCGCATCGCAGATAAAAGACAAAAAACAAACCGGAGCAAAAATGGCCGATAAACTACGTACCCTCCAGAACCTCGAGGCGCTTCAGGCCCGCTACGTCGGTACAGGCCACGCCGACACGACCAAGTACGAATGGACATCCAACATCCTTCGCGACAGCTACGCCTCGTATGTCGGTCACCCGCCGCTGTTGTCATATATGGCTATTGGGATGGGTGAACCCAAGGAGAAAGTTCGGGCGATGATGATTGAGAAAATGGTTCGAGGAGCTGGGAATCCACCGGAGGTGAGTTGAGTCTGTTGTGTTTTCTTTTGCAAACGCTTTTCCTCTGGGAAAGTCTTTTTTTTTTCTTTCCCTCTATGGAGAAGTGCCTTTTTTTTTCTACCATGAGGGACTTTGTTTGCTGACACTAGTTTTCTTCGTCCTTGTAGCAACAGGAATAATGAATCGGTGATGATTTCATGTTTTATCGGTATATCTCGAATTTTTACCGGGAAAGGGAATTGTCTCGCTGCTAGGAACGAACATAGCGTTGTGTTCATCGGAAGGCCCCAACTTGGAATGTCGCTGTGCTTGTATAGCGACCGATGGAGGTCCAAGTCCTTGAGAATATACCAACGGAAATGGAGCTTCGACTTAGACTCCGCCGTTGGAGATGGATGAGGATCCGACGGGGACGGAAGACGCTTCTTGTCTAGCTACGTTCTATAAGGAATACAGCGAGAAGGCAGTGAAGCGCGAGTGGATGAACGTGTACTGCGAAATTCATGATTTCATAGCGTTGTTACACTCTCCCAGCCATTCCTACTCGCAAATCAAGACGCCCCAAGATACCTTACGGTTCGGGGCACACTGCGGGACTACGCCTGGGGAGGTGCATGTCGGGACGATGGAATTATCTTACGTGGTGATAGCCAGATTTATAGCTCATGGTCCATGAATCGAAAGAGAAACTATATCTGGATAAAGAACAATATTGCATGGCTAGCCCTACTCCGTAAACGATTTTTTAAATCCGGAAATATAAAAGTCCTGCTCAAACACATGCCCTTTTCAATACCTGATAGCCTGCACATGGGAATGTAAATCTTGTCTGATATATCCAGAGGGAATATAATACAAGAGGGGAATAATAATGCGTGCATGTATCATACCCGTTTATCCTGCGCGTCGGAATAGATAGAACCCATAATCCTAAATAATGAAAATGAAAATGATCTGTCGAATATCAATACTGTTGAATGCAAGACATGAGGAATCTGTAGTATAGTCCTGAAGAAAAAATAACTAAATAAGAAAGCCCTGTAATATCCGTCGATAGATAGTGATCATAAATCGTGAATAATCAATGCAATGCAATGAAAGGTTCTGGTAGTAGACAGTTTACTACTCAGTTCCGTAGCCTGTCTTGCGCGAATATCTCTTGTCCTGCTCGGCTGCAAGCCTCGAATTCTCCATTTGAAGTCTTCCAATAAGTTCTATCCATTTCTGCCTTTCGCTTCGGAGGTCGCCCACTTCCTTCTTCAGCTTTCGTACTTCGTGTCGCAGGTCTTCGACCTCCGAGTGGCCTTGAGCCTTCCGCTTGTGGGCCTCGACTTTCTCTGCGACTTTGACTTCCTGCGATTCGATTTTGCGCAGCTGTTTGAGGACTTTCGCTTCTTCACGGGCTAGCACAGAAGCTCTCTTATGAGCCTCTAGCGTCTCTGGGCTGGGTTTGATTCCAATGGATGCCGTGCTGGCCTCGTCGGCATGGACCCGACTGCTGATGTTCGACTGTCCATTTGTGTTGCCCTCGTCGTCTTTGCCTTTGGAAGGTAGACCAAGGGTGGCAATTTCGGAGCGTATCTCTGCTAGCCTGCCTTCAAGCTCCTGCTTGCGGGAGTCCAGCTTGGCAAGCTTCTTCTCTCGAGACGTAAGCTTTCTCTTCGTGCTGGTTATGGACAGGGTATCGCTGAGTTTGTCCCCGCCGGTGGGCGTGGCAGGGATAGCATTGGCGGATGATTGCTCAGAAGGAGGGGCTTTGGCTGCCGGGCTTTCATCAACGGTAGAGTCTGCACAGTGAGATTCAGCGCTAGCGAAGGTATCGTCGCTAGCTATAGAAGAGTCGTCTCTATTTTCTTCTCTATTTTCTTCTCTATTTTCTTCTCTACCTTCTTCTCTACCTTCTTCAGGCGTCGTGTCATCCCGGGCAGTACTCTGAGAGGGTTGAGAGGAGTGACCCGGGATGTAGTTGAAAACGGCCCGCGGTGCGTACATTTCCAATCCCGAATTGATCATATTGCCAACACTTGCCATGAGGCCGCCTTGCTGATTGTTGCCTGAGTCCCCTTCTCCATTGGCACCCCCGTAGGACTGAGCGTTGGTGGTGCTTGTCGGCTCCTTGTCTTCGGCGTCAATCCCGGTAGCTGATGACGGCTGGGCATTGCTCGAGAAACCTCTCCGATCTTCTTGAGCTGAACCTTGACCTGGTTCCCGTGAAATATGATCGTCCTTGCAGAGCCAGTTGACGAACTTGGCGGCATCCGCGACAATACTCTTTGGGGTGTTCTTTTCGACCATCCATCGAGGTACGTTCCCGCCAGGATCGCTCCTGGTAACCATGATCCACTCAACCGTGTTGGAATACACTTCCCCGTCTTCCCAATCAGAACCTCCTTTCGTGCTGGAGCCCGTAGAGGTAGATTTCCGTGCATCTTTCACAGCGGACTCCGTTTTACCTCGTTTACTGCCAGTTTCTTGTGTGAGATCGTCAGGGACATCACGGCTTGTGACATCGAGTTCACTCTTGTTCTTAGAGCGGAGCGGTATGTTTTGCGTCGGATGTGCAGAAGGACTCGACGGAGGGGAGCTCGTTTTCGAACGAACCTCTCTGATCAGCTCGACAGATTCGTATTGACCTCTGACGTAGCCATCTCGCGGGGGAAAACCGGGGTGATCGCACGGTTTCGATATGACCATGAAGCTGCGCGGTGGACGCTCAGATCCGGCTACCTCTAGCCCATTCTCCGTTGTAATAATCAAAATAACAAAGTCACGAGCTGTTGTTGGACCGGGAAACTGGGCAGATAAGCAATACACCTGAAGGCGGCCTAGCAAGGTCCCATTGTCTGCATCCTTCACTTCCATATACTCCATTCTTTTGTCCCCACCGATACCCCGTATACTGAAATGAGGCGCCTGTCCCTTCTCCCGCTCCTCTTGTCGTATCCGCAACGTCTCTTCAATCTCGTGCTGCATCTTCGCCTCCCACCTGGAGAACGGCAGACCTTCATGGACACTGCGCCGAGCAAACCAGGCTCCTTTCCCATCTTTGCCATTCAGCTTGTATACCCCAATATCCAACGGATTATCCTTTGGATTATTCACTCTGATGGGCTTTCCCCACTCTTTCTGCAACGATAGGAACTGCGGATCACTGGTCCCGCTGCGGGCCGCAGAGTTCGAAATCCTGGCTGAAGAGGAACCCAGCGACGAGCTGGAGCTCGCATTGCTGTTATTCGAAGGTGCAGGAGGAGGCTCCGGAACGGACTCGATAATCAATCGAGAACTCTTGAAGAGCTCTTGCATATACTGTCGGAGGGAGTTCTCTGAGTGTGGGACATCTTCCCAAGACGTAGGTGCCAGGGCTTGGAGCGCTTGGTGAAGGGCTGCCATTTGTGACCGGTCTTCCTCCTTCTCGGTCTTCTCTTATTAGGAAATTATGTTGCCCGCCCCCCCTCTTTTTCTCTCCACGACAATGGCGTCTCTGTCGCAAGATGTTGTTGATGAGAAATATGGTAAGCAAAAAGAGAAGACTTGGCTGGCTTAATAACTGGCCGGAGTCATACGGGTTCGCAACCGAAGCCACAGGCAATCAGCGAACAACGACAGAAAAAGGTATAGTAGATAAATAAGAGTACGACAGTAAATTAAGAATTAGCTGAGAATATTTCCAACTGATTTCTGGAAATAAAACCCGCTCATAGATGGATGGTGATACAGGTTCGGATTGACTGATGCACGAACAATGACTTTGGTCGCAATTGGCACACGGTAGAGGTATATGTACCGGCAAAAACCGACAGGAAGGGGATCCAGGAACCCTAAACCGGAGGGTAACCCAGGATGTGAAGGAATATGATGCAGCTAAGAACTACGAATACATCAGAGGAGAAGAGAAAAGCCAGTGCCAGCCATGCCTGGATCGTCCATGACTTGCCCGAATACTTTTCTCTCATCTTGTTTCCCTCTTGGCGTGTCGACGTCATCCATCCTCCCGCTCTCGGATGCGCCAACTCCCCAGCCAGCCGAAAGTACCGGCGCAACCAGCAGCATTCTGACGAAATATTCAAGTCTATCCGGTTTATTATAAACTAAGTTACTCTCAATTTGGTTTGTCATTTTTCCAAATTAGAAAATATCAGACTACATACAGCAGCTGAACAAAAAGAAGAAAAGCATAAGGGACGCGTACGTAGACGACTAGAAGCCCAGCTTCAAACCCATCGCACAAACTGAAACGGAAAAACCAGCATCTGATTCTCGTTCTTTCAACCCTGCCCACGCAATGGATGGGCTGAAGAACGAGCTTCCCCAGGGGTAAACAGAAGCCAGCCCAGGGAATAGGTGATGAACCTAAAGAGTCGCGCGCCAAGCAGATGAGGAGAGGCAGGCTGTTCAGTTGTCGATTCGTCTGCCTCACTCGAAGGAGGAATTGTAGAGATAGATCGCGGATCTAGATATCCTCCACTCCACTCCTTGCCTCGATACTATTCCGCCACAGGCAGAGATCGAGCCGGAGGAAACGTACAACAAACTGTTCAACTCTGCATCCTCAACAAGGCCGCGACAGATGGCACCACGTCGACTACATTCCCGATGTAGCACGACGGAGCCACTGCTGTCGCATGTCGACATCTCACCCATCAATAGTTGATTGCCAGTCCAGCACGCAGTACCGGAAGTGAGAGCCAGTTCGAAAGGGGGTAAGGAGGGAGAGTGTCTCTGCAGCCACCGGTCGTTCTAGCCGGCCGGCTGCCTCAGAGGGTCTCCCTCCTGGTCAAACCTAGCGAACAGCGACAGCAGAAAGTAGAAGAATAAACGTCCCAGCACTCTGCACCCATATCATATCCGAGCCGCGAGGCATACCAAGTCTTGATGACATAAAATGTGGGAGTTAATAGGAAAATATCCGCCAAGGGACTTCAGTTCAAATCAGATAGCCGACCCGCCGGTTCTTGATGCAAAAAAACAAAAACAAAAAACGATGACACAAAAAGCAACGCTTGCTGAACAAACAAAAAATGAGAAATAAGCCAGATAGCCAAACGTCCGAGTAGACTGAGGATTATGTTATGTAGATGGATGAGAGCAAAGACGAGATGGAGTATCACGGTTTCGCTGAATCGATCAATGATAACGCCGTCAATAATGCCGTGTGTGCTGATGCCTGCATGCGTGTCGCCTGTGTCGTAGTGGAGAGCAATCTGTTCTACAGGGCCAGGTAGTGCCGTTAAGGTGGTCGCTCTCATCTGAAGAGAGTGCCCTCTCAGGAATGATCGAGAGGTAGATCACATGGTTGTCCCATAGGGTAGAGCGAAGTCTTGATAGCGGTCTGTCCAACCGAAGCCAGCCATACCTGCTGCGGTACTGCACGGCTGCACGAGCATGCTCGGCAGGGGAAGAGCGGTAAGAGCAGCAGTAGTGGGTGCGCAATAATACTCCGAAGTAGAGTAAGGAGAAGTCGTATATGGTTGACTGTAGGAAGGGGCAGGCGATGGTAACTGCATGTCGCTCATCGACAGACCGGACCACATGTTAGGGTTCGAATCACCACTGGACGCCGGGCTCGGGCTGGACGGGATCACTTTCCAGGGCTCAATGGGGGCTGGCTGTTCCATTTGGCTATGCCACCATGCATCGGGGAGAGTCGAGCTGGGCAAGAGAGGAACGGGACGAAGGAAATCCACCACCCTTGGAGGGGGAGGCAGCAACGGGACAAAGAGGCTCGCAATAGCCGCCTTGGCCTCCTCACCTCGACCGCAAAGCAGCTCACCAGCGCCATCCTCCTCCAGCCCTTCGAGCGCCTGTACGTTAGTGCGGTAGACGAACTTGTTGGCAGCCTGGACGAATTCTTCTTGTAGCTTCTTCAGTTGAGCGTCCTTCTCCGACCAATTCCAGGTGCTGGCCGCGGTGTCGACCGAGTAAACATCCTTGTGGAACTCGACCAAGGCTTCGATAGTCTCCGGGGTCAACTTGAAGGCCACTTCGTTCTGCGAGACCATGTCAACATGTACGACGTATGCTTCTATGTGGACCATCTGGTAATTGAACAGGGCCTCCACGAGAGGGTTGTCATCCTTCCGGAGCTCAGCATCGGGGGCCTTGGGAAACATGATGGAACATAGGGTCCAGATCGCGTTAGGTGACGATAGGGTCTCCGTCAAACATCTGGTATGCTGGTTGACGTTGTTGAGAGGTCGCTTAACTCGATTCACTCTCTTCAGCGTCGCCGTGAGCCACGGTTCCACCTTGTTCAACACCACATTTGGGGACGACCGCGGCGCAAAAGCAGCAGCCGATGCAGGTAGCAAGACTGTTGGCATTCTGACCGCGCGCAAAGAACGTTGTTCAGTGCGCACGACTCAAGGGTATGGTATGGTATCTGATCGTTCGTAATGAGTATATAGTGGAAAAGGTCGTGAAGAAAAAATAATTCATAAAGGCGACATTCGCCCACACGAGTTGATTGACGTCCAGAAGTCCTTTCTTTTTAGTCCAGGGTATTTGCTCCTTGTATATACTTGAAAGATATGGTCCAGCGCCGGTTGTAGACGGAAGTGGTATAGAACGGTAGAGCCAGTCGGGTGTTCCGTCTTACTAGGCGAAAAAGGGAATGGAGAGACTATTATATTGGGACGAGGAGACGGGCGAAGCTAGGCTGTGGTGTGGGCGAACGCGCGGAAAATAGAAAGAAAAAATAAAGGAGAGAAAGCGAAAAGAGGAGGGTAGGATGGTGGGCGAGAGTGACCAGAAGAGGCAACAGGGAGGTTGGCGGGGAAAGGCTGGTTAGTTATATCAACGGCACCTTCGGGGATCCCGTACACTGAGCCCATCGGGGGCGAGCGCACTGCCCATATGGAGAAGCGGGCCTTTAGAGTACTCGATCTGTTTTTTTTTTTCTTTCTTTTTTTTTTTCTTCTTCTTCCGCCTGCACTTCCATTGTGCCCTTGTTTCTCTCTTCCCGGTCGGCTACGGATTGGCTGCAGATGGTCGCATGCAAGAGGGTGGTGGATGGCGACGCCGATGACTGTACGCCGGCATACTTACGGTGTACCGATCATACGGTACCAGTACGGATCATCGTTACTACTACTGTAGGAAAAAAAAAAAATAATCTCGCCATCCGCCTCTGCTCAGTCAGAAAAGAAATAATGGACAACGCTTTTTTGCCCCGTTGGCGCCCCGGATGACAAGCCCAGCTGTCTCCTGAAGAATCCTATCTACACTCTAGACCCTGTCCGGAGCGCGAAATGCATCTCCCAGAAACTCTATAACGATGGGCGCGTATGAACGCATGCCGACTCGTAGAAACGCTGAGGTTGAAACAGGGCGATGGGTCATCCCACAGTCTGCTTGGCCTGTAAAACTCGTTGGGTAGGACATGTTGGCTGAGGCCCGCTACCGGGCGGCGGTACTGGAGTAATAATGATACATAAGTATGCTCCTGAATAGGTAATGCTATTAGAATCTTTATTTCGCGCCGTATTGTTTGATGCTTAATTATACGCAGTGCGCCAGAACCGTACCTAAATGATACACGCCCAGGGTCTCATCGAGCCCTTGTTCGCTCTCAGTTATGGTAGTGACTACGGCCTGGCGTTGCAACCAAGAAGAAAGAATAATTAGTTATTACTCCAAGAACTTAAGAGTAACTTACAGAGACCCAGATCCCCAGCGCTGCAGAAACAGGGCCTAGTGAGCTAAGCCCCAAGATCCACCCGCTACGGGGCATCCATACACATCCAAGGTTGTTTCTGTACCGTGCTTAAACCGAATACCTTCTACTACTCTCTATACCATGCGCCCTTGCTCTGCATCTTTAACACAAACCGGTTGTGGATCAAGATGCCTACCTACCATACTTCAAAGAACCACTTGTGGTTGTGGACAGCCCTCGCATCGTCTTCATGCATAGTTTCTATCACTAGCGCCACACGGATGCGTTTCGAGCGTATAGATGCGATGGTAACGCTATCGTGCAAAAGAGAATATAGACCGTCTTCAAGATTCTGACATAAGAAAGCGGATAAGCGAGAAATACACAGAGATACTGTCTATGCATCCGGTTCGACGCGCCGCTGTGGAGGTTGATCGGATTACTGTGTTGCCGATGGTGGCTCGATTCGGAAAAAGAACGAGAATAAGATCGTCTGCGGATAGTAGTAGTAGTGGTAGTCGCAGTAGATACTAGATAGTACACTACTACTCTTGTCCAGACTGAAAGACCTAGACTTTGCCATGGATAAGGTCCCTCCAGTTGAAGGTTAAAGAAGGGCGCTTTGCGCGATTGCCTGTCCGGGAAAAGTTCGCAGTGGTAAGACATCATTTCTGAGTCCTGACCAGAAAAAAAGGGTCCAGATAGGATCGATGAGATGTGATCCATGGGTTGTGTTCCGCTTTGCCGCCCATCCGTACCGGACAGACATGGCGGAAGCAGCACTACGGTCTTCCCCGAACCTTGCTAATCTCTTACCGCTCGCAGTGCTCAACAATTGGTATAACTACCTAGTGGTTATTGCTACTCTAGGTCCAGCACGCCCACGGACGCGGAGCTAAGGCCACAATGGATCGCACTGGCCATGGCAACCTTCAAATTCTGAACGATGAGAGCTTTGACCATATTTCACGAAGCACTGTCTCTCGCAGCCGTCTTACTGTATCCTGACCGGCTTGCCGTCCATTTGATGCCATCCATGATCTTCGATTTCAACCATGGAAATCTGTTGAACGCTGCGTGGTTACCACCACATAATGCTGAGGGACAGCATAGCCTACGCTCGGTTCGAAACGCCTTCAGCGACAATTCTATGGTACACTAATATGTCCAGTGGAGACGGACCAGTTGCGCAGCAATGGTCAACAATATTAACAACTATATTGCTGGAGCAAGCCAGAACCATTATTTGCTTTGTCGAACTCTGTTCGCCTTGACAATGATCCCACGGTTAGCATCGTGCGCGACCTATCGAGTCCCTGTCGAGGGCCTCAGCTGATGAGGGTCGAGCATCGTGGGGCACCTTGTGGTCTTGGAGCACTTCTGAAATCGGATTCGTGGAGGAGAAAACAGTCCGGCATTTGTACTTCAGCAGATATCCCTGCTATGATCACCGATTGGGCTGCCCCTCGGCGACGGTCATCTCCAGAGTTTCTGGAACAAAGCGCCACCACTTCCGGCGCTTGTAATAATACGGTCGTTGGAGAGCGCAGAGATACTACTTCCACATGAAGTCGTTATGGACGGACGTTCCGATCTTGGCAGCCTTTCATTATTATTATTATTACACAGACCCGAAACTCGTCGTCAGCTGTGCGGAGTGCAGTATGTACCGTCTTGTCGGGCTCTTTCAGCACTCCATACTTACAAGTGATCGACCTTGATCGATCTTACTACTATCTCTTTCTCGCACCAACGTAACCCATTTTAGACAACATCATTTCCTCCCATCGTCATTGTCAAGCTGATCTTGGGCACCACTGGAATGCCAGTCAGGTCTATGTGGGCATCTTCGGGTAGCAGGAAACAGGTCACATGGATGATGGATCCAGATGAAGACGGGACCGTCGCAGCAAGCGCCGGTACGGAGATCAGTCCTATCCTATCCATGATGGATATTGCTCCCACGGGGCGCAATATCATCATTTTTGTCGCGGCTGGAAGGAAAAAAAATAATGATCATTGTTCGTCGCTGCCGGCTACGGTCGGAATCACCGTGTATGATCGACAGGAAGACTCTTGGATAGGTTCATGGAACGTTGCATCGTCGGCTTCCGAAGAGAAGACCATGCTTGAACTTCCGGGGTCGCTGTCAGAATCATAGGGAGATCCTGTGATACCCCCTGTTTCTGTTGTAGCCCCTGGATGGAATTATGAATTGAGTATACAGACTGTCATGTATGCAGAGTTCTGATAAGATAGTTAGGTAAGGTAAGATTGGACTGTATTGAGACGTGTATACGGAGTAGAGTACCATAACTTGAACTGTATTAGGTATATTAACTAGTACCATACCACACTCAACTTGATATTCTTATGCCCAAACGAGCTGAGAACGTCGATTATGCAAGTACTGCGCCACGAACGTGCGCCACGTTGCCACACAACCAGATCGTGATAAGTTACTCAAGTTCATATATTAGCATATTATGTTAATGCCTGGTAAGTTTCTAAGAATAATGCTAACAAAAAAATCCTTTCTTGTTAGCATCTGAGCATGGTGGCGGTGCCGCACAACGGGATCTATCTCTATGCAGAATGATGTCGATTCAGCTGCACTGTCCGCCGATCTCGAAGAGCGTAAGAATCATACGGGACTGTACGAGGACGAATCTGTCGATCGGATATGCAGCAATGTTCAAAACCGGTATTGTCCTCTGTCTAGGCCCCCGGTCTTTCGAGCAAGTCGTGCCGCATCTCCCACCACCCGCTGGAGAGACGCGACGAGTGAGTCAGAGCGCGGCTGCGATAAGTCGCTTGCGGATCTTGAACGCCATCCAACGCTCTCGCAGGCGCAGGAAGAGAAACACTGGCGTCTGTAGCGGGATTAAACGAGCGGGTTATCTCTGAGTCATACAGTAAATTCTCGGTTAACTAACTAACCAGATCAGATAGTTAGATCATGGATGGAATCGGGAGTTAGGAGCGTTATGCACATTGCCCTGCGTGTGTCTGTTTCAGATGAAACGCTTCCCGGCTTTCCCACTGGTGTGAACTATAGGTATTCACTTGACAGGTGGATATGACGAGATCATATGTCGCTACTGGTAAAAGAGGAAAATAAAAAGTACTGCGCGATGCGTATGAGAGAAGCACGTTCCCTGTGATCAACTGCCATCCCATCCATGTTGCCCCAACCGAGTATTATCATTACGCCGCCGTTGTCGGACCCTGTTGAGAACCACGGATTTGACCCATTCTCCGCTCCTCTAATACCCCAACTGTCTGTGTTGATAGCGACTTCTGGCTTATGGTTCGCCTTTCCTGCGGAGGAACCAGCGGTTGCTCCCGAGACCGTTGACAGCAACAATGACCAATCCTTGACCGGAAGAGACTTCTCGCCATCTCAAGGTGAGATGTCAAAAGAATAGGCTCGTGTTCCAGATATCCGTCCAGTCAAGATCCAGATCGCTTCTTTATTTCTTTATTCGTTCTATCCTCTTCTACCCCCACCAATAACAACGAGATAATCGTCCTCGCTTCCAGATAGTCTCACTCGATTTCCCCTTGCCCCAAGTATGGTCCACCAACAATATATCACAAGGCTCATCCTATATTATACGCGCGTCGCAGACATCCGTCGAGTTAATTAGCTAGTTAGTACTTTTATCTGGCTCTTTTAAACTAGCCCCCCTGAGGACATAGAGTTTCTTCGCTCATGCATAAGGTACTTCTGTAGTACAGTATCTGTCGATCTAGTTATCTAGTAGCTACGCCGCATGATGTCGGAAAAAGAATTCGTATCTTGACAGTCCCACCATCAAGAAGATACATTGGAAGACACATTATGAACCCCCTGAAAGTCAGGGAAAAACAACTCCATCGCCAGTAAGATCCAAGTTGTATCAGAATCTGATACTTGATCTACTGTCTAGTTCTTCAATCTTACTCGCCACGCGCTGACGTATATGCTTGTGATCGATCTCGAGACATGGAAAGAAGGGGTTCCTCTCTTCCTGTCCCGTGCATGCATCAAGCGTGATTTTGTGTCACCCACTGATATAAACTTGCAGTGGCTATCTGTAACAATGGCATTGTTCGCTGAAACTTGCTTATATTGGCGAGTACTGATGACAGTAGAGTACTGATGACGAGCAATATCTACTGCCCTTGACACGAGACTTACGTATATCATTTAGAATAATAGAATAAAACTTGCTTATCATTCTTCTGTTCGAAGGAATTATGATCAATATACACAGATACGTATGGGTTTTTGTATGTAGATATAGTCCCTTTTACTCAAGTAATCTCGAAGAGTTTAGTAGTATGTACATACCATAGCAAAGGATTTCATCACTGAACATCGAATCTTCAAGAATTCGCATTTGTAGACATAGCAATGGTGGCCATATCTTCTTTAGAGAAGCAGCAACGAGTCCTGACCTCCCAAAACGGAAGGCTTTAGCCCTACATTGACCAAAGCAACCTTTCATCTCCCACAGAGGAACCTAGGCGGCGCACTGGTTATCAGGAGCTCACAGCTACTGTAGTGATTGCACCCCCTCGTCTCTGTTTGAGCCCTGGAGGGGTTGGTGTGAGGAAATATTGCCCAATATACCAAAGGTAGCAAAACGCTTCCCGCTATGCGCATAAGCTGGGGGTTTGTAGCATTGTAGTATCCTTTACCTCTTTAGAAGAAGACGCTGAGGATGTGTGCTGTCTTGTATCCATTTTTTTATTATACTGGTGTGTTAGTGTTATGATTTTATTTTCAAGAAGTTATAATAATGACAACTGTGAAGGACCTACGGACTAGAGAACTGCGTATTACTGATATATATATATATAAATGCAAAATACTTCTCTCCTATAGACTATTCCGATTTGATTCTTATTGGCACTTTTGCCCACGACACATTACTACAATAACGAAAGATGAGAATACCATATAATAGCTGCCACAGTAGTGCTATTATCAGAGCCATACTCATCACTTCTTGAGGACGTTGAGGGACAACCACTTCCAGATGAACTGTACGTCCTGCAAATCTCATAGGGATATATGATATTTTATGACTGTTATGAACTGTCTATGTTCTCCAGAGTCACCTCCCCTGTTTTAATTTGATCACGACAAAAGATTTTGGCACTGAAAAGCCCACATGGAAATTCCATCATTCACTGAATACGTGGATGTCTAGTAACCTTAGACTTAGTGATTATGAACCTCCTCGCATCCTTCACCAGCTCAACGGAAGCCACGGTGTTTAAATAACGGAAGGCATGGCTCTAATATTAGCAGAGGATATCTGTCTGTCTTGCCTAATACATAATTAAAAGGCAAATTAATCACAGCCTTGTTTGAGTTGGTCGTTAGCTCGATGAACTGCCCTTCTGCTCCCATCGATCCGTTAAACTAAAGGGTTGTCTTTTAGCCGCCTTACAAAGGCCCCTACTGAAGGGATAGATCAGGCATTGATATAGGTGGACATTGCATCTGATTCTGAGCAGTGGCTAGCGTAATAATGCTAAAAGATATGCCTGGTGCCCTATACTTCACCGGTGTCTTCCAAGCAGACATATATTAACACCATCACATATTTTCTTGTATAAACACAGCTAAGGGGCGTTTGTTTCAGTTTTGGACAAAATACCGCCATCGAAACTCTTTTCAAAGAAAAAAAAAAAAAAAAAAAAAAAAAAAAAAAAAAAAAAGAAGAGAAAAAAAGAAAAAAAAGCAGCTTAATCATCAGCGATGTTGAGAGAAAGTGTTTGACGCCGGTGTCTTATATCGGTTCAGATGTGCCAGAGAAGCCAACTCAACCAATAGTTACAACTTCAATAATGGGTGAATCAGAGGATCCGCGATCTGACACACAATGGTATAACTAGACCACAGCATTCTGACGAAGAAAATGTGTCGGATAAGCAAATACTTATAAATACCTTGAGACCCGCGCCATCCAGATTTGAATGCTATTTCTGCTCTTTCCATGAGTCAAGACGAACGCTGGCGCCGAAAAGGCGAGAGATAACTAATCGCAGCTGAAAATTACTAACCAAGTCTATATAAGTTAACTAGTTACTCTAAAGCTAGGGCAAAGACGAAATCTCTTCGTTTTCACGGCGCAATGTTAACTATTTATCGTGACTTGGAAAAGACTAGACTTAAGTCGCGTGCTTGCGCTCGGATAGCTGCATCATTATGAAATACAGGTATCCTAACTTCCCAACAAAGAACTACCTAGCTTTTCGGAAGCCTGCAACTTCATCAGCCGTGCTCGTCTCAACAGGAGAGAGAACACTTGTCAGGTTAGTCTAGCATCCCTCGTGAGTTTAATGGGGAACCGATTCCCCGCAAACCGTTTCATGCGCTAAGCAACGAACCGGCTCAGGCACCGAGACTAAACTGGGTCTTGCAACTGAATATCACTGAACTTGGGACCTATGAGAACCGCTCTTCTCGTGGAGATCTGCAAGACAATGACGGAATTAAGCATGGTACCTGAATTATAGACTGACGACCAGCACCTCTAAGGAATTGCTACGGTACGAGAGAAAGCCTTTTCAGTGCTGATCAATCATGCCCCGGGCCCTGGGTAACCCACTTAGACCATGGAAGAAATTGCAGGTCGTAATATTGTCCTACGGATTCTAATTCGTGAAATTGAGCTCGAGAGGTCTGAGTGGGTGTTTTAGCGGCGTAGGAATAAGCTCAAATTAATCTCCAACTTCCTTCTAAGGTTTCGATGCTATACTAAGCAGGGGTCCAAGTAAACCGAATTCCAGAGCCGGGCCAGATAGCTTCGCCATCGTCCGATGCGGCGCTCACCGAGTTGTTCATATCCGGGCAAAAGCTCCGTCAAGGGCTGGAACCATCCAATTGCCAGTGATTTTGTAGGAAAATGAAATACGAGCCCTCGTGAGCGGGTCTTCCCCAGGAATCGATCTATTTCGTGAAGAGAAGGTGAATGTGGCGATCTGGGGAAAGTAGATATGGGATATAAAGCGCGTAATTGAACTCTCCAGATTACGCCCGCCCCAGCGTGTCGTCTGCCTGCTGGCCCTTGTTTCTTTGGCAGAGAATTTTGGCAGCCGTCAAGATGCGTACTTCAACGCTGCTCCCCGTTCTTCTTTTCAATGGCTCATCCATTGCGAGCCCAGCGGGTTCCTCATCTGTGATCCAGACTCCAGCTCAATCGAGTCCATTGTCGTCTGAAAACAATGGACCGGCAATTATACCAGCGCTGAGTGCTGGACAGGATCAGCAGCAGACTTCAACGTCACTTGCACCAGCAGCTCAAACATGGGAGGCCAAGCATACTCCCATAGCGGTTGCACCGGCAGCTTCACCGGTCGAGTCAAGTAACAGTCCGGCAAATGCAGCCTTCACGGTCCCATTCAGTACGCAGGGAACTCCACTGGCAGTGCCAACTGAGGCGCCTGGGAGCAACTCCCAGCCAGCTGCCACATCCTCGCAGGAGCCCTCGTCAACTCAGAGTCCGCCACCGAGTGTATCATCCATCTTATTCCCGCCCGGCACCTCTAGTAACCCTCTTACAGACATCGCCAACTTCCTGCAAGGTATTAGCGGCCTCCTGTCGCCGACCTTGTTACAGGACATCGAGTCTTTCTTCCACCACATCGCCTATCTACTCGATGACAAGACCACAGACCAGACAAAATCTCTAATAAACACTGCATCTACCTTGTTGACGCCTGATTTGATCAACGAGGTCACTGGTCTCTTGCGTAACGCAAACTCCCTCTTGACACAGGATTTTGTTAAAGATACGCAACAAGTGATTGGAGCCGTGGCACCAGTGCTAACTCCTCAGCTGCTGAAGGAGGTTGGCGGTCTGGTTACCAATGCGAACAGTCTGCTTACGCCTGAAAATGTCAAGAACATTGGCGGTCTCATCAGTGGCGCAGGCCCGCTATTGACTCCTAGCTTCTTCAACAAGGTCGGAGGGGTCTTGGACAACGCAAACGAGCTGTTGACACCTGACTTCGTCAAGGATACCAAGGACTTGATCAGCGGAGCGGGACCGTTGCTGTCACCCTCATTCTTCAACAAGATCGAAGGCGTTTTGGATAACGCAAACGACCTGTTGACACCTGACAGTGTGAAGGAAATCAACGGTCTCCTGAATAACGCTAACGAACTGCTGACACCCGGATTCGTCAAGGATACCCAGGGCTTGATCAGCGGAGCAGGGCCGTTGTTGTCACCTTCGTTCTTCAACAAGGTCGGAGGCGTTTTGGATAATGCAAACGACCTGTTGACACCCGATAGTGTCAAGGAAATCAACGGCCTGCTCAACAATGCTAATGAGTTGTTGACCCCCGAGTTCGTTAAGGAAACTAAGGGACTCATCGGCGGTGCTGGTCCACTTCTATCACTTTCATTCTTCAACAAGGTTGAAGATGTCCTGGACAATGCGAATACCTTGTTGACACCGGGCTTCGTCAACGAAACGCAAGGCTTAATCGGGGCCGTGGCTCCAGTAGTCACACCGGATCTCTTCAAGCAGGTCGAAAGTGTCCTGAACAATGCAGATGATCTTCTGACGCAAGACTTCGTCAAGGAAACAAAGAGCCTAGTCGGCACAGCGTCCACAGTGCTAACACCAGACCTCTTGAAGCAGGTTACAGGCCTATTGGATAATGCCGACGACTTGCTGACACCCGATTTTGTGAAAGATACTCGGGGCTTGATCACCACTGTGGCTCCAGTGTTGACCCCAGCCGTTCTCAAGGAAGTCGATAGCCTCTTGCTGAACGCCAACTCGCTGTTGACTCCAAGATTTGTGAATGAGACACAAGGCTTGATTGATAATGTCTCTCCCGTTTTGACGCCAGAAGTCCTGGGTGAAGTTGGCGCTATCCTGACCAACGCCAATGCCCTGTTGACCTCCAAGTTCGTTAAAGAAACCCAAGACTTGATTGAAAACGCCGGACCATTGCTTGATACTGTGGGCCCAGCACTCACACCGGATGTTCTCAAGCAAGTCAGTGGCCTCTTAACTGGTGCTAGCAACTTGTTGACTCCCACATTTGTCAACGACACGAGAGAACTGGTTGAAGAAGTAGCACCAGTCATCACCCCGGATCTCCTGAAATCCACTAGTAGTCTCCTGAACAATGCCAAAGCTCTCTTGACCCCGAAGTTCGTCAATGAGACGCAGGTGTTGATTGACGACGTCTCAGACGTAAGTTTTGCTAGGAACCAAACACTTCGTGATCTCAAATGCTGACTGTTTGTAGTTGCTACCGACTGTGGTAAAGCTGCTGGGTTCCCTGTGAACAATTCGAACTTCGCGAGGAACGACCAGCTGGGATCGATGTGGAAGATGCATTGAACATTATGAGTGGATAGACGTTTTTATATGTTTCTGATATGATGAACGCTTCCTGAACGACATGCGGTGTAGTATTCGGCATGATAACGACTAATGTAATTTAATATATGCAAAAATGAAAATCCACCATATTGTGTCTCGGAGCAGTATCCAGCTCTAGAAGTTGTCAACATAATGATCATGGTAGTGAAAAGTCGTACCGAGCCAACGGAGAGCTTTCAATCTGTGGCAATGATGCTGGCGATTGGCCCTATGGGTAGTATTCAGTGTGATGGTGACACTCTAAGGGACCCGATGGAGTTTGCGACTCGTGCTCTCGCTCCCAGCGGTAGAGATACTAGACACGTAGACAAGTGGTAATGAAGGAAATGACTGGACCAAGGCGGACCTGTCATAGTTATCACACTGCAGGCTTAAATAAGACCGCACTTTGTTCGACGTGCTGGAGGCGTGTTATCACGGAACATCTTAGAAGCCAACTAGTGCCCATATTCTCCAGAGTCCAGGCCTTCAGCCAAATAGGTAGCCAATCCACAAAGGTATCTGTGTTAAGCCCACATAGCCACAACAGGACTCTCGTCATCTGCGAGGTTTCGTAATTGGGAAATTCCAAAGTCTCAAGACAAGCTAGGATCTCTAAGTTGGAATCTTCGAGGCTTTCACTTCTTGGTATTTTGAAAGCACCTTCAATTCAGTGTCCCTCTCCTTGATCTTTTTATCCAGTGCTTTTTGCACCTCGTCCCTTTTCTTCTCGGCATCCTCCAGTCTCTGTTTCACATCCTTTGCCGCCTCTTCCTGTGCTTTCAGAGCGGCCGTGGATGACGGATATTCCTTCCGTAGCTGCTGGAGCTGTGAGCGAACTTCTACAGCATCAATTGGTGTACAAGTGACTGGGTGATATCGATGAGGCGGTAGCGGCTCTCCAGGGACGCGGATTTCAGGAAGAGCAGAATGAATCGGAGTCGTACGGGTCGGAGAATCAAGCGGAACTGGCTGGGGTTGAGGAAAACTGGTATCCGCCGGCGGCGACAGAGGGGCTTGCTGACTCATTTCCGTAGTATAGAGGGACGTAATCTCATAATAATAGGGATTTGATCTGTAGGAAAGACGAGAAACAAAGATGTTCGTTTCTCTGTTTCAACCAGGCGGAAGTGGCGGGCGGCGGCAGAATCGGTGGCGTTTCTGCCGGACAAAAATGGCTTACCGCCAGCGCCGCATGCGGAGGAGTCTAGGTCAGCTCCTCAGGAGTGTCGTCCTAGGCACACCGGAGCGGAGTGATCAGGGAAACAATCGTCAAGCAGTAAGAGGTCTTATATACGGAGAATGCACAATGCAGGCATTTGGTACGTGAACTCCAAACAAGTCCATAAACTGTCCGCATACTGTTATCTCCATGGAAGCTCCCCTTATTCATAGTAGCATTGACTGACACGAGAGTATTACAGTTCCAAAGAGCAGAAAGGTACGCAGTAAGCTTTGAGGTATAATGAAATGGTTTACTGAGCAAGTGGGCTATAGCCCCGGTTCGAACTCACTCTAAGGGTAGGTCCTGTTCTGTAAGCTTGTGCATATGACCCCATGTCATTAAATCAACATTTCGTACAGATAATTGATCTCAACAACGTTCCGCTTTCAAACGGAACAGGATACGTGAAATGGAGTCTTCCGGCAGGCACATCCACGGAACACCGGGGCCACACGGACAAAGCCATGATTCAAGATCACAAGGCATGGTGGGATTATGAAAAGGTGGTCCAAGTTAGAATGACGGTCGATCGGAACCAAATGCTGCAGGAGTGTGATTTACAACTCAGCATCATCCAAGAATTCTCATCGGTCGGAGGACGAGAAGAGAGGATCCTGCTGGGAAATGTCCGGCTCAACCTCGCAGAATACGTCGACAAGAGCGAGACTGACGAGGTCATCACGAGACGCTACCTTATGCGAGAGAGCAAAGTAAATAGTACGCTCAAGATTGGCATAGGCATGCACCAAATTGAAGGTGATAGGAACTTCATCACGTATGTTGAAACCAGAGCGTTGAATTCCAGTGCTGATATCGGACAGGCCTCCCCTGAGATCTGCTATGGTTTTTGGTGGAATCGCCGGAGTGGTTTCCTCAGAACAAGGCGATCCTGATGATCTTGGCCGGGTTCCATCAATAAACATCAAGAGCAGAGAGACTGGGGACTTGCAAGATATGTACCGTCGCACTCTAGCGGCCTCTTGGAGTTGCGGCGCGGGAGAACTACCACCTGATCAGCTGGTGGAGGATCTTTTCGCTGGTGGTGCTGGCTGGGCACCCGCTGCCCAGAGCTCGCGCTCCGAACGGCCAGGACGAGGAGAGTATGGAGAGATTAGTTCGATAAGCGATGGCGACACCAGGAGGACGATCCAAAACAAAAGACTTTCTCCCTACCCAGCAGGACGCCCAAAGAGCTCTTCTGGTGCTAGTTCCCCTCTAGACAGTAAGGGCGGAGAAATCTCGTCGGGTTCAGAAAGCCCTGGAAGTAGAGGAAGCATTTCGCAGCAGCTGTATGACAGTAGCACAGGCAAGAAGTGGAAAAACCGTGGACCCGCTCCTGAGGTATCCGAGTTTGATGTGCGTGAAGATCTAAGAAGCTGGGAGATTTCAGTGAAGGATTGATCTCCAGAAATTGCTTCGTTCAGGATCTCTTAAATGGAATATCGTTTCCATCACCATCTGTACTCGTCCCCAATTGCTAAACTAGCAGACGGTTGCCCGGTGATCAGTTATTACTCCTGTAAACTCCATTTCTTGGAGTCGGTCTAAATTTCTGGTTCCACGTTACCTATGGCGAATCACTTATCTTGCACTGTGGCGGAATGTTGCGTACTGTTTCAAGAATAATCTGGCTGGACGGCTCTTACAGCGAACGTCTGTTTGACCGCCTCGTTGGGAGCTTTCGCCTGCCAGTTGTCGTGAATTTGGATATCCAAAAAAAATGGTTCGCCAGATCGGAACGGGCTGACTGGCGAGCTACACTGCTTCCTTCATCCCACTGTACAGAGGTCCAACGTCAAACCCGCCGACTCCGACAGATCGTTGACTTGATGCTTGCAGGTCTAGTGATTTACAAACACAAACCTCAGTTCTCTACAGGGCATCTTGAGCTAGGGGCCGACAATTTCAGAGATGAGAATCTAGCTCATAGCAGCATATTGGATTTTGAACTCCGGTAGGGCATGCTATGCTTTGCATTTCGTCTCGACGATACCAGCGGCAGATAACCATCTCTATCTTTCAGAAACAAAAGAAAGAATATAGTAGTTGTACTCGTTGCAGAGCCCGTTGTTAAGTGTTATTATACTCCGCGTCTGAAGCAATCTAATTGGCCTAAATAATGTTATGACTGATCAGAGCGCCTACAAATTAGCGTGTTTGAGGAGTTTTAACCTTTATACCGGCTTGGCATTATACTACGTAGGCCAATGATAAAACCTGAGAATTAGTGGGTCTGAGGTACATAGTTTCGATGTTCGCGCTTACAATCGCTGGCCAATAGGAGGGCCTAGAAATTAGCGGATCTGAGCCATTTTGATATTCTCACTAATGGTCCTTCTGCGCGACCGTACTGCAGCGCCACGTGACCCTCAGCAAATGAGAAGGCCTGAAACGCGTTTGATGCCTCAGGTCTGAAGTATCCCATTAGAGCTTAGCGCGAAATCAGGTAGCTTCCGCTCAGAAACTCCGCGGAGCATGAACTTTTGTGCTAGCTTTCAACTCAAGGTAGTTACTTCGGCTCTCTTTACTCTGTTCTTACATATGTTATCCAGGCATTCTAGGAATGCAGTGGGGCTCCTGAGACGCCGATTATCCCCTGCATGCAGAGAAACTTCTTTACTCGCGGCGTCTGATGGTCGCCACCAATTCGCCCGATATCATGACGCCCCAGACGATGATTCTCACGAGTCCCAGTCACACCCCCAGCGACCCCGAATATGCAAGCGTGGGCTGCGCTCCTCGAAGGCACAGAAAGTCACACTTGATGTCAGCACATTAGGTAGACCCGGAGAGGTGGTCATTGTACCATCTCGGAAAGGCAATAGACGGGTCCGGAAAGAAATAACGGAGAAGAAATCGGACGGGGACGATGAGTTTTTATCTATATTGGAGGAACTTGACAAAGAGAGGACTATGCCTGGTTTCGCAGAAGTAGATGCCAACATTGAAGAGTTCCGTCTACTTTATGCGCCACACGACAAGCTGAACAATACTGAATGGAACGATCTGCGCCAAAAGCTCGAGCAGTCCTTTACGTCTAGTCAATTGGGCGCCTATATTTCCAGATTTAGACCATCAGACTTGATTGGTGAGAATGGTGATGGAGGTACAAATCAGGTCAATTGGAAGCCAGGAACATCTCTCTTTTTAGAGACGGATCCCTCATCACAGCAGCGTATATCAGACAGAACTGCTGCTGCTGAGAAACTCAGCGGCAAAGGGCTCCTTGCTGAAAGGATACTTCGAGACTGCTGGCGCCTGGGCATCGCTGGAGAACTTGGCCAACTCGACTTACATCTACCATCTCATGCTATCGCCTTGCTTCTAAAATCCGAACATTTCTCCTTTCGCGACCTGGCCCAATATCACCAGGCAAAGATCGATGTCACGCATTCCTTGAATCTCGTGAGGGTCACTGGTGACGAACGTTCGTGTATCCAGATCCACGAGCAGATACAGAACGTCACTGCAAGAATACAAGAAGAGAGCGTTACTCTCTCTCTTCCTCCAAATGCTTCTTGCATTGAAAACCGTCACCTCTCGCCTGAATTCATAAACGAGCTGGAACAGAACCATGGAGTGGTTTTCGAGAGAAAGGGCCGTGATTCTAAGGGCACCATGTATTATCTTGCCGGGAACAAATCCGAAGCAGATAAAGCTCGACGGGACATAGATATCGCCCTCTATCGGAAGACCATTGGCCCTATACCTTTCTGCACTTACCTGCCCACGTCCGAGGAGGCGAGCGCGTATTCAGCCGATACTGGCGAAAGGGCATCTTTGTCTGACAGAGGCGCGCAATGGTTTCGATGGGCTTTCCCCACCAAGGGAGCTGATAGACGCAAGTCGGTGGCTCCTTTCTTTGACCAGCACAGGGAGCATCTATCTAGTGATCTCCTAGGATTATTCAGACAGACACCAGCCATCGACATGAAATCACTTAACCAAGCTCATATCAGAGAGAGCCTGACAGCCAAGGTTGGGCAGTGTCTGTTCCTCGACAATATCGGCCAGGGCGATAGAACCTTCAGCGCTGCTCGCCTTGGAGAACTGTCGACTCGCCGCATTTTCTTAGAAAATATCCCAAGAATTGGACCTTTCATACGGGTATTGACACCGTTTCCCGGAACTGATCATCAAATAATCCATCGTTTCCGACTAACGCCCTCTATCTCGAATCCCGTCGCTTTCCCCATCCTCGATATTGAGGTTGGCATGCTGAATGGTGATGGTGACCCTGCATCCTCAACTTCCGTGGTCATACGCAGTGCCGAGGCAGTTCTACAGGAAAACAGCATTGATTATTTACTTCCCGAAAACAGTCAAGATCTTCGACTCACAAAGAAAACACTCTACGATCTACTTGAAGGCCAAAATCCCGGTGAAATTCCTCTAGGCCATGCAGCCCATCGATCAGAAGGGGAGCCTTTCGTGACGAGCATCGCCAATCTCTTGCAGAGCCTTCCTTTCCGGACCCAGGCTGATGAGAACCAGCACGCATCTCAAGCCTTCTTTGACATATCGCTTCCCAAGAAGCTCATCAACCCCCAAAATAATCCCAAGGATGCGGAGACAGTCGGGCAATCAGACGAGTATGTTACTGGGACGTATGTTTTCCCACCTTTGGTCAAGTTCAGGACATCACGCTTTCATATCTACGATTTCCATGGAGAGAAGCTTAGTTACGCATTCTACCGCCTTCTACCCCCGTTCGGAGAACACTCCACGGTGCTCTCGCTGGATATGGACGTTATGAGTGGCCAAACCATCGATAACGCCTTTGCTGCTGCTGGTCTCGATTCTATGCTCTCCGCAGATGACGCGCTCAAGCAGGAATTCCATTACTTTTATAACACTGCGTGCAACTTGGCGTTTCAGCTAGGTAGTACTAACCGGTTCTGAGCGCGCAATCAACTTAACGTGAGAAGAACTTGGCTTGTCATTTGCGGGGTGTATATTCATTCCTTGATATGTTTATTATTGGTCTATGTAATATAACGACAGACGGCGGAGTTGGTGTTGTTCATAAGGTCATTAGCATTACATACCAAGTATATACTTCAAAGAAATTATTTAATATTTATTATTATATGGGTATTTATAAGTCAATAAAGCACATACATAAGCGTTTCCCGCGGCGCATAAGTATCTCCGCGTGGTTCCAATTTAAATTCCATACGGCTCGGGCCAGTACTCTCGTCCACGTCAACAGTATCCCCTATCACCCAAACTACCCCCTTCAATCAGATAACCAAAGTGCTGCCCATATTCCAGGTTTCAGTTGAAGGCTCTCTCCATATTTCAGACCCGAAAATGCAGAGTTAAATCTGGCAATTAATGCGTGCCGCTATACATCTTGGAACTCTGCGTCTGCCATGGCTAAGATGGATGGGAGACCAGACCAGTATGTCAAGAAAGAGGCGGGGAAAGATCAGAGTGAGGTGAGAGCAGCGCAACGACAGCGGGATCTGGTTAGGAAAAGAAGTGTAAGGTTCTCAAAAAATGAGAATGGAGTATGAGTATGAGTATGAGGATGGGAAAAGAAAGCGATGACAACCAAACGTAAAGTATTCCAAGACAGCCAGACGCGGGGGGGTTGAACACAGCTTGCAAGTACGCGAGCGGGGAGAGGCCGAAAATGACGATGAGAGTGGTTGAGAGAAGAAAATAACAGATCAGTCACAGCAAAAAGGGCTGTTAGCAGATGAGAGAGATGGAGGGAAGAGATAGACGAGCTCATCATTATCCGTGACACTTCTTGCTGTCCTCATCATTATCCGTGAAAGTCCTTGCTGTCGTGGGTAATCCCCGGCGTAGTTGTGTTTCCCACCGCACTTGTGTTCTACCTTTTGTATGGTGCTACCATATAGAAGGTACATAGAATATTCATCTAAATCTCAAGTTTTTATTAGGGGACCCCTGAATTTTAAACGATTATATTGTAAAGTTAGAAGGAAATAATCTATATTTAGTTAACTACTTGCCAATTTGATCTTATCTCAGCAAGCCCAGACCCTCTAGCGAGGTAGGGACGACACATAAAAGCAACCGGGGTAATAATAATCGCCGTCAAAATGGAAAACATAAGGGGAGAGTTTGACGAGAGGTATTCGTCTATCGTCTGTCGATCGTATGACTATCCTCTGTCCTTATACACCCATAAACCTGTAAAAATCTCTCGCACCTCGTCTGAATCCAACTTCCCATATCCAACCAAAGTTCAAACCGAACTGATTAGTTTCGAGCATGCGCTTCTTTAACCACAGCTCTCTGGCGCCAATCATGTCACCGCCATCGCCTTCTCCTGGTATTACACCGTGAGCCCTAGCGCAGAAGAAGTTCATCGCATCGCTGAATCCAAGGTCCCAGCCGTATGCATAGCGCCAGTGCTCGAAGTGGACTCCTGGCGCTGAGGAGTCCCAAAAGCGCGTATGTTCTGCTAGTGAATGATTCCTGAAATAGGAGCGCTGTGCTTCTGCCTCTTTCACCTTGGCCAACACTTCTGCCTGTGGAATTGTGGTCCAGCGTGGCGGTGGGATGGCGCCTTTTTTCACTTGTTCCTTGAAACCCCAGTCGCCGCCATCCATCCAGTCCATCTTGAAGGTCCAGAACGCACTGCCGGAGGCCTTCGATGTCCACACCTTAGTCTGTGCGTTGCCAAAAGTTTTGGTCAGTTCTGGTCGTTGGGAAGGGTCGACACGATTCCATGTGCGTCCGTCCAACACACAACTATACTCTCCGACGTAAACTGCCACCGCGGTCTTGTGATCGGAAATACTGCCTTGGCGGTTCCTCAGCTCCTCAAGTTCTTTGGGAATCCGAGAGATGATCTCTTGCGGCGACTTCGATCTATCAGACTCCGTAAACGTGTAATACTTGTGCGTGTCGATGATCACAGGGTTAACAGGAGTGCGAGTATCAACTCTATTTTTCTTCGCCGCATAGTCGAGACAAGCTGTGAGATTCCACGCGTCGCTGATGTAGATAGGCAATGACGGGTCCACGGAGCTGGCGATGGCCAGAACGTCGTCATACCACTGGTACATCCCTGAAGCGTTCCACTGGGCCTCGTTGCATACCTGGAGTCCAATAACGCCGGGCATTCCATGACGGGCTATGTCCTGCAGGAGAAAACTGATGCAGTCCTTGGCTCTGGAGAGATTCTTTGAACTTTTCCAAAGCTCAGCCTTGCCGTTGTCGGTGCCACTGTGCGCGTCGCCGTTGGCGCCCCCGGGAAGGCAATGCATATCGACGAGGATCCCGATACCCTCATGGTGGCATCTTTCAATCAGCTCCTTGGCAATGCTCCAGGCATTGACGTAGACTTTCGCGGGCTCTCCATCGAAAGCCGTGCCTTTACAGAAAGCCGGTCCGAGTGTGAAGTAGCCTATAGGCAACCGTATGCAATTGCAATGTGCGACATTCTTGAGCCATTGAAAGTCTTCATCCGTCAATGCCGTGCGCCAGTGTTTCTCCCACTTTGCTCTGGTAGCCTCGAGCCCCGAAGCTTTGAGGGAGCTTTCCCGCAGTCAGTCCAGGGGCACAATAGGGGATAAGAGCTTGTTGGAAGGCAGGACAACGAACCTCTTGATGGCTGCCAATTCGCTTGATCCTTCTGCTCCCTTTTCGTACATAGAGCCTTTCAACCATTTTTCCAGTACAAAAATGGCGCCGAGGTTGGTTCCATGTTGGTATCGATATCGAAATATGTCCTTCTCAGTTGGCGGCACGGGACCTGCTGATGACGACATCACGGTTTTTGTATTAACCGTTAACAGACGGTCGTCAAGCGTATATGGAGTGATCATAGAGAATGAGATCTACAAAGAATGAAATATTGCTTTGTTTAGTAGGGTAGAATGTCGGGATTTGAAGAGACTTGGAGCAAAAAGAAAGTGCTTGGGTATTGACTAAGTAGACGCCATAGATCAGGGACACACGAGAAATAAGCGTACAAAACGCAAGAGTCAGGTTAGCTGAAAAGTCTCACATACCGTATCGTCCTGCCGTGCACAACAGCGGCAACCCAGGAAGTATATCGAGTACAGGCTCAAGTGGGGTCTGGAAAATCTCTGCTATACTCTGTAAGGAGAGGTGGATAACAATTGACGTAGCGGGGAGTCTAGCCTGGCGGTCGGAGTCGACTTATTGGCGCTTGTGCCGACACGAACACTGTGAAGCCCCAGCCCAAAACCATCACGATACCCGACTAAACTAGAACTACTTTTGTCTGTCTGCTTCACTGTCAGTAGTAACTTCGCAAGCTTCTATCCTGGCTCGGCCGCCATTAATTTTACAATCCCCAGTTAAACGTGTTCTCATCCTCCCTCCCCCCCCATTTCCTTGCAACGCTATTCGCTATGAGCGTGATGCGCTGGGAGTGACCGTCACGAGCATGGAACGGACACGGATCGCCAAGGTGTGCACGGGAAATAAAGTGATGATCCTCGATAACAATCTAATCCAGTCTCTAATCTCCTTCTCTTGTCATCATTCTAGGTCGAGGATGTGACCTTGGCGCGCCGTGGGGAACAGGTCGTTGGCACGCTCCATCTGACTCCGCACCATCTGATATTCTCGCATACTCCTCCAATCTCTGAAGAAGCACGGGTGAAGGGAACAGTGGCCAGACCAAGAGAGCTGTGGATCACGTATCCGATTATCGCTTTCTGCACTTTCAGACCGGCCCCTGCTGTGTCCAGGCAGCCCTCCTCGATTCGGCTGAGATGTCGCGACTTCACCTTCGTCTGCTTCTACTTTTCAAGCGAGAACAAAGCTCGAGATGTGTATGACAGCATCAAGCTATGGACCTGCAAGATCGGTCGCATCGAAAAACTTTACGCCTTTAGCTACCAGCCACAGCTCCCGGAGAAGGATTTCAATGGGTGGAGTCTGTACGACGCTCGCAAGGAGTGGGCTCGTCTGGGGGTTGGAAAGGAAGGCGGACATCCGGGTTGGCGCATCTCGGAGGTCAATATCGACTATACAGTAAGCCTTCAGCAGCCGTATTACAATATCTTGCAGTCCTCTGACGTTGGCAGTTCTCCCCGACCTATCCAGCTCTCCTTCCGGTCCCCCTAGCCATATCGGATAACACGCTCAATTACGCAGGCCGATACCGTTCTAGAGCACGAATACCAGTCTTGACATATCTTCATCCTGTCAACAACTGTTCAATCACGCGGAGCTCGCAGCCACTCGTGGGCGTCCGTCAGAACAGAAGCATCCAAGATGAGAAGTTGTTGGCAGCCATATTCTCGACGTCGCGTTCAGAGAGGCCTCTGTCGAATGTCACTCCACCACCATCGGAACCAGGTTCTAATACGTCGAGCCAAGAGGAGACCCTAGGTGGTCAGGCAGATTTTGAACTCACGAACGCGGAGGAGCTGGAGGATGAAGTGGTGGGCGCGGTACGCGGGGATACAGAGGAGAAGTCACACATCTATGGTGCTCAGCAGCACAATCTCATCGTTGATGCTCGACCTACGGTAAACGCTTTCGCAATGCAAGCTGTGGGCCTGGGATCGGAGAACATGGACAACTACAAATTCGCTACAAAGGTATATCTTGGTATTGACAACATTCATGTCATGCGGGATTCGTTGAACAAGGTTGTCGATGCGCTCAAGGAATCTGATGTCACGCCACTTGGGCCAAACAGAGAGCAGCTTGTGAGGAGTGGATGGCTGAAACATATCGCTGGTATCCTAGACGGTGCGGGCTTGATAGCTCGTCAGGTTGGGTTACAGCATTCACACGTTCTGATACACTGTTCGGATGGGTGGGACCGTACCAGCCAGCTCAGTGCTCTAAGCCAGATATGCCTTGATCCGTATTATCGAACATTGGAAGGATTCATGGTGTTGGTAGAAAAGGATTGGCTGTCTTTCGGTCACATGTTCCGTCATCGAGCTGGACACCTCAACAGCGAGAAGTGGTTCCAGGTCGAAAACGAAAGGATCGGAGGTGATTCCAATAGGGCTTTCGGAGAGACTGGGGGCGCGGGGAAGGCTCTCGAGAACGCCTTTCTCAGCGCAAAAGGGTTCTTCAACAGGGATAACACGAGCCGCGACTCCCTGGGCGAATCAGATGGGGAAATGCAATCGTACGATTCGGAGGGCCCCGTGCCCAAAAAGATCAGCGCCACTTCGAAACCGGTGCTATCGGAGAAGGAGGTGACGAAAGTCAAGGAGACTAGTCCAGTATTCCATCAATTCTTGGACGCCACATATCAGCTGCTATACCAGTATCCAACACGCTTCGAGTTCAATGAACGCTTTTTACGGCGTCTCTTATACCACCTCTATTCCTGTCAGTACGGTACATTCCTTTTCAACAGCGAAAAGGAACGTGTCGAAGCGCGGGCAAAGGAGAGGACAAGGAGCGTATGGGATTACTTTCTGGCCAGACGGGAACAGTTCCTGAACCCAAACTACGATCCCCTCATTGATGACAATAAAAGGGGAAGGGAACGTCTTATCTTTCCTCGAACTAGTGAAGTGAGATGGTGGCCCGAGGTCTTCGGACGGACCGATGCAGAGATGAATGGTCCCCGGTACGGTGTCTCCACCAGCCGGGACAGTTCAAGAACCGGGAGGCGAACGCCAGTCCTGACCGGTGTCGAGACAACCAAACAGGCAGTGGGCAGTGGTTTGCCTGGAAAGGTAGTCCCTGCTGCAGCTGCAACGGGGGTGGCCGCCCTCACAGCCGGGTTCTCCAACCTGGGGTTGCCCAAGAACAAGGAGAATAGCCAGGACACCAAGTCTTCATCGAGCGGTACCAGTGAGATGGAAGTCGAAATGCAATGAAAGCGTCTTTGATGCATGTCTTTACGTTTTGCAACAGTCATGTTTGTTTCGGAAAGCAAGAGGCGTACTGGTTGGCATTGTTGGAACAGCCACGGACCACTTGAGCGTGATTGAGCTATGTGACTTTAGAGCACGATACATCTTCCTGTTATTGAGAGCATCTCCGGAAGAGACTCTGAATTTGACTGGAGAATACAATTCCTTTGCTTTGATGGTTTCTTGTCAGTTTGATTGACATAGTCCGTAAGTAGGTGCAAGTAGCAGATAGGATATCATCACCATGGATGTTTCTGACCGTATAGAGTCGATAGGGCTGGACAGATAGCAAGATGAGGACTATCAAGTACCTAGTTATCTAACTAGTTATGGGTTGTAGACTTGTAGACTTGTAGTTCAGTCAGGTTGGGCTGGACCATCCCGATCGGGAAAGGCGGCAGAGTGCGCGCAAGCGAGGGCAAACCCCAAGCCCTATCCGAAAAATCCCCCACTAACGCGGAATCTCTTAAAACATCACGACCGCCGACCACCTTCGACCTCGACCGACTTCCCCAACCTCGGAGCTCCGCTACATCGCCCAGCGTCCTCGGCCGTTTCTCTTCGACAACCCAATTCGATCAGCAGAAACGCAATCATGGCTGCTACCCAGGGAGCTCTCTCGAAGCGCCGCAAGTTCGTCGCGGACGGTGTCTTCTACGCCGAGCTGAACGAGTTCTTCCAGCGCGAACTGGCTGAGGAGGGTTACTCGGGCGTCGAAGTCCGTGTTACTCCCACCGTCACCGATATCAGTATGTCGCCATTGATTCCATTGTGTCTGTCACGGTTCTGGAGATGAAATGAGAGAGAATTATGTCAAAGCGGGAGGAAACATGAAAAACGTTGTTGAAATTGGTCGCATCGATACTAACGGATGCTCTTTTCTTTCCCAGTCGTCCGTGCTACGCACACCCAGGAGGTTCTTGGTGAGCAGGGTCGCCGCATCCGCGAGCTTACCTCCCTGATCCAGAAGCGCTTCAAGTTCCCCGAGAACTCCGTCTCCCTCTATGCCGCCAAGGTCCAGAACCGCGGTCTGTCCGCCGTCGCTCAGTGCGAGTCTCTCCGTTACAAGCTTCTGAACGGTCTGGCCGTCCGCCGAGCATGCTACGGTGTTCTCCGTTTCATCATGGAGTCCGGTGCCAAGGGTTGCGAGGTTGTCGTTTCCGGAAAGCTGAGGGCCGCTCGTGCCAAGTCCATGAAGTTCACTGTACGTTTTCCGTCTTATCTATTGGGAATCATGGTTGTTCTGGGGGATATTGCAGATATTTGAAGAATATCGGAGATAAGAGATTTGATACAGCGGAGGGTATATATTCGGGAAACGGGAGGCTAATTGCATCTTTCACCTTCACAGGACGGTTTCATGATCCACTCCGGTCAGCCCGCCAAGGACTTCATCGACAGCGCCACCCGTCACGTCCTCCTCCGCCAGGGTGTCCTGGGTATCAAGGTCAAGATCATGCGTGGTTCTGACCCCGAGGGCAAGTCCGGCCCCCAGAAGACTCTCCCCGACTCTGTCACCATCATCGAGCCCAAGGAGGAGCAGCCCATCCTGCAGCCCGTCAGCCAGGATTACGGTGCCAAGGCTCTCGCCGCTCAGCAGCTTGCCGAGCAGCAGAGACTGGCCGAGCAGCAGGAGGCCGAGGCCCAGGAGGGCGCTCCGGAAGCGTACGCGCAAGAGTGATTTGCTTCTCTTCTTCCGTCGTCCTCATCTTCTCTTCGGTCCTGTTCTCTCTCACTTCTTGTGTTTCCTACTACCCGCAATTAACTACAACATGAATTATTACTTCCTCATCAACCTGGACCTCATATGAAAAAAAGCCTTGATCGTTTTTTTCCGTCTTGGGTTCCCTCGCGGTGGGAGGAGTACTTGATTCTACCTCCTTTTCATTCCTACTCCTAGACCGAACCCGGTGAAATGATTATCTATGATGCATACGAGATGCCAAAAAGCAATGGGGAACGAACTCCCAGAAAAGAAAAGAAGCGGCCTGTCTCTGGCGTAGGGGCAGAATTGTGATGACAGCGGGCTTTAGGTTTTCAGCGGGACAAGAAGGAAGGAAATGCCAATCCAAAAAATTTCAGAAACTTCGATAAAAAAAACTCTCTGTATTTCCTTGGCCTCCTTCTAGATATATGGTAGAAGGTACTTTTTGAACGTAGTAGAGACGTAAGGGATCAAGGGCCCCTCCCCGCGAGTACACCATGTTCGCTGGATACAACCTAGGTGTATTCCTCATCCAGATGTGCGAGATATCTTTACGGTACCACACATAACTTCTTTATGGAAGACCAATCGACAAATTTATAGTAATCTGGTATTTCACTTCGGGACTATCTCTTTCTGTTCTTTTAATATACTTGAGCGCATTTTCCGCAGGCACCTTTTTCGTCTCATCATCTATCTAGGAAACCAATGTCTAAGATATCTACCATCACTCAATGTCTCCGGGATATCTTGTAGTTTCTATTTGCATTTTGTTCTTTTCTTTTCCTTTTCTTTTCGACCTTTTTATAAACCAGCTGCTGCTTCTCACAGGAAGACCTCAATGTTCATTTCGAGCGTGCTGACGGGGTACTTCAGCTCGTACTTCTCCAAGACGGTAGGATGCAAGATGCCAAAGGCACCAATGACATGCTCCTTGCCGTTGATCCGGACGTGGATGGAGGCGGCGTGGCCGGGGAAGTAGGTGGGCTCTGTGCATAAAGAGTCAGATCTAAGCGATAAAGGTGCAGCATTATAGGACTTACCATCGAGCTCCTCGATCCAGTATTGGGCGTCAGCGACGGCTTGGTTCTGGAGACCTTCCTCCTTGGTGATGAAGGCGCTCCTGAGCATGGCCATAAGACGGTCCAACAGACCGTGGACGATCTCGAAACCGCTGGTCTTACCGTACCAGGCAGCCGCGAAATGCCTCTCGTTGCGGCTCTTGCGCTCTAGGGCTAAGTCCTTGAAGGCAACGTCGCTGACCTCGAAGATCTTCATGGGCACGGCATGGTGCTTGTTCTCTCTGATCGTCTTCAGCAGACCGGGGAGAAGGCTGGTGCGAACGATTTGGAATTCAAGAGTCTTGGGGTTAGCCAACTTGACGGCGGTGTTACCGTCGTCTTTGCGGTTAAGCCAAGCAAAGTTCTCGTCGTGCGAGCACAGGATCAACGGCAACACTTCGGACCAACCAGCCATGGCTGCCTCGAATCTGAGGATATCCGTGAGCTTGTTGATCGGGAGAGGTTGAGCAATCGTGCCAGACTTGCTGGGGAACGATCGAGGAAGCTCGTTGAAACCGTAGGCGATGGCCACGTCCTCCATGATGTCTGCCTGGTGCAGCACATCAGCCCGGGTTGGGGGCACATCGACATCGATGAGATCCGGGGAAGATGAAGACGGCTTAGCCTGATAGGCCATCTTTGTCAACAGGTTCGCGATCTCAGTGGGGGTGAGCTTCAAATCACAGCATTGGTTGATGTACGAGACCTCGGCCTGCGTGGTGCGAGGACTGAGGTCGGGGGTCTGTCGACTTTCGCCATTGTGCTCCGAGACAATCTCAATAGGCTCGACCCTGCCGTATTATATAGATCAGACATGCGTCACTCTTCGAGAATCACTAGCAATACGTACGTGAAAGGCTCGGCAGTATATTGGGAGAACATGGTCACCATGATCTTATTCACGATCTCCAGCTTCGTCTTATCCAGAGCCGTGATTTCGATGAAAACGTTCTTTGTGCTCAATTTTATCTTGGAGTGATCGCCGTTGATGATTGGGGGAAGCGAGCAGACAGTCCGATTGGAGTCATAGATGACGGGGTACACCGGCGAGTCTCGAATAATGTGGAGGTACTTTCCGAGGTGCTTGTCTTTCTGTTGATCTGTGTCAACTATGTCTGCTTGGTGCTGTGATGGAAGAAACAAAAGGAAGTGAGCTATACCTCATAGAAAGTCATCAGTTCTTCACCGTTCATCTTCTTCGTCTGGTTCAGCGGGATGAAGTTGATCTCCTTTGGCGGGAGAGCCTCATAGGTGAATGGTCCCTTGATGGTGTCCAGATCGTGCGTTCCAATGGACACCAGCGTCCTCTGGCGGGCAAGATTCTGGTGCAGCTTGTCCTGAAGAGCGATGAATGACTCGTAGCGAGCCTCGTCGAAGGTGATATTCCTGAGGATTGCTCCCGAAACGTACGGTCTGATTTTCATCGTCTGCAACTTGGTTCAGCAAGTGCTCGTTCCCCAAAGTAAGGATCCTCTCACATCTTCCTTGACAATAAGCTTCTGGAGCTCTCCGCCTGCCGGAGGGACCAGTCTGTAGTTCGGCGACGATCTTCGGCCCAAGAAAACGTTGAGCGCGAGGGAAATTCCCTCAAAGCAGAGGAGGTCATATCTGCAGTTGTCTCAGTCCCGTTCTACCCTTCAGAGCCCATCTCACATCAAGTCATACCGGTTCGCAGGGATCTCGATCTTCAGTTGAGGGGCTTCTTGCTTTCCGTCGACGATCGGTCGCTCCGAATGCTCCGTCTGTGTCATCTCAGTATACTGCCACAGCATGAATCCAGTCACAGAGGGTCTGTTACATCTTCGTCAAGCTCAATGCCTGTTATAATCGTCAGCGTTGGCCGCACGGAAAAGCCGGCGCACATAGGACATACCAAACTCGAAGCACAGCTCGTCGAACTCTTCCGTCGTGTAGCTGCACGAAAGATGGATCAGCAAAGCGAACCAAGCGTCCAGAAAAAGAGGATTGTGCGCACTTTCGACCTAGCTCCTTGAAGAGCGCGTACTTATCGACCGAAATGGTAGGCATGGTGAGAGGGCTTCCCCGCGCTGCCGCTCACAGAAGAAAAAAGATCGATGGCAGGAGGTGCAGCGTCGAGAGGGCGCTGCTTCTTGGGGGGGTGCGGTAGAAAGACTACAGAGCTTGACCACGTAAAGCTGAGCGATCGAGGCGTTCTGGTGATAGACCGTGGGTTCAGGTCAGCTCAGTCAGTCAATCAGTAATAATCAATCTATCTTCATCCAGGCCGTGACACATTACTCTCTCAGATGCACCGCCACACCTCCCCTCCTCTGCGGCGCTTTGACGGTCACGGACTCACAGACTCACAGACTCACCAGGCGAACCCCTTCACCAGCCACAGCCTCCCTCCTTGCCCCCAAAGACCCAAAGAGGGAGAGCCAAGCAACCACCCGAGCTCACCTTCCAACATTTGGCGCATTGGAACATCGTAATAGACCGCTCGTTTCTTCCCCGCTCCGCCCCTCTCCCAAAAGCTATCGAAGAAGCATCCCTCAGTCGTTGTCGGTCTCCGAAGCCTCTCGGCACGCCGTCCAATTCTTGAGGTACGTCCTGCTCCGCTGTCGCGGCTCAGCGTCTCTCTCCTGCGACGGCCCAACCCCACGAAACCTCAGTCGGGGCGTACGCTGCATGATCCATTACCCATTATACGACCAACAACCGGCCCCTGGAAGTGGTGCTAAGGCTATCTGTCTAGGAATCCCCTGCCTACGACGTTCATGAAATAATACCCCGCCTAGATCCTCCCAAATCGTCTTTGTTTGCTTGATTACGAGATTGAGCAGACTGCCTGGTGACAACAGTTCTCGGGGACCTGCCACATCCTCGCCTGTCTACCCTTTCCTACGACGCGACACATCGTCCCCCACACGGAATCCGTGATGGACTCTCAGGGTGAAAACGATGAGCTCTACCCCATCGCCGTCCTCATTGATGAGTTGAAGGTACGTCGTTGTCGAACGTTATAGCGAACCATATGATAGCCACCGGCACGTGTCATGACTGACTACCTGAACGTCTAGCATGATGATGTGCTCCTTCGTCTCAATGCGATCCACCGCCTGTCCACCATTGCACTAGCTCTGGGCCCGGAGAGAACGAGAGAAGAATTGATCCCGTTCCTTGATGGTTAGTTCTGGCTGAGCATTTCCTGGCGAACAAAGAGATCTGACACAGATATTGGTAGACTCTGTCGAGGATGAGGATGAAGTTCTGACCGCACTGAGCGAGGAGTTGGGAAACTTCGTTGAATATGTTGGCGGACCAGAATATGCACATGTCTTGCTCTCGCCCCTGGAAAACCTTGCGGCAATTGAGGAACCACTGGTCCGAGAGAAGGTCGGGAGAACCTGTCGATATCGTCGGACCGGATACTGATTTTCTGCATAGGCCGTTGAGTCCCTTAACAAGATTTGCGATCAGCTCTCCCAGAAGCAAGTCGAGGAGCATTTCGTGCCCATGACCCTTCGCCTCTCCAAAGCAGACTGGTTTACCTCGAAGATCTCCGCCGCGGGTCTCTATAGTGTGCCATACCGTAAAGTATCCCCGGCTTTGCAGCAGACCCTTCGACAGCAGTTTGGTGGTCTCGTACACGATGACACCCCCATGGTGCGGAGACAGTCTGCAACTCACCTTGCCAAATTTATCAAGGAGATGGACAGCCAAGTCATCATTGACGAAATGATCCCTCTATTCCAGTACCTGGCAAGTGATGATCAGGATAGCGTCCGTCTGCTTACTGTCGACATTCTCATTTCTATCGCCGAGGAGATACCAAAGGAGCAGCAGTCAAGTCACGGTGTCCTATTGACTTCGTTGCGGAACCTATTCGAGGACAAGAGTTGGAGGGTGAGATACATGGTGGCGGATCGGTTCGAGAAGGTAGGAGCGGTATTGTTTGAGAAAGTCCTTCTTCAAAATTGAAAGACTGACTGTTTTGTTTTGTTAGATTGCGAAGGCGGTTGATGAAGAGGTTGTCACACGCGACCTCGTGCCAGCGTTCGTGAAGCTGTTGAAGGATACCGAGGCTGAAGTTCGCACAGCCATTGCTGGACAGATCCCCGGTATATAATCTCTCAGTGTGCCCTTCTATGACCTTTATCGCTAATAGATCCTAGGCTTCTGCAACCTGATTGACCGTGAGACGTTACTGAATGAGATTATGACAAGTATTGAAGATCTTGTCTCGGACCCTTCTCAACATGTGCGTGCGGCTTTAGGAACGCAAATCAGTGGACTTGCTCCTATACTTGGGAAGGAAGAGTGAGTAGATTCCGGTTCTCTGTTGGCCACATTCTTGGGCAGTTTTCTTACAATACCGCAGGACGATTGCACACCTTCTTCCAATGTTCTTGCAGATGCTCAAAGACGAATTCCCCGATGTGCGTCTGCACATAATCTCAAAACTAGAGCTAGTAAACAAAGGTAGGTTTTCTCGCGCTGTACACTTAAGGAAGACACTCGGTTGACTGAGACTCAATTTAGTGATCGGCATCGAGCTCCTCTCCCAGTCCTTACTTCCAGCCATTGTGCAGTTGGCCGAAGACAAGCAGTGGCGAGTCCGTCTGGCTATCATCGAATATATTCCCCTCCTCGCTAGCCAGTTGGGTGTCAAATTCTTCGACGAGCAACTCAGTAATCTGTGCATGGGTTGGCTGGGAGATACTGTCTTCTCTATTCGAGAGGCTGCCACGCAGAACTTGAAGAAGCTCACAGAAGTATTTGGCGTGGAATGGGCAAGTCAGTCGATCATTCCGAAAGTGATGGCCATGGGGCAACATCCCAACTATCTCTACAGAATGACTACATGCTTTGCGATCTCTGTAAGCAATGACTTTCTACCAGCAAAAGATCAACTTGCTAACAGAAACAGACTCTCGCTCCCGCGGTCAGTGTCGACATCATTGAGTCCTCCATCCTCCCTATTCTGGAGAGACTGACGACCGACGATATTCCCAACATTCGTTTCAACGTAGCCAAATCCTATGCAGTGCTGATCGATACGCTGCGCCGCCTGCCGGCTGAGGGATCCCTGATAGACCTCGAGAAGTCGGGTGAAACGAAGACGCCCTCGCCCAAGGGGCAAGAGTTGATCCAGCAACGAATCTTGCCCAACTTGGAGAAGCTACAGGAAGACGATGATGTCGATGTGCGATACTTTGCCACAACCGCCGCGGGCGGCCACGAAGAGGTTATGCAGACCTCGCCGTAAGGTTGTCACAGAGCACAATATCTTCCAACTAGACGCCCACCGCTGCGGATGTAGAAAGTGTATTCTCGGTGGATACGGGAAAGAGCGCCATTGCTTACAGGTGCAAATTGGAGGTGTACCTTCTTGTCAGGTTAGAGACATAATCAGCATTTTGCAGGGACGAAAAATGCTTCGTGGCGTTTCTCTTTGCCAATGATATATGTAGAGACCAAACCGTCAATGAAAACGTTTCCCATCTAAACCAACCCCGTCAGCCAAGGACACGACGTATCATGAGGGCAACCAGCGTACAGTAGAGGGCTTCTACGGTAAACTATGCTGCGTCGCGCTCGGATGCTCCGCCAAAGATCAAGACGATCCACATGTTGCAATTACTGTGAAGTAGTAGTATAGGCAGTTGTAAGACATGTATCATCGCTATGATAACAAGGCCTTGAAGACATATTATTATTTACGATATCAGAAGTATCCAGTGAACTATGAAGACAAAAAATTAATAAATAAATAAAACTAATTTATAGTGCGTCCAACAACTACTGAAAAGCCATAATGGGTATTTGTAAACGTGACCACTTTCCCGGAATGTCCAATCGCCTACGGTAATTTGTCAGCTCAGCTCTATCGGACACCGTCTCTCTTCTGTGTTGTCAGAAGCCATTATTGTTGACAATTAAACCCCTTCCTTGTCAGTCACAAAGAAGTCATTCTCTTTTCATCCATATATGACTCTTTTGCAATTACTTGGATGACCTCGTCTCTCTCACCGAAGCAATAGGCATTGGGAACCTAACACGGTTATCAGTGGTCTATAGATTGGATACTTCCACAAGAAATAAACCAATTCAACATGCCTCTATCGTGGCCGTATCACTTTGTCTCTCTTTCACCTGCTGAAGTACAACAACGTCGGGATGTACTGACTATTCGTGGTCACTACGCTCAGTACTCGACACTTGCCATGGCTCTTTTTATCAGTCTCTATGCGCGTCTTTCGAAGAAACGCTCTGTTCGACCGGAACCCAAGAAACGGGGTATATCCTGGTGGAATTCACCGCCTGTCCAAGGGTGGAAGGAGACGCGAAAGCAGTATCTGCTGATTCTGTCCTGGCTTGCATTGTTATTGACGCTGTCGGTCTGGAAAACCGGAAATGGTAGGTTATGATTCAATCTATTGTTTCTGTTGCAATTACAGGTGGAGAACGCATGATATGAAGCCGAAATGATGAGGATGAGAAACGCATTGTACTGAAAAGGATATGATTCACAGATTATCTTCACCTGACCAAGTCACTGGGTCATGTTGCACTCTCCCAACTGCCCTTTCAGACCCTGCTGTCGCCAGTCTCCTTCATGTTCACGTCGAATCCAGGACTGCCGTCAATCCTGTCCATCGTGACATCGATACCTCAGCCAGCATTGTCGCCCTACCATCGTCTCTTCGGCCGATTGATCATCTTGCCTCTTCTTTTCGCTCATGCTGTTTTGTACCTGTCATTCTTTGCTCAATCGGGCCACCCTGACTTTGGGACCCTCCTCGTCAAGCGTGTCCGAGATTCCGATGTCCAGTACGGCATTGCGGGCCTCGTATTGGCTGTCTGTATCTTGTTCGTTAGACGTCCCATGGCGCAGAGACCGGGGGCAACCCGTGTTGTAAGCAAGAGACGACGGACGTTCTACGTAGTACATCTGCTTTCCGTGGCTGGATTGCTTGCAGCTGCATATTTTCATGTGGTCTACGCACGGACTTTCGTCCTGGAATCTCTGGGAGCTTTTGTGATCAGTGTGGGATGCTGCTGGGCAATGGATGCAGGCAAGAGTGCAGGCAAAAGGGGCAGCAGTGCCAAGCATCTCGGTTAAGATTCTTCTAGATGCAGTAGTGGTGAAACGTTGAACGCCCTTTTTGGAGTTTTGTATATGGTATGCCATCGGAAAGCCCGTGTATATCAAGCGCGGAGAGGGACGCGGTCCTGTCTTCTGCCGAAGCCGCCCATCGATCTTGTCTATATGATTATGACACGAGCAGGAATGGGATCCTATCCCCTAGTCTAGCGGGAGTTTTGCCTCGTGGTTGAGACACGCAAAAGATCCACCAACTAACCAAGGGCCTGGACCGCGTTGGGTTTAGTCACCGTTTGGCGAAGGATGATCGAGATAAAGTTGCCGCTCGCAGAACAAGAGCGAGGAATGTACCAGGACGGCGGCCCCCTGCGATCGTCGAGCAAGCGTCTACTCTAGGGTATCTAGAGTACGATGATAGTTGATTATCATAATTCACAGCCTTTTTCCTTGAGAAGCAGACGGATCGTGGCCGAAATCGGGTGGACAGGTCAACTTGGCCTCATTATTGGCGTACCCGTGGCTCCGTAACAGAACAAGGTTAGCAAGCAACACGCAACTCAACTCTCTTCTCTCTCTCTCTCTCTCTCTCTCTCTCTCTTCCTCTCTTCCGCTTCTCTCCAGGAAGTTTCTTTTCTGCAATCGGCTGGATACACACGACACTCTGACGCTCTAGCTCATGGTGTCCTGGTCCCAGCTGTTCTCGCTCGCTCTTATGCCTCCTCTGTCCATCGTGCTCTAGAGAACCTGATGGCAGGATGCGCCTGCAACGGCTTGTCGTCTTGCTGGGGGTGATCACCTTAGTCGGCCTGTCCATCATTCTGATCAAGGGCCCGTCCGCCGTCGAGAGCTCCTTCGACTTCACCGGCAGCGAGCCATTCGAGAACAGTTTGCCGCCCAATTTCAAGTCTCTGCTGCCTCCGCCATCGGAGAAGTCGCACCCCATTGCCAAACTCATCGAGGATGGCGACGCTAAATTCAGTGCACAGCGCTCGCGCCAGTCCTCCACTCTAGAGGAGGCTGTCCAGGAATACCGTCGCCGCTATCGCATGTATCCTCCGCCGCATTTCGACAAGTGGTTCGAGTTTGCCAAAAGGCATGATGTGCAGATCATTGACGATTATGATACGATTTACAACTCCCTGCTGCCCTTCTGGGCTCTGGACCCGAAAACGATTCGTGACCGAGCGCGGGAGACGTTGGGATTTGACAATGCCATGATCGGTCTCCTGATCAGAAACGGTAAAGTCACTAAGGTCGAGGGAGGCGGAGATGGGCGCAAGTGGCAGCGGGATGCGACTGTCCACATGATGGAAAAGTTCATTGAATACCTCCCTGATATGGACCTGGTCTTTAATACTCACGACGAGCCGCGTGTCATCCTAGCGAACGAGGATCTGCAGAGACTGGTGAACATTGCTACGAACCGGATCGAAGTGTCCGCCTCTAAAAACGTGCCCCCGAGGAATTCGTGGTCCTCGAGGCCAGCAGATGTGAATAAAGGCGATCGGATCGAGGAGGTCCGCACAACGCGTTTCAACCGCTTTGCTCACCAGCCTACGTGGACGAATTCGCGGATTTCGTGCCCCGTCGACAGTCCGGCCCGTTCGCTCGACGAGAATCAGTCCGACAATGTTACCGCGTACGGCTACGGCGAGCTCGGCTTCATCTACAATACCACTGCTTTCTCCGACATCTGCCTGTCACCATCCCTCAGGAATACTTTTGGATTCTTTGACCGACCGAACGCATTCGATATTGTTCACGACTTGTTCCCGGTGTTTTCGCAGAGCAAGATCTCCAGTTTTCAGGACATATTGTACCCCAGTCCGTGGTACTGGATTGAGAAGGTCCCCTATGAAGCAAGGAAGGATTTCGATTGGGATGCCAAAAAGGACAAGCTGTACTGGAGGGGGTCAACAACCGGAGGATTCTCTCGAGGGGGCGGCTGGCGAAGACAGCACCGACAGCAGTTTGTTAAGAAGATCAACGCCCCCGATACTACGCTTGTTCTTGAGAAAAACGAGGAAGACAAATGGGCCGCGAAGAGGATTCGTCGTAGGGACTATAGCGATTGGTTCGATGTCAAGTTCACCTTTATCGGCCAATGTGATCCTGACGACTGCGCAGCGCAGCGGGAGTTCTTCGAGGTTGTCAAACCTGCAGGCCAACAGGACGCCTGGGCTTACAAGTACCTGGTGGACATTGATGGCAACGCCTTCAGCGGTCGTTACTATGCTTTCTTGCTGAGCAACAGCTTAGTCTACAAGCTTTCCGTCTTCCGTGAATGGCACGACGAATGGTTGAAACCGTGGGTACACTATGTGCCCTTGAGTACGAACGGCGACGAATATGTCGAGAGTGTGCGCTATTTCATTGCCGAAGAGGAGGGGAGAATACAGGGTCCGCGATTAGCCAAACAGGGCAAAGAGTGGGCAGAGAAAGCGTTACGGAACATTGATCTTGAAGCTTGGTTTTTCAGGCTATTATTAGAGTAAGCGGGCCCCTTTTCTCCCTTGATTGCAAACCAGACCTTCGCATCTAGTTTTTTCTTTTCTTTTTACTGACCCATATATCTCAGATATGGACGTTTAGTCGACGATAATCGGGACAATCTTGGGTTCTCTGTGTGATTCAAAGTCAAGATATGCACTTTGGTGATTGATAATGTGGCCATTCCCATCTACCTCTTGTTGTATATACCTACGCCATCTCTTTCGACTGTGGTTTGTCATTTTCACTCAGGGCCCGTCATCGCATCGCTGTTGATATATTTTTTTTATTTCGCCCGGCGGCCCACCTCTTCTTTTACTTATCATGTGCCCTTTTTTGCATTTCCTCTACTCTTGTATCCACGAGAATACCCTTCTTCTGATTATTATCATCGTTATCTATTGCTACGACTTGTCGGAGGCAAACCTCCAGTGTTTCGATCTATGGGTCTTGGCTTGACTGCATACTTTTACCGGCACTGGCGTTTGACATAAGGAATTAAGATCTTCCTGCGGGGGCGCTTTTGTGTATAAAATGCATAGTGGCCAACGAGAGTCGAATATATGGGAAGGAAAATAATGTTAAAAAGAAAGATTCAATCAAGACAGTTTTTAAATCATAGTAATTTTTGCGCTCGAAGCGTTAAAATGAATTCTTCATTCGTGGTCTGGTTGACCAGTTCACCTAGTTGCCGTATGCAAGGGGGTTACATCAGCGTGAAACATAATAGCGTAGTATATATAGTACATGGTTTAGGGAGAAAGATATGGTGCCTTCATGGAAGGGTATTGCAGTGTTTTGATGAAGAATCCAAGAATCAGGCATCGCCCATGCTGATTTGATAGAACCAAATGTATAGATATATATATATCAACACATTCTTCAGAAGGCAAACCTTATGATGGGAATAGATTAGAAAGGGAATGGGCTACAGCGGGTGTAGAACATGGAACATATCAATCGTAAATATCGTATCATCAAGGGGAAAAAAATTATTGACTGGGCCTTAATAGCTCAACGAACACCATCCGCGGGGGAAATGGGGGGTATCAAGAACATGGTAATAACGATCAAAGGTACTATGACTGCGCCTGTTGCTCCTGATGCGGTTGCTGATCTCGGTGAGTATGCTGTGTTTGCAATTCGTGCGACTGCTCAGTGTCTTTATCGTCAACCTGTCCATCCATGTCATCTCTCGAAGGGCCATCTTCTCGGTCATCCGATGAGGTCGGTGCAGACTGCTTCTCACGATGGAAAGGTAGAAAGCTCAACCGGTCCTGAACGGATTCGAAACGAGTAGGAGGGGTGGGGGCGTTGATATCGTCAGTGTAAGGGATGCCACCAAGACCACGGTGCTCCGCCCAAGCTGCTTTCTCGCGCCGGAGATCAGACTGAACCCAGGGAATGGTAATAGCCGTCCAAACACCTGCCCAGGCAAACGGCAAGGCCCAGCCTAGCTGCAGAGCAGTTAGTATTTCGTCGTGGGGAAGTCCATAGATGGATTGACTCACAGTGTACGCGACATTTCTAGGGGTGGTGAAAACAATGGCAGTGATAGCTCCAGCAAAAATAAGGGAACCTCCTGCCCAGAAGCAATTCATCTCAAACAGCATATGCCGGAAGTATGGACTGGAAAGGTACCGTGTGCGCAGTGCGTATCGATATTTCTGACCACCTCCGCCGTCGACTGCGACGATGTCTTCGATAAGGACGTAAAGAGCAGTGGGCATGGGGGACCCTCGTGGCGTGGACGAGATGCGGAAGGGGGCTTTATAGCCGCGCATCCGCAGGATATCGAGGGAGAGATGAACGGCGCCAAAGTAGTACATCACCGTAGGCAGAGGCATGGCCAACAAGCGGACTGTCAATTGGTTAGAATACCTTTTCTCGAACCAATTGCAAACTCGGCGAATGCTCACTGTAAGGCTCTGTAGCGGAGGTTCCACTATGGGTGTGTGTTAGCAACCGGTTGTCGCAATGGAATCGCAGAGCACGTTTCACCTACACTATCAGCTCGACGGCCAGGATCAGCCATACGATGGTGAAGTTGATGTGGAAAAAGTCCAGCTAGAATTCCGTCAACGGCTTATCCCTTTGAATGGATTTGTATGCCAAACGTACCCATGATCGCCGTGCATTCAGCGGCCTGGCCTTTGAACCCTTCCTAAACAGGTTGTAGAACCGATAAAAGTATTCGAAGACGGAGACTCCGCCCAGGCAGGCGGTACTGATGGAGAAGACTATCCATGGGTCAGCAATCGATTCGTACCCGTCAGAGGCCATTGTTCCCAAATCATACCCAGGTTGTGAGATAGAGGCGTCAGGTACCATAATGTATAGTAGAGGATCAGCGGTTGGGCGAGAGTGTCGATTACAAAAATGGTCCAGAAGAAGGCTATCGATTTCTTTCGATCTCGCAGGGAGTATGGCAGTGGCGGAGGGACATCCGAATGATGCACCGCCCCTTCTTCATCCATGGAGGGCGTGTTCGATGTGGCGGGCGACAGAGGCTCAAACGGCGAGGGGCATGATTTGCTCGAGGGGGTTGATACTGGTAGGAAGGCGAAATTGTCGATTAAGGCTTTTTCGAAAAGATAGACGCCCTAGGACCGGATGGCCATGTCGGGCAGTGTTTTAATTAATATAATCGTCAATTAACTAACTCGACGCAAGTAAAAAAAGGCCAAGGCTGGACCGGCTGATCGGGGGCTGACGTAACGCCGCTCCGGGGCTCTCTTTGACATCATCGATCTCGTCCTTGGTTTTATCTGTTTTTTTTTCTTTCTTTCTTTCTTGATGAAGCAAAGACCTCCAGTCGACGTATTCCTGTTCGTCCAAACACTGCAGATCCATCTGTTGACACGCAGAAAGACGGTCGAATAGAGAGAGTAATATCATCTCATGCTTGTTGTGGTCGATCGCTCGTCTGTCGGCCTCGCTCTCTGTTTCCTTCCGTCTTCCGTTGCCAGCCTTTCCGGGACAGCCGGAGGACAATTAAATGACAAGTCATCCTATAACTTACCGACCATTAATTATCGCTGATTGCTTTTCTTCTGAAGGGAGAACCCGGAGATGTGCGTATCAGGAAATCTGCCCTTAGATTATGCCAAGGCGCACTGCTCGAACTCTTTCGACCCCTGGTAGTACAGTATATCGAAAAAGACACCGCTACGGGCATTATTGTATATAGTAATAATATAGTCAGGTGAGAGAGCAAGAGTGCAGTGGATCAGCCCTATCTAAGCCGATGGATAAGATCGTCGCGATGACCATTTTGCTGTCCCTGCGATGCTCTCTACTCTGCTGCAAGGTTGTGACACTGTCGAATCATCATCGGTATGACCGCAGGTTGAATCACCTTGTCAGAATAAAAAGGTTCTGACATCTCCGGCCAGAGGTCCCGAAAACGCTGACAGTCATCTCTTACGTGTTGACTTTGCAGTCCAGTTGTCCAGAGGACAGCTATCTAGGTACGCTTTGTACTGTACATACATCCATTTAACAGCCTACTTCCCGAAACGGAATGGAGGGCCACCATTGACAATCGATGCGATGCCTGAATCCCTGGTCAGGCTCGAAAGTGGCTTTGTCCAATGACAATGCTGAATAGTCAGCGGAAACGACGTCTTGTTCGTATTCTGCATGTGCTTGAGAGTCCCCATTTCTCTTTATTATTATTTTTTTTTGTTCTTGCGTTTTATCGAGTATTATTGTCGACGATCCTGTTCGACAGACATTCCATGCAGATCGTCCGAGCCGATTCCCGAGCGACGCATAACTATTTCCAGAAAGTATTAGAAAATGCATAAAATCGAGCATTAGGTAGGATGCACACGGAGTCCCGAATCGGTCATTGGCCAGAGGAAACGGAACTCCGGATCGCCGGGGCTCCGATTTCCTTTTACGCTACTGTGCCAAGCCTTTTTCTAATTGGTCCTATTAAAGTCACGTGTTTATATACCGCTTTCTGCTCTTGGATACTCAGGTGACCTTACTACCGGCATTATTTTTCTTGGTTATTATTGGCGCTCAGTGCCGTAGGATCGCTAGTAATCCGTGTACAGGCGCACGAGAGATAGACCTACAAGATAAACCTCTTTCAAATGAAATACTCATTATCTGGCAGGTCCATCCTCGCTGTGTGAAGCAAATAGAACTAGAATGCTGATATTGATAGTCAAATGAGAATAATCTGAAGTGAATCTGCCAGCCCAATTTCTTGCATTATTGCTCGAGTACTAGCAACATCCCATGAGCCTCACGATTATCTTCAGATCGGTTGCCCCTAATGCTGCCAAAAGGTTCCCTCTTTTTGTTAGCTGTTCGCTCTTTCAGAAATCGGGCATATTTCAATCTTATGACGCCGAAACTTTCCAACTGCAAATCCACTTTACCAAAAACTACCCTTCAACAACGCAGAGTAAATACAATGTCGACTACCCCGGTAAACCCCCAGGGGTACATCGGCCAGTCTGGTCGTAATTACAAGATCGAGGGTGTCCTTCGGAAGGAAACATCTCCTCTACTCCAGGTTTACCTTGCAAGGTGAGTTGGCGCTAATTACTCCTCGCAATTACCGACTAAATGCTTTCTCAGTGACGGCAACCAAAAGTTTATACTGAAGTACATTCAACCGGCTAATCTCACAGACCTTCAAGGCATCAATAACCGCCTACTACGTAGTGGTGCTAGCCATGTCCGTCTCGCACAAGACACCATCCCTGAGAGATCGATATTTGTTTTTGAGTACTTCGCAGATCATCTCTTACACCTTGCTCGGGAGGATTTGCCCCTTGATGTTAAAAAGAGGATCCTCAAAGATACCCTTCGAGGAATTGCAGAACTCCATGATCAAGACATTGTCCATACAGGTAGGCTCAACCCTTTGCAGAACTATGAGCGGTGACTTATTTTGGATAGATATCAAGGCGGATAATGTTTTCATCGACTGGAAACGTGACCAGGATGGGATTACTATCGAGCGTGTCCATCTTGGGGATCTTGAAGATGCCGCCTATATTCCTCCTGGATCACATATGATTGGAAAACAGCCGGGCAACTGGATGTGGAGGAGTCCTGAAGCCCACGCAGGAGGATCTGTGAATAAACCATCTGACATTTTCTCTTTTGCTCTTGTTGTAAGTTTGCTGTCGATTTCTAATCCTATCAATTTTTTTCGATTCTAGGGGCTTATCACTATCCATATAGTGCATTTACGCGATGCATAAGCGCGTCATCTTTGCCGTGGGGGAAGATGAACTGGAAGAGGGCGTGGAGCGCTTGGCTATTGTGATTGAACGCCAACTCTCATACTTTGCAGATGAAGATGGATTGAAAGAGTTCTTGAAATTGCTTGGAGACAGTCCCTGGGTTGACGTTTTTCAAGTAACTTGGAATGGTTTTAGTGAAAACAACCCGCGCAGACCCTTTTCCCTTTGGGACGGTGTGGATGATGATTTTAAAAGTCTTATTTGTGGCATGACCAATTTTGATGCGGAAAGGAGGATCACAGCCCGCGAGGCATTAGCACACAAGTGGTTCGAAGGTGTCTAAAGATAGGATGCGCAGCACAAGATCTTTGAAAAAGATTTCGCTTTGGCAAGGAGGCATGGAGTATCTTCAGTAATATAACTAGCTTTCCGCAAAACCGGAAGTACCGTTAGTAAGAACCCTAACTCGTGATAGCTAGTTAGGTACCTAGCTAGGTTACGAAGACTTAATAATGAATCATACAAATCATTACAAGCAAGACTGGATTCTTCATTCAACTTGTAGCTTGAGTTCTCCGCACTGAGCATAGTCGAAGTGGAATGACACGTTTCAAAAGGGTATTTTATCTCATATTAAGAGATCCGCTCTGGGTACACTGTTTCAACTGTGCATATGCAGAGATAATACTCGGTATCAATAACAATATTTCTTTTTATACCGAAAAAAGTGTCTCTATCAAGTAATTCTCCTGACCTAATCTCGTCCGGATAAATATATCTTGCTCTATACAAACATATATCCGAAGAGAGGTTCAAAGAAGTCGGCTTACCAATAATTACCATGATGCATCTGACGTTTCATAAGTAGAAACTCTACGTATCTTCTTCCGCTTACCCTACGTCACCTCGCGTCAATAGTTGTGAGCTTCTTTCGATCCTCCAATAACGGACCCAAGAAAGGATAATGATAATGACGGAAAGCTAAGTCGATGATAGAGTTAGAGCTCCGCGTTCCGTAGCTTACTTTTTCTTTTGCTTCTTACTGTATTTTTTTTTTTTTTCTAGTTTAGGGGTTTGTTAATCCATCTATGAATAGTTAACTACTGATCTGGATTCGTAGATATATATACACTATCGATATATACTATCCAACAAACAGATGACAACCATGTCCTTAACACCACAGAAACTCCAACCCTACTTACTCCCCTCCTCCTCCCCATCATTGCGCTCCCTATCTAATCAAACCATCGCCATCCTCTCCATCGGCAGTATCGTCTTCATCAACGTCACGCTCGCCGCCTATCGCGACTACAAAATCTACCTCAGTTACGGCCCCGGTGGTCTCCCATACAATATCCGCGGCTGGTTCATTTCCAGCTGCATTCTACGACTTTGCGGTACAGAAGTCTTCAGTACAGATCTTATGATCAGAATCCAGATAAGAGGAAATGGTTATCGTCCAAGTGGCCGCCATATGAGCGGGGGCAGAGGCCACGATTGGGACCGCATCCGTTGTCGCAGAGGCAGTTGGATCAGCTTCCGGAGGAAGGGTGTAAGGAGGTATGTTTGTACATATGTTTCCAAACCATACCATATTACACGATTCATTTTTGTCTTCTTCTTCTTCTTCTCGGGTTTCATTCATGCATCGATTTCCTGACAAGAAAAAAAGACAAGAAAAGAAAAGAAAATCACTAAAGTCTTGCCGAATATATATATAGCTCCTCAAATCCGAATTCAACAATCTCGTCACCTCCAACCCATCCATAATCCAATTCCGCCCCTCTCTCCATGAAGGCCATACACAAAGCATCTTCCTAGCAGATGACGTACCCGGCGCCCCCGTCGCGAAGGAAATGCTGCGCGAAGTCTCCAATATCCACGCCACGGGCGATTATTCCGTACATGTGGTTCTGGCGCCACAGGATTGTAAGAGGGTTATTGAGTCGGGTTGGGGTCAGCGCCATCCGTTGGATGGGGTCAAGTTGGCAAAGTACGTTGTTGGATGGACGGTTCCGAAGGAGTATGTCTTGCTTTATGCGCCTAGGACGGAGGAGGAAACGAGGGTTATTATGCAAGTGGTGAGAGCGTCGGTGGGGTATATGGCTGATACCTTCGAGACTGCTTGACTGCACGTCAGGAGCAGCAACTACGAGAGAAAAATCGGGGATTGGACCCAATAACCCCAGTCCCTTGTCAACAATGTGGATAATGTCCTCTAGACTATTATAGAGCCTTTCATTGGCGCGAACCTTTCGTCTTTGATTTGTTACATATATTTTTATTATCCCAACTTTACTATAGAAGTTTGAGATCCATATCTCTTGCCCATACCAGATTGTGGGAGATAAATATGCCCAATCAAGACCTTAAGCGACTTTCATCTACCCCTGGGAAATATCATAATCAACAAGACCCTGCAAGTCCTCCCTCGCACTGCCTATCATTTCAACCGTGACTCACTGACTTCGGCTAGCCTCGGAAGTAGAGGAACAGGATATATAAACAGAGGTTCAGGGTCCAGTTTATGGCTAAGGCATAATTCAGCCAGTTATTCGGAGAGAATAAGAGGAAAGAGGTGTATACTGACAATGAGTACTTCTGGTTGTTATATAAGGCCTGGCAGATTGGTGCCTTCTGTTCCATGTCGACCTCTGACAGCGGAGCCATGGCCTGTAGCAGCATAGTATGGAAAGCTCCATCTTTGCCTTCGACAATCCACTGGCTGACAAATTCAAGTAATCGAGGATAGAATCCGGCGCTGGCCCAGTCCAAGAAATACACAGTACCGTCGTCCTGCCAGATGATGTTTCTAGGGGAAATGTCAAGATGACAGAGGACCAATTCGCAGTGTTGGAGAGTGACCTGACCCAGGCCTTGAGCTGGAAAAAGTCGACTATTGAACCAATCTTCGATGTCGGATACGCTGTTAATGATCAGATCATTTGTTTCCGGCCAGAGGAGGCCTGTTGAGGGTCCTCCACTAAGACTTCCTGCGACGTTGCTTGTGATGGTGCTGAAATGCTGAAGGATAATGGCCACTTTCTCGATGTGGGATTTAGTGAGTGACTGGAGGATTTCACCCTTGATGAATTCCATCACCATGTATCCCCACCCATCGCTGTCATTGAAAAACCTTTGAACTCGGGGGATTTTCACAATCTGAGGATCTACAATCTCCAGTGCCCTCTGTTGATTGACCGCTTCATAGTATGAAACACCCCGACCAAACTTAACCACTTGTGTATCGGAGATTCTGACAATCCGGTTGCCATACTTTCCTCCTCCGAGGAGTTGACTCTCATCGCAAGATAGACAATATTCGATCACTTCGTCGTCCGATAATTCGCGTTGGAACATGATTACAAGGATTTCAACAGTGATTGATGAAGTTAAAAAGAAATCACCTACAATTTCAAAAGCTTAACAGTCCTGCAGTTTGAGTAATGCGGGAAGTTGTTCCCTAACTACATAGACCCTCTGAAACACAAATGCAAGGTTATCACCGCTAACTAACTAGTTGGGCTGTGGTGATTACAACTAACAAATCAATTAACTAGCGCCTAGGTCAACATACTTATCGGGAGGTGCCCAATGCATTTGCTGATGAAATGTTCAAGTTAGAGGGTCAACAAGCTGACTTTCTTCTCTATCTCATCCAATAGCAGCGTCGTTAACTTGCGCTTTTATAAATAAATAGCAATCAATTAAAGGATATCTGAGAGAGAGATGGAACCATGGTTACATGGCAAGGAGAACGTAGTGTCGCTAATTAAGTATCGTAGTTGCGCGACCTCGGGTCGGCGCTGTTCACCTACTAGAACCGGACAGGCAGTCGTCTGGGTGCCCGTGGATTTTTCATCGGTAGGTGGTAGTCTTTATTATTGTTTGTAAGGATGGCAAAAATGTGGAAGTACTGTACAATATAATATATTGATTTCGTAAAAATGATCTAGATATGACCTAATAGTAAGAGAATCAATCAACGCCATGCGATGCTTCATCGCTGCCGATGGATAGCAGAAACACAAATTTAGCATATATAGCCAGGGGTATCATACAACCCTCACACACAAGTCTAACCAGAGACGACGAAAAGAAAGAATATAGATAATCGCTTGAGTAATCCAGCCAAATTCACCGAAATGATCAATCCGTAAAAGAAGAAAAGGTAGATCCCTGTCCAGCATACTCGACTAGATCATCTTCACCAGCCCAGACATGGTAGCTCCATTGCACTGCATCCGCATTCACACGCCAAAGCCAGGCACATATACCGCCCAGCAGACCAGCCACGCCAACAAGAAGTGGACGGATGTACATGCGCGGGGGCGCTTGGTGTCTGGCAATGCTCTGCGGAAGAAGAGACAGGGTGAGAGAGCCGGATGCGAGGTGATCAGATGGCTGCAGAACGCGACTATCACGGTAGGCTCCACGCGCAATATCGAGATCGATCTCAGCGATGATCTGCTCGAGTCGATGGAAGATCTCCACAGCTTCTGCAATGACCTGGGTCTGTTCCACTTCTGTGAGGAGATCTCCGGCGACGTCCATGCGTTTCTTGAACTCGAGTTTAATGTCTTCGCCATCCTGATCACTATCGAAGCTCCAAAACGAGAGGTACGACTCGGTGAGGTGTGTACGGTGGTGTTTCTGGGAAAGAGGGCAAGTCTGTCGCGATGATGCGTTTGTGATATCGGTCCAGAAAGCAGGGCCGCCTTCGATGAGGCGATCGCGGATCCAGCGCCCGCCGTTGAAGAGGGCCATGTACATGAGCCATGCGTAGGCTAGGATAACGTGCGGTTTGCTGGAAAGGGTACGTTCGATGTGCGATACGAAAGCTTCCACGGCTGTCTGTGGCCGTCTTGTCGTATTCTTTCCAGCCTCGCCATGCTTCGATTCTGCACTTCCGCCAAACCGCAGCGCGCGCAGATCTGATCGTAGCCTTCTACTTCTGAGGATTTTCGGGAGGTAGACCTGACGAAGGACATTCCTGATGCGACCTGCATTATCATTGACAAAGGAGCCGAGTACATCGTAGTCCTCTCTTACAGCCTCCGCCAGCTGGTCAGAGGCGTTCATCTGTCGTAGCCATGTCCTCTCGAAAGCATAATATACCTCTGCGATGCGCGATAGACCCAACGCATATAGCTGAGTGCTGTTGGCATGCGGTGGCAGACTGAGGGGCAGACGGGCGGTAATCAAACGGTTGAGGGTTTTATGCTGCGCTCTGAGAGAATTTTATTGCCGTTAGTTAGATCCCAAGAGAAAGACAATGTTATCTATTATAAGAAGAGACCCATGTTGAACAGGCGTAGAGCATCCTTGTCGGATCCTTACCTCGTAGCGGCATGGATCTTCTCCGTCAGCGTGTCCGATCCCATCGCGCTGCCTCTTAACTGGACGTAATTATCCTAGCGCGGGGTTGATCCTTAAGCGCCGAGCTCTTTTTATCGCAAAATCTTCTAAAATAAATAGATATAATCTTCTCAACCTGGATCTACCACAAAGGTAATAATAGATATATATATATCGCCTCTGATAATGTGTAACAGCAGAAGAAGAATGTGAAATCAAGAGCCAGGAACAAAAAAGAAATACAAGCTTTTTTCTCTTTCCCTGGAACGCCGGTAAAAAAGAAAGGCAGACGCCACGATCTATTCCCTCGCCCACGCGCGCAAAAATCAAGGCACGAGATGGGGCAAGCCATCACGCCTTTAAGTGTAGTCTAGCTAGGGAAATCTCGTCTCAAGTCATGCTTTACAGTCGAAACGTGATCCTGACAGAGTCACTCTGGGTTTCTTCAGGGAGATGATCGCTCTCACGGGGCTGTCCCAATCACGAGTATCCCATAACGTGCTCATCGATGTCATCGCGAGGATCTCGATTCCGGTCGGTTCTACTTAGTCGTTCCACTGTCCCAGAGTTGGGTTTGAAACGTGAAGCTCGCCCGCGGGTTGACCTGCCCGGTCAGTCTGGTACCTGAATCTCGCGTTGGTCGGTGGGTAAATTCGATGGAGTACTTAGTCAAAAATATCCTGCCCCACGTTTTCCGACCGTTCGCTACTTATCGTACAGGAACCGTACTTAGGAGGCCTTAAAGAAAAAAGACTGCAGTTTAAAAAGGTGAACAGACACCTGTACATAGCTCCATTCATAACTTTCACGCTTCATACTTATTTCCCCCATAAAAGCCAATCTATTGCTCAAGTGACTACACAAAACCCTATATACATACATACACAGCCCAACATGTCTCTCGGCGTCGTCATCGTAGGAAGCGGTACGTCTTCATGCATCTAGATGCTTCTTCGAATTATAAACCAAACTAATGAATCGATCTAGGGATATTTGCCCGGGAAGAGCACTTGGTATGGATATCTCTATTCCCGTAACGCGCCATATACATACATATCCTAACAATGTCAACTACTATTTCAGCCCGCAGTACAGGCAGCCAAGGACTTCACCCTCAAGGCCATCTACTCGCGGTCATTGAAATCAGCACAGAACCTTATCGGCGAGAACTCGAGCGTCGATCTATATTCTGAAGATTCCGGCTCTGGAAAGACTTATGATGATCTTCTTGCTCGTGAGGATATTCAGGCAGCTATCATTGCGTATGAAGATTGATTTTCTTTTTTTTTTTCTCTTTTCTTTTTTCTTATTGACCAGGAGAGCCAAAGATGTTAACGATATAATACAGACTCCCAATCCCGATTCAACCAGAATTCGTACGTAAGGCTCTTTCTGCAGGAAAGCATGTCCTGTCCGAGAAGCCCATCAGCCAGGACATCGCGGCAGCGCAGGAGCTCATAAACTGGTACGAATCCAACGTCGATACGAGCAAGGTTTTCTGGGGCGTGGCGGAGAACTATCGCTACATGAAGCAGTACGTCTATGCGGCCGAGCAGATTCGAAAATTGGGCCGTGTTAGGAATTTCCGCGTGAATATGCATACGAAGATACAGCCGGATTCCAAGTATTACTGTAAGAGATCTCTTTTTACTGGACTGTTATTTGAAAGTCATAGGTCTGTGTTGACGATGTGTTGCTGACTTTGTTATAGTGACTGAGTGGCGCAAAGCACCCTCTCACCAAGGAGGCTTCCTCCTCGACGGAGGTGTGCACTTCATCGCGGGTTTGCGCTTGTTTCTGGGCCCGACAGACCCAATCACCACCCTGTCCGCCCAAACGCGTCTGCTGCAGGAACACCTAGCGCCTGTAGATACGGTCGATGCGGTCCTGAAGACGAAGTCAGGTGCTACAGGTATTTTCTCTGTGTCCTTCGGGTCCGACTTCAAGGACACTGCATATGAGATTGCGTGTGACGGGGGAGTGGTGACACTCACATTTGACGGTGTTACCGTCAATGGAGTGAAGCAGGATGTTGAGTATGATGGTAGGGGCGTTAAGGATGAGGTAGCGGACTTCGCCGCTTCTGTCGCTAAGGGTGGGCCATTGGACAGAAGGCAGACGGTGAGTGAGGCCCTGGCAGATCTGGAGATCCTGGAGAAGTTTTTGAAGAGTGGTGAAAAGGACGGTGAGAAGATCAGTTTGACTCTGCAGGGTTGAATAATAAAGGTGTGCTTTCAGATACTTCTATAGAGGAGAAACAGATACCCCTTGCGAGGAGGTGCCTAAATAACGATGACGTTGAGAATGGAGGATCGATGTTCAGAGACTCATCGCCCTTTTCAAATCGATTGATCTATATGTAGCTGAAATGGTATTGAATAAACGGAACAGACGCTATGCAGTATTATATATGGCAAGACTTTTATATGTAACCTCCAACGCGGCCATCGGCTGAACAGTCTGGAACCACAAGCCAAACTCAACTTGCTGTCGCAGCGATGACAGCTGGCGCTGGTTGGACTTCCTCCTCCTCAGCCGGGCGCGGAAAGGGGGATTCCTGCTCTCCTTTTGACTGTCCCTCAGCTCTCGTCCCTGAGATATCGACAATGCCAACGCCTCGCACGAGAGCTTGGACTTCGTCCTTTGTCCCTTCGTCGTCTTCAATCATACCGGGAATGGTTCCTCCGCCGATGGTGATCTCCTCACCTTCCTCAGCATCCTTCCAATCAGGAGTCTCTCTTAAACCATCCATTCCTGGAGGCGGAAGCGCCCATGAAGGCATCTTGCTGCAGTACTTCCAGTCGCCGGCCTTATCAGCGTAGGCCACAGCATGCAGATAGATACCAAGTTCATGGGGACCGGGGTCGGTATATAGCTCCGTGTTACAGATCTCGCACTTCTTGCCAGACAGCTTCTCGCCCTTTTTCTTGTAGTAGTCGACAACAGCAGCATCATGTTCACGCGCCATGATCTGGTCGATAACAGCAGGATCAGTGCCAGGCGGGACCCGAGGGGGTGTGGTCAGATGTGTACGGTACGCAACCGTCTCAGCCATTTCCGTCTTTCCCATAGCCGACAAGCGCTCGATGATCTCCTGATCACGCTCGGAGGAACTTTCGTTCTTGCCCAGATCCGGTCCAAACACGCGGCGGTTTGAATAGATGGGGTCGTTGGTGATCGGGTGGCCAAGGAATTGTAGATGTACACGGATTTGATGCGTACGACCGGTCAGCGGTAGACAGTGAACGATACTATAACCATCATCCTCGTTGGCAACATCTGAGGGTGGCGGTGTAGCAGCTTTACGACCATCGTCAGTATTGTCTCCATTTTCCGGAGCAACCTGCGGCCGCTGAGAACGCGGGGGGTAATATGCGACGCGGCGGAACTTCGTCTTCGCATGTTTTCCTGTCGCTCTAACCCTGTTCAATCCCAGCTTTGGACTGACTGAAACGATAGGTTGGTCGCAGACGACAACTCCCTCCGGAAACTTGCCCTTCACCCGCGCAATATATTCCTTCTGCACGCTGCGCTCCTGCAACTGCTTGGCAATCTTCTCTGCTGCTTTGGGGTGTTTCCCAATGAACATAACACCGGACGTGAGCCTGTCGAGCCGATTACAGGGGAGCGGTTTCCATCCGCCACGTTCTGCGCGTAGGATCTCGACGATCGAGTTGAAGTGGTATCGCCCAGCAGAGTGGACAGGCACACCGGCCGGTTTATCAATCACAAGCATATCGTCATCCTCATGGATTACACCAATCGGCTGAGCAGTCACGGGAGGTTCATGACGATGGAGGGTATGAGATACGACCTGGCCGTTGAGAACCTTTGTCGTAGTGGTTGCGGTTTTGCCGCCAACAGTGACCTGGCCGGTCTCGATGGCCCACTTCTGTAGAGCAGATTCTGGTCAGTAACTCGAACTGAACCTGCATGGACGTATATCTCAATAGGAAGACTAACATAATACTCCGGCTCTCTATCTCTGAATTCCGATAGGAAAATCTCCAACAGTTCCCTACCCCGCCATCGCTCCTTGCAGTAGGTATTGTAGGTATAATGATAGGGCTTGACTCTGCGCAAGCCTCCCTCGAGATAGTAGGGCGCTGGCCACGGATCACAGGGCGTCACTGCGACGTCTGGAGGCGGTTCAACCGGGTCTGGAGGAGGGACATGGAATGTATGTTCGACCGGCGTGAGAGCCATGCTGGGCGTGGGGTACCGGCCTCGCCGCGCCAAGTAGGCAAGGATGCGAGGAGAAGGAGCCACGAGGGAGAGAAGTGCAAGGAAATCAAGAAAACGAAACTCGCATGAAAGAAAGAAGAAGAGTGCGAAAGAAGCGCACTGCAAGACGATGGTGTACCACTGTCCTCGTTCTATGGTTCTTTGGTGGCGGATAAAGTTGTCAACGACCGGGGAAATTTTTCTTTTGGCGTTTCCGTCCGCCTGGGCGCTCGATCTGGTCTAGACTCGATGCATCGAGGAGTAAGTATGCATATAGTGTATATTGATCGTCTCTTATACAATCTTGAACAAAGTGTTAAGGCTCTCTCCGGTGTCTTATTTGAGGGGGAAATTCAAAGCTTGGGGCCATATAATACTGCGAGCAAAGGGGGCATGTTTTTGGGTGTCGAGGGATCATTTGATATTTAATCTAGCTAATTAGATGCTGTTTTTTTAGGCCGTTTTAGAAGCTCTAATTTCGAGCATTTTCCTTCGGTTTAGATGCTAGTTTCTTATTGGTGTGTTCAAAATATCAATTACTACTCTGGACCCCGGCCGTTGGCTGCTTATACCTACCCCCTTCTTTGCCCATCCTATACCATGGTCTTTTACTTCTATATTCCCTTGCTGGCCTGCAGTCTGTCGAATCTGAAATGTCACAGAAGCATGGTCTGATTTGAACCAGCTAGCTGATTGCCTGAATTGCTTACTTGCTTCTAGTTTTAGAGGGGGTTTTGAACCCATATTTATCTCTATAGCATACAAAGCATCTAGATCCTAGTAATCTAGTAGGTTCTAACTATCCTAGAATTAAGATACCAAAGAACTTGTTGCGAACGGATGATCGACAGACCATCTGGACGTACGCTTTGTGCGCTGACACAGTCACCGGCTAGCTTCATCCACCGTGATATTAATCTGCGCCATTCATCGTCGTCAGTCACCATGTGTCCCTATATCTGTCTGCTGCATTCCTTCCCTTTTGCATTCACGGTAGAAATGGAGTTAATGCCCCCTCCTCGGGCATAAAAATGCGTCTCTCGCCCCTTTCCTCTTCATCTTTCTTTCTCTTCCTCGCGCGCACAGTGGGCCGGTTCTACCACTTCTTTAGGGCCTGGCCTACCGTGCTGGCTTTTACTTACTGCTTTCTTCTTTTATATTTCCTGAGCTACCGGGCCATACAAGGTCGAATCCATATACAGAGGTCCAGGCTGCCCTCTCTCCGTGCACTGACGACGTGAGAGTTATCAGCTCGGAGAATCTGATAATAACTGAGCAGGAATGCCTGTATATACTCGAAAATACACAAAGGAAGACTCGAACGATGATATGAGTCTAATGCTGCGAATGTCTCCTGAGAACTTGCTAGCGGATAGGGTCAACTGTTTACTGGACGACATTAAAGGATGCAAAGATGATAGCAATATACGACAACTTGCGTGTTCTCTCTCTTACGGACTATTACTTTCTATGTAAGCGGGTCGAGTGATATTTGTCATAGCCACTAGCAGACGCACCTTTGCGGTCATCCACCAGAGGCGCTTCCAAGAAAAAGCATCGCGTCTCGGGCTCGAAGATTCCGTCTAAGATATGACTTCATAGTTGGTAGATCTGTATAGCCGCAATGATCAGGAATGGCTCAAAAAGGTGTGCTTGGCCAGAGACGGCCATAGATGCGTTCTCACCAACTTGCTGGAGGAGAAGTCAGCCACTGCAAATAAGGCTATAACAATCACTGAGTGTGCCCATATCATCCTTTTCTCGCTAGGGACATGGCAGTTTGACTCCGAACAGCGGGTCAAGGCGAAAGATGAGTGATATTTAATAGATATTTCCTATCATTATGCAGACGAATCGGGTTCATTCAGAAGTCTATTAATGACCTGCGGAGCACCATAACGAGGGCCAAATTCTTGCAGAGCCTTTTTTTTTGCAAATTTGCAATCGCCTTCGAAGCTACCGACTGGACTCGTACATACACTATCCAATACAAACTCAAATGAGGGAATTTCGATTTTGCCCGTACTGGTCAATTCCCAACTGTTCTTTATCATGAAGTAGAGGCGCAATTTCGTGAAGGAGTTTCTTGCGCCAAAGTCTTCTGCTCTCGCGTTGTTGGGTGTTTCTCGTTATGCGGAGTTCTTCCTGGAACGGATTTCCGAATCTAACAGCTGCTTCGACGACGTTTTGAGTGCTCAGAAAAGCCTTGCAACCCCAGAAGACGTTGAGGAGATGATCCGCCTGCCAGTGCCACGAATCAGGATCTCCGTGAAGGCGCTCTTCTTTCCCGATCCCGAGGATTATTAGACCGTTTAATGAAAGCAAGTGGCCGATCAAATTCGACATAGAGGACAAGCAGTTCGCGGACAATGAGGAGACCATAACGACACTTGGATACTGAGAAGAAACGGGAATAGAGTGAAGTTCGTGAATCATAACACGCCGTATGACCCTCCAGAACCGGTGCTCCTCGAAATCTATACAATCATCACAAGGATTCTTCATGCAACTGGAAAGGCCGAACAGATCGATAAACTTCGATATAAGAAAGACCATACTGGTGCCCTTGCTACAGATGGAAGCACAAATATTGTTTGCACTCCTGTCTGTATTATCTCTTAAGATTCCATCTTCTCTTTCCAGAGTACCGAACCCAGGATAGCCTGTGCACTTTGGCAAGACGGCTGCACCAAGAGTTCCTCCACAAATACCACGAGAAGCAGGCTGTAAGCTCCTTTGCGTCGCCTAGGTCTTTCAGATTATACCAGGCGTCAAACTCCGGACCCAATCCTTTCCACCGCACTAGATATTCAGTTATGGCGCGCCGACGGCGTAAAATCGAACCTTCATATGATTAATAAATATTTCTTGAGTAGTTAATATATAATTCTATATATTAATGTTGGGGGGTAGAAAATAAAACATATATAAAGCTATGTATGCGCACATAGATATACATATTCAACGCGGGTAGATTCGTTGAATCCTGGATGCCAGCTCATAGTGTTCAAGCATGTTCCACATAATCTGTAACCGGGTATTCGATATCAGGAACACTCTTCATTCTGATGTTTTTTAGAGACCAACTCATATTTCCCCGGTACTAGTTCAGGGAGTCAGAAATAGAGAAGTTCCGCACCGTGAGATCACTGGATCTGAATTGAGAACTCCGGGACGGTACAACACAATATAGAATCTTGCATGCTGACCGATAGAACAATGTCTATATCTCGCATAATTTAAAAGTACCATGGATCGAGCGAGGTCGTGTCCAAGGATATTGGAGATCCGATAGATCTCCTAGCTGGGGCTGAATCCGCTCTTCACCGGAGTTCATGGAACATTGGGGGTATTTCTCACATAGAATAATGGCGAACACGTGGATCCGACTAACGATATATCAGACACTAACGCTATTAGTGGCGGATATAAAAGCACAAAGGTCGGAGCCACGGAGATTCTTCGCTGTCTCTGGAAAAGCCGTGCCGGCACGCCCATAACACTGTTTTCTGTCTATTCTGTCTACCCGGATGACACGAACACGACCTACCTTTCGCCTTAGGCTCTAAGCCGGCCTGCTTCTTTTGAGCGCTACTTACGGAGTCACCCATAATATGGTTATGAACTTTCAGATCTCCGATAGATACCTATAGATGTCCCAAGTGGCCCCATAACAGCCGCCATGTGGTGAGTATCTCCAGGGTAGATCACGCAAAGATCTGCACTCGATTCCAATGTATGTAATACCGTACGTCCACACAGATCACGCCGCACATTCATTTCAGCTCAATTTTCTGACCGGACCAGAAAGATTCACAGATAATAATAGTGAGCCTTCGCTTGTGCTAGTGATATCACTAGTTCAGCCTCTCGAGATGGCGCACACAGCGGATGAAGGCATTGTAACCAATTGTTGACGAACTATGCGTCTCCATCTCAATGGCTGTGCTGGAGGCTTGTCCAGAACAAGCTTTGCACCAGCCGCGTATGTACCGGCCCCTCCTCGGCGGTAGATATGGTTGTGCCAATGAGGGCTACGCTTCGTCTTAGGCGTTCTGAGATCTCAGATTCGCGATACGAACACCCCACCATCAATAGGGGGGAAATGCGAGTACAAAGAGGCATAAATAACCCCCTTCCGAGGATGCCGTAGGTCTTTTGATTTGATCACTGCCCTCTTCATCCTTCTCACGCTCCTTACGGATCTGCCACTTCTATCTGAACCAATCAAAAACCAGAACATCTTCCTCGTCGACACCATGAGCGGAAACTTCAGCGGTCTGCTGAACCAGGCAGAGAGTGTGTTCCCCTTTTCACAGAATGCTCTCTCAGGGCTCATTGTCCTTGTTTGAGGTTCATGCTAATCGAGCTTGTTTCCAGGCTTCCTGAACAACCAGGGAGGTTCCAACAGCGACTCCAACCGGGGTAACAACTTCAACCAGGGCAACGACTCCTACCAGGGAAACAACTCCAACCAGAGCAACGACTCTTACCAGAGCAACGACTCTTACCAGGACAACAACTCCAACCAGGGCAACGACTCCTACCAGGGAAACAACTCCAACCAGAGAAACGACTCCTACCAGGACAACAACTCCAACCAGAGCCAGAACAACAGTAACAACAACAGCAACAGCAACAGCCAGGGTGGCTTCAGCGGCCTCGGTGGCTCCGCGGTTGAGAACCAAATTGACCAGTTCGTCGACAAGGCCATCGACGGACAGATCCCTCAGGGTCTTGACTCTAGCGTCAACTCGTTTGTCAACCAGCAGATCCACAGCCAGGTCAGCAAGTTCTTCTGAACATGAGATGAGAGCATAACATGGGTGTGGTTATTTTTGGAAGAGGACACCAAGATGCCCTTCATTATCTGATGTGGATTTATTAGTCCCACTGCCCCGTCGTCTCTCTTACAATGTTATGAGGATACGATCAGCCTAACGAATTGGCTGTTATAACGGAACTATTAAATATATATATATATATAATCTTCACGAGTTCGAAAGCATTGTTTATTACTATAGCCTCCACGTATGAAGGGGTATGTCGACTAGATAACATCTATTTCCCCTGATCTGTTGCTGGAGTCCACTCCAGACTGAAGCTTGTCAGCCTGTACCCAACTCGATCCATTGGCGACGCTAATCTAAGTTTTATCTCGATTACAATCTGTACTGTTCTACATAAGTATCACGATGATTTGCAATAACCCCTGTCAAGTAATAAGTGTACTTTATCTACACCCGATTTAGCTCTTTCATCGCCAAGTTCAACTTCAATACCCACCAAATTTATACCCACTACACCAGAATAGCAATATTTATATCGTATTAACATTACTTAATCCTATATAGTCTATGATCATGAGCCCTTCATCTAATTTCAATCTCCAAACTTCTCCAAGTCTTGTCAGAAATCACCGACAAATCGGGTAAATAAAGGCAGATTCAGATTAGATAACCCCGCAACGAACCTCGGCTCAACGCGACAATTATTAAGTAATCATCAGCACTTCCGCCGCAACATCAAATAGTTAGGAGTAGAGCATCTAACTAGGACTTCAACTTCGTCCAGTTTACCTGCTTACACCAAAAATGTCGGCAACCTACTCCGATACCGAAGTCGACACTACCGTTATATTGATCACTGCAGCTATTGGAGCTGCTACCGGAGTAGTTACTAGTGTTGTTGCTGCTGTAGCTGCCCAGGAAGAACGCAAAGCGCGACGTCGTACTCGTCGATCCCGAAGTGATCGCGACAACCGATCGCGACGTCGTACGAAGCGGCAATATCGACGAAGTGTTCGCGAGGAACGATCCAATTGAAGTATAGGATCTGAGCGGGCTCTTAACTTTCTTGTGATTTTTTTTTTATTTCGGACTTTTAAGAAAATACTGGATACTGCACCTATAACAACATACCTATCTATCAAATAATTATGGCCCCGTCGGAGATCATTCAGGCGAAAAAGCGCCGGACGCGCAAAGACTATGCGTATCATCTGGAGTATCGGACGAGATGGTAAGTTCGTATAAATTTCCCTTGGTTAGCTCTCGCACATGACTTGCCACTCTTCTACCATTCATAACCAAAAGAAGTTCAAACAGAATGAAGACTCAAAAAATATTAAAAAAGAAGGAATCCAAACAATGGCATGGCATATAAACTAACTAACTATCATGAAGCAATTAATTAAATTTACTTCCTGCTGACAATATATGATTATTTAAGGTCCGATAACGATATGTACGCCCATCTGAATAATAGCATCTACGCCTTCCTCATCGACTCCATAGTCAACACGTACTTGATTACACATTGCGGTCTGAATCCTTTCAAAAACAAGAACATTCCCTCCTCTACTGGATCTCCATCAACATCGAACCACATCGGTCTCGTGGTATCCTCTTACTGCGACTATTTCGCTTCTGTCTCGTTTCCGGATGTGCTCGATCTGTGTCTGCGTGTAGTCAAGCTTGGTTCAACTAGCGTTACGTATGAGGTGGGTGTGTTTAAGCAGGGAGAGGAGGGCGTTAAGGCCGTGGGTGGGTTCACGCATGTGTTTGTGGACGAGGGAATGAAGCCGGCGAAAGGCGGCATGGATGAGAGGATTCGGAAGGGGTTGGAGAAGTTGGTGGTTGGAGATGGCAGGGGGTCCAAGCTGTGAGGATTTCGGGGGTGGTAGGGAGTCGGCATGACGTGCGCTGCATACTAATAAGGTAGTGTGATACTTGCATATTACATAGTGCAGTTAAGAGATTGGATAAAAGAAATGCAGATCCATGCTTGATGTATTCTCTAATATAGCATAAGTAAAATCGCAGACACAAAATTCTATCCAGTTAACTAGCACATGTCCCTCGCCATCACTCCTCGCTGGCTTTTCTATTGCAGATGTAAAGCAAAACCCAGTATCCAATCATTTTATGGTGAGATGTCCAGATCATTATAAGAAATATCGCTAGAACACCGAACCCAGATCACACCGAAATCCTCACCCGAAAAAAGTAAACTGATCAAGTTCACAAGTCAATAACACAGTGCCACAGTTGGTAGGAAGATATCGTGCTCGAACAAAATATCACAAATAGGCGCCCGCTCCTTCCGTGGACATATCCAGTTCATCGCAGCATTAATACATTTTTGTTTTATTGTTGACATTTTGCCTTTGGTCTGCAAAGGCATCGCGAAGAGTTGCATGATTTCTCCAATGGCACTTCGTAGTGGATGTAGGAACGGTCGGATAGCAAGATCTGAACACAATCCGGGTAGTCGAATATATAAGGGCAGCTCATCATTCCATCATCATAAGACTGTTCGTCCTGCTCACACTTCGCGAGGATGGAGCACTTTCAGAAGTCTTCATGCGTCGCATCTTCATTGACTCCTTGTCGAAACACCATTTTCGGTAGGGGCCAGGGATAAATCTGCCTTTGTGGTCCCATCCGGCAACCCAGGTATAACCGTCATCGAGGAGGAAGAAAAGGAACCGCTCTTGCTTTCCTCCCTCGGTGCGGGTGACTGTATGCCAGCGGCATCTTTCCTCCATTTCCGATTCCAGGAGGTAACGGTGGATTATGCGGCAGTAGACTGTAGGCTGCGGCGATTTCTCGTCACAGGTAGCATCGTCCCGACGGATGAGATGCCAGCCACGGCCGGGTATATATCTGTAGGTTCCGGGAACTGGAGAACTCCAGTGTTCGTCGACGCTGATAGCGCCGTTGATACGGTCGCCTCTCTGAAACCAATATTGCGGACAGAAAAGAGTCCGAAGGCAGAGGTAAAGGTTTGGTGCCATAGTGGAAAGTGCCGATGTCTGTAGGGAACTGTTCCGATGGATCAAGTGTCTTCGAGGGATATGTAAAGCTTGCAGAGCTCAATCGAGATACACACTCCGCTGGACTGGAATGCGCCTTGCTTGGATAAAATGGGCCCAGGAGACCGTGTGTTAAAGATCAGACTCCATAGTGACAAGAGAAGATTCAACCACAGTAGATGAGTGCTAGTTAACAGTGGCGGTGGTAAGAATGGGCAGGAAGATCCCGATTGTAGATGGTGTAGAGGATGCCAGACAGGATCGATCGCTTCAAGATGTAGCTTTATAGCTCCTGATATAAGAATCTGGGGTTTGAGACGCCACTAAGCTTGGTGGGCGGTCTGGCGGACAGTCCGGTCTCTCTGAGGGAATCGACTTCACCGCTGTCGATAGCACAAGGGACAGAGGTCGGGGTAATGTTCCCCGGAGACAAGGATCAAGAAAATGATCGGTCGATGGGAGAAGCAGGAAAGATAGAGAAGGTAGTGCAGAAATCGGACCAGGTTGAGCACCGCTGTTATTGATCACGACGAGAGCATGCTGCAGGCCGGGGATCTGACTGGACGATAACGGATGGCGCCATGGTGGATGAAGAGACAAGAAATAGAAAGAGATCGGTCAGACCAGAGAGCTGGTGGTTGTAGATAATTTCGGTCTAGCAGCGGGGAGCGTGCGCGTTCGTAGAAAACAAAACAGAAAATTTTATACGGCGGACTGTCTTCAGGGCTGACCCTGCTTCGGTTTCCACGCGGGACGAGCCACAGAGCCCACTGTTTTAGTCTGTTGTCCACGCCACGCTTGACGGATCGTCCATCATCATCATCATCATCATCACTGTTATTATTGTCATCTCCGACAATCCTTCTCTTGTTTCTTCTTTGGACTACCATTTTTTCATCAACATTCCTCTGACCACATCCTGCTGCGAACTAGTTACCAATATGGCACTCCCAGCCGCTCCAGCGAGCGCTGGTTCATGACCGCTGGCCTGGCGGTGATCAAGTCGACTGCCATGTTTTGGGCATCCACCGTGGAACCCACAAGACCCTTTTGTCTCTCTGATGTTTCGAATCGGAATGGAGACACGCCACTTCGGGGATCAGACAATTCAGCCCTTGTCGGCTTGTCCCTTCTTCGCCCGTTGTCCACGGCGACCCTAGTCTATCTATCGCGAACACAGCCGTGCTGATCCTTTTTGTGGATGCTGTGCGTCGTTATTTGGTCACCTCGCGGTAGAAATAATCATGACTCGAGCTATACCTAATCCCTGCGGGTGTTTAGGGCGTGGTCCTTGTCAGCTTACATGTGATATCTCGACTCGTTCGCGACAACAACCATGATAATATCATAATAATACTCCAGCGCCAGTCACCAGGGGTTCTCCTGCTGGCTTATCAATCTCCCGAGGCCAAACCCCCTATTGGATGGATTGTAACATGATGTGCATATATTGGTACTCCGTAAATATTTCACCACCAGGGTAAAGGACGGACAGTCAAATCAGACTTTGATCCATGGAAGCCAAGCACCTCACCGCTGTACTAGCAGTAGACTACTACTACTACTACGCGGGACAATCCCTTGAATGTGATTGCTAACTCTTTTTTCTTTTTCTTTTTCTGTGCACTGCAGATGCAAGATAATAATAAAGGACAGTTACACAGAAGACTATATGTGGATACCGATCGTCCTCCTGCAGCTGACAAGTCAGGAATTACCTTGCCGCAGAAGTTCTAGGCTCGTTTCAGTTTCAGAAGTTGCAAAATCTGTCGAAAATTGTCAGGACTCTGACAGAAACTCCCTATGTTGGTTACAGTCTGAGCTCCTTTGGAAGCCTTCTGGAAGTCATGCCGTGCTGGCCCGGCCACCAGCCAGACCGACTTTCGAAAAGATACCGAAGACTACCGACCCATCATGTGTTACCGTAGAGTATTCTCGGACTACTAGTCTAGTGGTTATCCCGAGGTTCTGGCCATCTCTGCGCCACACGTTGGTACTTGACTGCTTCCCTCAAGACCATTCCCTCGGACAGCTGGTCGGTTTCCTTCCTGAAGAGCTCCTGCCAAGGCGTCTGGCTCTCAGGTGTTGGATAACCCCCTTTCGCTCTCAAATCGTCTCTTCGTTTCTGGAGCTCGTCTTGGCTGATGAGAATATCTACTCGACGTCTGCTGAGGTCGACTCTAACCCTGTCACCATCGCGCAGCACGGCGAGGTTACCACCAGCCGCGGCTTCAGGGCTAGCGTTCAAAATGGAGGGTGACCCTGAAGTTCCAGATTGCCGCCCATCTCCAATGCATGGCAGTGAATGCACTCCTTGCCGCAACAAGCGGCCAGGAGGATGCATGTTGACTACCTCAGCAGCGCCAGGATAGCCAAGTGGACCAGTTCCGCGCATGATGAGAATGGTGCAATCGTCAACGGGGGTTGCATTGTCCTCTATCCGCCGATGATAGTCCTCTGGGCCGTCAAAGACAACGACTGCACCTTCGAATGCATTTGGATCCTGCGGGTTCTCTAAGAATCTCTGTCGAAATTGAGGTGATATAACGCACGTCTTCATAATGGCGGAATCGAATAGGCTACCTTTCAGATGCACAAAACCAGCATGTTCCATCACAGGTTCAGTATACGGTCTGATGGTATCTCGATCCCAGGAATTCTGTCCTCGAACGTTTTCCCTCATGGACCGTCCATTGCAGGTAAGAACATCAGGGTTTAGCTTTCCAGCATCTAAAAGCTCAGCCATGACGGCCGGAACACCACCTGCTCGGAAATACTCCTCACCAAGCCGTTCTCCAGCTGGTAGCAGGTTGACAAGAAGAGGGATGTCGAACCCGATCTTGTCCCAGTCCTCCAGGGTGACTTCGACGCCGACGTGCTTAGCGATGGCGTTAATGTGGATTGGGGCATTCGTACTGCCACCAATGGCGGTATTTACAACAATTGCATTTTCAAATGCCTCCCGTGTCATGATATCGCTAGGTTTCCGGTCCTCACGGACCATCTCGACGATCTGTAGGCCAGTCTCATAAGCACAATGACCTCGCTCTCGGTACGGAGCGGGAATGGCAGCAGAGCCTGGAAGCGCCATTCCGAGTGCCTCTGCAAGAGAGTTCATAGTCATCGCTGTGCCCATTGTATTACAATGACCAACGGACGGAGCGCTGGATGGATTGTCAGAAACCACAATCGTCCTAGACGATAAGGACAGCTGATCGGGTCTCTTTCTTACCCTCTCGATACCAGATCCATGAACTCCTCCTTGTCGATTTCGCCCGCAGCGTAGAGTTCTCGAGCTTTCCAAACTATCGACCCAGAGCCTACCAATTCGTTTTTATGATATCCATTCAGCATTGGACCGACATTAAGACATATTGCTGGTATATTCTGTGAGAGAATTAGTTATCTATGCTGGGGGAGTATATGTATGAATGGAATACCACCCACCACCGTAGCCGCAGCCATCAAACATGCTGGTGTGGTCTTATCGCACCCTGTAAGGAGCACAACACCATCCAGGGGATATCCATAGAGGACCTCGACAAGACTCAAGTATGCTAGATTCCTATCAAGACATGCGGTCGGTCTCTTGCCGCTCTCCTGTATCGGATGTGTTGGGAATTCGAAGGCGATTCCGCCCGCTGACCGGATTCCCTCCCGCACACGCTTTGCCAACTCCAGATGATGGCGATTGCATGGAGACAGGTCAGAACCAGTCTGGGCGATCCCAATGACCGGCTTTCCGGACATCAGCTCCTCGCGTGTCAAGCCATAATTGAGATATCGTTCGACATACAAAGCCGTCATGCCAGGATTACTCTCGTTATTGAACCATCTAGATGATCGCAGGGGGCTCGACTGGCTAGCGGAGCGTTTCGAAGCAGCAGCACCAGTCAATGATGCTAATTTGCTCTCCAGCTGCTTGGTCTTTTCTCGTAGAGCCTGGAGCTCTGCTTGGCAGTCTTCAATATCGGCCGGGACCTGTTTCCCGTTGCCATCGCAGGAGCAGCCTGCACAGGACTGTCTAGACCCGCACGACATTTCGATAGAAGATAGCGGATGATGATCTGTTCTGGAAGATATCAAAACCAAAACATTCTAAGGCGGGATATTCACATTGTAATAAATAGCACATGACTCACCAGCGATTATTGCGTGCCACTGCCATATTCGACCGATACTTATGCTCTTGAAGGGGTTACAATCGGGCCGCAGCCCGACTTCCTCGTTCCACGAATCTCGGCTGCTTGGCAGGAAAGCAACAATCAATAAACGGCCTCAGATCTTTGCTGACTCAAGAGGCGAGGGGGTTGCTTCTAGTTGATTTTCTCTGGCTGCCGATTTGCACGGAGATCCTCCGTGTTAGGGACGATGATCTCCGGCTTGAATTCGGCCCCTGCCGAGCTCCGACGGGCATTTCAGACGATGAGAAACACCGAAGGTTATCACGGAACTGCTTCATCGTGATATTCCTCAAAGAAATAACAAGGATGCCTTCTATGGCAAAACCTATACTAGTCATCGTTTCTCCTGAGTCCTAATAGAGCGACGGTGCGGCCCGCAACTACAAACATATGGAGATCTCATTCGTTTAATGCGGGGTATATCATTATTATCTAACTACATACTGCATAGTTATCACATCTCTCCCAACAGGACGGTTCTGCAAACCTCTACTTCGCTTCACAAGTCGTACTTAAGTGCAAGATTGATCGTTTCAAGGGACGCCCTGGGGAAATCTTGCGAAATGCTATGATTTGCGGGGACACAACTGGTGATATGCAGCTAGAAAGGCAGAACTTTTCAGTCTCACTCTTATGCAATAATTGGGGATTGACCCCCACTGATCACCATCAGACTGGATCGAATCATATCTCTGGTCTTTCTGCTGAATTAAAGTATTAGATGGCCATGGTTCCTTCCCTCAACCTTCCTCAATAGATAATCTTGCTCGTCGTCTGCCCTAGAGCAATACAATAGCGGCTTTCAGCACTTCAGGGGGGAAAAAAGAAACAATGAAACCAGTATACGCCACATACTCAACAGTTTTTATAGATCTATTAGGCTAGTACTTTTCCAAAACATACACGGATTGTCCGGAAACTTAGAAAGCTTGTAAAGCTTTACTCATTCATAGCATACACTTTGTTCAGTAGACGAGCTCTCCATCATCTGATACAAGGGGAAGAACATACGCTCGAGATCAAATGTGTTTTAGAAGTATGAAAAATATAAGCAATGCATTTCTACTTCAATCCTATCCTGAAACGTCATGAAGGCCCATCTCTTTTTCCTTCTCGGCTATCAACCAAAGAGTGTATCTATTCTGCGACGAGAGTATCATCATCTTCTTCTTCCCCAAAATCCCTCAAAGCAATACGGGAACAAACTAGATTTCATTTCAGCATAGCAATCAAAGAGAGAAGAACAGAGAAAGAGCCCCGGAACGCCTATCCAATGCTAGCACAAAGTGGCCAAGAGGGTGTATCATCTACGCGAATAGAACTTCAAAACGGCAAGTCTATTGCGCAGCGCACTGCGCTGGCTCATCATCGTCTTCATCCTCCCAGCCAGAGCCGCCGCGGGGGTCGTTGGCTCCGAAATCTTCCAGGTCGCCCTGAGGGTCGTATTCGACTTCGTCAACGACGTCTGTCTGGATGGGCGGTTCCGGCTTGGGCAGGATCTCTCTGAGCTTCTCCAGCTCAGCGGGGCTGGGTGTCCACTTCTCGTCGGGGAACTTGACGTTGACTACCAGGTACAAGTCGCCGCGAGCGTCGCTGCGTTTGTGTGGCATGCCTTCACCAGGAATCTTCAGGACTTGGTCGGGGTGAAGAACCTGACCTGGCTTCTTGGGATGAGTGATCTCGATGCCGCGCCCATCAAGGTGTTTCACTACAACGCGGGAGAAGCCGGCCAGGGCCTCTGCGAGCGTGATGTCGAGAGTCGCCGTCAGGTCCGCACCAGCTCGTCTGAACGTGGGGTGTTCTATCTCAGCGATATGGAAGACGATATCGCCAGGTTCCTGACCAGGGACCTGATCCGCTTCGCCTTCCAGGACGATCTTATCTCCTTCCCTGCAAGCAGTTAGTTATCTGAATGATGTGGGCGTTGTTTCCTTCAAAACTCACTTTGCACCCCGGGGAATATAAATCTCCAGCATTTTCTTCTCCTCAGTCACCTTCTCCCCCTTGCACTTCTTGCACTTGTCCTTCGGGCTGAAAAAGCTTCCATCGCCCTTGCACACAGAACATGCCACGGTCTGTTGAGTCAAGTAAGGACCCATGCGGGTGAGTACTTCCTTGAAACCTGCCGGGGATAGTATTTAGTATATGAAGCTCGTACGCTCAAATGGAAATACCATCTTACCTTGTCCGTCACAGGTTGAGCACTTCTTGGCCTGCGCCTTCTCTTTGCCTCCCTTGCCCTTGCAGAGGCTGCAAATGACGTTCTTCGTGCTGGCGAACTTGACGGTCCTGCCCTTGTACAGATCTTCCAAGCTGACCTCGTATTTCTGCTCTTCATTCGGACTCCTTCTAGGCTTTTTGGGACGGGCACCTCCGGGCATGCCGCCCATACCGCCCATGCCACCAAACATCTGTGCGAGGATATCGTCCAAGTCGGGTCCTGCACCCATTCCGGGGTCTCCTGATCCGTTGAAAGCGCCCATTCCATGAGTGTCATAGAGGTGTCGCTTCTCCTCATCATAGAGAATATCGTAGGCTTGTTGCACCATTTTGAATTTGACTTCTGCAGCCTCACGCTCCTCTTCTGGCACCTTGTCGGGATGACTTCCTAGAGCGGCCTTACGCATAACGTGTAAGTTACCCCGTTTTATTTTCCCATAGATGATATATCCCGTACCTTGCGATAGGCCTTGCGAATTTCCTCCTTGGACGCATTTCGCTCTATCTCCAAGACCTCTGCCAACTGTCAATAACCTGCACAAAACAAACAGCCGGTCCGATGGCGTACCATAGAGGTCGATTTCAACTTCCGCCACTATTGCAAAAAGAAGTCAGAAAACGCGTCGCGCATCAGGCGATATCATAAGTTATGGCTGACATACTTGGGTATTTCCAAGGCGTTGAATCGCCCTTTTCGGATCGCAGGGAGTAGCAACTAAAGATCTGTGATCAGACTAGAGAAAAACTCGTTTATCCCCGCAGAAAGGCCTAAAAAAGCACGGGGAAAACACAGGCGTGGAATGACTCCAAACAGTTGGAACTTTTTTGGATGCTGCGGCCCGCGAAATTTCAGATGACTTGCGGCGGAGTTTCCTTTGCGGGTCTTCCGACCTCCGCAAAAAGATTATTGTTTCCGGACTAGAGTAGAGCAGCAGCAGCAACAATCAAACAGCAGAACTGCCTTCTCGCCCTTTTACACGATCAGAGCGAGTTAGCAATGCGACGCGCTCCCCAAGGGCTATTCGCCCGTCGAACGTGGATTTGTGTCCAGTGCAGAGCCCACTCCGTCGCCGCCGCGCGCTCTGCGAATCCCAGCGCTGGCAAGAAGAGTAATGGAAAGCTCCCCGATACGCCTGCTCGGACGCGTTTTGCACCATCTCCTACCGGTTACCTCCATCTTGGATCATTGAGGACGGCGCTGTTCAACTATTTGCTGGCCAGGAGAACGGGCGGTCAATTCCTTCTCCGCATCGAAGATACCGATCAGGTTGGTTATGCTAGGCATGGGAGTGACTAGGAATATGCGACTAATTAGCGAAGAAAAGGACAATCCCGGGCGCGGAGGAGAGATTATGCGAAGATTTACATTGGGCTGGGTTGCAATGGGATGAGGGTCAGTGAAGACAAGCTTGCAATCGACAATCATGATCTAACGGCTGGTAGGACCTACCGTTGGAGGTCCGCATGGCCCGTATAGACAGGTAAGCCGCATCGTACTGTTTTCCTAGTATTTGCTGGGACTAATATTGTTTCCAGTCAGAGCGGACATCCCTCTATCGAACCCACGCCCACGAGTTAATATCGAACGGCCATGCATACCGCTGCTTCTGCAGTCCCGAGCGACTGGATACCCTTGCGAGACATAGGAGCCAGGCAGGACTTCCTCCTGGATATGATCGGACGTGTGCCAATCTGTCAGCAGAGGAATCGGAGGAAAGGGCCGCAAAGGGTGAAGCACATGTCGTACGGTTGAAGGCAGACGGATACCCCATGTTTGAGGACCTTGTGTATGGAAAGACTGGTCAGAACCGCCAGAAGCACAAAGTAGACTTCATCGACCGTATATACGACGATCCGATCTTACTGAAGTCCGACGGTCATCCTACTTACCATCTGGCCAACGTGGTAGATGATCACACCATGAAGATTACGCACGTTATTCGTGGTACTGTAAGTATCATCCCTCAGACAGGCTCGTTGAGTTTCTGACTTTTCGTATCAGGAATGGATGCCCTCAACTCCAATGCATATGGCTCTGTACGACGCTTTCAAATGGACGCCGCCCAAGTTCGGCCATGTTCCACTGTTGGTGGACAAGAACGGGCAGAAGCTGAGCAAGCGCAATGCCGACATTGATATCTCATTCTTCAGAGATAAGCAGGGAGTCTTGCCTGCGACTCTTGTGAACTTTGCTGCTCTGCTGGGATGGTCGCATACTCAGAAATCAGACGTATTCTCCCTTGATGAGCTGGAACAGATTGTATGTTTTATGTCCCAGTTGTGCGATCCCCGACCTGCTACTGACAAGATCTAGTTCAACCTGAAAATCACGAAAGGGAACGCAGTCGTCGCCTTCGAGAAGCTCTGGTTCCTGCAGAAGGCGCATGCGCAACGGTACGCCACGACTGGTGGTCCTGTATTCGAGGGAATGGTTTCCAAGGTGTCAGAAGCTGCGAACAATACATGCCCGATAACGGAACTGTGAGTATAGCTTTCTGATCAATTTCCCACCCCCAGCATCTGTAACTACAACTGACATCGACATCACCAGTGGTCCAATCCTACAAGGCCGTACGCTTCCTGAGTACGTGACACCATTGCTTCGCGCAGACGCGAAATCCTACACCAACGCCCAGGAGTTCGTCGAGCGCAATCGCTCATTCTTCACACCTACTCTCGACCGGGCACCATACACACCAACGTCTAGCAAGAACCCCTCGACAACGCCTGGTTCTGAAACGCCCACCGTTCCCATTTCCGCCCTCCACACCGCAGCAGCAGCATTCAGCCTCGTTCCCGAATCCCACTGGAACGCAGAAACCCACCGCTTCAACATCTCCTCCTACGACGGCGCCTCCGCCCTCTCAGACACAACATCATCTTCTTCAGTCTCCGCACCCGATGCAGCAACACCAGAAGAGGCAGAAAAGGCCCGCATCGCCGCAGACAAGACCTTCAAGAAAGAACTATATCATTACCTCCGCTGGGCTTTATCCGCCGGTGCCCCTGGACCCGGTATCCCTGAGACGATGGAGATTCTCGGACGGGCAGAGAGCGTGAAAAGACTCGATGAAGCAAGACTTTTGACCACAGACGAAAGTTCCAAACGAGGTCTTTTCAGGGGAAATCGGAGACCGAAGGGTGTGGATCTCGATGGTGATACCTCGTGGATGGGCTCGCTTGCGCCGCAGTAGCGAGATCAGGATTTGAAGGGAAAAAAGAAGGAAGAAGAAAAAGAGACAGAAAGTGAAATGATATGATAGGGCTACAGATCTTCTCTCTGTATTATTATTATAGATGAATCAACTGGAAAAATCTTGTACTATATACTATACTTCCTTTTTTTCAATGACATATGTTTAACTTCATAATTCTCTTACTATTTCTCCAGAAATAATGATGGCTACTTCTACAAACAGCAGAATAAGACTACGAGAAGTGTCCAGGATGTCTTATAGATAAAATCAAACATTTTGAATAGCAAAAACTATAGCTTCGTTAAATCGCGTACACGAACAAAATATAGCATGCTGGCTTGCTTGAACTGCAAAAAAAGACGCTAAGCAAACGCAACCAGAAACATATCATAGTCCTTTCCAGGACGAAAACGAGAACGAGTTTTGGCAAGGCAGTATTATACAAGCAGAGAGGACAATTAGGGTATGTTATTGGCCCTTAGCTTGTGCATACGCCAAGCAGAACTGACGACGAGGTGCAATCACACCTAGCTGAAGAACAACAGAAATCAAGGCACCGAGAGGTGAAACGCAAACAGAAAAGAAACGAGAAGACCCATATGCATGATACCAACCACCACGCAAACCCACCGCCGTATTCCTGTTCCAAATAAAAACCGACCGCGAAATAGGGAGTATGCACAAGACGAGATTAGCTGGGGAAAAGAAAGCCATCCAAGGGTTAAAATTCACAGACGAAAGTCGAAACATTTCAATCACAGTATAACAATCCGAAGTATCGTTGACAGAGAATAGAAAGCGCCACAGACACAAACGCGCGCGGTGCCTGCTGGTATTAACGGACTGGGAACCAACGCCAGAAAGGAAGAGTGCCAAGATCGACTGAGAAACGTAGAGCAAGTCAATCGTGGAATCGTGAGCTCGTGGCCATCCAGGAAGCTCCATAACTCCTTCCTTCCCAAGGAATCCGAAGCGCCAAAAGAAAAGTATTAGCAAGAAAAAGAAGTATTTTTTTAATAAGTCTCCATATCATCCGTCCACCCGGCGTCGCTGCCCTCGATTCTAACGAGGTGTCCGTCTTCTTCAACTAGTCTTTCCTCTTGCCCCACGCCTCTGATGCCTTTAGCCTTTTTGCCTATCATAGATAGATTCTGGCAGTCATCGGGGGCAAATCGCTTGCTGTTGGCAGCCCTCAACTTGGCGTAATAGACATCACTTGCATCAGCTTCGGGCTCCGACGTGTCATCGTCGTACGTCTCCCAATTCTCCGAACCCGATGTCACAGTCGGGGTCGAGGATGAATTCGAGGTCTGCCTGTTAGGTGGAGCAGGTGCCTGGTACTGCAAATAGGGATTTTCCGCGGGATAGCCCGCATCCCTGCTGGAGACAGATTGAATGGATTGCACTGAACGGTTCATTCCGCTGCTCTTGTGTGACATAAAAGAGGTGTTGAAATAAGATCGCTGATAGCGGTCATCATACACGTCCTCAGGACTGACAGGTCGCACAAAGGCGCCGGACATGGCGCTTGCAGAACGGGGTGGTGGCTCCATAGGATAGCTCTGTTCCCTAGGCTCGGCAGCTAGATCTCGCATCTTTGGCGGCGGAGCACGAGGGGGAGGCATCTTGCTGCGGTTGAGGCTAGCAGAGAATGAGCTGGCTGGTGGACGGCGGTCCCCGGAGTTGTTGCCATGCGGCATGTTACCAAGTGGCACACGGGCAGGGATCTTCGATGGCGACTTTGCAGAAGCTGACGACATTGTCAACCCGGCAGGTGGGTTCCGTCTCATAGAACCAGCCCCAGTTGGAGTCTTGGTAGCTGAGCGTGGAGGAGGCCCTCTCATAGAGCCACCACCTCCTCTAACAGATGGAGGTTGCCTTGTGCTACTCGCCGTGCTCATGGTGCTTGATTTGAAGTTGGGAGCTGAAGAGGGAGTCTTGGATCGTGGCGGAGGTTTGGCAGCAGGCACGCTGAGTTCATCCAGGTATCGCTCGCCATGAACAAGGAAAGGTCGTCCATACTCGTCTTCCCATTTCTCCAGAGCTTTCCTCAGTTCTGCTTCGACCTTGGGTAGCTCTTTGGCGATCCTCTTTCTCATCTTCTCTTCCCTGAGAAGTTTTCCAGGGTCACGCCTCTCTCCCTTGTTACCGCGGGCCATGAGACGAGACGCATCCTGGCTAGAGGCTTCCAGTTCCTCCCGATCCGCTATCAGATCACGGTGTTTCTGTATGAGTTGGAGAGTCGGGGCACGCTGCTCCATCAGTGCTTCCAATCGGGTAATTTCTGCTTCGTGCGCTTCCAGCAGAGCGTCACTGTAGACGTCAGAGAACGCGGGTATGAAATCCAGCATCTCTTCTTCCGAGTAATACAGGGCGTCCCAGAGCTCCTGCAGTCTGCAGCGCGCATCCTCGACAAAGAGATGCAAGTTTTGCCTCTTGAGTTCGTTCAGACGAGCCAGCTCTTCCTCAAACTCATTGATGGTCCGTAGACCGCATCCACGATTGGCCGCAAGAAAGCCCTTGCGGTCACGCTCTTCCACTCCCAGGCGGTCCCAAAGCCCTTCCACGGCAGTTCTCAGGTCTTTGAGCTTCCGTTCACGACCCTTCCTCTCTTCCAACAACTTCTCACGTCGTGCTCTCAGACTAGCGAGGTCTGACTCATGCAGCCCCAATTGTTCGGGAGCATCGCGATAGTATTTTACAATGGTAGAATCAGTCTGCGCCTGCGGAGTTCCGAGTTCTGCCCACAGTTTTATAATTTCCTCGCACATGGCAGTGACGAGGTTGACGCGACGGGTATATTCCTCGTAAACTCTCGAGAACTCAGCGTCCAAAGTGGTAACATATGATGGCGAGAGATCGAAACTAGGAGGAACAGAGGACCCGGGTGCCGTTGGGGGTAGTGGGATCGACACAAAGGACGACTCAAGGTGAGAAGAGTAGGATTCGAGGGCTTCGACAAGCTCTGGACATAGTTAGATACACTGTCTCTTGCTCTATCAATTTCAGACGAACACTCACTTTTGACTTGTTCAAAGCGCTCCCGGTGAAGCTTACTGACTGCGTTATACTTCTCTTTGAGAGTGGCCAGACACTTGTTCAGCGGATAAGAGATGCGCAGGTCGCAATCGTCCAGGCTGTAGCGTCCACTTGCTCTCTCATCCTCCAGAGATGATTCCATTTGTTTTATTGCTTTAATCAGGCGTTGCGCTTCCTCCACCATTTCAGTTTTCTCACTGTAGGCCAGTGTCAACAGACTGTAACATGCAGGGCTCATGTTACGGGGACAAACTCACTTGTTGACGATTCGGAGGTGATTGTGCAGTGTATCAGACAGAGCTGCAAACAGCTATATCACGGAATATAAGCATTCTGCTTTTGTATATCGAATGCGACAGGTGCAACAAACCTCCGTCTCTCGTGACTCCCTTTCATGGTGTGCTATTCCAATCTCATCAAAGATTCCGTGCAGCTGGTCGACGATGCTGTTGACCTGGGTGGTCAAGTAACTGGTATCAACAGCCATTGCGCCTGCGGGTATCAACTCGGGAAACAAAGGCTCTTCGGACCAAGCGAGGGATAGGAATGTCCTCGCGACAAGGGCGTCCAGCAGTTCGAGACTGCGACGGGGAGGGTATCACAGAATTGAAGGCAAAACGAATGAGACAATAGACAGGAAAGAAATGGCCGCCCTTCAGCTCACAGAAATCCCATCCGGCAAAGATAATCAACCTGCAGAGGGGAAAATGGAGGACGAAGGGGAGAGAAGTAAGGCTGAGGCCCCGATGGAGATGTACACAGACCAAGCGGAAGACCTAGAGCGGACGCTTCTTGTTGACGCCGGTCCGTCGCCCAGGTGACCGCTGACTCAGCTGCTCACCGCCTGCTGTTCTGCCGGACTCTCCCCGCGAGGCTCTCCGCAGTTCTGACGACAGCTCCCGCTCTAGAGCTCGCTGATATCTAGTGTCTTTCTTCGCTTCATAGCTTCATCTCTTCAACGGAGTCCTCTTTCGTTATCAGAAGATTTTTCAAGAAATTTTAACTCATCAGAACACAGAGCCTGGCGCTCTAACCCTTTATCATCATGCAGGCTGCTCAGCAGTCTTGGGGTCAGTATTAACCAACCCCGTATGATTCCAATTGCCTGATCAAGATCATCCCCTCTGACCGATAGTGCGAACCCACAGAGTTCGAGAATACGATCAACCTCATCGACCCCCAACGTGATGCGCTCTACAAATACGACGAGGATGCACACAAGGCTCTCGTTGCGGCACGGCCCTGGGCCAGAGACCCCCACTACTTCAAGTCGATACGAATCTCCGCCGTTGCTCTATTGAAAATGGTCATGCACGCTCGATCGGGAGGATCACTAGAAGTCATGGGTCTGATGCAGGGTTATATCGCAGCGGAGACTTTTATCGTCACGGACGCCTTCCGTCTCCCAGTTGAGGGAACAGAGACTCGAGTGAACGCGCAGGACGAGGCAAACGAGTACATGGTCGGATATCTTCAAGCTTGCCGGGATGCAGGACGGATGGAGAACGCGGTGGGGTGGTATCACAGCCATCCCGGGTATGGATGCTGGCTCTCAGGAATCGACGTCACGACGCAGGATATGCAGCAGATGAGTGATCCTTTCGTGGCGGTCGTTATCGACCCCGAGCGTACCATCTCCGCAGGGAAGGTCGAGATTGGCGCCTTCCGCACATTCCCCACAGACTACACGCCTCCCAAAGACCAGCAGGAAGATGATGAATATCAAAGCATACCCCTGAACAAGGTTGAAGATTTTGGTGCTCACGCCTCGCATTATTATTCTCTCGACGTCTCGCATTTCAAAAGCACTCTCGACACCCAACTGCTCTCCCTACTTTGGAATAAATACTGGGTTGCGACACTCAGTCAGAGCCCTCTTTTCACAAGTCGCGACTACGGTAGCAAGCAGATGATGGACCTGAGCCAGAAAGTAAGTCGTGCCGCACGCAATGTTTCCAACAGCGCGTCATCAGGCGGCTTCACTCCATCCAAGGATCAACAACTGGAGAAGGTCATCCGTGACGGCCAACGGATCGTTGCCGAGGAAGTGAATGGACTCGTTGCTGCAGACATCAAGAAACAGCTCTTCCATGGTGTTGGCGAAGCCAGCACAGCAGAGCGCGAGCAGTCCCTAATATAAACGAGATAAAACTTTGATTTTTTGCTTGCGAGAGGTACATAGACACCGGTTTTTACACCGTCTTTCAATGGCCAAAATCACATCTAGGGGTTCTCTGGCGCCAATGGCTTGAATGGTTCATACATTTTTTTTAACTACTTTTCTCAAGAGAAAGTAGAATATGACGAAATGATACTAGCTGAAACGTTCGAATAGACTTTCTCTCTGTCGAAAATACAGTGGAGCTATTAGATTCAAATTCATAAATGTAAATGGTATCCATCTCTATTGATTCAAACAAAAATAGCTGTCTTTTTATACCCTTGTCTTCCCATCATTAATGAAAACAAAAAACTAGGTACTTCACAAGTTTCTCCCGTCCCTTTTATCCCAAGAAGCAACCATGACCAACAAGAAGGGAGGGAGGGGAGAAACAAGAAATAAATAATAAAAACAAAAGGAAGTGATGAGAAAGGAATGAGAATATAACAATTATCATGTCGTAGCGTGTCGTGTCATGTCAAAAGTTGAAGCGCAAACCGAGCAAGAGCAAATATAATATCTCGATGGCTGCAAAAGGAATAAGACAAGAAAAAGTGCATAGGCAGTGAAAGAACCGGTAACAGCTTGAGCGGATCACCTGGTATATCTGCGTACTAGTTCGGACACCAAGGCCGGAAGGTTATATATCGAAAAAGATAGGAAAATTCGTTCAGATGAAAGGAAGTAGAAGTCCCAAGGTGGACAGTGAAGTGTGGATATTTCTGTTCTGATACAGAAACTCCCACAAAAGGGTGAAAAGGAGCGAAATACGTGCAAAGTCGATGGCTTTGGATGAGATCAGCTAGGCTGACTTTGGACCCGGACATCCCTCAGCACATCACTGGAGGCTGCTTGAGGCTAAAATAGAGAAAGGTTCACGTAACTGTCCGTAGTAACATGAGATCGGCTACAGACAGACTGCTGTGATGTTGCAGGAGATGATCAGAGATCCATCCTCGGATGAGCCTAGCTGTTGATTGCAAAGTCAGAACAGATGACGTCTGGCCTCGAACGTGAAGTCAATCTGTGTAACAGCCGTTTGAGCTGCGGCCAAATGGCGCACACACGAATGGCTCCCTTCGTCAAAAATTGCGCGAGATCATCTCCAACGCTCTCGCACGTCTCAAGGTCAGGGGCGAAGAGCATCCGCCAGCCTATTGAAACGTCGCGGGATAGGGTATCTTTGTGCGAAAACGTAGTCATCATCATCATATTGTCAGATAAATCAGGATTGGACAATTCCATCCTGGCGGGGGTCATCTCGCGCGTCTCTGTTGACAACTCGAGGAACGATCATAGGGCGCACAGGCGGCCAATCTGTGTATAAGCTCGGACAGTAATCTGAACTGCTTTACCGAACTCGGCTTACCGCTGGTGAGAATTTTGCTATTCTCACAGGCCAAGCCGGACGGTGCGATAAGTGAACCGAGAAGTATCGCGTGATGGCTGAGATAAGAACCCCCACGGCTCGGATACGACGTCGCCAGGGATTGCGTGCTAGCGGAGAGCCGCCCCTTCTGTAGCCTCGCCCAATCGAAAACCGCCGCTGTTTACAGGAAGCCCGACTCAGAAAGGAGTCTACGTACGACCAAATGTTAGTGATTCGTTCGTGCCCTCATGAAGAGAAAAGTGACAATCGGCGGGGAACGCGAGTATCATGGATATAAGAAGATAGACTGGTGGAAACAGGTAAGCTATGCGAATAACGATGGCCAGATCGCCCCGTCGCGTGCAACCAACAGCCTGGGGTTTTCCTGTTTGGAAATGATCTGCCTTATTATGGCGGCCGCTCTGCAAACCCAAAGAAATTGCAACGCCATATGGTATCTAGTCGTGCTGTGTGAAATCATAGTTCATGAAAAGAAAAGCAAAGAAGGGGGTATAGTGCGCAATGTATGGTGTAAAATCATGTGTAGGGAAGAGAGGCATGCAAGAGGACTCATCGTAATGATGCGACCACACTTGCGACAGCCAGGGAACTGGTTTGCAGTGGTCGCACTTCTCTACTGGCAGCAGCATACCTAGCGATCTTTTCGTCCTCTCGTTCTCGAGGCTCTACCTCCAGACTCCGGTCATACATCTCGTGGACGTCTCCAGCGGCCTGCATGTTGCTAAGGATGTAGTCCTGCAGCTCGGGCACCGGCTGGAGGAGATACGGCACGTTCTGATATTGTTGAATGTCCCGGATCACTTCAGCAGTCTTGGTACGCTTGTTGAAGTTGATAAGTTCGGACGGTGTCAAAGATGGAATACCATCCTCGATGAAAGTCAGATCGGTTAGATAGACACCTAGAGATAGAGTGTTAGTGGCGCTGGGGTACATATGATTTGCAGAGTATCGAAAGATCATACCGAAAAAAGGAATACAAGGAGGATTCGCGAGATGCAACGTCTCGCGGTATTCGCCAAAGTTCTTCGTACTGGCCATCAATCGGCGCATCTGTTCCAGGATTGTCGATGTTCGCCCGCTGACTTGGGCCCAAGTCCGACCGAGACGGTGGATGGGCGCTGTTCCAAGAGCAGAAATGATGGATGTCAGAGTAGAATAGTTGTTGAGAGCACGGCATTTCTGTAGATCTGAGTCAGCAAATGTTCATATAGAGAGATAAAGGGAGTCCCAGTACATCTGCCACGTTCACAAAGTGTTTTATAACGACAACTCTTTTCTTGACATCGGACTGAGTGAGAATCATCTCCGCGACCCAGTTGGTCAACTGGTTGGAATGTAGAATGAGAGCTTTGACATTGGGGGAAGGCTCCTTCTCATCAGGGCCGACCTTCTTCTGCCAAGTCTTGTTCAAGCACTCAGTAGCCCGAATCTTGGCGTACAGTCGCGACTCGATGATGGTCAGTTGTCTAGCGAACTCGGTAGCATCGATGTCTAGGAACTTCAGCTTCTTCATGTTCTTGGGAATGATCGGTGTCGGAGCGGGAGTGGCCTGCGTGAGGACCAGCCGTTTAGCAGTGGTGGTGTCCTGACCCTTTAGTCGCTGCTCGATAATAGCCAGCAACTGCGGAGAGCCGGGAGTCTTCGTGGTAGCAATGGAGTCCTTCGTGAAGGCGTGGACTCGTCGGAGGAGATTCATGTTCTCTTCGTCATTTGGCTCCATCCAGAAGTGCTCGAACCAACTCTTCAGGATATTGACTACTCTAAAACGAATGGGCTTCTGCTTCCTATCAACCCACATCTGCATGTCGTCCTGACTGAGGCCATACGGTGGCTGAATGGTGAATCTCTGGACGAGCATCTCGAAGAGTTCGGGTGCGCTGGTGAAAGATCTATATGTGAGGAGGAAAGTATTGTTGAAAGAAGCATCGAGTTTGTCATGGCGCGTCAAGTGCTCCACCAATCCTGCGAGTGTACCGCACTTGAGGGTTGGCGGATCTCCCTTGGTATCGTAGAATACTTCACCTTCGTGGTCAATCTTCAGGAACCAAGGCGTTTCTTCTGGCTCTCTCACAGGCTCCCGGATAGGTTCTCTAGTGATGGCAGTTGGTGGGGCTTGGCCGAAGAAACGCTGCGCCTTGTCCATATTGCGTCGAACCTTTTCGGGCTCCCCGTCAAGGCCAAATGGAAGAGGATCATTATTTCTCAAGCTTTGAGAATCTGCCCGGACGTGGAGCTTAAACGGCTCACTAGTGCTTCCGAAGCGAGTCTGGTTTTGAGGAGAGGTCATCTCAGGGATCTGCTCTTGAAGCAGCGAAAGTGAAAAGCCCAGTTGAGAGACATAATTCTCTATCTGTTTGGCGACGACGCGCACGCCGGTCAATCGGTCCTCAAGCGAGTCACCACGCAACTCCGCCCATTCATCGCCAAGAGGAGCGGAAACGCCCTGACAGCTCAAGATAAGGTCCGCAATACCATCGTAAACTCTCTGCTTCTGCACGCTGAAGTCCACCAGCTGCGGGTTCTGGAAGCTCGTTCCCAGGGGCGCAAGATTAACCGATTCGATGGCAGAAATCCAAGGCCGAAAGTGTTCGACTACCTTGATTGCAGCAGTGCAAACAGCCTCGCTCAGAACTTGATGTCCAGCAGCGGTGACCACTTTCTCATTTAGGGCGCACTGTTCTTCCAAGCGTCTGATGCTCCCCACGAAGGATTTTCTCAGGGTATCCACCTTCTCCAGGAGATATGTGTCGAGAGGAACAGATGGCTCCGGACGAGATTCAAGAGGGTCCTGATCAAGGAAAGATGTCGGGCCGGAATCATTTAATCTCACTCCGTTGTTCTCCCAGTGTCCACCAGCGGCACTACCAAAGACGAAGCCAGGGACTATCCGCTTGATCTCCTCGCCGCGTTGCTGTCTGGCAACATCTACGTAACCGTAGACTCCATTCATGACGCCATCCGCTTCCTGAAGACACTTGGGAACCGAATCCGGTCCCGGCCAGTCGGCGGAAGCAATGTGGGACGACAAGACCAACTTCGAAAACTTGGACATCATATCCCTGAAATGCGGATATAGAGCTCTGTTAGTGGAGATGATGGACGGGTTCCCGGAGTGATTGTCCGTTGTGTCTGACCCGGCTGCTAACAGCATCCGCAGATGGTCAGATATATCTTCTGCGCGTCGCACATATTCAGCCCGTTCACCGTTGATGAGGGTTTGCTTATATGCCTCAATAGCCTGGCGCATGTTGTCGACCAAGGCAGGCCAGGTGATCGGGTAGGCGACGCCGTCATCAAGAAAGTGTTTTGGAATACCAGAAGATACCGACGGTCTTGGACCCTGGTCGTAGAGGGAAACAGAAGCGGCGTTCAGGGCATTGTACGACTTTGAAGTGATGTTGAAGGGAGCTTGTGACCCCTTCAGATCGCCGGACGGTTTCTTCACGGGAGAGGGATTCAAAGAGTCCATGGAAGTAGCCGGGGAGATACCGTCAGAGACAAAAGACTGACGTCTGCGCGACATTGAATCATGCGATGCCAGCATCAATGACTCCCCTTCCGCTTCAGACGCAGAGCCATCGTAATCATCTTCCTCGCGCTCGAAGCCTCGAGCCATCAGTTCGGGCGGCGGACGAGTCTGGTCGGGCACAAAGAAGTCATTGCGGTCTCGAGGGCCCGTCTCATTTGCCAGAAGCGGGTTCTCCAAGGGCAGCTCCATCGTGCTGTAGCCGGTCAGGGTGTTGAAATAGAATAACCGCCCGTCTGGTGTGGCCTGCGGGATCCAAAATGCAGAAGCCTCCTCCCGGTCGGTTCCCACGCCTTCAATGGGGAGCAGAGGCTGCGAGTCGCGGGGGTTCCCCACGGAGTCGACATCGTCATCATCGCGGTCGCTTTCGTACTCATCCTCGATTCCCGATTCTGCGCTCGTATCTCCACCGTGCTGGGAGTGGGATCCTTGGTCGTCGAGTTCGTTGGGATCCGAAATAATGGCGCAGTAGTTGCTGGGAAACCAGCCTCGAACGTTGTTGATGACACCGTCCCACCAGCCCGTCTCGAGCTGGTTCAGCACCTGGATGATATCGCCCTGGCGAAAACTCAAGCTGGTATGGTCATCCGCAGTGTAGTCGTATAGCGCCCGCACATACAGGGCCGGGGCAGGCTCCGCTGCGGGAGCGTAACCGCCCGCACCGGTGAATTTCATGGGAGATTGCTGTCGCTTGGGCGACTCGGACACATCGACGTCTCTCCTCTGCGCAGAGACGCTGGAACCTCGTCCGCGGGCCCTGGGGGTGGTAGACAGCATGGCGGGATCGTCTTCTGTGTACTGAAAGGCGGCTGTCACGGTGGTGCCCGTCTTGCTCCCCAGCCCAGATCTCGTATTAATCGCCAGCGGCTCAGCCGCTCGATTGGAGTACATTGCTCGTCGCCAGAATCGCGAGCCAGGAGCTCTTTTGTCGTTCTCCTGGAGGTCTGCTCAGCGGACTCAGAACACGTATCTCATGTCTTGGGGGAGGAATCAAGCCGGAGAAGCTGGAGGTTAGGGGGGGGGGTTGTTCTGCGGGATCATCCACGGGGCGACGGTGGCCGGCCGCACTTAGTGTGGGAGAAACGAATCACGTCCAGAATTCGACCGGTCGATGAGAGGTGCCGCAACGCCCGTTCTCCCTTGCACGAATCGAAAAGATGGTGGACGAAACGACAGGCCTGGAAGAGGGAGGAGGGAACAGGACGAGAGGGAACAATAATGTTGAAAGAGAGAGAAAGAGATGCTGGACGCCCGACGACGCAGAGGGTCAGTAGCGGTGGGCTAACTAGTTTAACTAGATAACTGGTGGGAGGAGGAGAGGAGAGAAAGCAGTCTACTTACTTTACTTTACTTTACTTTACTGAGTCTACGGGGAGTGGAGGCGGAGGCCGGATAAGGCTATCTCAAGCTGTCCCGTGGGTGAGGGCGACGCCTTTTGGGGGGGAAAAAGAGGAGAGAGAGAGAGGGAGACCTTTTTTCCTGAAGCCAACCCTGGTCTGCCAATGTCACTGCTACTCCATCGATACATATTAATTATCATCATTATTATTATTTCCCCTGGTCGATGAAACTCTTGTGAGTTCTTACTCGATTAACCACTATTCTATCTGCTAGAACTAACCGTCCATCTATCTACATTCTACACGGTGCTAACGAGGCCTGGTCTCCCTGTGCCTGACACTACCAGCACGGGTGCATGTACCAGCAAGATACCTATGGAGTCCGTCCACTGTGTACAATCCAGTCTGGACGGGCGCAATGGCGGTCAAATGGCACGAGCGCTAGGCTCTAAGGACGCTTTTTACGAATCCTTCTTCTCATCGTCTGTTAGGAGGTCCCGACTAACAGTCCGGCTCAACTCCCCCGGGGTCCACCGACACAAGCTGCCAGCAACTGCGCTTTTGAGCCTGTCCCGCCGCCGCAGCGATGATTCTGAAAGATATTTAATTAATTTATTTATTATTGTTCTTCTTCTGGTCTGTGCGACAGCCGTAACTAACTACTCCTCCGTTGGCCCCCTCCAGCACCCACTTGTTGCTCATGGATCCAAGGTACCGTGACTGTAAGGTGACCCGTCCTGTCGACGCAAGTACCAGCCTTACTTTTGCTCTTCTGGAGTAACTTAATACTCTAGACCAGGTCGACCCGTCATAACGAAGTGCAGCCGGGGCCACACGCTTGCTGCAAGAGCACACAGTGACAAAAACCTGCCAACCGACAGACAGGATCGGATCCAGCAAGAGCTGGTCGCTCTGCCAGGGCCAATAACGATTCCTGCAGTGTGGAACGGACAGCAAGGGGCATGGGACAATCAATAAGGCTCGCGCGGTGCGGGGACACTCGAAGGCTCGGGTTGTTCCCCGTCAGCTTCTCTGGAAGCTCGGTGCTGAAGCTTGTGGAGGTTCTTCATGCGACGTCTGCAGCGTCGCACCGGTGACAGCCAAAGAACATGGGGTGACGAGACTGGCTAGTGCTCCATTCTGTTGTTGCCAAGATATCCCCAACTACTACTACTGACGAGGTGCTGGGCCTGGTCCATCTGTCTCTGTCCAAGATGATAATCTTCTTCTTCACAGTGCCGAAGATTAGGGCTTAACATGTTTGACGTGACAGGAATAGTCTCATGCGGGTTGGTCCGGTTGAGCCTGTCAGGCACGGGAGCGATAACTATCCAGAAGCCTCTCCACGCTCCACGGACGGACCAACTAGTGAGCACGAATGATATGGCGCGGGATCATGATAATCGCACACTCCCTTGCGGGTGATTATTCATTCTACAGTTCACATCTGTTCTCTCCTAACTCAGATGCTTGAGTCCCGACTTTACTCATGTTGGCGCGGCCGACAATAATGATCTGTTCCGGGGCTTTTCCTTGAATCACAATATTGGGGCCTGTTCGGCTATAAATGATCGAAGTAAGTCTACACAGTTAACTGAGTCACTGGCTTCAATACTCAGCATCCATAATAACTAATTTCGTTTTACGATGCGTCTTTCAGCCACTAAAGTTCGTGGAATTGGTGACTGACCCACTGCGCGCCTAACAGCTGGCTTAGCAACCGTCAGTCCCAAGGCGATGTTAGCGGTGATCTTCTCCTGACCGTTGGAGCACCACTGCATCGCTGTCGGCTTGGTTCGGGCAATTGATTGACATCGATTGGGTACTCCTACCATTCGCGTCCAAGGCCAGGGGAGACAGCATTATTATTGATGATGTGCCCATCACTGTTCTGGCTAGCCAGCCTTGGCTGCGGGTAAAGCAAGCATACTCTATAGGGATAATAAGTCACAGCTTTCAATGCACTCGCTGATCAATCGCAGAACAGTGACCAGGAACAATCTAAACCGAAAATGTATCTCGTACAGTCATTGAAATCCACTGATTTGCTCGCCATCATCTGTTACATTAGCCAGAGAAATTGGCCAGTCAGATCCCATCCAAGGAGGTGCGCTAGGCAGCCCGCGGGAAGATTTGGGGGCAGTGGAAATCCTAGCGAGCAGTCGAGAACACGCGGCCTGGGCCGTCGTCAATTGCTGCTATGTAAGCAGGAGCTGTGTGCAGACCTTCACACTGCTAACTATTAGCAGTGTCTTCACGAACCTCGACTGAAGACTTCTTGACTCTGCTTCTTTTTCCGTTGAGCCGAGTATGGCGCTTCGTCTGCGTTGAGGTTGACAGCTAAGGCTAATCTTCTAGTTGTCCGTGATTGCATATGCCATATCAAGACCTACAGACACCATAACGGAGCGTGCCGGAGGGAAAGCCCAAGTGGTCCACCATGCCTTTGGTATCTAGTATTCGGCCTTCTAGAAACCCGCCCATCAGTATGAAGCATACATCTGGGCAAGCATCTCGTCCTTCCAATAGCAAGAAAGTCCGGGTTTTATCCGGAATCTTCCATGGACAGCCTTGTCTCTATCTAGTTTCACCATCAACACCGTCGCATCGAAATTGCAATCCCAAGAAAGAGACATAGCGCCTCAAATAATAGCTTATGGTCTTCCGGCACGATGCCGAGAGGCTTTCTCGGTACCGAATATTTTAAGCAACTTCTAGCTGTCAGCCCAGACCCATCAACATGCTTCTAGAACTGGAAGTTAGCTTCGAGCGATCAAGCCTCGCGCTTCAAGAGAAGTAAATATGTTTCAGTCCCTATGGTAATTTTTATCGATGGCAGTACTAACAAACGACAGGAAAGACTATACGGCCACTAAGTAACTAAACCGAAGTCGCGGGAATAGCACGCGACCGATTTCCCGGCCTCCTGGCTTAGTTTCTACGTAGGCGACCCAACTCCCAGGACGGCGGGCAGCGACCGGCTCTCGGGGAACTGTCTTGACTTCCATTCGTTCTGGAAGATTGGCAACACGGTGGATTTAATTTCACTAACTGCCCTAACTGTGCCGTGGACTCTGGAGTCATGGACTGTCTCTGCGGACGGGCCGGCAAGGGAACAGGGGGAAGCATGAGTAAGTCAGGCTCGAGGTCGAAATTCAAGAGCCGAAGGCATCCAGAAGGGGCATCAGTTTTCTATTATTGGAGTTGGCTAATTTATCTGTATTTCTATAGAGTAATGCATTCACTGCTGTGGAACGATCTCCTCGGTGGCAAGGATGGTTATCAGATCATGGACATCAACGTGATAACAACATTGCATCCCTGAACTAATACTCGGGCATAGTTAACTTAAGGACCCTTTGCCATGGGCTTACCCGCGCGCCGTTGATAACGTAGCCGTTTTATCCTGCCAGCTGACTTATCTAGAGCAAGCCTCTCTGTCCCACGGTCAAGGCTTTTCTCGTCCTCTTTCCTGTTACAGGAAGCTTCTATCGTATCGCATCCCGCAAGGTTACCTACTACTGCTTCACCCATGTCGCAGGAAATATCCGTTGCCCCTCGCCGCTCGGCGAACCCCGCATGGTGTGGCTATGTGCTTCTTTTTGTGCCCCAGAGTTCGGGCCATATCGCTATCAGGGTCGATGAATGACGTCGGGGACGAATGAGTGATAGTGATATTAGATCTACAACGAACCCCAGATGCCATAGTCTTAGAGCTTAGTAGGGGCTTATGGAATAGGCGAGTATGAGAAGGCTGCGCTGGCTTCCGTAGGAGTGGTTTGAAATCACAAGGCGTGTTGCGGGTTTCATATACGAAGCTTAGAATCATGCTGAGCTTTACATCAAATAGCCCATCCCGGCACCAAACAATACAACATATACTTACGAATTCATCTTTTCTATCATCTTTCAAGAACTAATCTCTAAAGCAGATCAAATCCGCGCTGTGATCAGTTCAGTTCGACATTTTTCCAGAGATGTCCTGCAAATTTATTCGGGTTGATCGACTAAATAGACGACAATCTACCAGCAATATTTCCAATTGACCATCATGATCCGCAGAAACTTAGGAACTCAGCAGAAGACATAAAATCCAAGAAAGGTGAAATCAAAACGCAGGTTTTTTTTGTGCGGCTCGAAAAGACTTGAAAGATGCACCTCCATCAAGTGCGTTCTGCCTATCACAAGATTTCAATATCAGGTGATTTTACTTTTCTGTCACGATCTAGACGCATATACTGGAGCTTAGCATGTTGGTCGCATTGTGTGTACTACGCACCTTATCCGGTTTAGATATTATAGATGATGGAATATGATGCAGTGTCGGAATCTATTTCCTGCTCATATACTATCAATATAAAAAATGGTATGGGCGTTTATGAGAGCTACCTCTGCTGTAAGCTAGGAGAAAGAAAAGCTACAGAAAAGATACCGAATAATAAAAGTTATTTCTGAATATCTGGGGGGTCGTTATAGAATCTAAACATTATTTCGAATATTAAAGAGCACGGAAGCAAGATCTGACCTGAACAACTTGAATTGCTTGCTTTA